GGGCTTCAAGAAGATTTACTCTGACCCCTCGCTCTACATCTATGATGATGGCACTGTCAGAATCATAGTCCCAGTGTGGGTGGATGATATCACTCTTGCTTCGAAATCAAAGGATGCTCTGGACAAGTTTGTGATTGAGCTGGAAAAGCATTTCAAGTTGCGGGACTTGGGGGAGACTTCGTATCTGCTGGGCATGGAAATAACACGAGACTGGGACAGCCACAAACTCTACATCTCGCAGCGTCAGTACATTGTTAATAAGTTAGCACAGTTTAATATGTCTGATTGCAAACCAGTGGGGACTCCCATGGCTCCGGGTATGAAGTTGACCACAGATGACTGTCCCAAAACATATGAAGAGGCACAAGAGATGGTGGATATCCCCTACATGAGTGCTGTTGGCTCCTTATTGTACTTGGCTACAATGTCCCGGCCTGATATAGCCTTTGCTGCGAGTGCACTGGCTAGGTTCAACTCGAACCCAGGCATGATCCACTGGAAGGCTGTAAAGCACTTGCTACGCTATGTGAAGGGCACGATGGATATGAAGTTGGTATATGGACCTGATCCCGCCATAGGAGACGAAATCTTCGTCACATACAGTGATGCAGACTATGGTGGTGATAAAGGGACAGGGCGGTCTACAAGTGGTTACTTGGTTAAGATTGGGCTGGGAGCGGTCTGCTGGAGCAGTAAAGCGCAACAGATGGTTGTTCTATCGACCACTGAAGCCGAGTATGTTGCTGGGGTTGCTGCTGGTAAAGAAATATGCTGGATGAAGAACCTCCTCTCAGAAATTGGTTACAAGCCAACTGCACCATCCACGCTGTACATGGACAACCAGTCAGCGATTAGAGTGGCAAAGAACCCCGAACACCATGGCAGAATGAAGCAACTGGACTTGAGCTTCTTTTGGTTACGCGATCAAGTTGATTGCAAGCGCATCCAGCCAGTCTATCTTCAAACAGAGGAAATGCCGGCAGACCTGCTCACCAAAGCACTGGCCAAACCACAAGTGGAAAAGTTGAGGGAGATGATGGGATTGGTGGGATAGGAGGACGTATTGGGCCAGGGGGTTGTTTGTGGGTGCCCCAATACGTGGGTCCACCAAGTGTTGCATCAGGGGGTTGTGTTGAAGTGATGTGCACACTTGTTGTACAAATGTATAACAAAGTTGCGCTATACCAAGCGCCCGGTTCCCACGCATTGGGGACCACCCATAGACACTGCCAACACCCATTGGGACGACCCAGGTCATCATGGGATGACTGGTGTTGACAGGATTGCTAAAAGTGCGCAAGCACTGTTTAGCAATCTGTACATACTTTATAAGCGCACGACTCCCACGGTCAATGCAACGTTCCCACGTTCAGCGCCCCATTAGTAGGTCTGTTGACCTCTATTGTGACAGCCGGAACAGGCACCGGAACACCTCGGTCTCCACAGGGAAGCAAAAGGAGCGAAAATGAAACATGGAGCCATCATTAGAATGATGTCTGGCATGTTCCCAAGCTGCTCCGGAGCTAATCAAATTCGGACACGATTTAGTGGGCACCTATATTCACGCCTCGCGCAGAACAGTACCTGTGGGAACCTGGGATGGTCATTTTCCTTACATGTCTAGAGTAATAGACACAAAGAGTCAATAGAGCACAAATCATTACATATTATTGATTGATTGCATCAACATCATTAGTGATTGTTACCAAGGCAATTAGATGTTGGAATGATGTAATCCGGCACATGATCACCATTTGAATGGACTGGAAAGGGGCATTGCCCGGCCAGTAATGAATAAATGGTTGGGTGGTCATGTGATGGGGAATACATAATTGTTGGTTGTGCAGTCATTGAGCAAGGCCAGATAGCTCAGATGGTTAGAGCGTCTGGAAAGCATCCAGGAGGTCCTTGGTTCAAACCCTAGTCTGGCCATCTTTTCTTGCCCCTGATTTTAACATTAGAGTGTCTTAGGACGCTTCTACAAGCTTCTAATCAGACTATAATAACCTATAGTTTAACATGGGGAACTCACTGCGTTAGGTTACCCTCTCCTGAGGGGGTGTCTTGGGAGTTATTTGGATGAAGGTGCTGTCAATTCGCATGCAGCCTGTACGTGGGTAGCAGGCCCATGTACAGGACCTATTTGCAATGAGGAAAGAGCCCAAGAAGATGAGATAAGGTGGGGAACTCACTGAGATATGATCCCTCCACCTCATTGTGAGTTGGCACCATTGCAGCGCCTGCAGGGAGGGTGAACAATGACAAATGGCTTAGGTGTTTACACGCAAGCCTAGAGATGGTGCCTGGGTGTCAAAACGAGCCCAAGACCATCTCAAACAACACAGAACTCACCGACATATGGCACCTCTTTTGCCATGTCCTCTGCTTGGGGATCCATGGGTTGGGGAGGTGGCACACAGCCACTGGACACGTTGGAAGCCTCCCAAGTGGTAAGAACGTTGAGGGCGTTGATAAAATGCATAGAAACACGCCCAAGAGAACGTGATTCGAGGGGATAATGGGGGAGATTGGTAGGAGGAGGAGGAGGAGAGGTACTGAGACATGGGAGTTGGTCGTGATTGTGCCCTGGGCCTGGGCGCATGGGTAAGCAGCAGAACATGAAGGGAGGGGATGTGACGCGGTCATGTGGGATGTGACAAACTGTCTGGGGAGTGTCCTTTTTTCAGAAAGAACGGAGTGGGGCACGGTTTGGGAGCAAAGCCTCTGCCAAATTGCACAGAGAGCCAGGGGAGCCGAAATCTGCTCCTGAGCAAAAAAAGGACAGTCCTGTAATGCAACCGGACGGTCCTGTCACGCAAGGGTAGGAGGGGACTTACGGTTCAATACATCCAAGGCCGTCTGTGGGTGCGCTTCCCTTTTTTGAGCTTCAGCCTCACCGTTTCATGTTTCTTTCCCCATTTGGATAAGCATCCCAATTTTGTTCACATCCCACACCCTTCCACAGCTTACACCCCATCTATTGCCCCCTTGGCACCTCTTGTACTCCTCCTTCTCACAGCTCCTTGCTTTGTACTCCTCCCTTCTCACAGCTGCTTGCTTTGTGCACACCTCAACTCAATGGATTTCAGGTGAGTAATGCTCTAGCTCTACTTACTACTTAGTGTCCATCTTGTGGGGGAAGGGGGATGAGGGGAGGGGATGGCTTTGGTGTGCGCGCCCACAAGGCCACTTACGTCCCAGTTGGTGCTGGTGGCTGTAGCCGGCAACTCGGCTCCTGATCATTTGATCAGCCGGAACGTTGGGACGGCCTGGGCCCTTGACGGTTCACATGATGGATGACGGTCACCCGTCACGGACCGTCCTTTTTGTCGGTCAAAGCTTCACTTCTCTGCTCCTAGGTTCTACTGTGTGGAGACTATCTGTGCTCTATGTGGTGTGGTCCTTGCCTGGCGCAAGTTTGCCAAGTCAGAAGGGGTGGCCAAGATTCTTCAGTTCCTTGAAGATGTCTATCCTCACGCCCTAGCTACATTGCTATTGACAAAGGGTGTGCCTTACTCAAGCATATTATTGTCAGGCAAGGGCACTGGCCTGCTTGGGAACCCACCACTCAGATCATTGTTGACTCCTACCACTATATCAATCACCAGGTGACTGACCACCTCTGTCGGACTTGGTGCAACCCTGCACCTCTCAATGGAGATGCCCCCAACTTGGTGGTGGTTGATGAAGACAAACAAGGCAATCCATACTACAAGAGGGCCTTCAATACTCAGGTAAGTGGTTCTACTCCTCAGTTACTTGTACTTGTCTGATTTGTACTTAGGCTTGTGAACAGCTCAATGCATGGTTGGGTGGGTTCCAGACAGTTCTCAACTGGATGACTGTCAGCAACTTTGACTTCACCATGCATGTGTTACTGTTCTTGCACACCCAGTGTGTTATTGCCAGGCAGCAGGGGAGGGAAGAAGAAGCAGGTGATGAAAGTGAGGATGAAGAGGATGAGAATGGAGTGAGATATGGGCAGCAAGAGATGCAAGATGATGATGATTGAATATGAGCAAGTTCACTTGTAGTTCACTTCGCATTTGCTTGTATACCAGTTGAACATCACTTGAACACTACTTGAACACCATTTGAACGACACTTGAACACCACTTGAGTATCACTTGGCCACCACTTGGCCACCACTTGAGTATTAACTATAATGTATTATTGGACTTGTATCTGTAGAGATAAACACTCAGCTGGTATTCAGTTGGTGGCCACTTGAACACCAACTGGGAGTCAACTGAACACTCCCCAATATCACTTGTAACTATGTCTGTACTCCAACTCATACCACTTGACCCCAATTGACCACCAAGTGAGGTTCACTTGAACACCATTTGGACTTGTGTAAATTCTGTAAAGTCCAAAGTCCACTTAAAATCCATCTGAATATCAACTGGATACCAACTGAACACCAGTTACCAATCTCATCCGCTTCTACTGACTCTATTGTGTGCAGTTCACATGGACACCACTTGGATATCAATTGGACACCAACTGAAACTCCTCCAACTGTATAAAGTGGTGTTCAAGTGGTAGCCACTTGGTGTGGAACTGAACAGAACTGAATGTAAGTGAACTTACTTGGTCGAGTTGGTGTTCAGTTGGTAGTTCAGAGTTGACTTGAGTTGGTGTCCAACTGGATTCAGTTGGTGTTCACTTGTAGACATGGTGAACTGCCAGATATACACCGTTTGAAGATGATTAGACTACATTACAGCAAAAATTGTTAGCATAATCATATTCTCTCTCTGAGCCCTGCACTGTAGTGATTAATACAAATTTATTCCACACATCTTTAGTTCAAACATGGTTTGAACCATTACACATCCGAACATCTGGCTGTGTAAAGAGATAGCACTGTGCAATGTGTAGCCGAACTGACTCAAATGGATAGCTTATACGGTAATTGATATAAAGGAGCATGTATTTTTGGGATGTATACATAGGCATATGACATGCAGTGCCTCGGTGAGGTGATATAGAATGGATCATGGCCGAGGGGCGGCACCGGGAACGTTGCGCCTGTCGCGCCTTGGACCACGATCCTGGGTAGCGACGGCAGGGTTGACGACAGTGACTGCGATGGAATCGAAGTTAAGAGCAGCGAGGAGGTTCTGGATAATGTTTGAGCCGGGATGTCAGCAATGATAGTCAATAGCGATGACGAACCTTGGTATCGCTGTCGACTTCGAGGCCGGAGACGCTCGTATCCAAAGCAGAGACCTCTGGTACGTAGTTGTCCTTGCGCTCACGCTCCTCTTCCTGCAACTTGAAGGAGATGCCACGAACGGGGCCCTTCTGGATACGCTTCATCAAATGGGTTGTGAATCCAGCAACCTTGTTGCGGAGACGTTTTGAGGGGACGACAGCCTGTTGTGATCAAACCTATGAGAATGGCATTGACTAGTTGAAGCTTTCTGGTGAACGCACAACTTCATCGATAATACGTTTGTTTGTATGGAAATCGAGGGTGAGGCGGGGGTAGCTGCGGCGGCATCTGTAAGTCCATCGTTGGGCGTGCACGATGGCACGGCGCTCACTATTTCTCAATCAGAACGCGGGAAGCCCTCTTCGTGGTCTTTGTGCGAACGCGGCCCTATAGAATACAGGGTACATCAGTCGGCGGGCAGCGAGCGGGCAGTTCTGCAGGACGCGCACCATGTTGAATGAAGCTGAGGACGATGGATTTCGGGGGCGAGCGACGACAGGTGCGGTTGTTGCAGACGATGACCACAAGGAGAGTCGCTTCAGGGACTGCCGGCAATTCCCGTAGTGGCTGCAATGGTGCTGTACAGTCGACTTTCCACATTTGGCAAGTCGTGTGGTGCACATGTGCACATTCTTCAAACTAGTAGCTCGTCGTCGGCGCCGTCGTCAGTCATCCCACCCGTCCCCCTCGTACCTCAACATGGTTCGCGTATCTGTCCTAGTGAGCTCGTTGCGCCCCAACATTCTTCGTCTTACTGATTCCGCGCGACGCGCCTCCAGAACGACTGCCTTGTGCGTTGGATTCCTTTTGCTTGGAGGGAATAGCCATTCACGGTCCACTCTCTCTTCAGAACAACATGGTCAACGCCGAGCGCCGTGGCAAGCGCCAGGTGCTTGTCCGCCCCTCCTCAAAGGTCGTCGTCAAATTCCTTAGTGTCATGCAGCGCCATGGTGAGTCTCGCCTTTTCCTCCCCTTCAAGATCTCTCTCTCTCGGAGTTATAACTACGGACGACGAACTCCTACTTCTACTCGTCGCTCGCTTTAAGACTCCGAAACAGCAACCCGCCCCTCGAAACCAAAACAACATGTATTCGCTATTATCTATCGAATGGGTGTTCACTGTAGTGGCCACATCCTTTTCATTTCAAACTCCTGCGATTTCCAGACTCCAAAACCACAAGCTAACTATTGCATTCCTTAGGCTACATTGGCGAGTTCGAAATCATCGACGATCACAGATCAGGAAAGATCGTAGTCCAGCTCAACGGACGTCTCAACAAAACAGGCGTCATTTCTCCCCGATACAACATCCAAGCGAACCAGATCGAAAGCTGGGTCAACTTGCTGCTCCCAGCTCGCTCATTTGGTTACATCATCTTGGTATGCCCCCTTCCAGCCGCGCTTTCAGGCGACTGACCGACGTACTTTTCAAGACTACGTCTTCCGGCATCATGGACCACGAAGAAGCTCGCCGCAAAAACGTCGGCGGCAAGCTTCTCGGATATGTCTACTAAAATACATCCGCTATCGTCATTTGCATGTAGTCTTTTTCTTATGGTTATCGCCATGTACCTCTATGCAAATATGCAAACACACGCATATCCCAACGAGGGCCACCCCGCAGCAGTAGTTAACAATCGGGCATAACCAGGAATTATCTTCGCCCGATTCAATTTAGTCAACCAGCCAAACCATGCAACAGAAAATGCTATTAATGATATGATGCAGAGAATTGGCGCAGACAAATGAGTACATACATCCTTGTTGTAAACTACATGGACAATTCCCAACGAAACAAATGAACGAATGACCGAGCAGCACAAATTATGCTACGAAATATAGATGGGCAGATGCGGGGTATACCAAAAGAATGTGTGACTGCTTCGTGGTACGTAGAAAAGCAGTGTTGAAGGTTGGGGGTTGCCCTATCAACAGGCAGGCAAAGCCCTTGGCTTGCCCGTGCATCCCATAGGTATTCCAACCGCCGACTGAAGATGTCAATATCTCGAGTTGGTGGTTGGGATACCTATGGGGCATCAGACATCGCCAAGTCCAGCCTCGTTGTCACGGTATACACCGATAGAGGGACGAAGTGTTTGGCCTGTGGCTAGTGTGCGCGCGGCGCGCTTGCTCACTGACACATAAGGCTTTTCATGCGCAAAGACCCGGAGAATTGGATTATGTTGCGGTGGCAAAGATCGATGCGAGTTCCTTCTCGTTAGCAGCAGGTAACGATCTCGACCGTGCTTTAAGGCGAACTGTGGAGAAATAAATCAACGTCAAGAAGTGCGATGCATCAAAGAGTGAGGACGACTTACGATTGCGATCAAGGGTAATGAGGACAACCTTCACAGCGGCGCTGATATCTTCGCTCTTTAGCTCCACCTTGAGCATGGAGGTGCGATCAATCCAGTGCTCGTCTTGCCATATCGCTGCCTTGAGAATCAAATCGTCCATACTCCGTTCAGCCAGAGACCCCGTCATGTTATCCACGAAATCGACTTGCTCCGTTCGGACATTCAAACTCGTGAGGTAGTTGCCCTTCGATGTCTGGACTTTCAAGGAAATAGAGTGGGTACGAATATGGGAGGTAACGTATTCGAGAGCATCTCGAGCAGCTTGGCCAAGGGTAGACATATTCGTCGCAAGGCCGTCGAGCTCCATGATAACAGGCAATGGTATAACTACCGTCCATCGCAAGCTTTCGATGACCGGTGTGAGCAATGGCAGAGAGGATAGCAGGATGTTGGTATCAACGACGAGAATGGTATAGCCAGGCAATATAGAAAGAGGTGGTCGGCCATTGGCAGCTTTATTAGCCTTGTTGGATCGTGGGTGTCGAGGTGGTGATATCGTGGTCTGAGACGTTGCTTGGATCAGAGATTGTAGATATTTACGCCGAGCCTGCCGGAGAAGTCAAGGGTCAGCCATCAATAGTTGCTAATATGGTGGGAGGCATGCATGCACCCTCTTACCTTGAGCGCTTTCACCTCTTCCGAGTCATTTTCGTCGTCCTCATCACTACTTTCCTCATACGCCGGCTCGTCGTCGATATCCATGGAATCATCCCATCGTCGGCCCATTCGTCTCCGTTCCTCCTCCTCGCGCTCGATGCGGTCAAGCTCCTGCCATCGCCGGACCTTCTGTGCAAGTAAGCCCTCCACCAGCCACTGCCTCGTGCCCTCCACCCATGTAAATCCGTCCACTACGTTTGCAATGCCAACCGCACATCGTGCAATCCGTGTCCACCGATCGTCCACCAAGGTCTCCTCTCTCCCCGTGTCGTCCTCGATATGGCCATCTGTGTCTTTGAGGCGTTCATCAAGGAGCTCAAGCTCCGCCTGCCTATCATCCTCCTTTGGCCAATATCCACGCTCAAATATCTTCCGCCCGACCCACTCCATTGCTCTCAAACACCAATCTTCTCGGAGAGGTGTGCATTTGCTGCTAAGCATCACCCATCGCTCACCATGAGTCACCACTTGGTCCAGCTGTTGTTTCTTCATGATGCGGCTTGGTATGCCCGAAAAGAATTTAGCGAGTTCCGCCCATGGGATATTGCGTTCGAGGATTTTCAGTGCCTTTTCCTCCTTCAAGATCGTGGCCAAGAAGGTCATGAGGACAGTAAGATAGGGATTCATCGTATCGCCTCGTATCGGGTTGCGAAGAACATGGGAGAGCATGGCAAAGGTCAGCTGCAAGGCAAGTGAGAAGACTACAGGGGTGACGATTTCAGCTTCGGCCTCTGAGCTAGGCGGTGTCGGATGTGAGGGCGCATCATCTATGTCCATCCGATCCTTATCGTGTTCTCTGTCCTTGGTCATCATCACCCTGGTGGTTGTGCCGGAAACGTCTTTCCCTCCTATAGCACCTGCTTTCTTTAACACGCCACCAGGCTTACCGTACTCGAGCACGGCACCGATGTTGACCACTGCCATCATGATCCATTCCTTGTCTTCCGCCCCCTCAATGGCGAGCCGCTCCAGGAATCGGGCCAGGGTAGGCTGGAAATTGTCAAGCTCGATATTTGTGAAGAGCATACCATGGAGAAGTACAAATAGGTCTGGGGCACGGGCCTCGGGAAGGGAGCGGCGGGCCTGTAGGGCGATAGACCATACGGGGAGAATAGTTTCACGCGATGTGAGAAATGGATGGAGGGTGGTCATGCTGACGTTACATCATTACCAAGGTAAACCAACCAAGAGGGTTGTTGCTCACCTCTTGACAAAGTGATAGACAGCCCTGAGCTCTTCGCCCTCAGCTTCACGGGAGAGCAGACCGAGATGATGATGCAGTCTCCCATTCCCGGGTGTATCCGCGATACCTTTGCCATACCACCCCTGCGCGATCTTCCTCCACCGCTCCTTCTCCGGCTCGACCTCCATCAGCCGAGCAGCTGCGACTCCGACACTAGGTTCCTGGTGGCGAATGTCGCTATCCGAATGTGTATCCTCCAGACCCGACGTTTCTTCCTTGTCTGCGTTATCCGCAGGTACTCTTGAAAGCGCATCCGTAGTAAGAAGCGCGCCGTGGCCAAAATTACTTTGTACCATCGTCGCTACGATCATCTGATAGCGCGCTAGGTCGCCGAGAGCCTCGAGCCAACCGCTCTTGAAGCTGATCAAGGTTTGTTCCTCGTACAGGCCGGTGTAGAATGTGTAAGCGTAGTAAATAAAATCTTGCAGATGTTCGAGAGCAAGAGGCGAAGTAAACGATGCCCGTCGAAGTGATTCGAGGAGCTTGTGGAAGCCGTAACTCCACAAGCGGACGATGATGTTATATTTGACGGGTATATTGCGGAGGGAGGCGGGAACTGTGGGGGCGAGGGAGATTTCGAGCAAATTGTGCATCATTTCTGCCAGCCTGTTGTCAAGGTCAGCACACCTTAACCATAGCTATACATCTGACTACTCACATCTTATGATCAGCTATCTGCTTCCGCCATCTTTCCCTCTCGAACTGCTCGTCCGTCGTTTCCTTGCCCTGCAACATGATCCTAGTGTTGCTCTCGTTGGAATCGTCTGTCGCGTCATCCTTTTTTATCTGGGTCTCCAATTCTGTTATGTTTCGATATAACCCCTTCAGCTGCAAAGCGAATTTGTTGTTGGTACTGGAATCACTGCTCGGCTTACTTCGGTTGTCAAAGAGTGCGGAGGCGGAGGATCCACTGGTCGTATCAGACGACAAAGTGAACGACGAAGACAACGTCGAAGCAGCGTACGAAGACGCCGATGAAGCAGATACATATTCTCCAGAAGATTTGGGCGTGGGCGTAGGGCGACCGTTTGGGCGAGAGAGAACAGAGAAACGGACTGGATCGTCTTTACGGTGGTCGAATAGCTGCCTCGGCGGGCCGTCGCGAAGATGATGAGAGGATTGGGCCGCAGTCGAAGTGCCGTTAACCTCGCGGCGGGGCGCATAAGAACTACTAGTGGCGTCGGATATAGATTCTGGCTCGGCGGTTCGACGCATTGGAATAGGATCTGTATCGGGGTTGAAGAGTTTCGACGGTCCCACATGCCTATGTGTCGGCGATGGTCGTGTATTCGGTGGAGACGAGATTCTGAGACGCGAGAAGTCTTCTGGATCTGCCTCGCCCGGCGAGCTTCTCGATGGATGATGCTGGGTGATAGGGTGCAGCTTTCGAGGCGATGGCGGCGAGTGGTTCGATGGCTTGGACCTCGACGAAGATGGTTTGGAAGGGGAAGCTGGAGATGGTTGTGGTGCAGAATGCTGTAGAGCGGGCATTTGCTGCCTCTCCTTTGGTCGTGGCGGTCTAAATTGAAATTCGAGTCATTTCAGCAATAAAAGCAAGGCATAGAGTATTTACCCAGCAGCATTTCTTCTGAATGCGATGAGTTTATCTTGGAAGTTTTCGGCAAAGTCAAAGTTTGCCTGATCTCGTTCCTTGCCTTTGCGAGAAGGACGCTGAACGTCTGGAACGGCGGACATGGTGGTGGTTGAGGGGAAAGAGAGGTTCGGGGCTCGCTGGCTGCGCGCAATCGCTTGCACGGGCGTTGGAGGCGCACGGGACAGCGACAATGCGCAGTCGACTATGCCAAACAGCTGAGCCTCCGCAGCACTCGATCGCTTCTCACGTGAGCCACTTAATGCCTCACTCAGGGGCCGTTGGGACTTGGATCATACGCAAGTGTCTTCAGCGCGTAGGTGGTAGTGCGACTCTGATTATTTTATGGCTACACTACTACTCATGTCAACGCTTTCAAGAGTTCAGCACCACGCTCTGCGACAATAAAGGTGGGAGCCATCGTGTGAGCAGTCGGCAACTTGTTCTGTGGACATACGCGTCAGCAAGGTGGATATCTTCAGAGCAGAAATCGGCAACACTCACAATTACACCAGCATCAATGATGAACAATCCCTCCACTCCCTTCACCCGGAGGTCGGGGTCGACGACTCCCCAGTTGGCCCCCTTCGGAGACATGCTCGAAGTTCCAACGGGATGGAAGACCGTAGCCGCGTTGCCCCTCGCGAATGTCTCCAGCAGCTCATCTGTAGTCGCTGCGCCGAATTCACCGAACGGCTCAATGATATACCCGTCAAATGTCTGCGCCTCTGCGAATCTCCGGACCGCTTTCACGGCTTCGAGCATGGTAAATATATCGAACTCGCTTTGTAAGTAAGCTGGGTCGATGGCTGGGGCAGCAAATGGATCGGTAGACGTAAGTTCCACAGATCCGCCTAAATGTCGACAGTGAGAAGGTGCTGCGGTGTTAGCCAAGGAAATACTGCGTACGGGAGGTAGCCGGAATAACAGCCACGTCGAAACTTATGGTCGTTCCTGACGTTGGAGCGGCCAAACCAGGAAGATTGTAGAAGTTCTGTCGTCAGGCCGTTAGTAAAAGCCTCGCCACAGCAATGTCGTCCGCTGTATGATACTCACGGAGAACATGATTTCGAAGTGGCCTGACTTGGGTCCCGAGGCAGGATCGGGTGTCGTCTCAAAGATGGTAGCATTGTCTGGCAACCGGAAGAAACCGACTTGGTTGAACACGCTTGCTGCACCAGGTCCGGTATGGTTTGCATTCCATTGATCCATAGCAGCCTGGAACACAGCAGGCTCCCTGAACAGGATATCGTAGCTAGAGTTGTCATGCACGCTGTAAACACAGGCTAGGAGGGGATGATCTATGGGTTATCTGTGAGCATGAGAAACCGACGCAAGTAGGACTAGACTTCACCTGAAAGATTCCTGCCAACGGATGGATTGTGTACGATTGTGCGAATACCGACTGACTCGAGGAGACTGCGATCGCCTATTCCACTGAGCTGTAGAATATGCGGCGTTCCAACAGCACCAGCGGAGAGCACAACAGCGCGTCTGCCAGTGACGGTGATAGGACGGGCTATAATCATCATGAGTTAGTGCTCGCATATGGAAAAGCCGGCAAGACCTACCACGCGGACCTGCGAGCGTAGACGTAAATTGCAGAGAATGGAAAGACGGCAAGCGATTCCTGGTTCCAGTTTGGATGAGTTTCGTAACTTGGGCGTGTACGAGGACGTGAAGATTTGGCCTGCTCAAATATTCGGGTGCGAGGTACCCCGTGGCGGAGCTGCTTCGTACACCTCGTCCAATAGTGGACACTGTCCAACCTATTCATCTTGTCTCAGATCCATATTACGAGCCTGAAGTAAGTGTTGAACGCACCAAGTCCCAAAACATTTTCGCCTCCGCCCATATCAGGGTTGAAGGGGAATTCATCCCCCAATTCTTGGCTCGCTTCTATGATATGTTCATCCAGAGGTATCCTGTAGTTGGCTACACTAGTTTGAATCTATCATCGAGGTGTGCCTGTGAATTCCCCGCATTCTAAGATGCCAAGTTAACATACCTTGCCATCAGTGCCATGCAGGGAAGGTATAAAGTCCCCAGTGATGTTGTAGGGTTCAATAGGTTCAGTGAATTGCTCGATCTAGAAACAATATTACTCAAAGTGGAAGGACAGGAGGCAGGGCGAATTACCAGAGGCAGGTAGCGTTGAATATTCTCCCACGTCCAGCTAGGGTCCTCTGCTATGGCAGCATATGCATCCCAGTCATCGCTCGAGCCACGAGTAAAGACCAATCCATCTACGAGACAATTCAGAATCGTCCTAGCAGTAAACTAACATCAAATCATACGCACTGACTGAGCTCGATCCTCCCAGCATATGCCCACGAGGGAAACTGATATTCCGGCCGTTGAACCCAACCTGATTCGTCGTAGTGAAGTTCCAGTCGTATGGTGTGTTGGGGATCAGGAAATTGTGGAGCAGCGGAACGATGGAGTTCGTGACATTGATATTGCTGTATTCGGATAAGGTTGATCAGGCTTTACTGCAAACGCAGGAAGGTGAAACACTACTACTCACGATGGGCCAGCCTCGAGCAGGAGGACCGTGACGCGCGGATTCTCCGTAAGACGATTCGCGATGACCGCTCCAGCCGTCCCACCTTCGGCGGCAAGTTCAGAAGCGAGGTCACTGAGTGAATATCATATGTCTTACCGCCAACTACAACATAATCGAATGAATTTGTCGGAAGCCTGGCGGGATCTGTGTAGAAAGCGCCATACACTGGCAGGAAAAAGGAGAGGGCAACGGAAAGCGTAGAGAAGAAGCGATTCGAATGCATGGTGCCCTAGCTATGCAGTTATCAAACGAACGATCCGCCTTATAAACCATGCACAAAAATACTTCCCGGGGTAGCCAAGAGCTAGAAAAATGCACACCCATCTTTGGGTATTCGGAACATTCAGTACGAACAGATCAGCATATGTCGCATACTCGGTACTCTAAACTTGGGAAAGTAAAGGCGGCGAATTAGACCTTTTCTCCGCATGCGCACGCTGACCGACTGAGCGGATCTAGATCTAGCTTTGCTCTGCAGTAACGTACCAAACGCATCAAATGTCTTCGCGCATCACGGTGGGTCGCAGACACTGCGAGTGGCTCGGAAGAGAGCATGCTATGAATTGCATACCCCGGGCCACTGTATCCCTGGGAGCAATCGTCACCTAAGAGAATGCGCCAGATGCACCATATGAATTATGACAGCATTTCCTCATTTGTCGGGCTGTCAAGCGAGCTTTGAGAGCTGATCATGCGGGTAGCACTGTTTAATGGGGAAGAGAACAATCCGTAAAGGAATACTGAAGACGAATCAGTTACCGCCCCAGAAGACTGCTAACTTAGAATCTGACATTTACTAGACGATGTGAAAGCTTGGCGCTTTGCACTACCACTCGTCCTTTTCGTCTTCGTCTATATCGCGATCCAAGGAAGGCCAGAAACTATCTACTTCCAACGTTGCGCCGTCACCGTTGGCAGGTGAAAGGGCCTTGATTGACTGAAGTGCCCGGATCGTACGCCAGAAAGTAGCTTCGGCGCTACTCGTCGCACAATCGAAAATTTCTGTCGGATGCTGGATTGACGGAGGTGTGATGAAGAAGGATGCTGATGGGGGGCAAGGGGCCGTCGGTGGTTGAGGTGGATCATTGTGCTCCAAGTAAAACAGTTTGAAGAGGAGATGGGAGCTACCATGGTCAGGCTGATCACCACTATCTGGGACCGAAGTTAACGTTAGGATGTGAGAAAGATAGGGCTGCAGGAGGTCCTCAGACGACGATCGGGTATTTCCCGGTACGGGAAGCATGATATATACAATCCCTGTACGTTCGGGTATCAACGTAGTGCTGATAAGTTTAGATATTGCAACGTACATTTGCCTTCAGGGGTGGACATAGTACCTGCCCCCATAATAATGACAGTAGCTGCCGCGGAATCTGAGCCTCCCTCAAGTGTAGAAGGAGGGAATATGATAGAAGCAACATCGGATGGGTCTGGCTGTCTTGCCTTCGGCTCCTCCAGATCTCCAGCATCTTCATCACTTGCCGCCGCATCAGTGGACGCAAATATGACGGGTTTATCGATTATAGCAACACATCTGGCAACGGTTAATCCAAAGTGTGTGCGGTCATATGATGGATCAAGGGGGATGTATTGTGCCGAGCCACCCAGATCTTCAGGAGCAAGGTGAAGCGAAGAGATGAGCACGCGGCAGGTGAGGGGTTCCGGGAAATCATTAAGAGTCACAGTGTATGAAGGCGCTTGGGTGGTCTGTTCCGAGCGGTCTGATGGCGCGTCAAGAGAGGGTATTGGCGTAATGCTTCCAATAGATCGGCCAAGAACGTAGACACCACCATGAACTGCGGCTGTTCTACAAAAGCCTTGAGCGATTTCGCCAGCTCCACCGTACTGACCAATGATAAACGATGAGGGACCATAGCGACCATGAGAACGCAAGTATCGACGGATGCGGATGAGGGCATTCTCCGTAGGATCTATTGATTGTGGTGAATTACAGGGGGTACCGGCGAAAGACGCGAGACAGACCAGATGGATAGAAGCAGTAGGCCAAGGCGAAACAAATGACGGTGTTCATGGCGTTGCTGAGTGAGAAAGTGGACTCGAGAAACTGGCTGAAAGGTAGGTCCTTCTTCCCCCAAAGCTCAGATTTTTCCTCGAATTCACTCGCTGCAAACATCAGGAATCGCATCACTCGGCGTTTCTCCAGAAGGGTGATCTCAGTGTTCTTGAATATGTCCTCTTTGGAGCCAGGAACATTGTGAAGCTTTCCTGAGGAATATATGCTGATATTCTGGAGCAGCTTGAATCCCCCGTACTTGGCAACGCCTGAAGCGACCAAGGAGGTAATATGCGGCCCTACAGATGGAATGACAGCAGGTGAGAGCGATATCGAATATCGCCGGCCATCGGCGATGCTCTTGGATGAGTACGAGATCGACCTGTACCTCCCTGGCGACTGGGTGTTGTTCTGCTCGTCGGCCCACTGAGTCAGTTCGTCCAGCGAGAGACTGGCATTCTCGGCGCCGTAATATGGATTTGTGTCGATCTGAGCGACCTTGACGCCTGCTTTTGCGAGGGCCCTGGAGTAGAGACAGTAAGAGGTACATACGCTGTAATCTGGCCTTTGATGGCTCACGCAGCGGTGATGGACTCTGTCAGGCCTGTCCCGAGCAGAATCACATCGAATTCGTCCTCTGAAGCTGAAGCCATGATACAGCACTTAGGCGCCGGGCTGCACGGACAGGCGCTTGTGTCTAAAGCCCTGCCCTAAACTGCAATATGCAGGCAATCGAAATTTTTTGAGATACAGTCACGGGATTATCTTGTTCTGCTCCTGTCGCTCATCTCTTCATCGTCTTCGAAATGGCAAAATCAGACAAGAAAGCCGTCAAGGTCGACAAGAAGGTTGAGAAGGCCGACAAGAAGGCAAAATCTGCCGACTCGAAGCCAAAAGCTGAGAAGCCAGCCAAAGCTGCGACACCAAATAAGCCTTTGTCGACAAAAGAGATTTTGTCCAAGGTCGTGAGTGTCGCTCTCTTTTTCCTGACTGATCACGACTCTCAACTGCCTCTAGAATGGCGCTAAAAAGGCTGATAAGAAAAAGGCCGACGCCCTAGCCCCATCGAAATCGAACGGCAAAGTAAGCTTCATAAATATATCCTAAGAAGTGATATGTCCTGACTGTTTTCCGTGTTTGATTAGGCTAAGGAGCCCTCATCTGATGAGGACAGCGAAAGCAACTCTGAAGACGAGAAGCCAAAGGCTGCTCAGATCCAAGCTGCCAAGGCAGCTGAATCTTCGTCTGATAGCGACTCCGATTCGGACGACGACGCACCCGCCCCTCCACCCAAAAAGGCTGCTGTCTCAAAACCTGCCAAGGCCACTCCAGCCAAAGCTATTCCCGCAAAGGCTGCTGCTCAAGCCAAGAAGGCAGACTCTTCCTCCTCCTCAGAGTCTGATTCCGAGTCCGAGTCCGACAAAAAGCCTGCTCCTACCACCAAGGCTGTTAAATCAAAAGCCCCCAAACCTGTAGCTGCGAAGGCTGCCAAAGCACCATCGTCAGAGGACTCGTCGGACGATTCATCATCAGAGGACGAGGCACCAGCGAAACCTACACCTGCAAAACTCGCCGCCACTAAGGCACCGGTACCTTCGTCATCTTCAGACTCAGACTCATCGGATGAGGAAGAAACAAAGCCTACCCCTGCCAAAAAGACTGCACCGAAGGCTACGGCTGCTAAAAAAGACTCCAGCGACTCTGATTCCGACTCTTCCTCAGAAGATGAACCAGCCAAGTCAACGACTGCGGTCAAGGCGAAGCCGTCAGACTCTTCAGACGAAAGTTCTGACGATGACTCGGACGTGGAGATGGGCGATTCTACAAAGGCAAAACCTGCCGTTGTTACAAACGGTAAGCGCGCTTCCTCTCCGCCTCCTTCATATTACTAACAGCCCTATAGGCAAGCGAAAGGCCGACGACGAGGCCGCTGCCCCTCCCAAAAAGATAAAGATGGCCAATGGTGATGCAGCCCCAGCTGGAGACGCTGAGGGCGAGACGAAGACGGTCTTCGTCGGCCAGCTCTCATGGGGTATTGATGATGATCAGCTCGCCGAGGCGTTCGCCGAATGCGGCGAGATCATCAGTGCCACCGTGCAGAGAGACCGCAATACCGGGCACTCGCGTGGATTTGGCTATGTCCACTTCGCTGATGCCAGTGCAGTGGAGAAGGCTCTTGCCTTGCACAACACGGAGCTCGACGGGCGCGCTATTAAAGTCGATAAGAGCCAGGAGCTTGACAAGTCGAAGCAGCGCGAGAACCGAGCGAAGGCGTTTGGTGATTCCGCCAGCCCTCCGTCGCAAACGTTGTTCGTGGGCAACTTGAGCTTCGGTGTCTCAGAGGATTCGTTGTGGGAGTTCTTCGCAGAGTATGCCTCCGTGAAGAACGTTAGGCTGCCTACAGACCGGGAGACAGGGAAGGCCAAGGGCTTCGGATATGTGGAATTCGACGACGTTGAGTCGGCGACGAAGGCATACGAGGGGGCAAATGGGCAGGAGATCGAGGGTCGTAGCATAAGACTCGACTACTCGCAACCCAGGGATAACAGCGGTGGCGGCGGCTTTCGTGGCGGTCGTGGTGGCGGACGTGGCGGATTCGGAGGCGACCGTGGGGGACGTGGTGGAGGACGTGGTGGTCGTGGTGGGTTTGGCGATCGAGGAGGACGCGGCGGCCGTGGCGGGTTCAGTGGACGTGGTGGATTCGGTGGCGGTGACCGTGGCTTTGGAGACCGCGGCCGTGGGCGGGGACGAGGCGGTCCTCCCCGTGGTGGTGCCCGCACTGGTGGCATCGCTTCGTTTGAAGGCAAAAAGATCACCTTCGACTAACTGTGCATCTATGTTTGTATGTTCTGCCTACTTGCATCTTTATCCTTCATGTCATTATCTACCTGCTTTGATCTAACTAGCTCACGATGTCGTCTTACTCAATATTGGTGTTCATTACATCGCGATTATTATTATTGCATCATGATCAGCTATACGTTACGATCATAAGAAAACAACAAGAAAGTAAACACATTAACATTATAGACAATCGAGCAGCAATTGGGGAGACGGAAATCAAGACGTGGGGATTTTGCCTTCAGCAATGGCTTTGCGGATCGGATTCTGACTTGGAGGAAGGGCGCCAGTCCTCTCCAACCTATCGAACAGAATAAACAACTTCTCAGCCTCGCGCTCCTTCTCCTCGTCGGTCATCTCAGGTACTTCCACCTTCTGTACTTCAGTGCCCGTGATGGGGTTGAGCTCCGCGCCGCCAGAAGCAAAGATGGGGGAGTCGGACGTCGTAGAGGTGTTCGCAGGTGGGGCGTTCATGATTCCCTTGTTGAAGAGGAACCCAGCGACGTTACCGTACCCAACAAGTGCAGAAAGTGTCGTAGCTACGAAAAGGGTGTCGTCAATATACGCTACTTACGATCAAGTCAAATAAAGCATTACCATCAGAATCGCACATGGCGAACAGCATCTCCCCAACACTACTCTTCAACCGATCGTGGTACACACACGCCAAAAGCCTCAAGCACCGCCCCAGAATGTCGCTCCTCGACTCCAACGGCGACTTGCGGTCCAAATCAGGCGGCACAATCAAATTCCTCACCCTCGTCCTGCAGCTTTCGTCCGCTAGACACATCCGTGTCACGAGCACCACAAGCGGGCCAATGAGCTCATCCAGCGTTGTATCGCCCCCGCACTCGTCCGTGCACCTGTCTTTGACCGACTGATCGTCTGGGTCAATATTCCCCGGGAAGAAATGCGCAAGCGATACATCGAGTAAATCATACGCGCGCAATACTGTGTCAAATTTCGACGGCGAATTCAGCGGCGACGGCGTTCGCGTAAGCGACCGCGCACCCGCCGACAGCGCGTTAAAGGCACGTTCCAGAGTGCTGTGCTTCGGGACCGAGCTGGGCGAGGTTGGGGAGTTCGAGCCGCTGCTAGAGCTAGACGGTGCCGCGTTCGCGGATTGATTGCCTTGATTGCCCTGAGACCTCGCTAAGCTCGCCGAGCGCGAGCTTCGGGAACTAGACGTGCGGGCTCGGGGAGCGCCCCCGAACCATACTTGCTTTAATGAGGGTGTTATGGGGATAGTGATGAGTCCGTGAATGGCATGTGTTAGGGGCGCTGCAAGAGGAGACGGATGAGTCGGCGGGAGGGTGTTGAAGATACGCAGAAGGGGTGGGAGGAGGCTAGTGATGGGTTATTTGCATGAGGACGGAGAAGGGAGGCTGGAACGCACCCCTCTAGCTTAGGACTCCAATAGTCGCCCATAACTTTGTCATCGTCCTCTTCGCTTTGGTCCTTATCTGTTACAGGTCCTTTCCCCTTGAGGTCCTGGGGTTCGCACTCAACTAGCTGCAGGTCCCCATGGGTTAAGATGACACAGAAGCTAAAACAATCAAGCACTCACTTTCGGATAATGCAGGAGCAGATTGAAGGTGAACTTTAGCAAGTCCACCATGGCCTCCTTCGCCATTTTCGTACTGGACAATATTGCTGCGATCAGGATATCCAGTTTAGCCGCTATTGTGTCCACGATATGTTTTTCCTCCACCAGGGAGCAAATATAGGCACCTGCATCAAATGACGATACCGTAGTTAGGAATAGAAGGCGAGAAGCGAGGAACAGGCGATCAGGAGACGTGGACTTCTGCAAGCAAGCTTAGAACGAAAGCTTGAGATGAGATAGCGCGAGCACGCACTTCGAGCAGCTTTACGGAAGCGTCGCCGCCGCCGACTTCCTTGGTCGTCCAAGTCGATCTCGCGGAGTCGATGAGCAACATCGCGTTCGCAATACATCGCAGGGCTTCATTGGAGGCCTCAGGGTAGTCCTTGAACGGCGTACAAGTCGACAACGTAAGCAGTGTCGATAAATTGGCAGGCTGTGCAATAACAGCAGAGCCTGAAGGGTGTTTTCCTAACGTCTTGAGTGCCAGGAGGGCTCGCGGGGCATCTACAAGCTCGTTAACGTGATGCGGCGGTGGCGAAAATGAACTGGGCAAGCCTTCAGGGAAAAGCCTGCCGTTACGGGTGTTCCTGGAAGCATCTTCCAAGTCCTTCAATAAATTGGAGATCAAGTCGCGGCGTTCAGCCTCGCTGATCAGGAATGCTTGGGGAGCGTTAGTGGTGGAGAAAGGAAAAAAGAAAGTCGCGCTCGCCGTTTGTGATGTCGTCGAGGACGGCGGCGACGTGTGGGCGCTGGGAGGAAGAGCTGAGTGGGAGATAGGCTGAGAGAGCCATCATGGATCAGACAGGATCGTCTCTTCCCTTGGCCTATATTGGCATCGACGCATCAGATAAGATAAGATCTCGCCCCATCCAGCAAAAATGACCACCGCAGGACTCGAACCTGCAACCTTTTGGTGCCGTCAGCAATCGAAGCCAAACGCGCTACCATTGCGCTAGGTAGCCTTGCAGTGGAGGCCCACGTTGCTGTACAGGACCAGTTCAAAGCCAAATAGACCAGGACGCCAGTCGTCGGCGTGTTCCTTCACCATGGACCTTCTGACCGACTGGGCGCCGACTCTTGCCCTCGTCTTTGGTGGTTGTTGCAGGTACCCTCTAGCTCTTTCGTGATTCCGCTCGCTCACGTCCAGCTCAGCAATGCCATTACCCTCGAGCAGGTCACCTCTGCGACCCCTACGGCGGGCTCAGTCATAACCCTTCTACAGTTCGTGCTTATCACCCTGCACGGTCTACCGAGCCACTTGAACTGGACCCCGTATGGCCCACGACTCAAGCCCCGAGCGATTGGCCTGCCGCCGTACATCGCCCAGGTCTTCCTCTTCTACTCGATCTCCCTCATCAACAATGCGGCGTTTGCGTACAAAATCCCCATGGCCGTCCATATCATATTTCGAAGCGGAGGACTGATTGTCAGCATGTTGATGGGCTGGTTGATCTCTGGCAAGCGGTGAGTGGCTTTTAACTCTGTGCTGCAGTGTGTCTGGACTATCTTTGTAGGTATACACCCATTCAAGTCTTCTCTGTAATCTTGGTTTCCCTCGGAGTCATTCTGACAACCCTGTCTGCATCCCCGGCGTCTCAGAAAGTCTCTGTCTCTGAAGCATCTGCGGACTTGCGTACATATTTGACCGGTATAGCACTATTATCTGCGGCCCTCCTCCTTTCTGGATTCCTCGGTCTGGTTCAAGAATGGGCCTACGCTAGGCATTCCAACAACGCCAAGAAGGCAGACTCTTCAGCAACATGGAAAGAAGCCATGTTCTATCTGCACTTCTTATCCCTCCCAATGTTTATCTTCCTCCGCAACGATCTCTCCGCCCAATTCACTGCCATTCACTGCTTGGCCCAGAAATCACCCCTCGTTCCCCTCGTTCCCTTTACCCCATTCACTCCTGTGATCCCCTCTATCTACCTAGCCCTAGCCATAAACACCATCACCCAAGTCATCTGCGTCGCCGGCGTCAACCGCCTCACCACGCGCGTGAACGCCCTCACCGTTACCCTCATCCTCGTCGTGCGCAAAGCCGTCAGCCTAATCATCAGCGTCCTCGGCGCGCAGCTCATTCACTCTCACTCGGGAGGCAAGGTGGTGAATGTAGATGGGGTCAAGATGTGGAGCGGCGCGCTGCTGGTCATGCTCGGGACTATCGGATACTCTGTTGGAAGTCGGAAGACGAAGGCAAAGGCGGGCAAGGACAAGTCAGAGTAGACGGTAGCCGTAGACTCGTGAAGAGACGGTGTAATTTTTCTTGTGCTGTTATAATAATGACCTGTATTCTAATCTATATGCTCAGGATATTTGACTGGGGGCTTGAGAACTCTCAACGTGTATCTGGTCCTCAGTAAGACCCCTGGAAAAAGTAACAACTCTGTAAACCGTCCAGGGTCTAGGCTGCTTTACGTCCTGGATGAACGCCCACGTGGATGCGCTGTGTGCACGTATTTGGCTTTTGGCGGCTGGATATATATATATAGGAGAGGGGCAGCGCAGATCGCTCTCTTCCTCCCTCCCTCTCTCCCTCCCATTCCTCATTTCTAACCCCTTGAAGGGTACTACACGCAAAAACCGCCATTCTCATAACTTCCTATCCACCCCATATCATCTATTTCATCATGCCTTCATCTGCTGCTAGGCGTCATCCCGCGTCTCTGTGTCCCATAAGCTCCCATAATCCACGGCTGGTTCAGCTCATGAGCAAGCGCGTATCGCTGGACATGATCAAGCATATTTCTCAGCAAGCTGCCAGTGTTATCCGCATCGATGGCGAGTCGCCCAACCCGTCTCCGTCGACTAGTCTGCCATCTCCACCTCAAACCCCAGTGAAGGAGGATTCTGCAACAGCGCTTGGGCTCCCGACTCTGGACGACTTCATTATTAGGTTAGTAAAGGCGTCTAACGTGCAGGTCTCGACTCTTCTGTCGACCTTGGTGTTCTTGGAGCGGCTTCGATCAAAGCTGCCACCGATGGCTAAAGGTCAGATCCGCACCCGCCTTGTATAGTTCGTATCCTGTATGCTGAACCCGGCGTAGGTATGCCTTGTACACGGCACCGAGTCTTTCTGGCTACGCTTATTGTCACCGCCAAGTATCTGAACGACTCTTCACCCAAGAACAAGCATTGGGCGGCGTACGCTGGAGTCTTCCAACTCGACGAGATCAACCTCATGGAAAAACAGCTCCTCTTCCTCCTGGACTACGATCTGCGGTTCTCAGAAGAAGACGCATGCACCCACTTTGCGCCCTTCATGGCTGCCTCATCTACAATCGTCGACGCCAAGGCTCGCGCGAGCGCCGTGGATAAAGTTTCTCGGGCCAGCAAAGTTCGCGCACAGGCTCAAGTTGCTGCTCTTCCTACGCCTGCCTCGGAAGTTCCTCTACCTGCGCCTACCCCTAGTTCTGGAAAGCCAACGATCAGTACCGTCAAGCTGTCCACCAACTCCAATTTACGGCCGCCTTCGCTTGTTCACAGCTCTCATAGCAGCCTCAGCAGCCGAAGTTCTGGTGCTGGATCTCTCATCGACGACTCTGGATCCTCTTCCTCCTCGTCTGGTTGGCTCAGCAGCGAGGATGAGTGCTCTGACGTGGAAACTGTTGATACTGAATACGAAGTCGGTTCGGTTCACTTTGAAGAGCAACAAGGTATCAAACCTTTTGTCGTGGCTCGCCCCATCCCCCGATATGGATCAAAGAACCATACGTATCAGCAAATTTCGGAGTGCCGTCTGCGCAAGCCATCTGACACGGGATCCGTTATGACCGTCACAAACTCTCCAGCAACTAACAGGGGAACTCGATCTAAACGGGCTACCTCTATCTCTGGTGTTCTCGGCGAGCGCAAGTCCTTCGCAAGCTTGACGACAAGTACCACGCTCCCCAGTCTTCCTCGAGGCACGTCTGGAGGGTTCCTTAGTCGCATGTGGGGCGCTGCAAAGGGACAAGAAAGCAAGGCGCACCCCGCCGACGCCGCCTTGTCGGGACAAACTCACGGACATGTGCAGAGCACGTTTCGCCGACTTGTGACTTCTAATTCTCGCCCGAGAATTTTCGCATCGGCAAACCAGATCATTGATGTTTAGGGCCTTGAATAGGGATTGTCGAAATAACGGGCTGGACACCTCCTCGCATCCCAATCGGATAATTTCGTTTCTTCATTTCATACTTTTCCTGACCTCCATTCTATTCAACAGTATATCTTTTGAAAACCACCTTCGTTATTTTTCTTTCCTATTATTCACACAGATGCTAGTCATTATCTTCGACCGCCATCTTGCTTCTTTTGATACCCATTGCACAAACTATTACCCATGCATTTACTGCCATCACAGCCTATTAATTACTACGATACGATATCGACATGTAATGGGCGAATATAATACGCTTCATGTCTCATTCAAGAAGGCCCAATTATCAGTCTAGTAGAGAACGTAGCCAATCGACCCCGTCCCCAATCCGCAATATAGAGGGCTCGTTTACATGATTTGAAACATTGTACATGAATGGCGAATGGCGGACGCATAGTCATTGCGTGAGATGAAACGGTACAAAGAAAGCATGAAGAAACATAGTAGTACATGGAGAAAACATGGGTTCGATGAGAGAACGGCGAAATCAGGCTCCCCAAAATGCGCAGCGACGGTGCGCTCCTTCCATCCCGACTGCTATCGCATCGTTTACGCGCTGGGACGAAGCCTCTCCTTCAAGGCCTTCAATTCCTCCTCGAGCGCCTCCCGCTTTTGTAATTCGTTCTCGTATCGGTTCTCCCACTTCTTCGCCTGTTGCTGCCACTCGGCCTTGTCTTCCGCGTACCGAGTCTCCCACTTCTCCTTGTCCTGCTTGTAGTCGGCCTTATCTTGTCTGTACCCATCTGCGAGTTGTTCCAGTCTCTGCTCAACTTTCGCCCATGTTGCCCTCTCCTCCGCCCAAGTCGCCTTTCTTTCCTCCCAATCCGCCTTCCTTTCTTCCCATATCCGCTCTAAACCCTGCTTTTCAGCTAAGGCGCCCTGAGATTGCTGATAGAGCCGCGAGAATTCCACTTTCTCTGCTGTCTCCGCTTTCAATTGCTCTCGCAACTCTCTGATCTGTTTGGCCGAATCGATGGCGAGAGACTCCACTCGACCCAAGAAAACATCCGTGCTAGATGAGGAAAGTGAACGATGGCGGGGGCGGTTATGCGATACCTGACGCGAGCGGTCGGGAGAGTGTGAATCAGCGGATGTCTCAGATGGTGTTTTATGCAGATACCGAGAAAAATCTGGAGAGCTTTCGACGCTTTCGGTAGCCTGCTTGATGACCACGGAAAGGTCGAGGTTGTAGGCCTCGAGCTCTTCGGTGAATACGGCATTGTCCTTCTCCAACATCTCCGCGAGTGTGGACGCGATCTTGTCCCTATTGTCGGTCGACTCCGAGGACATCAACTTCTCCACTTGCTCGTTGACCTCGGGTAAGTTCAGCCTCTCTTTGACTGCAGTCAAAGCCACCGCGTTGAATCCACCGGCGTTCTTCTTGGACGCTCTTGCCTGCGTCAATTTCTGCAAGATGTTGCGGCCAACCTCCAAGGACGCGTTCACGCGAGCTGGGGTAGACGTAGCCACGGGACGTCCCTTAGTAGGCTTGGTGCTAACAAGCTCTGAGACCTGGCGCCCTTCATCCCCTGCCGATGACGAGCGAAGAGAGCTGGAAGAAGTACGAGCCATGACAGAGGTCATTCGTTTGCGAGATCGTTTAGCTGAATTGCTGAAGAGATGGGGGTACTGATACTGAAGAAAGACGGGAGCAGGTCCATTTAATGTAGATTCCAGAACAGGGACCGAAGGGGGGGATCCTGCGCGTGTAGGCCGCATTCCCAAGTCAGTTTGATTATCGATAGTATGATAATCCGATGGTGAGTCACTTTGCGCAGAACTCCTGGAACACTGGAACGTTTAGAGGTTCAAAATGTCGTCGAAACGAGGCGGTAAGTGGCTGTGTAGTTGTGGGTCCATCATTGTTATCAAGATTATCACTTTTGCCTAGGCGCCTATTTTGCCTCGTTTCGTCTTGTTTCTTGTTGTGGTGTACGACGGTAAGTATTGCCCAACAGCTGGATAAAAGGCAGCATTTGCACCACAGACAACAAATCAACGAGATGAAAGATTCCAAACCTATCAAGAACTACAGAATAGGTACGCAGCAAGAAACTGGAATATACAATTGGGACTCAGGACGAGCCTTCTGAGAATCTGACGCCTCGGCCCTCAATGGGAGCCTGGACATCCAAGCTCACCATGGCTCTGACGTGAGCAAATACTGAGCAAGGCAATTAGACATGTTTTTAAAGGATAGTATGATAGTCACTTACTTTCTGTGCAGTCAAGCCCTTGCGAAGGTCATCATTGGTTTTGTCTTTCTCAGTGCGCAGTTGAAAGTTTCCTCCTTAAGTTGGTCGATTTCAGCCTTCAGCTTTCGTTCAGAGCTCACTTGCGACTTCTTAAGGCCATCAACTGCAGGTTGCGATGAAAACGGTGAGCCAACGTTGAATTGCAGCTAGTGGATGATGAACGACCTACATTGCTACTGATACGTCAATCGCTTGAGCTGCAACCAACGCCTTGATTTTCTTCCCCACTGTGAGGTACCCGGTGTGTGAAGAGTGGCTAGAAGATATATGAGAAAATTCAAAACATACATTCTGAGATGTATCTCCGAGTGGCCGTTTGCTCCCGTACGTATGTTTCTTTGTCTAGCGCAGAGTCCATGAGCAAGGGCGACGATATGACATTGTGGTATGGGCAGCTAGCTGCACACGTACATAAAGTTATACTACAGTACACAAAGCTAATAATATTGTCTTACCTGTCACCAGGCTGCGTAATCGTTTATGGGAGCTTGCAGTCTCTGTTATGGGTGTCCCGCAGTCGCCGTCATCCTCATCTATATTACAGTAAGAAAGATAGGTAAGCACAAAATATCTATCTAATAGAACATGTACTTGCTTGCGCTTCAGCGACGACTTGCCCGAGGCCGACAGCATCGCTGCTACTGCTGCCTCATCGTTCGGATTGTGGGGGAGAAATCATAGCTTCTTGTTGGCGACATATTGTTGTTGGCTAGAATCTTTCGTCCGTACCAGTATGGGCCAACGGAGGCGCTCGAGCTAGACCGAAACCATGGATAACGATCCTGGAGCAACGGATGCTCAACTGGAGTGCTGGGGCCTATGTCCGTCGACCACTTGCGAATCCATGTTCTCTCCTCTGAGTAGGGTTGTGTCCCCTGGCAGACCCAGACGTCAAGGTCTTCTGTCATATAAACGTCGCCGGCATATCCCACGTCGTTTGGGGGATCGCCGACACCTCGGAAGTCATAGAAGTAGACATAGCTGTCATTATGAGGATCGGACCTGTAAGGCCATTCCTTGCTCAATCGTCTCATCCTTCGACTTCCGCCTTCAAATCGTCGGAGGGTCCAACAGAGATCGGACTGGATGGCTGAATCTGGCGACAAACCATCGAGCCAGGGATTTTCTTATCAAGATCATGATCGTAATTTTGGAGCTTCGTTCGAACTACAGAAGTCCTCGGTAACGGCTTCGACGGAGGGTTTCGACTTTCTCGACGATCACTAATACGTTCGGTGCACATGAGGGTGCAGTTGTATAGGGCGGAGAGTGCGACTTGCAGTGGTAGAAATGAATAATTAAGCTCAAGCTCAAGCGCAAGATGGGTGCCTACTAAGGATGGAAATCAAGTTACACGGTTCCGTCATTTCGGACACTAGATAACTTACATAGATACCGCATTCAAATGCAGTACCTGCACGCACGATGGGGCTTTTCCGGACGAAAGCAACATCGGTACTATCAGTCCAGACTTCGGGAAGGTCAACCTTCACTTTGGCAATAGATGACGCACCAAGTTAATAACATCAACGGTGGCAAGCGAAATTGCAGAGGAATCACAGAGAAGCTTTATGCCCGACTTGCGCCGTATACTCAGTAAGTAGAGTCGATGGAGACCAATAATAGTATATAAGTAAATGCACCCAGCAACAAGTGAAGCGACGGAACTACTCTACGCCCATTGCAATGTTCCAAGTCTTGTGTAACAGTTGCTCAACGGGGTCTGAGGAGCCCTCAAAACGGGAAAGGGAGATCGTGTAGAGCGTCGTGGAGTAGTTGCGAAGGTACGGCGAGTACTGAGAAAACCATATGTGAGTTGAGGGCTCACGACAAAGGACAAATGTTCTATAGTAAGCTTACCATTCTGCAGAAGTTGCGGTACCACCCCCATGTCTCCCATGCACTCCATTGTTCACTATTCCACGTCTCCCTATTCTCCCATTCAGATGCCGAAACGACTTGCTGGACTTGTACTCTCTGATCGGGATTGGTAAGCGCCCCGACGAAGCCCTCAAGAGTGCACGACAGCGCGGCCTTTTGTTCACGAGTGAGGGTGGCGAATGCTTTCAGTGCTGCTGTTAATTGAGGATTTTCGGAGGTTGGTAGCTCATCTATAGCAGGTCATGAGTCGTGTGTATGTATTTGTAGGAGATGAGAACGTTGCGTACCAGCTTTACCATCCGCATCGACTTCCATCGTCTCTCCAACGCGAGCATTAGCCCGCGCTCGCGTTTCATCGTCTTCCTTGCGCAGAGCAGTCACTTTGCGCCTCGCGATCATCACTCGTCCGTTGGCCTTATCCAACGCTCCTTTCACTAGATCCCATTCATACATACTCATATACTTCGACGTGTGTTGGTTCCTATCGGAGACAGCACCCCCGTTCGCAAATGTCCACGTTATCACATCCGTAGGATCCACTATCTGATACTGCATGAGCTTGTCGAACACAATCCCCACCAGCTGCCCGTTCTGCCTCCAAAATGTTGCAGCGGCGGTGAGGATATCAGTTTTGGCCTCGGCATTGCCACTACCGCCGGTGCTGCTGACTCCGGCGCTGGCGATGTGACGGAGGAGGGGGAGGTAACGTTCAATGGCGTTGAGGAGATGGGAGAAGGAGCGAGCACCGATATGGAGGAGGGATTGGACGACGATGGAACGGACGACGCTGTCTACGTGCTCGGTGTCGGAAGACTCTAACGAGGACTTGAGAGTCTCCAGCTCTGCAATCACATCGTCTGGTTTGGCCCTACCTCGGAGAAGGTTGAGCACCGACTGCGCTGCATCATGGTGTACGTGATCTGCGTAAGGAATGAGCATCGAGCTGTCAAGAACCACAAAGGATGATTGTGGAGGGACGTACCTGCTTCATCGTACTCGAAGTTTGGGCCCGGGGGTTGCTCTGAGATGGTCAATGAAGCTGGGTCTTGCATTTCCGGTGGAAGCGTCTTATGGATGCGCTCATGGTAGGCCAACCGTATCTCGAATTCGATCGCACGTCGCATGTATGTACGACGAGGATGTTGCGGGTCAAGAGATAAATCCGGTATCCTGTACACTAATGCATCAGAACCCCTGAGGAAAAATAGGGTAGAAAGCCCATTACCATTCCTTCCACACCCATTGGAAGCCGAAGTTGCTCATATGCACGGCGAACCACTCTGCAAAGCGGCGCGCGACGTCGACGTCGAGGCCCTCTGCAAGGTTCGTGTATAACTTGCGAATGGATTTGCCAACGGCGGGGCCGACCGTCGGTGGCGACAACTTACACAGTTCGGTGATTAACCCGAAGTAGTATAGCGATTTATGAGAGGATTCGGGGAGGACTAGCAGCGAGCCCAGGATGACCTAATGACAAACGAAAACGACACACGCGTTAGTGTTGCTTACAACATAGCAAAGAGGCAAAGAAAGAGAAAGTGAGCGTACCTCAATGATGGTGCTTTCTAGCTGCCAGTTGGGGCCCGGTGTGGGGTCTTCAGCTGCAGGTGCACCTGGCCTAGGCTTGAACACGCCAGGCGACGTCCACTTCGGCAGCTCCAACAGTAGACGAGCGCATTCTTTCCGATTCACCTCGAAAATATCAACCACGTCTACTATCGTAGAACGCGTGGCGTAACCTAGAGGCGTCTTGGGACTTGGCGATATCTACGAAGCATACTCAATTCCGAATTCCGAAGGGTCACGATGATAGGAGAGACGTGTAGAAAGGCGTACTTCATCATCGAATAGACGAATGTAATATTCGGGCCATTCCTGCTTTTGTACCTGCACATCTTCACCGTCATCGTTAGTGAGCCCATCCAACTCGATGACTTCCGGTGGAACAAGAACAGAAGGGAGATCGAATTGAGGGTGCTCCGCAGAGTCGAGGGCGGGGAAAGACGCATAGGACTGAGGATAAGTATTATTGGTCTCGGTAAAGTCAGAATCATCAAGGGCTTTTAATGCCAATAAGAGGGAATCGAGGAGCTACAAATTCATAGTAACGATAAGTCAATGAAGAGGGAGCCGGTTTAGACGGAGACATACCTCATCAACGTTGTTGAAATTTGACTCGGTCGAGTGCAAATGGACGAGGGGTAAGACGATCCATCGGGAGGTCATGGTAGTGTCGTTATATGTCTGAATGGCGGTCATGATATCCGTGACTTTCGACGAGGACGTTTGCTTGAGTACTTGACCAGCCTGAAGAGATTACGCTCGTCTAAGCCCCAAACTAGACTAGAAGTAATGTGTTGCTCACAATCATTAACCCTTCAGCAGCGCACAGCGCCGCCTGCTTTGCCCGCCCATGGGATACACCGAACTCGTCCAAGACAGCCGTGAAGGATTGCAGAAGCCCGAACATAGAATCTGCAGATATGATTCCTGCAACGGTAAGGTGGGCGAAGAAATGTATCTGGGGGAATGGTGTCAATTGGAATGTCCAAGGTATGACTGTGCAACACGCACGCAAAGCCGAGTGTCCCTCCATGACAATTTGTCGAGGTATGCTTGAAAGCCCTTCCAGAAGTCTTCAAGAATTTGACGAGCTAATGGTGGTGCACCAGGCGGTCCCTCGACGTCGCTCGGGTCGTACAGACTCCTCAGCAGAGCGACATAGGACGGAATTTTGTATGGTTGTTCAGTTACACTGGGGGCAAGTTAGGTTCTTGTAGCCTCTCTCATACGTTGAGACTCGCCCTATTCTGAACGCCTCTGAAATGCTTGAAGGCAGAACCACTGTCGATTCGGCATGAATCTGCTTCACCAGACCCGAGAGCTCTTCGACCGCATCCTGACGCAAGGGTTAGCCTTTAAACATTGCCAGCAACAGCGCCGAGCTCACCACTTCTCCGAATTTGAGAATTGCAGACTTGAGTCGCTGCTCAGGAGATTCAACGGCATCCCTTCGGTTATTGTCCCAGTCGTCTGAAGTAAGAGAGAGAGATTCGGAATGCGCCACATTTTTAAACGGAATCTCGGACATTCGTACCTCTGTTTCGTCTGCGGCCTCCACGGTACGGGCGGTTTTGGTTGTAGCTCATGTCACCAAGAGAGAAATTCCACTTCAACAACAAAATATTTCAACGAAACAGGGCTTCGACGTAAAAGTTCAAAGTTGGACTCACTACAAAACCAGTACCAACGCCGAGGGGTGATATATACACTGACCGTGGGATAGTCTGATTGACCGTGAGATAGACAAAATTACTGATGATCGTTGTCCTCCGATAATTTCCAACTTGAACGCATACTACATCCGCCAGACTCTGAGCCAAGCGTTCCGACAGCTTCGCCGGGCTTCGTGCGTTGCGGCTCTTTTGTTTTTTACTGAAATTACGGCCACTAATCAATGTGCACAGTAATGCCCTGCCCATGCAATGCAATGTCCGAAAGGCTGCTAGTTTCTTCTCTAACCAGCTCTTCGTTTCTTCTCCACGTCAATCCATCCTTAGGAATCTCGCAACGGCTACTGCGCAACACGCGCCAATAGACGAGGCGCCATGCATGTCCAGTCGCGACATCACGGGGACTCGTACAAGATCGGCTGCCGCGCTTTCTCGAGCTGCATGTCAAGCAATTCGCGTTTCCTGCAATACGGGCCGTCTGCAGGACGCTTTTCATATTTTAAACTCTATCCGTTTCAATAAGGCTGCCGCGGGCAAGGAGCCGAGTCCCCCTGGGGTTGGAAAGTTCGAGCCAATTCACTTCGACAGGCCGGTCGATCCTCGACCAGCTTCGCATGCGCTGCTACATGGGCTAATCAGGCAAGGACTTTCGCAGAAGGCAAGCCAGATGGCTACGCTCATGATACAAGATGGCATGAAGCTGCGGAGCGTTACGCTCGACGCCCTTACAACTGCTCTTTGCGCGGAGGCTTCGGCCTCGAGAGGTATTCGAACCCTGCCATCCAGACTTCGGCAAGGCACTCTTCCTTATGTTCACCCTCTTGTCCTCAACTCCGCAGCACTCCGAAACGGGTGCCTGAGCGAGGCACTTCGATTAATGCAAAAAGCGGAGCAGTACCGCCAACGACGTTCGTCCAACATGTTCGAGCGGCTTATCGAAGCTTGTCTTCTCCAAGGCGAGATACTAGTCGGTTCTTTGCTTTTTGTGTTGCTGGTAAAAGACTGGGAACGCCGTCGGAGTGTGGCGCTTCGATTGGCTTCTGCGCAATCACAAGAACACGAACTCCCAGAGGACCTAGTCGCAGAGCATATCCTCATGCATTCAGAAAACCTTACACCAACACCAAGATTGCTCAACAGAATCATGCGCTCTATCGACTCAACGCTATCTCAGGAATGCGTTGACTCAGAGACTATCCAACCCGCGTTACAGGCCCTTGCCAATATCACGAACCTGCTAGACGATCGCCGATTACCTCTCACCAATATTTCATCCCTTATCCGTTCTTTGTATCGATGCCCGCGTGTTGACGACTTAATATGGATTCCTGACAGGAATGGCGGTCCACCGCGGCAAGTCAACGCCTACAAGTACTTCCACGCAACGCTAAAGCGCCTTATTTCGGATCTGCCAACTAGGCCCCTCAACACCATACGTTTCGACCCCAAGTCATCGATTCACCCCAAATTGCATGAATTAGCGGAGTACAAGACCGTGCTCCCGGCGCTGGACCTTCCTTCGTATAATGCCCTCCTTCATTATACACTCCGTCATCGTCTCAGCCCTGCCATGGCAGACCGAGTTTTACGCCACATGACGGAGCAGCGACACAAACCATTAGCCCCAGACATATCAACATACAACGTCATTATTCGATCCGGAACTCTTCTACGGAATAATTCGCTGGCTGAACGTGTTCTAGAGATGCTTCGACGCCAGAAGGGAAACACAGACCACGGCATCATGGTCAACGCTCCATGCTCTACCTATATCGCGAAGAAGGTCGCAAGTCGCAGACCTGCCACGAAAACACTTCGTTCGTCGCAGGACGAGCTTACGCTACCATCGATGTCGTCGCTTACCTCACTGCTGGCTAACGAACGTACCCTCTGCGCGTATATTCTTCACCTTGTTGCCACCGGGCGACCTGAAGCTGTTACGCAGATTCTGTTCCATGTTTTACCTGGATTAGCGGCCATAGATCACCCCGCCAGAGCCCTATCAGAGGCGAATACAACCCGTGCTGTTCCCCAGAAAGTACACGACGGAGCCGCCCTTGGTCCGTATTTCTTTACATGCATCCTACATGCCCTGCGCAAGGATGGTCGAACCGGGTTGGCTGAGCGTTTGTGGCTATATGCCAAGAAGGCGGAGAGGGCAAGTTGGGATACCGCGAAACCGTGGTGTCTTCCCACCGCTGCTTATACGATCATGATTCAGTGCTACGGCGACGAGGCCAAGCGAAGTGCGTCCCGAAGACACGTACGGAGTGCCGCAGAGTCCGCCGCGCAAGGGGAAAATTCGCTTCCTAGAAGGACTGACAAGGTTCTCGGCTGGGCGCGTTTTGCTCGCCGAGCGAGGGTGCACTACGAAAGCGACCGAGCAGCTATGGGTTTGCATATGGGTCTATTCCTTTTCAGATCCATGAAAGATGCTGCTGCGGGTGTTTATGAGCAGTTGATGAAGCTCCCGAGCAGCCCAGACGTCGTCCAGTTGCAAATGGAACATCCTCAGCCGGACGCCAGGCTCTTCAACGCCGCCCTTCGTTTATGCACCATACGGAGAAGTGGGCGAATGCGAGCGCGTTCCCCGACCCATTACCGACGACGCCATCGCTTCGCGACTTACTGGCTTGCTCGACTGGGTCATAAGCATCCTCAATGGACACCTGCGTTACAGGAGGTCTGCGAGGCGATGTCTAGTGCGGGCTATTCCGTTCCCGTTGGTTTGAGGTACATCCTTATTGGGAGATGGCCTGAAGAGAATGGATCTGTGGAATCAGGGCGACATATTGTTGATAGGCAGCCTTATGCATTTCCTCGACAACGTCGGCGTTGGCATCCACTTAGGTTGTATACCACAAAAACGAGGGGCTTGCCTCTTGGCCGCAAGGTTGTACAAATAGCGCGATAAGTAGGTAGATTGGACAATGTATATATTTTGATCCTAGAAGGACATGAGATACCCGAAGCCAGATTTCGATTTCGAGTAGAAAATCCACTATTGATCCCCTTCTTCGGGCTCAAGTTGGCCAGCTTCGCCGAGACCTTGGAAGTATATAGCGATCATGGTCTTTCGCGTCTCTCGTGGCTTCCACTCCTTAGCGACGTCAGAAAGCAGCGCGACAGTCTTGTCCGCGCGGTTCTGCATTTCTGTTGGTGATGGCAATTCATGGCCTGATTTTGGTGCGAACACCAAGTCCACCCTATACCCTTTCTCCAAATCACTGCGAACCTTCTTCAGCTTATGCTCCAGGTCCCCCAGCGCGACCCCCCATGTCAACTGCACCTCCTTCTGAATATTCCGCCGTTTCACTTCCTTCGCGCGTCGTTTTTGCTCCTTGCGTTTCTCGTACGCGGCTTTCTTCTCTATGATCTTCACTATAGGAGCCGGGTGTTCGGCCACGAGCTCGACGAACTGCGTCTTTCGGTCGATAGACGCGAGAAGCTCGGCAAGCGGACGAAGGGGTAGAAGGTGCTTAGTTGCTGGATCGACGAGCTGGACGAGTCTGTGCGGAATTTTATCGTCGCGTAGGATCTTGCTCTTGTCTTTGTCGGCCGAAGAGTCGTGGGCTGCTCGAACCAAGCGAGGAAGGGCAAGAAGTTGTCGGTCTAAGTGAAGTATTGGCCGTGGCCGAATGACGGTGCGGAGAACAACTTGCCGAAAGGCAGTAAATGTAGCCATGGTATCTGAAATGCAATATCTTGATTCTTAGATCTTTGTAGTTGAGTTGAAGAGGGAGCTGAGACCGTACAATATTCGGAAGAATTCCCACTGGCGGTTCGGAATCAAAGAGAGGCAAATAAGCGCGCGTATCTCAAGCCCAAAAGATTTCAGTATTTCTATTTGTACGAATATTATGTATAAGTGATTAGTTGAGGTTGTATGGATCTTCTAAGTTCTATATCTGTGCTACGAATTAGTCCGTCGGTCTCCTGCAGGAGGTTCTATTCCAAGCCGTTCACGTCGTTTTTCCTCTCGGTTTGAAGCGGTGGTCCTGAGGAGCCAGGCAATATTCTCATACACGACAAAGGTCACGCAAGTTCCGGGAAGAACCCGAACCAAGTTTGTACCTAGACCTCTATAGAATCCTCGAAGTCCTTCCTCGAGCCATGTGCGACGGATTGTAGCGGGTATCGTTGGGTATAGATGGGTGGTAGCATTATTCTGTTCCACACGTGAGGAACAATCATCAAAGATAGGATACAGCCGATTATGCCTACTTGTAACCGCGAACGGATGACTTGATATGGATATGTTATGGAAAGGGCTCCCAGCTTGCTGGCACCCGACATTATGGTGTAAGACGTGTTCGACTGTAGGCGTGGCGATATTCTCGTCATTGGGATTCCATCATACAAAATAAGGTAGACTGACCAATTTATCGTCGGCGGGGGTCATTGTTCGTCCCGAGTGTTGGAACTGTTTTCGTTTTCTATCGAAGCCCCATTTCTTCATCTTCTCATATGCCATAAACTGTATAGCACCGTTGCTGACACCAAAGAGAGCGAGGGAGGTTCCACGAAATAGCCCAGCTGTGCCTTCTGAATGATAGATGGAGGAAAGGCCGTCTGTGCGGGGATATCGCGTGTGAAGATGACAGAATCAAGACAAGTGACGGAAAACTTACGCCAGAGACTTCGATACGCAGTGGATGACCCGGGCTTCGTTGTAAACATCCGTACTTTCACAACCCATATGGGATTGGTCATAATGGCCGTCACGGCACCTACCAACAAACGTGAGTTAGCGAATGATCTCACAGGAGCAATCAGAAAGAAACTTCGAACTTGCTTGCGCGGAACATAGCAGATAGGATGATGCAGATAACGGCGCGTTCGGGTCACCCCCACCTGCCCGCTTTTTTAGCATGTTGTAGCTGCGAAAAGTACGTTAGAGATCGCGATTGGGCCGTTCCAGAGAGACCTCACAAGAGAAAGTAGAAGCCCCAGCTCGATGCATTTCCCGCAATATTGGGCCCTATGCCACGGTACAACCCTTTCCAGCCGTCCTGTCTCTGAATATCGCGTAAAGAATACCATATCTGCTTCCCAATTCCACCCTTTGCCGGGCCAGTTTCAACCTGAAACTTGACCTTGAGTAGATCCAGTGGATGCATGCACATGACGGCCACGACGCCCGCACCGAGTCCAGCAGCAGCATGATCCTGGAGAGAACAAACAGTCCAGTAGTCAGTTGACACTCCACCATCATGAGAGAAAGACGGGAAAAGTTTTACAAGAGCCGTTGTTGGGAAAAAGCTCGGAGGTTGCTGAGCCATGCCAGCCACAGTTCTCAACGAGCGGCGCAAGCTCTGTGATGGTTGAGACCAACGACGACCGCGTACTCGAGTAACGGAGTTGCTGCAGAAGCTTGTCACGTGCCCCACTGGGCTCCGTTGCCGGCGCTAAGTCATTCAGGGGATCGCACAGGAGCCTCCATCAGCCGGCGCGAAAGTAAAGTTTCGGTACAGGTGCTTGCGCTGCGGCAGTCTTGCGGCAGTCTCCTTCGTACGACACGGGCATCCCCTTCGAAGGTCACCGATTCACATTGTGCCACTCCACCCTGGAGTTGGAAGTTCGTTGCAGCGACCATGGTAACTTGCAAGAACCATTATGGCTCCATCTAAACTCCAGCCAATTTTCTGATGCTCGTCTATATCTAGATCCCTGGGCGCCCCAAGTCCTATTAATTGTCTGTCTCGGGGCACAGGCTTAGATGTTCTCACTAGAAGAGCTTCCAGAAATACAGCACGTTGAAAGCGATGCCGCAAACCGGGTCGTTTCATTTACCCATGCAGCGCTGTAAAGCCTCAGCGACGACACTTGCAGCAATGACAATGACCCAGCGTGCCAAGCCGCGAGCCATGGGTAGAAGCTAAGAGTTCATGTCTCGAACTCAACGTTGTTCGTCACAAAAGGAGAAATCTCACTCTCCCCATCGACATCTACTCGTAGATCTTTCATGAGGGCGTTGATAAAGCCCCCGTGGAACTGTCCTCACATACCTTGCACCCGTATGAATCCTACGGCGGGTTCAAGCATCACGGACAATCCTACAGAGCTCAAACGCGAACCTCCGGATTTCCGTTCTGTGTTCTCGCACGGACGCGACCTGGATATGCACATATGTACGTGCTTCCTCACGTCAAAGGATGCACTTTTCTACCAGCGGGGCGCACTTTTCCCCTACGGAATTTTGGCGGACAGCTGGCATCCGTTCCGCAATATCATATTTCGCGTATCATATATAAATGCCATCCTCGAGTTGCATGTCTCCCTTATCCATCGTCCGAGCAGCTTTGGAGGCGGTGAAACTCGGGAAATGTGGCCCTTTTAGCACTTACAGAGATAGGACATGTTCGGGGGCTATTGGGCCTGTCTAGCCCCCCGAGTCCCATGATGCACTCGATGTATGGACATGTACTTATGTTTGTCTGTGTGTAATGCTAAAAGGTTATTTGTACGCTTTAGGGCGTGCTGACTGTGAGGAACGTTGCTTCCAGCGTTGATGGTCATGTCCCCCGCGAGATCGAACGATATACGCCAAACGTGAGTGGGTCAAAACTGACATATCTAGCCTTTCTTGGACGAATGCTTTATCTCCTCCTAGCCACGATCGCAGCCAAGCTGGCTTGAAACCTGACAGGCTGGCACCAGGTTCGCTATATATAGTGACGCAGCCACTCATCAACGGTCGATTTCACTGGAGCCTGTTGAGCGTTGATTTGAATGGGAGTATCACACAGTATCAATGGCACGAATACCACGGGGGAAGAACAGCAGAGAAATACTCTGCACAACACATCGAACGGACGAGCTCAATATACAACGGGATTAACGTACTAGCGTACTTCAAGATCGGCGGGTACCGGCACATTGACCAAGACCACTTCGACGAATGCTGTCGAGAAGTATTCAAGTGGAGCTATGGCACTGTGCAAGAGAACCGGGCGCATGATATAACACCCAAGACGTGGTTACTACGAGTTCTGGATCAGTTTGTGACGGGAGGGGTGATAGTCAGATTCGACACTGTTCAGGATCTGGAGTATGCAGTCGCTACCCTTAGTAGATATAAGGAGCGGCAGTTTCTAGAGGCATTTCTCAAGCAGCAGCCGTACATCGCCCCTGTGATGGAGCTGTAGGCCGGCGGCGGCGAGGTGAGTCTAGTCGTTGATGTTGCGAATCCCACCTCCCAGCGCGCTGGCTGATACTCGTCCAAACTTGTCTTAGCCCCCACGAGCCGTTGGCGGGTCTGGTGAACCTGCTCATTGCTTTTGCCATTCCATCACCAGTCCATACACGCCCCACGAGATATACCTCTGATGAATGAAGAATATCCACGCACCCTTTCCTCTAATAAGGGTTAAATACATTACGAGCACTTACCTACAGCCCCCTGAAAAGTACAATTGCTTCCTGTCCGCCGATGCTGAGACAATACGGACGTATTCAATGATTGAGAAAGTGGGCGATTGAGCGATGGGAAAGGAAATTCTAAAGGTAACGCCACGTCTTCAGGTGCAGGGGGGTAAAGAAACGGCATGCTCGAATGTTCTTGAAAATCAACCGAAATCAGTCTAAGCTCGTTCTCATGAAGATGCATGTCAAACAACATTGAGGGGAATGAACTCACAAGACATCCGATACCGTTAGTGCGGCGAGCACTGAATACTCTAATCACAGATGAATCGATGAGGCCATACTGTGCCTCCGCTACGACAATGTCTTGTCAGGGAATACCGGCGGTGTCCTCGACAGCTTGACGTACATATTCTTCTTGGTATATCACCTCCAGAATCGGGTAACATATCGAGCAGAAAGCAGGACCACAAAAGACGGTCGTCTACTGCTCGGACCGGCCGCAAATGGGGGACGAAGTATGTGAGAAAACACGGCGGACCGACGGTGGAAAAAAAGGAGCCACAATGGCCGTTATACCGAGTGCCATCGATATGGACAGACTCCGTGCAGTGCACCTGCAGATTACTCGGACATGAAGCCCAAATGTAGTGGTCAGTGTTCTGTCAAAAAAATAGGGGAAGAAAACATGGACCCCAATTTACTTTGAGCACCCGACACGCCTATATATGTAGCACGTCCTCCTGATGCACATGCTCCTTGACTCTTTGCGCACCCGTGCTGCTCGTCCCCTGCACGCTTCTAGATTCTCCAGCCGACTGCGCTATTCATCCCGGTTTTTTATTCCCTCCGCCAGAATTCTGCTGGCCACCCAATTTCCTTCCAGGACAATGTCAAGCTTCACGCCTTGGAACCCCATCCAGCGACCCTATCCGACGCCGCGTCGTTCAGACCATGTGGACGTGTACAAGAGCGAATCGAAGGGTGACGTGCGTGTCCCAGACCCATATAACTGGCTTGAAAAGAAATCAGAAGAAACCGACGAGTGGATTGCTGCACAAGAGGCCTTTACGGCAGCGTATCTGGATCAGAACTCAGATAGGAAGGCGTTGGAGGAGGAGATCAGGGCAAATACCAACTTTCCGAAAGTACGTGTCCCATCGGCGGGTCGTCGTTGTTCTCGTCTTTCTGTCGCGTCGAGGTTGAAGAATAAATAGTTTTCTGCTCCCGGATTCCATGGCAACCGTTGGTACTGGTTCTACAACAGTGGACTCCAAGCCCAGACAGGTGAACTTGATATTCATGATGGAGCGTTCCTGTTGAATTTACCACGATGAATTAACGAACCAAGTGCTGTACCGGTCCAAGGACGAGAAGCTTCCTGATCCGTTCAAAGAAGAAGGCCCGTGTGGCGAAGTGTTCTTCGATGTAAGATCGCTTCCCTGTGTCTCTTGATTTCAATGTGAACATATTGATATAGTCAAACCTATTGACGGACGACGGCACTGCAGCACTCGCTGACCTCTCATTCTCTCACTGCGGCAAATATTTCGCGTATGGAATATCTTTATCTGTAAGGAACTCAGTAACCCGCGTCATGTAGTTTAGTAACTGAAGATGTGATTCCAGGGAAGTGACTTCTCGACAATATATGTTCGATCGACTGAGCATCCCTTTGCACTAACGGCAGAAGGTCGCCGTCCTTCGCACGAAAATGACCCGGGAAGGTTCCCGGAAGAAGTACGATTCGTCAAATTCTCGTCTATCGTCTGGACGCATGACTCGAAAGGGTTCTTCTACCATGTTCGTTGCCGCGGACTTGGTGATACCTCTGTGCAGTGTCCTGACTTCTTTGTCTTAAAATACAGCGGTATCCCGATCGTCAATCTCACGGACTCGCCACTGACGACACGGCGGGGACTGAGACAGAGGGTGACGTGAACGCCATGCTATGTTATCACAGAATTGACACCCCACAATGTACTTTCTGTCTCACCCTTCTGCATCCACCGATCAACTGATCTATGTCGACAGCGGAGGACATTCTTGTTCACAAAGATGACGCAAATCCTGAATGGATGTGGAGCGTCGATGTATCTGATCAGGACGGCCGTTACCTGACTATGTACGTAGTCAAGGACACATCCAGGGTCAGTCGCTCCTTCTGCAGCCAATAACCTCTAAAACCTAATGTTTTCACGGTCCAGAAAAACCTCGTGTGGGTTACCGATCTCCAGGAAAATGAGATCGGGCCAAACATGAAGTGGGACAAGATCGTGGACGAGTTCGAGGCCGAGTACGAAGTGTGAGATTCGAGCCAAGTATACTAAATTTGGGGTATGCAGCTGACGCCAAGGTTCTGGCATGTAGTGTCACCAATGACGGAACAGTTCTATACATCAAAACCAACAAAGACGCACCCCAGCATCACATTGTAACAGTCGATCTTGCAGACCCCAAACGGGAGCGCCGGGTGTTGATTCCAGAGGACAAGGACGCAAATCTTGTATCGATCAAGCCTGTCAACCATAACAAGCTCGTTGTGGTTTATAAGCGTAACGTCAGTGCCTAGTTTCTCTGCGGGTATCGAAATTTACCGAGCTTCCCACTTGTGCAGGTGAAAGATGAAGTCTATATCTATAGCAACGACGGGAAGCGAGTGACCCGTATCGCGGAAGATTTTGTCGGTGCGACCACGATCTCCGCCCGCAAGAAGCACTCGTGGTTCTTTGTGTCGATGGTTGGCTTCAATACCCCTAACACTGTGGGACGTTATGTCTTTGATGAAGAAAATGAAGGCAAACGGTGGAATATTTATCGCACCACCCCCATAGCCACTCTCAACCCTAACGATTTCATTGCGACGCAAGTCTGGTACCCCAGCAAGGATGGTACCAAGGTACCAATGTTTATCGTCCGACACAAAGACACGCAATTTGATGGAACAGCACCCGCAATACAATACGGTTATGGAGGATTCACGATCTCTATCGATCCATTCTTCAGTCCCGCGATGCTGACCATGTTGAAGAAATATGGTGCAGTCCTAGCCGTGCCAAATATAAGAGGCGGAGGGGAGTTCGGTGAGGCTTGGCATCAGGGAGGTATCAGAGAACGCAAGGTATTCACGCTTCTGACAGAATCAACTCTGAATCGTACCCCGCTAAACATTTCCCCAATAGGTCAACGTGTTCGATGATTTCATCGCTGCAACGTGAGTACAGCGTTTATTTTTGGAGCTGCTATCTTACGGGCTCTTCAGGGAATATCTTGTCAAACACAAGTATGCAGCCCCCGGCAAAGTGGCTATCAATGGTGGCTCCAACGGAGGTACTTGCGCAAATTTGACTTGACGCGGTGATTAAATTCATAACACCATTCTCAGGGCTGTTAGTTGCTGCATGTGTGAATCGTGCACCGGAAGGCACGTTTGGAGCTGCTGTCGCAGAAGTAGGGGTCCTAGATCTTCTCAAGGTGAGTTCTGAGCCCGTGTCGACCACCTAAATTAACTAACCATGCAACTAGTTTCACCAATTCACTATCGGTATGCTTCGTTTGCTCAGGGCATCGATTAGGTTCTAACTTTAGTGATTCTGTGCCCAGGTAAGGCGTGGACATCTGACTATGGCAATCCAAGCGACCCCCACGACTTTGACTTCATACACCCTATTTCCCCGCTACACAACGTACCCACAGACAGGGTTTTGCCTCCCACCATATTGCTTACGGCTGATCGTGTGTCGATCTGTTTCTTCTGTCAGATTTATATGACTGATTAGCTTTACAATAGATGACGATCGTGTCGTGCCACTGCATTCCTTCAAACATGCTGCCACGTTACAACACACGAAGCCAAACAATCCCCATCCGTTGTTGATTAGGATCGACAAGAAGGCTGGACATGGTTCAGGCAAGTCAACTGACCAAAGGTATGGGGACTTTATTGTGACGGTATGTCATGGGTTAATTGATGATGTGTTGCTTTGTTGCAGGATTAAGGAGGCTGCGGATAAATGGGGCTTCGTGGTCCAATCTAACGGTTGGGTTGCCAAGCAAACAGAAGCTTCGTAAGTCGGGCGCACGTCAAGTAATTGGTCTAACTCTGTGTCTGGTGGATAATTCATTTGGGCTTTAAAATTTAAAATGGGCATCATCATGGCCAGTTCAATGGTACGGTCTTGCCTGTAATACACAGTAGTAGGTATTTGTTCGGGTTATTCGTATAATGCATCCTTCTTTTGATTTGCTTTCGAGGGTACTCCTGACGATCCGCAGACGTTAACTGTGGCAACCAAGATTGAAAACTCAGTATGAACTTGGAAGTTTCTTATTTTTGGCGCCACCAATAAGCGCCTGCCTTTCTTTTCCTGCCACCATCATGTCCTCGGCTGATGCTGCTGCTGAGAGGGAATTCCACCTCACATGGATGCAAGAAGCAATGAATATGGCAGAAGAGGCGCTTCAAGCAGGAGAGGTCCCCGTGGGCTGCGTTTTTGTACGCGATAGCAAAATTATCGCGAAGGCCAGAAACCGGACCAACGAGCTTCGCAATGCAAGCCCGTCCCTTCCAACAGCCGCGTGTCTATTGAAGCAGTATTGTAGGCTACCAGACATGCGGAACTGGAAGCCATTGACAGTATTTTGAGCGACCCGGCTCTCACACTACCTGGGACACGAATGCATTACCCACTGTCCGAGACCACGTTGTACGTGACGGTGGAACCGTGTATAATGTGCGCTTCTGCATTGCGGCAGATGGGTATCAAGCAAGTACTCTTTGGATGCGAGAACGATCGATTCGGCGGCTGTGGGAGCGTCCTTGGAGTAAATTCCCAGTACGAAGTTGTTAACGTGAAGGTGTGCGAACACTCACTGTTTGAATCGCCTCTAGGTTACCCCATCCGACCCATTCATCATATGCAGCGACCAGCGGATACATGCGTGAAGAAGCCATACTGATCCTGAGAAGGTTCTACATCACAGAGAACTCTAATGGTGACACATCGTTGTGTCTTCATCTCTTATCATTTATTGATTCCGATGCAGCACCCATGCCCAAGTCAAAGGCTAACCGTGTTCTGAAAACCGAGATAAAACCGGCGGCTCTCAAGCCATAATTACACGACGCTTCTAAAAAACGAATGTCATTCTCGAAATCACTCCCCGGTTAACGTTTTAACCCTTACAATAATGCTGTACAGGGGCACTTCCCGGAATAGCACATCATCAGTTCCTCATGATGTTTTCCCAGTGCGGACGTGCTCGAACTGTCATTCATGTCCGCTTGACTCTTTGTAGTTATATTCTTTGGCTGGTCCCCCCATTCCCATCGGCAGCTTCGAAAACATGGCCCTCGTTCACACAGTGGCCAGTTTGGCCATGTTGCCCTTCTTCGATTCCACCCCGCAACCCAGTTTGACCTCTTCACGTTCTACAGCTTTCATTTGTGAAGCAACGGACACCCCGAGTCGTCATGTTCTCCTTTGCGATACTTCTGATCTTCCAGATCGCCTTTTCGTCAGCATTGCCAAATGATCATCTGAACTATTTGGCTATGCGTCAGGCGGACATCCCTGGTGCTTGTGCAGACCAGTGCATCCCCATAAACAGCATCATCGCATCGGTAAGCTCAAACCGAATGGCTTCGCTGATTGTCTGGGAACTGACACGGTTTGGTCCTTTGCAGCAATGCACCGTTGGGAAGTGCTGCACCGATGTTTTTGCGAATGGCTATGCCGATTGTGTGAGATGCTTCGGTCAGGCCATTGAAATAACCAACTTCGCACCGTTTCAAACTGCGATCGACAGTAAGTAACTCATCTCTTTCTTGGATGCCTTCCCGAGTAAAATTCAACCACTCCCTTCATCAATAGCCTTGTTTGCGGCGTGTTCAAGGGCCGGCCAACCGATCCCTAAATTGACACTTCCAGGCCAAGACGCTAATCGTGTCATCGCTAGCACTATGGCGACTACCACGCGAGTGTCGACAGCCTCGGTGCCCGCTGGGACTGCTTCAACCTCCAACTCGGGCGCTGCGCCTTCTAGTCCTGCCTCGTTGGGGTCGTCTATACCCGCAATCACGTCCCAAGCCCCAAGCCAAGCCTCGCCCCCGGGTGCAACGGCTACAGCACCTCTCCCGATCTCCCTCAGCTCGATCTCCCTCCCTATTACTGTTTCGTCAAGTGTTACCGCAGCTTCAGGTGCGGCCAGTGCGCCCCCGACTCCAAGTACTAGTGGAGCCAATCGCCTTAGTTGCTTCATACTTGACAATAAACTCTTCCTTCCTTTGCTAGCTTTCATTGGGTATTGGTTGTACGTGTTGTGATCTGCGGCAAACGACCTATGGCCGTGTACGATCATGCAGGACTATTTACAGTATCTGTATATTGATTGATAAAGAGTCTACGAATGCCTCGAGTTCTCAACCTACTTTGAATGATACACCTTGATGTTCCTCGCCTATTCGAGTAAATTAAATGAGAGACCTGCATCGACACATCGTGGGCTTAAAGGCGTGCATCCTTTGGCATTTTCTTCATTGCTTGACGCACTCCCAAGTCCCCAAGAACATCCTCGGCGCCAGCAAGAACTACATGTGTAATGTGAGTTCAACGTCTTGGGAAGGCATGTCTTATACACTCACTCGCATCGAAGCCTGAAGTTCGGTGATACTAAAACCAAGTAGCTGTTAGGTGTTGTTGGCGTATACGAAATTTGGCTTACATTCTCGATGACCTTGCCCATACCAGTCACGGTCAGCGCACGCCCACCAAATATTTGCGTCGCATCTGTGCGAGAGCAAACAATAGTTACACATAAGTTCGAAAACGGAGCATCAAACGCCTTCACCCTCAGCTGTTTCACGAGCAGTTCGCGAAACGAATCTGTATGGGGTGACTTGTGGTCAGCATTTCCATTGGGTTTTTTTACGAATTTGAATGCCTACTGTTTCATGAGACCGATGGGCCCAGCGAGTTTGCTAGACATTTCATTGTACGTCATCTTTTAGAGTATAAGGTCAGTCGGATATTTATGGGCAAGCTAATGGTGGCTTACGTTGTTCATCTGGTGAGTGATCGATTCAACCCAGTTCTGGCACGCCTCGACGCGGGAGATCATCTGCCCCAACTTGGCACGGATGACTGCCTGCGAATGAAGAGGTTTCCCGAAGACATAGCGTTGTGACGACCACCTACGAAGCAAGAACTTCAGTACACCGTCTCTTCGATACAGATTTATCAGAAATCACGCTTACTTCAAGCACTCTTCCACTACAAGACGCTGTGCTGCAAGACTGGTGCAGACGACCATCCACCGCTCGTGGTTGAAGTTGGTAAGGATGACGGACATGCCGGCGCCGACCTTGCCGAGAGTGTTGGCAACTGGCACGCGGACTTTGTTGAAGACGACGTAGGCGGTTCCGGCCACAGGGGAATACGAGGTTTTGATCGGCTTTGTGGACACTCCCTCTCCGCGTGGGATGAGTATGACTGTGAACCCAGTCTATGACAACATGAGAGTATTATTAACTAACGGGCAAGAATGGCAGCGAGGGTCAACTGACCTCTGTTCGACAACCAGTGGTGAAGTAGTCAGCGAAAGTTCCATTTGTGATCCATCTAAGGAAACAATAAGCCCTCGATGACGACGTGCATTATACGATGAAAATGTACTTCTTAGTGCCCGTTACGACCCAATAGTCCCCATCACGGACCGCGGTGGTCTGTATACCACTGACATCACTACCAGCAAATGCCTCGCTAATAGCTAGCGCAATGAACTTCTTCCCTGAGAGGACCTCTGGGACCACCTTGGCTTGGAGTTCGGGTGAACCATAGTTCAGAACGGGCGGCAAGGATATCACAAGACCGTTGAGTAGACTGGAAAGAAAGGTAAGCGGCCGACACATGCATAGATGAATCGTATTTACCCTGGATTAAAGGGGGGGTAACGGTGTTGTTAGTTACGCCCTTGAATGACTGGGTAATGGTCTTACCGTCGACTGCTCCTCTAGTTCCGAATCGGGCAAGCTCGGTGTTTATGATCATCTGTGGGAGAGGCACACAGTGAGCGGATGCACGTTGGAATCACGCTGAAAGTAAAGTACCTCATGGAAATAATCAAATTCTTCGGGCTTCACGATGCCCCCCATCAAGGAACGCCCCCCGAGGTGTTTCCCCGGCCCCAGGCGCATAGCGATGACATTCTGTTCACTGAGTAAGAGGTCAAAGATTGAAAGTAACACCACGAATTGCGGTTAAATTTACCTCATTTTATCAATCACCTCTTGCGATATCCGTTTACCGCTCTCTTCGCAGCGAGCAGACTCCGGTTGCACGACTTCCATCATGAAGGTCCGTAGAGCTTTGTGGAATGCTCTATGGTTATCAGTATAGTAGGGGGAATGATATCCCTCTGTTAACCAAGTTGGTTCGGCGTATGGAACTTCTGAGATTGCGCCGGGAACTGGCGCTTTAATAACCTCCTCCTCTCCGAGGATTTTGCCAATTTGCAGACGCGCAAACTGTGGTTTGAGAAGCACCTCATGTCTATGAAGGCCAAAGAACGCCTGTGTAGCGTCCTGTCCCGCTGATCCCGAGTTAACGCCCTGAGTTTAGGCAATTCTGTGGGCTGCTCACCAATGCTCTCAGCGAAGAGAACCGTTGGGCCACCGGGGTGGAGGTCTGCGAAGCGCGAGACGTCGTAGACCTTGGAGTCTATGATAATCCACTACACCCAGTTCAGTGGTTGGATACAGGGGCAAAGGCGGGGTAAACTGACCAAATCGCCTTCACGATTGTGCTGAACTCTAAATAAGCACGATACTTTGGGTAGGGTTAAGTGTGAATACCTTGGCCACCTCCTCCGAGGTATATTCTTTGAGTACTTTAGACATTGTGGACGTTGAAGTGAGAGAGACTGTGAGCGTTCCGTTCAATGGCGAACCGGAAGACGAATGCAGGTGGTCCGATTGGGCGTAGATCTTTCACATGTCCGACGTTAGGCGCCCAAGACTTTTGAACTGATTATCTTATCTTGTTTAGAACAATGATGGACCCACAACCACACAGCCACTTACTGCCTCGTTTCGACGACATTTTGAACCTCTAAACGTTCCAGTGTTCCAGGAGTTCTGCGCAAAGTGACTCACCATCGGATTATCATACTATCGATAATCAAACTGACTTGGGAATGCGGCCTACACGCGCAGGATCTCCCCCTGTTCTGGAATCTACGTTAAATGGACCTGCCCCCGTCTTTCTTCAGTATCAGTACCCCCATCTCTTCAGCAATTCAGCAAAACGATCCCGTAAACGAATGACTGGGTCCATATCTACCATGGCTCATACTACCCCCAGTTCTACTTTCTCCCCATCGGCAGGTGACGAAGGACGCCAGCTCGTGAAGACCACTGCCATCGCGACCGGGGGAAACCCCATGTACACATCTACCCCAGCACATGCCAACATTTCTATAGAGCCTGGCCGCAGATTTCCTGATACTTTATCAGCGATTTTGAATGTTGCGATTCACACGAAAGCCTCCCTCAAGACTCAAGGACTTGACGCGACTCTAGCTACAATTCAAGAGAAATTGGGTTCAGCCGAAATCAGCGCACAAGTCGAAAAATTGACGTCCTCGGAATCGGAGGGTGACAGGAATGAGATCGCGTCCCAACTCGCCGCCATGCTGAAGGAGGGCGATGCTAATCTCACCGAAGAGCTTAAGGCGTACGATCTCGACCTTCACAAGGTCATCAAAATCGCTGCCGACACAGTCGAAAAATCTCCCGAGTTCTCTCGATATCTACGCAAAACCTCGTCTGTTGCATCCACCGAATCAGACTCCCCCGCCCGATCGCGCCAGGGGTCACAGAGGTTCAGTGGCCCGCGCCCTCGATCGCTTTCGTCGTCCGGCAAGTCAGACTTCTTCCAAGCCAGAAGGGTGGAGCCTCTTGCCATCGATTTCGGCAAGCACGGGGAACAGCTCAAAGCAGTCGTGGCAGAGAAGGAGGAACTGGGTCGGCTCTATCAGAGGTCCCGGAGCGCGTTAGCTGAAAAGAAGACCATGGAGCTGGTATGGGAGGAAAGGGCAGCGGCATGGGAGGATAGAAAGGCGGAATGGGCGGAGAGAAAGGCGGAATGGGAGGAGAGAAAGGCGGCATGGGCAGAGGAGAAGGCGACGTGGGCGAAGACTGAGAGGAGGCTGGAACAGTATGCGGACGGATACAAGCAGGACAAGGACGGATACAAACAAGACAAGGAGAAGTGGGAGAAAATGTATGCTGAAGCCAAAGAGGAGTACAAGGAAGCCAAGGAGGAGCACAAGGAAGCCAAGGACCAATGGGAGAGTCGATACTACGAAGCCCAGACGGAGTGGCAAGACCGGCACGCTGCCGATAAGGCGGAGAGGGAGAAACAAGAACGGCGCCATCAGATGGAGGTGCGGAAGTGGGAGAATCTACATGGCGGGGAAGTGCGGCGACGGGAAGCGCTCGAGGAAGAACTGAAAGCCTTGAAGGAGAGGCTTCGTTCTAGTGCATAAATCGGTGCGATGTCAGTGAAGGCGTAAGACTACGATTTTGTTTTGATATCGAGCTTCTATGTTTCTTTCTACTCTTCATATCACACAATGACAATCATGCCGAACAGTTCGAACCATGAGATTGGGACAAATTTCAACCGTATATCTCTGATACGGTTACTAGGCCGCTGCTGCAATCACATAAACAGGACGATACCGTCGGCCACGACGTCGCGCACTCGAGCTCAAGCAGCAAACATCTCGTGCTGTGTATGAAGTTTGAAGGACTTCCATCTATCTCGTCTATATTTCTCCCGACATCTTACACTAGCACAAGTAACATACCGACGTCGAAACAAACTGATAGAGTGCTGGTATAAATCACCTTCCTGCCCCTTCACAACTAAGTAGACGAAGTTAGTATAGGGTAGGCCAATAAGCCTCAGAAAAGAACGTACCCTGAATAAGAACCCCAACTACCTCGCGTCAGTAAATGAGTAGATTTTTTGAGAAGGAATGTACTTACATCTTCCGGCGTCAATCTGCCCATGGCCTGAAGTAGCGGTTTGAATATGAGAAAAAAAGGCCGGCGTGAGGGGGACACTTACGGAGTCATCTGTCGACAATGTAGCATCGACCATGGCGGATTTCTTCTCCTGAAGCTGTAGAGGGATTTAGCGCTGTGGCATAGCAGTAGGAGTCCCGTTCCATGTACCTGGATGATGCGGCTTTCGATGCTATCTTCAACGACGAGTTTGATTGCCTTTACGGGCCGATGCTGGCCTAAGCGATGGATGCGATCCATAGCCTCTGTAATATCGTCAATATGTGATTTTCCCACCACATTGTTGAACCACTTACGGTATTCAACCTAGAAAATAAAAGCTCAGTTACGAGTTGTTGATTAGTCAGGTAGGATAACATACCGCTGGATTCCACCAACTATCCATGAGGTATACACGAGAGGCTTCCGTCAGGTTGAGGGCCACACCACCTGCCTTCAAACTGACTAAGAATACAGTAACATCTACGTTATTCACTGCACATTGTCAAAATCAGCGATGCGCTCCCCTGGGAAACAACGGAGAAGGACAGACTAAAGTGTTGGATAGTCGCATCTCTAGCCGCAGGAGTCATGGTGCCTTCCAGCCGACATATCTATAAAAAATTTATCAAGTGCTCGAAGCCGATGCTAACGTGAGAACCCTACGTTAAAGCCAGCTCGTTGTAGACGGAAAGCGATCAAGTCGAGGAAGTTGACAAACTGACTAAACACGAGGCTTTTAGTCGTCGAGTCTTGCATCCTAAGGTTACTCAATTCTTCGACCAGGGCTTCAATCTTGGAGGAAGAGCGCCACGTAGAGAGGTCAAGACGCCCGAGGATTCCCTGTCGGGCGGTTATATTCTCTTCAATCTCAAGGGCAGGAGCTTCCAGATCAATAGTTAAAGGAAGGTGGCACACCGGGCAACTTGGCTGTAGATGTCATGAGTTGGGCAACTGGCAACTCTGCAAAGAGGCGGGAATCTGAGACACGTACCGTTTGCTCGATGGCAGTATTTAGATATTGCTTGATACACTCCCTATCAAAGATGTGGCGACATTTTGACTGGATTGCATCTTCAGCAATATCGTTGCACAGCCTGCACACGGTGGCCTCGCCATTTTCCGGCACGAAGACCTGAGCATTAGTCTTACTTCGGAGTACGAGATCAGGATGGCATGCCATCTGCCTCATCCTCGTTAATCTTGATACCGAATTAGATCAATTCCGATTAATTTCAAGATCAAAGATTGAACGTACAAACTGAAAATATTAGAATAGTCTGATACAGGAATTCAGTAATCGCAAGTCATCCAAGGACATAGAAAGAGACCTACTATTCAGCACCGTTCCTTGATCAAGGTAGGTATTAAACTGGCGTTTGGCATCGGAGAAAAGTGACAAGTATAGTTCCTTTTCTTCCGGGCTGAAATAATCTCTGCGAACGATGACAGTGCGAGGTGGAAGATCGAGGTCGTCCGCTCGTTGAAGCTGTGTCAGTATCAGTTACGGAGGGGTGGCCGTAAGATGCGTCTCAAGATACCTTCGTCCTGCGAAGCATCATACGGTCGAGCAAGATTTTGAGTTTTTTGAACGCGATCTTGCCAGGGCCAACCATTCCATTCTTTTGGATAGGAGTCAGAATCTCGTTGTTCCAGAAACAAGTCTAAGAAGAAATTGAGGACCGAGACTATCAGAAGACCCAAGGCACCCACATGCTGCATTGGACTGTGACCGCAGTCTACAATATATGGCAGGTGAGTCTCGTCGTTCGTTGTCCTCGTCGTTCAACTTACCATCACAGTTTCGTTTGTCTGAAAAGCGCCAGTGCAAAGACTTGCAATCACACTTTTTGCCTGAGGGATCATCAGTGACGACCCTGAAAACTTAAAGTAAGACTTACAGAAATAATAAGAGAATGGATCGCCACCCAAGAATCTCACTAAGCTATATAATTCACCAACGCGGTTCTGAAGCGGAGTACCCGACAGACACCAGCGATAATTTGCCTTCAGCTCGAATGTAGCCTTCGCCGTGTTAGTGGACCGTTCTTTGATATTGTGAGCCTCGTCGAGCTGAGCAGATCTTAATAAGAGCTGAGAGGCGGAAGGATAAGAAACGCACAATGACTCGGTTCCACTGGATCTGATGGACTGGAGAGACCTCTCGCACTTTAAAGCCTTTGCGAGTGAAGCCGCTTTCCTGTTTGCGGAAGCAGCTAGTTGATAAAAATCAGTCCAACCAGTAAGGTAGCCGTAAAGCTTTGTTACCTTTCAACTACGGCGTAAGTTGTCAAAATCTATATATGATGGGTAAATGGAAGACATCGGATTAAGTGAAGGTAGCTTACCACGTCATATTTCGCCATCTCTTTGACGTTGGTCTCCCTAGAAGATCCATGCCAAACAAGAACTTTTAGGCCGTCAGTGTGTGTCGCAATCTCATTGCGCCATTGCATGATAGCCACAGTCGGACTAGATTAAATATTAAAGCAGGTGGCACAAGAAGATGATACGACTCACGCTATAACCAGATTGGGCGCTTTCAGATCCGAGACAAGGAGCGCTATAATCTGGATGGTCTTCCCCATACTAAATATTATGAGTAGGGAGCCCATGGATCAGCCAAAGAACACGTACCCCATCTCATCCTGGTGGATTGTAAAAGACGTCAAAGAAGTGAGTGCATGCCAGATTAAGCAGTGACATACCGCCAGCATACCACCACCCCAAATACCTTTCTCTTGCTCTCGCATCCAGAAGAGACTCTCCTGTTGGAAGGGCAGAAGCGTCACCTTGAGGTTTGCGGGTTGCTCCGCTTTCTGGGGCGTAATAATCTCAATGCTAGCTTCCAAATCTCCCCATACGTCTTTCAACTCAGGGTGGAATTTGTGAAGAGCGACGGTGGACTTCTCGGCCTATAAAGAATTGAGTATCCTACATACTCTTGCTCGGAGCATGCTTTACTTACATGAGTCAATTTGCGGCCCAATTTGCGTATGAGTTCTCGTTCTTCTTTCCAGTTAGCCTTCTTCTCGAGTCGTTTGATCCTTGCTTGCTCCCTTCGCTCCGCACGAAGTTGCGCCAGCGTCATTTTCTTCTTGCGAGACGTGTCGTTGACCTTCGCACTGGTGACCTTCGCCTTACCCTTCCCTTTCGACAAAGGTTCTTCCTCTGTTTCCGACTCAGAAGCGCTTTCATCCAAGTCATCGCTGTTGAGCTCAAACTCAATGTTGTCTTGGAGATTCGCGCGAGCAATTCGGCGCTCGGCTGCTGCAGCACACAGCGCCGCAGCATTCTTCGAGGAAGAGCCTTCACCGCTACGAGCGCCTCCTAGCGAGCGCACAATGGCAGCACGAAGCATCAACTCCTCGGCGTCAGATTCTTCTAACTCAAGGAGCGCCTCTTGGTCTTCATCCTTGCGAGGAGTACGGCGTGTGCTTAGTCTGGTGTCTGAAGGCTCGACATCCTCGTTATCAGAATCTTCAAATTCTGATCCGCTGCTACTAAATGACTGCTCTTCAAACTCGAGTCCGTGTTCAGACACCAATTCGTCGTCGTTGTCGGATGGGGGTGATACAGTTCTCGCTTTCCCCTAGATATAATGTTGAGATGAATCGCATATATACATCAACAAATACTCACCTTGCCTTTAGCCCTGACCACTGAAGGTATTTCAACGAAGACCTGCGAAATTGCCCTTCGCTTTGTGGGGCGTTTTGGCAGTGCTAGTTCGCCATCTATATCATCATCTTCACTTCGTGCCCGTCTCTTTGACCTTGTTACGGGGACAGTCTTGACTTCCGCCTCCTCGTCGTTGGATGTTGCCGGCGTCTCTGGTACCGAGGTTGTGGCACTAAAGACTGGCGTACCTGTCCTCGTTGTCGTCGACGGCGACGCTGTAACGGCCTTCTTCGCCGATTGCCTTGTTACCCGAGCCATCGTCTACAATGCTGAGGGTTCACTGGTGGCCGTGATGAGTCAAAAAACAAAGCGATGCCAAATTTCCGGGGGAGCGCGTGAGACCCTATTTAGATTGGTATTGTAATATGAACGCTATGTCACAACATGTGCCCTTTGTCACAGCGTGGTCGGTGTCACGTTTGTGAAGTCGTTCAATGCTCTCAAGCAAGGGGGCTTTCGGTCTGTAAGTCATTTGCATCGAACGAGGCAACACATAGCGTGTAGACACATCAAGATGCAACCTCAGAAGGTACTAAGGTGGTACAGGTATATGATCAAGAAGGAGTGTCCACAAGGCGAATAAGTTGATTTACGTTAGTCCATCGCACACGCGTTCCTACTAGCGTCTGCCATGCGGATGGGCCATTTGGGGTGGTCGATAGCTAGACGGATAAGGCGACGTCGCGCTGTGATGTGCGGGAGGCCGTCCATGGGCTGGGGGGTGCTGAGCAACGTTGGGCGTTGACTGACTCTGGGTTTGGTATGAATTACCGTATGGATTGTGATACGATTGTTGAGCGTGGTTGCTTTGTTGAGGTTGATATTGATATTGTGAGGGTGATTGGTGCTGAGACGGCGATTGGTACTGCGAAGGGGACTGATTTTGTTGATACTGTGGCTGGGATGTAGACTGCGACTGCTCTAGGATATTCTGGTACATCTCCATCTGGGTTTTGTACGCTTCGGCTTGGGTGGTTTGTGCTTGTTGCATGATTTGTTGCATGAGATCTTGCTGGCTCTGGAGTTGGGATTGGTAGATACTTTCGAATTGGCTTTGAGCCGCGTTTTGCTGGGCCTGTTGCGCCTGCAATATCTGTGAATAAGTATCGGCGTAAGAAGGCTGATTTGCTTGAATTGATTCCATGATAGTTTGGTAATTTTGGAACGCGTCTGTGCTGTAGCCGCCATAGGCTGCAGGGTCCGCCGTAGAAAGTCCAGCGAAGCTCTCAGTCAGTCCTGACATGGCATCGCCAGAGAAAGCGCTAGTCATAACTCCACCAAGCATCCCAGCCGCAAGAAAACTGGATGGGTCCATGAAGCCGGCCCCAGCGGTAAGGCCCGCAGCGAGGCCATCAACAACGCCGCTGTCAGTAAAGGCAGAAGTAGCGGCATCTGCTCCGATGCTGCTGATGGCCTCGCTCGCAACACTACCAATAGCATCACCTATAACATCTCCTACGCTACCCAGCGCGACTTTCAGAGCTATACGGCCCAGGGTTGAACCGACAGTAGCGGCGGCGGCCTTGCCAGTATCCTGTAGCAGGGTAGAGGAACGCGGCCCGGTAGCTGGGGATTGGGTTACGACTGGAACTTGGAGCGGAGGGGAGACAGGCTGGTACATCCCTTGCACAGGGACGCCGTTGGCAGGGGTTTGAGGTGGGGGCGACATAGGGGGTGATGAATACTGCAACGGAGACGTCTGTGACGAGTACTGATAAGACGCTTGGCTGGTTGCTGGCGTAATAGAAGGGGGAAACGGAGGCGGGCTTTGAGGAGACGTCGTAGAATACGGGGGGTATGCAGCACTGGCACTAGCGCTGGAATGTCGACTAATTTGTGGCGTGTAGGTAGGGGCGTTCATACCTGTTGAGTTGCTGGCAGGAGAAGCAACTGAATGTATTGATCGTCCCTCGGCCCTTGGAGGGAGGGATTCCGTCGCCGAACGATAGCGGTGGTGGTGGGACGCTGGATCGGGGGGACCACTATAACTCTGACCTCGATGAAGAGATGGCTGGCCGCCCCCGGAGCCGCTCGAAGTCAAAGGCCTTGGACCTGATATAGGCGGAGGCGCTACTCGCGAACTGTAGAGTGATGCTGCCGGTAATGGCTCAGACGATCGTCGGGGTGCATTGTCAGAGTGGTCAAAAGTGATTTTAACCGGGAGAATAGGTTGCGCTGAGCTATAAGCATCCGGACGTTGGGACAATCGGTTCGAGCGTGCCTTCGCCTTGTTTTGCAGGGGCTCGGGAGGGGTCGATTCGATGGGTGAGGTCGTAGGGGGACTGGTAGTATCGGACTCGGGGGAAGTAGTAGAAGATGCCGCAGACGGAGATCGTGGAAGATCTTCCTTCTCATCAACTGTGGATGGCTTCTTGTAACTCGCGTACAACATCTCAGCACGAGTAGGTGCTCGAGTACCAGGAAGGCTTGGCCCGCTGGGAGCCTGTCGAGAAACTCCATATCCGACTCCCTCCGAACCACCATATGGTTGTTGCTGAGGAAGTGAAGCTTGCTGGCCTGCAACCGCGTACGGAGGGGAAGTAGAATACATCTTGCCAAGTAAAAGAGATCAGCCATGACATTTCAGAATTCCTTGGCCGACATACCTTGATCAGTTATCTAGTTTTGTTATCACGACTTCGACGACGCGTAGTAGTGGCTATCAACGAATATTCACTGTCACGGGTGAGGGGGATACAGTGCAACTTCGAGCACCCGCGAAGCAAATGGACGGCGAGTTCGAAGAGGGAATATACTCAACTGGGCTCCAGACAGCCAGTTATTATTACAATGGGCATCAGTCCAATGCGGTGTCCCTTGCCAGGTGCCACCTTGAACGTTTGGGCGTCAATTTGGCGGAAAGAGTACGGAAGATTGTACCTGGACCTCGTTTCAAGCTGGCATTGCCTGATGTTCGCCTGATGGAGGATCCCTGAGCAGTGCCATGACTGCCATACTGATCCTGGACAATATCCGCTTGACCAGGAATAGCTGTCAAATTGAGTTACTAACGGTGAGAATTTCGAGCCGTAGATTGGCGCCGACTCCTGGCTCCCTCCTAGCCCCTCTCCTTCATATCGACACTGGTGTGCACCATAGAGCACATGTATTTTTTGTGCAAATGGTCGGCCAAAAATTTGGTAGCTATCTTGTAGTGTATTTATTTATTTTCCCCGAGCCCGCCCTGTCCCATGGCAACTACATATATCGGCATCACCTTCCTTGATTAGATCACCCAGAGCAACAGTTAATATGAATAGGTAGTCCATCAAGATCAAGCAGCATGTGGACTAACCGTTGCTGTTGCTCAGGTCTGGCTAATATGCTTCGCTGCTAGTTTTGTGACGATGCCAGCCAGATCCCTCCATGTGCCTTCAAAGCTCGGAACTGATACTTCGCCACTGCATTCCCTACAACTGAGACGAGCGACCTCCTTGGAGAATTGCCCGAGCTTGTCGACCATGTTGTTGATGACGTCCTTGAGTTGAGACATAACCATGCCTTGCACTGGGGTCGTTACTTTCTGACTTAAACCACCGCGTGTGACAGAACTACACACTCTGGCGATATCTCCAACTTGTGATTTCAGCATTCGCATCTCCTCTAGGACACTCGCTCCGCTTTCGTATGCTGTCGCAGCGAGCGGATTCATGGGAGTAAGCAAGGGATTAGGTGGCGTTGATGTTGGGAAGTATGGGGCGGTCAAGAAGGCAAGGTTTGATACCATCGAGCTTTGAGTTAATGGAGTCTCGTTTCCTCGCAGAGAGATTGACCTGCGCGTGGCACTGGCGGGAGAGAACGATCGGATGCCATCGGTCTCAACTTGTTGCCCGGGGAGATCTCCCTGCGCATCTGGCGCCAGGTAGGGTGCGAGGGGTCCATTATACTACTATCGACATACCGTATTAATTGCATGATTCAGTGAGTGAAATAGCCAACGTCTCGAATAAAACTTGCAATTGAAGGGAATGCGACATTCTTCGGTTCCGCATCATACAACCTCTCTGTGAGACTGCCTAAGAGGTTTGAGGATGGTGTCAGTCGACTCATCGGACGGGTCGTCGTAAGTTGGCGAGGGCACTGCAGGAGGACCCGCTTGACAGAGGTATAGTAAATTCACAAGATGGGATCTGAAAGGATCCATTCCTAGCGATGGCGGCAAGCTGAACTCTTGTTGAAGATACGTACCCATGGTTTACAAAGCTCAGAGGAGCTCAAGCACGACAGGGACGCCTGTAGCTATTACCAGATTTAGCAGGACCAAGGGTCCACATGCAAGTTCCATAGTTCCGTACCCGAAAGTGCTTGCAGAAGCTCCACTTGCAGTTCACACAGCCATGTGCAGTTTGTCGGTGGCTACCTTCCGGAGCCACATAGCCTGTTAAATGGAACGCTGTCCGCCCGCCCCGTTCAAGCACCGATTTAATTGAAATTGGCAACAGAGTTTCCTATTTCGTCCGTAACGGCTAACGAGGTTGGAGTTGTGGGTGCTGCGGCTTTGCGACGCTAAAGAAACTCGCATTTTTAAAATTGCGATATCATGAGGACGGCTAAACATACCAGCGATGAGATGAAATAATGGTGCTGGTCCAAGCTAAAAATCCGGTCAAGTTCCGAGGTCTACGGTCTGCGGAAGCACAGTGACAGATGTGAGATATCAGAGGCTGTCTTGTTCTATCAGCCACATGAGCCAGTGCCCGACTCCTTGGCTAAGTAATTGAACCAAATCAAACGGCATCTCACCGGACCCGAATTTGGTGCTTGAGAATTGGTTTCGTGTTGGGATGACTTGGGGGATGTACATTGATAGACGGACTACAATTGGCTACAGATACAAACCTTGTGTACGGGTTGCGGAGAGCATGCGAGTGAGTAATGAAGGGATTACGGGATCCCGAAGCGCTGTGAAATAGTTTGGTACGCATTCTTTCGAAACGAACGACATTTACGTACTGGTTTTAGAGCCTTTATTAGCATCCATTCCTCGTTAGAAACGTCAGCCTTGAAAGATTCCTGGAGAAAACAACGTCAGTCTTTACTCATGTGGACGCGGAAGGGTTACCAACTTTGAGAACGTCAATGCTTTGACGGGTGATCCGACTATAAAGTTCATCTTTGTCATCGAAATGCCGCCCGAACATCTTTGCCGATTGGTACACCGCGTGCTCGATCTTCACGGCAACTCCTCCACCTGCTTGCGACTTTTTGACAATCTGATGGCATAGTGATCAGTCAGGAGCCATGGTGCAACAAGGAAGCGACCCACGTCTTGATTCTTATGGTTAATCTCCAGTGACGTGCTACAATGTATGATCAATCATACTGGCACTGCAGAACTAGGTGAAAGCCTACATTTTGCCGAGCTCGTGGATTTCCTTTTTCTGAGTCACTGGATCGACCTTGACGACAGCAATTGGTGTGCCGACGCGAAGAGAACCGTCGAGAATATCAACGCCTAGGATGATAGGATCACGTTTACAGAAAGCGGCGATAATCTTTAACCGGCATGGCCAGACTGCCTGAGGGGCGGCATCACGTCTCTTTGCTTCTATGATTTCAGCATTGTACGCCGTGAAGGCATCGAAGAGATGGTAGATAATATCAGCTTGTAACAGACAAATTCAGTAGGAGTAGAATCGACGGATAACGGTCCGCTACCTTTGAAGATCTTGATGCCCATTTCCTCGGCAAGACGTTCAGCGTCTTTGTCTACGGGGACATCGAAAGCGAGGATGACAGCCAACTCCTTGGCCTTTTCGAGCATCGTGCCCGCACGCATAATGTCCTTCTTGTGCACAGGCCCAATGTTAATCCCCGAGACGGGAATCTTGCTGACATTGAGGAAGTCCAAGAGCGCCTCGAGTGAACCAAGAGTACTGGCCTGTACACAGACGCCTCTACCAGACTTATCGATGTTGTTCAACAGGGTGGTGAGGTCCGACATGACTTCGTCTCGAAGATCATCTTCATCGTCGTCTGGACCACAAACCAGGAGTCGTGACCCGGCAATGGCTTTTTCCAGATCAGGGGCGGTAATCTTGACACCCAAAGCCGCCTTAACCTCCTTGTGATGGACGTACGCGGACTACATAAAATGTGAGTCAACGGACCAGCGCCGGCTGAATCTCGCAAAGGAAATCTTACCTTTATACGGAGTTCTCTGAGTGGTTGCGGTGTCAGAAGGGCACGGATTTGAGTGACGATCGGCCCGTTCAAGCCACAGACCACGATTCTATCTCCTTCGTGCAGGATACCGTTGGAAAGCACGACATCGATTGTGGTGCCCAGGCCTTCGACGACCTTGACTTCGAGCACGGTGCACTCGAGCTCGGACAAGTACATAAGTCGATCGCTCATGCGTTGCTGCGTGAGGTTAACGAGCAACATAATCATGTCTGGTACACCTTCCCCAGTGATGGCTGACGTAGGCACGAGCGATACATTGCGCGCGAAGTTCTTGTTCTCGTAGTAGAGCACCGCGTTCAAGCCTTCCTCGGCGAAGGCCAGAATAGTCTTCTGCAGGCGGTCTTCGAACTCACGCTGAACAGAACGGGCCTGCTGTGCCAACGAATCGACAAAGGAATTATCGGGTATTGCTTTCCACCCATACATACGATCGATCTGGGCCGAGGATCAGAACCTTTATCGTCCGTATTGGCAATTTTTGACCGACCTTGTTTAGGGCGACGATGAAAGGTGTTTTACGATCGCGCAGAAGGCGCAAGGATTCGAGCGTCTGGGCTTCCAGGCCGTGCTATAGGCTGTTGAGAAGCTACCCCACAACGAGTTTAGTCAGTGCTTACCATGATGTCGACGACCAGGATGGCGATATTACATAGTGAACTTCCACGAGACCTCAAATTGGTGAACGATTCGTGACCAGGGGTATCGATCACGAGTAAACCTGGAATTTTATACTCTTGCGTCCCGTCCTTGAGTTTGAAAGATGAGAAATCGAAACAAAAGAAGCTAATGGGCTAGTTACTTTATTCATGACAGCGGTCTTAGTCTTGATTGCTTCTACTGGGAAGTACGTGGCTCCAATTTGCTGTGTAATGCCTCCAGCTTCGCCCTCTTGCACGTTTGTTTGCCGAATCTATGCGGGGTATGTTAAGGCACAGTGAGGTCGGCGGAAGAAATCCTTTACCTTGTCGAGCAACTTCGTCTTACCCGTGTCGACGTGCCCCAAAATGCAGCAAATGGGACTGCGAAGATTATCTTTACTCCTCGCGGCCAGAGCAGCTTCATGGGCCTTGGCACGACGCTCAGCAGCCTCTGCCTTGCGCTGAGCAGTCACCTTCTGTGCCTGGGTCAATTCATCGTCAGAAGAATCGTCGGAGTCAGAGTCGTCCTCAGAATCAGAGTCCTCCTCTGAAGACTCTTCCTCCGAGCTTTCCTCTTCCTCCTCTTCCTCCTCCTCTTCCAGGGGTTTCTTCGATTGTGAGGGAGGGGGTGGCTTCGCCTGGGGTGGCGCCTTCGTCTGCGCTGCTTCCTTGACTTTGGGTTCAACTATAGATAACACATTAGAATTAATCGCCACTCAATATACCAGAATGAAAAACACCTTTCGGTTTAATCTCTGCCACCGGTGGGGGCGGAGGTGCTTTGCTATCTTCGTCATCGCTGGAAGCATCCCAAGAATCCTTGATCCCTTCGGCCTTAGGTGCAGCTTTGGACTCATCTTCACTGCTCGCATCCCAGTCATCCTTAACCTCATCGTCGGCAACAGATCCCTCTTTCGGAGTTTGAGGCGGCGGTGTGGCCGTAGAATCTGGAGTCTCAGGCCGAGATACAGGAGCTGGAGACGCCTCCTTGGTGATGTCTTTCGCAGCTGGTCCCTTCTTCTTGCGATTGCCGTAGACCACTTTCTTTGAAGGAGCACCGTTACCCGTTGCCTGTTGAAGTCCTTCGATCTGCACGCCAGACTGAAGGAGTGCCTTTTTGCGCAGTTCGGCCATTGCACGCTCCTCCTTCTGTTTTTTGGTAAGTAAGCGACCTTCTTTGCGAGCAACCTCGCGTTTCGCCTATCATGGCGCGTTAAACCGGGTTCAGAATGACGGCGATCAGTTAAACATTACCTTCTCCTTCTCCTTGCGCCGTTGCTTTTCTTCTTCCTTCTTCCGTTCTTCTTCAGCTGCCTGGCGCTCCTCTTCCTCAATCCTCAGCCTTTCCTCTTCTTCGCGACGCTTAGCTTCCTCCTCTAACCGTTTCTTCTCTTCCATCAATGCTTTCAAGGCACTAATACCGCCCTTCTTCTTGCCCGCTGCCGCTGCCGCAGCGGGGGCGGGGGCATCCTCCTCTTTCTTTGCTTTCTTTTTCTTCTTTTTCTTATCATTTTTGCCACCGCCTGCCGCCTCTTCCTCCTCGTCGTCAGCTTCTCCCGCCGGGGGTGCTTCGACCTTGGGCACGGGTGGTTCAGGCGCAGGTGGCGCGTCTCCTCCTTCAGCAGTCTTCTTAGCGGCAGCCTGTGCTTTCTTTTTGGCCTGTTCATGAGAATACCAAGTCAGTCAAGCTTCGATAGATAGACCACATGGATCACCTTTTCGCGCTCCTTCTTCAGCTTCTCTTTCTCCTTCTTGGATAGCACCTTTATTCCAGGCTCTTCGTCATCTTCGCCGCCAGCAGAGGCGGCAGCGGGCGCAGCAGACGGAGTCTCAACGGCGTCTTCGGCTGGCGCGGCGACTCGTTGTAATTAGTTCGCGGATCCTTGGAAATGAGATGTGACATACCTGGCGCTGCTGATATATCCTCCTTCGCCTTCTTCCCCTTGCCCTTCTTCCCCTTCTTGTCTTTGACTGGACCCCACTCCTCGTCGGCTAGATCTTCGGCTGTCACCTCGATGGGACCTTTTGGCTGTACTGGTTCGGCGACTGGCTCATTATTCTCATACACATCGTCGTCGAAGTCGGCCTTTTTCTTCTTCTTGTCCTTCTTATCTTTCTTCTTATTCGCTGAGGCCTTGAGAGCCGACTACATTCACAAAGTAAATCAACGACATTATATCTAACTAGCACATGATTTGTGCATACCATCAGGCCTCCGAAGTCTTCCTCTTCCTCGGGCTCTGCGCCAGTATCCTCGACTCCTAGGGCTGCGAAAGCTGAGAACTTCGGCTTGACTGGAGGAGCATCGTCCACATCGTCATCTGCCCCGTTCGCCACATTGTTGTTAGCGACTGATTCACCAGCCTTTTCCCTAAATCTAATCAGGAGATGCGCTTGAGATGTAGGTACTAGAAACTCACCAGAAGTCGTCGTCCGTCTTCTTGCCCTTCTTGCCCTTCGTCTTTGGGGCCATGGTATATCAATGAAAGGTTGGACTGACTGACCGATCGCAGAAAGTTCAGAGTCAATATCATATTTGACAGTATCGATTATGATTACGTAAAATCTCATCAGAGGCACCTTGCTCTCGACGGTCATCTCGACATATGGGACTCTTGACGATTATCAGGAAAAATCGGCAGAAGGAGCGAGAGATGAGGCTGCTGTTCCTGTGTGCCATTTATCCTTCCGCTCACTCGTATTCGCGATACTGACGGAACCAAGAGGCCTCGATAATGCAGGAAAGACGACAATTCTAAAGAAGTTGAACGGTGAGGATATCATGACCGTCAGTCCTACCTTAGGATTCAATATCAAGACCTTTGCCCACGGACGGTAAGTCGGAAGAACTGTACTGCAGGAAATCTTCAATTATCATCTAAGCAGCTTCTTGTAGGTACACGTTGAATCTTTGTGAGTGAGACTCATTCGGTTAATGTCGCTTCGTCTTGCTGAACTTTCGAACCAGGGGACGTCGGCGGTCAGCGGACTCTGCGTCCGTATTGGCGCAATTACTTCGAGCAGACTGATGCCTTGGTTTGGGTCGTCGATTCGGGCGACCGCATGCGCATGAAGGACTGTAGAGATGAACTGCACAGTCTACTCCTTGAGGATGTGAGTACGCTACGATTCCTTCCGTATCGGTCCGATTATAGCGTGTGCTTGTATCACCTCTGACTTTAGCGACTCGCTGGAGCGTCGCTTCTGGTATTCGCTAACAAGCAGGACATTCAGGGGTCGATGAACGACGTCGAGATTCGCGATGTGAGTTTCCGTCGTGGCAGGAATTTCGTCATATCGCGCACCGAGCGCCGACTGACGACCGTGCTAGGCACTTGACCTACACTTGATAACGACGCATCACTGGAAGATCCTGTCATGTAGTGCAGTCACAGGCGAGAATCTCGTGGCTGGGCTGGATTGGGTAGTAAACGACGTCGCGAGCAGATTGTACTACAGCTCTACGTTGACGTCGACGTCAACCGCAGAGCGATCCCAGCGCGTCTCGCTATAATCAATCTTCATTTCATATTTGCCGTGTTTCGTTCCGAGCAGGTACCACTTAACTCTGCGTTGTCCTTTCCTCAAAGACCGCCATATCTTGAACCTGGAACGATCTCGTACGCCCTCCTGTTTCTCCCGTAGGCGGCGGCGCGAGCGTCCGTCGCTCTGCTCAATGATCGCTATGATGGGTCTTCTATTTTCGCGTCGCTGTACGAGCACCGTCGGTGGATATCATATGTAGGGGCAAGAATCCACATTACCGACTTATCTTCACTATAGCTTCCCCTTGTCGGCACCTGGAACGTTCAGCAATTCAAATCTCATTCAGACCCACTTTTATTCCCGATGGCATCAGCATCCTTTACGACGACAGACGCTGTTTCGTATCCAAGCCGCGACATCCCGCCCTTGGGATTCCTTTCTTGCGACCCAGAAACTCTGAGTTTTGTCGACTTTCTTTCACGCGTTTTTGCCGGCCTTTTAACACACCATCATGATTCACCTCGCCCGATATCTTCACAATCCTTCACAATGCCTGTGACCGATTGTGGGGGCTATGAACGTAGCAAGGGACTTGCCGATCACTGCGCTTACGAAGGACGGACCTTCCATACTGGTGTTCGTGCTTCTGCGGCGGATTAACATGATAAACTCAAGGGAAAGGGAGATGGTGCGGATGCGAGAGTATATGCTTAGTGAGTGGCCATTGAATTCGAGGGGGACTTTGCACGCCACAACATCAGGAAGGTCCGACTTCTTCACGAGAAGATGATGTTACATCTGCACTTCGAAAACGCCTACTCTCTATGGTGCCCCTTTGCCTGCTCTACCTCGTGTGCTGGTGGATGTTGCCTCTTGACAACGATCCGATGGCAATTATGTTTTCATACCCTTCCCCGCCCTCTTCTACTTCCATTCCGACGCCCCCGAAGGCTGGAGTGGATTGGAGTCGCAGGTACGCGTTGAATAATCAAGTTTATGATTACCGAGAGAGCCCTGATGTCAGTGATGCTCGCCGATGGGACGCTGGAAAGACCTCACTTTGTTCGCATGCTTTGATCCACGCCTCATAGCAAGACAAAGATCGCTCCAAAATCCAAGCTCATTCACGGCATACCTTCTGGCATATCCTGTCAAATACATTGCGACTGAAAATGCAATTCTGGGTTACCGCGACTGTTTAACAGTCCGTGGCACGGCGTATACGCTGTTACATATTTTGGTGTGCCAAGTATAAAGTCACAGCCACAGCGAAATGAGACTGTTACTGGCCTCTTCTGGGCTCTTACGTCGGCCGGTGTTCCATGAGGTTGTCGCGACGGAGAACTTGTATGAGCGCGACTTCAATTCCGTCTTGGAGCTGTCAGCGCTGATATCACAGTATTCTAGATCGACTTCGCCGTTGGAGGAGGTTTGTTTAAATGTGCTTTGAGTACATACGATCGATCGCTGGAAGTATTTGGCATCTTCAAACGGGTCAAAAGTTTAATCGGGTAAATATTCCGGGTTTCTCTCTGAAGCACGCGGGCTCCCCGTCGCTTAATTACCTTCAATATCAAAAGATCACATCGTTGTTCGTTCGAGACGTTTCGTAGAAGATGCCGTGAGCGGTGAAGGACAACACCCGTGAGGTTCCCGTTGGCAATTTCTGATTTATGTAGGCGGTACCTTTATCTTGCTTTGATTTCTCAGAAGGCTAATGTCTTACCAACTACCTGTTCACCCCAAAATTATGAACCCCAGGCGGTCGGTGGGTCGACAGTATCAGTAGGATCTTGGGAGTCATTATTATTGTTAAGGTAATATCCAACAATCTCCATGTGTGTGACCCTATGATAACGAGTCAGTATGTGAAGACTCGGTGAGAGATACGCGCGCTGTTGTGGCGAATCTGCAAGACTGCATCTTAGTCCGGGAGCAATGATAGGTGTTGTTGACGTCGCCATCAGAAACGGGCGTAGTCCAAGAAATAGAAGAGAAAGCATTTGTGGTGTCTGTGCGAAGTTACACCGAAAGCCTCCACCAGCAAGCAAGGATGTATAGATCGCGACATGGAGTTGACCGATGGTCGCGTCGGAGGGTTTACCACCGTGTTAGGAGTTAGGAGGGAACATAGATGTGCCCGTACTCCATCGTCGACACTTCTTGCTTGCTCCATAGCACGCTCTATACAGAAATCTAGCCAAGTTCTACATTTAGTGAGTATGTCATGCTGACGGGCTTCCGTCGAATATTAGCGGTATACTACCTCCGCGCTGGGATGATCGTCGCTGACTTGTAAAGCTCTTGCGTAGTTTCCCATAGCATGCTATAGACAACCTATTAAGCGGGTGTTGTATATACCACGTTGTAGGGTAGCGAGCGGCAGAGAATGAGAGATTGCGGACACCAGCGCAAGGAAATAATTGCATGCGTGAGGACGTAAAGATGCGCTGTGTTGTTCCCTGAAGCACATGTATTTACTGCTTAGAGGAGGTAGACGACTGGTATGTATGTGAGAAAGACATACAGCGTTGTCGGTGGCTGTCTGGGGCATCTTCGCCGTGGAAGAAAATCATTCCGGGGTATAGCCAGTAAGTAATTGTGGGTAAGTAAAGAATAAGGAACGGTTCACAAGCCCAACTCGAACTTCTTTGTTGCGGTGAATGACGGACGACCACAGCGGTTGAACCCCAGGCGAACCCCAATGATCCTGGGATCTCACTTCCGGATTTGGCACGTGCCCAAAGTCGAATCCTCAGATTCCAACAGACTCTTGCCTTGAGGCTTGCGGCAGTGAACGATTGATCCTGTAACTGGGAATTGGAATTCAAGGTGGTTCGGTGCACTTCGGTTCATCGCGACGAGGCTCACTTGCCTCCAGAAATCAGCAAGGTAGGTACACCAGTTGTCTCACAGGCTACAACTCTCCGGCTCACCACCGGTACCCTTCCTCCCCCTTCTTCCAGGAAATTTATATATAATAAATATAATATCTCTCTGTCCATCAAACCTCAGTGGAGTTTACATCTTCTTCACGAGCACATCTACGCCCGTGAGTGTCGACCAAGGATCCCCTTTTGGCCCTTGTCAGACTCAGCCTGCGAAACACACCAAATCGACCCTGCTGGAATGACCTGCAGGCAGCCATGGACACCATTTCCAAAACTCCATGATCCATCTGACAACTGGCGAATCCCCTTCTTTGGTTCTTCGCAGATTTACTACCTTTGCCGATCTTCATCCACCAGATCTATTATCTCTTGCGGCCCCTTCAGGAGCTTATAAGAGGCCTCTCTTTCGTGCTTAATGTCTGCAGCACTTGCATCCCACAAAAGTCTCTCTCCTCCACACTCCTCACAACCTCCAAATGCCTTCCACAACACCTGCATCTACGGCTTGCGTCGAGGTCTTCCCCTCGTCCAAATGCCAACGCGCCCCGTCGCTATTTTCTGCTGTCTTCAGCCCCAGCACATGGCTTTCGACCTTTGGTTTGTTGTTCGCGACATACCTCCTGTCTCTCTTACTCATCGCAATTCGATGATAGCCCGGACATCCATCCTCTCTGTCCTTGACGGCGCGATAAACATCGGCCACCTCACAATCTCCGATTCCGAAGGGGTGCACTGTTATGGGACACGCCATAAAGGTTGCAATGACGTCTACATAAAAGTCGTGAATGACTACTTCTGGACTCGACTCTTACTGTAAGCCTTTATTCTACATGGACCAAATATGACAGACCGCTGATCTCTCATTTGTTCTACAGATCTGGAGATCTAGGCTGTGAGATTTTCTGTCCCACTCCACAATGTGGCTATGTGTACTGAGAGACTTTCTAGTTAGCGAAGCGTACATGATTGGCGATATCCAGGTTGACGACCTCAAGGGCGCCATGAAGGTTTGTACACGCACCTTATCAAACCGCATGGCAGGACTAATATACGACCTCGATAGCTATGGCTCGAAAACCAAGCAGGCATGGAGGAGACTCTGTCCTCAACGCTTGCTCGAGTCTCTTCAACGCTCACCGGACTTTACAACGGCATACTGGGCCAGACTCAGTCGCAAGCTCGCCTAAACGTTATTGCTAGCTACGATCAATCAAACGAGCTGTTCAAGGTAATATCCCACACGCCTGTCGCGGAAACAAATTCTAATCATAGATCCTCTAGGCGTTCTTATCCAAAGAAATGATGTATTCTTGTGCTTTGTGGGGCGAAGCCGAGAATGGTGTTAGAGGCGACTTGGAGTTCGGCCCAACTCCAGGGGATCTAGAAGCTGCGCAACGTCGTAAAATCCACCATGTTCTTCGTCAAGCTCGGGTACAACCCGGGCATCGCATTTTGGAATTCGGGAGCGGATGGGGAGGTCTTGCCATTGAGGTCAGTCATTCTTGAAGTGAATTGCCCAGTTCTTTACTTACGGTTGCCGATGGCATAGGCTGCCCGCACCTTCGGATGTGAGGTTGATACCCTTACGCTTTCGATCCAGCAGAAGACGTTGGCGGAGGAGCGAATTCGGGAAGCAGGGCTCGAGGGCCGCATCCGTGTGCACCTTCTGGACTATCGAGAAATACCCGCCGAGTTCGAGAAGGCCTTTGATGCTTTCGTCTCCATTGAAATGCTTGAAGTAATTCTATTCCCCTGTGCTTACGTGGGGCAGGGGCTGATAAAGCGGCATTCTTTCACAGCACGTTGGCTCCAAATACTACAACACGTATTTCAAGCTTGTGGACTTTGCTCTCAAGTCGAAAAACGCCACCGTCGTGGTCAGCGCTTCTACTTTCCCTGAATCGCGATTCTCGAGTTATCAGTAAGTTTCTCCCATAGCTATTGTAGTAATAAGCGCACGCCCCTGACACCCCTCTTCTCAGAGCGGAAGATTTCATGCGTCGCTATATGTGGCCCAACTCGTGTCTGCCGAGTGCAACAGCCTTGATAACCGCTGCGCAAGCCGGTTCTCAGGGAAGATTCACTTTGGAGTCTGTTGAGAACCACGCCGCTCGTGAGTGCTCTGCACTTTCCACCGTTGAATGGCCCGCTAATTGCCGACCGCCCCGATCCTTGCAGACTATCCACGCACTCTTCGTGAATGGGGACGCCGCCTGGAAGCAAACTTGACACAAGATCTTGTTGTCAAAGATTACCCATCGCTTCGAGAGAAGGCCGACTATGAGGCGTTCACGAGAAAATGGCAATATCTATTCGCCTACGCTGGTGCCGGCTTCGCAAAGGGATACATAACCTGCCATATGCTCACATGGATACGTGAGGTGAGCTATTTTATACTTTCATCCGCAATCCCGCGAAGACTAAACATTGCCCGTTTGTTCCAGAATGATACGCCAGAGCTATGTGATTAGTTCCGAGAATGTCACGGCATACAAAATCGAAGCATCAAGAGCTGCAAGGCGTCGATTCCTGTGGCTCTGGTTGTATATCATTATTCTTTCCCTTGGTCATCCCGTTGGACTTGGCACGTAGACTAGATTGCTTTATCTCGATGATACCACGCATTATTTTTAGGATTTCTCTCTGTAAAAATATGATCTATAGAATTCATTTGCATTCATTCAATCACTGCGGCGCGTGTATTCTGATGATTGCTTTATCGTCTATGATCAAACGTTCTATGTCCGTCCGTATTGACCCCGATGCCGACGTTATCACGGTCCTGTTTTGCCTGCAGGGCTTTAAGATTAGCTTCGGAGGGTGTCATGAATTGACGCATTCGAACAAGGACAAACGGACGTCTAATCTTATGCAGGCATCACTTCATCATGCTCCACATGTTTTCTTGCAATGATTACTACCTGTAGGGACATCGCTAGCAGCGTTCGTTAATCTCGGCCAGTCACAGCGCACGGCTTGCGTCCCTGAACCATCCCATGCAGCAACCCAGGAAGTCAGAAACCTGCACGGTTGTCGATGAGGTGAGTAAAACCACACGATACGACAGCGGGAAGCGGACCTCGCGCAGCACATTCCATCTAAACAGGTCGTGTGGGCCAGGTGGGGTCTCCAAAGCTTCAAGGCTAATTTCATAACCGGCGCGGTTAGGCGGGGGTTTACTTCCAGCATCGATTACTGGGGCAAAGGCAAAGTAGGGTTGTCCCTGAGCAACTCGCCAGCTCACCAGCTGCTTTATCATATCCGGTAGATTGAGTAGCATAACGAATTCCGATTGATGTATAACGACGGACGGATATAGTACTGTGCGATGGAGAAAAACATACATGATGATCTACTGAATGGGTTATGTAGACAATACAACTATAACATCAGATTACCTATGAACTATAATATAATTGCAAAATTACGACAGCGAACGTGTAGGATCCAACTTAGATAACCAAGCATTAAGCTCCTTCGTGCTTGGAGCCGCGAGCGCGTATGAATTCGACGATGTGAAAAGAGTGAATGTGTGAGGTTTCTATGAGATATGAGTATGAGTACGAGAAATCTTTGGACGGAGATGAGAAACGCACCCCGAGTAACAATTCCTTCTGGGGATCATTCTCAATGTTGACGCCAGACAAATTGACAACCCCGAGTTCTTCGACCTCGTTTGACCGCGAATACATATGGAGGTACGGGCTGCAGGGATTAATGTGATCCATGTCAATGTCGATATCAGACGATGTGAAGTTTTGGACGCACCGTTTCAATACAAACCAACGCCGCTCCCATATGTCTTCGTTGGCGTTGACGAGTATGTTGAGATGCCCCTTCTTGACAGCGGTGTCGCTGGAAATGAAAGTCAGCGCAGTTCACGCCACAAGATCATCGAGAGTTTACATCCGAGGTACAAGCTTGGTTTCGGAGATCAATTTCAAGCCTTCCATAGTCTCAATGTCTTGCATGCTTGGTAGGGACGAAGTCGATTCTTCGGGGTCTGTTGGATCCTGGCTGAGTACAATCTGAAGGTAAGAAGTTGAGTAAATAAGATAGCCGGAGTGTTAATCGGTGAAAGTGCCCGTACCTCTCCACGATGGCCGAATTTCTTGTGCCACAAGTCTAGCGACTTCTTGAGTAGATCTTCGGATCGCCAGATGTTGGATTCCGGGGCTACCTGTCGAACTCGCGAGTGGGCTAAAATAACTCGGATGGCTTGAACATCTGCGGCGCGTCGTTCTGTAGCTACAAGCCGGTTGTAGTCTTCGACGACCGAGATACCACGGGGTTTCCAGACGCCAAGTGCCTCCTCCCCACGAACATACTTTTCGGAAGTATCAAGCCGCCAAAGGTCTTTGGGTGAGCGAGTAAGGGGAGGGGAGAGTCGCACGCTGAAAACAGTACTAGTCTTGTACAGCACTTTCTTTCCGCCCAATATTCTTAGCAACCCAGAGGGTGGTCTGGCGTCCCGTGTTTGCATGGTGATGGCAACGTCCATGCTGAATTGAACAGGCTCGGCGCAGGTTTCTACCGCAATAGCCCAGGTCAGTTGTAGGAGCACTCGGTGATCGGGCGACGTGACTTTGTTCAATAGGGCGGAGTCGTGAACGCTGGAGTCATACAAAGCTGTTGCAGAAAGGACGCCACTGCCATCGGCTTTGAATTCGAGTGATTGCTCTTTAAGCAGAGGCAGAGGTACCAATGCTTTCGACGAGCTTCCGTGTATTCGTCCTTTGGGGTCCACTAAGCGTACGTTGCCAATTCGAACTTTGGTAAATTCTAGCCAGGGAAGTTGCCGACCAGAACTGGACGATAATGAAATAACGATGCGCCGCTGCAGCCCCTGATGCAAGGTAAATGAACCCGGGTCAAGAGAACCTTGAGAGATCACGGGCACGGGCGTATACTCGCCATCGGAACCAAGTTCGCATACTTGAAGCCACGAGACGACGTCATGGGTTTGCTGAACGACGAAATCGTTCTCAGAACGTCGCATCAGTGGCAGGGTAGCTGGCTTAGCTTCAGGGGTAGGAGAATTCGAAGGAGGAAGGAACTTCTGTTCCCTCATTTCATCCCAACGCTCTAATCTCTCTAGGTAAGTGGGTCTGATAGCGGCGAAGAATTCCACTGGTGCATAGCCCTGGCGAAGGTGTGACAATGTCTTCGATGACGCAACAATGGAGAAACTGCGACGGAATTTCAAATCCGACAGGGAGGAATTCTCCAGGTTGATTGCTAAGGAAGGGAAAACCTCTTCAGAAGCTAACGCGGGTCCTACTAGGGAGGACAGCCGGACTTGTAGATGGACGGCAGAGAAATCATGAGAGGAGAGGCCCTTGATCGAGTCGACGGTCAAGAAGAAACTCAGTTTGCTTCCAGGAGGAACGGCGCCAGGATTGGGAGATGAAGACCGGGTAGAAACCGCTGAGCCGTTCGTAAGCTTTTGCGGAACCACGACGTTGACAATCTTGATGTCTATTCGGCAGGAGCCTATGGCTTCACAAGTATAGCGGCAAAAGATCGGAACGGTGGAAGTTGAGGAAAGGCGGCGAGAAAGAGAAGCTAACGAGACGAGCGCATTGCCAATGAATGAATACTCCGGTGGCGGCGAGTCGTAGAAGGGTTCATCGGAGGAGAAGTGTTGGGTATACGATGGCCGATCAATAAACGTAGTAAGATTGCGCATCCGTTGCAGTTGATGTTGCATACGGTCAAGGGACCATGTGTAGATAGCGTTATGACGCTTGTCTAGAACCTTGACGGCCACAGCAGGTTGCGTAGAGGACGCTAAGACTGGGTCAGCAACGTCACCGAATTCATCTAGACCAGCGATGGTATCGACGGCCGATGTGGGTGCAGCCAATGAGCCACCAGATGAGATCGTGAAATTGTATACAGTCTCCTTGCCCAGTTCCTTGCTGGTTGACGTCAGAGAATGTTCTGACCAATGGCATAACATAACACACCTGATGATGTTGGCTTCTTTCACCACGACAGCATTGGACAACACAACTTCTGCCATCGAAAAGGAACGATGCGCCCGCCATTTGTCCAGGACCTTCCTGATCAGTCGTAGTTGTTTCGCGGAATAAATAACTGGCTCGTAATCGGCCAAAACAGCATCTGTGTCCCCACGGGCACGAGCATCGAGAAGCCGCTTTATCTGATTGCGAACGAGATTTAGTTGATGCTCCATGTGTTCCTTTTCGACTTTCAAATCTTCGGCTTCAACTATGTCGCCGTTCATAACTTGCAACCGGTTTTCGAGTTGGTCCTGTGTATCGCGGAGAACATCGCCTATCTCGGGACTTCCGTGACTGGGTAATGCATCCACACTGGTATCATCGGTAGCATCGCTAGGCAATGGTCTGCCGGTTTCGCTCCAGACATCGTCAGCCTGACTGAGGCTGCTTTCGGGCCGTGATTTGAGATTGTGGTCTCGCATTGTCTTGACCTTGGTAATCTTCTCGAAAAGCCGATTGAGATCATCATCCGGGAGGTTATCTAGCTGAGGGTCCAGTCCAAGTCGCGCGTAAGCCGCCTCTCGTTTAGCAAATGTCCAATCGACATCGACATCGCCCGTAGATGAAGCTGGCGAATCTGGCCGAGTGATAGGGGATCCGTCGCCCTCGAGCTGCTCTGCGGTGAGACTCTGTTGAAGATTGGATTTTGCAGTGGCGCGATCCCGCTGCTTGCGAACTTCCTCCGGATTATTGAAACGGAAGACATGGTTATCACCTGCGCGAAGTCAGATATTAGGGTTGCGATTGAATTACGAGAGTATGTACCTAGAATAATGCGAAAGCCGGACCGTAGTTTATACGGCTAATTCATTCACGGGAATAAGCGTTCAGGATAACAGGTGTGTAAGCACACTCACTTGACCAGGTGTGAGTTGCTTGCCATTGAGGAACTATTAAGGGCAGTTGAATAAGATCAGAAAGGCCGATTCTTATCTTATCACAAGGAACTCACTGTGACGCTGTCCGGCATGGAGTGGAGGAAGACCTTGCCATCACTATTATTCTCAAAGTAACAGTGTTCTTCCAGAATGTTGTCGCCACTCAATCGAATAGCTGCGGGCTTCTCACTATCCAGACGGGCAACCTAGATCCACGACGTGGGTGAGTTCACTGTAATCCAAAGGAAGAACCTAGGGGTTTTACCATAGTTCGCCCTGGCTTTATTTGATAGATAAGACACTCGCTCATTAGTGGATCTAGAAGAATTAGCAATGAGTTTCGCGGATATACATGAATCTGAGGATAGGGGGTCGATTGTATTTAATCAACGAACCTTCGTTCTGAGTGACAAGCCCATCTGGTTAGCCTGCACACACGTAGATCCGATGAAGGAGATGGACGCACCAAATTCACTAAGTGAGGCATCTAAACATAGACAGGACCGTCATAAGCATAACGCGAAGGTTTGACTGAATCAACACCAAGTTGTGAACGTGATTCACCTTCTTTGGTGTATGCACGCCGACCAGATTCTTTTCCACAGTTATGCCCAACTCTTCAAGCGCCTTCTCCCGCTCCTTCTGTACTTCCTGGGTCCGTTGCATCTTCTGTTCCCATGTCTCGTTCAAGCTCTGCATGAGCTTCTCACCCGTCTCCATCTGTTCCTGCAATTCTGCCTTCGTCACGGTCTTGATCTTGCCATCCTTCGTCTGGTAAGTGACTTTCTGCTTCTCAGGCGGTATCGTTGGATCGAATGTATCCTCTGCCGTTGAACCAGAGACGCGTGCTAGTAGAAATGAAATCAACGTCAAACGTCAGCCCGCGCCGTCGTCACATGGAAAATACGGGGAAAGCTGTGGGGAAAAACGCACCTCTGAGCATCTCTAATTCCTCCTTGAGTTCGCGTACCAGCTTCGCGTTCGGATCCTCGTTCACCACAGCCTTGTTCTTTATCTTCTTTGCCTGATCGGCATACCGCAACGTACTCAGAGTCTCTTCATAATCAGCTGGGGATATAGCTGCGATCATCGCAGTCTTCGAATTGCCCCCCAGACTGTCTTTGAGTAGCCACGTTAATACCTAACGGAACAATCCATCAATGCGATCAGAAACAGGGACAGGGGAAGATGCAGAGTAGCAAAAGAACGGTCAGCGCCATCAGTTCACTGGTAAATGAAGTGAGCGCGCACCGAGTCGCGATAAGGGACGAACTCGTCTGCCTTCCCTTTCTTCCCCTTCTTCCCGGGATCTACTTGGCTCGCCATCGCAAGAGCTGAGATGACCTTGCCTAGGGTTGTCAGAGATTTATTGATGTTGGCTCCTTCCTTCAGTCGCTGTCCAGTAGCACCCGTCGAGTTTGCTCGCTCTGAACCAGCCAGATCGATGAGACTAGTGAACGCGATCTCGTTAGCAAGCCCGTCACAAGGTGTGAAGGAGGGCGGAATAGCGAAACGACGAGCTCACTTAATTCGAGATACCTTTTCAGTATCCATGTTAGTTTCCACGTCATGCCGCTTCATGGTCAACAGCAACGTGAATACGGCATGAGAACGGGAGGATCTGCGGGGCGTGAAGTAAGTCAGCGGTCAGTCATTGCGAAGTTCGAAAGTAGAGGCGTGGTTGACGGGTGGGGTGAGGGTGGATTATTGAGGACAGGAACGGTGCACGGAAGGTGGAGGTCGGGAGTGATCTAGGAAACGGGGAGGACAGAAAGGTAGAAGCACGCACGTTTCATTCATATTGGTAGCCGCGACCGTCCGTGCCTTGTTTCCTTCGTCCATGAGAGTCATCATCTCGTCGTAGCTACTGACGACGAGCTTGGAGAGGTCTTCTACATAGGGCCCAAGACTTGGGTGTTCTCGGACACGCAGGTTGCCTGTATTCTTAGGGTTCAGCAGGTCTCGAACCTTTTCATTGTAAATCTAAACATGTATTTATAGCACGGGCAAGGGAGCTCGGGTGAGCATCTTAATCGGTGGAGAATATGCGCCGAGCGGTCGTACCTCGATGTAGGAAACTTCGACAGTGAAGTGGACGTTGGGATCAGCGGCCGTCTTCTGCTCGACTCGCACGAACAGTTCAGAGCAAGTCTGAGGGATGATTCCCTTGTCAGGTCCATCTGGGGAAGGTCAGGATCGAAAGCGAGAATCTCAACGAGCAGCACTTACAGCCCATCATGCTTTAGAACAATTGTTCATGGTGAACAACTATCCCCGGATAGACAGAGGTGCGTACTTACGAGTAGGACTTTCCCGAGCCTTTGCAGTTTGTGTGAGTTCTAAGAAACGCCGCGCAAAGGATAAGATCGCGTACCAGTTTGCCCATCTAATCAAAAAGCTAATAAGCTACGTTTCACGGATAGAGGCGTGCATTGCACTTACAGGCCAGAATACACGCATTGAACCCCCCGAACGAATGGTCCAGCAGCTCCTTGCCAAGATCATCAAATAGGGTTTGCTGAGAACAATAGCCTGGCTCGTCGCGCGGGCCCGCCGACCAGTAGCTCTTGTCGAAGGCAAATGCGAGTGTCTTGCGCTCCGTCGCTCGTTTCGCATCCTGTGAAGAACCAGCCTCTGGGGGATCAAGAAACGTCTGGTTCCCTTGCATGCGAATGAGAGGCTTTGCGCCTCGCGCGAGTTCTGAGCGTGTCGAGAGTGATGATATATACAGGTGTCCATGGTTATAGGGTAGTATAGAACGCACCGCGTGAGTTCAGCGGTCGACACCGCACGACCACTTTAATATTTCCATCTCCTCCTTCAGACATGGGTAATCCGTTCGTTTAAATATTGAATAGATATAGCGAGATGAGATTCGTCTAGTGCAGAAAGCGTATTCTGCGCGCGTCGTGAGGCGGGGTCGCCGCGACAAAGCTATACTTGAGAGACTTGAAACCGAGGCGTCGTAAAGAAATCCAATGTATTCGATAATTCTAGAAATGATAGTGGTTCATGCGCGAATTTGAAACGAGGCAGTTGGCGGGAGGAGAGAACAAATGGACGGGCGCCTATTTGCACGCGTGTGGCGGATGCTCATCAAATTGTTTTCTTTCCTCCAGTCGCCCTGATGGTTAGAAAGCTCAAGCACCACGAGCAGAAGCTTCTCAAAAAAGTTGATTTTCTCAACGTACGCCCTTGGTTTTTTCACCTCGGTCACCATCAATGCTCACGGCTATCAGTGGAAACAAGATGCGAACCTCCGCGAGATAAAGGTCCTCCGTCGTTACCACATCCAGAACCGCGAGGATTATCACAAATACAACAAATTATGCGGCTCGTTGCGATCCCATGCGCACCGACTCTCCATGCTCCCAGCACAGGATCCCTTTCGCTCCCGAATGGAAGGCCAGATGCTTTCGAAACTGTACGATATGGGCGTCCTGAACTCGACGGCGAAACTCTCAGATATCGAGAACAAGTTGACCGTGGCGGCGTTCTGTCGGAGACGGCTGGCTGTCTACATGTGCATGTCCAAGATGGCGGAGACCGTTAGTGCTGCTGTCAAATTCATCGAGCAAGGCCATGTTCGTGTCGGACCCGATACTATCACTGATCCAGCGTTCCTTGTGACAAGGTACGTATCCCCTATGCTACTCTCTCGCGAAAAGACTAAATGAAGTCGTGCTCTAGACATATGGAAGACTTCGTTACCTGGGTCGACACGTCGAAACTCAAACGCACGATAATGTCGTACAATGATGAAGTGGGTGTTCGGCCGATATCCGCTGCGAAGCGGTGGAACTGACCTCTTTTTTCTAGCTCGACGATTTTGATTTGCTGTAGGGCGCCTTCGAAAAGTATCACGCAATTGTCGTAATAATATCTCTACGATTGACTGGCTGCTTTCCCGGTCATGGGAGAGACGACGGGCTCAATGCTCCTAGCGAGAATAGGGGATCACGTGATCCTCCTATTGCAACGAATCCAACTCTGGGATGGCACGGTGAAGTAGCTTGCTTCGATATGAACGTGTGTATGTTACGTTACGTATTAGCCTCAACAGAGATTGGTGGTACCAGCGAGCGTGGCGCTGTAAAATCCAGTTTATGGCGAAATGGTCACTTTGTAGCTAACTGAGAGCGTCGCAATCATGCAGGCATTTTTGAGGCCGCGTTTCAACATTGTAAAATTGACGGAGCTGATTGATCTTCATTGCTGCGAGACTCCTTGCACAGCAGGGGAAGTTGCTGTTTTGATGAATTTTCCAAGTTGATGTGGGGCACGTGTCGAAGCCAGTTGGGTGTGAGAAAATCCGAGTTCATCGACGACGACGACGGAGGACGACGGCGAGCCCGACGATGAACGCCAACATCGCACAAAACCCCCTGCTGCGGCCTGCACTGCCGCCAGCACAGCGCTCGACGATACCACAGACGATGGGAATGCTGGCAAATGGCTCAATGACCGACCCCAATACCATCTACCAAGTTCAGATGAACCAGGTGATGAACCAGGCAGGAGGCAATCTGCAGCACCGTCCGCAACAAATGCCCGTGCGCGGCGGCCCCCCGAACATGCAGAATATGGGCAACGTCGGCGTCGGCATGAACCAGCATATGCTCGCCCAGGGCATGCCTTTCGGCCACTCGCAGCAGCAGCCGATACGGCGCGTGCCGTCAAATCAACCAGCACCGCACTTCAACCAACAAATGGCCATGCCCATGAACCCAGGAAATCCGAATCTGCCCAACATGGCCTTTCGACCACATCCTGGGCAGCACATGAACCCTCAGATGCCCCGAAACGTCGGCGGCATGCAGACTATGACCCCAGAGATGCAGATGTCGATGCGTCAAGCTGGAGGGCCCCCTACGAACCAGGGTCCGGGGATGGGGGGCGGGATGGGAATGGCTGGGTTGCCCGCCAATATGGGTGGAATGCCGAATAATCGACCGCCACAACTCATGGGTGGACAGCCGATAGGCCCTCACCTCCCAAACGGAATGAACAACAGCTTCAACCCCGTACAGCCGCCCCAAATGACTTCCTCTCCCCGTCCTGGGTCATCACACATGCAGAACCAACCCTCCATTAGCCGTGCACGGATGACCCCCGAACAACACCAGCAGAACCTGTTTCAAAACGGCCAGCCATTTCCTGGCGGCGCGCGGATACCGCCTTCGAACGGACAGTTTCCTTTCGTACCATCCACTGTATCACCAAACCAGGGAGTCGGGGACGTATCCCATCAGCTAGGCCCTCCATTTAATCCTGCCGGCGGGTCGGGCGCGCCTGGTAATGGTCCTGGTGGGCCAGGTCGGATGCAACCTGGGAGGGCGGACAGTGCAGGATTTCATGTTACCCCCGCTCAACAGTTCGAACAGATGAGCAACGGCGAGAACTTCCCATCTGGTTCATTTCCCCCTCAACGACCGCCTTCCCAACACCATACGCCACACACCCAGCATAATACGCCTCAAATGCGAACTTCTTCGCCGCATCCTCATTCATCTCCGCAACAACATCCACAGCAACGGATACACACTCCTTCCAACTCCCACATGCATCCCCCGCCTCAAAGACCACAGTCTCAGGGGCGACCGCCTTCGCAGGCTGGTCACAGAACCCCCAACCCTAATCATTCTACCAGCAATCCTATGACACCGCAAGGCATGCAGTCTAATCCGATGATGCCACCAGGCGGGCGGATATCAAGACAGCAGCAGCATTCATCAACAACTCAAATCCCTCAAGGAGCGGGTCCTACGCAAACCCTTGTCCAGCAAGCGATGCCTCCCAATCAACCCCTTGTTGCAGTCCAGCAAGGCCCTCCCCGCCCCCCCATGCCTCCAGGCCAACCACCGAATGGTAGCGAGAACAACCAAATGATGAGGACACAGCAGCCAATACCAAGCGTGTTCGTTATTTGCTGGAGTGTTCTAAATTTATACGTCGTCGTTAATATCTGTTACTTCTAGCATCCAACCGCCAGTGGGCAGTGGTCAAGGCTTAATACGATTGCTCCAATTCAGTGGTATCCTATCAGCGAACGACAATTTCCAAAAGGTGAGGCTCCCACACAACATCTCGGGCGGCATCTCGACTTTTGCCGCTTACTGACTCATTTCAACAGAAACTACAGCTATCATGGTGGAAAGAGTTGATCAAAGACTATTTCGCCCCGAAAGCCATCATGAAGTTCACTCTCTGGAAAGACAACTCGCGGCAGGAAGCCAAGCCTTTTGGTAAGTGGTACACCACCATCCCACCAATATGACAGGAAACTGAAGTAGGCCCTAACATACGTAGAAATTGGCACTGCAATTCTCCCTCGGTTTTTTCTCGTTACGGCACAATCTGGCGTCAAATCTATGTCCCTTTCACTAGATGGCGCACGCGAACGGCTATACACAACGGGTCATTCAATAATCGAGTGTGTTACGGCGGTATGGACGTACAAGTATACCAATGGGTATACTGTGACGCTACGCGGACCCCTCACGGTGCATGTCATCATCTCAGCACCAACCCCACCGAGCACCGGCTCACCTGGACCAAATGGTGGTGGAGGCGCAAGCCCACCTTCCGCGCTGCTGCGGTTTGAGGATTTTCAGTTCGATGCCCTGTACCACGATAAATACATCGCTGTCGAACATATCGAAGGTATAGAGAACACGATGAACGGCCCTATGCCCGAGGTGGGACCGCCAGTGCAGAACGGACAAAACCAGAACACGGATCGTTCGGATGAGCAGAGGGTACCTGTGGAACGAGGGTCTGTACCATTGGGGCCGGTGAATGCTTTTGGCATACCCCAGGCAACAATGCGATGTCTCGAGGTATGTCTAACCTGTATATTGAATGGATACCGGCGTGCTCATATCTCCTCCAGTTGGCTGAGAGTGTGGGCCAGATGGCCGACTTAATTTCTTTTACCAACGAAACTGGTCTAGGGCCCATGGGTAAGGACGTGCAAGCTTCGTTTATAACACGGCTGACCGTCTCTGTAGACGCTCTGAAGCAGTTTGCGCAGAATCTTCGAGACAAGGGGTTGTCCGTCCCACCACAGATGCACACAACGCCGTTCGTGAACGGAGGTCCACATCCTCAACACCCATCATATCCCCCACCCCCACAGTTCAACCAGATGGTCACCAATGTTGGCCCACCACAAGGAGCCGTATCAACACATTACCCTAACGTCATACCCTCGTCCAACCCTCTGCCTGGGTCGATAAATTCGCCGCAGGCCTCTACGTCTGGCGGCAATTCACCACAGAAGCAGCATAAGACGATACCCCAACAACAACAAGGACAACAACCTATGAACGGCGCCTCATCTAGTTCCGCCACTACTCCTGGTGTGTCGACAACCGGCGGCAACACTCCCTCGATGGCGAATGCGACATTGAAGCGGAAACAGGGGTCGGAGACCGCTTCACCTACAACTTCACATGCTGACCAGCCTCCACTAAAACGCCAAGGTCGAAAAAGAAAAGCAACACAGAGCTAGGTGCTTTATTTCCGTATGTATATACTGGTTTCTCGTCTCGCACTTTTTGCTTTCAGATATTTGGTCATTTGTGATAATTAACATAGATATATACCGTACCATTACTCTACATCAATATGCATCGTTGTGCGTCGTCCCTTATCAGTCTATTTATTATTCCTTTGTACTTGTATCAGTAATAGTATTTTCGTCTTCGGATCTGATGTTCTTCTCGGAGCTGCACCTTCATTGACGTTGCCCTTGAGCGCTTCCCGGCCCTGTTTCCTGTATCTTGTTTGCTTGCTTTGAATAAACGGACGGTGCGAATTGCATAGGAGATATGAATGGGGGATGCAAAGTGTAATATGTATGTGCCAGAATGATGAGGTATACACATGATGAGTAAGTATATGGATGTATAAAGATGGCTACCGTATAATTTAGAATGTTCTCCAGGTCTTCAGTACATGGTACCGTTCGGGGTTTCATGTATAAAGTCACATTGATCCCCATACCGACATCTGTGAAAATTCGGGATTATATTAGTTTTACGCTCACGCGAATTATGGATTGTGCTCGCCTTCCAGCCGCATAGAAACTGCAAATTCGCTTTTTATTGTGTCTATGTCCGCCGTCCTCTCCTCTGCCTCTGCCTCTGCCTCGCCCACGACCGCGCCCCCTTTCGGATGGCCATTGGTCACGCGTATCCTCATCATGATACCCTTGCCCAAATTCGGAATACGTATTATTCCACGCCTGATCGACATTTCCATATGGCTGTGCGGGTTGGTTATTCCCGAGCTGCTGCAGGAGGGACTGCAGTTGAGGCATCTGTTGGGCAATAGCTGCTATCTGCTCGAAATTGAATTGTGCACCACCTAGCTCAGCACCACCACCATTCTCGGGCGGCTGGGAATAGTCCATCCCCACTCCCGAGCTAATCTGCCCCAGGAGATCGCTCACGGTGCTAGTAGGAGGGACCTCCGGTTCTGGTGCCCAAAATATAGCATCAGCTTCGGGACCACAGGTCATCGTTGCCATGTCTTTGATAACTTCCTCTTCGGGTAATACTTGCGACGGCTCGCCTGGTGTGTCCGGGATGTGTTGAGGCGCCATGTACACAGCACCCAAGACGGTCTGTTCGCGCTTCTCCTGCACCTCTCGCTCTTCGCTTTCCTGTCCTCGCAAGGGTGGAACGATTGTTGAAGAGAAATCGATCACTATGAAAACAATCACACCATTATCGGCAGTTGAGCGGATTAAGATTTCATTGGATGACAGACATAATATTGAAATTTGCTTACGGATGGGTTCAGACCAGTCTACAGTTTCTTCAAAAATATGCGTGTGCAACGCAGCTCCCTCGCCCCGCTCCAGTTCGCGCAAATTGCTGTGCAAGACATGCGCACCCTGTATCGCAAAAGTGCACGGATGCAAAAAAGGGAGCCCATTAATGTACAGTACAGTTAAAGCAAGCAAGCGAAAGTAGCTGACATCTACTGGATCGTCATCGTAAATGGCTTTCTCAATGAGACGTATATTCTCAAGCTGGCCATCCGGAGCCCATGTGACGCTTTTTCGCTTCTTTGTAGATTTGGAAGAGTTCAAGGGTTGGAGGGGGGTGTCCACTGGTGTGGCGGAAGCGGGAGGCGGTGTTTGAGTGCTTGGTGACTCTTTACGGCCCTTGGCCATGAACTTCAGAGCCTCCTGAAAAGGATCTATAGAAGAGGGCTGAGCTACATTCGTATCTGGTTCCTTCTTGACCACAGCAGCAGGGGGGGCCTTCTTGAAACTCGGTAGTTTAGGCTTCGGCTTCGGCGCGGAGAAGAAAGAGGAATCAGATTTGGCGTCCTTGACCGCAGAAACCGCAGGCTTGACTTCCTTCTTTACCATTGGTTTGACCGATGACGAAGTTCCCGTGGCCGGCTTCTTCTGGGGAGGCACCGATTTGGATGACGGGGGTTCACTGAGCTTGCGTTTCTTCACCTTGAAATCTATGCTCAGCGTCAGATCGACAGGACATCGTATAGCGGATGGACATGACTCACCCTCTGATTTTATGTTTTCGGGTGGCTTTGCCGCGTCTGGGGGCGATATTAAGAGACGCCATCTCCGTTCAATATTCGAAGCCATGTCCTTGATCGCTGCACAATAGGTTGGTAAATTACAATGACAACAAGATTCGTTGTATATTATAATAGCATTGGAATGCAGTCCGTGTTGAGTCGAGATAGGCTGATTCCCTCATTTGGGTACGTGAAGACAGTGGAGATGAACATACCAGCTGAAAAGTCTTCCTTGCTAATCTTGACGATGACCTTACCGAGCTTGGAGGTTTTCAATAGCTCTACCGTCAGTGGCAGTCGATCAAGAAGCTTGCAAACAATCTCAGTGTACCTCGAGTATGTTCATCGGCGATACACTTACATGGAGGAGCGGCATGGTAGTTTCGGAAAGCGGATCGCCCGTCTTTGCAGCCGAGATGGCTGACCAGAGCCATTTCCGAGTAACATCCATGGCAAAAGGATTTTCAGCCCAGGCACGGAAGTAGTGGTTGCCGGCACCATCTCTTATCTTCGTGAGTATTTCCAAACGCACATCATGGTCCACGTTGGTGGGGCCGTAATCTTCGATATGATCCATGAGGCTGTTAACTGCTTGGGCGCCTGTAAATGCAGATGAAACTAGGAGGGGCTTGAGGACCGCTTGGAATTGCTGCTTGCGTTCCTGAGGCGTGAGGGTCGGAGGTACGATCGTGGCAGAAGTGGATGTTGATGATCCCGATGTCGACGAAGAAATGGGCGGGGAAGGGGCGTAGAAGTTGGCGGCTGTCAGCGATGACTGGGGATTTGATATCGACGGGGACTGGAGGACCTGAGGCGACAGAGTGCCCTGGGATTGTGTGTGGTTCTGTAGCTGTTGTGCATAATGCTGTAGGTAAGGATGCAGATTGTACGCTTGCAGATACGCTGAGGCCCGTTGCTGCAACTGCTGTTGCTGTTGCTGCTGCTGGAGTTGGGAAGGTGATTGGGATGAGGGCACACTCGCGCTCGGCTGCGAATATGTCAGTGTTGAGGAGCTTGCGCCATTGGTCAGAGCAGGACTGTAAACATCTTAGGGGCTGCCCGAGCGTAAAGTGTATGTTCTAGACTCACTCAATCACCATCGGAGGGGATTGTGACGTGTGCATGGGCTGCTGTGACCGTTGCTGTTGTTGTGGTTGCTGCTGTTGCTGCTGCGAGGAAGAAGGGATCGTGGCACCTGGATTTGCTCCATTCAACGTAGAGAAACTTGATATTGGCAACGAGCCCCATGATGAACCGTACGCGATGGTATTGAAGGGGGCGGCGGAATAGAAGAACCCAGGGTGACTCGGGTACGGGGAATGCGAAAAGGAGGTGGCCGTGGCCGACGAAGGTTGGGATGCTGTTCCGCAGAAACCAGATCAGCGAAATTGGCAAGCGCGCGTGGAAGTTCGCTTACCTCCGAAAGACGACGAGTACGATGCCGGCGCTGTGCACGGGCGTGAGCTGTATTTTCCAAGAATTTGAAGCGTTTCTCGCACCTCCGAGCCCCAGAGAGCCATAATCATCGATTTCGATGGGCTGGGGTGCTTCTGCGGCCGAGTTTGGGGCGCCATTGGAAGCACCTGATTCGCCCATGCTCGTGGAAGGCGGTCTTTGTTGCTCATGAAGGGGATTGTGGGCGGACGACGTCTCCTGCAGCATCGGGGCCTGCTGCTGCTGCTGCTGGGGATGCTGAGCTTGGATCCACTGATACATCGAATCCATATTTTCCCTATAAATTATGATATTTCTTTTCAACTCTGAGGCCTTTTTTTCTCTACAAACTGCAGGGCTGGCTATATGGGATTCGGATGAGGAAAGACGGCGACAGAGCAGCTCCCAGCAGCCTGCCTGTAAAACCTGCGCGCTGGCGTTGGCGGTGATCTTCAAGGGACTCAGTCAGTGTAAACGGCGACGACGACAAGAGCAGCCCGCACCAGCTGAAACAGTACCTTTTTTCAGTCGCCGACTAAACCACATTCTCACGGTCACAAATCCATCACACGGTTTTGTTTTTGTTGATCAACTTTTGTTGAAGCAAAAAATTCAACTTGTCTCGCCGCTTGTGTAGTGTCGATATCACAAATGGCCAACCTCGCTGATGGGGCTACCATGGACTTCCACAGAAATCAAGTATGTCCTCCTCATCGTACCCCCCTCGCTGCCACCCTTACAACTTTCACACAGCTCGCTTTGAGCCTTGACAATGTCGCTGCAGCCATGCGCCAGTGCGCGAGCATGGCAGACCATTTCGCTCAGCTGATCAGGGCGTCCGCAGTGACCCCGATAAACCCCCAGATGGTTCATGGTATTTCCCTTTCCACCTCTCCTCGGACGCGCTGAGTGTTGACGCGCCGCACGCAGGACACCCAGCTCTCCAAGCCCCTGTTGTTCCAAACGGCGGGGGGATCGTCGGCGCGCCTCTGGCAGAGTCGAACGACGGGGAGAAGACCCGCAAGCGCAAAGCTCCGGCCGAGGACGTCGCTGAAGAGGGCAAGAAAAAGCGCAGCAAGAAGCCCAAAGACCCCAACGCGCCGAGACGCCCTGCTTCCTCGTATATCCTCTACCAGAACCATGTGCGCAAGGACTTGAGGGCAAAATTCCCCACCCTCTCCAATGCTGAGCTCCTCAGTATGATATCAAAGCAGTGGGCAGAGATGACCGAGGATGAGAAGCTCGTAAGTCCCAACAGCGGCATTGTCTCACTTTGAACAACAGTATCCTGACGCGTCTGTTCCGTTGCAGATCTATCACCAAGCCACAGCAGACGCGAAGGAGAAGTTCCAAGCCGATAAGAAGGCATACGAGAACCGCTCTCCGGAGGAGGTTGCTGCTGCTACCATGGCTGCCGAAGAAGCTGCTGCTGTAAGTGTCCCTTAATATGACCAGACTGGGCTGTTTCGAGTTTAAACCATGTATGGTAGGCAAAGAAAGTAAGAAAGCCGCGCGCGCCAAAGGCTCCCAAAGTGCCGGTGCAGCAGCTCGCTGCCCCCGCTGCCCCGAAGGCCGTCGTTTCCTCGAGTCACGACGAAGCTTCCGATGAGTCTGATGAGGATTCTGATGAGGACAACCCCGCCCTACCGAAAGGCGTCGCGGCGAAATCAGCCCAACAAAGTGATAGCGAGGAGGAGGAGAGCGATGAAGAAGATGATGATGATGAAGAAGAGCACCAAGGAAAGCGACAGAAGGGTGGTCCAGCTCCCGCGGGCAAGCGAAGAAACCACGCATGATGGTGATATCTATCTATCCAAACCACGATATTGTATAATTGATGTGTTTATCTCTCTCCCCGCGATCAGTGTATCATGATCGATCTCCCTTTTCCTCATTTTATCTACCCCACCCCGCCTATTGTTCTTTTTTGGCTTCTGCGACGACCATTGTGTGTTTCTATATCTACCCGGGTACATTATTTCGATTCTCTTAAGGACTCGCGGCCCCTAATTTCTACTTCTTGGATTGTTACCAGATCCTTCATAGTTGTTGATATGTTCCTGCTAATTATACGTTGCCATATGGCTGTTCCCCGTCCTTCCACTTCCATCCTGACAGATGGGTGTCTCCAAGCCCATTGCACGGCGCAGCGAGTTAACTTTGGCTCAGCACAGGTATTTTCACAAGGCTATCGTTTGTCATCAGCATCACCAATTTCCATTGCCGAGGCAAGGTCACATTATAGGCACTGCCCATCGATGGCGCTATAAACCCACTTTGGGTCACTCTAGCGTCTTTACTTATCCTTTTGATTTCTGACTCTCACCAGACGAGCCATCGACGATGGAGAACCCAGATAAACGGCCCCTCCCCCAAGGGTGGATAACGCAGTACGATTCGAGGTAAGCTCGCCACTAGCTCCATTAACGATCACGATCCTGACTCCATGATTTAGATATAGCGCCTGGTAAATGAACGAACCTCCCAGCTCATCGAGAGCGAATCAGCTAATGTCTAATAAATCCAAAGGTACTACGTGAATACGTCAGCTTCACCGCCTGTAACGGTATGGGAGCATCCTCTGGGTGCTCCCCCTCCCGCTCCTCCCCCTTCGCATTACGCCCCACCGCCCGGACCTCCACCTCCCAACCACAACACCTACCCCGGCCAGAGTGCCCCACCGTATCCTAGCCCAGGTCCCAGCCCCGGTTCACCCCCATATACCAGCGCACCCAATAGTTACTACGGCAATCCTCAAGGGCAATATGGGGGATACCCAGGTGCAGGCGGAGGAAGCCCAGGCGGCTATCCCGGGCAACAGCCCGGCTACGGCGCACCCCCACAACCCCAATACGGCGGACACAACTCCCCACCCCCCTCCGGAGGCTGGGGCGGATACCAGCAACCTCCCCCTCAGCAGAATTGGCAGCAAGCCCCGCCGCCTCAACAAGGAGGGAAAGGCAAGGCGTGACCCCTGTTACCCCCTAACATAATCTCATTTCCGGCTTGTATCTGTAGGACTCTTCGGTGGATTGTTTGGGAAGAAACCAAGCTCAGGATACGGAGGAGGCGGAGGCTATGGTCAGCAGCAGCAGCCTGTTTATGCTCAAGCGCCGGCCAAGTCAGGTGGGATGGGAATGGGTGGGATGTTGGCTGCGGGTACGTGATGTGTTCGTTGCACAGGGAATTTGATGCAACCCTATGATCTCTAGGTGGTGCCGGTCTAATTGGTGGTGCTCTAATTGCCAATGCCCTCGATGATTCGCAAGAGGACGCCTACAGAGAAGGTCTGCTACTTTCCTTTTCGATCAACACGCTTATGTGTTTGCTTACTGCTGTCGTACTTAGGCTACGAGGATGCCCAAGATGGGGGAGGATTCGACGACGACTTCTGATTAATTAATGGGTTTCTTTTCTCATCATTGCAAGACTCTCGATTGCGTGGCTGTTCGTGGATCTCGGAAAGCACCGTCTCCCTCTGTACTGCTTACACTTGATGGCGTAACTTCATTTCCCTTTCTTATGTTTCAGTCTACACTTGTGCTTCCTGTTGGCGCGGTTTTATCGCGCTCTAAACGTAACGTGAATTCATGCTTTAACTATGTGAATTGTATTAGAGCTATATATATTTCGAAGCACCCCGCAATGGCTAATATGGTTCTAGGCCAAGTAGTCCCTGACATGCACCTTCAACATCAGCAACCTGAGCGGCGAACATAAGTGAATCAATATAGCGACAATCCGGGGAAACAAGTACCTCCTTCGGGGCATTGACGGATAATACGACTGGGTGCTCTGGGCCGACAAGCACTTCATCCTGATGTTGACAGATATTCAGAATGGAAATTTAGCGTGGCCATTGGGCCGTGACGAGATGAAAGGACTCGCCTCAATCCGAATCCCTATATCATGGAAATGACTGGGAAACATGGGAGACGGAGGAACGTAAATGCCTAGACAATCAGTCATGTGAGCTACTCAGCGATCGGATATCGGAAAGGCCTGAGCTAGTACTCACCGGGCTCAATAGTAAGTACCATGCCCGCCTTGAGTCTGCATCCACATTGAGTAAATGATTGCTAAACACTATGACGAAAATCGACAGTTACGCACGGCGCATTACGGTCAAAGTGGGTTGACTCGTGTAAATCTTCGAGACGCACGATGAGTGTCAATTAATTATCCGTGAAATTCGCGTGACGGACCTATTCCGATAGGGTGACTGAGTAGATGAGGGTAGAGTATGCGTTCGAGGTCCCCACTGGAGAGGGTGAATCCGATTTGTTTGAGCTCGGTGCGTAGGAGGTCACACGACTTTCGATGAAGATCCATAAGGCTCAGCCGAGAAGACTCAGTGCACAGGGAGATCAGTGTCTTTTGAGCCGATAGAACAGCAGAGTATAGATCCCGCTGTGGGCCTGAAAACGAGCCCGAGACAGGGTATGACCTCGCTGACCACTGAATGAGTCTACGTTCTGGGTAGTGTGGGGGGAGGACCTACTTATATCAGCAGCATAACCGCTATCAAACCGTTCGTTAATCGTATTCTGATGAGTAATTGAGAGCGGGACGCACTTATATTCACAGCCTGCATCGACAAGAAGCATTTCTCCTGCTCTTATTAAGTGGTTGTTCGATGTGTAGTGAATGATAAGGGCATTGGGTCTTTCGGAGCGTAAAATAATGAGTGACAGGGTACTCAAATGAAGTAGGGTGATCTACCCTGATGCAACAACAGGAACATAGGCGAGTCGTTGTGCACCCGAAAGACTGCACAAATACTCGAAGTGGGCTGCAAGAGCAGATTCAGAGAGGCCAGGTCGCGTAAAGCGCATCGTCTACAATAACATCAGGCTCGTCTATCAATGACGTCGATGTTGACCCTATACGGACCTTGGCATGAGCACGACCACTAATATCGGCGGCAGCCCGCATAATCTGCTGCTCCGCTGGAGATTTTATGTTCCTCAATTTACCTACCTCTGACGCCAAAGGCTTTCGGCGAGAGCTCGCAAGCGCATCGATCACCGCTTCGTGATCCGTTCGTCCACTAATCGGAGACGCCAGGAATCGCAGAAGCCCTTTCGACGCGTACTTTGGGCCTCCCCTCTTGCGTAGCACGCTCGGAGGGAGGTCAACGTAGACGTTAGTGTATTGGTGGATGATGGATTTGAGGTAGGTTGGGAATTCGTCAACGGAGGTGGCTTCGTCAGCGTTGAATATCTTCGCGGCATCACGGAATGTTGTCCTGAAAGTAAGAGAATGAACATTCTGAATGGTTGATTATTTGCATGGATAATACCTAGCTCCGTCCCATTTTTCTTTGTCGGTGTCTTTGCCGCCGCAGAATAGGTGCATGCGATAGCCTTTCGGTGAAGAAGAGTTCTTTTCTAATATCATGGATTAATATCAAGCGTACCACACAAGCGAAATTACACCAGCCTAACACGATCGCCGATTCTGGTTCTTCAAAACCAGTGAGGTACCAGAAATCCGAGGCTTGACGATACTTGTAACTGGCATGCGTAGGTCCAACCAAGTTCAAATAACACACAAATACTCACAATATATCTACACAAATCGATCAGAACGCGCTTCCTGAGGATCAACAACGACCGACGCGAACTCACTAGCACTCATGTATTTTATCGGAGCAGCCACGGAGACGACGAGGCTGTCATCGGGCAAATTATCCATTAGCTTCCTCCGCCTCGTTTCGTATTCTTCCGCAGGTATACCTGGTGTCAATTCATTGGGCTTGACTGTCACGAAGCATCAGTGTCCCGTCACACCGAGCTTGATGCCGCATACCGAGATGTGGGTGGCTTTGGCATAACGGTTGACCATAGCATGACGGCTTCACTGGTATCGCCGTTTCCGTGGCGTATTGTCGCCGTTGCGGACGAGGTAGCCTCTTGCGAGCAAAACTCCTTCGGACGAGTTGAGTAGCGGACATAAAGCAAGCTTTCGGCGAACTCGGAATAATCGGCACAGTGCAGATATATTCGTGGGCAATTCTTCGTAATCACTAAGTCACGAGGTCGTGATCGTGCAAAAGTATTTCCTGAGCCTAGTACACCGTCCTCCGGCACACCGGCATCCCCCCTTCGGCACGTTTGGGCACTTCTCAAATGTCAGTCCTCCGTCAAGGACGCCGCATGAAGACTACAGACAATTGTATATCTATATAGTAAAGGGGTAACAGTATAAGCCTCACACGTGTGAAAAGTGACAGGCATTGCCTCCGATATAAATCATGAATAACACTTTCTCTATAGACAGTGATCTTCCAGAGCGGCGTAGTGAGGTAAGTATTCAAGAAGAATTCCTGCAAGACTGGATACTTGATCGGATAACTTGAATCATAAATATGCCTGGATAGAAACACGCTGGTAGTGCGTACTTGAACTTGCGCTTTGAAGTATTCACTCAGCGGAAGTCCGATCAACAGAATGGACCAGTTACCGATCAAGACCATATGAGAGTATTTATCGTAAAATAATATGGTTCCCCACTTTTGACGATTAGATGGTTGTGGAACCAAGGTTTACTGCATGAGTCGCCTCGCAGTTCCAGTAAGTCTTGGGCGCTTTTCTGCTCGGAGATTCGAAGTCTGCTCAAGAAGGCATTTCCACGGTGTCTAGCTAAGTCACAAACCTGTCACAATCTGACCTTTCCAATTGTGGTCCTCCAGATTACATAGTACACATACACTTGGTTTATCACATGCAGCGATGCAACGCAGTAATATGTGCATGCCAGATTCCTCGTTGTTCCTTTCGCCGGATCCATTAGAATTAGCGGCACCACAGGATTGACTTCAAATGATCAATGACTTGGGACTACTATACTAGACAAGGCTTAGACCTGGCCTCTACAGCAACATCTTTTGGCTTTACTGCTGCCAAGACTGGCACAAGGCTTGGAGTGAGTAGTTTAGTACGGATCGCGTGCCAAAAGTCTGACCACCACGATGTTAGTTTTCTGTAGCCAGGGGCATTGCACATACTGCCTTTGCGGTCACAGGAGCCGTAGTTGACCACACTCTTTTTCGAGGAAGCTCTATCGCAAGCCCGGTGCTTGGTGGAGCAGTAACCACTGTGATTTCCCTAGCCGAGCAGATCACCCTGGCTCCCCTTCATCTTGGAGAGTATATAACGACGACGTCTCTCCTCGCTGCACATGGCTCCATCAATGTCTTGTCCGTAATACTTCCTGGAAGCAGCGAAGCCTCGTTCTCCCTCGCTTCATTCATCACACTGGTAAAACGCGAATGGAACAGCCCGACGAATAGCGCCAGTCTTCCTACGACCCAGTTCGGCATAATCCAGGTGGCCAAAGCAATTGTGGGCTGGGTCGCATTGCAAGGTGTAACACAGGAATGGCAAGAGAAGAGGTGGTTTAAATCCCTGCGCGAGATTAACGTCAACGACAATCGCAGATCTATGAGCACCATCAGACAGCGTCGGTGAGAATATCTTGCCCTTCGAGCCCGCCGTCCGTTAACAAAAACTCTCAGAGGATCCCGAATACGAGTCACGTCCGATCTGATTTTCCCCGGAAACAGTGGTCAAATTATTGCTGCAGATATTGGTGACATGCCAGCGCGCGCCTTCAACGCTTCCTCACGATGGAAGCCATCGGGTCGTATACCAAACGAGCACCTGAAGACCACCCTTCGACGACTGTCGAAGCTAGTCCTTGCCGGATACGGGGGCGCAAGTCTCCTGTTCTTTGGGGTCTCCCCCCACGCGGATGCAGCGGAATCGCCTGCACGTCCAGGGAAACGAGCCGACAAGGACTCCGAACAGTACCAACTCGCGCGCGCCATCAACGCATCTGAGGCCGAAGCAGCTGGCGAGCCCTCTGAGGTCGACGACGCCTCTGAGTCTGTCGGCGGCTCGAAGTACTCGTGGTGGGATGTCCTCCTCGGCAAGCACGATCACGAAATCTTCGAACGTGCAGCGAACTCGATGGACAGCGAGGCCAAAGCCAAAGCGCAGATGCGCACATCCGCCGTCATCGGCCTGGAACATCTCATGCCAAGATTCTGGGTTCTCACCGATCATGGGCGAAGTCAGATCGTCCTTGTCTTGAGAGGTAGGTGTTTGAGGGTCAAACCATCACGAACCACAGAAAGCTAAATTATGACTAGGGACCATGTCACTGAATGAAATTGCTGTGGATCTGACTTGCGACCCCGAAGAATTTGAGCCAGCAATTACGGTCCGTTTGGAGGGCGACGAAACCCCCGTTCCGGGACAGTATAGCATCCCGTTTCCATCTGTCGCCCAGAACCGACCCACATACCACGTTCACGGCGGCATGCTGCGCATGGCTCGGGCGATGGGCGACATCGGGAAACCAGTTCAGCTCGCAGTTCAGGAAGCCCTCTACAAGAACCCTGGCTACGGTGAGTAAGTGCACTACGAATGAGAGATGCAAGATCTCACCCTGATTCTCACTCGCAAACAGAATTAGTATTATGCGGCCACAGTTTGGGTGCCGGAGTGGCTGGGATCTTGGGCATGGTGAGAATATTCCCTCATATGTCACATTAAGCTACTCTTGGTGGAGACTGATGACCTTCTCGTGGAGATGTGGGCAGACCCTGAGACTTGCTTGACCGTCCGTTCTAGTGGTCTCCCCCTTGGCCGCAAAGTGTCCGTATACTGCTTCGCTCCTCCGTATGTCATCTTCTTTTCTATGTTTGTCCTCTCGTGTGGGGTGATTGCGGGGAAGACCCTGTTCTTAGAAACCCCGACGACAAAGTTGGATGTTTGCTTACGGGCACTCCACCCCAGGGGAGGGTTAACTGTGGTTCTTCTGATACTAACTTTCTTTGGCGCAGGTGCCTCATGGATGCGAGCTTGAGTCGACTCGCAAACAAGATCATCGTGTCCTTTGTGTATTCCCATGATATAGTATCACGGCTCTCTCTCGGTTCCGTTAGGGATTTGAAGAACGCCGCAATGTGGTTGTGCGATGCAAATGAGGCAAAGGGGGAGAAAGAAGATGGCGCCGGGTATGCTGGTGTCACCGCCCGAGCTCGTCGCTGGAAGGCGGGTGAAGGATCTCCAGATGATCCCGATTGGGTATGCTGGTGGTGTCTTCCATTTCGTCTTTCTTCTAATATTTCTGCTGTGTTTTAGTTCGTCGCTGTCCGCAAGACACTCGAAGCCAATATGCAGATGGCTGACTTATACCCGCCTGGTCGAGTATTGTGGGCACTAAGGGACAGCGACCTGCATCCTTCCCATCGGTCGCACCGGGGCACTGATGAAAAGCTGAGGCTTTTCGATGTACTCGACGTGGAGAAGGTATTTTCGCAGATAGTGTTCTCCAGAGACATGCTCAGGTAGGGTTCGAGAAGTTCAGTATGCCACTAGTGCTCATCACTCCCTCATCATAGTGCACACATGCCTCACCAGTACGACCGTGTCCTTCACGACCTTCTATAACTTGCTACACTTGTACCGATACGCAGGACAATTTATAATCGCGTCATGAAGCATATATTCCTGCTAGAGATATATGTAATACAGACCATAACGTGCATTGCTGTTGTCAATCTGTATTGCTTCTAGTGAGTGAGTATAGCCTGTATGGCAGTTGTTCAATCTTGATCAGTCTGGTCGCGAGGTCGGTATTTCAATCCGCGATTCTCCAGCTCGGTCTCAACATCTTCGGGTATTCGACCCTTGACTCGCACTGCGTACATGCCCCGTACATATTTTGCTGTAATCATCGAATTTAGTCCGAGTAGAACGAAAGGGGGAAAGTCCGTGGCTTACATGTTCTTTGCCATCTTGCTACCCAACTATGCTCAGGATCCATTACAGCAATCACGCCGTCGAAGTATTGTGTCGTGCATGCTGCTATCCGGTCTTGCGACCCCTTCATCTGGTAACAGTGCCAGGATCAGCGAATGAATAAATAAGTATGTCTGAGTCGCGTACTTGCATAATTTCTTCGCAGTTTGGGCAGCCGTCTCGTCGGAAAGCAGCGGGCATCATTACGATAGAGCATAGCAGGCAAGCTCGGAGCTGCTTTGACCTTGCTTGGGTTGGTATATCAGCGACGGGTGCGGACATTTTGTAGATGCGCGGAGAAACTTGAAGGTGAGCGCTTGAGCGAGTGAACAAGTCGAAGCAAGCGACCTGCATTGAGCGCTTAGCTCGGCATTTAGGCTCATCGCCGGACCACAACGTCCGCCATCGAATTGTCGAATTGTCTGGTAAAGCTCGCGTCCAGGGAAATACTGTGAACGGGAAGACGCATGCCAGTGACCCATGTTGGTCAGCAGTTACTCTCAGGTGCGTTCATCTACAAGTGAGATTTCGTGTTCGTACGCTAACTTCAATGCACAAGGTGCCGCGTCGGGGTTCGGCATGACATTTTGTCTACAACCATGTCAGTACACTGGAAGCATGTGGAGGAGAGCCTGTGGACTTGATATCTGATGTAGTGGACCTGCTGAAGACGCGTATCCAACAGGGGGACAGTGCATTTGGGCCTAGGTGAGTTGTACTCCATACGCTCCTCGACCGAGCGGGCTGAGACGGAGTTTGTGCTCAAGGAAGGTGCCACGGATATTGCCTACGGCACTCGAGGTGGTACACTCTCATGGGGTCCTAGGCTTGTGGAGGGGAACTACCGCCTCCCTGTTACGGTCAGCACCTTTCCAATCAGCTGTTGAGATGTATTAACGGAAACACTACAGGAATGTTCCAGGGATCGCACTGTACATGACTTCCCTTACGCAACTACGTACCGCAATGGCGAACTCCCCATACTTTGCGCGTACTGATAACATCCAGGCTACGGGGAACGGTTCCGTCCTTCCCAAGATATCTACACAAGGGAACCTTCTTGCAGGCGCGGTCACCCGGGTCGGGGTTGGTTTTGTCTTGAACCCTTTTTCTGTCGTAAAAGCTCGATTCGAGGTGTGTCCCAGATCAGACCTTCTTTCGAGCTTATCATCCAATACTCTATGACAGAGCGACATGTACGCATACGAGTCTCTCACGGGAGCGTTCCGGAGCATCTCGCGACAAGGGCCCTCAGAGTTCTTTCGGGGTGTGCTCGCATCGTCGTTGCGAGATGCGCCTTATGCCGGGCTGTTCGTCGTGTTCTATGAGGCGATAAAGCGCGAGACCTGTGAGTCCCACCCTGAACTTTAGCATGCGGCTTAACTTAGAAGTGCAGTATATATGTTTCCATCAATGTCAAGCACCCAATCAGCGGTCCTGCATAGCGTTGCTGCTGGTTCGGCGGGGGCATTAGCAACAATTTTAACCCACCCGTTCGATGTCGTAAAGGTCTGGTGGTATTCTGATGTACCCTTTTCGTCATAAGCTGACTGCGTAATAGACCAAGATCCAAGTACGCAAGGAAGAACGATACCACGGGTTAATGCGAACGGTGCGGACAATATGGGCGGTAAGCAAAGATAAACTGTGTGGCGTAGAAGAAACACTGACAAAGAGTCAATATATTTTCAGCAAAGAGGAGTATCTGGATACTTCGACGGCGTGTCCCTCCGAATTGGCCGGAAAGTGCTTAGTTCAGCAATAGGCTGGGCGGCCTACGAAACGCTGCTCATGTTCATGCATCGTGTTCGCCCAAAGACAGAGCAAGAGCAGTAAGACGAAGGGAAGACGACCCAAAGAAAAAGTAATTGATATAATCGCACACGTTTCAGTCCTTTTCTGCGTAAGCGAGCAGATGCTCTTCAATCTCCTCTTCGTCCATTATACGCCATAATCCCTTGGTTTCTTCCTCGTCTTCATGCGAAGAGCAGATTCCTATCTCGACTTCGCCCGGCTTGTAATCGGTGGAGTGTACAGTAGACATAGCTTCGATGGCCATCTAGAAACACTTAATTAGGCATGTTAACGTTAACTTACGGTTCAGATAGATCGCACCTCAATAACTTCATCCCTGCTGAGTGACTGACCGGCCTTCGCTGGATCATCAGCACCTCTTCCGTTATCCAGCTTCTTCCATTTCTTCTCAAGGTGATTCATCGCCTCTTGATGCTTTTGTCCGGCAGCCGTTGCGTGGAAGCCGACGAAATATCCAGCGGGATCAAGACGGAAACATTGGGGGCCAACTTCGGGATCTATACCGATGATGATCATGGCTAGAAGAGCCCATCTGTTAGTCAAAGATGTTATCCAAAGTAACAAGCAGACGCACAGATTCCCAACGGACGCATTCCAGCCCTTTGCGTATACACTTGATTAATGTTCGCCAGTCGTCTTGAAAGAGCATCCGGGGTGATTTCATATCCATACTTGTATCGGAAATCGGCTGCTTCTCTACGAGCCCTAGCAACTTGGGCATGTGCATCCGCTAAAGTCGACTCAGCGAATGCAAGATTATCCAGTGGAGTTAGATATAATACCTGTGAGACCGGTCATCACACATCCGATGGTGGGCGTTATGCCAAACAGATGGGTGACCGTCGACGCGTCGATAAGCTTGTCCTACCACACCTCGCGTTAACAGGTCCATTGATGCAGAGAGATGAGCGATCACGTACTGCCACTTTGCGCTGGGTGATCACTACCGTCGTGTCCTTTCCCCTGATGGCCACGGCAGTGTGTCCCGAGCCCGAGATGGCTTTGAAAGCATATTCTGGGAGATGACAAGTGTTCACATATGGATTACAACTTCTGGCGTGGATGAGACGAACCGACTTGGTACAGTCTCCCTTCAGGAGAGAATACAGTGAGATACCTGTGACAACGAGCTCAGTTATCACTTCCAAAGAATCACATCAAGGACAACACCTATCGTATGAAGTTCGCGACATGGAAGCTAATGGCAGAGGTGGTACGCGCAAGTCAGTCACGCGGATTTGTGTCACAGCAAGTCACGCACACCAACGCGATTGTGACGGGCGTCTATCAAATATTTCTCGACCAAATGCCATCATAGCCTTGACTCGAGTCGCAGTATCGCATCTACGAACGGTACAAGATGAAGGAAACCGTCTCGCACCAAGCACCAAAAGTCATGTACGCGATACGGCTGCGTTTGAACTGAAGGATTGTTTCTGACCGGCGAGGATAGAAAGAAGTTGCAGTTTAGTCTGCTTAATGCACAGGATACGGTGAAGATCTCAGAATTCGAGGTGACCCATCGGGATCTGTACACGCCAATAGACCGACTGCCTGTGAAGGATGGGGTACTAGATCGTCGTTTGGTGAGGTGCTCGGTTGCTTACGGTGCGTAGACCACTGACCGTTATATTTAGGGTACAACGGAGAAGGGAGCCTTCTGCGAGACGTGTGGACAGTCGTCAGTAAACTGCGTTGGGCATTATGCCTATATAAAACTAGTTGTCCCGGTCTTCCATATCGGATACTTCAAACATACCATTGCAATCCTACAAGGTATATGTAAAGTAAGCATGATGTGTCCATCTATGTCGTTGTCACTCATTCGTGTGGAAGACCTGTGCTCGTGTACTACTAGAGGAGCCCGACAGACGTATATACCTGAAGCGCTTCAGACGTCCAAATCTCGAAAATATCCAACGGCAAGCACTCTGCAAGGCCGTAAATACCCTGGCCCGTAAAGTCGTCTATTGCCCGTATTGTTCTGCGACGAATGGAACTATCAAGAAGGCCGGGGCTTTGAAGATCATTCACGATAAATTTCGCGCGAAGAAGACGGCCGAAGAGATGGAACGGTGGAAGAAAACCTTTGCAGCCGCCGTGGAGGCGCAAAAGGAGCTTGGTTTATACCTCAATAAAGCAGTACATGAAGACATGAATCCACTGAAAGTGTTGGACCTATTCCGACGGATATCGGACGAGGTTGGTCGAAACTCGTATTCCGTTCTGTACCTATTGACCTAGAATAATAGGATTGCGAACTTCTTGGTCTGCGTCCAGAATTCGGACGGCCTGAAGAGTTCTTATGGCAGTACATCTCCGTCCCTCCCGTTTGTATACGGCCATCGGTAGCACAAGACGGCGCCTCCAACGAGGATGATCTCACAGTAAAGTTAACTGAAATAGTCTTCACCAATGCCTTGATCAAGCAAGGCCTCGTCAAAGGGGCTCCGACGGCCCAGTTTATGGCATGTTCAACTACCCCGCTCAACCCCACTTCCTCTGACGCGCCATCCATTAGGAACAATGGGAATTCCTACAACTGAGTGTCGCCATGTATATCAACTCCGAACTTCCTGGTGTACCATCGCAGCCCGGTCAAAAACCCATTCGTGGTTTCGTTCAGCGTCTAAAGGGGAAACAGGGTCGCTTTCGTGGCAATCTTTCTGGCAAACGAGTCGACTTCTCTGGCCGTACTGTTATTTCTCCCGATCCGAATCTGCGCATAGACGAAGTCGCTGTCCCTGAACGTGTATCCAAGATATTGACCTACCCAGAAAGAGTTACAATTCATAATATCGAAATGCTAAAGCAGGCGGTCCGTAACGGGTGCGATGTTCATCCGGGAGCCAATTTCGTTGCCAGAGGGGATAACAAGAAGTTCTTGAAATTTGGGAACCGTGCTGCAATTGCTGATGGGCTGAAATACGGCGATGTCGTGGAAAGACATATTATCGACGGTGATATTGTTCTATTCAATCGTCAGCCGAGTCTGCATAAGGTGGGCTGCGTCTAACCAAGCCTTTGATATTTCACTGATCGTCTGCGCAGTTGTCTATCATGTGTCATCGTGTGAGCTGTATTCCAGTCTTGTGCCCCGTACACCTGATCAACTGGTTCTCCAGGTTAAAGTCCGCCCTTGGCGATCCTTCAGACTCAACGAGTGTGTCTGCGGACCGTACAATGCCGACTTCGATGGGGACGAGATGAACCTGCGTGAATTTCAATTGGCCGTATTGACTGATGACTACCATACTGAGATCTGTTGAACAGATGTACCCCAAACAGAAGAGGCACGAACGGAAGCATTGGAGTTAATGAGTGTCAAGCACAACTTGGTCACCCCTCGAAACGGAGAGCCAGTTATTGCCGCAATACAGGACTTCATTACTGCGTCATACCTACTTTCAAGGCGCGACGTGTTCTTTGACCGAAGGCAGTTCACCCAGATATGTTGCTATTTCGCCGATGCGAACCTTCAAATCGACATTCCGCCTCCGACTATATGGAAGCCTGTTAGGTTATGGACAGGGAAACAAATCTTCAACGTGCTCATGCGGCCGAATAAGAAGTCCAAGATCTTTGTGAATGTGGAGTCGAAGTGCAACAAGTGGGAGGAAGCCAAGGCCGAAAACTACCCGTCGCGGATGAAGCTTGTCAACGACATGTCCCCCAACGATGGTTGGCTTGTTATCGTCAACAGTGAGGTTATGTGCGGTGTTATGGACAAGGCGATCGTCGGAAGTGGAAAGAAGAAGTCGATTTTCGGTGTCATGTTGCGGGATTATGGGCCCCATGAAGCTGCCGCCGCTATGGGCCGGCTAGCGAAACTATGCGCTCGTTATCTTGGCAAGTTGTCAGATATCATCGTATCTCGAGTCCTGCTCTGACATCCTGCTTCTTTACAGCGAACTTCGGCTTCTCTTTGGGCATTAACGACGTTATCCCCGGTCCAATTCTGTCTATGAAGAAAGACGAATTGGTAGAGAAGGCATACGCTGATTGTCAGGACCTGATTGCGCTAGCCAAGAAAGGGAAGTTAGAAAACAAACCTGGCTGTAATCAGGAACAGACCCTGGAAGCGATGATATCGTCTGTCCTGTCCAAGGTCCGTGAAGCCGTCGGAAACATCTGTATGAAGGAGCTTAGTCGTCACAATGCACCCTTGATCATGGCTACCTGTGGATCAAAAGGTACACGCAGGGCTTTAGAGGTCCGAGCCGCAAACTAACATATCCTAGGTTCGGTCATCAACGTATCGCAGATGGTTGCTTGTGTTGGGCAACAAATTATCGCTGGGCATCGTGTCCCAGATGGTTTCCAGGATCGCTCGCTTCCACATTTCCCCAAGAAGTCCAAGGAACCTCCCTCGAAAGGATTCGTCCGCAATAGTTTCTACTCCGGGCTACGGGCCACAGAGTTCCTGTTTCATGCCATTTCTGGGCGAGAAGGTCTAGTCGATACCGCCGTCAAAACTGCAGAAACCGGTTACATGCAACGGCGGCTTATGAAAGCTTTGGAAGATCTGACAACGCAGTACGACCTGTCGGTGCGGAACTCTACCGGAGGCGTTGTTCAGTTCACTTACGGAGACGACGGCCTGGATCCTGCGTGTCTTGAAGGTGACGCGCAACCCATCGAGTTCCAGCGGGCGTGGAGTCATGCTATGGCCATTGGCTCTAGAACGGGTCGTGGACTCCTCCCTTTCGAAATTATGGAGATAGTCAATGTGCAATTTGCAACTCGCCGTTTCGTAGAAACCTGCCCTGAAACATATATGGAGACCGTCCGTACTTTCATATGGGATAATGTGGCAAAGAAACTCGGGGATATGCGCCAAAGCCGTGGTATGTTCGAAGCGCTAGAGAGAGAGGGCGAGTGGGACGAGGACACAGATCTCTCTATGGGAGCAAGTGGTGCGTAGAATTGGATTGCTCAGCGCGTATCTCACCTTCGTATAGATTCGGAGAAGGCTATCGTCGACAACAAATCTAAAGTCACAGAGTCTCAATTGCTTGCTTTCTTGAACATATGCTGGGTGAAGTACGCAAAAGCAAGAATAGAACCAGGTGTGTCCAGACACTCCTTACAATGCCTTTATTTTGCTTAATATATCAAGGTTCGACCGTTGGTGCTGTCGGCGCCCAATCCATTGGAGAACCGGGGACTCAAATGACGCTGAAAACTTTCCATTTTGCTGGTGTCGCATCTATGAACGTCACACTTGGTGTTCCTCGCATAAAAGAGATTATCAATGCCGCCAAAGTCATTAGTACCCCGATTATCAGCTGTCGACTCGTTACTTGCAACAGCGAACCCTCGGCCAGAATCGTCAAGGGACGGCTAGAGAAAACTTTGTTGGGTGATGTAAGTTAGCGTTCTGCGGACCTTTTTGACGGATTGTTGATGGACATCAGATTGCGAGTGTTTTGGAAGAAGCTTGGGCCCCGGAGTACACATACATTGGTATCATAATTGATACGCAGGCTATAATGAAGCTCCAGGTACGTTGTATCTTTGAAAGCTACGCTGGCTGTGATTAACTCGTCACAGCTGGAGCTTACATTGGATGACATCAAATGGGCCATTGTGGCTCATAAAAAGCTGAAAATCAAGCAAGAGGTATAATTTCATACGTCGTAGAGCCTCGTATTATCAACTCATAAATTCACTATAGGCCATTACCATGATACCTCGGAGAAATCGTCTGCGCATCTATGTAGATGGACAAGACAAGTTCTATCGTCTTCGCGAGTTCAAGCGTAATCTCGCTGCTGTAGTTGTGAAGGTATTGCTTATTACTTATAGCTGGCTGACCAAACTATCTGACCCGAAGCCTCGTTCATAGGGTGTGCCGACTATCGCGCGTGCGATCATCAATATCAAGGACAAAGATGATCATAGGGGAAAGAAAGGTGATAAGGAACTTCTTGTCGAAGGATATGGCCTTCAGAAATGTATGATTACCGAGGGTACGAAGGCATCTTTCCTCCGGAAAATATTTGTTCATGGGATCCTTGCAGGAGTTATTGGGGAGCAGACGACTTCGAACCACGTTATTGAGGTGGCCCAAGTTCTTGGAATTGAGGCTGCTCGAAGGACTATCATCAATGAAATTCAATATACGATGAAGAGTCATGACATGATTATCGATCCACGACATGTTATGTTGCTGGGAGACGTGATGACATACAAGGTATGTGGCAGACCCGACGCATTGAATACTTGCAACTCAAGCGTACTTCTACTAGGGCGAAGTCCTGGGCATCACTCGCTTCGGTGTCGCGAAAATGAAGGACAGTGTCATGATGCTCGCTTCTTTCGAGAAGACCACCGATCATCTCTTCGACGCGTCAGCCTACGGGAAGAATGACAGTATCGCGGGAGTGTCTGAAAGCATCATCATGGGCAACCCGGCGGCACGTTGCGGCACGTCAATGTGAGCTTCTTCAATAATCTCCGTAGCCTGTTTCCCGCTTACTGTGTTCTGCAGGCCGGCCTTGTATTCAGTAGCCCCTGCCCTCAGCAAACCGAGACCGCTTTTATTCGAGGAATCTATATGACTACTATTTTATTGCATCTATTCGTCTGTCATTGGCCGCATGGACTCCTGGAGTGCACGAAATCACATCTGTTGTAGCTTAGCTATATTCAACACGATTCAAAGCCAGTGCTTGTGGCTTGAAATCTGCTTGCACAACCTCGGTGATCATGATCGACTAAGAGTATGATCGCCGATCGATCTGCGTTTTGGATCGAGCTGGATCTACTTCTAGGTAGGATGTCTTCATCCAAGGCCCTTGACAGGGAGTGCGTTCTGGACTGGAGGCCCATGCCCTGCCCCGGTGCTGCGGATGACGATATACCGTACGCAGGGGAGGGAACGTTGATACCTCAGGCTCATGGTGCTCTCTGGCCCTTCTTCCATGTCCAACGTACTTCGGCCCAGACATCCGGATGTTCACCGGTCGGTGGAAATGAAGACAGCGGTATCGTTACGTTTATAGAACTCAATGGTCGCTGCGTAGGGCGGAATGCGGAGGTAAACAGTCCATGGAATGTACTGGAATCGTAGAACGCCGAAGTTGTTGATGCAAAGTCAAAGTTGATGCCTATCTCGTCGTCATTGACTTCGAGGGAGTGCACGCTGCGCAGCCTTGTGCGTCAATAACACGTTTCTTTGACGGAAGGAAGATGATGCCTAATAGCTGGAATGGTGTTAAGGCGGGTCCACATGGCTGAGGCAGCCATTTCGATCGGATCAGCAAGACCTCGGGCGTCCTTGTCTCTTGAAGTGCCAGTTGCGATGCTGATCAACTTGTCATGAGTCGTAATTCTGGCTTCGGAGGTGACATTACACCATTGACCGAGGAGAGAATAGTTTAGCGCTTTTGCCGGTGGCTTGGTCAGCGGTCATAACGGTGAAATCGATGATGTACCGAGGGAACTTATGCTTGCAGGTGCATCTTAACATCACGATGTCCCTGTACCGCAGCTAAAATGCTCAGCGGGCGACGATGAGTGGTCGCCCGTTGGGTTTCTGAGGGGTTCTGACGACATTTCAAAGATATCTTGGGTCAGGACGAAGAATCCAGGATTTGGACAAACAATCCGACCGGACTTAGTGATGTTGTCTTCCTCAATCCCGGGTTTCTCCACTGCTGCGTAGATGAACCCGAGGCAACGTAGCTGCTTTGACCTCGTAACCGACGATGCGCAGCTCGGACGAATATTCGAGACGACGATACGACCGCCCCCGCGGCAACGAAGACTGAAGTACTGGAGTTCTGGCGGCACTCTACATCACATCACCACCTGGGCGAGCTACACTGGACAGCTGCGTCTTCTTTCGGGCCAATTCCGGCATCGCTAATAGCACACCTTGGTGCCAATGAACAATGAACGGAGCTGAGTTGGACTTGGGACTTGGGTGACTGATGGAGTACTGAATAAGCAGTCAACGAGTATGGAGAAGGTACCCGGCTATGTTACAGAGCGGGCCGGGGGTGAATTTATCTCAGCGACGAGCGTTATCGATGCATGGAACAACTTTGAGGTCTGACATGTCGTAAATTGACAATGTTGACCAACAGGGGAACAAAGGAGGCGGGGGTAAAGAGACGAGACTGCTGCAAAGGCTCACTCACTCAAGATATATAGCCCATCGGCCTGAGTAAAGGCCATGGAGGAGAGCTTTTCAGTTATCGAGCACTTCCCTTCCTAGTTGGTGGCGCCTGCGGCGTGCGCAGTTGACGAGAATGTCCTATATTTCCCTTTCTGGCGAGTAGGTCCCTGACATACCCTCAAACGGTCCTTTCTACGTCACCAAAGCTCTGCGGACGGACGGCTTTTTGACGAGGTCCATGATCGAGCGGACGTGATTAATGGATTTCCGTGGTATTATGATGTAAGGATGAGGTTATTTTAATTGTCGAATTGCCAAGTCCTTCCTTTCAATATATTGCGTTTAAGGGTTGGTCTGTTGGTTTGTTGATGGTGGGCGCGATGTAGGCCAGTAGTGGTATCCTCGGGCCCTGCTCGACGCACTGCGCGCGAGATAACGACTACGGGATGAATGGTCTTGCAGCAAATTCCGAGGTCACAGAGCAGCGGCGGTCGCAGTAGGATCCAGGAAGTTGGTAGCCCCGTCACGGTAAATGCGACTACGGTCCAGTGATGCACCTACGAGGGTCCACATACTATAGTTAGGACTGCTGCGTGCGGCGTACACTCTGCGCTCTTCGTAGCCAAGCCCACGGAATGCGAACTTACAAACACTAATGCATGCAATGAACCACGGCAACGATGAACAATGGATCGAGCGTTGCTCACAAGGGTAAATTGTGATCCACGGAACGAAGAATGAATAATGACGATAAATGTGCGGATGCGGGCGAACATACGGATACGGTATGTACATGCGGAGGAAGCGCAAGAACACAGACAGAGTCAGAGAGTAGGGTATTAGCAAAGCCCTAGTAGAGATGTGCGTAGTGCGTAGCTGTAAAACTAGAAAGGTGTCGAGGGCAATCCAAGGGAAGACAGAGAACACCGAACCAAAACCAGGCGACCAAGTTGCCCTAAGAGTTATAACGCGCGCGAAGTGGACTTGTCCGCTGCGAGGAGTGTAACATAGCCACTGTTCATGATCAAGCGTCATCTCCACCTTTGCTGCCTTCGTCCGCATTGCTTCTGGGCCCGTGGAACCCGCCGCGCGTGAGGCCAGCAGCTGCGAGCCCTCTTGCCGCAAACCCTCCTCGGCCCCTTCCACGCCCTCGGTGAGGTTCCCCACGAGCTTCACGATCTTGCGCTTGTTTGACTTCAGGTGTCGTATCCTTGAGTTTCTATTACAAGACATGTTAGGTGCGCTGGTAAGTGAGAGCGAAATGAATCATCAAGTACCTCCGCGTGTTTCTCAAGCCCGGCTTTCATAGCTTCTTCGTCCCCGAATTCAACGTACGCAATCCTTTGGCTACGACCAGGGAATGGCGCGGGGATGGTCACGCGAGTTATCTAGGTCACCGGTCAGTCATTTACAATGAATGCAAGTGAATCAACGAGAGATCTCACCCCTCCTTTAGCTTCTCCAAAAAAGTCCCTTAACTCAGGTTCCGTAACAGCAACGGTCATTCGCATGAAGATAGTCCACGGATTCCGTTCGCGAGGTTTCCGGCCTGTAGGTGTACGAATCCCCGAGCTAGGTTCGGTACCAGGACTCTTAAGGTCATCGATATCCTTGATTGCGTCTGCTGCCGATGCCTCTGTTGGTGCCCGAGCATCAACATCGATAGAGGGAGCGTCCGTCTTGTCCTCGGAGCCATCTTTCTCAGCACGATCCTTCTCTGCCTTCTCTGCCCGTTCCTTATCTTTACGCTCCTTTTTATCTTTCTTTTTGGCCTTCTCCCGCTCAGCTCTATCACCTACTGGCGATGATGCATTACCAGGTGATGAACCGTTGACTATAGGCGTAGATGACTCTTTAGGGGTACCAGGGCCGGTTCCACCGCGGTTGAATTGCTGTGGGGGAGGGGTGGGTGCAACAGATTTGCGTTCGGCAGGCGTCGAGGAGTCTATCGGTGGGGCAGGAGTGGCAACTTTTGTAGGCGCCGACGTGGAATTAGCGTTCGTAGCCAACGGAAGGGCAGATGTAGATGAGTTTGGCGTAGGTGCTACTGTAGCCGACCGGCGGTAGGCATAATTGAATCCTAGAAAAAAACCGCCGGTGAAGATCCATTGGTTGCTTAGATGAGGATCTACGCATACCTTGGCTCTTCAATTCAGCACTAATCCTTCCCTCTTTGATATCGAGAATAAGCGTTCCATAGGCTGCGTCGCAAAGATTCCAGTTCCAGCAGTTTTTCCATGCAATCTCGTCGCCTGCTGCGGCTGCGGCCGCCGGGGAGGGGCCTGCCACTGGATCAAGAGGAGGAATCCTAGCGACAACGCTCAGTGCTTTGTCCAGTAGTATCCGTTGGTTGTCATCAATGACTTTGTCGACCTGTCCCTTTACGCTGTCCCACACTTTATCGAACGCCTCCTTCCCAGCTTCAAGTTTGGCACGGAAGCCTTTGAAGTCGTTTTGCACGCTGAACTCGTTGTACGATGTTGCGTATCGGAAATGGAGGCCGGCAGACATCGTGAGATCCGCTTTGAGCACCAGCGCGAGCTGCGCCATGATCCCCTCGCGTCCAGGACTCGCATGCGTGATCAGCAGCCGTGTCTCAGATTGATCGTATACCCGCTGGGCCGTGTCCACCAGCTCTCCAATCTGCAGGGCAGTCGTCCACATAGTCCCTTGTCCTCCGGCTATCGTCGCGTTTCCCTCCCCGTTATCAAACATTTTGTGAGCAACAAGCGCGCCACCCAGACCCAGCAAACGCAGCTTCACGCCACCCACATCCAGACAACGCGTCGTAGCCTCGTCGATTACCGTCAAGTTCTCGATATTGTATGACCCCGCACGAAACTTTTCAAGCACTGACACGTCTTCGCACGCACCCCATACCGTGAATACCGGTACTTCCAGTTTTATCTGCCCAGAGAGCAACAGCGGGAATTCGGACAAGAGGGAGACATTGACGGTCGAACGAATCACAGACGGAGGGTTGTCGGGTAAAAGAAGATGTGTACGCTGTGCAGAAGGAATCAGAGGCGAGTACATCGTAAGGTGGCGCAGTGTCCGGTCATTTATTCTGTCAAGGCTCGCCGATTCTGCGACCGTGTTATTTGTTAGAACTACTGTAGACACAGTAGTACGCACCAAAAAAGCCAAAGTCTCCCGTATGAATGATGGCTTTCGCATTTGCCTCCCTCGCCAATTCATTCAAAGTTGAAAGGTGACCGCGAATGTCTGCCAAACATAGAATTCTGCCAGAGAACGTGTCCAGAATTTTTGTTTGCGTGTTGACCTGAGCGCGAGGATTCGGCGAGGCCGCGGGCCTGGTCGAGGTCGAAGTTGGCCGTGTCGTGGGTTGCATGGTTGTCGATGAGGAGGATGAGGAGACTGAGAGTTTGTTTTTTGGGCGACAGATGGAACTTCGGCTATTTCCGATTACCCCTATTTTGCGTATGGGCGCACCGAGTTCGGGCTTTGCTCGTCGTCGTCCGCGTCGGTGGCAAGAATGGCCGCAAAGCCGTCGGCCTCCAGCACGCAGAACAGCGCGGTCTCCTTTCAACGTCCTCCTCAAGTCCATTTATCTGATAAAATCCTTGCTTCTTCCATTATTCTACCCCAGGATGCGGTAATCGCCTCAACCACCTTTGTGCCGCTCCCTGGCCACCAGAACCACCCGTACAACCTGGAGCTGGCGAGGCGAAGCATTCTGGAGAGGAATGGAGATGATACTCTCCTCGATTCGTTGCTGGCCAATGTCAAAATTGGCAGACACTCTGCGATACACATATTCGCCATCGTTCAACCTGATCGTCTCCCTGAAATGCTGGCCACCTTGAGGGATTTAAAGTTCGAAGGATTAGATTGTGAGTGCTCCATTGCTTGCTGACTTGCTTTGCTGAATATTGCACAGCTTCAGGCCCTCTTACTTTCACACCGCAAGACGTCTATCTCGCCTCTCATGCTTCCCGCTCATCTTCTGGCTCATATACGGTTAATATTCTGGATAGCTCACCATCTTCAATACCCCGCAAGACCTTGCAGAACATATACTGCCAGTTCATTGCTGCGATACGGAACCGTCTCATAGACGACATCGTCCGAGAATCCGCTGCCGGTTCGCCAAGATTGCTACGACTGCAGGACGGCGTTCTACTCGGTCGTCAGAGTAAACCATCAGAATGGGGCGCAGAATGGGAGCATCATGCGCAGACCAGGGCCCTCATTCTATGCACGTTCCGAATATTACTGTTGCCGTCTCCCGCACGGTTGGTCATACATCCCCTTCTTTCGCTTACTTCCTCGCTCCCCCTTGGACCCCTACTTCCTTTGCCTCCAGGGACGCCGATTACCCTACTTCCTTCTGGCACACCAGCGTACTATCTTTCCACGTATACGGGCCCAACGTCGGGGTTGATCACTCAGTTCAACGAGTCATTGGTGGGTCAAGGCATCGTTGGTTGGGATAAGGATATCGTAACGCGTCAAGGCAAGCAACCCATGGGCCGTGATACAGCTAGCCATCCCCCAGTCTTCATCATTGCTTGGATTAGTGTCGAAAACAAGCAAGGAGAAGAGAAAGGCCTCCCTATCGTGTGGCCCACCTGTTTATGTATCTCTAGCTCACTTTCCAACAATGGGAATGGCCCTCGTATGCTCAGCTATATTCCCGAGCTGCCCGCAGAGTTGCAACCATCACCACCACCAGCGGCTCGTGCGACCAGTGAATCAGGCCTCGCATCAGGACTGTTCTCTCCTTCGTCTGGCGCACTCACACCATTTATCTCTGCTCTATCTCCCGCCGTCGAGCATTTCCCGCCTCAATTCACTTTTGATGCCACATCTCGCGCAACCTATCACATGTCCCCCTCCATCGCATCCTCCCCGTACTCGGAGTCTCTCCTTTCATTTCGAAATTTGACTGTTTCCAGGTCAAAGAAAGTACCCCAGGTTGCCGGAGAAGTTGGCGAATATGTTGATTATGTGGCCCGGGAAAGAGAACGAGAGAGGGATCGGATTAGGAAAGAGAGGGAGAGTCAAAGTCATTCCTCTCCCAAGCAATCGCGACGGACACCAAATACTCCTACAACTATACCTACTGGTACATCTTCGACAGGGGACTTTCCTGCTACCACTATAACGCTCACGATGCCCCAGTCTGGTACCATCTCTGCATCAGGGACGGAGCCTCCACCAAACCATCCACCCCCTCACATCAGTATCGGAAGTTTCTACCCTTCTCCCCCACAAACCAACCCGCCCGTCCCGCTGGTCGCCATCTCAGAGACTTCCCCTGAAGTAGTGCCAACAGCTCTCCCCGTCTCCACTCAAGGAACACCCATAGAATCCCAACTCCCACCTTCCCCCGGTCCCCAAACTAACAATGCCGCCTCAGGAATGAATTCCTTCGGCTCGTTCGGTAACATCGACATGAGCTGGTCGGAACCTGTTCAAACCACGGACAACGATTTCCTTGATATGAACATAGGGTTCGATCTATCCATGGGATTCGACATGGATATGGAGCCGCAGTCTGCGTCTAATAATACTGCAGCTGTGACGAATTATCGACGCGCCGACATGGAAATGGAAGAGGACTTTACGGAAGATGACTTCAGCTACTTCGACAGCAAACCCTTGAAACCATCTAATTCCCTTCCTGCCAATCTTCTATCGGATGCCTCCTCTGCAGCCGCATTGGACCCTCTGGCTAGCTCTGGGCTCGGGCATTGGACACCATCACTATTTGGGGATCTGAGCTTTTCAGGACCTGGCCCACCTCAATTGAGTCCGACATCCAAAGCGTTTGGGATCAATATCCCGCAGTGGAATGATGGACTCAATGGAAGATTTGGCGATGCTGAGCCAACGCCTGCCCTCTCGCCGCCTTCTGCTGGTCGGAGCCCGTTAAGCCACGGAGGGCCACCGACTCCTGATGTCCAGCTAGACGAGTCAACAGCCCTTTCTTACCATGCTGACCCCAAGCACGTAACATCGTCGTTTGATCCTATCCCCTTTGCCGAAAGACACAAACTCGCGGATGGCAAGTATGCGATTGGCAAGTTCGCACCGCACATTTCGGGTGACGACCCAGTGGCCGAAGAAGAGGTACCACCTAAAGGATGGAAATCCAAGTATAAGGCGGCTACTGACCCTAGAGTCGGTCTCGTTCGCAAGTTGATCGGCGTCAAGCGCAAGTCGAATCGCCAAGATAGACGGCCTTCTAAGATGTCCACCAAAGAACATGAAGATTGGAGTACGAAATATGATACAGATGGGGATGTCGAAGTTGAGGACTCAGAAGTAGATTCGCAGGATGGAGAAGTTGAAGAAGTGGACAGTGCTTCAGTAACGACAAGGGCATCCACACCCCCTCCATCATACCTTCCACTAGGTCACTCACTCCTTCATACTCAATTCCATCATTCACAGCTCCTTCCTTTGAGCTCCTCCCTTCGACCACCAAGCTCCGTTGTCGCGCCTGCCAACATCTCTGCCGGACCTGGCGCAACGTTTGTACCAACGCCTGTTTCTCCTGGCGCCGCCCTTGGCGCTGCAAACGAAAAGTCGAAGTCCCTGGAAGCCGCTGCATTGATGATTGCTAAGGAGGTGGTGGACAACGGCGAGTGGGCTCTATGTTGGTTTGCCAATGTACAAGCAACTGCTCACCTGCAGCAGGCGGAGGCTTGGCACGCCGACATCCATTTTATTGCTCACCTTTTGTCACGATTACCCAATGTCCAAGGGCCGATGGAACTTACAGACCTCTTCTCACCGAGTGTGTTGTCCTTTATCAGAGATAATACTGTGTAATCTGACATGTTCCCAGCTACTCCATCTACCTCTCCCGAACGTGTCTTACAGCCTACGGAGTCACCATTGATTACTCTAGCGAAAGGGGATACGCTTGTTCATATCCAGCCCACTGCCATCGCCTTCTGGGAAAAGTTGGGTTTGGGGCCCAAGGGTGGTAAGAAGGATGTTACCGCTTATGCTTTATTTCAAGAGGTCGACGAGTCACATCGTTCGTCTGTTGCAAATTGGCTTCGCAACCTCTCAAGCGAATATACGGTATGCACCTCCTTTTGCGTCCGATGCGTCTCTCACGAATACCTTAGGATAAACACTTGGGATGCCATGAGCCTGGGCAGGGTATCGGTCCAGAAAAGAATGGGCTACTCTCCATCCAATTTGACTCAACATTTCGCAAGAACCTTGGTGAGTTACTTTATGCCTGTGTGTTGCGGAAGCTGACTCCCCTTTAGCCAACATTGTGGCTAATCTGCCCCCGGTCAACCATTCCTTAGTTTTCTACGTCGTCGCTCCGATAATGCTGATGACACTATCGTCACAATTATGTCGCCAAGTCCTCTCTGCTATCAAGAGAGCGCTTAAGACATATTCGGAAGCCCAAGTCTTGTTTCATTTCGTCCCGGAACATCTCATATATGGTACAATCAACGATCCAGACGATCGGTTTACTATCCTACAAAGGGTTTGCGCATCCGTCTACAATCGGCTTTTGCGTCCCATTGATCGAATCATGTCCCGCAAGTTTTCTGAAGATGGGCCGCGCGTCCGGGCGTACTTCCAGGACACCGCGATAACTCTAGCTCGCTCCTCCGTTCGTACGAAATATTCGACCACGCACTGCTTCGATGTCGTCGATCGCGACACTCTTCTACACGTCGGATATCGTATTTCATCATGTGGGAAGTGGATTCTAGTTGCCTGTGTTGATCAGCGAGGGGAAGCCTACGATACGCATTTGTGGTTGCGGCACACTCCAGGCGAAGATGGTTCACCCGACGATGGCACGGAAGTGAATGATATGTCGTCCGAAGCTTACGTCGCATTGAAAGTCTGGTCGTTCGCGTCTGAATTTGCGAAGCGGGCCAATATCGAGTGGCGGATTATCATTACGAAGCTGGGGTGCCTGAGCGAAAGTGAATTACAGGGTGAGTTGATCGTGTTTTGAACAAATCTCATTCTTTGTTGACGTGCTCTATTTATTGAAGCGTGGTCATCTCACCTGGAGACAACCACCGAAAGTCAAGCAGATCATGTTTCACTCCTGTGCGCGTATACGGATACATCATACAAGTTCCTCCCTCCCCAAGCCACCTCCCCTGTCAAGAAGCCTCGGCAGTCTCGAGGGACGAACGCTTCGCTCTTCGTCGACATATCAGCGAACACCTACATACTATACCCTCAAGTCGTGCTCCCCGTGATACCTCCCTCACTTCTTCCAAATATCTCGATGGTCACCGAGCCTGCCCAGGATGAAGACGACTTAGAGTCTCCTCCTATGTTCCCCCTGTCCACTTCCATCCTCATTCGAGCTCCAAATGAGGGTGGCCTCGCATCGGCCTCGATGCTACAAGTCCATTTACTCTATACTTATCAGGCGAATGACGATGCCGACGACGCCGCTGAACAGCAAAAGCGGCTAATGGAAGATATCTCGCGCAATTTGGTTGACTTGACAGTGCTAGCCAAGAATCGCTGGATGCGAATCGCCAATCCGATCTTGCCATTCCATCTCGCTGCGGTTGAAAACATGGATAGGGCGTTGACGCGCGAGGAGGAGCCGGAGGAGCCTGCCTGTTCCGATTCGTAATTGCTTTGTGGTATTCATCTTTGCTTATTATGGTGCTTTGCATACTGCTGTTGTGCTCTAATTATGTTTTGTAGATTACTTGTAACTAAATGCTTAATGCCATCTGGATCTCTCAGTTTCAAGCTACTTGCCGCGAGAAGGACATTCGACGTAGAGGAAACACCTCGCCCGCTGCAGCCCTGGCGCGTACAAAGGTTTCACGACCTCCTCACAAAAAATCGGGAGAAATGGGACTAGATCATACCGGCGGGTAGTCGCTAATCCGTGTGTATGCAAGACGTTCGTGGAGCTGAACTGTTAAAGTGGTAGCAAGTAAAAAGGTGATGGTACAGTCGCCATTCGACGGACCCACCATATCATCATCCACCATCCATCGCAAATGCACGCCCTCTTCACGCCTTCCTCTTATCTTGTGACCGGCCCCCTCGAGCCATACACATCCAAACCGATCGTAGGCCAGCGCCCAGGCGATTATATGAAAATACGAGACACTTCTTGCCGTGCCCCTCGAAGCCACGGTGCACCCGAGCTCATTGATTGCGGAGAGTTTGGCCCACATACGCCCTCAATCTCATGGCCGACGTGGGACCCGTGCGTGGATGGTCCCTATCTCCTATGCTCCTCGTCAAGTCCCTGCGCGTCGGCGTGAACGCCATGTTTAACACGTCTCTCGACCCCTTGAAACTCGATCCTGTACAGGAGGGTCCACCTGATGAGGTTGGCCTTGTGTGGATCGAACCCAAACCTGATTTGGTTGTCGGTGAGAATGAGCACGCGGCATAGGTGAACGATATCCACCCCTTCAAGGTGGCGGGTTTCGGGTACGGGAAGCGAAGAGAAAGCGGCCAAGTCGGACAGGCTGCTGGCTCCGATGAGAAAGTCATATATGAACTCCACGGAGGCGGTCTCCCTAGACCTGGCGCGCTTATGCTTCATTCCTCTACCGCCGACTGGGGAAACACCCATAGCGGCTCCTGTTCAAGTACGCCGACAGCAACTTTGTGCACAACTTCCTTGCATGATACCCCACTTGCGCTTAATTTGCTCGCTCCCCATCCATGGACCTCTCCTGCCTCTCTTCGTCTGGATCATCCCAAGGGTCTTTTCGTTGGTCTCTCGCCCTCTCTGATTTTAGCAGGCGCAGCCGAAATGTCCTTAGACTCGATGAAGAAGACATTGGCGGATAGAATGAGAGCGGATATGGGGACGGATCTGGTAACTTACGTCGAGACCGCGAACGCGACACAATGCACTGCTCGCAAAGTGGCATGAGCCCGAGAGGACACGTGCGTATGAGGTATTCGCCTCGTGGGCGAAGAACTGTTAGCTAGTGATCTATACTCGTGTCGAGGTTGCAATCACCCAAGGAGCAGGCCGGGACCACCGGAGGTATAGTCTGCACCATACCGCATCATTTGTTGTGCGAATGGAGTCCTCGCTGGTCAGGTTGGTGCCCTGGCTGGTGGCGTGGCCTCTCATATATCCGACTACAACACTGAACAAGCCTGAGTCCGGCCGCGCACGTATATACGAATCTGGAGGGAATGTAACGCCTCATAAATGCCCGAAGTATCGTCTTGTTACGATCTGCAGTGAGAAAACAAAGGGAAGGTAAATCCGCACGACGTTAAAGGTTCCCCACACCCTATTGACTATTGATATTCAAAGAGAGACTGGTCACCACGAGAATGTTTCGGTGCGGCGGTATCAGGCTGATAAACCAGCCTGTCTTCGAGAATATGGTAGTCGGTACTCCGGCGGTGTTCACACTGGTACAGTGGTAGCTGAGTCCTTAGACCACCAAGAACGTCCCGTCTAGCACGGGGAGTCTGAAGGTGCTTCGGCCACTTTACCGAGAGACGTTAACGTCGTGATGGGCCACGGCGTCGGCGTCGTCCCGTCAAGAAAAGGATAATCGGTATATCCCTTGCCTGTACCGTCGCCCATAACATAGAATGTCGATCTATCGTACGCGTTTGATGGCAAGTCATCCTTCCACCGCAACGGTAGGTCGGGGTTGGCGAGGAAGTGTCGCCCAACTGCAACGATATCGCCTCTTTCAGCAGCCTTGATCGCGAGCTCCCTGGTATACCCGCCAGCCGTGATGAACGGCCGGGGTGACCAAATCCTGCGAAGGAAATCATTCTCCTCTTCAGCAGGAATGCTCTCGTCGTCCCTCTCCTTTCCATCCACGCCGTCGGGGCCTAGCTCTGCTCCAGAGTCAACCCGTGGCTCAGTAACATGCAGATATGCCATGTTTGGCCACCGCTCCTTCATCTGCGAGACGAAGTACGTGTAGGTCGGCTTGGGGTCTGCCATCCCCATGCCCTGGTACCTGCCCCATGGACTGATCCGGATGCCCATTCTATCTGCTCCAATCTCTTTAGCTACGGCCCCCAAAATCTCCAGGCCGAGTCTCGCGCGGTTTGCGGGGCCACCCCCATACTCATCCGTTCGTTCGTTTGTCACGTCTTGCAGAAACCGATCGAGAAGGACGCCGTTGGCGCTATGAATCTCTACGCCATCAAATCCAGCAAGATGGACGGCATTCGACGCGGCCTTCGCAAACAACCGGAAATTCTCCTTGATTTCTCCAATGGTGAGTGCTCGTGGTGTTGGTGGCGTATATTGATAGCTAGGGGGAATATCGGACGGAGAGTCTAACCCCCCTCCGCTCGGTGCTCCTGAGTCTGCAGTTCGCCCAATGCCCCAGATCTGGAGGTAAATATACGACCCGCGTGCATGCACGGCCTCAGTGATCTGCCGAGCTACAGCGTCAGTTTCCCATTAGCATTCCCGGCATGGACATGCAAAACCTTCTTCCAAGCCGCAATTTTGGCGGCAGACCATATTCCGGGGAAGCGATTGTGCCCTCCTGCCTGAGGCGCAACTCACGTAGCCTCGGCAATCAAGAGGGTACCAGGAGTGCTCCCCCGTTGGGCGTAGTATTCAGAAACCATGGGAAGGAGAGGAGCACGTTCCGCGTCAGTGCGGAAACGGGTAAGAGGGGCGAGAATAACGCGGTGGTGCAGAGTCATTCGAGCAACGTTGATCTGTTGGAAAAGCTTTGGTGAATATGCAGCTTGAGATGAAGTAGGCATGTTGTCTCTGTACACGCAATGGTGATCATGGGATTGCAGTATACAGGAAGCAAAAGCTTATTACTGCTCGCCAACGTCTGCTAATTGAACATGCTGAATCACAATGAAAGGTTCAGTACTACTCATCAATTCTACTAGTAAGCTTCGCAGCTCACCCCATATTACGATCTCTTCCTAGGTTCGTGAACCAGCCTCTTTGATGTTCCGTGATCATGGTAAAAAGAGAAACACCTGGCTACGACGTAACAGGAACTGTCACCCATATCTTTAGGCAATAATAATAAAACAGCGCATATGAACATAAATCCTGCTCGTTCTGCTGAAAGATGAAAATGTTTTGCTAGTAATAATGCCGAACAGTGATACACTGGCTAAGTCTAGCAGTGTCTCGTAGTGTAAGTAATCAAGGACATGATTGAAATGCAAACAGAACTAAGTACTATATCGTCTCGAGTAACGAGAACTGTCGAACCTCCTCTACAAACTGGTGTGCGATGTCAGAGAGCTCATGAATGAGCTCACCTCTATCCCACTCAGTCCGGTGCCGCCAGACACAACTTAGGCACGTAGCACGTAGCTGCTCCAGATATTCGATCGAAAGGAATCTGGTGTCGTCGCACAGCTGTTGTGCGAAGGTAGATAATTGCTGCTCGTTAACAATGAAATCAGGGAGAGGAGGGGTAGGCGAACGCTCAATAATCATTGGCGTTGGAGATTTGGACCTCGTTGTTGTGGGGGGTTCCGCGGACAAGCGTGATGGAAGGACACTCGTAGGTGCAGCGTCGTTGCCCGCAGGCGGCACAGAGGATCTCGGAGTAGTCGAGGCGAAGGGGTTGTCCTCTCGTGATACGGGATTGAGAAGTGAAGGATCAAACCCAGGAGGTTTACTTGGAGTCGAATCCACTGCCATAGAGGAGTCGGCGGGAGGGGTAGAGGGCGGTAGACTGGGCGGTTTGGAAGAAGGCACCCCAGTTGCTGGTGCTTCATCAGCAAAATGGACAGTCGGCGGCCGAGTAAGTGGCCCTGCGACGACTCCTTGCATGGCTTCGAGTTGGTGATTCGTTTCCGATGCACCTTCGAGAGAATCAGGCTCATTACCGTCACCGTCAACCGTGCGGCTACGTTTTGGAGCGCGGTCAGAGCCCTCTTCCTCAGAACCATTAGAATCGATTCCGTTAGTGCCATCGGCGCGTTGCCGCTTCAAGCGCCTCTCAAGCTTGACTGGATCGGTTATTGAGATCTCTGGCTGTTGACCGTTGGCGCGGGCACTCCTTCTCGTGGCGAGACCATTCAAACCGTTGGCAAGCCTGTCATCTTCAACGCCCCTCTCCTTATCTCTTTGCCTCCGCCGCTCCTCTCTCCTCCTTCGCTCTCTAGCAGCCATACGATCGCATTCCATGCGGAAGTGCTGATCGAAGTCTTGCATGCTGACTTGTGTTGCCGTGTACATTGCTTGGGCTTTGTGCAGGCGATCGAGGTCCTCGTGCATACGGACGGCCGCGTTATGAACCATTTTTCCAACGTCGTCAAGGAAATCTTGAGGCGTCAAGTATTTGTCCTTGTACAGGTCGATGTGCATATGCTCAAGATCCATGTCGTATAGTTGTGGGACTTGAACTTGTTGCTGCTGTTGAGGGGCGAAAGGATCGTCTGGTGGCGGATCGGTGTGACCATTGACGAGTTCCGTTGACTGGGTGTCGCCGCTGACTTCGATAGGGCCGTTTGGTTCAGCTGGCGTTATCTCAATAATGGTTGTAGCGGGGTAAGGTTCTGGAGGAGGCATGAAAGGTTCATTAGGGTCGAAATTATACTCTTCCTGGATCAAGACTCAGTATGACCACAACAATTAGATGGAATGAAATAAAAACTCACTGTGGCTCGCTTCGTAAATCGTTTGAATTTACGCTTCAACTCTGTCAACACAGGCCCTAAGCGATACTTCAAAAGTGTGACGATCTTCAGGTCGGTTTCTTCCTGAAGCGCGAGTTCAGCTGCACTGGGTTGCCTGGGTTCCAATGGAGGCGCAATTGGGAGGTTCTCAAGGATCCTCTTCCGTCGCTTGACCCCATCTGGGAACATATTCGGCGGGCGTTTGACATCATTGAGTAGACCGTCAAAGAAAGCTCTACGTTGAGCCGAAGTAGGGTTCAATATCTCAACACGATTGTCGCGTGTGGGGCCGAACCATGCTTTGACATCAGGTGGGAGGGAGGAGAATGGGCCGTCAACAACGGCAAGGAATAGAATGGGATCAGTGGGTGCAAGCGTGTCAAGCATTGCCCGCACAGTAGCCCGCGATGCTTCGTTGATGGCTGCACACCACCCGACTAGGGATGGGACGTATATCACGGAGGGTTGCTGCCGCTTGGCTTCAATGAAAAGCTGAACAATAGCTGCATCGGGTGTCTATCGCAGGATTTCAGGGGCTTTGGATCTTCGAGAGAGAAATGGAAACTTACTCTAGTAGAATCACTTAAAAGTGTACCGAGTTCGAGACTCTGGATGTTGAAACCTTCAAGGTGATGCAAAGCACCGGCGCCGATGTAACCTTGTCCCATTCCAACCGGACCATGTATCACCACCCTTGGTCGATAGACACGCAGTTTCTCCATGGCTAATCATCTGATCAAGATGAAGTAATGGCGCGAGAGTAAAGGGGACACACATTGCAGCATCATTTCCCGATCCAAGGCACCTTCTTCCCCCTCGTCCTCGTACTCAGCTTCTTCAAGCGCTGTTCTCTTTTTCTCCACTGGAAGAACTCGGTTGATGACATCTTTGACTGCTTCGAGTGTTTCAGACAGCAGGGGAACGAACTGTGATGGTAAGGGGGTCGCAGCGGATACTGACGAGCGTGCCGATGACGGAACAATTTCTTGAAGGAAGAATCAGCGAAGCAAACATGAACATCAAGATTAATTACTTACTCTTAATAGATATCATGAAATCCCGTAATTGTACTTCGATAGTCTCTGGCGCCAATAACAACCTATCCGTCGACTTGTATATCTGAGGATAACGCCTCTGCACGGCGTTCAGGACAGCTTCGGTGCACAATGCCTAACCAAGAATATATTCTGCATTTGTTGGGAAGCGGTAATACGATGAGACGTACCCTGAGATCAGCACCCCCGTATCCTTTTGTCAACTTCGCTAAACCCTTCAGTTTGTCCTTTAACTCGTCACTTCGATTGTCTTCAACTGGCTTCTTCGAGGGGGTATCAAGGTCAATGACTTCTACCTCCTTCTCACGTTCTTTGCCCTTGATGCTCTCGCCGCCCCATCCCTTCCACTTCTTGGTCATAATGCCCAATATCCTTTCCCTAGCGTCTAAACTCGGCAATCCGAAATAGAACTCGCGGTCGAATCTCCCTGGGCGCCTCAACGCGGGATCAACGGCGTCTGGCCTATTCGTCGCGCCGATGACGACGACTTGACCGCGCCCGTCCATGCCATCCATCAACGCCAGCAAGGTGCTGACAATGGAAGCATGAATCTGATCCTGTTTGGAGGAACGCACTGGTGCCAGACCGTCTATCTCATCGAAGAAGATGATAGAGGGCTGCGTATTGCGGGCTTCCTCGAATAGTAATCTGAGTTGACGCTCGGCCTCGCCAACCCACTTCGATAGGCAGTCCGCTCCTTTACGCATGTAGAACGCTGGAGGAGCGTAAGTGAAGGGGAACCATAAACTACATACAGGTCAAACACTCACATATGCCTTTCCCATTGCTTCGACAGCTCGCAGCAAGGGCGCGTGCGAGCAACGTCTTACCAGTCCCGGGGGGTCCGTGGAATAGTACTCCCCTAGGAGGAGTAATGCCAAAGTTTTGGAAGACTTCAGGGTACAAGAGAGGTAAAAGCGTCATTTCCTTCAGAGAATGAATATCTATCAGGAAGAGCCATTAGCTTGAGAAATTGTGCGTGGATGTTTAGCTCACGTTCTTCCAAGCCTCCAACATCGTCAAAGGTGACGTTTTGGCTAGGACCCAGAGGGTCTGCATCCGCCAAAGCTGAATCTGCACCGACTTTGCCGAGGTTCGAGGGCGTCCCGATGGCTGCGGAGAGGTCGCCGGCGGCAGGAAGGACACCCATCCCACCTGCGCTACCTGTTATGGCCCCAGTGCCAAAGAGACCAGCACCAGCGGCAAAGTTCTTGCGAGGGGTTCGCGTCGGAAAATCCGAGTCCTACCATATGATGCTGAGGATGGTAGAAGAGAGGAATGATATAGAGGGCGTACTGAATCATCTGCAGGCATGCCCATCAATCTACCCAGCTCTGCTCCGGACGCACTCCAGCCTAAGCCTTTCTTTCGCCCGCCATGCTTCCGCTCATTCCTTCCGTTCCCGAACCAGCCGTTACCGCCTCTTCCACCCTTCGGTGGCGCCTTCGCCGCAGTTTCTTCCAGAGGGGGAGGAATAGCGTAATTTATTTTCGCCCTTTGTCTAAGCGCATATGGCTTGCCGTCGCTTTCGACCATCTCCACCCCGTCACCGTTATCGTTGTCTGCGAGGTCATCTTCAGGTTCGGGTTCGGGTTCAGGCTCCGGTTCTGAGGACGTATGTACCGCATCTGCTAAGGACCCATCATCCGAGACTGATTCAGCAGAGGTATTTTGCACATAAGCATCGTCCCCGTCGGGATCACCAGCACCGTCGCCACCCTTGGAGGCGGCGCGTCGAGCATGTCGTTCAGCACGGAGTGCGGCCGTACTGGGCTTGGGCGGCGCTGTCTTGCGCTTTCGGAGCTCGTGAGGTTGAACTCGTTGCACACGCGCTGTCTGTCTGGATCGATGGCGCGTAGGATAGCGACTGGACTTGACGTCGTCCTCCTCGTCGAGAATGATAGCTTTGGATCTACTGGACGAGTGTCTGGTGTTATACCGTTTGCTCCCCTCATCCTCTTCGTCGTCGTCATCTACGTCTTCTATGCGATATCCTCCCCGTCTTAGTCGGTTACCCCTCCGAGGGGCGGTGTGCACCTCAACATCGACTCCGTCGTCGAAAAGGGCGTCAGGGTCGTCCTCTGGATCGCTCTCCTTGTAAACCTTCTTTGCCATCCTCCTCCCCCTCGAAGATTGTGTGTACTGCACTTCCTCTTCCTTGACTTCCTCTCCTTTGTCCTCTACGTCGCCGTCTGCATCCTTATCATGATCGAATGACTTCTCGCTTTCATGATACTCCGATCCCGAGGCACCTCCGTCAATCGAGTTTGTTCTATTTCGTGAAGATCTTCGAGTCGCCACTGGCATTTGGCTAAAGGCCGGAAGCTTTATGGTCAAAGAGTGTGATGGGTTCTGGTAGGTGGGTTGTGGCAGTAGTTGTTGCTGAGGGGGATACTGGGGTTGGTTCTGATAATATATAGGTTGCTGTGGCGGAAATCCTTGGTTGTAGACCAGCGGCTGATCGTACTGAGCACTTTCCGGAGCGTAGTGATGCTGACTCGGCACACCCTGGGGGAGGATGTTGGGCAGTTGCTCTGGATACGGCCCCGGCTGCTGATTATTGTGAAGCTGAGGGAGTGGGTGGTTCAGGTACTCGAAATTGCTGAAGTTGTAGTGCTCTGGCGGTGGGTAGCCAAAACTGGGTTCTGGCATGGAACCGACCAGAGTCAAAGCAGAACCTTACTTTAGGCCCAAGACTAGAAACAAAGCTGCGTCGTAGTCGTAGAAAATAGAACCAGCGAGCTCTCGCTGGATTGAATGTTGAAAAGGTCGTGGTCGACGTTCAAGGCAGTGAGCTCGACAAAGATCTTTGGCTGAGGAGATGTTGCGTTGTGTTTGGCTCTTACCCCGAGTGTAAGCAAGGCCAAATAACCTCCTCCTCATCTCCATCCGCCTCAACCACGCACCAACACCAAACTCCCCCCACCGACATTCCCCAAAACCGATTTTCTAGACGACTCCCAGTCCTCCTCGGATGCTCGTTTCGAAAGGCAAGCACTTCAACTGCCGTTCGCGGCGCACGAATTCGACTGAAAGAGGGCGGGATGCTGCAGGATCGACGGGGGGATTCGCAGGTGCGAAAGACGAGGCTGATGGAAGTTGGAAAGCATGAAATGGATTTTTGCTGAGGACTTGTAACTTTTCCTGCTGGCCTTCGGGTGTGACAAGTGATTACGTGACATGTCACCGCGTGACGATAAGCAGCACGGTTCTTGAAAGTAGCAAAGTGCCAGAGTTTAAACTTACGGGTAATCTCTATTCCTTGCGTTCGATGTATATTTCAATGCTGAACTGGTCTAGCACAACACAGGTATGGTTAGTTTCCTGGGACTCATACTCTAGAATGCAAACTTGAAGGTTAGCGACGTCCAACATTGTTTTGACGCCCGCAGCGGAAACCACAAGAACGTCTGTGAAAGCGAAGACGCGCGGATATGGGATATATTGGACAAAGGGTGCATGTATAAGCGGCGTACGAAACGAGTGCTGTACTTGCATAAGGACGCGCGCGCACGATCGACTTATATCAAGTCAACACACCGTTCCTCGATATATTTCCGCCACTGCAACCTCATAAACCAGCGCCCTATTCGAGATTACGAAAACTAGAGGCTAGTATCGACCTACCTTTGATCCCCGATTCTACGTAACGATTTTGTGGAGTTCAATCCTTTCGAGTATGCAGGGCGTGCATTAAACAAGCAGATACAGAGCGGAAACATTGAGACGATGCGACATGAACGCGGATGCAACAGACTCTGCAAACACACACAACAAAATAAAGACAAAAGCAATATATCGAAAAGTGAGGTCGAGGCGTCCAGGCTGCAGATGTGCCGCGAAACGTGATTGCGAGGTGCCCAATTTGCGGGCACCAAGGCGAGGTCGAAGTCCCCCCACCGCAGGCTCGAGGTCCATTTGCGAGGTATCCACCCCCACCATCCCTATCCTACCCAAGTCCCCCTAGCCGCAAATCAAACCACTCCTTCCCCCAACCTTCCCCCTCCCAAACCCTACGACCTCCACTCCAATCGCCGCGAACGTTCGATTCGTCTTCATAGCTCGAGAGTCGATGCCTCGGGGCGAATCCCTCGCGACCGACCAACGCGAACAAGTAAAATCAAAAGAGACATACCTGGAATGGGTCCACATACCATGTTGCTCCACCAATGGCGGCCTACCATTGATGCAGCAGCATGGTACGCAGACAGTGCTACCCCTCTCCGCATCCCGCATTTCATCTAGCAACCCCACAGCGGCCCACACCCGCGCTTTCTCATGAAAAGAGCGTGTCTAGGTCACTGCAGGTTCGCATCGAGGTCCTCCGTGCTCTCCACTGCCTCAGGACGCGCAGCATTACGGGCCAAGTGATGTTGAGCTTCTGAAGAAGTAGAGAGCCATCGAGGGCCAAGATGAAATGGGGGATGGGGAGAGGGGGCACTTCTGGAGAAAAAGAAAGAGGAGACAAACCCACCGATAAGAACCCGCAACACACAACCCACCTCTCCCCGTCGTTCACCGCCCCCTACCGCCGCCTCAGACCATACCCGCCGACCCTCCGCCAGTCCTTCCAGCCCCCAAGCTACCGCGTCCCGGACCCGAGGCGATACTCCTTCCAACGTAGCCAGCCACTCTTGCAGCGTACCCTTGATAGGCGACCTTGATCCTGCGGTAGAGAATCTGAAAGCCCGACTCTACGTCCGCAATACTGTGCGCCCCGCCGTTGATGCTGTTGTGCTCTTGCTCGATACACCGCTGCACTGTGACAGGCGCATGATAACTTTTGGGGCGCACATTTCGGGGCCTGAGGTCCTTTTGCTCCCGCTTTCTGCCACGCTGGCTGGTACTCGAAGAACGAGGAAACGGGTGCCCGAAGAGCGGCTGCTTTCTGATACTCGGACGCGGGGGACGTAACAAATGCAAGTCTTCCTCATACACGATGCGCCTATCAACGCGCGAGGCAAGGGACATCATGCCTTTGCCGCCACCAATTGCCTGGGACCTGTCGGGAAAGCTGGAGGCTGGAACGCCTCGAGTCCAAGACTGTTGATGTTGAGTGGCAGCTTCTCGGAAGATACGGAGGGTCTTGTTGTCCAATTCGCATGCATGGATGAAGATGGCTGGCGTGGCGGCAGTGGCTGACAACAATGGGAACACCAAAGAGGAGGTTCCGGTACAAGGGGCCTCTACAGTCGTAGCCAACGTGCAAGGCTCTGGCATAGGCAAGTAGTCTGCAAGATGAATTGAATGAACAACAATTTGCCTAAACGAGTCTATAAACTCACCTCCTAAAGTGGTACCGATCTCTTCTGCAGCGTTCGCAGCAGTCGAATCGAGAGACAGGGGGCTACCAGCGACTGGGGGGGTGGCGACACAACGGTCAACGTCGTGATCCTGTACAGCTGCAGGGGTATCAATCTGGGTAGAATTCATAATGATGATATATGAGGATACGAAGAAATCTTTGAGAGTGTGGATGATGGTGGTAGAGAAGAAAGGTAACGCGACTGGGAGAGCGTCAGCCAAGGCGTGGATAGGAGACAGGAGCCACATACTCCCACGGGCACCTGACCGCGACATGGCGAATTCAATTGCAAACAGTCTTAGCCTGGTGATGAACACAGACGAATCAGTAAATGACAGTGATCAATTAACAACGACGCCGTGACCGAGAAGTAGTACGTTGTATGGGTTGGACATGGGCATGTTGAAGAATAAGGCGCAATCGTGGATGCTAGTACCATCAATTGGAGAAATAGGCCAGTTCGAGCATGCATCAATTAGGGTTACAACATCTCTACATCTACTCATCACGAATGTTCCTTCTGCACGAACTTCGCAATGGTCTGAAGTTGGATATTGGAAGTTCCTTCGTAGATGGCACCCTGAAATAGAAAGTCATATTATGAGCCTCGTAGCACGCCATGAACAAGTGAAGGACTCACAATCTTAGAATCCCTCCAATACTTCTCGATGCCCGTCTCACGCGTGAATCCAACGCCTCCAGCCCACTCGATCGCCTGCCCGGACACCCTCTGCGCCACTACGCTCGCCCAGTATTTCGCCATCGCAGCCTCCTTCGTGAAGCTTCGCCCTTCCTCCTTCCGCCGAGCAGCGTTGTAGGTGAGGAGCCTCGCGGTCTCGATCTCTATCGCTGCTTGTGCGATCTGGAATTGCATGCCCTGGAACGTCCCAACTGGCTGCCCGAATTGCTTCCGCTCGTACGTATATGGCACTGCTTTGTTGAAGGCACCCTGCGCAAGCCCGAGCATCTGTGCAGCGATACCAATACGCCCTTCATTGAGGATCTCAATGGCGATCTACGGGAGCGCATGAGCGTATGCAGCAAGCAGAAAGGACATCTCCAAACCTTGTAACCCTTGCCCTCTCCGCCGAGAACGTTCTCAGCGGGGATCTTCATGTCGTCAAAGTTAAGAGTACATGTCGATGAGGCGCGGATACCAAGCTTCTGCTCTTTCTTCGCGATCTGAATGCCCATATCTTTGGTGGCGATGAAGCACGTAATGCCCTTGTACCCCTTGCTAGGATCGACCTGCGAGTAATCATTAAAATGCGTTGTGAAGGAAGAATATGAACAGATGCTCACATTAGCGAAGATGAGGAAGACCTCGGCTTCGTACGAATTTGTGATCCACATTTTGGAACCGTTGATTATCCAGTTATCACCATCCTTTGTCGCACGGGTCTGGAGCGCAAATGCGTCAGAGCCAGAAGCTGGTTCAGACAAACAGAAGGATCCCAACTGCGAGGCCTGTTAGCGACCGGTCAGACTAATATACGTTAGATACTTACCTTGGATTCGGCGAGGAGGGGTAGGAATTTGTCCTGTTGCTCCTTGGATCCGTATTTGCGGAAGACAGTGTTGACCAGGGTGTTGTGGACGTCACATAACACTGATACTGACGGGTCGACCTTAGCAAGTTCTTCAATGGCGATGATTGCAGACGTAAACGACGATTCGGCACCCCCGTGATCCGCACTCGTTTCGATGCCCATAAGCTGAAATCTCTGAGTTAATGTGCGATCCAGCGAGTAGAGTCTTTGAACTGACCCCTTGCTCGAATAGACCAGAGATAACGGAAGGGTCCATCATCTCGTTCTCATCCATATCCCGTACTTTTGGACCAACGACTTCGGTCGCAAACTTCTGTACTGCATCGAGAGTGAGCAGAGTTCCTAGTAGAGATATGGGTATATGTGCACACCTGCATCACGCAGCATGACCTCTTCTTCAGTGAATGTATCCAGGGAGGTCACGGTGGGTGCATCTGACCGCACCAAGCTGGTAGAAGCGAATGTCCTGCATCTAAATATAATTCAGGTAATCGTCTTGAGGATAGGAGAGGAGGCCTACCTCAGAGATGGCTTCGTACGGGGTCTGAGGGTCCGCGCGGCCTGTATCACACCTCTAAACATATTGTTGGGTCGTAGCGAGCAGGAGAGGGGAATAAATGGCCTATACTTCTTCCCCTCCAACCTTTATATAGAGTTCAAGTTCCGGCGACCAGCGGCCACCGGGGATCCGATCGCTCACGTGATTGCGCCCTCCGAAAGCGCCGGCGCCTGCTCGGTCAACATCATCTTCAAGAACGTCGTCGTACACGATGGTCGCTGCATTGACCGTTCTGCTCGCTGCTCTCCCCGTCGCGCTCGCTTTCTCTGACACTGCGCCAATCGTTGCATGGACGTCGCACAGGTCGGTCCTCTCCTCCTCTTCCGATTCAGATTCTTGACCCTCTTTAGGTCTGCTGCGCTAGAAACTCTCCCTTCGGGCCTGAAATCAGGCGCAGCGTTGAGCTACCTCCTGGCGAATAACGGAGCCTGCGAGAGCGATGCGATAGTCGTCGTAGAGCACCCTGGGGTGAGTCCCATTCTCTGCTCAGGAACCCCGTTTTTGACAACTTCATGTAGCTGCATGCTTCAGATCTCCGAAACCTTTCCCCCAGCTCCCCTCTTTCGCTAGTTCTCCGAGACTCACCATCGTCGAGACAATACCCATATGTGTCTGTCAGCCCAGACGACGTCTCCGTGATCGTCGAAACGGTGTCGTCGCGGTGCAAGTCGCGCCTCGTCACGTTCACCCCAGGACAACCTAGCACTACACTCTCTCCCGGTGAAAAATACGTAATAAACATGCGCCTCCCCCACCTCGAGGGTATGGCTCTCGACCGACACACGTCGCTGTCGCAGCATAGTGCGTATCTTCATTCGTTCCGCAGAACTACCTATAACGTGTACCCTTTCAGTTGAATCTCTCTTCGAACTCGAACTCAGCAACATCGCAGCATCCTTCCCGAACCACCTCGTGCTCTACTCTGGCTCGACTTCTGCCTTGGATAAGCGCCAGTCTCCCGCCCAGACCGTGAAAACGGTAGCAGCAGCACCAAGCGGTGGTATCCTCAAACGCTACCAACTTCTTACCCCAGCACTCATCTCCGTGCTCCTCGTGACGCTATTCGTGCTGTTCCCCCTCCTCTTCCTCGGTATCACGGCGTTGTCGAGCATACAAAGCCCGCTGCGTGTGGAGGCGCCCAAGGGCTATAGCGACAGAGAGCGCAAGAATCAGTAGAACCAGAGAACACTCGTTGTTTCTGTATACATCGTAACTTTTGCACTCTTTTCGCCCACTAGCAGAATGAGAACTACTAAGAGAGGCATTTATGATTTGCCTTTACATTTGCACGGTAGAGCAATGTCCTTTGTTTCGGCAGGGGCTAAGTTCCAACTATCCTTTTATTGATGGAACGATTTGTATTACATAGGACAAGTGGAGGTCCAACACCCGCTGCCGTAGCGTCCACATCACATAAATCCTCTAGCTGCCGGCGCCGTACCGTCAGCCATCCCAGCGGCGAAACCTGCCGCGCCATTAACAGCACCGTCGAATGCATGCGCTGTGCCATCGGAAACACCAGTGGCGACTTGCGCTGCGCCATTAACAACGCCGTCGAATGCCTCTGCTGCACCGTCAGCCATCCCAGTGGCGGCTTGAGCTGCACCATCAACAACACCGCCAAATGCCTGCGCTGCACCATCGGCAGCACTAGTGGCAGCTTGTGCTGCACCACGAACAGCGCCGTCGAATGCATGCGCTGCACCATCAGCCATCCCAGTGGTGGCTTGAGCTGCGCCGTTAACAACACCGTCGAATGCGTGCGCTGCACCATGAGCAGCACCAGTAGCAGCTTGAGCTGCCCCGTTAACAACGCCGCCGAACGCATGTGCAGCCCCGTGCGCGATGCCACTAGCCGCCACGCGGCTCCTAGAAACGGGAAGGATAATCCAATCGCCTTGGGCGACTTCGCGGGCAGTCATCGCATCAGCTACAGAACTCGTTCAGCATGACCTACGGGAATTTTCCATGGAGCACCGCCTACATTCATTGTCCAAAGGAGCAGCGATGACCAAGGTGGCCAATGCGAGGACGGAAGCAGCGATGAACTGCATGACGATGGGCTGAGGGTCCCGTCCCGTTAGTAGTTGGTGCAAAATCTAGGAGAAAATCACAAACGTTTACAGGAAGGCTCTGGAGGCTGGGTGAACACAAGCGATGAGCTGCTGCTGTTGACAAGACTTCGACTTGCTTATATACTCGTGCGCTACATTCATTCGTGAGTGTTGACGTTGGGCCCAATGGCGGCGAAGCTTTCTACGTCCAGCATGACTGATTCCAGGCCACTGCCACAAGGATGCGTAGCAAGTACTAGTAAGAGCTTGCGCGAAGCGAAAAGCTTTCGGTAGCTCCTTTTGGAGAAGAGGATACAACAACGGCGGATCCCTACAACCTGCTTGGCAGGATGTAAGACTTGTACTCGGGCAAGGCACAACGATCGAGGGGTTGATCGCCCGAGAAGCGACCTAAGCAGTCCGCCCATCTCTACACCCAACATGCGACGCGCTAAGACAGCGTGACAACTCCCTATCTGCTATGGCTGAGGCAATGTCGCAGGCGAGTCGCGGTCGAATGCAACCTTATTTGAAGGATCGTGTCGAATGGCATCCGTCATGGGCTACTCTCTCTCCTCCCGAGGGTGTCCCCACCTTTCATACGATTCAAAGGCAAACAAAAGAATGGGCGCAATAATAGCATGGCTGAGAACTAATTCCGGAAGCTTGTTGCGTACGGCACGTTTCAAATCCTTGTTATCATAGAATGATGGAAGGGCCACAAAGTCATCTTTGCCTCGGTTGACAGGCCGGATACGTGGCATGCAAATATGCTGAAATGTTGAGTTTCTCGGCAGGCATCCTTATGGTATACAAGCGTTGCAGCTTACTAGCGCATCTCTGCCACGAAGGGACCGAGGAGCAGAGTCCCGATAATTAACTCATAACGTTTACGTATCACGCTTTGACCATACCGTACTCTCACCACACTACAGGCCGTACCGTTGTATCATCCCCATCTCCTCGTGTCACTAGCTTCCGAATTCGAGCTTTATCCACCTTCCCGTTCCTATAAGGTAACTGAGATAATCGTTGCATACAACCCCAAAAAACATACAGTGTCAACGGCAGAGATGGCAGAACGATGTACTGCTTCGGATTGGCGTAGTACGGTAGAGACGCCTGCATATTGGAGCGCACTTCGTCGAGGTTAGCTGTATCTGGAGCTAGAATTGAGACAATCTCCTGCCCAACCAAGAGGGTGGTGGCAACCGAGACCGAAGGGGAAGAGCAAATTACGGCCGTAATTCCATCGAGTTCTGCTCGAAATCCCTATCAAATAAGGGACCGACCGTTCCTTTCAAATCATTCCCTTCAGGTGAATCTAGACAAACCTTGACTTTGACTTGGTCATCGATCCTTCCTAAATGTTCAATATCTCCATCAGAACGCATTCGCCCCAAGTCTCCAGTATTGTACACCAATCTGTGGGCGGTGAGATCATCATGTAATTAGGAGAATTAGGCAGCGAAATACCCTGTCGCGGAGAAAATATCCGGCTTGAAGAGTCGACCCGTAAGTTCCACAAGGTTGATGTATCCTTTCGAAATTCCGGATTCCGGCCCCGCCCGCCCATATAGTGCCTGTTTTGCCCCGAGGAACAGGGCGCATATCCTCGTCCAAGATGTAGACATTGTTATTCGGTGTAGGTCTACCAATTGTGAGAGGATGCCCGGGTTCATGGCGAGATATCGTGTTCACTATTGTCGTCTACCGTAAGCCTAGATCAGTATCAACAATCGTGAAGGTCAAAGATTCGAACCTCGGTTGGTCCACAGCAGTTATAGAACGTAGCGTGTTTCGACCATCGCGTGGCTAGCGATTGAGGGCAAGGCTCTCCAGCGACGGCCACGATCTTGATATTTGGAAATTTTGAGGGATCGTAGAGGGCCAGTATCGATGGCGTGGCTATCACCAGGTCTACCGATTGTAGTGTCGACTCCCAGCTAGTCTTATCAGACCCTCGAATGTGAAGTGAACACCCATTCATCAGGCTCCCAAACACCTCCCACGCACACATATCGAAAGCTACATTGAGCAACTGTGACACATGCATCCCCGGGCACATTCCAAGATTACCTGGGAACAAGCAGAGGACTGGACGCGATTAGGAAGCTGTAAATATATCCGACGGTAGGTGCTTACGGTTGGTTAAATTTCCGTGAGTGACGACTACACCCTTGGGTTTCCCGGTGGTACCTATATAACAATCAGCGGATAAGTCGGGCAAGGCCTGAGTTGGAAAAGAGTACCTGACGTATATATTATGTATGCATCATCTTCACTGGTAGAGGTAGTCTCGAGATAGCGGCTGGATCGGGGTGGAGGAGTTTGGGAGATCAAGTCATCTAGACAAGCAAGTACGCCTGATGCCGACGAGGATAAACGGGGCATGAATGGGCGAGAGGCGAGAACGAGAGTGGGTACAACTTTAACGATAACATGTACCGGTCCTTGGTGACGTCGAGAATAAGCAACTGGGTGAAATTTTCTTCGAATGCAATACCGGAGTCGGTGACCGACTTCATATTCCCTGCGTTAGCCCGGAGGAATTCTAATCCTGCCTCGGCTGTTTTGCGAAACGTGGCCATAGAGAGTGGCGGCGAATCCTCTTGGATCGGACTACCGACTCTGGGGTCGACAGTTGAAGCAGTAGATGATAGGACATGCATAGGTAACACGAGATCCTAGGCCCTAATGACGGAGTCTGCTCCTTAAACCGTTCGTTCACACTGAGGCTTCAAATGGTAATCTGCCTACTTCGAAGCGTGTGGTACCCCCACGCGACCGTAATACATGTTTGGGCAACTTCATTGGTGGTGCATTCGACTGGGAAGTGGCGCACACGAGAGCCTAAGGGTGCCGTCATGGTGGGCCACAGATAACGGTATATCGGACGAATATAACACTCGCCAACTTCGAGTGTACCTAACCACCGTCAAGGTCTGATAGATGGCTTCGAGAAGCGATGTGTGCTTGACGGATTTCCTATCCACCGGAGTACCATCGCATCAGAAGTTTAAGATACAAGGCATGTTAGCCCACCTACTTGGACCCATTGAGTGAAGAAGTCTTGATGTATACCACACGGTGAAAATACGCATCTGTCATGGAGCCTGATCAGTCGCCGGCGTGAACGAAGCTATGTACTTCATGGAAAAGTTAACGATAATTGTGTTGAAAACCTACTGAGAATACAATATTATGATAACTTAGCAGTGACTGAAATCACCAGCAGGTATCGGTCCGCGTGCTCCTCAGGTGTTGTGATAACACACTTTTGATATGTACAAATCACGCAGAGAAGGGGTTCGGCGCCGAAGGGGGAAGTTTTTACTTTCGAACTGCTCGGGCCTCCGGGCAAAAACGAGTTTCTAAGGAACTCGAAGCGGACTCTGAAGATCAAGCATGGGCGCTGGTGGCGATTCAAAATTGTGTCCAATAGCATGGCTAATGATATCAACTACTTGGAGGTAACAAAAACATCGAAAGGATACGTCGAACAGTGGAAGCGGATGGAGAAAGCAAACATTGGGTATAGCTAGCTAGAATTTCTTCGCCCATGACGCAAACACCTCGTACGCATGCGTCCTCTCTGGCTCATGCCACTTGGCGAGCAAGACGGCATGTGTGGCGTTTTCAATTTCGACATAGGTCACCAAGTCCTTGCCCATGTCCGCTTCCATTCTGTCTGCGAGGGTCTTCATCGGATCTAAGGTCATTTCCACTGCACCCGCCAAGATCAGAGTGGGCGGGAGACCAGCAAAAAGGCCTTCAGAGTGTTCTAAACGAAGAGAGGCAGGGGAAATCCATGCATTCAAGTATGCGTCTGATTGAGGGAGAGAGCCGACCAATGAGCGGGTGGGGTATCCCGAAAGGAAATTGTGGACGAAGTCACTATTGGCGTGCGTGTGCATTGATGATTTTGGACCACGATGGGTATTTCCCCAGTCGACAGTAGGGGAATGCAGCATGAGGGCGCCGGGGATAGTGAGAGAGGGAATGCTAGCGTGGACGATGTAGCGAGCCAGAGCTAGAGCTAGATGGCCGCCAGCCGATTCCCCAGCAATCATAATGTTCGAGGGCTTGAATCCGACGGTGTTGACGAGGTAGTCGTAGCCCAGCATGGCATCAATGAGTGCAGCTGGGAAGGCACCACTGGGTTCCAACGGAGGGCCCTGGGAGAGACGATATTCGACTTGAAAGACACGAGTGTAATGCGGGGCATACTTGAGCGCCTCCGAACAAAAGTATGCGCTACCGCCTTTTGGGCCTGCCGAACCTAACTGAAGGTCATATGAATGAGCATGTGATGCACGAGTAAATCAAGCAGGAGAAACTAACCACAAAACCGCCACCGTGGAGTTCGTAAATAACTTTCTCGTCAGGGCCAGCAGCCTGTCCGACTTGGCCGTTTTCTCCACGCTTCCCGTACCAGAAACCTGCCACCTTGATGGGGTGAATATTGTTCACCTGTGCTGCACTCTTGATCTCGCCGACGACGAGTTCCTGTTTGGGTTCGATCCAAACAAGACCGACCTCATCGGGAGGACCCTCCTTTTCAGGGTCGCATTTCAAGGAGTCGATAGACGTGTCGAACATGGTGGTAAACAAAACACCCAAGGACTTGACGAGGAGCATGCGGGATAGCGACCATTCACGCACCGGGCGCCATGCTGGGACCAGGTACCGAACAGTCCAGAAAGGAAGCTTGACAAAAAGGAATGAGAGGGCTACACCAAAAAAGTAGAGTGTCTTGAAGGGCTGGTGGCGAAAGGCGAAAGGCATGGTTCGACATGAAGGTGCACACCATGCTCCTGCGCTTTTGACCTGTGTTCCCTGGTGATAACGTAACTCTCACATCTAACCGTGCTTCCATCTTGCTAACTGGTTCTTGCCGACAGGAAGACGCTGTGAGGATCAATGAATCCACCATCGCTACAAAAATAAAGCGTGGGTCCGCGATGACCCCTACGTAGTAGCATTCGTAGCTGATGTTGATGAAAAGCTTGAGGACCCTGTCCGATCAGCGCGACTTTTACCCCATGGCGTATCAGGCGATGCGGACGGCGACTAGGCTATCGCACCATGTGCTGGGTATGCATATATGCCCTCTGGATTATACTTTCATTGACGGATTACTTTCATGCTGTAGGTCATTAGAAGACAGAGAGTTAGGGCAAAGCCTGAGAAGGACGTTCTGTGGTCAAGACATGTCAGATATGATGATATTCAAACCTGATCCCAGTGCCTTCAAGGTGCCCACAGTATGCCTAATCGCTCCACTCACGAACCCAAACCACGACCGTCCCCGACCCATGTCTCAGCATCGTTACCCAGCCGGCTGGCGAATACCAAAGTACCTGGATCGATGTCAACGGGGCTGCGGTCGTCGGGAAAGTGCTGACGCTTTCTCGCACTTTCTCGGAGCTGGAAGAGCATATGGGAGGCCATGACTGAGTGTAGGACGCGCTGGATCCTGAAGCATATATGACATGAATTGTTTAGACGAGAACTGATAGGGTTATTGGTGGGTAAAGGGCGTACGGTGTGAGTAAGTTGGCGCTCTCCGGCTGATAGTTCATAATAAGTTTCGAGACCGTAGTTATATGTGACGTTAATAGCTCACACGACCCGTTAGAAGGATGTCGATGTTTATGCAGGAGACGACTAAGGGGGAAGCGTTCGCAGAGTGCTGTGAGTTTCTGGGGTTCGTACTTACAAGCCATGAAGATGTAGTACATAATCCCTGAGGAGAGCTGAGTGCTCACAAGCGTTTGCATTTCGAATTGATGCTTACCGTTCTGGTACATTCTAAGCAGGAAGCCGTTTGATACGTGCCCGACTGACGCGGGAAATCATCAGTACTCACGACGAACGATAATCTTCCCCTTCGAGGCGCGAAACTCACAATGTCGAGCGCCCCTGGAGAGCAGCAAAATCACGACCACTATACAACCAAAGTAGGCAAAGTTATTCGCCATCCCCAAAAGACAAAGCAAGGATAAGGTATCCCGTAGAATACACTCACGAGTTTCCCAAACCACCAAACCCACGAAGGCTAGGAAGACGATGTTGCTGCGAGGGGCCGAGAAGCAGCCATCTAGATTCGGAGCGATGTTGTTCATATCGACGACTAGGTAGTCGAGTAGTCGAGCACACAATGAGCTCCACGTATGTCGAAGTCAGGGAGAGATCGAAGGATCAGCTCACAGGTCATTTCGTCACTAAATTTCACGTAAGATATCGAGGTGATGCTTATCCCAAGGATGGCCACAATCAATAAAGACGCGCCCACGATTCTGGAGAATTGCCAAAGTGCCCAAACTCGAATGACAATTATGACTGCATCAAGAAGGCTTAGCTACAAGCAATACAGCAACTCCTACAATGATGCTGGTAGACGCACCTTCGGACATGATTATGCCAGCAATTATCATCCCTATCGTTGAATACGCAACAGGCCGCTGTACTCAGACACGCCGGATACAAAGGAATGCATGCGCTCACAACCAGACACATGGTAGATGTATGCGCACACATCGGCAGTTATAGACGGAGCGATGCTGCCTGTCAATAATATTGAAATTGGCAAGTAGAGGGAGAGTATGGACCCACGATACACTCCCATGCTTGCATCGACGAACGGAGGGTACCTGTTGAGGAGGAACAGGACTTTGCCTATACTCCATGGAGCTCCCCAGACCAATTCACATTCATCATGGACAGTCAGTGTGTGGTCGTAAATCTGGCAGTATTATCAGGATCATAATGCTTCATATGATGAATTTGATCAACCCACCAATATAACTGCGCCAGCGACTGCGAAGGATGAGTGTCAGGCTGCAGTAGGTATGAATGTATAGCGTCATGAGGACTGACTTTGTATATACTAGAAGCGGGTGATCGGTTAGCGAAAACGATGCTTGGACTTGCACTCGGGAGACCCACAGAACTTTGCTGTACTAAAGTTAGTGAGTGGGCCATAAAGTGCGTATTAGCTGGGGACGACATGGAGACGGGGAATTCTCGCCCTGCGCTGAGTGGGCCTCATAAAGAACCCAGGAAAGCTGGTAACACCACAGGATGTGTCTGTACATTGCTGATGCTTCCACCTAATGGTGAATCACCTAAAGTGAGACCCCTGAAGACACAGGCGAACGACATGCTGGCCGGGGTTTCGGTCGTAGTGGGTCTTTGGTCGTCGTAGGACTAGACTTGGCTTCGGCCATTGGAGATGTTAACTTTCTGATTCGTTGAGTCCGCCGACGACTGAGTGGGGGTACTGTACCTTGAGCGCGGGGCCCCGCGGGTGCCTCAACGGGTGAACCGTCCCCGCGATTCCCGATCACCGAAATGCATCAACGCCGACGGCGAAGCGACACGAGCTCCTCATCATAAACGACGTGATCTAACGCAACGCGACGCTGTGAGTGAAACGTGTCTTGCGACTTGCCTTGTACTACTTTCTTGGGAATTCGTTTCACTTCAATGCGCCTGATGGTTTGGCGTCCATTACCAAAGACAACGGTGCGAGCGTTTCTCAGTTGCGATCAGAGTTGAGAACCGGAGTAAGTTGAATCCACAGTAGGCCGGCCTTGGCTTTACGGTGTTTTTCGTTGAACCGGTCTGACCCTCGTGCGGCCATCCACATCCATATTACTTGGCCTATCTCGCGGGGTGCGATGGATGATGTACGACTGGAAAAATAACGGTCGCGCCGGTGTACGAGACATGATAGATAGTGCATAAGAAAGTTAGCCTACATCTGATAATTTAGGCTCGCGTCGACGCGGTGGCCGGTGAGCAGGAGGTTCGCTCCGGGTAAAGTATGCGGCGCGGGCAAAATCAATGCACCGTGATTGGTTGGCGTTAACGAACATGGAATCACGTGGCGATGGATTGCATAAAGATTGGAGTTCCGCAACATCCGAAATGTCCCTTCACCACTAACCAACACCATCATCACCAATTGTCGTTGACCGCCCTCACCATCGTCGACGACGACAACGACGACGACAATGTTTAACCTAGCGAACCGCACTGCCGGTGCTCTTCGCTCGCTGCAGCGCATGGCCGCCGGCATGGCCACGGCTGCACCGGAGCGAATTGGAGATACCAAAGTTCCTATGAGTTTGCTTGAAAAGGGCGCATACATCAACTACCAGCGTATAGAGGACAACCTGGTCATCGTTCGCGATAGGTCAGCCAATGTGCAGCTTTCTATTTCCGCTTCATCATACTGACCCTACTTAGATTGAAGCGACCTTTGACCCTATCGGAGAAAATTCTTTACGGTCATCTTGACGATCCTCATGGACAAGATATTGAACGTGGTGTCTCATATCTCAAGTTGCGGCCTGACGTATGTATTGAGTTCTGAGGTATCCTTTTCCTTCTTAGCTTACAATTATATATCAGCGAGTCGCCTGCCAGGACGCTACGGCGCAGGTATGTTATCCTACGTCACTTATGACTCTACGTAGCGCTTACCCTCATTCTAGATGGCTATCTTACAATTCATGTCTGCTGGCATGGATACTGCTGCCGTTCCGACCACCGTACATTGTGACCACTTGATTGAGGCCCAAGTTGGTGGTGTCAAGGATTTGGCCCGCGCGATCGATATCAACAGGGAGGTTTACGACTTTTTGGCTACTGCTACTGCGAAGGTCCGTGACTTTTCGGTTCCCCTTATCCAGTTGCTGATATGCGCCCAGTACGGTCTTGGTTTCTGGAAACCCGGCTCTGGTATCATCCATCAAATCATTTTGGAGAACTATGCATTCCCTGGTGGTCTTATGATTGGCACTGATTCGCACACGCCCAACGCTGGTGGCCTCGGTATGATTGCATGTGGAGTTGGAGGTGCTGATGCAGTCGACGTCATGGCTGGCCTACCATGGGAACTCAAATGTCCGAAGGTCATTGGTGTTAACCTTACTGGTAAAATTAGCGGATGGACTTCTCCCAAAGGTATTTATATTACCCGTCTCGAAGACCATGAGACTAACTCGCGCCTGTAGATGTTATTCTCAAGGTTGCTGGCATATTGACGGTCAAGGGTGGAACAGGCGCTATCGTTGAATACAAGGGTCCTGGTGTTGAATCACTCTCGTGCACGGGTATGGCGACTATTTGCAACATGGGTGCTGAGATAGGCGCAACAACGTCGATGTTCCCATTCAACAACCGCATGGTCGACTATCTAAAGGCTACGAAGCGTGGTGACATTGCCAACTATGCTTCTCGCTTCGCACACAATCTCCAGGCTGATGAGGGTTCCCAATACGATGAACACATTGAAATTGTAAGTATATGTGTGTGTGTGCTGCAGTAGTGACCGTCTTACTGAACATTGCTTCAGAACTTGTCAGAACTCGAGCCACACGTCAACGGTCCTTTCACTCCCGATCTCGCCACCCCCATTTCCAAGTTTGCCCAGGCTGTTGAGGAGAACAAGTGGCCCGCCGAGCTCAAGGTCGCCTTGATCGGTTCTTGCACCAACTCTTCGTACGAGGATATGTCTCGCTCTGCCTCCATCGCCAACGAAGCCAAGGCACACGGTCTCTCCGTCGCAAGCAAGTACACCATCACTCCCGGTTCCGAGCAAGTCCGCGCTACCATCGCCCGTGACGGTCAAATGGCTGCTCTTGAGGATGTTGGAGGCTTGGTTTTGGCCAACGCCTGCGGTCCTTGCATCGGTCAATGGGACAGGAAGGATGTTAAGAAGGGCGAACCCAACTCTAGTAAGCACTCCTCTTTCTCCATGGTACTCCAGTAGCTCACCGAGTCACTCGCAGTCATCACTTCTTACAACCGTAACTTCACTGGCCGTAACGATGCTAACCCCGCTACTCATGCCTTCGTCGCCTCCCCCGACATCGTGACCGCCATGGCTTTCGCTGGCGACCTCCGTTTCAATCCCCTCACTGACTCCCTCAAGGGTGCCGATGGCAAGGAATTCAAGTTTTCCGCACCCACTGGCAACGAGCTCCCCCCTCGCGGTTATGACCCCGGTGAAGATACCTTCCAACCTCCTCCCGAGGATCGCGCCTCTGTCCAAGTTGCCGTCAGCCCCACTAGTGACCGTCTTCAGCTGTTGAAGCCCTTCCAGCCATGGGATGGCAAGACACCAAGTGATCTCCCCATCTTGATCAAGGTCAAGGGCAAGTGCAGTAAGTGCCTTCCTTCTTTACCCACCTAGTTCAGCCCTAAAGTTCCTTCTAGCAACCGATCACATCTCCGCCGGTGGACCATGGCTCAAATACCGTGGCCATCTCGAGAACATCTCGCAAAACTGTTTGATTGGTGCCATCAACATTGAGAACGGTGAGGCCAACAAGGTCAAGAACCAACTTACTGGTGAATGGGGAGGAGTCCCCCAGACTGCTGCCTCTTACCGCGAGAAGGGCATCAAGTGGGTCGTCATTGGTGACCACAACTACGGTGAAGGTTCATCTCGTGAGCACGCCGCCCTCGAGCCCCGCTTCCTCGGCGGTCTCGCCATCATCGTCCGCAGCTTTGCCCGTATCCACGAAACCAACTTGAAGAAGCAAGGCATGCTTGCTTTGACCTTCGTTGACCCCGCCGACTACGACAAGATTCGTCCAGACGACAAGGTCGATATCCTCGGCCTCGAGGACTTCAAGCCCGGCCAGAACTTGACTCTCAACGTCAAGCACTCTGACGGCGCCTCCGAGCAGATCCCCCTCGCACACTCCTTCAACGAGGGACAGATTGAGTGGTTCAAGGCTGGCTCAGCATTGAACTTGGTACGTCACTTCCCTTCACTATATGCTCACAACGGGGCTGATACGGGTGTGTCATCTAGATGGCTGCTAAGGCCAAGGGCAACTAGACGGCTCCGTGCCTTTTCGCTCCTTCTTTCCCTTCCATTTAATGTATCCGTACAAAAATATTGGATGTCTTTGTCCATCGTCACAGACATTCCCTTTCCTTACTTCATCACTTTTTGTTTCCTCGATGCAAATGCAATGTATTTGAAAGCAAATAGGCATCATCGATCCCCCATGAAGCATGGAGTGAAGTAGTTTCATTTCAAGAGCGGTATATGTGGCACGCTCCTGGATAAGTACTTATTAATGGTGAGTGCTCGTCTCATGATCAAACCATCTAATCACTCGCACTGTGAACGCAATTTACCAGAGCATAGATAGTGTGCGTACGCCACACCATCTCGATAGCTGTATATCTTTCATGGTGGTATTTGCAGATTACCCGAGCTGGAAGAATGGTAACGAAAAGAAAGCTGGGATTCGGCCCGCCTGAGACGTTGGCTTGGACACTAGCTGTCCTCAACGCACCGCATGTCAGTTCACGTAGCTTCTCAACCGGCCTCTTGTACAAGCTGCTGCTGCTACGTTGTGCTGTAGGTTCCTTCACCTCCAAGGGACCCACACAAGGGGCCACCCCGCGCATATCTTGCTTGCGAGCTCGGCTACCTCGCTAACGAGGGCGGCGGCTTGGAACCGACCGGTTAGGAAGCAAACACTGCCAGCGGACACGTCGCCCGCTACTGAACGCACACGAGTATATGAGGAGGTTGAAGTCGTCCTTGATGACAGCATCTCATTGTTTGTATTATCACACTCACCCTCTGGAGTCTTCCCCGTTCATGACCATTTGCACTACTGACGACACTCTCAGCTCGCCATAATGCAGTTCATCGTTGCTTCCGTCCTAGCGTTGGTTCTTTCAACCATCGCTGCTTCTTTGGGCAATTGATGTATGTGGTATCCCTCTTTATGTACAGAAATCCATCGGTTATACCGTGGTTCACCTTACTTCCATAGCTAATGTAATGGTTATCCGCGAATTCGCCATAGATGATGGGTTTGTCTATTCTGGAGATACTGTCGGCGTCGCCACACCAAGTAGCGTTGTAGCTAATGCCATTGTGGGCGGCATTGCAGGTGCGTTCAGTCGTTTTGCTGGTGGTGTAGCACAGGTCGCTGGTAGGTTTTCTGACGCGGCATTAGTAGCCGGCCGGCTCTGGGCGACAAGGGCACGGGAGAAAGTGATTTGTGATGCATGGAAGTCACGCTTAAAGTAAGGTATGTCTAAGCACGATGCAATTACAAAGGTTCACCACTCTAAATAAGACTCTAGATGATATGGGCTTTATTTCAAGGTCACCGCAGGCTCTATAGTTTGCACCTTGTTGGCCTAATATAATGGTCAAATCGGCAGCTGCGTTCCTACGCGAGAACCTTGCGGAAATTTACCGTCTAGCACAGATGCAGCTGCTTCGGCCAATTTACTGGGGAAGGACGGTAGGGTCATGACAAGGGGCGGTATCGATGTCGTTCCGTCGATGAAAGGATAGTCGGAGTATCCCTTTCCTGAAACGTCCCCTGGGACATAGAATGTCGATCTATCGTACGAGTTCAACGGCAAGTCTTCCTTCCACCGCAAAGGTAGGTCAGGGTTGGCAAGGAAATATCGCCCAACGGCAATGATGTCGCCTCTTTCAGCAGCCTTGATCGCGAGCTCCCTGGTATATCCGCCAGCCGTGATGAAAGGTCGGGGTGACCATATTCTGCGAAGGAAATCGTTCTCCTCTTCTGTAGAAATACTGCCTTCGGCCCTCTCCTTTCCATCCGCACCCTCCAGCCCTAGTTCCGCTCCCACCCGTGGCTCAGTAACATGCAGATATGCCATGACTGGGAACCGCTCCTTCATCTGCTCGACGAAGTACGTGTAGGTCGGCTTGGGGTCTGCCATCCCCATGTCCTGGTACTTACCCCAAGGGCTGATCCGGATGCCCATTCTATCTGCTCCAATCTCTTTGGCCACGGCCTCCAGAATTTCCAGGCCGAACCTCGCACGGTTCTCGGGACTGCCTCCATACTCATCCGTCCGTTTGTTCGACATGTCTTGCAGGAACTGGTCCACAAGGTAGCCATTGGCACCATGAATCTCCACGCCATCAAATCCGGCGAGGTAGACGGCGTTCGATGCTGCCTTCGCAAATAGCTGAACGTACTCCTTGATTTCTGCAATGGTGAGAGCACGGGGTACTGGTGTAGGCTGGTAGCTGAGAGGAATGCCAGATGCAGACACTAGATCTAGTCCTGCTGCACTCAAGAACCCGGGGTCCGCAGTTCTGCCAAGGGCCCAAATTTGGAGGTACATATATGATCCGCGTGCATGTACGGCCGTGGTTATCTATTGAATCGCAGCGTCAGTTTCACATCCGTAGCCTGGTGATGAAGATGTAGCAACCTTCTTCCAGGCCGCAATTTGGGTGTCAGACCATATTCCAGGCAAGTTACTATATCCTCCGGCCTGTGGGCCAACTAGAGTCGCCTCTGTGATCAAGAGCGTTCCAGGTGTACTCCCCCTCTGGGCGTAGTATTCAGAGGCGATGGGGAGGAGGGGAACATGCGCAGTATCAGCGCGAAATCGGGTAAGGGGGGCGAGAGCAAGGCGATGGCGTAGAGTCAGTCGGCCCACGTCAACCTGTTGGAACAGGTTTGGTGTTGGTGTAGAAGAAGTAGACATGTCGTTCCAGGGATCTTTGCAACGGTATTCAGCTGTCTGCTCCACATTATATATCGCAACAATTTCCCCCCTTTCGAGTATGCTCGGCCAGGAGAGGGTGATCGCTGCTGACCGACGTCGGATTGATCATGCTGAATCAGGATTCATGACAGAAGCAATCGGCCTCACCAATTATAACGACCCCAGCCCGGGCATTCGTGACCATGATGTGAGAGCATACCACTCAACCAGTGGCTCGGATGAATTGATAGGCATAACCAGGATGGGATGATTTGGTCAGGCAACTGCAATGGGCTGGGTTGAGTTGACCCCAAGCTGGCATTGTATCTATCCATGCCCTCCCTGTATTATACACCTTCAAAGCTTCACCAACCCTGCTCCTACTCACTCCCATTTTTAATTCTAATTGATTCTGGATGTAGAGTACACTCTCATCATACTAGCCATCCGATCGCGATCGGCCGATCGACGACGGGAGTCCAGCTCCTTTTTCTTCCTCAGTGTCACAAATCATGACTGGCCTCCGTGGATCTATGGAGTGATGATGGGTTTGTTCTGACCTTGAGCAAGCTCAGAGCCCGTATTTATAATAAGCGACTGCTGTCAGTGCACTAAGTCTATTAAGCAGATGATATTCATGGGTTCACGGATCCGGGTGAAAGATATGCTCAAACTTGCAAATTTCTTTAGAAATGTATTGCATTTATGGGTCAAGTATGGGCGAGCTATTGGTTTTTATCCTGCGGACCAAGTCGGCGAATGCGAAAATCAGGTATGGGTTATGACAGTCGGCCGTAGGAGTTTGACGGCCGTCTGACGATCATGATCGGAATTCAACACGGAAGCAAAGTTTTAGTCGCCTCACCAGATCCTATATCTTCCTCGCACGTTGTGGCGACCTGTAGTATAAGGTCACACAGAAGGATGATGAAGCATACATTTTTACTCAACGTAGATTACAACATATCCTACCAACAAGAGAGAGGAAACGGTCGGACTCTACCATATCTACATCGCTCGCGATCCCTTCAAGTACAAATACTTCGAAGTAAGTAAAAGTATCAGAAAGCGGGATGCGGGGAAGCATTCAGTACGGGGGAATTAACGGGGAATGGTGAACGTGGTGGTATATCGTGAATGCCTATAATGTGACAACTAAAATGAACAGGAAGTGCGTTTGGCGTTTGCCGTGTAGAACAACAACAGAAGTAATGTTGTGTGCCATGTATATGTGGCATGGTGGTGACAGGGGACCTGATGGTCGCGCGCAAGTTGAACCCAAGGGAGGCAGAGAGCAAAAGAGTGGAAGGTATAATGAATGAATGGCTCAGAGGCCTGGAAGATTAAAGTCCTATGTTGATCGGCTGGCAGCCCATGGCAACAAGACCAGCTGAAGATGAACGAGTTAGAAACGTCGAGTGTAGGGGTGACTAAGAGGTGCTTACTGAAATGGACGTTGTCGCAGCAAACAGTTTGCGCCGTGCTAAATGCGTAGGTGAGAAATTGTCATGATCGGGCGGATTAGACGACATACCACGAGCCCCCGCCAAGCAACGAGTTGCAGGTGAGGCCAACATTGCCGACCAACCCATCAAGGACGACGCCCAGCAAACCAAGTACGTCGACGACGCTTGGTGCTGAGCTCTCTTGGACAGAGTTGCAGCATTGCACTGGTCCTGAGCTGCACTTGTTGGCGTAGATATCAATGTCGTTCTTGACGTAGGTGTCGCCGTATGCGGGGAGCGGGGCTACGATGTCTTCGGGATACTCGTCGTAGTAAGGCGTTTCTCCGTGAGGTGGTGCAACGGGCAAAGGAGCAACGATGTCCTCGCCTTCGCCGTAGGAACCGTACGAAGGGGCGATAGGAGCGGGAGCAACCACTTCAGGGTACTCCTCGACGGGGGGAGGGGGAACATAGGGAGCTACTGGGGCTGGAGCCACCTTCTCGGGATATTCCATGGGAGGAGGGGCGACAGGGGCGGGGGCAACTACTTCAGGAACATACTCTGGCACAGGAGCGTACTCTTCCTCCTCGTAGTAGTAAGGCGCCTTGCCATAGTCCTCGACCGCTGGTACGGGAGCAATGATGTCCTCTGGGGGGTAATCGGGCACATACTCTGGTACATACTCCGGCACATAGTCTGGCGCGTACTCCGGCACGTATTCTGGCGCATAATCTGGCAACGGCGCTAAGTCCTCGCCGTAGTCCTCTGCTCCGTAAGAATATGCTTCAGGCAAAGGAGACGCTACGACGGCAGAGATACCGATCAGCGTGAGCGTAGTCGAAACGAGTAGATTGTGTTTAAAGAACATGGTGGCGACTCGTTGACTGTTGGTAAGGGATATTCGTCAAGATCGTTAGATGTGAGTGGTGGAGTCGTTGGTAGGTTGATTGGCGTTAGGCGTGAGCTGGTATAGGCTTTGTGATTAGATGGGGAAATGAAAGTGGGTGATCGTGACTCGGAATGGGTTCGTTGGGTTGCGCTGATAATTGATTGTTCTTGGAACAGGGATTTATAAAGTCTCCTGCTGTCGATGTGCAGGCGGGACATCATTGACCTGGTGAGCGACAATCGCCATGCCAGGAATGCCAAGGATAGTGCAACGTGCTGTGACAGGGATACGAGGCAACACGGTAACGCTGCTGGAGGCCTGCTGGCGCCTTCCTAGCAGGAGGCATGATGGTCACCGGTCACATTTGGCGGCGGCGGGAAGCACGGAAGTGGCATTGGGCGGACTCGTGTTGTAGCTGGCGTAACATATTGCACCCTGCGTCGGTGTTCATGGAGACGAAGGGCAGCACATATTGAAGGCCTTGCATGGCAATCCGAGGTACATTCCAACCAGTGAGATGCCTGTCATACCGCGGAAGTAAAATCAGCTCCCACGATATCAAACATTGTCTGTCCTGTCAGAAAAAGCGGGCTATGAGTCGAAGATAAAAAGGGATGTCCATAGAGTTTGATATTGGTAGATATACATGGGTTGGGCGGCGGAGCGAAGGAGATAAGGTGGCGAAAAGGGAGACGATGATCAAGGGGGTGAAAATGAGAGGGCTATGCATGGTAAACGATGATGGATAGATGATTGTATGATGCGGGGAATATGCAGGGAGGGGGTATCGAATCTACGTAAGTACCATGGGCGTGTATGGCGAGTGACCTGACCGCGAACGAAAAAATCCAGACGTTATCCAGCAAATATTTACAAAAGCACAAATGCGAACCCAGGAAAATAGTGGAACATGAAACCAACGAAAACTAGGAAAGTATCAAGAAATATGGCACGTCACCGGGTGGCCTCGTGCGTGCATCTTCACCTTCCCTAAATCCCGCCGAGTAACGTTCACGCCGTAACAGTCCTCCAGCCAGACATCCTGGCCCTTACAGCTCTCGAGGATGTTCTCCCAGAACTTGACCACCCTAAGCTCAGGACCTTCAACGTCCGATCGGCCCATCCGCATGAGATGGCTTCCGAGGCTCATATCGCGCACGTACTTCAGTCCCGGGAATGGCTTGCTCGAAGCTGTAGGCAAACCCTGAGGCAAACCCAAGAGCGTTTCGATCTGGCCCTTCAGTCGGAAGAATGGCGTCTCATTGGTTAGATCTCGGTGTATCCTATCCGGGACGACTTCTAGATCGCTCAGCATCCGAAGATCGATGTCGCGGATACCGATGAATTCGAGTGTGGGATGGGCGGGGAGTAAGATATGTGGCGCTATCCAGTCGGGAGTTCGCCAATTCCACTCAGCATCTGCCGAGCACACGAACTGGGTCAAATTTGGACACCACTTCGCAAGGGGAATGGATGCTGAGAGGTTGTGGTTCTGGGAATTGGGGTTGTTGGGTAAAAGAGGGAAGGCTGGTGACGTCAGCCAATGCTCTTCGATTGAAGAGCTTGAGTGACCAAGTTCCAGTTGGTTTAGAATGGAACCATGGACTCGGAAGAATTGCGCGAACCCTTCTCCGGCGTAGGAGAAGTCGGCACTTACGACGGACAAATTAACAAGTCTTGGCATGGACCACGTCGAAAGCACGGAGAAAGCATCGTTATCGAGCGTTACTTTGAGGGAACGAAGGTTGGGTAACGCTAGAGCGTGCGCGGAAGGGTCGAGATCACCGGATAAGTGTGCAGGAAGACCGATGGAAGGAGGGAAGCGATGTGGCGGGTTGGCTGACACAAAAGTAAGCTCAAGAAACTCGAGGTTCGCCGAGGTGCTTCGCAGCGTGGGTGACATGTGGAGATGGAAGGAAGCATCGTCGTAGTTCGTCCAACTCAACCGTCTTAGGTTATTGTTTGGGTGGGCGAGGGCGGATAGCAATTTCTGCGGGGATGAATAGTGGTCGGAGTATTTCTCTGCGGTAGAGGCGTAGAGGCTGCGGCGGATAGATCGTTGGTCCGAATAGATCAACAGCTGAGGGGAGTAATCGAGAATCGTACGTAGGTCGGTGGGGTCGCATCGTTCGAGGGTCGAAGTTTCGATATGCAATCGGCGGATGTAGCGACCGCTTTGGCAACCAATCATCACCTCCTTGGTTGGGTTGAGTGGCGCGTACTGGCAGGCTTGGGAAAGGAGAGTGAGGGCGAGTGCCTTGGCTTGCGCTGCGCATGATATCCAAACAAACTCGTAGAGCACCTCCTGGGTGAACGAGTGCCATCGCTTGGATACGAGGGAGAAATTACACTTCTGCCGCATCGAGGCCGCATAGTGCGAGCGATGAAGGTGAGTGGGTGTGAGAAATGAGATTGGCTGGGAAGTGTCTAAAGGATCGGGGATTGAGAGTGAAGTGCAGGCATGGCGCAGAATGAGTGTCCATAGCTCGAGCGGGAGGCCAGGCAGCACCCGCGACACCGTTGGGCTCGGGGGCTCGCTACGCCTGGACATTCTTCGCTTAGAAAATCGAGACAATTAAGATGTGGAGATGACGACTTGCCTTTGTCCATACTTCCGCCTGGATAAACCGACAAGAAACCTGTCTAATCGCTGTTTCAGACGCTGAATGTTGCTGTCCAGTGTGTGGGACATGGTTTCGCGGGAAGGAACGACGAGGAGGTGGTCGCGGAGAGAGAGCAACAAGGGATCGATTCTTTTGCCCGACGCTCTGTGTTCCCACGATCGCACCTCCGTTCTCACGTGGCCACTCCTCCATCGCAACTTCAACCTGAGACATTTATTGATCTGATGTTGATGGAATTTCACGGGCAGCGTAGATGATGCTGAAGACGTTTCGCCGCCAATGTCCTGCAGCAGCTCGAAATTTCCTTTGTGCCTCGCGAATACGTGGCATTTCTACCGTGACCCCATCAGATGCACAACGAAACACGATTTTTGCGCTCTCCACTCCTCCTGGCAAGGCAGGAGTCGCCGTTATACGCGTCTCTGGCCCTGACGCCCTCGACGTATGGAAGAGGATAATTCGAAATGCTAGAAGGCGCGGGGACCTTGGAAATGGAATATATTACCAACCGGAACAGCGGAAGATGGAGAAATGTAAAATTGTTCATCCAGAAAGCGGGGAACTCTTGGATGATGGTCTTGCGGTATTCTTCAGAGGTGAGATTGAGATATTCCTGCTCAGGCCGTATTCATCATTGATGATATAGCTATTTCCAATTCACGTTCGCTTTCACCAATTAGGCCCAAAGTCATTCACAACGGAAGATGTAGTTGAACTACACTTGCACTCTGGCCGAGCTATCATCTCAGCAGTGCTCTCTGCGCTTGCTACCATCAAATCATGCCGCCCAGCAGAGCCAGGGGAATTTACTCGCCGAGCGTTTCTCGGTGGCCGAATGGACTTGACTCAGGTTGAAGGCCTACGTGATTTATTAGAAGCACAAACGGACACGCAACGCAAGTTGGCTCTCCGGGCTGCAGCTGTGCGTCACATTAGCGCAGCCAATATCTGACGATGATCTGACAATCTATTAGGGAGACATGAGAGTCCGGTATGAAGAACTGCGAACGCAGATCATCCATTGTCTGGCCATGGTCGAGGCTCTTATCGACTTCGGTGAAGGCGAAGAGATCGAAGAGGGCATCTACGAGCAAGGTACGACCCATCATGTTACTGAAAATCCCTGTTTGCTGACTTGCCTCAGCTCAGGTCGAAGCCCGTAATCTGCTGCGGGCCATAAACGGCCATTTGAACGATAGTAGACGCGGCGAAATCCTCCGAACAGGCATTCGTCTCGCTATCTTTGGTCCCCCCAACGCGGGGAAGAGTAGCTTACTCAACTTTCTCGGTTTGTTGGCCCATCCGTGGATCAATCCGTCGCCCTGACTTTTTGTGATGATATGTAGCCCGGCGCGAGGCGGCTATCGTTACACCAATCCCTGGGACGACGAGAGACGTTATCGAACTCTCTTTGGATATCGGTGGCTTGCCTATCATTGTTGCAGATACTGCTGGCCTACGAAAGACTGAGGACCTTGTAGAGAGCATTGGTATCGAACGGACGAAGAAAGCGTAAGTAGTTACCTGATAAATTATTCGCCTGCGACTAACCTGTTCTCCAGCGTACAGGATGCGGACGTGTCTATTTGTGTGCTTTCATTGCCTGAAATGCTGAACAGCGTCGTATCACCTTCGAAAGGGAAAAGTCTAGAGGCCGCCGAACACCAGCGCGTGCCCCAAATTCCATCATCAGTAGCATCCCTCATTACCGAGAACACCTGCTTCCTCCTTAACAAAGCTGATCTACTTGACTCCACTATCCCAACCGCGTCATTGGGCGTCGCCTCGCAGCTACTCGAGCGGGCGATGGGGAAAGAAGCGAACGGTGAAAAAATGGAAGCTGCAGCTAGATGGGAGAATATCTGGGCTGTTAGCCTCCAGAATGGAAAGGGGACCGAAGAATTCTTGCAATCTTTCGCAAAGTCGCTGAAACATAGGTCCGTATGCTCGCCCGACTAATTTTGGGTCATTGTCGCTGATGCACCCGGGCGAAGATATGATATCTCCGCGGATGACAACGTGTTGAACGACTCGTACACGCCGCTGATTACCCATACCCGTCAGCGAGTACACCTCGAGTCGGCGGCGAGATTCATAGAGGCATTTCTCTCCACCCGTAAGCATTACAGCCTTTCAATTTTTCCGGCGAGGGCGGATGATTACGATATCGGTCGCTAACTTTCTTCGTAGCTCCAGAAGATGTAGTTCTTGCTGCAGAAGAACTTCGTTATGCTGCCCAAGCTGTTGGCAAAATCAGCGGCTTGATTGATGTCGAAGATGTGTTAGATGTTGTGTTCAAGGACTTCTGCATCGGTAAATAATTACCAAACATTTCTTTTGCATAAACAAGCGTCTACGCGGGACGGAGGCTCGCTCGAACAACTCATCCGTATAACCCTTTCCGCAGTAGATACGGAGCACATACGTTACGCTCGTTTGTAGGTAGCGCCTACGATTCGCTCCCAAACTTGGGCTGCGCTGGGTACGACTCTTTAGGGTATATCTACTTTTAATTTAGCCAGCGGATGGCTGTATTTCTCAATTTAATAGACCGTACTGTGAGCGCACAATGATTCATCTTCATTTAGTACTATCGGCAATGGTAATTACTGGTGATGGTAGTATCGGGAATTGCTAATCGTCTTCCTACTGCAATGTCATCAATCATAGATGCCGGGCACCTTAAGCTACAGCATTGGATTCTACACTGCGAAATGACGAGCAGTATTCCCCAAGTATCCGAAGCCCAAGTATTCTAAGCAGTAGTGCCCCAGCTGTCACGTGGTTTCTAGACACCGCGATCAATTGAATTGAATTGTGGACTTCCTTTGAACTTCGACTTCGCCACTGTATTCCGCTACCGTTCTTCCTCTTTTCCACCACCTGTGCGCATTCACAAGTAAAACATGGGTCAAACACGTCTGTACCACTTTTTGACTGGATTGCTGGACACTCAATGAAAGGATGAACCCAGCATCTCAGTTCATGGAGGACATGCAAAGGCGGTCCAACTGTGCGTGCGTCCTGTGTGTCAATAACCAGGGGACTGATGAATCGTGATCCGTGAAACTATACCATTGCTCTGCGCACTTGGCAAATGGTTCTATTGGGATAGTTACTCAGCCAGAACTTGAGCGGCTGAAGAAGCGATTTATGAAACTGGATAGGTGCGAAATCATTGTTCGCTTGCTCGCCGCGTTTCGAGATGTACTTGGCTGTTAACATGGATTGCGTTCAGTGATGGATCAGGATCAATTGACCGCGAAGAGTTCCTTCAGATACCGCAGATTGCAACGAATCCACTTGCCTCGCGAATGATAGCAATATTTGACGAAGAGTACGTGATCACGATCTGGAACAGCGCCGTAGTATCCCCTTTTTTGATCATGGGATTGCAGTGGTGGAGGAACGGTCGATTTCCAGGAGTTTGTTGGCGGCTTGAGCGCATTTAGCAGTCGAGGTGGTCGCGAAGAAAAGCTGCGATGTGAGTTCCCATCGCTTCCATCGCTTACAGCGCAGGTACTCTACACATGATACACGTGCTGATACCCTAGACGTCTAGTTGCATTCAAGGTCTATGACATGGATCGAGACGGGTTCATATCAAACGGCGAACTGTTTTTGGTATTGAAGATGATGGTTGGGAACAATTTGAAGGTCATCTATGTTTGTTTACTTCCAAAGACCTCATGAACTAGAATCGGATTCGACAGGATCAACAACTACAGCAGATCGTTGACAAAACAATAATGGAAGCTGATAAGGATGGTGATGGGAAACTGAGTTTTGAAGAATTCGCGACAATGGTGTCAAACACTGTAAGTACCTGCCAATTCTCCTTTGTAGACGCTTCGTCTCATCGACCCCGTGTGGCTTAGGACATCGTGAAACAAATGACGCTTGAAGATCTATTCTGATGTCTTGTATCTTGGCCGCTACTCGTCGCATCGCATTCGTTTTCTCTACACCGTGCGTACAGGTTCTCCCCCTATGCTTTCGACACCGCTCATTTCCACATTACGCAGATATTTCAACTTGTACCTCTTTTGTGTCATTGTTTTCGTACATATACGGATTATGCATAATTCATAATGACTGAAGAGCTGCGTGGTGGAATCCAGAGCTCACTGTTGTCCACAGGAAGACCTGGAGGCATGTGGGTTATCCGAATCTTCAATAAGCACCTGGTGAGTATCCATCCTTAGTGATTACCCTCGCTTCTGCCCATGGGTGGGGCAGAAGGAAATTGTATTGTCCATAATTGCAAACAAGTTTACTTTATACCGGCGGCCCGGAGGTCAGCTAACCGGCCCTCTGGCCCCCTAGAGCGATGCTTTGCTCGCCCTAGGCGCATATGCAGCCGAGCGAAGAGGACAGTGGGAGGGTGGGTCCGGACGCCGAACTCTTTATCCGCGACCTACTGATCCCGGCTCTAGGAGATTCCGGATTGGATTTTAGCGAAGTTGATCGCGACATCGAAGGCAAGTTCTGCTTACAGATCGCGTCGAGAGGCAATCGAGATTGTATGACGATCGCGAAGAGTGAGTTGGCTAGAATGTCCTCGCTCGGATTAAATTCGCTGATTGTGCGAAGTACATGCGTCAGCATGCGTAGAAGGTACGTGGAAGGTTTTGATGTGCGCGTATGTGTGCGTCTGAGGCGTGTATGTACACGGGCTTAGCGATGGGAGGCCCGAGGCACAGCGGCAGACGATCGGAAGGTGGTTGCTTGTTCTGACCGGCGAGCTCGAGATCCTTATTCCGGGCAGGCGTCGTGTGTGCTGATCCACTTTTCAAGTGCTAGTTGTGAGAGATGAACGTTAATGCATGTTCATGACTCTCTTCGTCATGAATTTAATGGAAGCAGCTATCAGAAAAGCTAGGAAGTGGGTCAGTCGAGTGGGTTTCTGCCGAGTCAACTAATTTTTGGGTGGAGGTTGGGACTCCTACAATCTCTGTTAATTAGGGCGGGTCGACAAGATAAGGACAGCAAAGGACAAACTCAGCCGTGGCGAATTGTTACTAGGTTGGCAAGCCACGATAAGCGTCCATTTCGAACGTCTATCGGTGCTCGCAACGGATTTCCGTGCTAAGCCTATATTGTGCAGATACCACAGGATGCCACCTCACGAAACCTGGCGAGTATATCGCAAGAATACCCCGAAAAAAAGCAAAAGATAATGATTGCGCGAAATGAAGGAGGTTATGACGAAAAACACAAATGTGGAATTGTATATTCCTCCGTGCTATGATGCTATTCCGACACCAGATCTCCACGTCCTAATCTTCAGCCCGATTGCGCCCATCCATAATCTCAGATAGACCGGGCCCGGTTATCTGTGAACGTCGACCCGGCCACGAGATTGTTTGAGAGCAAGCCCGTGCGCGATCATACGAGCGTCCTCCGAATGCGATAGCGAAAGTGCGTTGATTAACTTCGGGCGGGGCCTGTCATGGAGATTCGCCGGAAGGCATCGCGCAGGTACAAAGCAGAGGATCCTCCCGTTGCTTGGGTCGAACAGGGTGCGAGCCGAGCCTGCACTCTAGGCCATACGTTGAGTAGGTCGGACCGTCCGCGCATACGCAGAGTAGCTGTATCCATACAAATGAATCAAGGCTCTTTCAGCATCGTGTTCAGAAGGCTATCCATGAGATTAGCCGTGGCTCATCTTAGTCTTTATGCAAGTTTCGGAGAATCTGTTCGGGTGCCAATGACAGGATCTTCATGATTTGGCTGTTCGAGATCGACGACTAGCTTCGTAGCTTGTCTGCTGCATATCGCAAGTATGTCGGCTTTACCCCTCCCCACAACGCTTGCGTTCAGCGCCAGGATGTTTGAAACTGCTTAGCTATACCTGCTTTGCCCCCAATGGACAGAAAACCACCGTGGATCAATCAAACGGAGGGGTATCGCAACAACAGTTGATTGCATCAAATGCTTCAAGTGACAGATGAGTGGTGTGTTTCGACGACGAAAAAGTACAAAGTACAAGATGGTAGCCAAAGTCTCGATAAGAATTTGAAAGGTCGTGAAGGATGTGATGTCTACATACAAACATAGTAAAGTCCAAATGTCGGTGCCAGTGTTCCTTATTATACATGATATATGTACAATCAGGGAGGTTTATGCCAGAGAGAGAGATGATGGATTGGGGCGGAAAGCTGTCTAGGAATTACGTAAAAAGCGATGCTATTCTATGTTGGAGGGAGGGAATGAAAGGGCATGAATCACGTCCTGGGGCCTCAAGCACCCCAAAGGAACGCAGAAGGCTAATTGGAGGTCTCGACGGGGACGTCGTGTACAGCGCATACTCGATCCGTGGCCTAGAAGATTATTTACTCGAAAGGGAGGCCGGTCCGATAATAGGCTTGGATCCGGAAGTGCGTGTTGGGGTAATAATTGCCTCGCAGGGGTGCAGGCGGGGAGGTTCTACAGACAATAAGAACAAGGTGGCATGACACTTGCCCGATGTGTGTCAAGGAAGTCGCGACGGAGGACAGAGCGAAGTCCGATTGTCGGGCGCCAGTTGAGGAATCGAAGGACGGTGAATCCTCGAACCTTTGCGCGTGAAACGATGGATGACAAGGCGTGAGTCGAAGTATGTGCATGGAAGGTCGTGAATGTGGGTAGGGAGGAAGCGAAGATCAGAATGTCCGCGAAAACCCCGAAACGTCCTATGTCTATGCCTATTTCTGCTTTTGTGCAGCTAGAAAGGGAGAATGATGGGAAGGGCGGCCTGCTTGTGAGAATATGGAAGACGGCGACGTGTTCATTGAGTGGCTTTTGGCGGCCTGTTGGTAGAACGGGTCGGTGGTGGCAAAAGATGAGTTGGGGTAAGGGTCGTTTGTGAATGGGGAGGTGTAGGTGTAGGACGGGGAGTGGTTTTGGTAGGCATGTTGCTCAAAACTCGATGCTCCGTTGGTGGCTGACGATGATTGAGGCATTAGAAGATCCTCGACCATCCTTTCATCCTCTTCCATCTGCTCAGTGGCGGGGTATGAGTGGTCATCATGTTGGCTACCCCGCCGGGGGACGGTCTCGTAGAAGCGCTGCGCGTCCGCAAAGCTCATACTCGAAGACGGAGTCTGTGCGATGGGCGTGTTGCATGTCTGTGCGCGATTTGCTCGCTGCGTATATTGTCCACTTGCCGATTGCTGGATGGCTTGGGCAAGTGTCTGGGCAAGTTGCGCCTGTCGTGAGGCAATGGTGAATACACAAAGAGATAAACAATAAGATAACGGCATACCTGTAGCGCTGCAATGTCCATCGCCTCTTGGCCAATGTGGCTGGAGGAAAGGGAGGATACGAGGTCGTCGATGGAAAGGCTCATGATGGGGCGCGGATGAAAGGGGGTGAGAATGATAGCGTTGGGAAGCGATAGGCATTTTGAAGGATTGCTGGGAGACCAAGTCAGAGCGACATCGCCAAACACGTGCACTCTCTCAGGTACCCAGCAACATGGAGGGTGATAAGCGCTTCCTCGTTCCGGCGAGTGCTGCCGCTAGATCTCCGAGGTCCGCTCAGATCTCCACCAATTTGGAGCTAACAACAAGTCTAAAAGTAGACAATTCAGTCCACCCCGAACAGAGCAAGTTGATGAAGTCAGCTGTGTCGAACGCCAAATGTTGGTTGCTGCGCTTACTTCCGTGTAGCCCCCACTTTCCTTCTCCTTCAGACCAACGGCGACAACGTGTTTATCGGCGAAACATACGTCCATGTTCTTGCAGGTTCTTGCCAACGCAACCACCGTGCGTCGATCGTATCTTTGGTGTCCGCGATCCAGATCAGTCTGGGCGATACGATCACCGTTCCAAGATAAGATAACCGCAATATCAACAAGGCGGCGCCGGCACCGGTTATGAAAGGGAGATGTTTATTGCGTCCAACGTGCCGGTGACACACCCATGCACCCGTTCTCGACCAGCTTCGTCGGTTTTAAGCCTTGGTTCTTCTTTTGTGGGGGAGGTGACAGCTTGAGTGGGGCATCTCACGAACCTCCTTTGAGAATCAGAAACCTGTTGAATTCGGCCCGCCGGGAGATTGGGAAATGCTATCCCGAGGCAGCTCACACGCAATGCCACCTTAAGAATGGTGGAATTGATGTTGGCATGTGCAAAATTGCTATGACGGTACTTCAACAGAGGGGGCATCCGAACTGCGGTGTATGATATCTCCCACAAGGTCTGTGAATAACGCCGGTTCAACTGCATAAAGCAGTTGGTACTCCTGCATCCTTTGTTAAGAGACAGACGGAGGAATATTGCTTGTCCGACTGACCTGGATCACCGACGGGCATGCCTGGGCAAGTTTGTTACACACGTCTACGAGCTTCGATCTCAGAAGCTCGACAGTAGCTACGTGACATGCTGGATTAATTCAATAGATGTCTCATAGAGCAGGTGGGTACTGACCACTATTTGTGGCATCACCATCTTGAGTGGCTACCCAACATCTTCCGATTCCGTCCACTATGGAGCCCTTCCACCGGTGCATACGGGGAGCGCAGGCATCTATAACATGCCCAAGGGCCCGGGTAGAATGGAACTGGAAGTCTATTACACTAGAAGTGTTATTTTGGGAAAGAGGGTGCACAAGCTGCGGAATCAATGCCTGTGTGAAAATATCAATGGAGGGTGTGCGAGGTGATGCCGCGGAACGTACCTTGAGGAATCGCGTACAGCCCAGTCCCAGAGCGTCGATAACAAGGGGAAGTGCTTCTACTGAGGCCTCAACAGCGGCGAGATCGAGAGACGAATATAGCCAGATGCCACCGATGATACCATCTCCAAGGAGAGCACTCAGTTGATCGAAGCGGTCTTGTGAGCCTTGATCGGTTGTAAGTGTTGTCAGCGACACGGACGCGGGGATGGCTTCTCGGATAAGTGTGGCCGATTCCGGACGCTGAAGGTGGGCTAGACATGTTTGGAGCGACTGGCGAGACCATTCAGTCGGTTTCCTGGCGATGGCTAGGGTGATCTTACTGTGTTTAGAAGACCGTCTATGCCTGTCCGCTTTAGCACCGTTCTGGGAACTGTTCGTAGCATTTCAGAGACGATTTTGGCACCTTGCACTTTGTATTTGGCTTCATAGTCATCCAACAGGGTCATTATTGGTGGGATGATCAAGTGCCAGAGTTCATCCCAATAATCATTCTAACTCAGACATTAGCATATAGGACAAGATCTGCTAAACGATCCGCGTACTGGTATATGCCTCACGCACCAAGAGACCAGATTTGGGGCTCCTGGGTGGTCTTTCCACGATTGCGACTCATAGTAATCGCTTGAAGCGAGCGGTCCGCCTGCAGGTCGTGGAAGTTTCCGACCAGTGGATGTATGCAGTAACGGATGAGGATTGGTTCGAAATATCGGCTTCAGATGCTCGCTTAGGATTTGGGGCAGCAACTCGGTAACGGTGCCCTGAAAATGATTCAGGATATCTAGTCGCCTGGTCGTGATCACTGTATGCCTTCTACGAACATTGGGTTGCGGACTCACCAGTAGCTACACCCTTCGAAGTAGACGATACCCAAGGACCGCCGTCGAACTGTGCAACCGTGGCTACGACTGCAGCTTTCTGATTCCGTGACAAGGTCGAGCCGCCATCTTTTGTGGCAGCGTTGACGATAGCTTTCAGTTCCAGTAGGTTCTGCTCTGCTTCTTCCCTCCAAGTCGTCAGAATGTCATTATCCTCGAGATCAGGATATCGCTTGAATTCTGATGGGATTCGTAGTGATTCGAGATTCGAGATCAAGGCCCCAGCATTATCTGGAGACTCAGACATGGAAGTCGGAAGAAAGTTCGAAGTTACAGAAAGTGCTTGAAGTTGAACGCGTCCCAAATTTACTGGCACCATCACGTGATTATACGGATAAAGAACGTCTTTGATATCTCCTCCAAGTCCGTTCTTGCCATTCCGCTATCCAGAGCTTGCTCAGAACGTCGCTCGCTCGCGCTGTCGTTCATGTTTGATGCCTAGCCGAATTCCGTAGATACTGGTCAGAATGGTATGGCTATCATCCTCCATTACTTTTAGCAGTCGTTCCGAGATCTCGCAAGTCACAGTATTTGATGGCAGTTTTCGACGCTCTATCGCGGCGGTCGGATTCTCATGGTGCGATTGTGCCATGGGAGGAGCTTTCGTGACCTTGGGCACGGTGGTGGACAAGTGCCGCCGGGCTGATGTTCTCCATGTGTGATCAGGTGAGAGTTCGGTGTTTCGGCACAGAAACGACTTCTCAGGTTCTCATGACCGAAACTCAGCCCTCGGTGCATCTTTTGCGGCTTCGTCTTTGCCAGATTTCCGTTGTTGACGACAGGGGGGCCCATGGCGACCACAGAGGACCGACGCAAGCCCAAAGTCTTTACCCACGACTTCGGAATACTTCCCATCCCGAAACAGCTACGATATGACCCCAACAAGCCTTTCCATTTCGGTGTGGCCCTGAACCTGGCTTTTGGCTTTGCGAGCACTTTCAGTGAGTGGATTATACTTCGTAAACAAGTCCCCTCCAACGACTTACCATTCCATCAGCTGTTGCAAACTTGTACTACTGTCAACCACTTCTGAGTGAGCAGCTCGAATTGAGTGTATGACCGGATGCTGATCGCCGTCACTGGTAGTTGAACTCTCGAAGGCCTTCAACGTTTCTTACAGTGAGGCGTCAAAGTACGTTTCAGATAGACTACCGTCTCCCAGGAACTGACTCCGTCTAGCATTCCAACCCTGGTCCAAGCTGGGTGCGTGGGGTACACCAACACCGGTGCAATTACTAATCCTACTAGCACAGTTATGCATGTGGAATCGTCTTTATATCTCCCCTCGGAGACCTTGTGCGACGGCGGCAGCTTATCATAGTACTTGTTCTAATCTCAGCTTCCCTCTCCATTGGTCTCGCGGTCACCAGTAACCTTGCTGTCTTCGAGGCATTATGCTTCCTCATCGGTGTAGTTACTGTCACTCCCCAGATACTCCTCCCTCTTGCTGCTGACCTCGCCCCGCCCAATCGCCGAGCAGCCGCTATATCCATGGTCCTCTCAGGCCTCCTCTTTGGTGTCCTCATCGCCCGGGTCCTCGCAGGCGTGATCGGCCAATTCACAACATACCGCGTCGTGTATTACATGGCCATCGGCGTCCAGTATTTTGTCATGGTCGGCTGCTACTTTTTCCTCCCTGATTACCCAGCAAAGAACGACCATCTGACGTACTGGGATATCCTGTGGACAATGGGGAAGTTTGCATGCACTGAGCCGCTGCTCATCCAAGCGTGCTTGATCAATATTGCTGGAAGCGCGTGTTTCAGTAGCTACTGGGTGACACTAACCTTTTTGCTCGGTGGACCACCGTATAACTATTCTACGTGCGTAGAGTCATTTGCTTTCCTACTCTTTCTGCATTCAGGCGATTTATTTTCGTCCTTTACAGCTTGGTCATTGGATTATTCGGGCTCATTGGGATGTGGGGTGTCGCCATGGGGCCCCTCGTCGGACGCTTGATCGATAGGCTTGTTCCCTGGTATGCGACACTCGCCGCGCTGTTAGCCCTTATCTGCGTGCAGTCCATCCAAGTGGGAGCCGGTGGGATCCACGTCGCCGCTGTCATCGTCACCTGCCTGGGCCTTGACCTTTTCCGCCAAATGCAACAAGTCTCACTCTCCACCGCCATCTTCGGGTAAGCCTTCCCTCGAAACTAGTTAACTCGACTCTGTCGCTCACAAGCGAGGACAGAATCCTCCCCGAAGCTCGAGCGCGTTTGAACGCCGTGTTTATTTTGTCGGTGCGTACTTCATAGGACATCCGTGTCATGGTGGTTATTGACGGCAGTTTCATACTAGCTCTTTCTTGGACAAGTGATGGGCACTGCTGTAGGCACAAAAGTGTTCATCGAGCATGGGTGGCGGCCTGCAGCGGCGTTGAACCTGGCGTGGTATGGCTGGCAACTGTTTGTCTTACTCCTGCGCGGCCCGCACTGTTTAAGGCACACGTGGTTTGGATATGAGGGAGGATTGGAGTCTCGGAAGAGTGTCGTCGAAGCGCGGACTCGGAACGATGAAGAAGCTGTATCTACGGTTGTAGGGAACGGCGACGAGAAGCGTGCTAGCGATGATGTGGCGGAGGCGGAGAAAAATAGTGTGGAACGACGCGACGTCAAAGGTGTCGACGCTCCCAATGACACTACAAGTGACAAGGCTGTCAAGACGTTGGGAAATGCTGAGAAGAAGGATTGACAACTGCAACGGCCAATTAGATATGGTTCGTTCGATGTTCTACGTTACTTTACGAGCTCTACATACCATTGCTCGATGTACTACCCTTAGACTTGGAACACTCGTGTGCTTTCGACGTCAAATAACTCATCTGGGACGACACCACTGGTACTAGAGGGTCCGACCTACCCAAGATCATGAATCTCTTTGAGTTGAAATTTGACGTTGAAACACGGAGTCCTCGCAGAGGAATCATAACTCGACTGGCCGTCACACACGCATCAATGTCGTTCTCCTTTGCTGGTCTTTGCCCTACGAAGGCCTGCCACGGAGTTCCTGCTCCCTTTTCAGGGGGTCAGGGGGGTTCTCTCTTAGTTGGAATGCATCAGGAACCATGAGATTCGCAACTATCTCGCGTCTAGCTCGCACCGCCGCTCCCGGGACCGCAATTGAAGCTGTGTCTACGTAAGTAACGTAATGCCTCCGAGGTTCTTGAAAGTTGCACGCCATATGATGTGATATTGCACCCTTAAAGCTTGAGTTTCGTATTTTTGTGAACGATAAATTCATGCTCTCTGAGTGGGCCGTAGTGCACGAAGACCCGTCCTATTTACGCACTGGTTCTATTAGCTGAAATATAACGCCTTGTCGTCAGAGAGACGGCATCAAGCGACGTCCTTATGGGATCGTCACGTGACATCTGATGGTCGCTGCGCGAAATATCTTTGTCATTTCTCTTTCTTTTCTCATTTCCTCTCATTTCTAGCTCTTTCGTCTGGCTAGTCTCGTTTCGCGCGCGCTCACTGTCGCGCTTCGTTCTTGAATCTCCACATTCGTTTAAAACTCACGCTCTTTCGCAAAATTCGCTCCGTCGTGCACTTGGATCCAGAAGTCAACTTCCCGGTACATATATCACTTTTCAAGTAAATAACAATGGCTCCTCGTGCTGGTATGTGCCTTAGTTCTACAGATTGGACGCTGTTTCTGAGAGGAGGACTCAGGTCCTCGTATTCACCGCCTTCCTCAACGTCTTGATTATACCCTCATCCCCGCACCGCTTGGTGAGTGATCATCACACGGATTGTCACACCAAACTAACCCCCATGCGCAGACCTGTCCCTTCCCCTCGTGGCAGAGAAGTCTGCGCTTCCAGCCATCATCGTCACCCCCTCATCTCCAACCACGCCCCACGACTACTCCATCGCTTTCCTCGCCCCTCCCGAAAAGCCCTCGTTGAAACAGCGCATCACGACCTTCGCCGCACCTTTGAAAGGCCCCTTCATCCTCAAAGCGCGCACGATGCTGCTCATCGTCATCGTCATCTTCGTTCTCGTCTGCCATGTCGTCACACACAGCCTCGCGTTCCGCCGCCCGCATCTCGAATTCTCCGTCCAAGGCACTGATGGACATCTGGTCGAGAATGCACCGTTCAACTGGTTTGGGTTCCGATCTCTATGGAGTGACGAAGAAGCACGGAGCGAAAGGGAGTTTCTTGTGATTGATGAACCGGTGGTACCCACACCCAATCACAAACCACACCCACGGCGTATCCGTTCCCATACGCCCATACCCTAGTGCTGATAGTAAATGCTTTATTTATTGCTTCTCGGTGCATCCCTTGGTTTACAGTGTTCCTTCAACGTGCATGTCCTTATTATTGTTGCTATCGTGCTTTACAAACTATATTTCGTGCTTTATATTTGCTGTATATATCGTTGGTTAAACGCAGATGTGTTGCAAGTTCTTTCGTCGAACTCTTCAGCTATGTTGAAACTGGCTACAAGCTTGATCTTGAATTGGGTGGAAACGTGGAAATATGAAAGTCCCCTGTCTACATTCGGCTACCTCGCTCTATTGCCTTATATGGTACATGTGACGCGCCTTTTTTAGTAGTGTGACTGTCGACGTACGCGTGATTGGTGAACATTGGGACTTCGTCGCGAACCTGCACCAAACTCTCCGTAGTCCTCTAAATGAACGGCTCGATACTTAGTAAAAGCCCATACACTCTACCTCCTCGTCGCTAACATTAATGGCACCTGGTCAGGCCCATTCAACGTCTCCCACCCTACGGCTATTCAAACATCTCTCCTCGATCGAGCCAGTTTCGCAAAGTTCGATCCATCAGGAAGGTATCTTGCCACCGGGAAATTAGATGGTTCATCTTCGATTTGGGACCTGGAGACGCGGTCAGCCATAAGACTTCTGGATGGTCATGTTAAGGCCGTCACCAGTGTGGAGTGCGTGCGATACCCAGAGCCCGAGTGTCGTGAATTGACATAGTGGGCGTTCTATAGTTGGTCGAGATACTCTCGCTACCTCCTTACGTCTTCAAGAGACTGGAATGTGATTATCTGGGACTTGGCCTCCCCCTTTGACCCCCCTCAACGCCACACGACTATTCGCTTTGACGCACCAGTCGTATCTGCCTCGTTCCATCCACGAAACAGGTGTGTCTCTCTGCGCACTCCGTGTCAAATAGCCTTTGATATCCTCTAGCAATATAGTTCTTGCACTATTAAGCACAGGGGATGCATTCGTAGCCGACCTCCGCAAAGAACATCGGTCGCGGATGGAATTATGTGAAGTATATGATGAAGCAGATGAGAGCACGAAGCCTCGGTGAGTAGTGCTATCTTATAGTGAAGTGACTACACCTACGGCATAAATCAGCTCGGCCATGACAGTTGCACGGTTTGATCCCACTGGAAAATACATATTTATTGGGACCGCTGCGGGTTCCGTCCTGGTCTTCAATTCTCGTACAAAATCTGTCAGTGTACCCCCGCGTTTATGAACCAACCGGCCTACCTAACTACGTGCGCAGATGGTCGCGCGACACAAGATCTCGGGTGCTGGTGCAATGAGAGGCTTTGACTTTTCCAAAGGTGGCCGGTGAGTATGTTCTAAGGTCCCAGTCAATATCAGGTTAACGGACCATCAGCCGCCTCGTGACAAATTCATCCGACCGTGCACTTCGCCACTTCAACCTTCCTATCTATCCTTCGCCATCATCCGCATCCGACCCTCTTGAGTATCTCGATCAGGAATTGAAGCCCATCTACCAATTTAATGACCCTATCAATAAAACGGCGTGGCACACGATGTCTTACAGTCCTGAAGGTCAATGGCTTGCAGGGGGCGCCGCCGATCATGCCACTCATAAAATATACATATGGGACATTGTGAATGATGGCCAATTTGTCTGCACGCTGGATGGTGGGAGGGAACCGCTTATTCACTTGCACGTACGCCTCCGCGATCCTCCTTCGTTGCGTCATCTGACCTCACATTTGCCAGTGGCACCCAAGAAAATCGGTGATCGCATCGACAACTAACCAGGGAAACATCCTTATATGGCACTGTCCAATACCGGAACGCTGGGGCGCCTTTGCAGGCGGCTTTGAAGAGGTTGACGAGAACGTTGAGTATCACGAGCGCGAGGATGAGTTTGACATAGTAAGTTCTTACCTTCCAAAGACAGTGTAATTCATTCCTCTCCGATCTCTCCCATAGGAAGACGAAGCAGAGACAACTCGTCGCAAAATGAAACGCGAAGAAGAGAAGGTCGATATTGATGGGTTCGACGACGCTCTAATGCAGCAGACTACACCTGTGGTCGCGCCGAAGGATGACGAAGACGTAGCTTGGGCAGACGATGAACCAGACGATGACAAGCCCGAGTGGAAAATGGCCATAATTATGGTAGAAGAGGATTATCTATGAGTAGTCTCTAGCATAAGCCCCTTTCCTGTGAGGCTGCACTTAGCGCTGGAACAGTGCAGCGCCGCAACGTCAAGCTCTCCCTTCCATTCTCTTACAATCATGCGCAGTAACTTGAACTGGGCTAATCCGAAAGGGCTTAATCGCAGCGTCTAGGACTCTCTTGAGAAGAATGACCCACCACGGATCTATCTGGTGGCAGTGACCATGTACGGCGAAGACAATGCGATGTACTCATTCGCTACGGTGTTGCATGACACCGGGGCGTGGCACTTGTACGATGCCTACGATCTTTCTACAGTTCTGGAAATGCCAAGCAAGTACGACGTGTCGTAGAACCGCTAGAAGCTAGCTAACCGTTCAGCACGGAGTGACTGATGCTTTATATCATGGTGATCCCGCGTCCTTTATATTGTTCCTACTCGCGTTCTGATGCTCTGTTTCTTAGCGATGCTCCAAACTTTCATATTACCTCGGCATGCCGAAATCCAAGGCTAGAGGTAAACAGACATTTTGCCTCATCAACGATATGGGCGAGGCGCTGCGTGATGTGCATGATCCATATCCATTGGTGTGATTCAACGCGTTATTTCGGTTCATCACTTTCTTCGAAGATAATGCGCTTACCTCCCGTATGGGGCATGTACGCCGCGTGGTGCAGTCAATAACTGACCTCTTCTCGTCAAATTTCTGACATATTGTCATCAGTCATCGTTCAGTGACTCCACTTCATAGTAGGGCTTGGGACGCCGGCAACGTAAGTGGTGAGTAAGATCTCGACGAGACTCGTGCTACATTGGGCTGATTGCTTCCCTGACTGCGTATAAAGCAGGTATTGGAGGTGCAGCCCACTCTCAGCCTTCTGTATTCTGCATCTCTCTACCCTACCCACAGTCTTTCCTTTGTTTCGCGTAGCCATGAAGCTTTCAGTTTCGTTGCTCGCACCCACATTCCTTTTTTCCCTACTAGTCCTCGCAGCGCCTGGCCTTCCTCGCTCTTCTGGTTTGACTCCCCGAGCTTTTGTCTCAGGTACATGGGGTCTCGTCCAGGAAGGGTAAGATATGCATGCATGCACCGTCGCCTCGCAGCTAATGGTGTCGCCGTCCATCAGCACCACTGGTGTCAGTGCCCAACAAATGGTCATCGTTTCCGAAACCAAGGCCATCATCTTTGATAAAGTGTGAGATCTTCGCGCTCAGCCATCTGCGAGTGGACCAGACTCTCATTATGTCTCAGAGAGCGCAACCCGTTGATGGTGAATGGACACGCCGCCTGGGCTGCGGAGATTGACCTACCCTCGAGAACTGTCCGCCCTCTTAATCCAATCACCAACACCTGGTGCGCTACTGGAAGCTTCCTCGGCAACGGCACATTCATCAACTCGGGTGGCAACCCAATGGTTGGTGCTGGTAAGTCACCACTTGTCCCATGTTGCCTTCAAACATAATTTCATGAACGATATTTAGGTGCCAATGGTTTGCAAGGTCTTCGCATGTTTAACCCATGCGATGATGGAACCTGTGATATTATGGAGAACACTCGGCGCATTCGTCTCACTTCAAATCGTTGGTATCCTTCTTCCGTACGTGGTCTTCTCTCGTTTCCTGAGGATTGAACGGAGCCCTGACATATATTTATACGTACAGGCCAGGCTTGAAGATGGCTCTGTCATGATTCTAGGGTAAGTGTGGCGTCTTTCCTTTCTTGAATGGTTACTGATCATCAGCTACAGGGGCTCCGTATCTGGAGGGTATGTATACGACAATCCAGCTATAACGCAATATTCACAACTCCCTATGGCGATAGGTTTATCAATGGTGCCGGTGTCAATAACCCTACTTATGAATTCTTCCCGCCCAAAAATATAAACGGTCAGTGAATTGCTCGACAACTCTACTAGCCTACATAACGGTCAATATAGGCTTCAACGGTCTCCGGATTCCTAGCCAGTTCATGGTCGACACACTCAACGGCAACCATTTCCCAAACATGCACGTTCTTCCCGACGGCCGAATCTTCGTCTCAGCCAACCAGCAAGCAATGATCCTTGACTGGAAGACAAACACTGAGACCCGTCTCCCCGGAATCCCCAATGGTGTACGCATCAGCTCTCCTTTCTCCGCAGGCGCCGTTCTCCTCCCCCTTACACCCGCGAACAACTTTACCCCGGAAATCATGATTTGCGGTGGATCGACAGTTTCAGACCGCGTCAATCCCAGCACATTGTCATCTCAGACGCCCGCGTCAGATCAATGCGCCCGATTGGTGTTGACGACCGCTGGTATAGCCGCTGGATGGAAGGTAGAGAGGATGCCCCAAACCCGGATTTTCGTCGAATTGGTTCTGTTGCCCGATGGTCGCGTGCTGTTGGTCAATGGTGCGAGGACTGGTGTGGCTGGATACGGTAACGTGAGTAATAGTGATAGAGGTAGGGCCAAGAGAAGGTCACTGACGCAGAGTGCGATAGGTCGGCGACCAAATCGGCCAAAGCAATGCAGACAACCCAACTCTCACTCCAGTTGTGTACGATCCCAACGCGCCGGCTGGACAAAGATTCTCGTCCGACGGTATCCCTGCATCAACCATCCCCAGAATGTACCACTCGACCTCTTCGCTCACTCCCAACGGTACTATATTGGTTGGTGAGTCAAATACCGACTTTTGAGTGCATCTGTACTTTTGTTGATGTCTTGGCGCTCGTAGCTGGATCCAATCCTAATGACGACTTCTCTACTGCTAAGTACCCTACGGAATACAGGTAGGTTGGCAGTTTGCGGACGAGGCGAACACGATTGACAGGCAGATATCAGGATGGAATTTTTCTCTCCGCCCTACATGTTCCGACCCCGCCCAACCTATACCGGGCTTCCTGCTACGGTCAACTTTGGCACTTCTTTCACTCTTAACGTAGTGCTTCCATCGACAGCTACCAGTGTTGTTGGTGCGTTGTTACTTCCATTCCACTGGACCATATGCTTATGCTCATCAAACGTTAGTAAACATTATCGACCTGGGATTCGCGACACACGGTGTTCACATGGACCAGCGACTCGTTCAACTGCAAGCCACTCTTTCCCCAGACAGGAGGTCTCTCCGTGTTACTGCGCCTGCTAACGGTCGTATCTATCCTCCCGGACCTGCATTCGTGTACGTGGTTACGAACGAAGGTGTACCCAGCTTTGGACACAAGACGATCATCGGGACGGGAGCTTCGCCTCCTGTCAACCAAGCTGCGATCAACAAGTATGTCTATCACATTACTTGGCTTTTATCGGTGTAATGCTAATTGGCGTGTTCGTGTGCAGTATGCTCGCCAACACATCTGGCCCCGCGGCCGTGGCGAAGGCACAGGCAGTCCCGTCGCCAACCTCAGGCGAAGGAAGCCACGTTGCCAGTGAAGTCATTCCTGCCCCCGAGCAACCGACCGCCTAAATCTATGGACGTTCACTCTAACCCCCATCATTCATTTGCCAAAGACTTCTGAGAACACTTCGTTTATAATCGTTGTACACTTCATGTGTGTGATACGACATCCTGTTCCCGTGTGTGTAGTAGTTTTGAATATTCGCTTTCCATTTACTGGTCGATTACCTCGTTTCGCCTTGGTAAATTTCCACGGAGCCGCTTAGCGGACGCTGAAAGCCATGTAGCAATCGAGATCGCTATCCAAGTGCGGACAACATTGTCACCTGGCTTTGTTTCTGGAAGTAATGCACTCCTAGGGTTGTGTCGGGTGAGAATCCGAAGTAGATAATAGATTGATGCCAACAAGAGCCTTCTCTAGAGGCCTATGCACCACAACGCATCAACCCCCAGCATCTCCCAGAAAAGAATGCACTAGCGAAGTCGTCGTTAGCAACGAACTTCAAACTCCTCACAATAACAGGGGTGTCACATGATCAATACTGAAGTCAAGGAGCGATGGTCGACCAACGACAGGCTCTTGTCTACTCTCGTTGGGTTGCGCTGTATATGTCAGTGAGACAACCTGATATTCATAGCTGAAACGCCCCTACATTCGAGACAATAATACGTGTTGCTTTGGCCAGTGACCACCCCTGTCATCGCTTTGACCGAAAAAAAGGATAAAGATTGTGGTTTTGTATATAAAGGAACAGATTCGTTGACATTCCCTCAGTTTATCCGCCCATAGAAATCACTTCTTAGCACCATGTCACACCAAGACAAAGTCGTCTTCCTCGCATATGATACTCAGAAGAAGTCATTTGATGTCATAGAAGAACCCGAGGCTTCCTCATCGCAAACCCCACTCGCCACTCCCGCCGCCGGCGCCACCGCGACCGAGAGTCCAAGTGCCGCCTCTACGACCTTCAGTGTCGAGCTTTCTCAGACTAGCGCTGCTGGCCCCAGCCGTCCGAAGGTTCTCTGTCCCCGAGTCCGGCATATGATGATCGAAGGTCTCGCAGTGATGGCCGTCGGTAACTGCGTCACAGTCCCAACTCGGACCCGAGAATGTGGATGGTCAATCCAAACCATTGGTTTTCTACAAACTAATACGAAGGTCACGTTTCGCACTCAACTCGCTGGGATGCTGGCACGTTTCTCCGCGCGGCAGAAGCAGAAGGCGGAACTAGCCCAGCAGTCGATGAGGCCGAGTGGGATTCGTGTGGTTCAGCCGAGTGCAAGGCAGACGCAGACTCTCCCACCGATTCGAAATATGCTTCCGGAGGGCTTTCTTGACTCACTTCCACGCACCGCTCCGCCGCGTGTAGCCGTTCAACCACCCACTCCAGCCAGCAACACTGGTGGAACGCAGCAGGCGGAAACATCCCAGGCTGCGCTACCCCTTGGCTCGACGGCTAAGCACAATATTCATGACCCGGCATCCAAGTCAAGAAGTAGCACAGCTCAGCGCCCGCGAGGATGGCTTCAGTCGCTGCCTGAGCTACCACCACTCATTCCTAAAGCGATGATACACTCGATAGCCGATAAGGAAACGCCAACGACCGGCGCAAAGAGAAGTGATACACGAAAGCAGAAGAGCTCCTTGCAGATACGGGCCAAAGTGAGTTCTTAGGTCTCATCAAAGTTGCACAGATACTTAGCATTTTTGGTCGCAGGACTCTATTGTTTGATCCACGGCGCCCAAAGGAGAGTAGCAGGATATTTTTGTAACCATATGCATATGTACCCTATGGATATATGAGCTTGAAATATGTCATACCTTTATCTAAACGGTCGCTATCGATTCCTAGTATCGTCAATATGAGTATAACGTTGGTAGAGAGAAGACTCGCCGTTGTTACTTCTGGCAGTTGAGAATGAGCCACCGATAGCGCGTTCTGAACACGATAGATTCGATTTCATACCCTGAAAACATCGTGGTTCAGCACCAAGAGGTTTCATGTCACGTGGTGGCGTCGCGCAATGAGGCAAGCTTCATTTCTCCTCTTGACACGCGTCCTCTTCCTCGTACATGTCGTATTTGGTACAGGGATCCGACTGCGTCTCGTTCAGGAACAGCGATGCCATTCAGGATCGTAAAGGAAGAAAGTCTTTTACACCAATCAGGCTTTGTCGTGATTGTCAGAAATCGGCCACAAATGATCTAGCCACCTGCGAAGAAGTGTGCAGGTTCAAAGGCGAGTACTCCGTGGATCAGATTTCTTCGACGGGGGGTGTGCTGAACAGAGAGCTCAAATATATAGGAATCCGTCGCGTCTGCACGGAAACACTGGAAGTTGACTTCCTTGGGGGTCGATATACTCGGTTCGTGCCCGGCGCGGATAGTGATTATGTATATACGCGACCTTTCGTCCCGAAGATTACAAGGCACGACATTACATTGCTTAGGGTACGTATATCATCCAAGTGCGCGTCTAGCTCTCCTTACTTATCCTACAAGTCATACATTGCTCCACTTTTGCTTCCAGTTGTCGCGCAAAGTCTCGCCTTGATCAAATCATACGAAGAAATAGTTTGCCCCACCACAAAGTCCCCGTCCTCTCAAGATAAATGCGGTGAGCATACTTATACTACGACTCCCCCCTTGCTAAGTTGATACTCGAGATACGTGCAAGTGGACATTACAATTCGTGTTTTGGCTTTGCAGCCGATGTGGTCGCTACTCATGCATCACTTGCAGGCCTTCGCGTCAGAAGTGCTGTCGTGCTGGAGAATTGCTATTATCAACAGTAACTTCGGAGGATCTTTGTGACTTATCCATGGAGCTAGATATCGTCATATCATCACGGCCTCCAAAATCTAGAGACGACGCTACAGAAGTATCTAACGTCGAACCCCTCATCCAGGAAGCCCTAGACCCCGAATCGCGAGCAACGCCTGTTCTTCGGGAAGAATGCTCTTATGCGCAATTCGATTCATTTTGGTCACTCGCCCTCCCAATCGTTGTGCGATCCTATGCCAACTTACATGGTCCATGGTCCCTGCCTGGTCTTGCTAGTGTCCTTGGCGAGGATGCATGCGAGGTACTAGACTGCGAGAATCCACAATACGCCAAGACAACCACTGTTGATCTCTTCCTAAAAGAGTTGGCCAATCCTTCACATCTAGCGCTTGGTGCTCCAGTGTTGAAACTCAAAGTCAGTCATTACCAGCATTGAACCAGTTGTTTAATATTGTGATCAATTCAGGACTATCCAAAGAGGGCAACCTCTGAACGGGGAGCGTCAATATTGTCAAGGGACCTCCAGTCCTGTCTCCCGGTACCCAAGTACACCAGCGAGGACGGCCCTTTGAATGTCACTACTTTGTATTCAAGTAATTACCAGCATACTCCTTACTTCGGTGACTATTTGCTCTACACTTCATAAACACACGTACACTGATCACGATTTGTTCTCGGCTCGATAGGACCTGTTTATAACGCTGGGATGATCAGTCGACAAGACGAAAGTTCACATGGGAATACCCGTTTGCGCATGGAGATCTTTGACACGGTGTATATCATGCCAACGCCAGGAAAAGCCCGATGGCTCATCTTCCCAAGCGAATACACCGAGAAACTAATTGACTTCATTTGCGATCGATTGCAACCGAACCTCGACAACCCGGAGGTCACACCCTCGCTCAACGACTATCACGTATATCTGTCACCAATCGATTTAGCTGAACTCCGTGAACTCGGAATTGTCCCATTTACATTTGATCAACACGAACGTGATGTCGTCTTGATCCCGGCCGGATGCGCCTACCAGGTTAATACGGCCAACGGACTCAATATAACCTAGCATTCTGATTATTTTTCTGCAGATCCTAAACATGACGCCGTGTGTCAACGTTTCATTAAATTTCCTCGCGCCCCAGAGCCTCAAAAGATGTTCTGAAGCCGATGCCCATTTTCGTGCCTCCTCTTGTTCAAGGGATGCTCTCCAATTTGGACTGCTCCTCATTCACTCTTGGATGTCTCTATCAGTTGCCGAAAGTCAGCTTGGGGACGAGCCACCGACGATTGCGCCCAATAAGTGCCCCGATCCCGACTTCAAGTTGGCACCCGCCAAGTTCAAAACAGAAACCCTTTTGAGAGAACTCGCGACATCCACTGCAGCTGACGCCGAAGCGCTAGACCCGGATGAAGATACCATGGAAATCGATGCTGCTTGTACGTCGTCTCCGACTCCCGGCAGCATTACTAGGTCCTCTGCGACGCCAGCACATCCTGTCTCAGCCACAGACCCAGAATTCAAAGTGGCTGTCAAACATGCCCTTTATCAGTTAGGTATACCTATACCTGGACTTGTGCAGAGGCTACCGCAGTATCCCTCGCCTGAACACTATATTCCGTATAATTACCTACATCCTTTCAACTTCCACTATCCTTCGAACATGGCTTCTCTGGGATATGCCCTCCCCACTCCAACAGCTCGTCCACTTCCACACCAACTGGCAATGCCGCTCCCAATACCCATGCCGTACTCAGGAAGCATAGGGACCGGAAACGGTCCATCTATCCACACATGGGACTCCTCCATCCCTATTACGCCACAGGACCCCAAAGTCGAACAATCCTCGACGAGGTCGCTAGCCCTCGACCCCTCCGGATCCACAAGTATCTTCCGGATAAAAACGTTCGACAGAATCCAGCGTCGGCAGCGTCGATGTTACAACTGTGCACGGCCTTACCCAGAATGTCAAGGATCGCGGAAACGAGACGAATGCAGCATGAAACCCGAGAATGCTAGCAGATCGAAATGACGTATACTTTGTTGCCTTGTTTCTGGATTTCGACTGCATGGTAAGCATGGCTCTGAGTAGACTAGATCAAAGTCCTCACTAAAAGTTAGCACTTACCATCGAGCTACCATCTTTTGATATCGGCTGGTTTTCCCAACCACGTAGTACAGGATGCCCCTTATCCCCATTTTAGACAGATCATAGAGAGACCTGGGATACAAGTGGTGTACAGCCCCGCGACCCGCGCGTCCGATACTAACTTTGACATTCAATAAACTGATTCTGACATTACTCAAGCAATGCTATCCTCGTCATTTACACCCGCCGCAAACCTCAAACCCGAAATACTGCTTACTTGACTGGAGATGTCAGGGTCCAAGATGGAGTTGACACCAACGGAGTCTCTCTGTCCGCTCTGTCGGAGATTGAGGAGCATCCGCGTGGAAAGTACAGAATGCAGAGCTGACTGTGTTCTGCAAGCCCCAAGATGATCAGCAACGCGCACTCCAGTGAGCGGCCAGAACATACGAAAGAAGCGGATTGGAGAATTGAGGCTTTGGATGTAGAGATTAGTACACAAACCAAAAGAAGTACGGGCACGCTTACAGGCTGGGTCAGGCTGACAATGAGATTGACAATGGATAGCGCTGGAAATCGCCTCACTGTAGGGGTTCCGCCGCAATTCATAAAAGGAGACATACCAAGCAAAGCGGTAAAGTATACAACACCTAGTAGGGCCGGAGGGTATTAAGCGATTTGAATACAGTGATGGCAATAACCTACCGTCCTTATAAAAGGTATACATCATTGATGAGGAGGGTATGCCTTTGACTAGGTATCTAAGCTGAGTTCGGCAGCAAGTAATTTGTTTGAGAATGCTTACTCTGAGATCTGACCGCGACAATAACCATCAACAGGAAAACGCCTAGATGTAGATCATCAATTCGAAAAGGGGAATTGAATATACTCTGAGCCTTGCTAAATGCGACTGACCTGTCCCGTTTCCGATTAATAACACGAGCGATATGATTGATGTTGTACGGTCTTGCCCGACCGCCATACAGGCCGGATAGGAGAGCGACATAACTGGATGGTCCGAAACAACTGAAGGTGTGTTGGTAGATTAAAATCGATTAAAACATCATAGGGAGGGGCACGTACATGTCACGCCATGTGCTGATGTTCGGATACTAAATAACACAGCTATCACACTAGCAACAGCCATGAAAGCAAAAGCAACTGCCAGCCATATGTTTCGGTGCCACAGCGCCCAGATACGAACCGCTAGGATACCTAGGTACCGTCAACCAATGTAGCAAAAAGGATAAAACTTCTCTACTTTCTGAAATCATGACGGCGAAGGTCATGATGTCTATGACATGGAGTGGTCAACGATAATATTGAAATTTTGATTGGAAATGTCAAAGCTCACAGCCAGCTAAAGGGTATAGTGCACGGCACTCTGTTTTGAATACAATGTGGCTAATTGTTACTGAAGGGAGATTAGCTTCTTCGCAGCGTCAAAAAAGAAAACATACAATGGATTCTTAGCGGTGCAACGACCAACATGGGGTATCTGGACAACAAGTACAAAACTTTCCCAGTACCCCAGCTGGCTCGCCAAACGAATCGAATTTCGCTTGGGATCATCAACAAATAGTCATAAATCTATAACATATCGTGGAGTCAAGCCAAGCGAGCCAATGCACATGTCGACGTACAAGAAAGGTGATGCTTGAGACTTGACGGGAAGAGTTTAATTTCACACGTATCGGGACCGTCGAAGTCACCAGACTGACCTACGATGTACTGTTCGATATTATCAAGGTGCTGTACGCGCAGCGAAATAAGCAAGTCCGTACTGTGATGATCTTCAAGCCTTGAAGAACTTCAACGTCAATAAGATCAGTCGGAGCGGACATGTAGACGTATTAGCTTGGAACGAGGGTACTTGACGCAGAGGAGGATAGCGGAGCTGACGCGACTTTTGTATTGGACATAGAGCACGCAGTCTCGTTCGTCGGTTGGTAGTCATGGCGCCTGACATAAAATGCAACAGCACAACGCTGTGAAACACTGGTAATAAATGTCAGAGTCACGTCGAAGCCATCGGGGCCGTTCTATCAAGGAAATGGACATTGATCTCCTATGCTCCAAATGATTACAATCCTGAAGGTCGCACTCCATACCCGGTGCATTAAGGTTTTGTCCCCGGTGTGTGACTGTAATGCAACATTGAGTATGGAGGGATCAACAAACGAAAACTTCCAACAGATCCGAGGGTTACTCACCAAATCCATTAACATTCACTCACAGTCCCCGACTCCTCCGTGTAGGCGTCGTTTCCTTGCTCCTCACATAGGATAGACAGCAAAAGCGGTCAATCGGAAATGCAACAGTATCGAGCAGATCAAGTTTCATGATGTTGATTCGACAAATGACTTGACATAGGCGGTAGGGAAGCTGAAGTACGATTCATTGTTAGTGGTACAAGTAAACAAGAAAGAGAACATTTCTCCGATATCAATACAAACCAGCTGAATGGGTGATGAGATTAGCGTATACCCGGAAACATTGGTGACTGACCTAAGCATCTCCAATTACACGTATCCAGTTCGTCCATTGACAACGCCGAATGATGGTCCACCCTTTCCGAACATACTCCTCAAATCACCAACCAACAGCTCTGGCACTTCGTGGGCAGCAAAATGACCCCCTTTATCGTGTTCAGCTTCAAACACTGTGTTGCCAGTATACCTTGCCCAACTGTTAAGGGTAGCTGATCATTGAGTTGTTGTTCCGAGGAGATGAAACATATACATACGCTTTAGGGAGGGGGATAAGTTCCTTGGGGAACAGGGAGTAACCGAGGGGAATGGCTGGCAATTCTTTTGGCCTGCGAAAGTCCATGGACAAATCCCCTGAATCAGCGGATTCTTTGTATATCCTCAACGACGCTGCAGGTCCGGCCCTTGAGAACCAATAGATAGATACCCATGTCAAAACTAAACCAGTCGATCGTGAGATAAAGGCCGTTTAAGACTTCGTAATAGGTACGGACCTTCGTCATCTTCCCAAGGGTACTCATCTGTCCATTCGCGTAATTTCTCGTATATCCATGCGAGCAATCCTGCGGGTGAATCGGCTAAACTGTACCCAAGGGTTTGAGGCCTGGTACCCTGCTGCCTCCCATATCCAGTGCCTTTCTTTTGAAAATATTCAGCGCGTGCCAGGCCAGCCTTTTCTTTCGGAGTCAAGCGTGATACAAGGTAAGTCAGGAACAGCCATGGACGATGGACAGGGTGCGGAAAGGCGCCGCTGTTGGGGCGAAAACGTTAGGTTGACGGTTACGAACGAGTACAATGCACGAACAGTGGGAAGTTGGTATGCCAGGCTTTAGCGTGCTTCCCTCCATACAGGGCAGCAATTTTTCGTGTAATCTGTTGATGCGTTGAGTTGGATGTTGGTATGTCTCAAACATGTGCAGACATACCACATAACCCCAATCTCCCCCTTGCGTTACTGATCACAAGTAATGAATACGATGATTTGTGCGTTTGAGCAAAAATATTCACCGTACTCGCTGTATCCAAGGCTAAGCATGAGTTTATGCCCAACCTAGTTGAACCAAGGCTTGAATGAAAGCCAATTCAAGTTAAGGCAAAAGCGTACCTCTGCGCACTGAACAATACTGAACCCCTTGTTTCGAGGTGCCTCGGAGAATCCGTAACCAGGTAGGCTCAATGCAACGACGTGAAAACTTGGGTGGTCGGGCGACGAAGCGGTTAGAAGTGGGAGAATCTTGCGAGCTTCGATGAAACTGCCTGGCCCTGTGCAGTGTTTCTCCGTCGAGAACTGTGTGGATATAGGATCAAGTATAGACACGTACATCCGTGGACGAATAGAAGAGGTATTGCGTCCTCCACCAGGCTGCGTTGATGCACATAATGGATGTTCAGTGTCCCGAATCCATCCACATCTATGTCTCTTGTAAACTGGGGGAGCTCGTTGTTCAGCTCAGATTCATGCTTCTTCCAGTCGTATCCCTCTCTCCAACGTGCCACCAACCGCTTCATATCCGCCAAAGGTACGCCGTAGTCCCATTCAGCATCTTCAAGTTCGTCCGGGAACACAGTCAGAGCTAGCTTGTCCTTCAGCTGCTGAAGCTTGTCCTCCTGAACGGAGATTCTGAAGGCTTTTTCAGACATGTCGGGTAGTGAGAACAAGTGGGCTCCCGATTCTGTGACGCCCGAGAATCGAGATGCTTCGACTTTCCCATGGATTTGAACGTACGTCCTACTAGAAGCGAATATGGTAAGTAGTAGAGTTCCATTACAGAGAGAAATGTCGAACCACTGCTGGTGATCGCCTCACAGTCCCAACTCAGACCCGAGAAGGTGGATGGTCGATTCAAACCATTTGTTTTCTCCAAACTGATACGGAGGTCACGTTTTGCACTCAACTCGCTGAGATGTTGGCATGTTTCTCCGCGTAGCAGAAGCAGAACGCGCAACTAGTTCAGCAATCGATGAGGCCGAGTGGGATTCGTGTGGTTCAGCCGGGCGAAAGGCAGTTGCAGACTCCCACCGATTCAAGATATGCTTCTGGAGGGCTTTCTTGACTCACTTCCACGCACCGCTGCCGCCACCCACTCCAAGTGATCCGCAGGGTCCTGCGGCTAGCAGCGCTGGTGGAACGCAGCAGGCGGAAACACCTCAGACTGCGCTACCGTTTGGCTGAACGGCTAAGCACAATGTCAATTGCACCTCCTGGTATGTTCTGACCTTTTCTATCCCGACATCTGCATACTAACTTTGACTTCGGTGAGAAGATCGTCGGTATGACCCCATCATTACAGCAAGCTATCGATGTGTCGTCGAAAGGTGTTTGAGTTGACGAAAATTGATCTCGAACACTTTTGGATGCGTCGCAATTGAAGGGTGTCCTCGCGGAGGTGGTGCAAATATTGATGCAGGCCAAATAACCTCCCCCTACATAGCGGATGGCCCTCAACAACCGAAACAAGGTCTCCACTGTGGGACATTGTGTGCTAGTTAGCAAGTCGAACACAACACGACAGTCTTAGCGTTCGCTCCCCGCAAGCGAATAAGATCTTGCCATGTCAGCTACTCAACTTAAAGTTCTAGTTCATATGTCAGGTTTGTTTGAAGGGCGCTCGAGCTTGCACTCTTCGCCACCGTCCCAAAGAGCCTAACGCAGGTATATATCGAATGCAGCGTAAGTGTCGTCCATTCTGTTAATCCTCCCAGGCTCTTCCTCCTCTGCATAACCTATGGCCCATATTGTTGCTGTTATTGACATACAAGTTCTTCTGGGCATGAAGACCAGCACGGTGAGCAAATACTCACTCGAACTTTACAGGCACCTAATGAACTGTTCATCGGCTAGTATTTCTCTGGTCAGTTCACCGGCACACCAAATAAATCACACTGATCTCTTCCAAGTCGCAAGCGCCACCTTCCTTGTACGTTGTTGTTTATGCCGATTCACTTAGCCAGGCTGACAGTGTCTCCTAGTCGTATGATTATTTGTTGATGTTGCCGACCGAAGTTCAGTATGTGTGGCAAGTCAAATGGGGTGTCGGAAAAGTGTTGTACCTGCTATCAAGATATCCACTGTTATTGGTTTCCCTTGTGGACTTGCATCGTACGTTGTTCCACACTCCTGATCAAGGACATTTTATCAACGCACTGATTATATCTAACATCAGGGATGACTAGTCATGTCGCATCCGAAAAGGAGTGCCGTGTGCTATACACTCTCATTTATCGTGCGTCTTGATAGTGTGCATACGGATGCTTAGTTGACAACTAGGTACCCCAGACACTATGGCGTTTGCTACGATGATCTCAGAGGGTCAGGAGTTCCAGTGTGTCTGTTGCACGCTCGATTAATGGTCATTGTAGTCATCCTGATAATTCGCGTATGGGCCCTGTGGCAGCGAAGAATTTGGGTGATAGCTGTTCTTGGCTCCATTCTGATCGCTGGCATGATAACTGCAGGAATTGTCGCTGAAGGAGCACTACGTGGTGTAGATGGTACGTCTCTGGGCCTCATCCCTCGCCCCTCTGACAATCATGAACCTAGTCATTTCTAACTATAGGGTGGTATCTCTCTCGTACCCGGCGTGCTTGAATGTCGGCAAAGGACGCAGAATGTCCATCGTCTTGTACATAATAATAATGGTGAATGGGACAGGTCAGTGAACAATACTCTACGTGACAGGGAGCCTTGCGAGAGCTTTTGAATTCAGCCGCCTTCTTGTTAATGATTATCGATGGTATCAGATCTCGACGTTGTGAGTTCCTTCTGAACAATGGCCTCCTGGCTAACTTTAACGTGTATCCTAGATCTATGTCACGGCTTCGTACAGAACTCTTCAATGATGCACACCTTTTACAAGGATGGTAAGTGGCCCTCGGACATCATGATATTCTCGCAAATGCTGACATCCTGCCTTTCATTCAGGTCTTCTATACTTCGCAGCTTTGCTTGGTATAGGGTTTCTTCATCTGCGTAGACCTGGGAGATACTCACACGAGTATATCTATAGCAACGTCTATTATCAATACGACTGTTAGCCTGACTCAGCCTGTGAGTGCGACGTTCTATGGTTTTGTTTTTTATGCACGCTGACCTCTCCGCGCACCAGCTTGAATACGCCAACCTACTTCTCTCGTATGTATTGAAGTGTTCAATTGCATCCATGCATTGCCCACTCATTACCTCGCAACATTTGTAGGGCACAAACCTCGCTGCATTCCGTGCTGTCAACGCGAATGCTTCTAAACCTGCGACATAGCGCACAGAGAGATATCAGCGACGTCAACTCCGTCGCAGATCCAAGCACCTACCACAGAAGACACAATATCACAGGTCTCAGATTTGCTACGGATACTGACAGCAGTACGGGTACTGCTTGAGGAACTGCTATGGTGCGCTTCAAGTCAAGGCTAAGTTGGAGCAAGAAAAATGACGACATCAAATGCAACTCAACTCACTATTCCTCTGGGTAAAATACACTATGTAGCAAGGAGAAAATGATCCCCAGACCGATTTTTGATAGCTTCAAAACTGAGGGAGTGCAGTCGCGCTATCACGTACACATGCTATATTTGGATAACTAGTAATCAGGGGTAGCTAGATATGGCAATGATAAGATAAACAAATTATTGGTGCCCAGCGCCAAGATGCCTTTCGTGTTCACCATTCAAACAAATACCCTTTGATCATCTCTTATTGACAGTTTCTTGTCAAGTTTCTGAGCCATACACAGATCGGAACTGAGTGGTCCCCCTTTGGGTCTCCACACTTTACAATGGTGATATGTCGCTGATTGCTGTGTGCTTCTGATGGATAGTAATTCATTCATAGCTGATTCCAGTCCTCGTGGCATACTGAGCAGCGTTATCAACGCCAACAAGTGTTGATATCTTCTGTTCGAACTTCGTGATCATTCTCTCACATGGAAGCCTGCTGCTTTGACCACAAACACACACAACCACCAACTGTTGCTGTTCAAGACTCGTTGTTTATCATTGTCTTGCGCTATGATTTGGCTTCCCCAGGGAACCTACATGCCGTCTTGATAAGAACTCTTATTCCTCACGCTGCTGCTCCTGGTTAGGTTGTACTCTACTGCTTCCACTTTCTCTCCTACTGACACCCCCAGCCCCCCCACATGTTCGACTCCGTCAGTCCTATCATTGCCGGAAGTCTTCAAGAGTTGAAAATACGCACGGTGAGAACTTGTCTGCTTCGTCCCATTGTGTCGCACCTAAACAGTATATCGGACAGTATATCTCAGGTCAGTTCATATTGACATCGAGGAAGTAAACCCGTTTACGAACACTGCCAATACAAGTTACAAGCGCCGTCTTCCTCGTAAGTAGTTCGTGTCAATTAGTTGGTCTGCCTGACTCGACGCCTATGTTAGATATATGAGTACTTGTTGATGCTGGCAAGCGAGGTTCAATATGTATGGCACATCAAATGGGGTGTCGGGAAAGTGCTGTACTTGCTGTCGAGATACCCGTTATTGGTCATCTCAGTTCTGGAATTGTATAGTACGTTGTTTCTTATATTTCGTGAATTGTTCCTGCAAGAAAGTGCTAATCCACTTGATCTAGGGGCCCCTGGCCACATTGTGTCTACCGCAGAGTGTCGTGTACTGTCTTCAATATCCTCCTGTGCGTGACAGACATATCACAATTCTTAGATGGTTGACAACTGGGATCTCGCAGATACCCAGATGTTCGCCGTGTCGATTGCGGAGGGTGGGTACCTTTACTGTGTTCACATCATCACCTTTGATGGATTCATTAACAAGACACAGTTATACTAGCCATTCGGGTATGGGCGCTATGGCAGAGAAAGATTTGGTTGACTGCCTATTTTGCCTTCGTAATCGCTGGTGGTGTAACAATTACACTAGTCAGCCTTGTAAAAGCAGTGCAAAGCGAGACATGTGCGCACCATCACTATCGTCTTCAGCAGTTACTGATACTCAAGATTGAAGATGTTTCGGACTCTACATCGATTGAATCACTCTCGTATCCAGGATGCTTGATTGTCAACGAAAATGGTAAATCGTTATATTCCTCGTACATCATGTTAGTGCTGCATGGAGCAAGTGAGTCGCCCCGTCACAATAGGATAATTTTGCCTGGTTCTAACCAATGACTCTATAGTTGTTTTCTTATTGATGGCTATCATTTGGTACAAATCCTTTCGTAGGTGTTCGAAAGACTTGTCTGTTGAGAGTTTTCTAGTTTACGTTCTTAGATCACAGCGTACGTTTCTCCTCGATGATGTATACTTTTTATAGGGATGGTAAGCCATTATCTACGCCCTACGCCGAGTTCATCCTACGTTTATGCCAGGTGTTATATACTTCGCTGCTATGCTTGGTACGGGCACTTTTTCCTGAGGGGAGGGTAATTTACAGAGGGCTAATTCACAGCGATTTCCACTGCCAACATGATCTTCGATATAACGCAGCCCGTGGGTCTATCCCGATATTTCTTTTAGGCCCATATGAATGTTCACCTCTCCGCCCACAAGCCGGAATACGTTAATTTCCTTACTCCGTATGTCGTGCAGTACTTCAGCTCGCGTCCCCGTCACTTACCACTACTTCGGCGGAATTATTATAGGATACAAGCCGCCGTCCACTCTGTGCTGTCCACGCGAATGCTACTCAATCTTCGACAAAGCGCGCAGAGAGACCTCAGCGGCGTCAACTCTATACTAGACTCCAATACCCGCCATCGAATTACACGTCTCAGATTTGCGACGGGTGTTGATAGCAGCGCTGTGACTAGCGCTGCGTGAGAGAAACATATCTCAGTATTTAGTACTACGCAATATGGTTTTCGCGAGGACTTGTAATGAGATAGCAATTCCATGGTGCCCAAGTCAAAGCATAGTTAGCGGGTTGATTACCGTGTACCCAGTGTCGCATGTATCACTAGCGTCGGGCGTTATGCGTCTTAGCGTGTGTGGCGCTCGCTCGACTGTGGGAAATTGCCAATCGCCGCCCATTGCCCATGTCCTCAACCTCCGCCACGTCCCCCTCGAGGCCTTCGCGTCACGCCCGCGCGAAATCAACGCTCACCGCATTCCAACCACGGCCGACAGACGACGAGCCTCTGGATGACTTGGAGCTGGTGCGGAGATTTGACAGACTAACAAACACTCGGCTGGCGAAGGAGAAGAGGTACGCCCCAGACAGTTTCCTACTTCAAAGACGGCGAAACAAATTATGTTGCAGCTCTTTCCATCACTTGTATGTTCCTGATGAAACCGAGTCAGTCCTTTCGCCGCGGTTATGTTGGATTTGCTCTCATGTTCAAATGTCCAGGTCACGTCGGCCGGGATTGGTAGACGGCGTCCTGTGGTTGGCAGAGCGCATTTTCGTTGGACCGCCACCAAAACCGCACAAGCGACAGCACTCTGGTGCATTTACGTCCCACTTGATCGACGAAACACCGGAGCCAGAGCCAGAGCCAACGTCGGAACATCTTGATGAACCCGATGAACCCGAGCTAGATGGAGAGCAACAGCTATTGAGGACAAGTGAGGAGCAAGGTTGGCAACGTTGTCCCGCCCCGGATTGCGGTCATATGATAGAGCTTACGGAGGGGTGCATGCGGGTAAAGTGCCGGTGCGGCACGATGTTTTGCTATGGATGCGGAGAGCCATGGAAAACGTGTTCATGCCCACTATGGGACACGCCTGTTGCGGATGGTGGGTATCGTCCGTCCTTCGACGAAACGGGAGAAGAGTTAGAAGATTGGGAGCTTGTAGGAGCAGATGCGCCGAGAGTTGCTGCCGTCGTAGAACAGAAACCATCGGTTCCGGAGGTAAAGATTCCGTACTATTTCGAAGAGGGTGGTATCACTATGCCTGGCGGGCTCTTTACGATGGTCCCTACGAGAAACGACACTGATATACTATACTCAACTCGAGAAGCATACACCGTCAACACTACAAGTCTAAACTTTCCTCCGGACGACCCAGAGCCATATTCACAACACGACGACCTCCGATTCAGTGACTCTGACGCCAACAGCCCGGCACTGGAGGAAACAGCTGGGCAATCTCCCCTTGGCGAGGCATCATCCTCCAATCAAAGGGACGCTGATTTACTCGGCTTTGAAGATGGGGAGGACCCCTTCCAGACTCATGATGGGCGCACGCCCGCTGACCTCCCTCCAAGGTATGCCACCTTCGACCAGGGGGCCCCCTTGGGACCCTCATTTCCTATGCCGGATACATCTGCTTCTACGTCCGGACTCGGCTATGGACACGGCTATGGCTTCCCTACCCAGCACGATGGATTTGAGAAATGGGATGGGACGCCACCCCTCGATAACAAGAAAACGTCTCCGTGGGTAGAAGGGGCCGGGGCACGGACGAACTCACCACCCCCTGATCCAAACTTGCTGGGGGCTGACGCGGAAGGCGAGGTCGATGGTTCAATTCTTGGGCCGTCCATTAGACGAACAGGAACCCCGTTGATGGCCCTAGTCGACCCACACGATCAGAAGAAAATGACCAACATCCGTGGTAGCGCCCGGAAGCGCTTTTCGATGGATGGGACGAACGGGAGGAAGGATCTGACCGAGAAAGACCCACCCCCTCGCCCCAATTCGGCGAAGGTCCTAGAAAAGGAAGAAGACCAGGCGAAGATGGACAAGATACGTCAGAATTCCAAGAAACTGGCTGGGAAGGCTAAGGCAGAGGAGAAGCCTAAGGTAGCAGCACCTGCTCCAAAGGCTGCATGGGGGAAGAAGTCTCCTCCAGCCGCGTCGCCGCCAGCCAGCGGCTCTCCAGCACCGAAAGGACCTTGGGGCACGAAAGCCAACGCCCCAACACCCGCTTCACAGGACCCAGCTCAAAGTTCTCCTGCGCCTGTTGCACAGGATGTGGTCGCAGAAATAGAGAAGGACAAAGACAAGGGCACGCCAAGTGGGGTTACCAGCACGGGTGCAGACCCAGTCAAGCCGGCCGACGCTGACACCAGCAAAGATGCAGACCCAGTAGGGGAGGGAGCGGGCAGCACCGAGCCCCACGTGGGTCATGCGGGAAACAGCGGCGAAGAACACCAGGAGGATGGCGGAGAGAATGCAGCTGTAGATGTCCCCGAGAACTCCAACGAAGGCACGGAGGACAAGACAGAGGATGCAACGACTTCCGGAACGTCTGGGAACAATGCGGATCCACCCGATATAATGACATCCTCTGGAGATGCCACTACCGGTGATAAGGCTGAAGGCGACGCTTCGGAGCCGAACGAGGGTCAAGCTACTAGTAATAATGCAGAAGCATCCGATCCAACCAATACGGCCACCTCCACTGCTGGTGGTACCGCGGAGGATGCGACTGAAGGCACCGAGGTACCACACGGCGGCGAGGCTACTGGTGACAATGCTGAAGCGTCCAACCAGCCTGATGCGACCACCTCGACCAACTCTGCCACTGATGCCGCTATCAGTGCTCAGGCTGCAGGAGAAGATACTGAACCGAACAATAGCCAAGGCAGACAAGGTGATGGCGATGCACCTGCGACTCAAGTCGGTGACCAGGGTGAAGGCTCCAATAACTTTGGCGGGGCCACCTCTAATCCCACATCGCCCAATCCGGATAACGTCAACACCCCTCAAACAGCCTCCGCGTCCTCACCAGAAATACCGACGGCAGGCGGCGGTGGACAGGGCGAAGAGGATCAGGATGGTGTGCTTACTGCCGTCCCAGCGTTCAACAGGAGAAGGAAAGCCGGGAGGAGGAACACGAAGAAGGGATGATTTGCGGTGTTATTTATTTTATTATTTCCTTGCTATCGTTCAGCTTTCGACCCCACATTGTAGTTTGTAATTTATCACGATACTGTACACTCATAAACTTTCTTGCTTGTTTTTCAATACACATAAGTGACTGTCAAGACCTTACTTACTTAAGGTGTTTACTTCTCAGTTTGATGCACAAGCTTCTTCCAGTTTCCAATCAGAACGTACACCCTGCATATTATTTGGTGCGCAATATTTCCTCTACACTTCTACGTCATATTCCTCTTTCAAAATGCTTCTCGCATTATCTTTCGCCTCCTCAGAGACTTTGGGATCTATTCATAAGTGTCAACAAGACGATAATCCTTACACGACCTCAACGCTTACTGGCAATGGTTGCTTTGTAGCCGCCAATTACGTTGGATGTGTTCTTTGGTCCGTCTTCGCTAACTTGTTGGCCTGCAGTGAATATTTCAGCGTTATGTATCGATCGAAGCAGTGTTCGGTGTACTCACCATAGTCTCCCTTTATGTTACCTAGGCAGTCATGCTATTAGATTGGACGTGTCAAACAGTGGAAAGAATGACACCGCATACTTGCATAAGCCTCCTCATCAACGAGGCGGTCGCCGTCCGCGTCACTGGCGTCTTGCACTGTGCCGCCTTCGCCGTAGAGCAAATCACGCGTTTCCTTAATACGCTCGTTGGCTTTGCGAGCAGCTTCTCTGACTGGCGGTCCGTCATTCAAGTTGGTGTCGTCGCGGAGTTCTGCGACAGCACGCAGTCACCGTAACGAAATTAATAAAGCGCGTCGGGCGGGCGAACTTGGAGGTGACCAATTTACCTGAGGCGGACATTTCGATGAAGACTGAGTTGAGAGGTGGGCGGTGATGGTGGGGAAGAATGAGAAAGATGAGGTCGTTGAATCGCCTGCATTAGCTTTAAGAGGAACCTGGAGGTAGGACGGAGGTTGCCGATCCGCTTGACCTGCTTCTAGTCAACTACATCATACGCGGGTGATGTCACTGCCGAGGTCTGGGTTTCCGGAAAGGACACAGATCGCTCGATTGCCACGGAAATTGTACATAAACATAGGAGACGGGTCATAAATATCATCTACACAAATAATACAATTTAAAGGTTGGCGCTGGTTTGGGGTGTAGAAGGGTAAACATGATGAGTTTCCTGGAAGTAACAGACAAATTAATCTCGAATGAGATCTAGTAACAAGGACCTCCTCCTCGAGGCAGATGGAGTTCAATTAGGGTCAATATTCTCCTTTTCGAAAGCCATACAATGTGACTTGTCGTGCAGGCGTCGGGACCCCCAAACATACACGCCGCCGCAGTGTTTGCAAGTCTTGATGCGTATGGCTGCGGGCTCCCTCCCCTGCGCCCTGTTCAACCTTCGTTCGCGGTCTGGACGGGCGCTGGCAGGAACCAAGTTCCGTAGTTGAGAGAAAGCGCCGGTCAGAGTAAGCTGAGGGAGGGCGAAATCGCGATAGTGAGGGCCTTATGTCCGTAGTAGAAGAACCAGACGAGCCAGACGAAGCAGGGTTCTCGGACGGCCATAGACGTTGATCTTGTAGTAAAGCGGGAGGAAAAAGTTGGTTGGGTGGTTCACCAGCATTTTGAAGGCGAAAGTGTGGCCGAGCGGGTAGATCATAGTCACGCCTAGTAGATGTGTTGACATTAGTAGCAACCTCGAACCACTTGATCTCTTCATACGGAATCCGGGGCTCCATGGGGCTGCGAGGAAATTTTATGTCCCCTTCGTCAAAGTTGTCTGCGTCCAGGAATGCAGGCAGGTTGGAGTCAAGCTCGCCACTGACAGCCATTTCGAAGCCATAATTTGCTTCGGCCATAGTGGGATAGTGGTGTGTAGATAATGAGTTCGACATGGAGGCAAACCAGTGGAAGTCGAGGAAAATCGATGGGATTGATGGATTAAAACGCCTGCTAGTCCGTCCCTTTAAGGTCTCCCAGAGTGGCTACAGCGCGCGTCCGCATTGTCCCCGAGGGGAGCATTTTGGCAGGCAATGCTGTACAGTCGACTGGGAGTGGCATCACGGTATGGTCGGCGACTCTTATGGGAACCTTTGCAGCGCGTGTCCGCGGCCTGCGCAGTGTAGGCATTGATATTGGGTGCCAGCGGTAACGATATAGTTCAGAACAAGTCATAAATGAGACAGAACCATCGAAGTCCAGAGGTCCCAGCAGCGGTCCACGCCCGGTTACAGTCTCAGACCCAGAAACGCAAAGACAATAGGTAGATAGGGGTAGATAGGAGCTAACCCTATAAAACCTTTGACTTGCATTTTTGCATTACCGTTATTTTCTCGAGGGCAAAAACCAGCGAAAATCCGTACTGAGTGTCTACTGTCACAGGACATCGTAAAAATCGTACCAAGATCAGTGAGCCTCTCTACGCACTTCTCATGGTTGCGTTCCACATGCTGCAACGGAAGATATCTCATCGGGTTGAAGCCGCTCGGGTCCCCTATGCTGTAAGCGCTGCGCCCCATTCGATGAACCGCTACTCCGTCGAAACCGCACTGGAATCCATATATGGCGAAGAGCGCTCCAAACACGGAAGGTGGTCCATCTGGGCCTTCCTAGTTCGATATTAGTCTAACTTTCAGCCTAGGCGGATGAATGACATCACATATTCGCGTCTCCGTGGTGAAACGAGCAGGTAGCAAATGACGCAGGTCCCAATAATCTACCGATCCGCACCGTCTTCGAAGAGGGGATGAGGTAATCACCTCTGGAAGTATATAAACCTCGACGTCTCTCCTTCGTCTCCAGCAGCACTTTCCCCCGAATTCATACCTTCAACCACCCAATCATCCTTGCATTATCATCATGTCTGACGTTACCAGTAAGTGCGCCCCGCCCACGTTGTCCACGCCGCTGATTCTTCCTTGCAGACGGAAAGAACCCCAACAATGTCAGAGGCGGTTACAAGGCTGCGATGAACAACCCCAACAACTCTGAGGACATTAAAGACCAGGCTCGCAAGGATCTTGAGAGCCTCGACAACGACCTTGAGGAAGCGGGCATCGACACGTCGGGCACCAAGGGTAGCAGCGAAAACGCTGACGGAAAGAACATGGGCAACTTTTTGGGCGGACACAAGGCCAACCTGAAGAGTAAGCCCTTCATGCAATCCGGGTACATCTGCGCATGCTGACTGGTAATTTCAGACCCTAACACCAGCGATGAAGCCAAGGAACATTCGGAACAGATCCTTAAGGAACACGATGCTATGTAAACTTCCTGTATTACACGACTGTTTTAGCGTTTCAGCCACATGTACAAGAGATTCCCAACACGAACCAGTAACATTCAATATCCTCAGCAAAATGTGCGACTTCTGAAGTATACCCATACGCAAGACGTGTAACGCGTTGTGACTTGTAGGCGCAGTTTGGGCTGATATAGTAGATCGCAACCAGAAAAGAAATAGACGCCGACCTCAACTTGTACTCGGCTTATGAACGTTTCGCTCTCACCCTTTTCAGTCGGTGAGTTGCCACCTGTTGTGACGCGATTCCACGTTCTATGTGATTCATCCCAGATAATGCTGGATTCTTCGGGCTCAATTTTGTCCATATCAACTTCAAACTCGAAGCCAAGGAGAATCATGATGTTCGTACGCACGTCTCAAAAATGGCTCAGTCTCCCATGCATGAGTTGTCCTGCGATTCGTGAAATCTGTAATCTGTTTGACGGGATGCACGTCTCGGGGCTTCTGAACCTATGATTTATAACAATACTCATTTCGTGGTGTCGTGAGCAGAGCAAGCCCACCTTTTCGTTCTCTTTCCCATGTCTCTGCGAGACTCCCAAGCTACGTTTCACCCGCTGGCCTTGATGGGGCAAGTTTCTGTGAGCTCGTTCTTTACTCCCAATGCTTCACTGAGGTCCTTGAAATATCTTTCGGGTTAGTGATTTGCTCCGCCATTTATGCAATCCAACTTGAAGTTGGGATATTGATAATTTGCCTCCACCCGACAGTCGCTAGCGGTAGCTTATTTGTTAGTCGAAGCTACTGACGATTCACCGCCCCATTGCGAAGATAGAGTTGATTCTCGGCAGTTGGTTGTACGATTATCCCCTCACTATATCTGACGAAATGGACTCGGTTTGGTGAGGCCCATGGAGTCTCGGGAAGGTGTTGTATCTCCTCGTCCGCTATCCCGTCTTCCTTGACATCTCTATGTCAATATATCGTAAGTTTTCGTTTTAACGTGCTTATCAATACCTGATACACCGGATAGATACCACCCCTTCTGTAATTCCGGAGATTTGTGCACTGGTGTTCAACCTTTCTGGGGGTGAGTGCGTTCGCGCCGTCGCTCATGACCACGTATGCCATTCACGATACTTAGGCGCTTTCATGTTCGGAATTGTCATGGCTGAACGTATGTCACTATTTCTTACACGCGGGCATACTGAGTTGACAGGATGTCAGCGATCATGGCTGTTCGTATCTGGGCGCTGTGGGGTAACTCGAGAACCATTGGGGTCTTTTGTGTGTTTGCACTCAAGGGCCTGGTATGTGAGTTTCTTCCAAACTTACTCTCGTTCCAACTCAACATAATCGGCTGACACGATGTTTGCGGCGTGGCAGTCGTTGATACAACTAGTATCGCGCCTAACCTCCCCGGTTATTTGCGGGTCCTGGAAGCAGAGTGCTGTACGTCGGGCAGTTATGCCTAGCAGTTTACGAAGTGGGTGAGCGCGGGTTCGATTTTGTTTGTCCAGTGACGCGTTTCGAACTCCCTAGTGCTCATGGGATTGTTATTGACGAAGGGGATCCGAGATTGTAAGTTCGATCGCAGTATCGCGAGCCTTGCTGATACGCGTCACCTAATTCGTCACATATCTACCGGTTTCCTATACACGTTCTATCAGGACCAACGTTCATATCTTGAGTTCTATGATATTCATAGCCAAGACCCTTAAGCATTGTGTATTACGTCGTACTTATGCGTACGTCCGCCCTTGCAAGCGTATTGAACACCTAATCTGCATCACCAGTGATATCGATCGGCAACGCCGTCACTCTGTCAGCAGGGCCCGTAAGTTACCTCCCGCATGAAATAATCTTCGCCTTGTATTTAAACTCTATGTATCCAGCCCGAGGCGGCAACTCTTCATCTCGTATGAACGTCTAACGTTTTCTATCATTTTGCCTAGTTCACTTAACATATTGACAGGCCACAATTAACCCTGCATTCTGTCCCTTCCACACGCATGATGCTCCGCCTCCGCAAAAGTCCTACGAGGCGGCCCCACCGCTCTGATGCTCCTCTTACCGTCAACCTCTCAAGCCTCTCAGCGTTAACGTCCATGCGGACTCCTTGCCCGCCCCGGTCAGTTCCAGTGCGTCCTCTGACAAGCGGGAAAGCACCGAGATGGAGACATGGTTTCAAGATGATGTTGCTGGGCCTGGAGTATGAACTCTTGCTGTCGTGACTTGCTCAAATGCGCGGATTCTTTGGACTCGGAAACATATCACCACTATTGTCGAAGCGTGCATTGAAAAGTAAGTAATAGGAAGAGTGCCAAATTTCGTCGCTGATGGTCTGCCAAATTTGCATCTGGCTCTCAACTCGCGTTGGTAAAGCAGACAACTCCTTCCTGACAGGAATTTTTCCTTATACTCTCTAATCCTTCTCCTTCTCGTCTTCGTCCTGCTTTGGAGTTCACTGAGAGTGTGAACAGGGCACCCACTGACACGGATATCTCCAGCACGTCACGTGGCACTCCTATTCACTCCTATCCATCCCTTTTGTCTCAACCCAGCATCACAACACGTCGTCTCTGTATTGTCTCAGACCGCATTATCTCTTATTATCAACTCTAGCTGTCACAAAGACCGTCTACGCTCGCTTGATCAAATACTCAAAGCTTGAGCTTCACCGTCCCAATCTTCTCACTTTCCAGTCCGGACCTCACAGACGGCTGGTCCATTTTGCTCCTCACAATGGCTATCTCTTTGTTGAATAGCAACACGCCTCTATGCTGTTCATATTACGAATTCAAGCACTGCCATTCCCCTTCACAACTCTTCACCAGCTGCCGCCGAATCACCTAAATTTCCTCTCCGCACCAATTCATTTTTGCCACCGCCAAAACCTGCCATAAAAGTAAATAACCGAATCTTGAAACCTCGCGCCACTTCCAATCCGTTACCTCTCTGCCACCCCAAAATTTCCTTTTCCATCAAAACCTACACCTACACCAATCCGCCCTCGTCGACTGGTCTCCCAACTAGGCACTGCACGCATTGTTCGGACAATGCAGACACGCTCTTTGATTAGCTGTGGATGGGTGGCATCTGGGCCTTATAAGCAGACCGTGCGGATGGGATGATTCCTCATTACCAACTACCAGCTCACCGCTCAAGCAGCTAACTAGCCTACCTTCGCATCTCTGTTTACCGTCCATCCAAGATCATGAACTCGTCATCTCTTGCGCCATATATGTACCAGCCCTTTGGGGCCGGGACTCAATACGAAGAGGGCCTGCCCGACTTCGGAGGATACTTCGACACCCTCGGTACCAACCCTCTTGGAGCTATCAATCCCACCGCGCTTCGGTATGAAGTTAGCATGGAGGCTATTGCCCGAGAATTGGACTTATACCCTCCTGGAACTCTCCCGCCTCTTCAGGAACAAGCTTGGGAAGGCCCCGTCCTTCCTCTCCTGCCCCCTTACAGGGACTTCAACGATCCCGCTCCCCGCACTGTAGCTGAGGACGACCAAATCCCTCCCGAACTGCAACAAGTACTGGACGACTACGCTTCCTTCAACCATACGTGGACGCTCAATTTCGATGGCATGGACGGAGTCGCTCCTTGCGAAGAACAACTCCCACAACCGCTCCCTCCGTTTCTACCGTCTGCTCCGTCACTTCCGGCCACTGGTCCCACTTACGGGGTAGCGACCAAGGGACGCTACTCTGGCATGTACGTTGAAATCCCAAAAGCCTTGCCACCGTCGGGAAGGATCACCAGGAGCATGGCCAAGAAAGATACGCCGGAGAAGGTTCAGAAGGTTCACAAAAAGGTCCAAGAGAAGGTTCAAGAGAAGAAGAAGACCCGCAGTTCGATTCAGAAAAAGGCATTCCACAGATTCCACCAGAAGAATCAAAGCAAGGTACGCATTCACCTCTTCCTCTCTGACATTTGTCTCATTGTACGACTGTGTAGGATGATTATGTTGTGCGCTGCTTCTGTGAGAAATGCCACGAACTGATTCAGGACACCGCGTCGAGTCGTGGACGCCATGACAAATACTACTGTCCCTTTGGAGAGAAGTTTGTCCCAACGTGCCCGGACTGCCATGAGCCGTAAGTACTCCTCCTTCCTACGATGATACATTCGAATACTTACACGTATTCATGTTTAGATTTGCCCGGCTAGACTCCGTTGGTCGGCATCAAAGGAACTCACGCGCGGCGTGTCTTGAGACCCAACGCACCAAAGGGCTGCTTCTGTCGGACGAGTAAACTCTGAGATTTCAGGACAGGCATGCTATATGGTACAACTTGGATATCTTCTTTTATATATATATATCACAGCCCTACTACTTTGTAAACTATCGAACATCCCTTCGCTTTACTACGATTTATAACATATCTAAACTATCAACGTCAACCCCAAGACCCTTCAAGGAACCCTTATTGAGTGTGGGATAATAATAGTGAATGTGAGAACAGAGAGTACTGATTACATTTTCAATTGTGGCGCCTCCACTTTTCGTCTCTGTTCCTGAACCTGAGGTACATTCGTTTCGTTGTTTGACCGATACCTGCCTTGACCTTGAAAAATCTATAGCTCTTATGCGGCTCATACATGAATATCTGCCTTAACTCCCTGAAATACTGCACTTCTTTGCTCACAAGGCCAGCGTTCACGAAGCAGCGCCCACGATGGTTCAGCGTATCATCATACCATGCGCGCCCTCAGAAGAGACATGAGCCTACCCTCAGACAGGCTCATGCGCAGCGCAGACTCCAGATTTCGAAGATCTACTCCATGCTCGTCCATCTAAGCAAGCGAATCCAAGACCTTGAGCACGACCACATTCAACTAGAGAAATGGGTAGTCAAGCGGCTCTCTCCTGAAGAATTTACGGAAAAGTACTTGCCCAGAGCGTACGAGGAGGCCATTCGTTTCTTGATGAGCGAGCGATACTACGCGGAGGCGGTTTTCTTGTACAGACGGATGCTCGACGAGGGCCTTCTTCCTTCTTCGGCCACCAACTCTACTGTCATGGCGCTTTCCGTGGCAGCGGCCGGCGCTTCTGGATCGGATTTGCTCAAGGCACTAGAAGTCACGCTGACCGACCCTCAATACACGGAATCAAGCTTACTGCAGCTTTTAGACTTCCTCGCTAAATTATCGTTGCCGAGCACCCTTCGTGTGCAGGTTGCACGTCGATTCGTTGACTCTCGCCGCGCGGGTTACACACCCTCTATGGCACTTGTCACGAGATTGGTGATGCTACAAGCGAAAGACGGGCTGCTTCGCGAGTCATTAGATTGGATTGCTCGCGGCAACGATGACGAACGTCCGGTAGCCACAACCCGGGAAAGCGGCCGCCTCTACAAGCAACTTCTCTCACATCTGAAGACGACGAATCCCGATGATAGTGGAGCTGTAGATATGATTCTTTCCCACATGAAGTCCAACAAGGTGCCCGTTAGCACCAGCGTTTTCAACATGCTTATTGCCATGCAAGCACGGCGCGGCGCTGCATCCCAAGCCTTCTCCCTCTACAATGTTCTCGTAGAGATTTCGAAATCCCAGCCCTTATACCCTGATTCCTTCACCTTCGGAACACTGTTTTCACTTACCCAATCCCTCCGTTCGCCAGGAAACCGCAATGCACGTCGCCGTAGATTCAAAGAGGCCGCAAATGTGCTCCCACCACGCACTTTATACCAACACTTACTGCACTATGGGAAGAGAGACATCAGAACCCATGTCGTGACACTATCGATTCTCAATGTGGCGCTCCGAACTTTCCTGACTATGCGCGACTACGCGGCTGCTTTCGTCGTTGTCCGGACCTTCCCAACTCTCCAATTGCACCCCAATCGTGATACATATTATATCGTCATGAAGCTTCTAATGGACCGCATTCGTTACGACCTTTGGCAAGCCAGGAATCTCAATGAGGCCCGCTGGGGCGACCACATGCTAGGAATAAACCCAGCAGATGCACCAGCCATCACGGTGGACGACAGCCTGGCCGAAACAGTACTGGCATTCGGAAAGCAACCAATTGGACGCCCAATCCGTATGCCGACTCTCGCTCAAATCGACAACGAGGAAGAAATACCAGCAGCAGACGCTTTTGACGCGTTACCCCTTGAAAGGATACTCAAGAGGGCGATCCTTGCAGACGTGATGCTACATGGTCATACTGTGGCGCTATCAAGCTCGGTCTCTAGTGCTATCGCTCGGGCGAAGGAGGAGATGGTCACGCCTCCCGATATCGTTCTCAGGAAGACAGACTTTAGGCGGAAGAGAAGATGATGAAAGGTGGCCAATTTGCTGGGTGAAGGGTTTGCCGTACTTTCGAGCTCCATCTTGTATTGCGCAGTAAACCCTCTCTTCCTCTACTCTGTGCCAGACCTTCTGCCTTCTCGATCGATCTGAGAAGAGTCTAGAGTTCGCCAACGCTGTCCAATGGAACTCGATTCTGATTTGCTCAACTACTGCGCTTGCTAAAGTTTCTAAACTCCTCACTTGTTCCCTCAGGCAATGTCACTCGAGTACAAATCGCGCGCAATAAAAATCAATTCAAGATAAAAAGATGAGAGATAAGTAGAAGGAGCAGAACAGATTGAACAAACTACGAGCCGGCCTTTTCGGATGCGTCAACTAAATTATCTCGTCCACAATCAGACGCGCTTACCGAACTGCAGTCATTCGTTTACTTAATTTGATACCGCTGCGTGTGATTAAGCGTAGTTGTTAGCCAGGCTAGCCTCATCGAATTCGGCCAAGTCGAATCCCCACTCGTTGACCAACTGGGTTTCGGTGTCGTTGGCGATCCCCTAGCGTGGGCAGAGCTAAGTTGGATAAATACGGGTGGCGAACTGCGAGTCACTGACCAAGTACACCTTGCCGAAAGTGTCGGCCTTGAACTTGTCGACGCAAATCCCATTCTTGTGGAGGAATCCGGTGATGGGGTTGGGAAGGCAGTTGACACACGAGCAGAGCTAGGGGCCGATAAATCGTCAGTCGATTTCGAGTCTCATCGGGATGATACTAACCTTGCCCATGTCCATGCAGGTCGGGATGCAGAGAGGGTTCTTTGCAGCGACACAGCCAGCGAGGCAAGGGAGAGCGGCGGCGACGGCTAAGCCGCAGGAGAAGAAGCTGCATCCGCTGGATGCCAATGCATCGAATGCGACGGGCCCATCTGCAGAGGATCAATATTCGTTGTCGAGCGAAGTCATAAAACCCTTACATTCATTCCTAATGGCGACCTCGAGCTCCTGGGATAAGCCAGCATGGAGGGCATCGTTTCCAGGTTCGACGGCAAGAACACTACCGATGAAGGTCGAGACGGCGAAGAAGACGGTAGAGAAACGCATGGTTAGAATGATAGACGAGGTTGCCTTTGCTGGAGAGTATGCTGAGAAACAAGTTGTCTGAAGATGTTTTCTGGGTTGGTTGACCTCCACTTTTATATGTTTCCCCTGTGGATATTCAGCATCATAGAAAGGCTGTTTGGTATGTTATGCGCTTCTGTTTCCCTTTCTTGGATTTGTTTGTTAGAGGAGATTTTCTTACGCCGGGCAAGGTACGATGTCAGAATTTCATGCCGATGGTATGCACATTCGCCGCACATAATCGTGAACCCTCTGGTTGTACCTTCATTGACCATCCGAACAGGCACCGCCATGGAAATCTGCCATTTAGGAAGTAAGTTCCCTCTATTTTTGGTGCGTGCCTGGCAGCTCATCAATTCCCACACACAGTTCTGCTTCGAAGTTCTTCGACGAACTTGGCTACTCACTTCAACTATATCATTAATACGTCTCACCTCCGCCCGCTACTCTCACGACAACAAAGCCGGCGCAACGAGTACTCCGACTTTTGGGCCTCGTCGCCGCGCATGCCTGACATTTAGGTGTGTGGGCACTGATCCGTAGTGAGCTTGACTCATTACTGCGTTGTCCCGACTATTGCCAACCCAGACCGTGCTCATCTCATCCTATTTCCACAACCATCTATCGCGGAATAAAACATCTCATTCTGCCGGGTTCATTGATGCTCTCCGCTGAACCTCCCTTTCATACTCGGATAAACAAGATCCCGACTTCGTGCCTGCAACAGCCGTCCTCCGGTACACATACTGGTTGTTCCTGGTATGCTTTGTGGACAGTAGGACTCAAGGAACCATTCTGGTAGCTCATGCGATGTGCACCATCTTATCGTCAACTTCTTCTGGGAATCCTTGGGACATGAATGACCGCTGGACTTTGCCCATATTCAGATTGCTCCCCAACCTCCATGGACCGGTTTGGTTGATCGCAAACGCGAGCGTCCCATTGTACGTTCAAGCCTTGCCCATTTTGCGACGCTTATCAGCTGCCCCAAGTATCATTCCTTCCGTTTGTTTATACCGCTAGTGGGTTCAAGCGGGGATGCAGCTTCGAGACAAACTAGTTGCATACTTGTAAGCACCGAAGTTACATGTCTTCCTTCCTGTCAATACGGGCAAATGATCTCGCGGCTGGAAAATGGTTTTCCTTGGTAGTTCTTCATCAGAGGCAGTTCTCTCGGATCTACTGGTTTCCTGTTGCATTGACATGCCTTCGAAAGTCTGAAACATGAGCATTTACACCCATGCCAGGTTAAAACCAGACGAAGAGGACGGCAATCCCTTAGGGAAGCAAGTTCAGTCTTATACGGCAGCAACAAACAACTCTGCCGGTCCACTTGCATTCTCACTACGCGTGCCCTCAAGGGTTTCAGCAGACGACAATCAATACAGTCAATACGACTCACTCCTTTGTCCCCCTTATGGCAGACCCCACGGCGATCGCTTGCTTCGGTTCGGACGTTCAGACACTAGGCGCTGACACCACAGAAGCCAGAAGTCTCCTAGCCGAGCCCATTAAAACCTCAACCCGTGCAAGCTACGTATAAGCTAGGACGAAAACGAATTCGAACCTATACAAGCTGTGCTTGAACCAGCATGTAAAGTCTCTCGCTCCCACTGATTGATTACGTTGTGTATTCAGCCGTTAAATTAACGCTATATAGATCCCGCGTTGTAATTGTGTCCAAGCCAAGGACTGGGCCCTTTCGCCATATGACAAGGGGTCTTTGCTATCACATTGGTGTAGCCATTTATCCTTGCAAAGTGATATCGTTGGCCCCCTATGAGTTGTTCGTGACCTGCCTGGAGCCGTCGTCGAACCGACAGCTTGATCTCAATATCCTTCGGGCGTATGCTCTCTCCCCGAGTCTACTCATGGGATCTCATTCCCCGCACATACCTCCATCCGCGATCCATCTATGTACATGCTTTCGCCTCGGCCAGCCCGGGCCATGCCCCATTCATCCATCTGTAAGGCCCCTAATCAGGTCATGACACAGACGCTTACCGCACTAGGTAAATACTGCCGCATCCGTACATCTTCATCTATAACCTGATCATGATCTAAATCGTCCTTAAGGGCTTGAAGAGGCGTGAATGCTTTTCATGCGTCCGCACGAAACATGGAGAGTTCCGGACTTGCACGAAGCGAATGACCGACTCCGCTTCCATTCACAGGCACGACCTTGGGACAACACATACCTTCCATGTCCGAGGTACCAATTGTAGACCCAGCGTATTGTGCCTATTTTAATTGTATGGCATGATTAGGCTGACCGCAGGCACAACCTCCAACTTCCCTGTCCAACCAGAATTTACCACAGTTGACATCGATGCTCTGGAACTGGTCGGCGATTCTATTTGACGACTTTGAGCGTACAAGCAGTGACGTTTGGGTATGCGGGGCGCCCATCTCAGTGATCGGCGGAGGTCCCTGGTAGCGGTGCCGATTGTGGACTTACTTCCCATATCGCCGACGAGATCTCACGAAGCGCATTTGGCAACGGAATGCCTGGAAACGCGAAAGAGTTGTGGAATTTTGGACGTTGAAGAATCCGCACGAGGCTCGTTCGGAACAAGCTTTGCCCGGCGCAAGACAATCTCCTCCAACAAACAAACCCGGAAAGAGAAGCAGAAGCACATAACATACAGCACCACAGAGGAAACGTATAAAAGCTGGTCCCAGACAACCCAAAGAGACATCTTCAGACACCTCATTCCTTAGCAAAGTCCAGCAAAACAACCTCGTCTATCATTCCAATCATTCCAACCATGCGTTTCTCTACCGTCTTCTTCGCGATCTCTACCTTCGTCGCCAGTGTCCTTGCCGTTGAGCCTGGAAACGATGCCCTCCATGCTGGCTTATCCCAGGAGCTCGAAGTCGCCATCAGGGATGAATGTGAGGCGCCCATCACTGCGGGGCACCTCGTTCGTATATTGATCCTCTGCAGATGGCCCCGTCGCATTCGATGCATTGGCATCCAGCGGATGCAGCTTCTTCTCCTGCGGCTTAGCCGTCGCCGCCGCTCTCCCTTGCCTCGCTGGCTGTGTTGCGGCAAAGAACCCTCTCTGCATCCCGACATGCATGGACATGGGCAAGGTCTGTATGATCCTGACGAGACTCGAAATCGACTGACAATCTATGGAACCTTCTAGCTCTGCTCGTGTGTCAACTGCCTTCCCAATCCCATCACCGGATTCCTCCATAAGCACGGGATTTGCGTCGACAAATTCAAGGCCGACATCTTCGGCAAGGTGTACTTGGTCAGTGACTCGCAGTTCGCCACCCGTATTTATCCAACTTAGCTCTGCCCACGCTAGGGGATCGCCAACGACACCGAAACCCAGTTGGCCAACGAGTGGGGATTCGACTTGGCCGAGTTCAATGAGGCTGCCCTGGCTAATAACTACGCATAATCGCATGCAGCGGTATCGAATTAAGTAAACGACTGGCTGCGGTTCGGTAAGTGCATCATGTGGTGATCTGATGAGCTTTAGGCTAACATACCATATGCTTAGGCCGGCTTGCAGTTTGGTCATTTCTGTCCTTCCTCGTATCTTCTGTTTCTATTTTATGTCAGTCTTTAGTTTACATTCGAATCGATACACCTTGCGCGCTATTTGGTTTCATTCGTGAGGATGAATCAAGATGTCAACTGCTTCCTCGATATATCCTTAGCCCTTCTATTCAGCAAGACGAACGTAAAATGACAGAGCGAGTCCAAAAAATAACAAGTATCCCACTGCAAGAAGCAAGTTAGAGAAGGGCAAGCATTCGAATAAGGCCTGCCAAACACTCACTGAATTCGAGCACGTAAGCAGTATCTATCGACTGTCTTAAATGAAAGGATACGTGATGCAGTCGCCTACGTGTATGTGGTACACTGTACAAGTACATCGTTGCCCCGAATAGAAAACTCAGCAGTGACTCGAAGCGTCTCCGCCGATAGCAGCGGGGCTAATCCATCCCTCAACCTTTGTCTCTCCGGCTTCAGGGCCTATCATATCCAAGTCCGAATCAAGCAACGCCCAGAAGCTCAAATCAACGGTCTGCCACGCGCCATCGTATAGCTGCAATGAGAAGCTGAGATAGATCTGTATACCCATAGCCTCGGGGCAACAGAGTCGATCCTCGTACAATGGGAGTAAATTGGAACTTGAGCGAGAGCCTACAAAGCTGGTTGAGCAATGGCAGGTGATGGCATCATATATATATGAGACATACCTCCGAGCAGGGTAAGCTGTAATGACGACTAGAGTGCGCGGAGAGCCTGTAAACACACAATGGGCGGCGCCCTTCGCTGAGAGTAGGCTTGTTTCGGCATCGTTCCAGGGCTGGAACAGAAAATATACCAAACGCCAAATGCTCTAGGGTGGTGGAACACTTCGAAAGGATGCAAAGATATTCGGCATCCTCAACAATATCCTTCTATTGAGGCGCAGCTCCCTAAATTTGGAGTTAGAGACAAGACATAGGATACCCAAGCCGTAGGCTAGCTGAATTATCAGCTTCTTCCGAGGCATCTAGCTGGTGAGGTGCAGGGTGCGCAAATTCTTGAATCGCTTGAGGTAGTCTAGCATCTATTGCGGGGGGAATGGGTCGATTCCCACCCCACGACATAGTGATAGTATGAGCTCATGTACTTATCGGCAGAGATGGAGTGCTTGGAGATGGAAGAAGGCAAAGTGAATGTGGAAGATTGTGAATTCGTCTATGTCGATCGTGTGGAAGATGTGAGGACGACAGATGCCATTCCATGCCCGGCATGTAAGTGAACATGCAGAAATATCCGAGAAAACCTGTGCCTTCGTTCTCGCCTCTTCAATATGGCTTTGATCTTCTACGAAATCAATGATATCGCGAATCAACTCGGTTGGGAGCTACGTCCGATTCATCGAGTCTTGGGTCGATCCTTGTAGCACGCTTTCACTGATTATTTTTGAATTCAGACTTCAATCGTTATCTAGAGTGTCAACGTTTTTACCTTTCGAAAGAAATTGTGGTCGCTGTTAGACAAACGCTGAGGCCTCAATGCGGTGAACATTTAAGAGGTTACAGGAGTGTCAGGGACAGCAGAGCCTACTTTTTATCACCTGACCAGAAAGTTCGACCGCGACTTGAAAACGTCCGAGTCGGCGCGCCACTCAGACCTTTCGAAGTCCAACACGTCAGGACTTCCCAGTTCAAGTTACCTTAAATCTACATAAGGTAGCACTACCTTGGCGATTTTGCGTCTTTGCACGAGCACGAAAATATGACGGGTCCTAAAAAGTCGACACCCTGGCGGGTAATGGGATGGTAACAACCAGCGAGGGAGTGAGTTTGCGCACGGAGACGATGGTAAGTTGTTCCATGTCCCGGAAACTATACACTAGAAGGGGGGTGCGTCGCGAATGGCGGCCGTTGGCCTATTTTCCAATCAAGCATTGGTGTTGAAGAAAGTTTCATGAGCCTTTTATACTGCAGCGATATTATCCTTTACAGAAGAGAAACTTGGGGTCCATGTGGTCGAGACCCACGCGTGCGTAGCGCCAATGTGCGTCGCAGTGAGTTATAGTTATAGTTACCATCATAGAGTAGAGCTTAATGGACTCTTTACGCTGGCTTGAGCAATGCACCGTGGCCGTCAGGTACTTGTCACGGCGAATCTGTTCCTTGTTTCGCAAACTACTCCCCACTTCACTAGTTTTTCTGGGGCGTATGTCGATTTCTTCCATGTGTCTTGCATGAGACAGTAATGTTGGCCATGCTGCAAGAGTACTACTTGCCCCGACTCATTCAGCATGATCATCACGTCTCCATGTGGGATTATTTCTGAATGACCTCCCGACGGCCTTTCCCCAGTCATTGTACTTGAAGTGGTGTGTACTTCCGTTGGAACCGAATTGATGCTACTTTGATTGGATATTGAATGTCCATATAGGTGACTAGGACCCTGCCTGGCGCCCTGGCTGCCCTATTCCCACGCGACCTGCTCTCGTGGCCACTCCCTCCAAGCTCTTCCTCGGAAAGCCTCCAGATATGCCAGTTAGATCGCACAAACTTGATTATACTTTACCACGTCCCGTCGGCTGATTAGGAGGGATGCCTCCGTCGGAATGGGACGTGCGATCCCACGGGCCATCAACGTCTTATAGCAAGCTGTGCTTTTGGCAACTCCTTCATTTCCTCTCTCAACAATGCCTTTGTCGCAACTAGGCACGACTGACGTTCTTTATCTACTGGGAGGTGCATGGACAGTCTCTTATATCGTATCAAGGCTGCTGCGCCGAGGTAGCAGCGCCACGACACCGTTGCTTGGACCGCCATCGCAGAGCTGGCTTTTGGGCAACAGAGCGCTGGCCGGCGTTGACAACGAAGTCCCAATTTACGAGCAATGGGCGAACCAGTACGGCCGTGTGTTTCAAATCGGGGGTCCATTGGGATCGAGTCGAGTTGTACTCTGCGATCCCAAGGCAATCGCCCACTTCTACTCGAAGGAAACGTTCACATACGTGCAAACGGCCTTTGCGAAAATATTCATCGGCACCTTCGTAGGTCCAGCGGCGCTCTGGTAGCTTCTGGCTAAGCACTGTTTGATAGTTCGGACGTGGTTTGCTCATGGCGGAAGGAGAGAGCCACCGAAGGTAACGACCCTTAGCTCGCTTCTGTGCTTATGTCAGACTCACGAGTGGCATTCCAGGCAGCGCAAAGCGTTGACGCCAGCCTTTAGCAACGCCGCAATCCGTAAACTGACAAACGTCTTCTTCGACTCGGCGTACAAAGTGTGCAGCCCCGTTGCCGAGTACAAAATGCATTAAATGATATTTTTTACAGTGCAAGGCCATTTGGGATGGTATGCTCGAGTCCCACCCAGAAGGTGTCGTGATCAATGTCCAGCAGTGGTACGTGTGCTTAGGAACCACATCACGAAGGGGGTAGAGTGCTTACATCATATCTGATACAGGATGAACAATATTGCGTGAGTGTCGCGGGCGCAGGCAGCCTCGGAGAACCCCAATTAACATCCATTGTAGGCTTGACAGTATCGGTATCGCTGGCTTCTCTCACAATTTCGGGCAACTCGATGGCAAGACCTCTGACGTCGCCAATGCTTTCAATTCTTTGGGCGGAGACGACCGCAACATTTTCACTGCGTTCATCTTCCTGCTCAGCCCTTACTTCCCCTTCCTCGCGACCTTGCCTACGAAACGCAATAGAGTCATGAGGAAACTGAGGCAAAGCCTTAGCAATATCTCCGACGAACTTCTTGAGCGGACACGCAAGGAAAGTCAAGGAGGCGTTGAAGAAAAGTCTATCATAGGACTTCTAAGTAAGTCTTTTGGCGCCTCGATTCTCGATCAAACGCTCATTGTTCGTCGATATCAGTCAAGGCTGAGAACGCCAAAACGGACCTGACTCTCACGCAAGAGGAAGTGCTGGCGCAGATGAATGTGCTGTTATTGGCTGGGTACGAAACCACGTCAATCAGTTTAACAGTGGGTGACTTCTTCACTAGAGTTCAATGACCCATATAATATATTCTTTCACAGTGGGCACTCATCGAACTCTGTCGATTCCCGGAGCAGCAACGAAAACTCCGTGACGAACTTCTCTCGCAATTCCCCTCCTCTGATCCGACCTGGGACCAACTGATGACCACCATACCCTACCTCGACGCCGTTGTTCACGAGACTCTTCGCATGCACCCGCCGCTCGTAACGACCACTCGTAAGGTAAGACTTCGCTCGACGTGCCTTAATCGAGTCAAGAAACTGAACCTTCATGTAACTTCAGGCCGCCGAAGACGACGTGGTACCCCTGAGCGCCCCTATCGTTACTCGCGATGGCCAAACGGTCTCCAGCATTTCCGTCGCCAAAGGTACGACAGTCTCAGCCCCAATCCACCTGATGAATCAGGCCGAGTGGCTCTGGGGCCCCAACGCCAGAGAATTCTACCCCGAAAGATGGCTTGAGCCCAACTTCGGAGAGAAGAACGACGTCCAAGGACATCGCCATCTCCTCTCCTTCGTCGATGGCCCACGTACGTGCCTGGGAAAGAACTTCGCGCTGGCGGAATTCAAGGTTTGTGGCTATAGTCGTGATAGAGTTTGTGGAGACTGATTGGCATGCACAGGCTGCTCTATCGGTTATCATCCGTAACTTTACCTTCGAATTCGAGGGCCCTGAGCCCAAGATAGAGAAGCACATATCCATTCTTCCTCGACCGAAGATCGCCGGGCAGGATGGTGCTAAAGTACCACTGAGAGTGCGTAGAGTAGAATAGATTGTACTTCTACATTATTTGGTTTGTATAACTATTAATACCTTTACACACGGACTTGATGTATCTTTTGTTTATGCTTCTGGCGCTACACGGGATGTTGGTCAGACTCCGTGCAGGCCCGGGCTTGATCTGCTCGGGTTTCGTACTACAATGATAATCAACACCACTGGAGGTAAGAATAGCAGAAGCGGCGCCTCACCTCATCATCAGCCGGTGGATCAAATGTCGTTGACGTTGATTGACTCGTTTGACTCGTCGGTGAACCGCTCATTCCGATTGGGATTGAGGCCTATGTACCCACACCGCTATTAACAAATCTGCGACCATGAGAATGATGAGACCTACCTTCCCATGGGCGAATTTAAGCCGAGTTGGAGAAGTCTGAGCATCTAACCGCAGAGACACCCCATCAGCCAATCGCCGGAACACAGTCCGAGCGTTCAAGCTAGACATTATCGAGTCAATCGATAAGATGGATATCAGGCCAATCAGGCTTGGGGCGATGTACTTACGTTGCTAGCAGCGAATTGGAGAAGACTGGGGTTGCGATCAGTCAGAAAAAAGTTAATCTACACTGACGGGGAAAGACACGTACTCCGAGCAAGGCACATGTACAGAGCCACCCAGACATCTTTATTTTAAGCGCGATGTCACGAAAGCAGTGCTAGGTTGATGATGCACGGGACTTACAGCTATCAGTCATGGTCTCGAACTGGACACACTACGTCAGTACGGTTGCTCCGGAGTAAACGTGACTACGTACTAAGATCATCACGGCGAGGGTGAGCATGCTGTTAAGGCGTCATTCAATATACGTGTCCCGATATCTCAGGCGTAGCCCAACAAACCTTGTTGCGAGCCCGGTTTCTAAGTGCTTGATGAGCGAGGCAAGCAAAGCAGTAGATGGTAGAGAAGACTTACGCAGTGTCATCAGTATGATCCTATCAATCAATTTGGTGGTCCTACAGGACGATAAGTGATATATCTCGGAAACGGATTGTCTCGCTCACCGTTCGAAAGACGTCTTTCTTTCCCAAATCAAATGTGAACATAGCAATCCAGCGACGATTATATCGACAGCAGCTCCGACGACCAAACACACGGTGACCAACCACCCCCAATTCTTCTCGAATTCAGAGAGGGTCTTCGTGATCAAGTATATTACGACAGCCGTCGTGAGCGCGAATCTGGCCAAGGACAGTAGATTGCAGAAATACGCTGTCCTCCAGGCCCCCGTCAGACGTCTTGCTCTATCGGTGAAGAACACCTTCCAAACAATTTGTTAGCCGACAAGACAACATGTATACAATGAAACCGTCGTACCTGGACAATGCAAGCGATGTATCCCCCTAGAAGTGTTTCGATGGATATGCCGATGGGCGTATGCACGAAGAGTCGTTCTGGGTGGTCGTACCAGGATATCGAGATCGTATACAGGTAGTGTAGCACGGATATGACGTGCCCCAACTCCAAAACACTGTAAAACAATGTTCAGGTTCAGGTGGAGTACAATCAGGGTCGATACGCACGAAACAACAGCGACCTATGAACAATGTTCAGCGGTCTAGGCATCACTGGGTCCGGGCGCACTCACCAATGCTTTTAGTTGCCAACGATCCTTTGGAAAATTGGAATAATAGAGATATAGCTGGACGGTGTAAACCCCGAACAGAAAAACTGATACGGCCGATCCAATTTCAGCTATACTGAGCAGGTTCTTTATGGCCTCTACATTGGACATGTCGAGCGATTCTCGCAGGGATGAAGAGAGGGCGCTGGGCGGTGATTAGGTCCTTGAAAGGAGCGGGGTATTACAGTACGTGGTGGTCGAGACGAAGATGCATTGAAGGCGAATTAAGCTAGATGGTGCAAGGCGATGATTCGAGTCCCCACGAATGTTTATACGTAACTCACCAAGACTGCAGCATGTGGTCACCTGAGTTAGTAAAGTGCGGCGTCAATCAATTGATCTTCGAGGGCATTACTTACCGTAGGGGGTTATCCGACAGCCACGGCGTCTTATGAGGCGGTCCGGCGAAAGCCTCAAATGCGTCGAGGCAATTGACCGGGATATAATTGTAGATTGGGTAGCTATCTTTAAGCAAGGATGAGTCGACTTTGCACAGAAGCTTCTGACTTCTCCCGGTGGCGAGTGGCCATATGCCTTGGCGGTGTGCCATCTTATCGAGTCATCGTTGTGTAGCGGTCCTAACAGAACGCAAAATCATGATCATGCCATGATTGAGAAGAAACGGTCCATTTCAAGCAAGGCCACGTCCACGCAAGACCAATGCCGAGAGCCTCCCTATCATATCCCCAAGAAAAGGTCTGGGAGTTCCTCAACGCGGGGTGACAGTGTAAAAAGTAGTCGGAATACTTACAAGAACGCCGGATTCTCGGAGCCTAACTTACTGCCATAGTTGGTACTCCGCCTAAAATCGATGAAATGAGCGCCCTTCTTCCCCAACCACCATCATATCTCCAGCAATTCTCACTCGTTTGTGCCGTGTCCTGGCTCAGACTCATCGGAATAAGTAGGTTGGTCAAGCCCAGCCTTTCTCTGAAATTTCCGCCGCTAGAGACGACAACTTTTCCATCACCCGAGGATACAGTTATTAGGACGACCTCACCATTTAAGTTCTCGACATAGCGCGCCACTAGACGTTGCTGAGCACATTACTTCGGAGAGCTTCCCATGTTCTACGCGAACACGACAGGTTTTGGGAACAGTCGCAAGGCGTTAGATGTAAAGGCGCGGGAAACCGTCTGAGTGTGGATAATCCATCTGACATTCGGGACTATGGTATTTCCTACGCTATGATGGTTTTCGCACAGGTCACAGACAGGGTGGAATCGGGACCAGGACAAGGACGGCTTCAAGTACATCGCACTCCCTTCTTCCTTTTGCCTCTGCTTTCCGCTTTGTCGATGCGGCTTGCGAGTATCGTCTTTCTAAACACCGAGCCCAAGAGCTACGGCGTACGCTATGAAAAGACCCCGCTACGATGCTTTGGCACGTACTGGGTAAGGAAATGCTTGAGTCCCGGGACCTACTGCCTTCGCACTACTAGACTATCCATGTCTTTCTGCTGAGTATTCTACTTGCTTCAATGCGAGGCCTCTGTTTTATTCTATTGTAACAATGGAGTTAGCTGTGCCATCTCTCTGGATATAAGATTCCCCAATCCTGTTTTGCGTCGTGATATTTAGTTGTGAGATAAATGAGATGGGGAATGTGTTGTGTTCATCAGTAGAATAGCACATCCCTCAGGGGCTTGGAACGGCTTGGTCGATTTTGGATTGGCTTTGCCTCCGCGCACAAAGCTTTTGTGGTCGCTTCCAGAGGGTAATGGGCGTGGATATCTCGATCTGTTGTATGTTATGTCCGTCAGCTACGAAATTTAGGCAGATTGTCAACTATTGTGGCAAGCAGTATAATGTCCAAGCACCGGAGGTGGAGAGAGTGAGTGGTATCAAGGACCTTAGTACGTCTGTGCTCGTATTTCTTAATCTAACTCGCATTGGGGCGGTGAAACCTCGGAAGCATTTTGCATGCCCATCGCGTCCAAGTTCTTGTTGTTTAATAAATCATAATTCTACGTCCTAACCACTGTCTCTATAGATCCACAGCATTCACGTTCATCCAGCAACATGCTTGATTGAGAATGAAACTAGCTTCTAGCTGTGCTGAGTTTAACGTTCAAACGTTCATGCACGCATGCTCTTCACTCCGGTCAACTGCATAGCTATGACCGTATCCTAGTGACGGAACTATCCGCCGTCTCCTCATCTATCCGTGTAAAACGAGCCCGAAGTAGGTCATGTTTACGACGGAATGATTAGTGCAATTACCGCATTGGCATCTTCACAGCCTGTTAACTCGGTGTATGATCCCTGGCGTGCTGGCTGCATAGTGACTTCGAGCGGTTCGAGTAGTTTATTTCTCCGTGTGGAGGGCATCGCGAGGACTTTTGGGACACTCTTTCGAGATGATGGTAGACCTTCAGAGCTTCAAGTCGTTCTCCGAACAGAAAGTCTGAGACTCGGAAAGGCAGTCAAATAGCACGTGACAAGTCCCACAGTTATACCATTATTCTCACACTCAGTAGTGACAGCTTCCCTTCCTCCTTCGTTTGGTCCTTCATGAACCGTTGTGAATTTGGTGAGTGTCATCCATACAATCGGGACAGCGGAGCCCATCCAACGCTGAGTTACCTGCGTTAATAGTGGCCCATAAACACAGTGCAATATGCCGATTCAAATTTCCTCTATTTATTAGGGAGACTTTCGCACACGAGGACGCCATTGGCTCGTTCTTTAATGAGCGGGCGAATCTCAGCGACTGTTGGGTTATCTCGGAGGCATTGCGATAATGTCTCGTTTGCTTTGGGCCGCGGTTGGCCGATATACTTGTCGAGGTATGTTAACCTTGACTTCATTTGACCAACTGAACAGACGCACATGCACAGCCAGCACCCTTTGCAATATGCTGCAGTGGACACCGATACCTGCTACAAGCATCGCATTTTCCATAAGATCGTAGTGACCGTCGGCGTGGTCTACTATCTAGGGTGCCAACTGTGTGAGCAAACACAACGACAGGAGACGCTCGGTGTTGGCTGTTGCTTTGTCGTGGAATGATAAGCACGACTGTTAAGAGGTGGAGATCCAGATCTAACATGTTCGCCATCCTTCTCGAGTCCTGTACGCGTCCATTCTCCCTTCGACACTGACACAGCACCATAAACGAGGAGAAGGAGACACGCTGCCCCTATTGTCCGTGGGAATATAAGTCCCGTGCCAAAGACTTGCTTCTCGAAGCTCCGTTTGAAATCCAACGGACCTATCAGGTCCGTGCGTGCGTCTATTATCAACTTGCGTCCATCGCTCCCGCCCACGAAACCATCGACGATCCGAGGAGTCCAGCTGTCTATACGTACAGCTCATACACGGGTGCGTCCAATGCGATGATCTCTGCTATCACGAATGCGATACAATGCACAGACGCTTCTTGCTTTACAGGCCTTTCACTTTATATAGCCGTGGAACCGCCCGCGAACGTTCGTGGCCACTGCAGTCGTTGTCGGGAACGCTGGGTATATGATGACTATGGATACCGCGGGGCAGTCGAGTGCTTCACCCACCTACAGTGCCCGGCAAGGCGAACAGGGGGCCTCCTCCCGCGAGGAGCAGACAACGACCAGCCCCATCACGCTTGGTTCCGATCTCGTCCTAATGACTGCGAATCAGGATATCCGGAGCCAGATAGAAATTCTGCAGCGAACTATCACCCTCGTGTTCTGGTACAAGGTCTGTACTTGATGATTGGTCTTATCAGAGGTTAAATAGCCTCATACGTGCCCGACGATAGCCCAATACCGAGCCACTCCGTCTGCAACACCCCGTACCCACTTTCCCCTTGTTCCAGCTCTCCCGTTTCCCCTCGCTGACCACCGACCTCGGTCTCACGCCCACCACGTACCTTGACACTTACAATCGCGACACAAGGCAGTGGGATCAACATACTATCAGTACCGTACGTGTAATTGATGGACACCCGAGGCTTCTTTACCGGATTCGGAAAACCCTTCTTGAAGCTCTCAACGACGACGAATGTGTGGGATTGAAGGAAGAAATTGAGAACCAGTTGAAGCAACGATCTGCATCAGCGCTGATACAATCCCCCGCTACCGTGCAGTCGTCTCCCATGTCGCCTACTTCTCCGACAAGCGACGATAACTCGGAGGCTAAAGCGAAGGCCCGGAGCCCCACATTGAAACGGGCAGCCCCTTCCAGCGCACCCGAGACCACAGGACCACCTACCAAATTCATCAATACGGACGGCTTCCGTCAACAGCAACCATATCCTGCTTATCTATCCGCTCCCGCCCAGAATGGCTCGACGGCTTCGAAGTCGAAGGCCCCCGCACAGGAACAATCACCCCCTGCGAATACTACCAACGCAGATAGTCGCCCAACCACCGCTTATCCCCCAGGGAACGAGCAAAGCCAGAGCCCCGCTAGTCCTACTAGCTCTCCACCCCAATATTATAATAATAATGTCAACCGACCTGGGTCCACACAGTATCTCTACCAATCTCCTGCCCAATACAATGCTCCAACGTCTCCTTCCGCCGTCCCACTTCCTTCGTATCTGGTTCACCCACCTGCAGCGGCGCCGCTCATCCCTTATCACCCTCATCCCCCGCTGAAGCGCTGGCCCAACGACTACACCGTCTCGGAGCTCTCGAGCGGGTTCCAAGCCATGGAGGCCTTGGTTCACCAAACCCCCAACGGTGGCGCGGCGATGACCCAGCGCATGGCGTTCGAACGCGTCTTCGGGAGCCGGTACGTCAAGAGCACGGTGTGCAGGCATCGTGGTGTGTGGCGCAAAGCCCCGCAATCCCTCCGCGACGAGTTTGAGGCGATGGGCGAGGACGAGCGTGCGTGCTGGGGCGAATTCGTCAGGCGCGTCGAGGGTAGGCCACCTGGACGCATCAATGGACCAACGCTCATACCGGTCCATGAACTGCCCTATCAAATGGGTTCCCAGCAAACTGTCAATGGGTCGAGTCCACCCGGACAGGCATCAGGCCATCCACCCGCAGCCAGCAGTCCAGCGAGCAATATCCCCAACGGCGCGAATCGCCATCAGCCGGAAGAGGAAGAGGATGATGATTCTGATGAAGGCTCGAGTGGCCAGGAACCACCCATCATGAACTCGCTGCAGTTTGCAGTTGATCACAATAGCACTTCGACTCATACCCCGACCACGGTCTTACCCGCTCAGAATAGTGCGCCTCTTTGTATTCTCTGAGTGATCATATACTAACGGGTGCCCAGCCATCACCGTAGCAGGGAAATAATTCGCCGCGATGCCCGTTCACTACGCGCCACTTCGTCCGTGTATTTCTATTGCTGTTTTGTTGTGAATACATATTATGCCTTCCTGCTCTAGAGTCTGCGCTGCTGCTATTTACGATTTGCTTAACCATGTAACGGTCATCAATTGCCGGTAGTCTTGTACGGTGAGGTTATAATGTACAGTCTTTGGGAATTGCGCAGCGTGTCTACTGAATACGTCGTTTGGGCGAGTGGCGCAGGTGAGTTAGTGCGGGAGGATTTCATTGTGTTGCACGCTGTGCAACATTGTGTTTTGGCACATGAGACTTGGTTTGCACCGGCAGAAGCATGAGGATGGCTACGTGCGCTCCGAAGATGATGCCGAGGTATGTCAGCGGGTCAAACGCAATGTGACCACGTCCCAGGGGCACCGATGCACCTGAAGACCTCGGTAGGCGGTGGGGCGAGGTGGAAAGACCGATGTGCCGCCCGAACAGCGGTCGCTCCATGGACGAGTGTCGCAACCAGCACCAGGGCAGGAACAGTACCTTCGGAACTTGGTTTGTTAATGAAGTCCAGAAGTAGTCGATCACGCATTGTTTGGTGCGGTTGATTCCCAAGTCCATCGGCGTCTCCAGCACTCGAACTCTGCCCCAGACTGCAACAGGGTCTTCCATCCATGACGGTGCACGCAACGTCATCAGCCATTCACGTCATTCCATCGACCCTCGCAACGCATCACAGTTTCCGACGTTTGAAGCAGGGAATACTCGCCAATGAACGCGAACAAGATAGCTCGTCCCACGTCCCTTTCCCTCTCTAACACTCGTACTCCATATGCGCCAAATGCCAGCAACGTAGACGCTGCCCATGGCCATCGCAAAGGGTAATCTGCATATTACCCGTCATGTCGTCGTCCGGTCCTTTCATCTATGCACACGCCCACCCAGTCGACCCCCCTCTCTCTTCCTCGAGCCTGTCTATGCGTGTGCTCAGCGTCTGCTGTATTCGCCACTCTTTCCATTCAAGTTCTTACCCTTTGGCTTTCCTTCCTTCCTCGTGTTCGTCTCCCTCCCTCGCTAGCTGTTCATAACTGGATCACGATCGCGAAGACAAAGGGAAGCGAACGCGAAAGGAACGCCGAACCTAGAACGAACATGTCAACCAAATACAATCATCTTGAGCGAACTGAAGGCGTACCGCAGCGAACGAAAGCGCACCTCCAATACTGCTCATGTCGCAGAGAGGAGACACGACACGACACATGCGCTGGAGCCATTGCATAACACCCAATCGGCTAGGCGACGGGCACATACACAGTGGTTGAACGGCGGCGGTATGCCCATCGCGTCGACGGGCATTCACGCTGATGTAGCCTGCAACAAGTAAGGGAAGGTGAGCACGCGATGATCCGAGTCTTCCTGCGGCTCACTGCTTACCATCGTCGGGTTTCATGATCAGGTACACCAAGTTCCCCATTGAACAGTGTTGGACGACGGCGATGACGACGGAAGAGGGAGGCGAGCACTGCATCTCGGCGTTGTTTGCCGACGACGACGATGCTGGTGGGAGTGGGAGGTGAATGAGTGAGTGGGAGACGGAGGGAGGCGTACGATGGAGGAGGTAAGTGAACGACGAGGTTGATGACGGCGACAACACTGGAGGGACGAAGATGCAGGAGAGTGCAAGCTGAAGGTGGCGCAATAATCTGTCGACGAGACCCCCATGAACGCCAGCATTGCGCGCGCGAGGTGGGCGCCTTCGCCTCTCTATGCACACCGACGTACCTCCTATAGCAGGTACTCAGCACGTCTCGAATGCGTAAGGAACACACGACTCACCGGCGCACCCGCTTATCCGCTTCTGTGTTTGCTGCGTTTCGAACTCGCTGCGACTTCCACGGTTGCCCCATTCCACACCTTCACGCTTCCCCGAATACACAATTCCACCGTTCTACAGCGCCGGTCCCGACGCGCAGGAGCGCCGTCTATGCTCGCGAATCACAGCCTACGCCACTGTTGGTGAATACACGATGCGCCTGATGACGGTCGGCGCGCCTCACACGAGTTCGTCTTTTGTCAGCGCTGTGTTGGGCTGATCGCCGTGTCCGTGTTGGGGATAAACAGGAGTCTTTGGGCTGGCGTGCGCGTCTCGGAGCGCTCAAACGTTTCCGCGTCCACGGCTCAAGGGGAGTACGAGTCGGGGTTGAAGATTGGAACTTGAAACTTGAAGCTTGAAGCTTGAAGTCGGCTCGGGCTCGGGCTACGTTGGGCGGGTGCTACGTTGGCGGGCGCGCAGGGACGAACGGGTGCGCGTGGATTGTGTAATCGAGGCAGTCTCGTGCGAGCTGAGATAAGGCAATACGGGACGGTGTGGGATGAGGTGAGGTGAGCTGTGTTACGAGCGTCTGTTTTTCTTTCGTTCTTTCGTTTTCGTTTTCGTTGGATGTGTCTTTGTATGTTGGCACTCATGGTTTCGAGTTCACTCAGGCTTCAATTAATGACTCGGCGTTCACACTCGCGCCTCGCGCCCCACGGCAGGTTCGTCTACAGACGGTGCATCGTCAATATACGCTCGTTGGACGGCCGTCTCATTCGCCCATTCACTCGCGCCAAACATTTCGCGACGATGGAACTGTGCCGCGTACCATGTCGCCAGTACCCACCACTCCACAAGTCCACCATCATGTATCTAGCCGGCCGAGCAATTAGGCGGAATCAAAACCAAAACCAAAAAACAAAACAGAATGAGGATATATCTATAGCAATTTGACGGCGGCGTCAGCAATGCGATGCAAGGAATGGATTCGGTGGTTCAGGGATAGTTCAGGGATAGCTCAAGGTGAGCAAGACGTACCGCTGAGATAACGCTGGGCATCAAGTCGGTGTATTGTCCTGGGTGTTCCTGTGCGCGTGGATGTGGAGTCTGCGAAGTCTGCGTCTGGGGAGTGTGAGAGCGAGGTAAGTCATGGATTGTTTTCTTGGTATCAGATAACTCACTATTCCGATGTCGTCTAGGGTGCAATGGATACGACGGTCAGGCAGACGCGAATGAGATACGGCGAGTCGGCGCTAGGGTTGCCAATGATCCCAACTAGCGAGCGAGCATCGCACCGAGTCAAGCAACCGACGGCGAAGGGCGGCGCGGGATGATGATATGAGAGATGTCTTTGTGGTGGTGGTCGTGCGCAACGACTGCGTCGAGACTGCTAGACGAAGGGGCGGCGGCAAGTCAGCAATTAGTTATATATCAATCAGACGTGTAAAGAAGTAGACGTACTGGTACGTTGTACTGTGCATCGCCGCTCCCGACGTCCAAAATTCTACTTTCGAGCGAAACCTGTATGTCTATGGAAGAAAATGATGAGTACACGAGCTGTCAGAGTTAGAGAGTACGCTGCTTACACGAGAGGGAGATGTCTTTGTCGTGGTGGTCATGCACCGCGACGGCCGTCTTTGAGCGAATACTGCAGCGGCATCGTCGGTAATATCCTTGTGTGCGTCGCTCTACCAGTGGACGGACAGGCGAAATGTTGTGGGGGTGCCAGATGTCGGGCAGTTTCTGCCTCTTGACGGCGTCGGGGTGATGGCGAGGGATGCCGCAATGTATATTTGCTTTTTTGCTTTTGCGTGATAGTTGTCGTTGGGTACACCGTTCGGGGACGTTCGGCGACGAAATCTGGGCAGGGCGACAGTCAGTGTGGGCTCACTGTACGCAGCATCGTTTACCACGACTGCGCACATCAGCTGTAATCTGAACATATATTATATATTATATGGGAGTGCCGCCATTCTGGGAGACATGCAGGGGACGAAGGGAATATCTTGGGGGTGCCGAATGTCGGTGAGCATTCGATGTCTTGGCGGCTTGGTGCGATGAGAGTCAGTTCCGTTGCTTCGATGTTTGAGTAGGATGCATGCTTACCTGGAGAATCACGCCCCTCTTAGCGTCACCTTGAAATCCAAGATCCAAGGGCCATGCGGAAACGAGATCTAGTTTATTGAGTTACTCTGTAGAACACTACTCTCACCGCTTCATCGACGTCTAAGATTAATCACGGCCCAGAGTCAATGAGATCTGTTAGACTCCGAAGTCACTTGCATCAGTGTTGATAGCTCATCTGTGTTACTTACTGATGGATGCTTCGCCAGGATTCACTATTAGAGAGACTGAGAGAAATTCAGCACGACACAATGAAAGCTTACAATTAAGCAGTATGCCATGTCGGATGGCCGAGGTAGCGAACCGTCGAATTGGCGGCCAAGGCAAAAAGGGGTTGACAGGAGATGGGGGGAGATTGTCGATATCGCTCATTTGAGCTTGAGGAGAGTGAGCGAGGGGAGAGAAGACGAGAAATCCTGTTGATAGTGGAGAAACTCAGTAAAGGATGCCCCCGTTATATAGAAAAAGACCTGGTCATAGCGTAAACAGTGTTTTCGTTCGTTTCCGCGTTCTAGGGCTCGAAATAAATCGCTCGAAAATTCCATCATGATGGTTGCGACGTCCGGAGGTAGTAAGGCGCCCAAGAATATGGGCGCTCGCACTAGCGAGCGGGTACCTAAGTTTTTTAAATGAGCTTCAGGGAGAAGAGTACGATGAGGAGAGAATGATTGGTTGTGAGATCGGGGCTTGTTCCTTGCATTCTGCATCTCGGGGGGCCAGAGCGACTTACCTTACTGTCCACTAGGTGCCACCTCCAGCTGTACTAAGTAGTCGTACCACGATATTCCTCCTATTATGCTATAAAAGAGAGCATATAGAAATTGCAAGGTTTGGGGTTACAATGTTGATTGGGCCCTGAGTTGTATGTGGGGCCGGTTGTACTAAGGGCATGGTAGTGCAGACTCATAGGCCTGAATGGCCCTAAACCGCATTCTGGGCATCTGCATCATCTAGAAGGGGAGGAGGGGGTAAGTGCAAGACTCTGCAGAATGTGACTCAATACTCACCTATACAGAGCAGAGGAGAACCAAATTTGGGGTGAGATTATACTTTTACCTCTAATACACCACTGCAGGTTCTGTCAATCACGATTCGATGCGCAAACGAGCAGGGAGAGGGGAGGAGGATTACAACCTAATCGGGAAGTAAGTGACGTTTTGCCGCATTAGGAACATTGATCGGTGTTCAAGCGCTTACCCACCCTTTCTCTCTCACCACGTCAACTGCCTACAATTTGTGCCCTCTCTCGCACCATGGAACCCTCCTCCGTAAGCGGCAAACAGCCAAGAGACTCCATTTTGACACCTGGAAGGATCTAATTTGTGCTGCCACCACATCTTTTTCCCCATTCTTTGCGTCTGTTCTAATTTCCGCGCTGTTTCCACGCAGAATCTATTCTAGTAAGCTCACCATGCTACAAGACTGTTTTACGCAATGCCTCTACTGGTAAGTTACTCTACAGACAGAGGAATTGTGGGACTTACTAATCCCCTCAGTTTGGTGTGCTTCCCCGTCCTGGTCGTCGCAAACATGTCAGAATGCTCCAAAATCTATGTATGCCCTTCCGCAGAGTGTCCAGTTCGACCTTACTTTCTCAAACTTTGGCCCAGCGCCCTCGCATCAACCACTGAATCGGTTACAAAATCAGCGGCCACTCTCTTGTCCCCCCAAAGCTGTTTCATGCCGCACGGCAGCGTAGAGAAGTCATGAACACGAACAACATGTCAGAATTCATTGAAAATTCAAAAATATTTTTGCAGGCTTCCCACGAGAGGCCCTTCCTATTGGCCGTTGCTACGATTCACGTTTAAGACTGGTGCTTACCTTGTTGTAAATTTGATGCCAAATTGTCAAGTTTTTGACCTTCTTGTGATTGGCCCCTTCTGTTACGATTACAGTGCATTGCATAATAAACTGGAGGTCATTGCGCGTGAAACCTATTTGTTCAAGCTTGTTTGTGACATGTCACACATCAGGCACCAATAATGAGCACCATTTCTGCGACTGCAACTGTAAATCTCTACAATATTACGTTGATCATCTCGGATTTGAGCCACCGGAACTTGCTATGTATTCTGCAAGGGGAAGTCTGTAAGAGATTGCACATGTGCACATAGGATTGCCAATAATAAGGTCCCTCAGTGTTGGGGGCGGGCGTTGTTGTGTTGTCCTCTTTGGCAGGTATGTTGCTCATCATTGATGACTGCAAGATTGGTGATGCGGCGGTCACTAATTCATTCCTTTCACTCTTTTGGTGCTACGTTACCTCTGCACCTATTATCAGACAGTCAAATAAATGGGGTTTCGGTTGTGCTGAATGGAACTAATTACGTAGCAGTATGCGACAGTAGCCAAGTGATCGGGAAAAGGGTTTGGAACGGGGAGGTGCCAAGTGTACGTACTGCCACCTCTTTTTTCTCTACCACCACCACCACCTTGATGTCTGCCCTCTGTCTTCCTCTTTCCGCTCACACGTTGTGAGTCGCAAGTTGGTTGCCATTGTTATGTTGTTGGGGTAAGTCCTCTGCTGCGTACATAGTGGTAGTCGGTAGAGTAGTCCTGCACCTCCCCGGGCAGGGGGGTCTGTTAGCCAGCCCCCCTGTCCGGAGGAGGGAGTGGAGGGAGATTGTAGTAGAACTTGCGACTTTTTTTGCGTTTATTTTTATACCCTTCTTCATTTGCTGCGAGCCCTGATTTTTATCTCCCACACTCACAATCTTACTCCCACACTCACTATTCTTTTCTGACCGTGGGTACTTCAGGAGTCACTCCTAGTCCACCTACCAAATTACGGCTTCGTATCTGGTTCACCCACCTGCACCCTCATCCCCCTCTGAAGCGCTGGCCCAACGATTACACCGTCTCGGAGCTTTCGAGCGGGTTCCAAGCCATGGAGGCCTTGGTTCACCAAACCCCCAACGGTGGGGCAGCGATGACCCAGCGCATGGCGTTCGAACGCGTCTTCGGGAGCCGGTACGTCAAGAGCACGGTGTGCAGGCATCGTGGTGTGTGGCGCAAAGCCCCGCAATCCCTCCGCGATGAGTTCGAGGCGATGGGCGAGGACGAGCGTGCGTGCTGGGGCGAATTCGTCAGGCGCGTCGAGGGTAGGCCACCTGGACGCATCAATGGACCAACGCTCATACCGGTCCATGAACTGCCCTATCAAATGGGTTCCCAGCAAACTGTCAATGGGTCGAGTCCACCCGGACAGGCATCAGGCCATCCACCCGCAGCCAGCAGTCCAGCGAGCAATATCCCCAACGGCGCGAATCGCCATCAGCCGGAAGAGGAAGAGGATGATGATTCTGATGAAGGCTCGAGTGGCCAGGAACCACCCATCATGAACTCGCTGCAGTTTGCAGTTGATCACAATAGCACTTCGACTCATACCCCGACCACGGTCTTACCCGCTCAGAATCGTGCGCCTCTTTGTATTCTCTGAGTGATCATATACTAACGGGTAGCCAGCCATCAGCGTAGCAGGGAAATAATTCGCCACGCTCCAATAATCCGCTGCGATGCCTGTCCACTACGCGCCACTTTGTCCGTGTATTTCTATTGCTGTTTTGTTGTGAATACATATTATGCCTTCCTGCTCTAGAGTCTGCGCTGCTGCTATCTACGATTTGCTTAACCATGTAACGGTCATCAATTGCCGGTAGTCTTGTACGGTGAGGTTATAATGTACAGTCTTTGGGAATTGCGCAGCGTGTCTACTGAATACGCCGTTTGGGCGAGTGGCGCAGGTGAGTTAGTGCGGGAGGATTTCGTTGTGTTGCACGCTGTGCGACATCGTGTTTTGGCACATGAGACTTGGTTTGCACCTCACACGACCGGCAGAAGCATGAGGATGGCTACGTGCGCTCCGAAGATGATGCCGAGGTATGTCACCAGGTCAAACACAATGTGACCACGTCCCAGGGGCACCGATGCACCTGAAGACCTCGCTAGGCGGTGGGGCGAGGTGGAAAGACCGATGAGCCGCCCGAACAGCGGTCGCTCCATGGACGAGTGTCGCAACCAGCACCAGGGCAGGAACAGTACCTTCGGAACTTGGTTTGTTAATGAAGTCCAGAAGTAGTCGATCACGCGTTGTTTGGTGCGGTTGATTCCCAAGTCCATCGGCATCGAACTATGCCCCAGACTGTAACAGGGTCTTCCATCCATGACGATGCACGCAACGTCATCAGCCATGCACGTCATTCCATCGACCCTCGCAACGCGTCACAGTTTCCGACGTTTGAAAGCAGGGAATACTCGCCGATGAGCGAACAAGATAGCTCGTCCCACGTCCCTTTCCCTCTCTAACACTCGTACTCCATATGCGCCAAACGCCAAACGCCAGTAACGTAGACGCTGCCCATGGCCATCGCAAAGGGTAATCGGTGTCGTTGTTTGGTCCTTTCATCTATGCACAAGTCGACCTCCTCTCCCTTCCTCCAGCCTGTATATGCGTGTGCTCAGCGTCCACTGTATTCGCCACTCTTTCCATTCAAGTTCTTACCCTTTGGCTTTCTTTCCTTCCTCGTGTTCGTCTCCCTCCCTCGCTAGCTGTTCATAACTGGATTGCAATCGCGAAAGGGAAGGGAAGCGAATGCGAAAGGGACGCCGAACCTAGAACGAAACATGTCAACCAAATAGAATCATCTTGAGCGAACTGAAGGCGTACCGCAGCGAACGAAAGCGCACCTCCAATACTGCTCACGTCGCGGAGAGGAGACGCGATACGACACACGCGCTGAAGCCATTGGTTAACATCTCAATTGGCTAGGCGACGGGCACATACACAGTGGTTGAACGGCGGCGGCGTATGCACATTGCGTCGACGGGCATTTACGCTGGTGTAGCCTACAACAAGCAAGGGCAGGTGAGCACGCGATGATCCGAGTATTCCTGCGGCTCACTGCTTACCATCGTCGGGTTTCATGATCAGGTACACCAAGTTCCCCATTGAACAGTGTTGGACGACGGCGATGACGACAGAAGAGGGAGGCGAGCGCTGCGTCTGGGCATTGTTTGCCAACGACGACGATGCTGGTGGGAGCGGGAGCGGGAGGTGAACGAGTGAGTGGGAGACGGAGATGGAGGGAGGGAGACATGCGATGGAGGAGGTAAGTGAATGACGAGGTCGACAACGGCGACAACACTGGAGGGACGAAGATGCAGGAGAGTGCACGATGGAGGTGGCGCAATAAGCTGTCGACGAGACACCCATGAACGCCAGCACTGCACTGCACTGCGCGCGCGCGAGGGGGCCGCCTGCGCCTCTCTATGCACGGTACTCAGCACGCCGTGAATGCGTAGGGAACACACTACTCACTGTTACTCACTCATCCGCTTCTGCGTCTGCTGTGTTTCAAACTCGCTGCGACTTCCACAGCTGCCCCATTCCACACCTTCACGCTTCCACGAATGCACGAATCCACTGTTCTCCAGCGCCGGTCCCGACGCCCAGGAGCGCCGTCTATGCTCCCGAATCACGGCCTACGCCACCGTTGGTGAGTACACGATGCGCCTGATGACGGTCGGCGCGACTCACACGAGTTCGTCTTTTGTCAGCGCTGTGTTGGGCGGACCGCCGTGTCCGTGTTGGGGCTAAACAGGAGTCTTGGAGCTGGCGTGTGCGCGTCTCCGAGCGCTCAAACGTTCCCGCGTCTACGGCTCAAGGGGAGTACGAGTCGGGGTCGAAGCTTGAAGATTGCAGCTTGAAACTTGAAGCTTGAAGTCGGCTCGTGCTCGGCTATGTTGGGCGGGTGCTACGTTGGCGGGTGCGCAAGGGACGAACGGGTGCGCATGGATTGTGTGGCATTGAGGCAGTCTCGTGCGAGCTGAGATAAGGTAATACGGGTACGGGGTAGGATGGGATGAGGTGAGGTGAGTTGCGTTACGAGCGTCTCTTTTTCTTTCGTTCTTTCATTTTCGTTTTCGTTTGATGTGTCTTTGTATGTTGGCACTCATGGCTTCGAGCTCACTCCGGCTTCAACTAACGACTCGGCGTCCACACTCGCGCCTCGCGCCCCACGGCCATCTCAAATCAACCCACTGTGCCATCCCCACGGCAGGTTCGTCTACAGACGGTGCATCGTCAATATACGGTCGTTGGACGGCCGTCTCATTCGCTCATTCACTCGTGCCAAACGTTTCGCGACGATGGAACTGGGCTGCGTACCGTATAGCCAGTACCCACCAGTCCACAATTCCACCGTCGTGTATCCAGCCGGCCGAGCAATTACGCGGAATCAAAACCAAAACCAAAAACAAAACAAAACGAGAATATGTATATAGCTATTTGACGGCGGCGTCAGCAATGCGATGCGATGCAAGGAGTGGATTCGATAGTTCAGGTTCAGGGATAATTCAAGGTGAGCAAGACGTACCGCTGAGATGACTCTGGGCATCGAGTCGGTGGATTGTCCTGGGTGTTCCTGTGCGCGTGGATGTGGGGTCTGCGAAGTCTGCGTCTGGGGGGTGTGAGAGCGAGGTAAGGCATGGATTGTTTTCTTGGTATCAGATAACTCACTGTTCTGAACTTGTCTGGGGTGCAATGGATACGACGGTCAGGCGGACGGACGGGGTGTACGGGCGAATGGGATACGGCGAGTCGGTGGTGGGGTTGCCAACGATCCCACCTAGCGAGCGAGCATCGCACGGCGAAGGGTGGCGCGGGATGATGATATGAGAGATGTCTTTGTGGTGGTGGTCGTGTGCAACGACTGCGTCGAAACTGCTAGACGAAGGGGCGGCGGCGAGTTAGCCGTTAGTTATATATTAATCAGACGTGTAAAGAAGTAGACTTACCGGTACGTTGGACTGTGCGTCGCCGCTGCCGACTGTAAGGGCAACCTCAAGATGACCGACAGCGCAGGCCTAGCAGAGGGAGAATCCAAAGAGATGAATAAGACTAACTACAATACATGAGAGAGCTGCTCACCTAGCAGAGGGAGAATCCAAAGAGAACAGGATGGGGATTCTCCATGCTAGGAAGCGAAGTATATACTGTAGTAGCGTGGGAGGAATGAAGGGTAACTGTACAGTACACCAGCCACAGGTACGAACGAATATCACAAGGTACGAGGGGGCATGTGATAATGAAGTGGAAGGGGAATGTACAGGAGTCGTGCCAGCGACCTGGGGAAGTGGGGACAAGGAGTAATGAAGTGGGAAAGGAGGATAGAGGTAGCCCGGACGAGCCCCGGAGTGTATCTACGAGTCCGAGCGAGTCCGAGGTGTCCGAAGCGAGTCCGAGGCGAGTCCGAGGCGCGGGAAGACTCCGGAGTCACCGGACGTGGCTCGGATGCGAAAGGAGTGGGCGGAAAGGAAGTGGAAAGGAAAGGAAGCGAAAAGGAACAAAGGGGAACAAAGGAAATGTAGGTAAGAGTCCATGGGATGAAGGAAAGGAGAGAAAATAGGAGTGTCCCCTTACATCACCCCCCCTTCAAGGTTGCGGCGACCCGACGCGAAGATTCCTGCCTGCCGCGCCATGAATTCACCAACCCCGAAACTCCGGACTGCTGCGAGAAGATGTCGAAGTACGACTGCACAGAGCCCGGAGCCTTCCGACTGCGCCAACGCTCCCAGGACTGGTCCAGTGCTGTAGGAGTCATCCGGAGCGGTGCAGGGGTCATCGGACTTGTCGGACTCGTCCGGAGTGAGCGCACTGCGTCCGGATGACGATCATGGAAGTCCTTGACCTTCTGGGCAGCATGCTGGAGGTTGCTCGCGGGCTCCCAGGAGTCGTGCTCAATGCCATAACCTCGCCAGCGTACCAGATACTTCAGGACCCGACCAAACCGTCTGCTGTTCCGGACCTCTTCTACCTCGTGCTCTTCTTCTCCGTCAATGAGCTGCGGAGGTGGCGGAGCGACAGGGCGTCTACCCGGAATGGGATCCGGGATGAAGGGAGAGAGTTTGACCACAGGGAAGACCGGGTGGAGACGGGATAAGCCCGGGGGGAGCTGGAGTCGATACGCCGCCTTGCCAACCTTCCGGACGACCTTGTAAGGACCGAGTCGTGCATGTCCGAGTTTCCGGGAGGGTCGGGCAAGGTTGATGTCCGACGAGTCCAGCCAAACCTTGTCACCCGGTTGGTACTCCGGAGCAGGAGTCCGACGCTGATCATAGTAACGCTTCATGTCATCCTGAGCCTTGACCAATGCAGACTGAGCTTCATCAACTGCAGACTTCATCCGATGTACAAACTCGTTTGCGGACTCCATCCGAGACGGTGGCTGATGAGGTTCAAACCCGAGGCGAGGATGTCGGCCAGTATCTAGGAGGAAAGGTGACTGCTGAGTCGACGCGTGGACCCGGTTGTTGTACGCAAACTCCGCCATAGGTAGGAGGCGAGCCCAGTCGTCCTGACGCTCTCCGACGAAGATCCGGAGATAGGACTCGAGTTCCTGGTTGGTCCGTTCCGTCTGTCCGTCGGACTGAGGGTGGTACGCAGTGGAGGCAGCCAGCTTGATTCCGAGCATCCGGTAGACTTCCCGGGTGAACTCTGCAACGAACTGCGGACCCCGGTCGGACACAACAGACCGAGGGAGTCCATGCAGCTTCCAGACGTTCTGCAGGTACAAGTTTGCGGACCCGAGGGCAGACACTGTGGTGTGAGTCGGAATGAAGTGGGCGCGTTTGCTTACGGAGTCGACCACATTCATGACAGCGTCAAATCCATCGGACTCCGGAAGCTCGACGATGAAGTCGACACTCAGGCGATCCCAGCGTTCATCCGGAATGGGAAGCGGATGAAGTTCGCCCATGGGCGGATGCCTTTGGGCCTTCGTCCGGAGACAGAGGTCGCAATGGCGGGTGTAGGATCCGACGTACCGGGACATGTTGGGCCACCAGTAGCTGCGTGAAACAAGCTCTAGGGTCTTCCATCTGCCGGCGTGTCCTGTGACCTTGGTGTCGTGGTGCTGAGCTACAATAGTCCGACGCAAATCCGGTGAGTCCGGAACGTAGATCTTACCCCGGAACATCAGGAGTCCGTCCGATTGGGACCATTCCGCACTTCGGACTGTCTTGCGACTGCCCTGGGTCTTCTTCAGCTCCTCTGCCGCCTTTGCCACTGCATCTTCAAACTTCGCATCTCGCACTCCAGTCCGGATAGCCGTGAGGATATCCTTCTCCTCCCCTTCAAGAGTGACACCCGTGGCACGGACAGCAAAGTAGGATGGCTTGAGCATCACTACATCCTTGTTGTCATCCTTACCATCCGAGTGATCCGAGCGTCGCGAGAGAGCGTCCGGTTTACCCATAGTCCGACCCGGACGATGCTGGAGAGTGAAGTCGAAGCGGGAGAGGTATAGCGACCAGCGGGCTTGACGGCGGTTGAGTTTCTGGGCCTTGATGAAGTACTCCAGGTTCTTGTGGTCCGTCCAGATCTCGAACGGAGTCTCCGCGCCTTCAAGGTAGTGCCGCCATTCTTCGAGTGCCCGGATGATTGAAAGCATCTCCTTGTCGTGTATTTCGTAGTTCCGCTCCGCAGCCTGTAGACTTTTAGAGTAGAATGCGACAGGATGCCATTTACCATCATCCGGATCCAGTTGCGACAGGACTGCACCTGTAGCATAGTCCGACGAGTCCGCTTCAACTCGGTATGGCCGATCCTCCTTCGGAAAGACAAGAACAGGTTCCGAAGTGATCAGCTCTTTGATCCGAAGAAATGCGGATTGAGCGGAGTCGTTCCACTGCCATTCCTTCGCGCAAGTGAGGTCAAAGAGAGGCCGGGCGATATGCGAGTAGTCCTTGATGAAGCGGCGGTAGAAGTTGACGAACCCAAGGAAGGATTGGAGTTCAGTCCGAGTCCGAGGGGTTGGCCAGTCCGCAACTCCGGAGACCTTCACAGGGTCCATCTCGATCTTACCCTCGGAGATGACGACTCCGAGATACTCCACCTTGGTCTGCTCGAAATCGCACTTGTCCGCTCGGAGGAAGAGCTTGTTCCGCTGGAGGATCTCTAGGACTCGCTTGAGAACCCGGCGATGCTCTTCGCGCGTCTTGGTGTAGATCAGGATGTCGTCCAGATAGATAATAACCACACCTTCCGTAATGAGCTCCCGGAACAAGTCGTTCATCATGGTCTGGAAGGTGGACGGGCTATTCGTTAGTCCGAAGAACATCACCAAAGGTTCGAAGAGTCCGCGCGTAGTCCGAAATGCGGCCTTCCACTCGTCACCCTCCTTGATCCGGACATTGTTGAAACCCCACCGGACGTCAAGCTTGGAGAAGTAGCGAGCATTCCGGAGTTTGTCCACCAAGTCCGAGATGAGCGGAAGTGGGTACCGATTCTTGACCGTCATGTTGTTGAGCTTCCGGTAGTCCTGGACCAAGCGGAGCGATCCGTCCTTCTTCTTAACAAAGAACACCGGGGCAGCCATGGGCGACTTGCTGGGGCGGATCCGACCAGTCCGGAGATTTTCTTCCAGGAATTCGTCCAGCTGTTTCTGCTCCGCCGGGGACAGTGGGTAGCACTTGGTAGAGGTCGGTTCCGCTCCGTCCAGTAGCTCAATGGCATGGTCCCACGGACGCGGCATGGGCAGTTCATCAAAGGATTCCTTTGCGAAGACGTCCTCGAATTCCTGGAGGAAGTCCGGGACTGCGCTGTTCCGAGGATCATGGGGTTTGTTGCGCTGGAAAGCCAATGCGAGGCGCTGCGAGACTGTCTCCGAAGCCCGGACGTGTTCTTCCCGAAGACTCCGAAGGTACTCCGGAGTCGGAGGAGGAATAGCCACGAAGATACGGTCACCCCTCTCAAGTCCGGAGTCGTCCGGAGTTGTGATATTGTCATCCTCATCATCATCCTCGCAGTCCTGAAGCTCTGGGAGATCGTCCGAGTGCAGTTCCTCAACCCTTGGCATCGGACCCGTACGACACTCCCGGAGTCGCACGGACTCCTTGCGTCGGGTCAGCTTGTCATGGCGGAACTCCTTCCGACAGGTGTCGCATCCGGACGGACAGCGGCTCATGGTCACCTCCTTTGTCTGCCAGTCAATCTCGGGGTTGTGCTTCCGAAGCCAGGTGTATCCGAGGATGATGTCCTGCCGTCCGATGTTAGTGACTGCAAAAAGCATCCGTTCCGTGTGATCCTTGAACCGGAGTACAAGGTCCACGACTTCGGAGATAGATCCGTTCTCATTTGGTGATCCGTCGACATTGAAGACCGGGATCAGGGCGGACAGCTTGCGTCGGGTGAAACCATGGGCATCAGCAAAGCGTGGATGCATGAAGACTCCGGTGGCTCCGCAGTCCACCAGGGCCTGCAGGGTGCATCTGTGTTGTGTATCCGTGCTCTGCACTTCAACGGGTATATCTAGCGAAAGCTTGCCGGGCAGCGCAGAGATCTTATAGCTACTAGGTAGCCGCCGTTCCCACTGCGGGCGAAACCTTCGGAGTGTGCGGATTGTAACCGGAGTTGCTTGCTTAACGTCGGACGAATCATCGGAGTGATTGGAATCGTCTATTTCGTCTACGCTAAGACAAGCAAATCGGTTATTTACCAACGAGGTCGCACTGATCACTCGTTGGTCCGGACAAAATCCGCCGTGTCCGATTCCTCAACCGGGGCCGTTCCCTCATCGTCTATTCCTTCCGAGGTCCCCACACTTTCTACAACATCGGCCGCGGTCAGGAGATCTTCGATGGCGGACATCCGCTCCTCGGTGGTCATGAACCGGACGTCGTACCGAAGTGGGCACTCGCGGGACATGTGGCCGGGTTTGCCGCATCGGTAGCAGAGCTGCGAGGTGGCGGGTCGGGAGCGGGTGTGGTCGACATCCATTGGGACACCGGGTGAGAGAGCCTTTGGAGGAGGCGGAGGTTGGAAACGGGGTTGCAGAGGCGGGAGCTGAGTCCGAGGCGCGGGGAGTACACCCGCAGGAGTCCGAGTGACTCCGGAGCTGGCTGCTGGTCGGACGAGGGATCCGGAGTGTCCGGAGTTTCCGGAGTGCACGCCAAAGTGGAAGGACTGGTTGGCAGCACGGTTGTCAGCAACCCGCTGCGCTGCCTTGTACCATCCTTCGAAGTCATCCTCGTCCGGACAGTCTGCGGACTCGGCAACACGGCTCTGGATGATGGAGTCCAGTCCGCGACGGAACTTCATCGTGATGTTGGAGCCCTCGGAGTATCCGGACTGGTCTACAAGGTCTCGGAACTCGTCGAGGTACTCCTGGAAAGTCCGACGCCCTTGGTGGTACCGGGTAGACTCCAGCTTGAGCATGGCGGCTTCGCGTTCCCGATCCGGAAGGAAGCGAGTCCGGAATTCGGTCGCGAAGGCGGCCCAGGATTCGAAGTACGGATCCTTCGGACTCCGGAGCACCATGTCCGCGTACTCCTTGGCGCGATCCTTCTGGAAGAAGGAGAGACACCAGAGGATTTTGGCCTGCTCGGTCGGGAAGTGGTCCGGACAGAGCTGGAAGTAGATGGAGCACGCGTTGTAGAACGCGCGACCATCCTTGCGGTTTCCGTCAAAGATCGGGGGAGAGGCGGGCTTCAAACGGGAACGCGGGGTGATTTCGGATCGACTCGGGGCGTGCTGGGAGGCTTCAGTGCCCCTCAGCTCGGAGTCCGGAGTCGTTTTTGGAGTAGTCGGACGGGGTGTTAGGAGGAGTCCTTCAATTCGGGCGAGTGTATCCTGGATGGAGCTGATTTGGGTTTGGTGTTCGTACGTCTGAGCCCACAAGGTCTGCAAAGTCTCGGAGTCCGGTCCTGAAGCGACTGGCTCGGATGGCGGGATCTGGCTGGAGGCGCCCGGCATTTCGGAGTCGTCAGGGGAGCGAGGGATGGAGTTCCTTGGGTCCTCAGAGGTGGGTGGGAGTAGCAGGAGAGCGTCCGGAATGTCCGCAAAACCGGAGAGACGTCGAGAACGAGTCCGGAGTGGCGCAGGACGTTTTCCGTAGGGCTCTGGTGCCAGGATGGGAGATCCTGTTCTGCTGTAAGGGCAACCTCAAGATGACCGACAGCGCAGGCCTAGCAGAGGGAGAATCCAAAGAGATGAATAAGACTAACTACAATACATGAGAGAGCTGCTCACCTAGCAGAGGGAGAATCCAAAGAGAACAGGATGGGGATTCTCCATGCTAGGAAGCGAAGTATATACTGTAGTAGCGTGGGAGGAATGAAGGGTAACTGTACAGTACACCAGCCACAGGTACGAACGAATATCACAAGGTACGAGGGGGCATGTGATAATGAAGTGGAAGGGGAATGTACAGGAGTCGTGCCAGCGACCTGGGGAAGTGGGGACAAGGAGTAATGAAGTGGGAAAGGAGGATAGAGGTAGCCCGGACGAGCCCCGGAGTGTATCTACGAGTCCGAGCGAGTCCGAAGCGTCCGAGCGAGTCCGAGGTGTCCGAAGCGAGTCCGAGGCGAGTCCGAGGCGCGGGAAGACTCCGGAGTCACCGGACGTGGCTCGGATGCGAAAGGAGTGGGCGGAAAGGAAGTGGAAAGGAAAGGAAGCGAAAAGGAACAAAGGGGAACAAAGGAAATGTAGGTAAGAGTCCATGGGATGAAGGAAAGGAGAGAAAATAGGAGTGTCCCCTTACACCGACGTCCAAAATTCTACTTTGGAGCGAAACCCTGTTTGTCTATGGAAGAAAATAATGAGTACATGAGCTGTCAGAGTTAGAGATTACACTGCTTACATGAGAGAGAGAGAGATGTCTTTGTCGTGGTGGTCGTGCACGGCGACGGCCGTCTTTGAGCGAATACTGCAGCGGCATCGTCGGTTATATCCGTGTGTGCGTCGCTCTACCAGTGGACGGACGGGCGAAATGTTGTGGGGGTGCCAGATGTCGGGCAGTGTCTGACTCTTGACGGCGTCGGGGTGATGGAGGCGAGGGATGCTGCAATGTATGTTTGCTTCTTTGCTTTTTCGTGATAGTTTTTGCTTTTTCGTGATAGTTGTCGTTGGGTACACCGTTCGGGAACATTCGGCGACGAAATCTAAGCAGGGCGACAGTCAGCGTGGGCTCACTGTACACAGCATCGTTTACCACGACTGCGCACATCAGCTGCAATCTGAAATTTATGGAAGTGCCGCCATTTGATTGACTGGCAACGTTCTGGGAGACATGCGGAAGACGAAGGGAATATCTTGGGGGTGCCGAATGTCGGTGAGCATTCGATGTCTTGGCGGCTTGGTGCGATGAGAGTCAGTTCCGTTGCTTCGATGTTTGAGTAAGATGCACGCTTACCTGGAGAATCCCGCCCCTCGTAGCGTCGCCTCGAAATCCAAGATCCAAGGGCCATGCGGAAACGAGATCTGGTTTATTGAGTTACTCTGTAGAATTCTATTCTCACCGCTTCATCGAGGTCTAAGATTAATCACAGTCAGAATCAATGAGATCTATTAGACTCTGAAGTCACTTGCATCAGTGTTGAAAGCTCATTTGCGTTACTTACTGATGGATAGCTTCACTATTAGAGAGACTGAGAGAAATTCAGCGTGACACAACGAAAGCTTACAATTAAGCAGTATGATGTCGGATGGCCGAGGTAGCGAACCGTCGAATTGGCGGCCAAGGCAAAAAGGGGTTGACAGGAGATGGGGGAGATCGTCGATATCGCTCATTTGAGCTCGAGGAGAGTGAGAGAGGGGAGAGAAGACGAGAAATCCTGTTGATAGTGGAGAAATTCAGTAAATGACACCCCCGTTATATAGAAAAAGACCTGGTCATAGCGTAAACAGTGTTTTCGTTCGTTTCCGCGTTCTAGGGCTCGAAATAAATCGCTCGAAAATTCCATCATGATGGTTGCGATGTCCGGAGGTAGTAAGGCGCCCAAGGATATGGGCGCTCGCACTAGCGAACGGGTACCTAAGTTTTTTAAACGAGCTTCAGGGAGAAGAGTACGACGAGGAGAGAATGATTGGTTTGCGAGATCAGGGCTTGTTCCTTGCACTCTGCATCTTGGGGAGCAAGAGCGACTTACCTTACTGGCCACTAGGTGCCACCTCCAGCTGTACCAAGTTGTCATACCATCATATTCCTCCTGCTATGCTGTAAAAGAGCATATAGAGATTGCAAGTTTTGGGGTTACAACATTGATTGGGACCTGAGTTGTATGTGGAGCCAGTCGTACTAAGCGCATGATAGTGTAGACTCATAGGCCTGAATGGCCGTAAATCGCATTCCAGGCATCTGCATCGTCCAGAAGGGGAGGAGGGGATAAGTGCAAGACTCTGCAGAATGTGACTCAATTACTCAACCTATACAGAGCAGAGGAGAACCAAATTTGGGGTGAGATCATACTTTTGCCTCTAGTACACCACTGCAGGTTCTGTCAATCACGATTCAAAGCGCAAACAAGCAGAGAGAGGGGAGGAGGATTACAGCCTAATCGGGAAGTAAGCGACATTTTGCCGCATTAGGAACATTGATCGGTGTTCAAGCGCTTACCCACCCTTTCTCTCACCACGTCAGCCGCCTACAATTTGTGCCCTCTCGCACCATGGAACCCTCCTCCGTAAGCGGCAAACGGCCAAGAGACTCCATTTTGACACCTGGAAGGATCTGATTTGCACTGTCACCACATCTTTTTCCCCATTCTTTGTGTCTGTTCTAATTCCCGCGCTGTTTCCACGCAGAATCTATTCCAGTAAGCTCACCATGCTACAAGACTGTTTTACGCAATGCCTCTACTGGTAAGTTACTCTACAGACAGAGGAATTGCGGGACTTACGAATCCCCTCGCTTGAGCAGGTTTGGTGTGCTTCCCCGTCCTGGTCGTCGCAAACATGTCAGAATGCTCCAAAATCTATGTATGACCTTCCGCGGAGCGTCCAGTTTGACCTTACTTTCTCAAACTTTGGCCCAGCGCCCTCGCATCAACCACTGAATTGGTTACAAAATCAGCGGCCACTCTCCTGTTCCCTCCAAGCTGTTTCAGGCCCCACAGCAGCGTAGAGAAGTTGTGAACACAAACAGCACGTCAGAATTCATTGAAAATTCAAAAATATTTTTGCAGGCTTCCCACGACCGGCCCTTTCTATCGGCTGTTGCTACAATTCTCATTTAAGACTGGTGGTTACCATCTCGTAAATTTGATGCCAAATTGTCAAGTTTTTGACCTGATGCCCTTGTGAATTGCCTGTCCTCCCTCCGTTACCCACAACACATCAGCGCACTGCCATGCAGAAAGAACACAACCTCTTTAGCTCTCCCCAGCAGTGCCCATATGGCTGTTATCACATTCCCCACACAGAATCAGCAAATGTTTTCACGAGCTTCTTGTGATTGGCCCCTTCTGTTATGATTACAGTGTGTTGCATAATAAACTGGAGGTTGTTGCATGTGAAACCTATTTGTTCAAGCTTGTTTGTGACATGTCACGCATCAGGCACCAATAATGAGCGCCATTTCTGTAATTACGTAGCAGTATGCAACAGTAGCCAAGTGATCGGGGAAAGGGTTTGGAACAGGGAGGTGCCGAGTGTACGTACTGCCACCTCTTTTTTCTCTACCACCACCACCACCTTGATGTCTGCCCTCTGTCTTCCTCTTTCCGCTCACACGTTGTGAGTCACAAGTTGGTTGCCGTTGTTATGTTGTTGGGGTAAGTCCTCCGCTGCGTACATAGTGGTAGTCGGTAGAGTAGTCCTGCACCTCCCCGGGCAGGGGGGTCTGTTAGTCAGCCCCCCTGTTCGGAGGAGGGAGTGGAGGGAGATTGTAGTAGAACTTGCGACTTTTTTCGCGTTTATTTTTATACACTCCATCATTTGCTGCGAGCCCTGATTTTTATCTCCCACACTCACAATCTTACTCCCACACTCACTATTCTTTTCTGACCGTGGGTACTTCAGGAGTCACTCCTAGTCCACCTACCAAATTACGGCTTCGTATCTGGTTCACCCACCTGCACCCTCATCCCCCTCTGAAGCGCTGGCCCAACGACTACACCGTCTCGGAGCTTTCGAGCGGGTTCCAAGCCATGGAGGCCTTGGTTCACCAAACCCCCAACGGTGGGGCAGCGATGACCCAGCGCATGGCGTTCGAACGCGTCTTCGGGAGCCGGTACGTCAAGAGCACGGTGTGCAGGCATCGTGGTGTGTGGCGCAAAGCCCCGCAATCCCTCCGCGATGAGTTCGAGGCGATGGGCGAGGACGAGCGTGCGTGCTGGGGCGAATTCGTCAGGCGCGTCGAGGGTAGGCCACCTGGACGCATCAATGGACCAACACTCATACCGGTCCATGAACTGCCCTATCAAATGGGTTCCCAGCAAACTGTCAATGGGTCGAGTCCACCCGGACAGGCATCAGGCCATCCACCCGCAGCCAGCAGTCCAGCGAGCAATATCCCCAACGGCGCGAATCGCCATCAGCCGGAAGAGGAAGAGGATGATGATTCTGATGAAGGCTCGAGTGGCCAGGAACCACCCATCATGAACTCGCTGCAGTTTGCAGTTGATCACAATAGCACTTCGACTCATACCCCGACCACGGTCTTACCCGCTCAGAATAGTGCGCCTCTTCGTATTCTCCGCGTGATCATATACTAACGGGTAGCCAGCCATCAGCGTAGCAGGGAAGTAATTCGCCACGCTCCAATAATCCGCTGCGATGCCTTTCCACTACGCGCCACTTCGTCCGTGTATTTCTATTGCTGTTTTGTTGTGAATACATATTATGCCTTCCTGCTCTAGAGTCTACGCTGCTGCTATCTACGATTTGCTTAACCATGTAACGGTCATCAATTGCCGGTAGTCTTGTAAGGTGAGGTTATAATGTATAGTCTTTGGGAATTGTGCATTGCCGAATGAACACGCCGTTGGGGTGTGCGAATGACGCAGGCAAGTGCGGAAGGCTTTCATTGAGTTCCTCGCCGCGCACCACCATGCTCTGCCTGACAGAGAAGGGCACATGAGCATCCCTTTACACCAAGACCCCGGAATATGGTACGGAGAACTGGTTCCGTTTCAGACGAAGTTGACGGCCTTCGGGCCGCCCGGCTTGAGGTGAGTACTCACCTTATGAGCAATTGATGCGACCCAGTCAGACGTCGAGGCATGAAGCCGGTGTTTGAGACTGTTCAAGCTGTACACACGCTAGCCATGTTCGTGGTACCATCTGTGTGTTCGCGAGAGTATAAGCCAAGTATACACTCACAATTGGAAGACGCTCAAGAATGTACCGTCGTTGACTCGACCTCAAAGATCGTGAGTTCTGCTAGTTTATGCCTGAAGCATGGATTCTCGCGCTGTGCGACTCAATGGACGCATCGTCACCCTTAAGCACGGTTGATTTTCATTGTTAGGGCTTCCCGAAGCCATAGTTGCTGTCCGCTTGGAACAATAGGCCTGACCCGCCTGTCATTGATGTATGGATACTTCCATCTCAGAGAGTGCACACTATGCTCGGAATACCGCGCAGTCTCGCTGCATAATACGGAGGCCGCACCGGTGTCTCGTTAACAGTACAGATGTAATTCGCCATGGCGGGCCTGCGTCTGAACTTGCGAAACCATAGAAATGGTCGCGCAATATCGTTGCATTGCGTGCAGGTCCCTCAGCTCATTAGCTTTCGCCCCCTTGCATAGCGAGCCCGAACCACACAATCACGAAGGGAAGCGAAAATCAGACATTTATCCCGGGCGGACAAAAAATACCACAGACCGAAGAGAAATATCCTCGCCGGCCTCGATCCTGCCCCGGGGTCCTTGAACACCTCACACGACCGGGGGAACCATGAGGATGGCTACGTGCGCTCCGAAGATGATGCCGAGGTATGTCACCGGGTCAAACGCAATGTGACCATGTCCCAGGGGCACCGATGCACCTGAAGACCTCGCTAGGCGGTGGGGCGAGGTGGAAAGACCGATGAGCCGCCCGAACAGCGGTCGCTCCATGGACGAGTGTCGCAACCAGCACCAGGGCAGGAACAGTACCTTCGGAACTTGGTTTGTTAATGAAGTCCAGAAGTAGTCGATCACGCGTTGTTTGGTGCGGTTGATTCCCAAGTCCATCGGCGTCTCCAGCACTCGAACTCTGCCCCAGACTGTAACAGGGTCTTCCATCCATCATCATCATGAACATCAGTGACATTTCGCCATCCCACCACAAGAAGCAGCTGCACAGCAAACGGTCCTTTGGAAAACACCCGTCCTTGGTGGACTCGCCGGCGTACGATGCGTGAGTTTTGCGGCTTCACGCTCTTCTGTTTTCCATGAGGTTCTGAGAGCAAGCATCACTTTTCTTGCGGGACACCAGATCCGAAGAAGATAACGACCCTTTAACTGACGACGGGGCATCTGCAGTTTCGGTTCCCATATCAAAACCCTCCGCGAACAGCTACAACAGCCTTCCCAGAAGCCCTGCCTCTAAGCCTCCAACCTCTTCGCCTCCGTTCAATCGCGCCAAACATCAGCTAGCCTCCATTGTCATGTCAGATCACTCTGACGGTGTCGATTCGCCGACCTACGATGGAGATATCGAGTCTAGCACCACTGCAGTACGCGAGCCTCACAGGGCGTCGGCGCACCATCACAGTTCGTCCTCTGTTTCTACGTTGAATAGCGTCCACATTTCCTCTTCGACCACCACTCCACTGAACGAGAACGGCCCCTCCAACCACCCCATAAATCCCCTCGCGGCTCCACTCCTTGTCACGGAAGAGCCCCCTGTCCCAGCACCCACGCAGAACACGATCAATCCCGCCGCGCTCAGCGTCCAGGATATCCGGAGTTTCGTGCAGAAGGCCATCGATGGCGAGTCATTCCGAAAGTACAAAATCAATCCCCCTCCAGTAGGCAGACCCGTTCGTGTTTACGCTGACGGTAAGCGGGAGAACGTCATTTTATGGAGCGAACGTGCGCTGATAATCTTTTCAGGGGTATATGATCTGTTCCATTTTGGGTAGGTTACCCTTTGGGCTAAACGGCATCCCATCTAATGCCCAGGAGCCTCGTTTAGACATGCGCTGCAACTTCGACAGGCAAAGTTTGCATTTCCGAGCGTGTACCTCCTCGTTGGAGTCAACTCGGACGAGCTCGTATGGCAACACAAAGCACGCACAGTCATGAACCACGGCGAACGGTGAGATTTATCTGCTTTAGGTTTAACTTTTCTTTGATGGAGCGAGTTAGATGTGAATCAGTGAGACATTGTCGATGGGTAGACGAGGTTGTCGCCGAGGCACCGTGGGTCATTGACGGTGCATTCATCGAGAAATATCAAATCGACTACGTTGCGCACGATGAAGACCCCTACGCCTCTGGGGAATACGACGATGTATACGGGTTTGCCAAGAGTCAAGGCGAGTCACCTCTGTCACTCTTCACCTCGTGCTGAATAGTATCGATCCAGGCAAATTTATCCCTACTAGGCGCACTCCAGGCGTCTCCACATCCGAACTCCTCGAACGCATCGTTGCTGGATATCGCAAGCGCGATTTCGACGCTAAATTGGAGAAGATGGGACATGCAGAACTCAAAGCCGAAGGTATCGACTTCGACAGTGCGAATAACAGCAAAGCTGCAAGCAGGGCCGTAAGCAGAAGTATAAGCCCAATAAATCCCGCTTAGAATTGGGAAGTGTATCTGTTACCCGCGTTATATATGGTATGGTGTCGCGTAGAAACTCTAGAAATACGATGTTTTTCTTGTGCAGGAATCTGGTAGATCTCTCTGGAACATTGGCGCCCATTTAGAGACGAGCGCCTAAGAAACTCCACCAATTACCGTCCTTCCATTGTGCCCTGCAGCACAGTGCACCTCAAGCATCCTCCAACTCAACTACTAACCACCACCACGACTTTCAAATCACCTCCTCTACTTGCTCTATTCTTTGACCCGAACGCATGGCTCTTAACGAAAGCCTAGAGAAAGTCGACGTCCGCACCCTTCGCGACCCCATTCACGATCACAGTGGGTCCATTACATTGTTTTATCGCTTCGAAGCGAACTCTGATAGTAATGCCATTTCCCGACGACAGTTACCCTTTCAAAGAGACTATGCCAGTTCATTGATACGTGGGTCCATGAAGCAATTTGTGAGTAAGCGGTGCTAACGGCGACGCCCTTTAGACGTCAATTTCAACGCCTCCGTGCCATCAAGCAGCTCGGGACTTCGTACTACGTTTGGCCGGGTGGATGTCACAACAGGTTCGAACATTGCATTGGTGAGTTCTTGAGTTCTTTGTTTCGAAGCAACGAGTCATTTGATTGATTATGGACTGTATGCTACCAGGAGTCTCGCATTTGGCACGGAAAGTCGCGTCGATTTTGCAGGAGAAGCAGCCCGAACTTCACATAACGGACCGAGATGTTGAATGCGTAGAAATCGCGGGGTTATGCCATGACCTTGGACATGGGCCGTGGAGTCACGTCTGGGACGGCATGTTCATCCCCGTCGCTCGGTACGTGTCTCATTCGCGTGCAGTCCCCGAATCCCATGCGCATATATACGCGCTATTTCTAAAGTTAGCTATTACACGCCCGTAGCCCCGGAACAGCGTGGACCCATGAACAAGGTTCAGAAATGATGCTCAACGCGCTCATCGAAGAGAACCATATCGATGTGAAGAAGGACGATCTCGATTTCATCAAGGCGCTGATTGCTGGCGACCCAAAGAAGTGCCGGTAAGGTTCTGATTTCGCTGTCTTTCACACTTTCGAAGCCTTGTGGGAACACGGGGCGTTAAACTTATTATTGGTTTGTAGACCCAATGAGAAGCCGTTTCTCTTCGATATCGTGGCGAACAAACGCAACGGGCTCGATGTAGACAAGTATGTTATCCATCGACTATAGTCACCGTACACTCACGCCAGACTCCCTGACCTATCCAGGTTCGACTACATTCGTCGCGATTCGCATATGATCGGTGATCAGGGCAACATCTCCCTACAACGGTAGGTCTCTTGCTTGTTTCCTCCCCTAGGTATTCACCGATTGACGTACCTACCGATGATCAGCCTTCTAGGATCCGCGCGAGTCATACAAAATCAGATATGCTACAACATCAAGGACGCAAACCAGATCTTTGAGATATGTGCCACTCGCTTTCGCCTGCACAAGACTATATACAACCACAAGACCGGTGAGCATTCGCTTATCCACTCTATACCACTTATCTCTAAGTCGACGCCCTTCATAGCCAAAGCCATTGAGTACATGATCATTGATGGACTACTTGCTGCGGACCCGTTCATGAAGATCGCCGACAGGGTGTTCGACGCCAAGAAGATGGTCCATCTTACCGACAATATTAGGGCTGAGATCGAGCAGAGTGAAGACCCTGTAAGTTGCCACTTTCCATCACCATACTTCTGCTGGCTGATCTTCCTACCAGGAACTTGCACCAGCGCGGGCCATATTCAACAGGATTATCACCCGTGACCTCTATCGGTGCGCTGAATGGAAGACAATCTCATGGCATGACCATGGTTTCTTCACGAACAACGTCACGCCCGAACGGATCGTGGCAGAAGCAAAGAAGATGCCTCGTGATCAGCTTCACGGTGACCAAGAGATGATGGACGCCCTTGCCACGCTTGCGCCCCAGCACATCATTGTTGACTTTTCGCCGATGCACTACGGCATGAAGGAGAAGAATCCCATGGAGAACGTGAGGTTTTATTCGAAGAGGGAACCAAATAGTATGTTACTTATACTCGCTAAATGTATTCTAAACTAACATCAGTGTCTGAGCAGAGTGTGCTAAAGCCGAACACGGGGACTACTCAACACTCATGCCCGCCGTCTTCGGCGAGGTGCTTATGCGCGTCTACGTCAAAGACGACATCTTCTACAGCCTCGCTCAAATCGGGTACCGCGCCGTTATTAAGAATATCAACCCCGATGCGGATGCAGACCTAACCAGTGAGGCGGAAACGGTCTTGGGCGATGGCGAAGGAGAGCCCCAGAGATCCGCAACAACCACACCACCTCGCACACCGAAACGTAGCCCATGCCAGACGACTAGCATGGCTTCCATAGTCTCGACCGCGACCGCACATAGCAGCAAAGCAATCTCCTCAATTTCGTATAACAAGTTTGCTACCGTGCCGGTTGGTTATACGCCCACTGGCAAGACAAGGAAAGGTCGTGATTTGTCGGCGGGGAGCCTTAGCGGGATGAGCGCCATCAAGGAGTCAGAAGAACTAGAAGAGGGGGAGAAGGCGAGGGGTGCAGGTGGTGTTGGTCTTTCGGCTGCTCCAGAGATCAAGGAACGGTCCATCAATGTCATGAGCAAGCCCTCTGTCGATGCAGAAAGCTCAAAAGATATTGACATGTCTACGGCCCAGGCCGACGACGATGGGGGTGGAACACCGAAAGCAACCCCCACTCGTCGCTCCACGAGGGGTACGAAAAGACGAAATGATAGCTCAACGAAGGAGTCTGAGACAAGTGGTGGAAGTAATAAGAGAGCAAAGAAGTCCGGGAGTCGCAAGTAGAGCCTGGGCCCGTCCTGAACCGTCCGTTGTATTATTCATAGGTCTCATCAAGTTCGTAATTTATGTAGCATATAGAGCAGTAGTACGCACAGATTTTATCCCCCTTGCAAGTTCTTCTATGTCACACGTACCATAGCTCACACAACTAATCACATTTTCCGCTGGAGTAGTTTTATTGTATGAGAGGGGATGTATATCATAATGTGTATACAGCACGGAGTACACGGGAGTTACTTTACTACATTTGTGGTGGCGTAGAAGGGCAACAGCGAATATAAGTATAGGAAATTATGAAGTTTGAAGAGTCCCACTTGTAGCTATCTTCGTTTATCTGGAGTATGGATGATAGTTATGCTGGCCTCTTTGACCGGCACGCTGGGGGCCAACGCCTGCATTACCAGGCACTCCTGGGGGACCGCCCGAACCACCCCTTGGACCCCTTGGGATGTTGGGGTTGCCACCTCCAGCGCCAGCGGCTGCTGCACCTTGCATCATAGCGGGACCACCCCGGCCCATGCCCGCACCTCCCCCTCCTCCACCCATACCCATATTCATGCCACCAGCGCCCATACCCATGCCCATACCGGTACCCATACCCATACCACCCATACCACCCATGTTCATGCCCATTCCTGGGCGCATACCACCCATTGCGCCCATCATCGCGGGATTCATGCTTCCGCCGCCAGCCATTTGCATCATGCGCGTATACAGAGCAGCAAGGGCTTGGGGATCGAATGCGCCGGCGTTAGGGGTGGCTCCAGCGGCTCCAGCAGCCCCTCCACCGGCAGCGGGTGTCATTGCATTATTGAAGTTGCCTTGCCCACCGAAGTTGCGAGCGCCACCGCCGCCGCCTTGGGCATTGTATTCAGCGCCTTGCCCTTCTTGATAGTTGTCGCGCTGGTAGCGAGGCTGCGCGAGCTTGACATCAATCTGTTAATCATACCCGTTGAATGTCCAAATCTAGTAAACCAAGGGAACGAAGTATTGCTTACTAGCTTGCCGTCAATTTGTAGGTTGCCGAAACCGAGGATAGGCTGAACGTTGGTGTCCTCGAAAGATATGAAGCCGAAACCCTTGCTTCGACCGGTTTCCCGGTCAAGCATGACAGTAGAGTCAATGACTTTACCGTACTGAGAGAAATATTCGCGCATTGACTCAGAGGTTACGCTTCCTGGCAAGCCTCCAATGAAAAGCTTAGTCGCACGTTGATGTTCTTGTCGTGGGATCGCTCGTTTGGGGTCAATCTATATACGACACAATCAATGTCTAAACTTACAACGACGGCGAATATCTGTCTACTTACTATCTTGCCGTCCAAAAAGTGCTCCCTGACCATGACTGCGTTGACACTGGCAGGTTCTTCGAATGTCAGAAATGCGAAGCACCGTGACCTCCCAGCGGCATCGCGCATGATCGTGCAAGCATCAACTTTACCGAATTGCGTAAAATAGTCGCGTAGAGATTCTGAAGTAGGAAAGAATACATTTCAGTCCTGAGCTCATCCCAAATAAGATGTAATTGTATATACCGTCCGTGGTGTCCCAATTGAGTCCTCCGATGAACATTTTCCTATACAAGTGACGGTTCCAAGGGCGCAAGTGCAAGCGTTCATAGGAGGTGCAACATATAGGGAAGAGTATTATTAGTATTGTTAATCTAGAACAGGGTTAATTGCGAGGAGAGACGCTACTGGGAGAGAGATGCGGAAATGTCGCTAGCCTAGCCTAGGTGCTATTCGAGGGCATGTCACTAGATGGTGTATCATAGACGATCGACTGACTACGCGACGCGTTCATCTACGGACAGCCTAGCGGCGACGATTTCTTCATCCCTTTCTCCGAGCCGGTTTGCGGTGCATGTTGCCTGGATTATGGGAAAACTGGAGGGAATTCTCACCCTTCATCTTTCATTTCTGATGGTCGAATGCTTCGTTCTGTGACTGGGATATTTTGATACTGGCCTGGATCTCCGCCAAGTGACTGATATTCCGAGGGTTGGGGCTGTTCGTAAGTCGGAATCTGCTGTGGAACTGGGGAAGCCGAAGTCGGAATTGCTGAAGGTTGAGGAGCTGTAGGCGCTGATGTCCCTGCCGTCGACGCCGAGTCATTACCCGCCTGCGCTTGCTTGCTGGTCGTCCCTGTCGGCTGAGTTGTTGTCGTCGCCGCCTCCGTAGGCTCTGCCGTCGTTTTTACCTCGCTTTCGTTGGTCTCCGGGTCAGCAAACTCGGCTTCGTCATTTCCATAAAGGTCTACGAGGCACCAGACAAAGCAAAGAAGTCAGTAAATGTTGTCTGGCGCAGCAACCGCACTCACCGCCGTAAAGATCTGCGTCGAGGTCTGACATTATTGGCAAGAAAGGAAATGGTGGTGGTCAAGAACAGAGACAGTATTTGAAAAGTGACACGATATGTCACACATGCTGTTGCACGTGTCACGCGCCAGGCGTTACGAGTCACTTATGATACAGGAGTTCGCCCAGGAGTACAGGAGTAAGGGTTTTTGGCTGTGATTGACTACGGAGAGCAATGAATTCCAGGCGATAGTTGGTATATATAGTACATTATATAGGTCTTGGCAGATATAAATTCTCTGCTAACGCCTCTTTTTCCAAAGAAAGGTATCGTTTAAACTTATCTTTGTTTCAATTACAACTAGATGCTCTAGAGGGGTTTTTTGGGACGAATTACAATAAAATGCCAAATCTCAACGATAGCCAGATCAAACGTTAACTAATTAGCTCGTACTGCAAGGATCAATGGCCGAATGCCGGACGACGCCACAGAAAGCAGCTGGTTGAAGAGGCTAAAGGACGACATCTACTGTCATCACTTCAACCGTATCTTGAATATGCGGAAAGCTTGGCTCGCAGGTCCGTAGTCCGGTAATGTAGCTAGTATTATTCGATGAAAAATGATGGGAATCTGGGTTCATCGTGTAGCTATTGTCTCGGAGGTGACACGAAGTTGGCAACGGCGCCGTCTTCCTTGGTATCAGGCCCTGATGAAATGGAACAAGCGTGAGGCATCTACCCTTCAAGATATACACTCATTCAAGTATCTCCGAAGTACTCCGTATCCTACGACTTCTGAGTTTCCGGGACGTGCATGTGAAGAGCAGGGAATGGAGCTAGAGCATCATGTCGATGGGAGTTGTCCCGTGTGGAGATTCGCAGAATTGACTTCAGGCGTCACAGCAATGTTAACCCGTGTCTCTCGTCCTCGTCCCAGAGGCAACGTTGAGCGCACCCTGCCCAACTGACCATCCTGACACATGGAATATAGACGGGGCAGAAGCCGCCTTCACTGACGGGGGAGTAATGGGACCCTCTGCATGATCGCCGGACGGATAGGAACCTTCTGTCCTTAAAATTGAAGGAAGGTACAGGGATGAATCTCCATTTTAACCTGGTGTTACGATAGGAATTTAGCGTGGTTGCGATACAATGGTCGTATGAGATGACTAGGCCTCAGAAGCGGGTTTCCACACATCCTTCGTAGCATGCATGAATTCGTATAGCTGCCCCAGTTGTTCCGCCGACATCTAAGATACCCCGCATCAACCACCGCGTAATCAAGTCGGCAAGCAGACACACCTTCTCCACAAGCGTAGGGTCTAATTTCTTGCCCGCAAAGTCCCTCCCATCTGAGCCCCTCGGTAGTTGATCGAGGTACACCTTCCACTGGGACAAAAATCCCATGATGTGCACGGGGTTGGTCACATCCTTGTGTCTCCGAAATTCTGCAAAAGTATCGGAATGAAGGTCAGGGGTGCAATTCGACACTTTCCACCTACCTGCTTTAACATAGACATCGCCAAGCGACCTCATTTCCGTAGGCAGAACCCTATGTGCTCGTAGGAGTCTTCGGAATAGCCTACGATCAGAACAGAGGTCAGGAACGATGGCAAGTGAAACGGTGGAAAGATATAACCCTACGGCTTGGGGGGAAGGAGCGTGGAGCTGGCCTCAGTCAGGTTGAGAGGCTTCGAGGATATTGATTGTGCCAGACGGATTGTTGTCGAGCGCATCGTTAACTGAAGTGGAGGCGGAGGTGGAGGTAACGGAAGTCCCGACTCGAGATGTTTCCTGAGGCGGATCATCACGTGAAACGAGCCCCTAGCCTGAGCCAGCCTTCCGACAGTGGAGACTTGATCCCAAGCACCTTAGGCCACATACACAGATATCATGCAGTAATATTGATGGTTGGATTGGTATAATTGCGTGTACATCAGTATGTCAGTGGTATGCGCAGGATCATGCGAGTTACAGCAGTTAAAAAGCACAAAAGCAGGTCGTCAAAAAAGTCCTCGTCGAATAAGTACGTGGGTCATTCAGTCATTCAGGTTATTTCTCCAGCACCTCGACATTCGCACCTTCTTTGACAGGATCATCGTCAACACCTTTCACCTCGTCAACATCAATCAAGCCCAAACCCAACACATTGTTGCCTGAGTTAGGACCCCTCGCCTCTCGCGCTGAGGGAGGTGACATATTGCCGCCTGGGCTAGCATCTGGACCACCACGCTCACGCATCATGTTGTGTGGCCCCTCCTGCCTTCGATGCCTTCTATGGCTCCTCTGACGCTCCCTCCCTCTCCTCTCCCCGAAATTATTGTGGCTATTGTTGGCATCACCCTCGACCCGCTCCCCAGTAGCAGTAGCACCGGCATTGGCAGCGACCTCGCCCCGCCTCTTCTGCGTTCCATAGCTCTTCAGGGTGTTGATAATCAGCACAAAGTATATCAACCCCAACACCAGGATCGCCGTAATCGCAATTCTCGGACCCAGTATCTGGCGCGGGGTCATCGGGTCGCGCTCGTGAGGATCCAAAGTCGAGCCCGTCCGCCAGACGAAGGAGAGGATGCATACGATGAATGAGATCAATGACCTTGATAGAGAGAAGATTAATACGTTATCCTACGCGAGAGGCATACGATGCTCACCAAGCAAGCCAAACGGCAGGCATGGCCAATAGAATCCAAGCGTTCCACCATATGACCGTATACGTCTTGCGTGCTTCCTAGGGGACATTGAGAAAAGTCATCGACGCCTTCATAAAATAGAGACGCACCTCAGCCCACCTCGAAGCCCGGTACATGCTTCTCATCGTCCCAAATCTCACGATATAGATACATCCATAAGTCAAACTCATCAACGCGCAAATCATGGAGATAAGCGCTGCCGTCCGTGTAATAGGGTCGTAAGCTGCGTCCGGGACTTGGAACATTGTCATAATTGCCCTAATAAGAGTAAGTGTGCGTGAGCACAGTGGACGTTCCGTAAATCCAAGGTGACTTACGATAATAATAAGGCAGAAACAAGGTTGAGAGTCTTCCACTCCCGAAGTAGAGAATCGATAAATACCTCCCACGAATTCTTGAAACGCACCAATGCGGGGGAAACTAACGGCGTAGACCATTCCTCTGGGTAAGGTAAAGGAACAGGAACTGCTGCCGCTGCGGCGCTGATGTGCGCGGTATAGCCTACACCGGCCGCTAACGCCCCGCTGGCTGGTGGATCTCCTACACCTCTCCTGCCTAGCTCTGTAGCAGCTCCACCGCTCGCCGCCAGATCGGTATGGGGGACAAACCCACTACCCAACAACCCCCCTTCACACATCCTGTTGATATCAGGCTTGCTAACCTCCGCGTCCCGGAATATCCTTGCTACTCGAGAGAAATATAGTGCCGGGAGCCGGAGGAGCAGGTATAGGTATAGGATGCGAGGCAACGTCTCTGTTAAGAAGTTGCTGGCGCTCCGGAACGCAGCTTCGAGGGAAGATCGAGAAGGCAAGCATGTAGGTAACGTATCTTCGCAAGCATAATCCAGCCGTTCAAAATGGCGGTGTTCTGCGTCGAGGCCCACTTCTTCGTCTGTTGGGTGGTCACGGAAGAAGCACCAAGACGGACATAGGTCTGGTATGCCAAATTTGAATTTCGCCTGGAAAGGATCAACAGGAATGAACGGCTCTTCGCGTATGTGGAACCCCCGGCGCCCTGCAGCCCAGTTCTGGAGGAATCGGAGAGGAGATGCGGCCCGTGACCGAGAGTGAGAGGCCGAGCGCGAGGAGGGGAGATCTTTCTGCGAACGCAGGTCATTCGGATGAAGAGCTGGAGACCCAGCTGGATCGCTCGCTCTTCCCGACCGAGAGAATGCTGTAAAAGTTGTCAGCGATGTTATGTGAGTTACCAAGGTTACTTGCCTTGGCGGACGTTGTGGAACGTAGGTAGTGATATACGATCGCTCTCTGATGATATTCTCTGCTTCGGCGTCCCTCCTTCGGCAGAGGATTGTCGAGGGAACGTGCCATTCGCTGGCAGCGACGTGAACGACGCGTCTTTGAACAGCTCGTTATTCGTGATCGCAGGCAAAGAAGTTGACGCTGGTGCATCAAGACTTCGTCGAAGAGCTCTGTGGCGAGTTGGGGGCGATGCCGGGAGAGCAGACAGTTTGTCTGAAGACGTTAACTTCGACTCCTTCGATGAGGAGTTGGTAAGCGCTTTCGCTGCAAGGGATCAGCGACGAGCGTAGTCTGAGATGGGGCAATACTCACGAGAACTGCTCCTCGACTCCGTAGCAAGGACACGCGATCCCCCAGCCCCAGGACTCCCTTGAGGCGTAACCGATTGAGGTGTATTGTTCGCTATTCCTCCCGTCAGCTGAAGTCCCCTGGACGGAGATGTGGCGCACCTGGAGATAATCTAGCAGTAGGCGTGACTGAGAATGCCGACGTCGCGCCTGGGATTGTTGAGTTCAACGTCCACTAGTAGTCCTCTCAACTCACCTCTTGGATTGTGATTCTCCGCGCCCGGAAAAGGCACCATGCCCCCCTGAACTTGGTCGTTATTGGTCGACATGAGTCTACGCGGCGTTTATACGCGCATATAAATGGCAAAAAGGAAGGGTGGTGGTGGTCTCGCGTTATATAGCAAAGACTTGCTTACAGCCCACCATCTACTGGGCTTGGAGGACTCGGATGATATGCTGGACGGCAGTGACCCTCGGTGAGCCTGCTGCCTGAACATGACCGATTCTGAACAGCTAGAGCTCCCGTCCACGTGACTTGCGGTTGCATGGTCGACTCGGTCACTGACAGCTTCTGTCCGAAAGCTTCTGTCCGATTTACAGCCAAAATCCAACTGAGTCATTCCTTGTAGTACTAGTACAAGACAAGCCGAGAACCGACACAAGTAACGTACAACATTCCATTCACCAAAACACAGTAACAAGTTTTTTGTGGATTTTATATGTGAGTCCGGAGACTAAATTTCATTCGTAGAGATTTCAAGGAGTTCTTTCACAAATTATTTTCCGAGCTCAAGAAGACCGGGAGCGCCCACGTCCACGAGAGCCAGAGTCACCATGCTTGCGGGCAACAAGGCCTGATCGGGAGCGACTACGTCCACGTCCTCGAGAGCCAGAATCACCATGCTTGCGTGCAACCAAACCAGAGCGGGAGTGGCTTCTGCCTCGTCCACGGGACCCGGAGTCTCCATGCTTGCGAGCAACGAGGCCCGAACGGGAGCGACTGCGGCCACGTCCTCGAGAGCCCGAATCTCCATGCTTACGAGCAACTAGTCCAGAACGGGAGTGGCTGCGTCCGCGTCCACGAGACCCAGAGTCACCGTGCTTGCGAGCAACAAGACCAGAGCGGGAGTGGCTTCTCCCTCTACCCCTGGAACCCGAATCTCCATGCTTGCGAGCTACCAGCCCCGAACGAGAGTGGCTGCGACCACGCCCACGAGATCCCGAATCACCGTGCTTGCGGGCGATGAGACCAGAGCTTGAGCGGCTTCTTCCTCTGCCCCTAGAACCCGAGTCTCCATGCTTACGAGCTACAAGCCCCGAACGAGAGTGGCTGCGTCCGCGCCCGCGAGAGCCAGAGTCTCCATGCTTTCGAGCGACAAGGCCAGAGCGGGAGTGGCTCCTACCCCTGCCACGGGAACCGGAATCACCGTGCTTACGAGCTACAAGTCCGGAGCGGGAGTGGCTACGCCCACGCCCACGGGAACCCGAATCACCATGCTTGCGGGCGACGAGACCAGAAGTTGAGCGGCTACGGCCGCGACCTCGAGAGCCAGAGTCGCCATGCTTTCGAGCTACTAGGCCAGAACGGGAGTGACTCCTGCCTCGGCCCCTGGAGCCTGAGTCTCCATGCTTGCGAGCGACCAGACCAGAGCGAGAATGGCTCCTCCCTCTGCCTCGCGACCCCGAATCCCCATGCTTGCGAGCAACGATGCCAGCGGTCGAACGACTACGTCCGCGTCCGCGGGAACCAGAGTCGCCGTGCTTTCGAGCGACAATGCCGGAGTTAGAATGACTCCTCCCTCTGCCTCTCGAACCCGAATCCCCATGCTTACGAGCGACAAGGCCACTGCGCGAATGACTTCTACCCCTTCCCCTAGAACCGGAATCTCCATGCTTGCGGGCGATAATGCCAGAGTTAGAATGGCTCCTCCCCCTTCCTCGAGACCCAGAGTCACCATGCTTCCTGGCGACAATGCCGGAGCGCGAATGGCTTCGGCCACGACCACGAGAGCCAGAATCCCCGTGCCTTCGAACCTCCAGAGGCTGGGAGGACCTCAAGAAGACATTCTCTCTTTCAACTAACCCGCTAGAGATAACCTTCAGAGGGTACCATGAGTTGCGATCCAAAATTTGCTTCAATAGACTTACAGGGCGTGCGTTCGCAGCAGTGAGGACAGCAGCGACGACAAATATCAAAAAGTTTTTGTTGAAGTGCATTTCTTGATAAGTCGATTTGGTGAGCGAAGAGGCTTTTGAGTAGCTTTGCTAACGAACAGAGCGAGGATTAGCTAGGTAGTTTGAGCTGAGGTTTAACAAACATCCTACTCCATTTTATAGCTCTGCGGGGCCATTCACAGACCAAACTTCGCACACGACACCTTGAGTCTTAGGTTGGTGGGATTTCCTGTCATTCCAGAGGCTGTCAAGGCGCTGCGGAGGGTGAGCAAACTACACTATTTTTGAACAGGAATAACGGTTACCTCCCAGTTCACCCACCTTGGCAACTTGGCACCTTGGCGGTCTAAATCTATAAATGGATTTCCTCGATCATTACTTACAGCCCAGAGGTAAAGCCATGGCAAGCTATTCAAACTCGGTACGGTGAATGGGTTTCCCCCCTCAACTTACGGCGGTAGTGTGATAGCACAACCTCTTACTCTGTATCCTTACTGTGGGTTCGAAACTTAGCCGAGTGGCCGGAGAGTTTAAGGTACCAGCCTTGCGAGGGAAAATATTCTCCTCTTCAGCGCCATTTCCTTCTCATTTCCTCGAGCCTCACTCCCATCCTCATTTTTATCACCATGACCCGTCTCTTTGCCCCACGCTCCGCAATCGATCCACATATTCAACTCTCCGCTCTAGCACGGTGATTGCAACACCCGGAGACGCGGCTTTGGATAGCTCCTCGTTCTTATTCAGCAAAGGGTCACACGGCTGCACCGGAAACCTCTGGATCAACGGCTAGTGAAATACCCATGAACTTGGCAGTGCCTAACGACATTGTGATGGTGAATTATTCTGCCCTCGACGTCGAACACGCCATTCCGCTCAATACAAACTGTTATTCAACCCCGTTGATGATCGTGCTGCGCACTTGGCGTTCCATGTCACCATCTCGTACTGGCATCGCACAATTCAAGTCACGTTTCAGGCCTTAAAATACTTTCGGTGTACTCAGTTTCCCGGTCAGTGAACATGTCGCTGTTTACCGAGGTTCTGACATGGTGGACGTCGCTTATCCCTGTGCCCGCCCATCTAGTCTTCCTCGCCGTACAACACGATACATAAACGTCGCGTCTCGACGGGGCGTTGATGCTAAGTCTCCTCCTCCCTTCGTTCTTGGCATTCAAAAATAGCGCGGCTGAGGGATTTACCTGTGGGTATGTATTGCCTATATCCAATATAATAACCGCTTCATCGATGTGGAAGCTACGAGAAGGGGAGGAGTTTCGAAGGTGAGACATTTCCAGTGCTCCTGAACGCGCCGATTTTCAGTAACGGCACTCACGCCAAGGGTGTCTATGACGACTCTGGGACACGGTTGCTCCTCGCCATACCTTGTGATCTCAGCATGACCAAGGATGACCCCTCGCAGCATCGCTCATATGTGCCTCGGATATAATTTGTAATCCCTGCTCCATCGACAGTTATAAGCGTGGATGGAGCAGCGCCACTCGTGAACCACAACCACCGGGAACATCAACTTGTCCAGAGCGACTACTGGGGTCATTGACGAACGGGACATGCAGTGTGCACCGGTAGATACGCAGCACTCATTTTAGGTGCAGACTGCCCCGAACGTCCCTAGACTTGGGGTTGGACTTGAAACCACGACTCGATAATCCGTGCACTAGGGGTCTACGCAGAGTCTAGAGGGCAAGGGGTGACCGGTGAAGAGTTACACTGCGACTAGGCTTGCCGTTGTCGTGCGTCATAACTACCATGAAGGAGTTCAGGTTATGCTAGCAAGCTTCGGTTCTTCGGTGCGGCGACTTGTCGCTTGTCGACAAACCGCTTTATCTTCGGCAATGTCAACTTAGCAAAGTCTGTTCTCCCTGTTCTGAGCCAGGGCAGGGCAGAAGTGGGTCTATAACATGACCCCACATACATAACCAGAACAATGATACCAAATCAGAGTGTTGGAACTCCCGTGGCATCCCGTGGTACTGGGTCCCACGATTGTGGTAGAGATGGACGCAACATGGAAATGCATTACATTTCAAGGCCGACACCATTGGCTTGGGTTCTGCGCCTCAGCTGTGGCCTAGGGTGTTATGACCCAGAATTGAATTGCCAAAAGAAAGTCAGCGAGCATAGTACTACCGTTTGGAATCGGAGCGCGCTGGACGACTTCTTGTGCGTCCTGCTTGGAGCTCGAATTTCACACCACTCTATAAGAGGCATTCCTCACGTTTATCGCCAACGCAAGCATGGCTGCCGTGCTTACGTGCGTTGTATTTCTCCGCTGTCTTGTTCAAAATAGCCCGTAGCACACGTTCGGATGTCATTGCATCCATATTAACACCTACCAGAAGCGTAGTGCTGCGTGCACCAGATTTAATTATACCGCCGCCAGCACATTCTCCAGCGTTACATCGTACCTATCGCACCGGTCTCGACCCAAACTGCAATAGAGGGTCACCCTCCGAATCTCCTAAAATACTTATGATGCACACGCACATGGGAGTCTCAAACGGGCAAGGAATACTCATCATCAATGTCTTGCCCCCGCACGCTTGAGGGTGGGCCAAGCGTGCCAAGACCGAGGTAAGCTGGATTGTATACGGCCAGACGAGAGCTATGCCTTCTGGGAATAATTTTGAGCCTGACGAAGGTATGAAGTATGACTTGGAATCCACACAGCCTTGATACGATCTTGCTCTTCTCCAAAATGCATCCACATCGATTTGTTCGCCTATCGTGCGATCGCAGGCTCCTTCTCGCCGCAGTTCGAGAAATTTAGCTTTAAAAGCGCAGGTCTGTGAGGGAGTCAATCATTAAGACACCCCCGAATTAGCCTCACTGATACACACCTCCCCAACATGTTTTCACACCTATCCACGAAGAAGCAGGTCAGCATCTTAATATCATGGTGTTAAATGTCTCACTTACAAAATATTCCAGACCACCACATCGACTACAAAGACCTACACAGCCAAAGTAGTTCTTCCAACGATGTCGCCTTGGGTTAGTAGTCAGCCTCTGTCTTTCCGTTGTCTTCGAACCCACAATCATTCAATAAAGTCGTCACAATCTTCACTTCAAACCTCATCATCAGGGAAGTCCTACACCAAGGTACCCTTAGGACCGGTATGGCAGTTCTTCGTTGAGGAATGTTCTGGTACTCACACTCTATAGGCTCAGATGCTCGACGACGACAACGTATCCTGGGGTCCACCATCGAAAAAGCAATAATTGATGACGGCTTCGAATGCCTCCCTCCATCGTAGATTATCCCATTGGACAGTTATCGAACGGATAGTGCATAGTAATACAAACTTGTCAGTAGTTCCCTGTATAATCAAAGCATACGTCTTCCGTTTTCGAGTATTAAAGGAGAAAAGTGTGTTTGGAATCAGTTAGAAAATGCCTCAGTCGAGATTGTGCTGATCTGAACCTACCGAGGACGCATATCTTGTTCTTCGTCGACTTGACATCTACCAAGGCTTCGGGTGCGTTCCGGATACAAGGGCCCGGTATACATTTGATAGGGTAGAGATGCTCCTTATGTGTCGATGCTGATGACGGGTCGCTATTTTCAGCCGGAGAAAAAGCGGAAACACGTTCTAGATACTGCTTGGTTCCTTAGACGAGTCGATGTGTGCGTTCCGCTGCAACTGGAACAAGGAAACATAAAGGAGTTGGGCGGCAAAACCAATGCCTATGCATCTATACGAGACAGGTGCGCTAATAATACAACATTGTAAGTGGATAGTCCCTTCCAGGGTACAGGAGATACACCGTCTATAGCTACCAATCCGCGAAACCCACTATCTTCCCATCCCAACTCCACCATATCATCTCGTCCATCTCATCTACATCTGCCGGCGACGTCCGGGATTCGGGACCATCCCCCCCGTCAACGTCCTTTCGCGCCTTAATCCACACTCCTTCCACACGGCTCTTTGATTTTAGGGTCTTCTTATTCGCGTTCGAGTGCGACCTTTCTGGGGATTGGCTGATCGGAGGCAAATTCGAGTCCGCTCTGAACTCGTCCACCATCACGTCAAGAGACCCGCTCATGTTTTGTCTAGGTATCCAAGCGGGGTGGCTGAAACGACGAGGGGCGCGAAGGAGGATATGTGTTTGTGTCGGTGCTAGCGTTGACGTCATGTTAGTTTCGAACACGAGTATTCGCTTGGGAACTAACCCATTTCAGAAGCCATGTCCATGCCTCCGTCATTGTCGCAGGCAGAAGAATTGGCAAGTGTTCTTGCCAAGTTGCGTTCTGCGATCCTGAAAGCCTGTTGTTCGTCTTCAAACGAGATAGATGGCGAAGGGACGGCGTGAGGTCGCTTAGCGCAAATAGTTATCACCTTAGTGCTCAGAGGAGATGGTGGCTTCAATCCATTCGTAGGCACGAGTGAAGAGGGAGGAGAGGGAGATCGTGGAGGGAGATCGGGTGTTGGCACGTCGGATTCCTCCACAGAGTCGGAGTCAGAGTCGCTGTCACTGCCCTGGGGTCCTTCTTCGTCGGACAACTCCTCGCCCTCCTCGCTGGCATCACCTTCCGAACCCTGCTCCGCGTCCTCCGCATCCTCCTCTTCACTTTCCTCTGCCTCATCCTCTTGGTCAACTCTCAACCCCCAGTGCCTCACTTCCAACCCATCCACACCAAATACAACCCTCGCTCGTGCCGCCCCAATACTCGGACCAACTAGAATGCTCAGATACGTCGTACTGGTGCGACCGGCAAGGATATGCCTCTGGGTATCCGTAGGCGAAAATGTTGACTTGCATCCTCTCAGCGCATACGCCGTAGATAGCGCCGTGAAGGTAGTTATCAAATGAGATGATAACGTGTCCATAGATGTGAGTAGTTCAGCTCGCAATTTGCCGGCACGGGTAGTTGTCTATGGCCGTACGTCAAGGACAGGAAGCGTGATCCCGATAGTTCCACTTACGTTTCCACCAGGCATACGTGACAACTGTGAAACAGGACTGAACGAACATAAGACACATGCATCTGTCTGAGATAGTTACTCACAATGGGACTTGGTTCTTCAAGAACAGTACATGTCCGAGCATACTCGTCGCCAGTCTTGCAGCCATGGCACTCGTTACAACATCATTGTTCACGTAGACTGCCGGTATCCTTGCGTTATCCATCTTCTCAAGATCATCGAAGTTGATGCATGTGCCTCGTTGTTTGTTCAAGGAAAGCGTTTCTTGCATTGGCTGCAATATTTCCGGAGCAGTGCAGTGGGACTTTGGGGGGGATACGGAAGGGGCCAAGTAGGGCATGTCGACGTACGAGTTCAAGAGTGGATCTTTGGCGTCAGTGGACAATTGTCACTGTAGTCACGAATATGTCACCGTCAAAAGTCACAGGCGCGACTGACACGTGACCGAGAGGTTTCCCTGCAGTCGCCCCTCTCGCTAAGGAGAACCGGACTCGCCTTGCCGTACGCCACTCGACCACGGTGAGCGTCCCAAAGCCCATTCTTCGCGACACTGATTCCGCTATCAGACGAGTGCACTCTCCACCTCACTTAATGATCCTCTCGAAGGATCAGTTCATTCTGAGATCTGGGTATCCTCAGGTCTCCGATGGCCGCTGTTCGTGGCTTACGAGAAGCCAAACATGTCTTGCCTTTGACCTCGGATTAGGCATGCTCACGCCATCAAATAATATCACTTGTTCGACCGAACAGCTTGAGAACTTATCTCGTCGATACTCCCTCTCGCTTTGCCATCTTGTGCCAGGCTGAGAATACTCTCAAGTGATCGCATAGCGCTCCTAAGAACTTGCCAGACGCTATGCGCCGACTTGCCGCTTAAAAACAGTGCAACGCACTACCGGCCGGCGCGAAGCGGTTAGTGGCAGTCCTTGGCGCTATGTTTGCTGATTCCTCCATTGACAGAAGCATATTCATGAATGCGAATCATACAGCTAGAAATACACGGCGGCAACCAACATACGAAAGCACCCGAGTTTGGACTTCCAAGCTCTGGGCGTACGACCATCTTCAAGACAACGATTTTCTGTCTCATACTTCTACGTTTTTGAGACGGCTTGAACACTTCGCCATCAGAAAATGTCTCGTTTGCTAGCAATTTGATCGCTATGTAGCTTACTTCGGTTCTCTCTGGGGCAATCCGTGAAATGAAGGGGGGATATGGCTGTGATCTTCGGCGTCCGAGTCTGCAGTATTAGAGCGTTGAAGCTCGATCCCTTCCTCCCCACGACTTCCATGCCTAGTTTCGTTATTGATATCTCGGTTCTTTTTGTGGTGAAGGTTGGGACGGTAAGTTAGTTCTTGACTCGATCCGCGTAGCCTAACAGAGGATGTTCGGTAGTACATTACAGGTTTGACTACTCTTCCCTGGTGCAGTGCAGCTCAAATGACAGTTGTTTATGTCCCAAGTTTGCAGCGCCGCTATCCTGGTACGTTGTACTTCGAAGCACGACTCACCTATGCTCACGTACTCCTAGGTGTATGACTACTTTTTGACTTTGCAGGACGAGGTTCAATACGTGTGGCGCACCCACTGGTGCCTCGGGAAGGTGTTGTATTTGGCCTCGAAATATCTCATCCTCGTTGTCTTCCTGGTGGAGCTACACTGTACGTTGCTCCGTGTGCTGCTTTCAGCCTTTTTTGTAATGCTACACTTACTGAATGTGTTCAGGGATTACCAGCCGCAACGTATCTGAAGCAGAGTGCCGGATCTTCAACACGATACTTCACTGTGGGTCTCTCCCTCTTCGGAGCGGGGAGCAACCCTGACGCCTGACGCTCCCATCCAGACAGTTATCTCCTCGCCGTGATAGCGGCAGAAAGTTAGTCAATCTAATCTGCCTAAGAAACAGACTTGATGATGGAGTACAAAGGCATCATGACGCTCCGAGTATGGGCTCTGTGGCATCAACGTCTTTGGGTAACGATCATGCTAGGCTGTTTGTGCGTTGTTGGAATAGTTCTCGGGTTCAAGGATATGTCCACAGGATACCATAACGATGTCTGTGAGACGCCTATCCTGGATGGCTAAACCCGGTCGTAGTTCTACTGACCAGAAGTTCTAAGATTTGACAGAGTACGCAAAGACCTCGCTTTCGTATCCTGGTTGCGCAACTGCCGGGCACGATCGTACGACATCAGCGACCTCCTATATCACGGTATTGACCTATGAGACCGGTAAGTAGTTTGTGTTGTCCAGCGACGGATGACCATCCTCACAGCACACGGTCACAGTTGTGTTCGTATTGATGGCCGTCGATGGTGTTCACGTCTGTAAGTGTCACAGAGTGAGTAGTGGCTCTGATTCGTCCTCTCATCGGCTTGACAGATTCGTCGATCCCCATCTCCTCCATGATGTATACTTTTTACGAGGATGGTGAGTGATGCTGCCCAAGTTTGCCATTCAAACTCATATACTTTCAGGACTTATATACTACGCTGCCCTGTTAGGTATGTGTAACCCTCGCGTCAACGAAATCGGGTCAGGATGGAATTTTATCCATACTTTCAGCCATATCTATCGTCAACACGATCGTCGGCCTAACTCAGCCGGTGTGTATATCTGCTTTTTTGAAGGACAAAGTTCCCTAATATCCATTCTCACAAGACGGAGTATATCAACTTGTTCCTCCCGTACGTTTGAATTTTCGTTTCCAACGATGCAAACGGAGACTCACATGGCGCGGGGAACGAAGGACGCAAGTTGCTCTTCATTCCGCGCTTTCGAGCCGGTTGTTCCTTAACCTTCGTCAGAGTTTAGATGGAGATGTTGGCGACGCCCGCCGAATTGACATCAGAACCTTTGAGGGGGTTACAAGTAGGACTCTTACTACTTCGGCCATGAGGTTCGCGGTAGGCAACGACGGCAACGACGATGACAATACTAGAGTTGTATGAGGACTTGGTCCAGCTGGCGCTGCGCGGACGCGAGCAATCCAGATATTCTCCTCATTTGTTAGAATAATGCATTGCGCACGATCATGGTCTCGTAACTTGAATGATCATAGAACTCCAAAGCCGAGCTCGGAGCATAATGGAGAATAAGCGTTATGATTGTTGAACAGATGTACTCGAGATACCAGTACAGATGCAAGCTACCTGAGCGGGTATGTATGTGGTCGATGGCCTGATCGTAGAGACTGTAAAGTAAACGTGGACCATTAATCATTAAGTACGTGTAGAAATGGTGGTCGTTGATGGGGATCGTCGAAGGGGTCGTAAGGGCAAATAGTGGAAGCAGCAATCAATTAGACGCGGAAGATCTTGAATCGCGATTCTGACTCGCCCGCCGCTTGGAGAAACGTCGTATCAGCAAGCATCTCCAGCAATCGGGTAAACCAGGATAGGAAATACCTCAGCGGCGAACTTGGTCAGGAGCAATTGCTGTTCTGCTATCAAAGCTTCTCCCCATTCGGGAGACAGTTCCAACCCTGCGGCCCACCTCCGTTCCTGCCTTTCCCTCTCGAGTGCCGTCTGAAACTGTTCTGATGCTAGCCCTCGTATTGTTGCCATTGAGGTGTTGTACTCGATAGAAGCCTTGGAGCGAGTGATGGTGTCCTGAGAATCCGACTTCTTGAGCTTCGTCTCGTAGGACTCCTTAGCATCGTTGACCATCGGACGAAGCTCGTCCTCGATCTTCTTCTTCAGGGTCTGCTTCCAAGTAACATCCGGCTCGATCCCGTCAGCTTTCTGACTGGGCTGTACCTGCAAAACAGAGTCAGTCCGGTATCTTCGCACTGTCGCACGAAACACGCACTTTGATGATATTAGGCTCAGATGCAGGGTTCCTGGACACCGTCGGTCGCAAGGATGTCGTGCTGGCGGATGGTTTAATCACGACGGGCTGGGGTTTCGGCACATTTTGCGACTGGCGCAATTTAGACACCTGATCTTTCAAAGATCGTATTTCCGCCTCCGCCGCCATGAGACGTTGGGTCATCGTAGAATTCAAAGCCTGTTCGCGCGTGTGGTGTCAATACAGAGTCGCATGTATGTTTGAAACTCACATTAGCTTCCTCCAATTGGAGCCGGAGTTTGGTTATCTGGTTGGCTTGGGTGGTGACAATGTCGATGTTTTCTAGAATTTCTACGGGGAGGGTCAACGTTATGGACATCACGGCAGTGGCGGAGGGAAATGGGGGTTCAATGTTTCTTTGGTTCCGTTGAGTCCCTTCTTTATCAGCGCGGCAGCCTCATGGCCTGCGCGTGTAACAGTCAACTGCCTCAATGGCGTATATTGGGCTGTGGGCTTGAAGAACGCTCAGGCATGAGTTTGATGGTGATCGATGAGGAGTTCCGGGTCAAATTTGAGTTTTACTGCCTACTGCATGCAACGATGCTCCAGTTAACCAGTTAACAGTTGGGCGTCTCGCAGTGTCGGTGCATGCTGCACATGTGATCGATAGGAGATAAGTGGTCTTGCTGAAAATTATTACAGAACATAAAAACATGGAAATATGCAAGAAAACAAAACAGAAGACGATTGAACCTTGCCCGGATTGAACGGACGACCTTGTGGATGCTCCTCTGAGGCGAGCGGGCGCACCGCCCTAGCCGCTGGAATCACACGCGCTACCACTGCGCCAAAGGTTCATGCTTAATTGTTTGAAATAAGATGTCTTTACGAGCAGCGCCCGCAACTGTTTTCCCACGCGGGCGCTTAGGCTCGCAGCCAGCAAGACCGGCGCAGCTTGACCGCAGCCCATAACCGTCATGCAACCTTAGAATCTCCAGCGACACACCCTCAGTTCCAGCGATAGCGTTTCCCAAGTCAAAATATGGCCACAACAGTCCACCAGCCAATCCCAGCACTCCTAAGTGCACCTAGACTGATTACTCTGTTCGCGTCGCTATTGGTTTCGGTTGCATCGGGCACAAACTATGTGAGTTGCTTGATGCGATGTACGAGCTGAGATCCTCAATGATTGTAGGTCTTCTCTGGTGAGCAGTGATTGACTTTGATTGAGAGCCACGTATTGATGCTAGGAAGCCTGGGCGCCGCAACTCGGGGCGAAGCTGCGGCTCTCTCATACACAACTGAACGTGATAGGATTGGCAGGGAATGGTGCGTCGGGTCCCGTCGCCTACTCCTGTCGTATTTACAGCTCTCAGTTGGCGTATACGCCAGCGGTCCGGTTTGGGGCCGAATAGTTGATTCTCGAGGACCACGTATTCTGCTTGCCGGGGGTTTCGTATTCTCTCTACTAGGCTACGCAGGAATTCGCCACTTCTTCGATACAGGACTACTTCCGTCAGAGACGGCTCTATCCACCCTCAACCTGGCCGTATTGATATCGTGCAGTTGGCTGACCGGGGCCGGCGGGAATGGCGGTCTCACTAGCTCAGTAAACTCCACGGCCAAGTCATTCCCTGATAGGGCCCGCGCGTCGACTACGGGGCTTGTTATCTCGGGGTTTGGCTTATCAGCATTCATCTTCTCCACTGTCGCGCATGTCGTCTTCCCCGGAGACACGTCTTCATTCTTGCTGTTGCTTGCAATTGGGACTGCGCTCCCAATGATCTTGGGTTTCTTCCTTGTCCGGCCTATTCCCCTTCCGGCAGATCCTCACACGCATGAACATCCTGTCGTGGACGGCGACGCTGACGCTATCGAAGCGGCGGCTGTTATCTTCCAGCATGAGGATAATAGCTCAACTCACCTTCTCTTCCACGATGATTCGGACGAATCTGATCCCAGCGACACGTCAATCTATGACGGGGGCAACGCCCTCGAACTGTCAAGAAGTCTGTCACCGGAGACCTATCATCATCGTTCCATAAGTTCTTCTACCCGACGCAGTTTAAGCGCGCACAACGAGCACGTAGAGGGGCCGCCTAACATTCACGGCTTTGGTTTATGGAAACGCGGTGACTTTTGGCTCTTATTTAGCATGCTGTCCATGTGTATGTAATTCGCTGCAACTTTTCCTCGCTGCCTCATAGCCTCATTTCTTTGCAGTGAGTGGTACTGGACTGATGTGTGAGTGTTTTCTGCAGAAAGTATCTCACGAATGTCGGTTTCTTATCTTCGTCAGACATCAACAATGTCGGTGTCATGTCACAAGCACTCTACGCGTACAACAACACGGCATATGATGATGTGAAAGCTCAGAAATGGCAGGCTGTGCAAGTATCCACCATCAGCATCACTAATTTTGCCGGTCGCATCATCATTGGTGCGTTGCGACTTTCTCGTACCCTGTCTGATCCTCACTTCCCGTCGTCTCTAGGCTTGATTTCGGACATCACCAAAGTTCGGTTCAAGCTACCTAGATCGTATTGCTTGATTCTGGTGTCGAGCACGCTGCTTGCTTCGCAATATGTGGCTACACACATTGAGAGCATCGATTCCCTTTGGATTGCTAGCGGAATACTGGGGCTCGGATACGGTAGCATGTTTTCGCTATTCCCGGCTATGTGCATTGAATGGTTTGGCCTCCGTGCGTCATTCAACCCTTGCCAAGCCCAACGTTTGGCCGTGCTAACATCTATTTCAGCCCATTTCTCGGAGAACTGGGGCTATCTCTCCACTTCTCCCCTATTTGGCGGAAACCTCTTTTCGATTGCATTCGGCCGCAACTTCGACGCACACGAGCCCCCTGAACGCCGTGGTCTCCCCACGGCAGTATCTCGACTCTGCCTCGAGGGAAAAGGGTGCTACGTCAACGCACTGTACTTGACGATGTCCGCGTGCGGACTCTGCGTATTTCTGAGCATTTGGGCTGCGTGGCGGGATCGCCAAAGGGCGCTCGCTCAGGAATCGCGGAGCTACAGACGCATTCAGAGCGCTTAGAGGATCAGATGAGTACATGTCCCTGTAGAAGTCAACTTTCCGTCTTAGAGTGCTTCCTCGCGTTTCCTATTTAGGTATTTATCTTGTAATAATATGCAGCACTGTTAGCCCTCCGTCATTCTAGTGCGCGGGTGTCAACTCTTTCCGCATCAGGTGTAATCACTTCCTAAACGGGAATGTCCCGCACAACAACGATGTCATTGACAGGAAGGGATCGGTGAACGGAAGCTGCGTCAGCGGCATTGGGGAAAGGTATATAATGGAGGCGTCCTCGTCGACGTCGCCCACAGCTTCTTTCTTCCTTTCCCCACACTTCTACCTCACAAACTATTTACACAATGGGTACGTCTCTCAGTCCGCCTCGGGGCCACCATTTGACGTATTTCATCAGGACTTTCAACGGTTATCAAGGATATGTTCACCGACGATACTTCTAAGAACGCCACCATGGCAAACACGGGCAGCAACGTTCGTCACAATGACTCCACGAATGCAGCCCGCGATTTCCGCCACGGCGTGCAACCTGACGGCGCTGCTCAGCAGACCACTGGCAGCCACTTGAAGGCGGGCACTGGCCCCGGTACCACCGGAAAGCCAGCCGCCGCGGGTGTGCCGGAGAGCGCACGCGTCAACTTCGATCAGAGTCGCAAGCTCAACGACACCACCGGCATGGGCACAAACAGCACCAACACCAAGTCAGCAACGACTGCTGGTACGGGTGCAGTTGGTCACCAGCACCACACTGGACATGTTGGCTCAGGTTTTGGTCAGTGAAATACAGCCTCATCGGTTTATCCAAGCCATCTAACCCCTTTTCAGGTAGTGGCAATGGCCTTAGCGACGCCGGCTTTGCTCGCGATGCCGATCGTCGTGATGCAAGGAACGAAAGCGAATGTACGCATCCTTTTTTGTCTCAATATTGTGCGCTAACTCATTCACTTAGTTTCTCGTAACACGGAAACCGTGCCAGCACATCACGCATTTGGCCACGAAGGTACAGACTCTCATCTAACAAAGCCCACGGGACAGGTTCAGGAGGATTCAAAGCATTTGGCCTGTAAGTTCTTATGTCAATGTATCATATCATCTACGAGCGACATTCTTTAGCGGTGGTTCATGAAAATGCGCGTCACATCGAAACGGAAGAAGTTTCACGCGTCAAAGACCACGAACGCCATGTCCACCATGTCCAGCACCACGTGCAGCCGGTGAAGGACTTGCAGGAACGTGAAGAAGTCCATCACGAAAATGTTAGTACGCCGACGCGACTTTCAGCGACTTTCTATTTACTGTTTATTTTAGATCGTACCAACAGCTCACGTTCATGAAAACCACGTTAGTACCGACAAAGACGTTCACGCAATGACTGGTTTACTCGGCCAGCACAAGGATACAATTGTGCGCATTTTTTTCTCCGCCCATTTTCTGCGACTTACATTATCTTAGACCCATGCGCCGAAAGAGCGTCATGTCATTGACAATGGCGAAACTGTAAGAGAGAATGTCCAGCACCATGTCCACCACGTTGTACAACCCGTTATTGAGAAAGAAAGTGAGTCACAAGTACTCCTTTTCTGCTATGATATTCATGCGATGGTAGCCATCGACCGTCACCGCATCCACACGGTCATTCCTACTCACCACGTCACCCATGAGGCTCCAATTGTTCATCAGTCTCATCACCACGAGCCTATGAGCATGCAGCAATTCACGAAGCTTGGTCATGCAAACGAGGGTTTGTCGCATTCCGATGTCACGAAGCAGTTGTTGAACCAAGGCGAATGTACACGCGAAGTAGATGCCCTGGGCAAGAACATGTCGAACAATCTTCGTATGGAAGATGGACGTGGTTCCACCGGACTGTCAGGCAACTCTCGCGACAATAACATAATTGGCGATCGCTCCGATTCGACTTTGCATAACCAGAAGCACGCCATCGGTCAGCATAGCGGCTCGCAGGCGCCTGTATCTGGAGGAAGCATAGGAATGGGAGGCGGTCAGACTGTTGGTGCCAACCGAGTTAGGGGCAACACCGATGGTCATCTTACCAACTCTCGCAGCGGTGATATGTTGTAGAGGGGGGTAAACCCCGTATTCCCATTACTCTTGTACTTCCTAGTTTGCAGCGATAATAATCACCATTACGTAACAACACCCCCAATGTGATAAAGCTAAAATTAGCCCGTGGCCACAAGGTATGTAGCGGGTAACTGACATTTGTTCATCTTCGTTTCTTGGTAACCCAGATTGACTTGGTGGGGAACAGACGCGGGTGCAATGCTCAATTCCATCACGAAGCTTCTACCATCACTGATTGCACCCGCGTCGAGAATTCTAACTCATCAGGGAAATATTATCGAGCACACTAACGGCGAGGCATAGCTTCTGATCAATCAATGCTGTGTAAACCGTCGCGGTCACCGTCGCTACCACAATACTGGATTTCACAAGGTGCAGGCATATAAATTGTTGCATGGCCGCGAAATGATGTTCTTCATTCCCCTTTCTTTGACCTGGTGTCACCTCCTCTTTTCAACGCCTTCTATCCACTACCTTTTCATTCTTCCTTCGCCCACTTTACTTCAATAATGGCTCGTTTCAACGCATCCGCACTCCTTGCTATTTTCTTCTTTGCTTTCTTCGCGCTGGCTGGTGAGATTCTCTGTTGAACGAGTTGACCAAGAATCGCGACTAACAAGCGTCACGCAGCCCCCGTCGTTGAAACTCGACAAATCGGCAATCTCACCTGCAATGTTGCCCGCCTGAGAATTGTCGGTGCGCTCGCCGCTACCAACAACGATGTTAGCAAGATCAGCACGGCGTAAGCTATCTTCGCATTGTATCATCGTCCGTTTAACACGAATTACGATATCTAGGGATGCAACCGCGGCTGATGCCGTCACCACAGCTAAGTCTGGGCTCTCCAGTGCTGGTGCTGGTATCAAGACCATTGCCGGTGCTATCTTGACGGGCCAGAAAGCGCCCGCCGCTGCTCGCGACCAGGTTGAGCAGGGCCTTACCGACGCCCAAACGGCTCTGCAGTCCATTGATGGGTAAGTCACAACCCTAAGCTATATGATTATCGTGATGGATGCTGATTTTCTTCATGCGTGTGTCTTGTAGGACTGATCCCGCTGTCACCACCGCTCTGGGCAACATGGCGAAGGCTATCAAGGCAGGACAAGATGTCGTTGCCAACTGCAAGTAACGAACGAATAGAACGAAATTTCTTGGAAATGGATATGTATGGTAGAGGAGGTAATTAGAACAATACAAGGACAATATCAGTGATCATTTCATGCAAACAAACCGGGCAGCAGTATCGTGAGTGAACGTTCCAACGGGCCCAGCGGCCAAAAAGGGATCCACGTTATCCAGAGGTTGCGAATTATCCGAGGAAACTATGTAGTGCGCTTATGTATACAATCAAATACAGTATTTGCAGGAGTCCGTTGAAAAAAGTCCAATGTTTATATTACTAGTTGATTGGCGTAAAATGCCCTTGCAGCCTCAACAAGGCGATAATGTTCCTCGCTCCATCGCTTCGTCACATTCATTCTGACTCCCTCTCTCAAATCTGCTTGTGCCCTCTTCAGCGTCACCAGGAATCCTGCTGATATGGGCCGATGATCCGATACGTTCGCTTCGTACCGTTTGTAATGAATCTGCTTAACTCTACTCGGCACATTGCTACGCCAAAGAATGCGGTCGCACCACGCCGGCGGCCGTCGCTTCTCCGAGTTATCGTACTCGTTCGAACGACGATCGTACTTGTACGTCGGGGGGAAGCGCAGGGGACCCTCCGAAAATCCACGTAGTCGACAGGCTTTGTTATACTTGACTTCCTTCAGGAGTTGATCGTGGACCCATAATGATTCGTGTTCACCAGCACGGACAGCTGCCACAATGGGGTCACGTCGTTGATCGATCCTATAATTCAAGTCGCCTCCGATCTTAAGAGACACGTCTAATGTTAGCGATCACCTTGGGCGTACAATGCAGCATTTAACTCACAAAGACAAGCTCGTGGTCAAGAACCATGGCTCCGTCACCACCACCTACGTATGCCAACGGATGGTCCGCGGGCGGAAATAGCGTTTTCGATTCCAAGACAGCGCCAATGTCTGCGTTTCGTTGACGCAACGCGTGTTGTCCAGCGGCAAGATGGCAATTGATGAAACAGAACGAGGTGTCTTCGACAACAAACCTAGAAATAATCCCGCCCTACCCCGACCATCAATCGCTATCGCCGCCATGTAACACAAAGCGACCGACCTTGTTCCCATATCGCCCACCGATACCACGCTTCAGCGACGTTATGGACATGTCTTTTAATTGGGGACGTTGCGAATGTTTGACGAATACGCAGCTGAACAAGCCTACCAAGCTCTCAGTGAGGACGACCACATACGGAACGTCGGGTGGCATGACCGTTCTGACAGCAAGTACAAGAGCATCGTGCCAGCGTTTGTATGCACCGGTGACGCGGTCGGATAGTCCTCCATCCTCCGGTTTCTTCTTCCCGCCCAGCAGGACGTTCTTTGCCGTCATTTTGCGGCTCTCCAGATCAATGACCTCTTGGAACCCAAATACGATGATGTCGGGAGAATCCACACTCGTCAGGGCATCTCGAAGGAAGGAGATATTCTCTGCGTCGCCGGTAAGCATGTCAGGCCTAGCCGCATCGACATTCCACGAAACCATGAGGATCTTTGCTTCGTGATATGTACTGAACTCATTTTCATGCTTCGTGAGTTCGTTGTCTGGAGTTGCGACAGTTAGATCCGCCGCGATAGGGAATGAGGATCAGGCAACATACCAACCCAATCCAACCCTAGCAGTCCATCCCAGAGCTTGATCATATCGTCCTTGCCGGCGCTGACGACGCAAAGCCTGCGCGTCTTCTCAATGCCGAAGTGATCGACTGAAAGGCGTATAACTGGCATCGTCACATGTGCAACCCAAGAGTTGGTCACCACAAACGGGCGGGAGGATACATCATACGCAGTGATCGTCCCGTTCCGTCCGCCAGCCCACAAGCGATCATGTACACCCTCCAAACACAGCACGTCCGAAGTCGATATCTTGACAACTTCAATGCATTTGGGGTAGTTATCCTCCGCCTCCATCACCCAGATCGAGACGTACCCTTCCTCGTGGCCGACGTACACGTGTCCAGGATGCGAGGGCAAGATCGTGGCGGAGGTGACAGGTCCTACATGCTCGGAAGGCATCATCGATCGCCCGGTAGCCCCTTGAGTAAAGAGGTCGTATATGCGTATGATCGGCGTTCGCGCTGTGGTGCCAGGTGCATGGGCATCGCTGCGACAGGCAGTCCATAGCTTCCCGCCGATCAATCGAGCGAAATCTTGCTTGTCAGTGACTCTGACCACTCTGTGCGGAGTGTTAGCCAGGTCAACATCATATCCCGCCTCAGGCGTGAATACAAGCGCTTTTCCAGATTCATCGAGCGACACCATGGTGCTCCCATATCGGAAGATATATGTTACCGGATGTAGATGGGCCGCATATTTTTTCCTCACTACGGCGCCCGTACGAACATCTATCTCAAATATATGCCCCTCCTTCGACCCGATCCAAAGAAGGTATCCGCGATCCGCCGTCGAACTCGAAGCACGGAATTCCATGCTAGTGACCTTCACTTCCTTCGCTCCGAGATCCTTGTTGTCGATGCTAAAGATGGGATGATCATTGCCTGTCGCCAAGTCGTAGATCTTGATGTGGTGATGCGTGGCTATAACTAATTGAGCACCCGACACCGCAAAGAGATTGGTATACGAAGACATATGGACCTTCGTCTCTGTACGACTTGGAACATATGACAACGTCGGTGGCCGTCTAGAGGAATGACTGCTGTCGGGGAGTAAATCCAGCCCTTTCGTTTCCGTCTCTTCTTCATCGGATTCGTCATCAGAGGAACCACCTACTGGAGGACGCTTGGCCGGAGGAAGCTTGTCCCCAACGGCTATAGTCCGAGTAGGTGGGGGAGGGAGCTTGCCGGTCCCTAGGACTTTGCGCGGTGTGGATGAGGCCGGAGAATCTGGGGGAGTGCCTTCCTCTTTGACCGCTAACGTACCGCGTCGGATAGGCAACGGTGGCGCGCCCGGTAATGGCGAAGGCTCCAAAGTAACTCGAGGACGAGGCGGGGGGCGGGGAGGTGATGCAAAGGGAGAACGTGCTGGGAATGGATCGCTTTCGCTAGAAGTGCGGCTAGAGTGGGCAGACGAATCGAAGCTAGATGATGATGAATTCGAAGATGTCGGGAGGAGGGTCGCCTTCCGTGGTGGGAGTGCTGGTGGAGGATTAACGGTGAATGATGGTGGCGACATGACTTCTTCCGGAGAGTGGGTGTATTCAGGAGAATGGATCTTGGGGACTTCATTATCCTGATGCTGCAGCTTCAGCGGCCTTGGAGGAACGCTGGGTCTGCTCAGAGGTGGCGGCGGTGGAGGTGGTACGCCCGGCCTAGGCGAACTAACACGAGGAGGCAATGAGGGCAAGGTACTGGAGATTTTAGATCGTATACGACTTTTAGCGTTTACGTGGAGACTCACCTCTGACTCCCCTCCAGCGCAGGCAAGTTCAACAAGGCGGCGGGGATGGGCACGGGTCTCATAAGCGGGGAAGGCCTAGGCGACGGTGAAGGAGACAGCCCTTTCGAGCCTCGAGGCGGGGGCGGCGGGGGTGGTCTCTTCGTGGAAGGCGTCGGCGAGCCCTCGGGCCTTAAATCTGAGGACGATGAAGAAGACCGAAGATGGTGGACTTCCGGTCGTCCTTTCGCTTCCCCGCCCGACGCCGCGCGAGGTCGGGGGCTGCCCGCTCTCCCTGGATCCAGCAGCTCGCCATTCGCGATTGAATGGCGCTTGTCGTTCCCGCTGGCCTGCACAGCGAGCTGCTCGAATCTGGAGCGGAGGTTCTTGACTGGCAGAAGCGACTCGGCTTCGACCTCGGGGTCGTTCATGATGGAGATTGTGACTTCGTTTCTGGCTTTGTTAAGGCGTGAAGTTGAGTGCTTCTCTGCACCACATTATCGCGAAATGAACGCGAAATGAAAGGAAGAGAACAGGATGCGATGGAGGACGCCGAAGTGCGCATTAACTTATTGAGTGATCATGTGATGTATTTGATAAGATCGGCCCCTGATTTCTCCTCCCCTCCCCTTTTTCTCCGCATCTCAGTCCAGTCCATCTGCGCTGTGTAGAGAGCTCTGATTCCCCGGGATCTGAAGTGATTTAAGAATGAGGAATCTAAAATTTGGCTTGCTCCAAGGCTTGCGGGGCGCCCAGGGAGCTAAGGGATTCAATTGTCTACAGCATGACTACATCGTACCATACATATCACAGAGCTTTTAACCTGTTGCACAGATAGTCCTAGACATTATTGCAATGACACGATGACCTTCAAAGCAGAGCATTCACGACCAAATTACAGAGCAAAATAGACAGAATTGAAATCGGATATGTCGCAGTTACATGCAATGCGGTCGTAAAATTGCATTGAACTGTACCCATAGATATATTCTTAGGTCTTACTGCATGTCCTGCGGTTGAGTAGCGCCGAATACTGTTTGCAAACCCCTTTCTCACCCCCTTTAACGCAGCCCATGTGACCGCTATATCTCCGGCGCGAGGATGCTGACTCCGACTCAGATCTCAGAGGTTTTCTTTGGACCGGTTCCTCGAATCCTTGATCTCTGTTTCACTCGTATTTAAGACTAGATCTCCTAGACTCTCCACCTCACACTCAAGTTCACCACAACCTTTTGGGAGCAACAGGAATGCACTTGGCAACGGACATGCACGGATCATTCGGAGGAGGGGACATATCGTCCATCTTGCCCGATGAAGTGGAAGTGACCATCGGAATATTGGGTAAGTAATGCTAGCGCGGCGTCTCGCTTAGATCACTCAAAACCATTGATTTCGCTTATAGCGCTGCAGGGGGCCTTTATCGAGCACGAGCATGCCTTGCAACGCCTGTTCATGGCACCATCGTTCCTTCGTCAGCGAAAGGGGATCAACTGGAAATTCTCTACGGTCCAAGTCCGTAGTACAGAGGATCTGGAACGCTGCTCTGCTCTGATAATACCAGGCGGAGGTGAGTCTCGTGACGGATTTTGGAGTGCTATTGAATGAAGTCAACAGCTAAACCGTAGAATCCACGACGATTGCGCTATTGTTGCGCCTTTCATCGCTTCTCGAACCACTCCGTGCGTTCTCGGCTACGAAGCCGATATGGGGGACTTGTGCCGGAGCTATACTATTGGCGAAGGAGATAGCGAATCCTAAGAAAGGTGGACAGGAGGTGTTGGGTCAAGTGAGTGTCAGGATCGAGAGGAATGGTTGGGGTTCACAGGTTCGTCGTCGATGCTTTGATATCATTCATCGTTCCCTTTGGTCGTGTGCTCAAGTGCTGGCTTAGGTCGAATCGTTCGAGGCTCCGCTAGAAGTTCCCAAGCTCCGTAATCCCGACGAGCCATTCACTGGGGTATTTATCCGTGCTCCCGTCATACTTTCCCTCCTCGACGATAAGGACGCACCTATAGAAGAAATCGCTCGTATACCAGAAGATTTGCTCCCCGCTGAAAGCTGCGACACGAATACGAGTAAGGAGGATAGACACGCACAAGCCCTCGTCGCGCTGCGGCAAGGAAACCACTTCCTGACGACGTTCCATCCTGAATTGACGGAGGACGACCGGTTCCACGAGTTCTTCGTCGTTGAGTGTGTGCTCGATTACGTGCTGAAAGCTAAGGGGAAGCAGAGGCTCTAATGCTATAATTTATTGTGATTTAATGTAACATGCAAGTATGATCTCTGGATCTGAATGCTTATCTTGCTTTATTCAATTTCGTGGGGTGCTTGCGCACCTTGAGCTAATTTATCTCTCAAGTTACAGCAACGATAGATCAACACACGAAGACCCAACCATCAATGTCCATCATTGGTCTTTCAAAGCATCGAGGACTTGCTGCACATTACGATTGCGACCACTCTCGACCACTGCCCTAGCAAGGAGATCTTGTAGAGAGTAAGTCTGTTCATCAAATGAACCCTTGAATCTCAGACCTAGGACTCACCGCTATCAGTCCCCGTCGGCGTGATCGTGAAATAGCATGGACTCCAGCCGGTCAAAGACAATTGTATACCGGCGTCAAAACCCTTCTCCAGCTTCCATCCCAGAGCTTCGGCCAGGTCCTTTCCGATATATAGTGTCTGGTTGTCCAAAACCACTTTATGCTCAGTGGCCGAACGTACGGGTGTGTTGGTCGTCAAATTCCGTGTACGTAAGAGAGAATGCCTTCGTAGGGCCATTGGTAGCTGTCGAAAACATAAAATAGAGGGCTTGAGAAACATCACTTTGAGGAGGACAACGTTTACGTTCAGTAGTGCGGCGCCAGAGTGCCCCACACTTCAGCGCGGCACGTGCTAGGTCGTTCGCCACCCTCGCGTCTGTTCGTCCCGCTCTTCCCGTTGTCCGTGTCCAACTGATCCAATTCCCCCGAAGCGAGCCAGAGCCTAACAGAATACCTGGCCAATCTCCGAAATCTCCATTGCATTATCAAATGGCTGCTCACGCTCCTCGGTTAGCTCGACTATTCACGCCGATGTTCGCTCGTACCATAAACGCGCAGCTGGTCCACCCAGCAGCGTCGCAGGTCGTGAAATTGAATCAGCTTTGGCGAGACCTTTGCAACGGGCGTATTACCGTCCAGAAGCTTCACAAGCTGAGCTTGCGGCCAGCCTTTCTTACGGCATAATTAAGGGTACGATGTTACCTAGTGCATCGCTGTAAACTCAATTGAGAACAGGACATCCGTTCTTCGATGGCAATAAAAGAACTGGTCAGATGGCGCTTTGCTGCCATGCGTAATGTGTCTGACCTCTGAGCAATTCCTTTAGCTTTCTTCCTCGCGAATGAGTACATACGGGCACATGGACACCCTGGATTGGCCGATGGCGTACAAGTGGGCGAAGTATATAAGGGCTTGCAGACCGTCGTAGACCAATACGTCGGAGTGGCCAGCGGTCGATTGGAGGAGGATGCCCTTGCGCTTGCGAATGGCGGAGCTAAGAGTAAAGACAGCTAATCTCGACCATACCGTATCGGAGCCATCGGTTTCTGCATATGTTCGTAGCACACGAGCTCCTGGAGCGCGATATACCCATCATAGGGTACGCAATTCTTCATCAGTTTGTGCAGTGCTGCTGTATAGAGCTTACTTTGGCGTGGGCGCTTCGCTACTTCTTCAGGGTTCGCAGTTCTCGCCACCCACGCGGTGACACATTGCTCACCTTATCATCTCACTCCACGATGCTTTCCATATGGCTCGCGCTTCCATCTCTGAATAAACGAGCCACGACGGCAAACCGCATACTCATGACCATATGACATCAATCTATAATAAGAACCGAATATCACCCTTATATACCACGGACAAACCGGTGGGGAGATGAAGTTGAGAACTCGTGCCACGTCCTCCTGCATTCGTCTTCACGAGGGGCTTGGTAGACGACGACGAAGATGGCTAGGTGCACATTCTCGACGCTGACGGCGGTGCTCGCTATGGTGCTTACCTTCTTGGCCGTATCATCGGATGGGCGGCAAATAACGAAGGCGCAATTGCACGCCAGGCAGGTGGAGGCGGCCAAACGGTTCAAACTAGGAGCGGGAGATCCTGTGAAGAGGCAGACTTCAGCGGGCGTGAAAAACATCACCTTCTCCAATCCACGCGCTTCTGGTGAGTAACGCACGTTTGCGCACCCGTTTGCGTGAATAACTTACGTTGTTTTCGCCAGAATTCTTTGTCGATGGTACATCGATTCCTGAGGTAGATTTTGATGTTGGTCCGAGTTGGTCTGGACTGCTACCAATCAGCAATCGCACTGGAGAAACTAGGGAGCTGTTCTTTTGGTTCTTCCCTCCTGGTCCGCAGGGTAGTCTTGATGATCTCATATTTTGGTAGGATATCCACCTTCCGAGTAACGATCCTTTACTTACACCCTGATAGGACCAACGGAGGGCCTGGATGCTCGTCTCTCGAGGGCCTTCTGCAAGAAAACGGACCATTCTCGTGGTCTTGGGGAACTGCTAAGCCCGTACCAAACGAATTCAGTTGGACGAATCTGAGTAGCGTTCTATGGGTGGAGCAACCTGTTGGCACAGGTTTTTCGCGAGGCACTCCTGATATCCGGGTACGTGATTTGCATGTGTTGACTGATCTTTTCGCTGAAACCCGTCCCAGAATGAAGATGACCTAGCTGCCGAGCTGGTTGGATTCTTCCAGCAATTCTTGGAGGTGTTCAGTGAACTCAAAGGCAAAAACTTTTATCTTTCTGGCGAAAGTGTAAGTCGCGACGTCCATCTCAATCATAACTTTCCCTAATATCATTACATGAAATCAGTATGCAGGAACATACGTCCCTTGTAAGCTTTCCTCGAATCTGATTCTATTCTTAGAGGCTAATTAAGCGTATAGACATCGCGAATCATATCTACACCCATCCAGGAGAAATAGACCTCGACCTAAAAGGCATATGGATCGCCGATCGTTAGTGCCTCAACTTCCTTCAATAAACGCTAAACATGACAATTGTCTCATTATACAGCTTCGCTCTCATGGGATGTTGTCCAAGAACAAATTCCAGCTGTAAATTTCGTCCACAAATATGAGAATGTTTTCGCTTTCAAGTCAGTCCTTTTCCACACATGTTATTAATATGGTGGAACTGATGAACGTTGACGGTATCAAGCCAATCTTTCCTCGCACAACTAGACGCACAGGCGGAGCGCTGCAATTACGCAAACTATATTGCGGAACACGTTACATACCCACCCAAGGGTCTCTTGCCTTTACCAGGGCGGTCGACATCTGCTGACCGTGGATGCGACGTCTGGGACACCATCTTCGACGCAGCACTTAGAGTGAATCCCGCGTTCAACATTTACAGAATCTTTGATACTGTGCGTCACCAATCTTGCTTATTGCATAAATATCAACTCAAGACGCACCTATACAGTTCCCCATATTGTGGGATGTTCTCGGCTTCCCGTATGTTATGCTGTGCTCGTTCTTACGCACGTCCTGACATTCCTCCAGAGGTTCCTTCGAGAATATCCAGCTCGCACCTCTCTACTTCGACAGGGAAGACGTCAAGCGAGCTATCCATGCCCCGATTGACGTCTCATGGTCGGAATGCTCAAACGTACGCGTGTTTCCGAGAGGGGATGGTAGTCTTCCGTCAGCTCTCAGCGTGCTTCCGAGCGTCATCGAGAAAGGCGAGCGAACCGTCATCGTACATGGCCTTGCCGACTTCATTTTGATAGCGGAAGGGTATGTTTCCTAATAATATTGTGGTATATCACACGTCTAACGTCGACCGTGTGTAGAACTCGCATTGTCATCCAGAAGTAAGACTTCCGTGCACTCCTTACATATTGTGCCTAATTCCTTCCCCGAACTCCTCGCTTCAGTATGACATGTAAGCTTCAATTCAGGTTCCAGATACCGTCCCGTGGCTCACACTCATTTCCTTAGGGAACGGCTTACAAGGATTCCAAACACCAATCCAGAACGACTCTTTCCTCATAGATGGCATGGGTGCCTTGGGCACGGCCCACACCGAAAGGGGGCTGACTTTCTTGGAAGTCGAACTCAGTGGGCATATGTACGTCTCCCCTCAAACCACACCTGTGCCTTACTCATACTAACCGATTTCATCATTTAGGATACCGCAATTCTCTCCGAAGGTCAGTAGTCAAGCGAAGGCGTCGTTAACACGCTCACTATCTAACCCAGGCCGCTTTCCAAAGCATGCAGTATCTCTTGGGCTTCAGGGATACTCCTTGAAGAGACGAGTTTGCCGAATACCTTTCGAAAACAACGATGTACTTATCGCACACGACAAACCAATCGTTCCGAAAAACGAGCATGAGTGTTTATCTGACAGTCCATCAGTCCTCCACTGATTGATCGCGCAATTCATGCAAATGCTTTTTGTGCTCCCGAGTGTGTTTCTCGTAGAGCCGCCCTTCCGCCAACTTAATCGCTTTCAGTACGCCTCCTTACGTTAATCTCGTGTGGATCAAACTATCATTCCTTGTCCTGCCAAATGTCCAAATGACAGGCGTGTATCTGCTGTGAAGTAAGTACGAGTCCAAGCTAGAACTCAACGGAAACACGCAATGCGTATGCCTTTATACTTTCAACGGGCTGCCCTAGGTCCGTCAGGCATCTTCATTAAGCTTGATTTTCAGGGTCCTATGCTTAAGCGCCTCCCTCGGACAATATCATCGCTTCACCTCGGAGAAAACTGTCGACTTGTTGCTGAACGCGGGTGCCTATCGATGATGCATTTGAATGGAAATGGCGTCGGCGAACCAAAAGGATAATAATCGAGGCACGCTGATTGCTTGCTCTCAAAGGGTAGGACTTCCATCCGAATGATGGGGAGTACAGCAACTTCAGCTCACGCCCATACGTGTCACTCCTTCCACTTTATCGCCCGGTCGTTCAGTTCCTTGGCATGTCGCCAAAGGGTTATTCCTGATGTCTGATCCCTCAGGTGACGGATGAACAGTTGTCCGCAAACTCGCCCCGCTATACACTCCCGTTGAGGATTCTGTTCTCGGGAGTATCAACCCTTAAATTGAGGCGGATTTCGCAAACTGGAGCGATACGATTGGTCGAAGCCTCCGAAGTACCTGAAGATCTTATGTTCCTGAATCGCCAGCAGAGTCGCTTTTAAAGAGATGGGGCACACGAGCAATTAACCAAGCTGTTGCAACCATGCGGTGGAGCACTTTCTGCGTCGCTATCGCTTCTCTCGTTCCATACGCGTTGGTCCCTATTTATGGATTTACTCCACCTCCTCATCTTCAGGTCCGACAGACCGACAATGGCAACGGGTCTTTCCTCCATGGCGAGTAAATCACTTCGATACAGGGACCGGAGCTCACCGTCTCCGCAGACTATCCTGGTCAAGGCCCGTTGCCTTCACTGGAAGTCATACAGAGACTGAATGCTACCAATGGTACATTCTTGCCGCTGGATGAAGTCCAAGGAGACATATTGTATGTTACCCTTGAGAAACCCAAGGGATTAATGTCTAATATCGATTATCTCCCTCTCCAAGGATCGGCATGAAGAAGCCCAAGCAGCTTTTCTTCTTCTACAACATCATAGATCCAAAGAAGTTCAAGCAGGTTCTCGCCAAATTGATATACCCACATATCACCAGTAAGCCTACACGTATATGATTGTTGTCTCGCTTCCGACCCGTCTTCGTTTAGCGACTTCTCAGCTTATCTGTACTACTTGCCCACAACCAAAAGCGTTGCTTAACGTTGCATGGACTTCCAAAGGTCTTAACAAGCTGAATGTTTTCGATAACAACCTGGACCCCTTCTTCAACATGGGCCAAGTTCCCGATGCTAATGCCCTTGGCGACAACAACCCTCCACAGAACTGGGTACCTGGCCTATATATGGACAAAACGGACGGGGTCTTCCTCATTGCCTCCAAAGATTGGGCACCTATCGACTCCTTACTCGCGCAGATTCTATCTTGGCTCGGTAGTTCGATTGTGGAGGTCCACAGACTCAAGGGCGCGCATCGAACGGGCGCGTGGGAAGGCCACGAGCACTTTGGTTTCCTCGACGGCATTGTACGTGGTTTTATATTAGTCTTGACATGGATTGCTAACTTACAGACATACAAAATTAGTCTCAGCCTGCTGTCGCGGGGTTTGCTACTAGCATCTTCCCGGGACAGTCGCTCATTCTGCCTGGTACTATTCTGACTGGTGAGATTGGCGACCCCCTCGAGTTCTCTCGTCCTAGTTGGATGAAGTGGGGCTCTTTCTTGGCGTTCCGACAGCTCCAGCAATTCGTCCCCGAGTTTGATAATTACCTTCTTCATGAGTACGTTCCCTTCATTTGCCCATGATATCATCATTGTGCTGACGATTGTTACAGGGCATCGGCTATTCCAGATAGTTCTAGGACAGTCCAAGAGCGCGCAGATCTTCTTGGTGCCCGTATGATTGGCCGTTGGAAGAGTGTTCGTTGCTTCGTTCTTGCATATGGATCACGACTGACCTTTATATATAGGGGACCCCTACTGACCTCGCCCCTGATTTCGACATACCCTCCATCGGTCCCGACTTCAATCTTAATAATAACTTCGACTTCAACCACCCAGCCCCATTCAATCTAGCCGCTGATCAATCGTTCTGCCCCTTCTCAGCACACATTCGCAAAATTCGTCCCCGGGCGGATGAAGGTAACAACAACTTCGCCAACCAAATCATGCGCGCGGGTATCCCTTATGGTGATGATGGTGAGTGACTTCATAATGCTTATGACTCGTCAGGCTAATTATTTCCTCAGTCACTGATGTAGAATGGGAACATAATGCAACTAAATACGAACGTGGACTTGCATTCGGTAGGCAACTCGTTCATTAGTCGAGGTCGTCCCCATCTAATGAGAGCTCTAGTGTCCTACCAGAGCGACATAGGCTCTGGATACCGCTTCCAACAGGTTGCTTGGGCTAATGACGTAAAGTAAGCTTACTCTTCATGATCTATCCCAACTCCAGATTTATTCAGCTGTCGACTCTAGCTTTGTCGGCGGCAAAATTGACCCCACCCCCGGATTTGATCCCATCTTTGGCCAGAACGGCGCAGGTCCAATCTTCTCCTCTGGAATCGACTATACTGACCCCAACCACGATCTCACCTTCATGAGCTTCGTACTCTCCCGAGGAGGAGAATATCTCTACAGTCCCTCTATGTCTGCCATCCTGAACCCGATCGCTGCGTAGACTACCCCAAGTTTACTTCTTTATGAACCATCACGACTTTCTCCTTTGTGTTATATAGGGAGTGTAGAATGATGCACACCAATTTCAATGCACGATTACACTGCCTGGTGCGCGAGGATCGCGGCGATTGAAAATCTTTTGAGATGCCGCCAGTGACGCCAAAAGTTGGGAACCACAAAGAACGCGTCCATTCGATGTGTTTATGAGCCTACTCCCTCACAAATGGCCCAATGGGATATGTTCAGCACTGCATGCATCACCCAACTTGAAAGCGATGCTGAGCGCAGTGCGAACCGGAGTACTACATGTCCTAGTCGCTTCAGCGCCCAGCTTGACGGTCTCTAAGCTGGGTGATCATGAGAGTGAGTTTCACTACATTTCTTCATATTGGGAATTGACGCAGCCGAAGCTATTCAATGATCGCAACAGTGCACTCTCGATCCGAGCGCTGCTTGACAATCTTTACCAAGAATCTCATATTCTAGGAACGATCCGCGGCCCCAGCACCATGGTGTTAACTAGTGCACGATTCTAGTCACTGTGAACAAGAATCGATTGGTATATCTCGGAATGGCCTTATATCTTACTCGGGTCGGTGCAATGCTGCCCACCGTGTCGCCACGGGCTGCGGGAACGAAGGGGCAAGGAAATAGCGGTGATTGGCATTGTCACTGCGCAGTGCTGAGTGTACGTCGCTATGGGGCATAAATAAACACTCCTTGATCAAATGGCAAGAAGGTGAAATACTGGCACGCTCTTTGGCGGTATAAAAAGCACCAAATGTCTCGCTCAAAGCCCATCACTCCTACTTTCATTTCAAGCCCGGTGCTTTACTTGTTTCTTCAAATTATCTTTCTCTACACAACTCTTCGACCTCAACGTCAACATGCCTTCTCTCCTTTCCGCTGCCACTCTTTTCCTACTCGTTTCTGCGTTAGTGGTTCGAGATGTCGCAGCCGGTATGTACAATATACGGCGTCATCCTCATTGCTCAACTGATTATGTGATAGTTCCCATGCGACCCCGTCAATGCACTCGTGTTGGTGCCGCAGCGCCCCTTCCATCCGCCTCCCCTGTGGCCAACGCGACCTCCGATGCGTGTACACAGGCTCGACTCGACATCCTCGTCTCTCTGATTGTATCAGAAGACGCCACCAGCAAGATCAACTCTACGTACGTGAATCGATCTTCTCTTTACAACTGTACGCTTGCTTATGCGATTTCCCAGTGACCCTACTACCCAAACCGCCGTGGATGCAGCGGAGCAAGGGTTCAACTTGACCTTCACCGGTATCAAGAGCATTGCCGGTGCAATTTTCACCAACCAGAGCCCACCAGCGGCTTCTCGCGACCAAGTTGGGCAAGGCATTACCGATACTCAGACTGCGCTGCTCAGCATCAACGGGTACGTCGCTGAATTACTTCTCAATCCAGAGTGCTCACTGACCTCGTACTTTCCTGTAGAACAGACGCCACTGATCCAAACCTTGCATTGGCCCAGCAGTCTCTTGGGGCTGCAGCCGTTGCCGCGAACGCTGTGGTTGAGAACTGCAAGTGAAGTTCCTTCGTCATCTAGACTCTGGAGTCTCTTGCAGAGCGGGTGACCGACATGAGTCTCTTGGTTAGATCACTTGTTGAAGTTCACATGCTTAATGAACATCGTATTCCCCTGGCGGGTGCAATACTAGACTCCTGATAACTTACTGAGTCCTTGGGTCACTTGGTGCCGCTAGCATTTGTGGCAAGGTAAAGGTTCGGAAAGGGCTGATCTATAAATAGGACGCGTACAAATTCTGCCGCAAACCGGCCTCGCTTGTGCAGAAGTTCTCACTGTCTGTTTCAGCGGTGGTTGTAGACAAGTTGGAGAGAACACTCTCATTTCTCGAAGGATAGTAAGTTTCCATCGAGCTCCGCAACGTCTACTGATTAACAAAAGACACAGTGCATCTGTCGATAGAGTTTCGCGAACACATCTTTCTGGACACGTTCAAACGACATCCCCCTGGTCTCGCTGAATCTGCTGGCCCTATGGCGCACATGGAAGCGCATACGATAATAAACCCACGCTGAAGTACACTATCATCGCGGTGCATCTGACATACCTCTTCCATACAGGCGAGAGGCTGACACAAAAAGCGCATCGCTTTCCGAAATTGACGCGAACATCTCCCGCCTAGTGTGCAGGTTGCGGATCGCCGTCTACGGGAATGCACGAAGATAGCAGTAGTCTCTGCGCAAGTGACGCGATGACCCTCTCGTTATGGCCGGCCTTCCAATGATCATCGTCTGCACAGCGGCGACATATCGGAGGCGCTTAGGTATTCGCATGTCATAGCGCGTATTTAAAGGGCGAGGAGGTGATTGAACTTCAGCAGTAAAATATGCGAACGGTATACTCAGTCGGCTTCTTGGTCTTGGTCTCTCTTGCTGCGCGGGCTCAGTCACCGCTTTACGGGCAATGTAAGTCCTCAACTTATGGAATCATTATTTCCATTGATCGTCCTCTCAAATATAGGTGGTGGTGTAGTGAGTACTGCCCCGTCAATGTATATTCTGTTTCTAGAACTTGTGGGCGCTATAGGGTTGGTCTGGTGCAACGACCTGTGTTACAGGCGCAGTTTGCTCCGCATTGAATGACTGTGAGCCATACATTAGTGAAGCCTCTGCTCTTCGCTAACGCTTGAGCATAGACTATTCGCAATGCATTCCCGGGACCGCAGCTCCTCCTTCATCCACAGCGTCCACGTCAGGCTCTTCTTCCCCCTCATCCACCCCCAGCACCCCAACCTCAACAGCCGCCCCCGTCCCCGTCCCCAGCGGAAAGCTCCAATTCACCGGAGTCAACATGGCTGGCTTTGACTTTGGGTGTAACTCTGACGGTATCTGCACGGTCAGCGCCGCTTGGCCTCCGCTGACTCAGTACTACGGCGCGGACGGGGCTGGGCAGATGAAGCATTTCGTGGAAGATGACGGATTCAATACATTCCGACTTCCAGTCGGGTGGCAGTTCCTCGTGAAAGATGTCCTAGGAGGACCAATCGATGAAGCGAACTTTGCAATCTATGACGACCTTGTCCAGGTGAGCCTGTTCGTGTTGCTTGTCTGCCTTTCGCGATGCTCATTGTCTTCGCCAGACCTGCCTATCCACAGGCGCGTACTGCATCATCGATGTGCACAATTATGCCCGTTGGAATGGAAAGGTAAAGTTATTCAGTCCTATTGTTCGAGCCTATACCAATGCCAGCGTGATGTAGATCATCGGCCAAGGTGGCCCAACCGACGCCGAGTTCGCCTCTTTGTGGTCAGGTATAGCTTCAAAATACGCGGACAACCCAAGGATCCTATTCGGGGTGTGAGGCTCACTCTCTTCGTCCCTCAATGACCTATGCTAAATTGAGGCGTTCCTAATAGTATGAACGAACCTCACGACGTCCCCGACATCGAGAGATGGGCACAATCTGTACAAGCAGCCGTGACTGCCATTAGAGAAGCTGGGTAAGTCACATCGTGAATAATGATTGCATCCACCGCGTCGCTCATATATAAATTATAGAGCGACAACCCAGTTAATCCTACTTCCCGGAAATAACTGGACTTCTGCAGCCACATTTATTTCCAATGGCTCCGCTGCGGCGTTAAGCAAGGTCACCAACCCAGATGGCAGCATCACTGGCCTCATCTTCGATGTCCACAAGTACCTCGACTACGACAATAGCGGAACAAACGCAGAATGTGTCACTGACAATATCGCCGACGCTTGGGCACCGCTTGCCGAGTACCTCCGTGCTAATAAAAGACAGGCAATCAACACCGAGACTGGTGGTGGTAACGTTGCTTCGTGCGTGCAATACATGTGCCAGCAAGTAGCTTTCCAGGAAGCTAATTCTGATGGTGAGCTAAAATTCCGTTTCAATCTGTTAGATAGCTGATGCATCTACTGATTCTGCCTTCAGTCTTCTTGGGATTCACTGGGTGGTCCGCAGGCAACTTCTACCCGACGTATGTTCTCGGAGAAGTCCCAACCGATACCGGTTCTGGCTGGACGGATACCCTGCTTGTTGAAAGTTGCTTAAAGAGAAAGTGAAACGAATCCTTAATTCATGTATGTATAGGCCAGTCCACAGATTTTAGTACCGTGCTTTACAAGATTCTCACATTTGGCCCCTGTAAGCCCCTATGATGGTAAATATAACGTTTGGTGAGCGCCTGCGCACGACATCAAACTTGAAAGCCTTTCGCCATTTGACATGATGGATAACGAATCTCACTACTTATCTACAGTCGCCAGTCGCCTTTTCCTTCCCTTCCCCCCACGATAACATAGTGAAAGAGCCATGGCCGCCCGCGAGCAGGCTTTATTTTCCCCGATACGCGTCGGGAAACTGCAGCTCCTCCATCGTATCGTCCATGCTCCACTCACACGCCGCCGAGGGACAAGGGAAACCGCAGTCCCCCTTCTTCCTATCGTTGCGGAATACTATTCTCAACGAGCATCGAAACCAGGAACATTGCTGATCACCGAAGCGACGACAGTTGCTCCCCAGGGAGCAGGTGTCCTGCATGTTCCTGGAATCTACAGCGATGAACAAGTTGCTGCATGGAGAGAGGTGCGAGGTTCCTCCCTTTATCGTACCCGTGGACCTTGCTGAACATCGAGAACCGAATAGATCACGGAAGCCGTTCATGCAAAAAAGTGCTATATTTTCTCTCAGCTTCGTGCCTACGGCCGTGCAGCAGATCCGACGGCTCTCGAGGCCCTGAATCTCGATTATGTTGCACCTTCTTCATTCCCCATGCCGTCGCGACCAGAACTGACCCCTCGTGCGTTGACAATACCCGAGATACGCCAGTATGTAGCTGCATATGGCAATGCAGCCAAACGCGCCGTAAACGAGGCCAAATTCGATGGCGTCGAACTACATGGGGCCAACGGATATCTACTCGAGCAGTTCCTGCAGGATGTATCTAACAAACGGACGGACGAGTACGGTGGCAGCATCGAAGGGAGATGTAGATTCGTTCTGGAGGTACTTGCCGCAGTTGTGAAGGAAGTAGGTGAAGAGAGAGCGGCGATTCGTCTAAGCCCCTGGGGCACAGTCCTTGGTGAGTTCACGCATGCCCGGCGTTGTTCTGAGATGCTGACCCCCCCAAGATATGGGAATGCAAGACCCCAAACCTACGTACACATACCTCGTCACCCGCATCAAGGAACTGTATCCTCACTTGGCCTACATCCATGTCGTCGAGCCCAGAGCGAACGGATCTGGTGACCGCGCCCCTGGTGAAAGCCGCGCCGACGAGTCCAACGACTTCATCCGAGATATATGGGGCGAGCGTCCATTGATCTCTGCTGGAGGATACACTCGGGAGACTGCCTTGCGCCAGGCTGAAGCACGGCCAAATGAGCTTATTGCATTTGGTAGATGGTATATATCCAACGTACGCATCTTCTATTCAGCCTTATTTGATTGACATTAACCACTCCATCAATATGTACAGCCGGATCTTCCCCAGAGGCTCATAGATAATATTCCTTTTACCGCTTACGATAGATCTACCTTCTATGCTGGAGGAGACACCAGTGGAAAGGGATATACCGACTATCCCTTCGCGACATGACTTATTCCTTGACTCGCTGTGCCAGCTACTCTCGCTTATAGACGGCTTACCTTGATGTAGGTTTGGTGTATATCTCAACTTGAAATGGCCTCCAAGTGATATCCAGTCGATGAGAGGCGTATTGAAATACCACTTCCCGTCCGAGTGTGGAATTGCCTCCTCGGAATCCTCCGAATACCCTCGATTCAGGGGTTCCCTATTTTCATTCAGGATCTTCGTCTCTACCCCACGTGACGTCTCCCTCAAGCATCTTTCGAAGGCCTTCGGCAAAGGCATGTCCATTATATGCGTATATATTCATTTCTTACATATTGATAATACAAGTCCAACAGGCACTAAAGTACATACAAATCATCGTCAAAAGATCAAGTCATGATAAGCCCAACCATAGACGCGTTCATTCCACGTCGAAGGCGGCCTGGAGTGTCGCGTAGGATCACAGTGGTATTGAATTTACAAAGGAAGCAAAGGAATAATACTCCCTGTTTTCGCTGTGATCCGGCGCCTCTTGCGTTTTACTATTCAAAAGGTCAATATCATCCCCTGCGATGAACAGCGGGTTTACTCACGAATTTTCTTGCAGCCGTCTTCCGTACACGGACATACAGGCTCGCTGATGACCAGAGTAGACGTCAAAGTTGCTTCTTCGCGGATATGCGTCTTTGTAAACAGGCTGGCGAAGTGGGCTCGCTGACAGACCGCCGAAGGGGGGATGTACCCCAGCGACTTCGACACCGCCTTATTCACCTCGTTCGCCAAGATGTTGTACATCGCCCTTACTAGAACACAGTCAGCATGCAGCTCGGGCGGTTACATTTATCCTTCGAAGTTCCCTTACCTGCGGGATTGGTCTTCAATCCCTGTCGTGCCCCCCGCCGCTCGGCATTGTCGGGTTCAACTTCGATCTCGCCTAGGAAATCCGGTAGCGGGCCGCCTTTCTGACTGACGGTGGACTTGACCCTTGCGAGCTTCTCCACTTCGACTTTATCTTCGTTTAGGCAGGTGAGGATAACCAGGTGGTTTATGGTCAATGGATCCGGCTTGGCCATTCGCCTAGTGCTTAAGTGCTTGTTTCGTCCCATGGCGGGCTGATTAGATGGGCGCTATGATGGCCTTGGTGGTAGTTGCTGTTCAAGGTTCCGTGCAGAGATATGGTGGCAGCATTTCGCAAAGCACTTGTTCAGTGTGCCACGTGCACGTGATCGCGTATATAGCCACCCTTCCTGAATTCGGACATCTGTTGCTAATGTCGCTGCCCGCAAAGTCTTGGGGCAGAGTCTGATGACTGACATTCAGTACAAGTACACGTCTTAATTTCGTGGTTGATTATGGAACGGAAACGAACGGAGGGATGAATGATTTGAATAATCATGAAGAGGTATTTGGAACTTGATGTAGCGCCTTAGTATTGATGACTATTGACAGGATGGGCCGCTTGAATAATGGTCTGCGCAGTGCGGACGATCTTCATCCGGAGGGGCGGGTCAACTACCATATATATAGACTTTATCCTTTTGGTGACCTACGTCTGTCCACCCCTGGTGTATCCGCCCTGGATCGCTCCTGAAAGGGGCCAAGAGGCGGGGTGGTACTGTATCTCTGTTTCCTCGGCAGCAATCCCTCCAGAGTTTCTTGAGATAATCATAGTCGCAGTTATAACTGGCCTTCACTTCTTGTCCCCTTGCGGTCCGTGTCGTTCAACTTGTTTGTCGTTCCCGTTTGCATGTATCGTTTTGCTGTACAAAGGAAATATTCATTTCCATACACGCGTGACGCCCATACGGTTATGGTAGGAACCACTGATCCAGATAAAGGATGTTATTTTAGTGATTGTGAGCTTTTCAGTCTTGACAGAGGCACACATGCGGTCCCCCACATATCTGTGGTCGACTGAATATGATTAGTAGTGTCAGCGTGCTGCTCTATAGTGCTTCTCGCAAATAAGAAGGCATCTCTAAGAGAAAGGGTGTTGTCGACGGGTCATCGCATGGCTGAGTTTGAACGAAATTAGCCCCGTAACCGCACCAAGTACGGAACTCTCGGTAAGGGCGGATATTTCTGGCGTAGGCGTGGTTGAGGTGAGGGAGCAGACCGGCGCCACGAGACTGAGCTTGAGCGTGGTACTTTGTCAACGGTGAGCAAGTTCTTCAAACTTACGCCGCACCTCCACAATGCTTTCTATATACTTCGTCTTGGAAAGGACTGCCAAAAAGTCCAGTTGAATGACTTAGATTGTCGTTGAATTCTACTGTATCATGAACTCAACGTCGTGAACTCTGGAATTCTGAGAACGAAATGCGCATTCTGGATATCGCCTTGCTTCGAAAGCCAGAGTAATGAGATCGATAGTATTCAATCGTTTGTATGATATGACACGTATTCAGACTCCTTATCGCTGCGAGCAATTCTTGATTACATTTGCTATGGGGCAATGCGTATTTGTTCGCCCCCTGCTAGAGACACTGGGAGTAATAGTCTGAGGAGAATACAGCATCCACGTTAGCATCTTATGGAGGCGGTAAAACGAGGAATTCTCACCATTCAGCTTCGTGCACGTAAACGGGGAGACGCTACGTCATTTTTAAACATCAGTACAATCACCCCGATAGGATCCAATTCCGCTGACCATCCAGTTGCGCCGCTATACCCAATTCCACCGCATTGTCCGTATTGCGCTACTGTTCCTTGGGGGGGCGGGGGCGACTGGGTGGTCGCAGGGGGAGCCGATGTTGGCGCGGGGGCGCTGGTACCTGGGTTGCTTGGGGGTTGAGTTACAGTCTGAAGGAGATGCCGGTTGAATCGTTTATCAGTGTTTCGTCCAAGAAAGACAGCAGAATGGACGCACACCACCGGTACCGTATAGAGGAGGCCCTGGGATGATGTATTGCGTAGAGGTTTGCGCCTCGTTGGAGTAGAGGTTGAGGTTGACTTTAAGGTATCAATCATGTGGCGCCGGAGCGACGATCGTGGTTGACTTACTTCCAGGATCGGTCGATTTATAGGCACCAGGGAAGGATACAAGCTCCGACGCGGAGGGTGCCTTGTTCCCGCCGCCCGTGATGGTGATCTGAGCGCACTCCGGATAGAATTGCTTCAACAACAGAACGAAATCGTCAGTAACGTTGCAATATATCCAACGATCGATATTTCGATATAGTTGATGATCAGAGGTTTGCACTTACAGCGGGAAGGGAATGCAACGCGATAGTCTCGAATCGGATGAGGTAGTTCCCGCTTGGGACGCTGCTGGGGATCGTCGTGGTCCAGGTGTTGTTGTTGTCGATCATCTTCCCAGAACCCCAGTAGCCGTTTCCGACCGTCCCGGATATGAGACCCGATTGGTCGATCTTGAACTGTAAGTGAGAAGGAATAGCAAGCATTAGGTTAGACTAGATTAATAGACGAGGTGGGCGTAGCTATGGGCGGTGGGGGAAGAGGAAGTACATACCCATTTGAGGCTGTTCGCGGAGACGCCAGTACATGTTGAACCAGGGCACTGAGCGAGGTACGTCAACTGCATGAGGGGTTAAAATAATCAGACGAATACGATTGAAGATAATTTCGAGAGCTTACCATGGGCCCGTAAGGGTGGGGCCAGTCGTTCCAATAGGCGACGATGGCGGAGCCAGCAGCGACGGTCGCCGTAAGCTGAGCGGCGGACGACATGCCGTCGTCGTTGCAGGCGATAGTAGAAGATGCGGGGTCCTGGATCGGGTCACTACCCAACGCATCAGAAAACGCGATTACTAGAACAAGGATACGCACTCACTAAGTCGCCCACGGCCTTTGGATGGAAGTCTGCCCGACGGGAGTGTTGTACGGGTGCCAACCGTCATACCACTTCCCCGCGTTCGAGTAGGCTAAAACACCGCCGTGTGCAAAAGCCCGAGGGAAGAGGCTGAGTGCCGCGGATACCAAGGCGAGGTGGAACATGTTTCTGACAATGGGGGATGATATCACGTCAGGGGAGGATACACAAAGGTCGACCGTAATTTATACCGTCGCAGGATGCTAGGGTTGGATCCGAATATCTGAATGGAAGAGGAGCACGCGCTCATAAACTCGGTACCAGAGGCTCTATGTTCTGTTTTTACCTTGTAACTGGGCAAGGAGAAGGGAAAAGTGCTTCTCCCGTTGGTCTGTGCCTTTAGGAAGGTAGCATGACGCGCTTGATGTGCATGGTCACTGTCAGATGGCCCACATTGATGGGGTGCTCTGTATTCAATCCGTGACTAATGGGTGAGGCCAAGCTCTCATCAAGGGAAGTCCAAAGGAGATTAATGGGGCAACGGATCCATGTTGGAGGTAACTTCGGGATTTAATAGTGTCACTTGAGGCCCGTGGTGTAGTGCTAGACGGGCCTGCGCGTCGCGACGTTGGCAATACGAGTTTTCATGGAGTGAAATCGCGCTGAGCGTGGAAGTAGAAAACAAGCGTCGAGAACCAACCGTACGGTACAGATCCCTCGGCCATCTCGAGATTTGGATGAAAGGCGCGAATGGCGAACTGTTCACCCGCAGGTTAATTTTCCCGCTCCGGGCATATCTTCGGTTCAAGTTGCATGAACCAACGTCAACGATAAAAAAGATGGCTGAGTCAAAGCGAGGGAGAACAGGGAACCTCGTGAAGCGACAGTGTCCCTCGTGCGTTCGTCCCCAGTCGACCGCTTTGGCAGTATATCACGCAGCGGGCCGGGATTTCTAACTCGTGTCGGTTCATTCGAGAGGGGCAGCTGCATGTGTTGGGAAGACTCTGGCAAAGAGCCCACCATCGTTGAGTTTAGAAGCTGGATGGCATCGACACGAGTTCCTGCAGGTATTACGAGACCGGAAATAGAATGGAGGCTCGTTAGTATGAAGTGCTCTGAAACTTTGGGACAGGGTCCAACGAGGAGCTAGGAACAGCGATCTCATTGGTTCGGCCGGGATTTCTCAGCCCGCTATTGGCTGTGTGGATGTTTGTCTTCATTTGCTTGAAAAAGCTCTTTCTCTTCTGATTGGCTGGAGTGAGCGCCTAACATCGCCAGACTTTTTGCGACAAGGGCGCTACAAGTAAGTGATCATGTGAGCCCCTTGATAGCCCCTGATACCAAAGGGCATAAAGAGGGCACCCAAAACTAACCAGGGGCCGAATCAGGCCAACCGTAGGTTGGGCGATGAGGCCCAATTTGCAAAGCAGCACTTATAACAGCTTGAGAGAGAGTAATTAGTGTGGGGATGGCCTACAATAGTTGCCAACATCCCTTATGCAGTGCAAGATGCAACAAAACAAGGTATGAAGCACCAAAGTTCAGATAGTTGCAATTGGGGATTCTGAACATGACCCAAATACATGTGGCCCAAGTGTTGAGTATGCCCCAGTCTTCAACGGTCTCGTACATGCCGTGCTCCTAGCTCCTAGCATCGGCCCTCAAGCCCAAGTATTGACAATCCTGAAGAGTTCCCACGGTCAAGTATGCGTCGCCATGGCGACTTGACCTGTTTCTTGAACGATTTACCCTTCATCCAGAACTTCTTTCAACGATTGTGGCTCAAAGGACTTCATTCCGTAAACTGGACATTTATCTCGCCCAACTGCGCCCAGATCTCCTGCTTGCGAATTTCCCCCTCAATCTGCGCTCTTGCGTTCTCATCTCACCGCCACTTCAAGTGCAGCTCCCAGTTCCCAGTGGATCTATCTGTCAGTCCGCGCATCGCTGATCCAGTAGATGGCATCGTCTGTACTGTCCGAAACACAGTGTGAGTCTCATTTCGCATACTTTCATTTCACCTCAGTCAATAGTTTACTTCATCGCATATCATTCATTCGTATATACACATGATTACTGGTGCTCACGTACAGTTCTAGCACGGTCCAGTTCTGAGAACAGGCTGTCTCTGTGCATCGACGTGCCACCCTCATCATCCCCGTTCCCATCACCATCATCCTCTTTTCTCCCACCTCCTATCCCAGGCGTGCACGAATTCGCCGTCAAGATCCCCCCTGGCCGCGCCAGCAGGACCACGAGCACGCAGAATAAAGAAAAGGACAAGGCCATGGAGGCCACCGCCAAAGTCAATGGGAATGGTGCCACTCGCCCGCAGCACACAAAGGCGTCGTCCTCGACTTCTTCGTCCTCTGGCTCAGCAGGCTCGCCCATCTTATCCCCGTCGACCCCCACGCCCGGGGCATCGCAGCTGCCGTCGATACCGGTGCCCCCCTCGCCCGTGACGACGCCCACGAAATCGACGATGGGCAGCAGCAGTGTAAACCACGGTATCGCAGCGCACTCTCATAGGGACTCGTTGACGTCTAGCAGACCCGCACCGCCCTCGCCCAGCATCTCGCGGCGTGCATCCGCAGCGCCCTCGACAGCATCAACGCACTCGTCGAAATCGCGCGCATCGCGACCATCATCCACGGCGGCCATCTCGCGCGCGAACTCGTCGCGCAAATCGCAGCGCCTCTCGCAGCTCACCTCTATCCTCTCCCCCTCCCCCTCATCTTCCCCCTCCCCCAAACAGCAGCAGCAGCAGCAATCGCAGCAGCAGCAATCGCAGCAGCAGCAATCGCAGCAGCAGCAATCGCAGCAGCGCGGGTCCGCGCACGTCTTGATTAAGATCCGGGACTTCGGATTCGCCGCGACGGACGAGCGGCACTACGGGCTGGGCGCGGACGTGCCGAAGGCGAATCGTCCGAAGACGCTGAACAGGAAGCTTGGGGGGTGGCGCCGGGTGTCGTCTGGGGGCGTGTCGACGTCGTCTGGCAGCGACCAGGAGCACGTCGAGGAGGAGGGGGAGGAGGACGGGTGGGGCGGGTTCAAGTTCGGGGTGGGAAGGTTCAGCTGGGGGCCGGGGATGACGATGGCGGGGAGCTCTTCAAGAGACGCGGAGGACGAGCGGCCGGCGGGGACGGAGGACGGGTATCCAAGCCTCAACGACCTGAAACGCAACTTCGACGACGATGACGACGAGCGGTATGAGGATGACGACGAGGGCTTCTACGATGCCGAAGAGGGGTACGACGACGACGGTGGGTTGATCCACTCAGAGGATACGCCTCTATACCCGGGACTGTACCGCGCGATGTACGCGTTCGAACCGGAGGGGACTGCGGAGATGGCTTTGGAGGAGGATCAGATCGTCAAGGTCGTGGGGAGAGGCGGGGGTGTCGGGTGGGCCGTCGTAGATAAGGCCTACGTGCACGGCGTGTCTGGTTCTACCGTGGAGAAGCGTTCAAGTGCGGGCGAAGGTAACGGGCACGCCCTCGTCCCCGAAAGCTACCTCGAGGTCTATCAGCTGGACGAAGCCACTGACAATTGAAGGATACGTATGTGCCATCACCGCAGAGCATCCTCTTCTTCTACTTCTGTATAGCTCGTTTGCTCACCATATCTTACCTATATACTACCAGTTTGCTTGCCCGCTCACTTCTTTCTCTCGTCACTCAGGTTGTGCATGTAATCATCTGTAGTCCATCGTACTTGTCAAAGTAGGGATTGTTTCAACACAAACTATACATATCGTTCAATTCAATCGGGACTTTGTGAATCATTTATTTCACGCCTAGATGATACATCATTGTACGAAACCCCAATATAACCCGGTGGACAGAATACAACCAGCGAAACACTTTCTGGTCCCCAGCCGTCAAATTCGCCATGAAGGTTGAGATATCATCGATGAATGACGACGTTGACTAGACTTTAGGTGGCTAGAAACTGTTGGGGTCGAAAGATCGCGCGTAAGTCGACGGAAGGAGCGGCCAGCCCGAGGTAGAGAGACGGGCGTTCGAGGACGTTCGGAGAAGTCGGTCCGAGCTTTACGAGGGGAAGACTTGATAGGGATCCTGCTGGGAGTGTACGATGTCAAAAAGACGTCCCGTTTATCACCATTATCTGTGTTGAAACTCGGTAGATCGAGTTCGTCGTTGGCCTCAGATATAGGAGAGAGAGAGCGAAGATGGAAGGGGTCCGTGGTAAAAGATTCGTAAAATTGCTCCAGAGCCTCTTCAGAGAGTCCGTTTGCATCCAGAATGCCGCCCATGGTTTGCTCGGTGTCGTTTTCTTGGGCGACGGCGACGGAAGCAGAGACCCTGTGGCCGTGTAGAGAGAGGATGCCTAGGCCATCGAAAATGTCGCCGGTTTTCTTGGACAGGCCTTGTATTCCTAAGCCGACTTCTCGGGTGCTTTTGTAGGGTGTGCAAGTGGTCGGCGAGCTTTCATAATCGTCAGAGAAGGATTGTTCCAGACTGTGACTAGGCGACATCAGAGAAGAGTCCCAGGACTGGTTGAGTGATGGCGGCGAGGGCGTAGGGATCGGCGAACTAGAAGAGCGATCGCCGAGGTATGACTTCACAGGTTTGGTTGGCGTGTTGAACGGGACACAAAGTTGACTCCGTGCCGAACCAGATTTGTCACCCGATTCAGCCGCTGAAACACTGGGCTTGAGTGAGACATTGGGCTTAAGATAGACGGTCAGTAGCGCGTACACCAGTTGAAATAGAAGATCCAACCGTCTGATCCTCTCCTTTCTCATAGCGAGCAAAGGCGGGCACCTCATTCCCACCCATATCAAAGCCGAGCCAGGTCTGAGCCCTTTCCCTGATGTCCTTGTCCTTGTTGTCCACGCCAGCATCGTTCCTTTCCAGGTCGGGGGACCCAATCAGCTTGTTGAGGTATTTGGCGCTGTGCGAGGTAGTCATTAGAAGAAAGGTGTGGTAGAATGCAATGAGTGTGGCGATAGAGGGTAGCATGCGATAGTTGGGGAGTGAATTGAGAGTAGGAGTGTTGATGGTGATAGTCGTAAAGCAAGAAGTAAGTGAAGCGCCGGCGAAATAAGAAGGGCCGCGAGATCACGTGTGTTATCCCACGACAATAATCGGATATTAATCGTCGTGGTTCACACTTGTTCGTACTCTGCCCTCCATGTTGTTTTCCAGACTCCATGCAATTGTTCTGATCCCCAATGAACTCGAGCGTTATCTCATACTACCCCATTTGAGCTCCATACATGTTCCGTAGGGCCTCAGGGCGGGACATGGGCGTGCCAAGAGGGCGTGCCAAGCCGCGAAGATTGGCAGGCCAAACTTGGGCGTGCCCATGAAGCCTCCAGACGGCATCATATTTGGGCGCACCGTCGATGCTACTTACGCTCGAGTGAAGCCATATCGCCCTCCGTTCCACTGATTGCAATAACTACCAACTTGATGTGTCCACTTCCATGTCGTTGGACAAATTTCGCAGCGCACGTTGCTTGAAGATGGCTTGGCTGCAAGGCTTGGCTCGGTTATCTAAATCTCGTGTTATGTTTCTGGGTACAAAAGGGCAGGCGAAGAAGACGTTTTATTCGACCAACTGGTGACCTCTATCTCAAGAATGGGTATCTTCAGTCTCAGCGACAAGTCTCGCCTCAAACTCGGTAGTCGCACCAATACTACCGTATCAGTGTCCGTAGCGCCTGGTAGCCCCGATTTCACGTTAGTGGCCCCTGTTGCGCATACGTTCGGCATCGACAAGCTGTCAAGTGAATTGGGAACCTCGGTATCCGATGGCTTGACCAGAAGTGAGGCGCTGCGACGACTTGACTCGTACGGAGAGAATGTACTGGCTGGAAAGGGAGGCGTCTCGGCATTGAGAGTTTTAGTCGCCCAGTTCAGTGAGTGCCTTCTCAGCCATTTTGAGGGAGTCGCGCAGCTGACATACCATGAAACCTGTAGCCAACGCCCTTTGCTTGGTCTTGTTCGCTGCTTTGGCTTTGAGCTTCGGCGTCGGTGATTTTGTTGAAGGGGCTGTTATAGCGTGTGTCATCGCTCTTAACACGGTGTTCGTCCACCTCTCGTCTGAGCATGCATACCTTGGTCTAACTTCGTCTCCAGCGTCGGCTTCTTCCAGGAATATAAAGCTGAGAAAACTATGGATACCTTGCGTCAACTCTCGTCCCCAAGTGCTGTAGTCATTCGTGGAGGAGAGAGTATTCCTGTCCCGGCAAAGTCGGTTGTCCCAGGTAGGCAAATATGAGAGTCTCTTTGCAGGCCCGTTTCTGAGATAATGCCATCCGTAGGAGACCTTGTCATGGTCAAAGCTGGGGATGTAGTCCCTGCAGATGTGGGTTATGATCGCCCTGCCCAGACTGAGACGTGCTGACGCGTTAATGCAGATCCGCATGATATTCGTATCCAACTTAGAAGTATCTGAACAACTACTAACTGGAGAATCTATCCCTGGTCGGTGCCTTGATTCCTTCGTTAGCTGCCACTAATCACCCCACAGTACCAAAGACGATTCAAACATTTAAGGACGATGAGATCGATATTCCTATTGGTGACAGAGTGAACCTATGCTACTCCTCGACCGTCGTGACGAAGGGCCGGGGAACTGGTATTACCATCGGAACCGGCATGTCCTCCCAGGTACTATGTAGCATTTCCTTCACTTCGCTCCTTCAGAACGGTCGTTCACAAGCGCTTTGTAGATTGGGCGCATCGCTGCAGCGATGAGCGGAACTAAAGGCAGCAGTGGTGAAGACGAAGCAGCTAAACCATGGTATCTTGCTGCTTGGCACACGTTGCTCGGCGGACTGTAAGCTTCACACGGTTGTGATACATCCACAGACCGCTAATAATTGTAATCGGCAGCGGCCTACGCAATGGCACACCTCTTCAAATCAAGATGGCGAGACTTGCGTACTTCTTGCTTGGATGCGCCATCGTACTTGCCATCATTGTCTTCAGTGCAGCTAGATGGCGTATCACGGACGAAATTGCCCTGTATGCTATCGCGACAGCCATCGCTATCATCCCTGAGTCTCTTGTCGCTGTGCTTACTCTTACGATGGCTGTTGGCACAAGGCGCATGGCCAAGCAACGCGTCATTGTACGACGGCTCGACGCTCTCGAAAACCTTGGTGGTGTTACGGATATCTGCAGTGACAAGACCGGTACCCTCACGTTAGGTCTGCTATACAGCCTGTCTCTGCTGTTGGCTGTTGATTTACACGCATATAACTAGGACAAATGTCTGTTCGCAAACTTTGGGTAGCAGGAGACGCGAGCCACTCGGTAGAATATACGGCCGATACTGCGTCAAACGCGATTGAGCCTATCGGTGCTGTTATTCGCGAAGACACTGCGGCGAGGGTTGACGTCAAGAACATGGAGCAAGGTCTCGCTCAGGTTGTTCGCGTCGCATCTCTTTGCAATGTCGCAACGTACGTACAAAACCATCATTCTTATGAAGCTCGCTGACTTTGAGAGCGCCCATCAGTATTCACAAGAATCTCAAAGACGAGTGGAAGTCCACTGGTGACCCTACCGAGGTCGCCCTCCAAGTCTTTGCGACCAAACTTGCCATGGGGCGTTCTTCGCTCGTTACCAAGGAGTCTAAGGCTCCAGAATCGGCACCTCTGCTCATAGGGGAGAAGGTATCGCAAGGCCCCGAAGTTGCGTTCGCTGACACCAAACTCGAGACGTCGGGAAGATATACCATGATTTCCGAGTTCCCGTTTTCTAGCGAGCTCAAGCGGATGTCCTCCATCTATGCTGACACTAAGGATGACAAGAACGTTCTTTGCTTGATCAAAGGAGCGGTATGTTTATGGGATGACGCGCTTCTATGCTAGTCATTGCTGACGATTATGCATTTAGGTTGAGCGTGTCCTTGATGCGTCAGACGCCTATTTACCGTCTCCTATGTCCGATCCCACCATTACGGCACCCTTGAATGACTCGGTTCGCGCCTTGATTCATACTAAAGCGGAAGAACTAGCTTCCAAAGGCCTTCGTGTCATTGCCCTCGGACAACGCTTCCTTGACCCATCGAAGGCTCGCGACATCACGCGCGATGAGGCCGAATCGAAGTTCACATTCCTCGGGCTTACAGGTATCTTCGATCCGCCAAGGCCAGAAACTCTTGAGGCTGTTCGGGCATGCAAGCGCGCTGGCATCGTTGTTCACATGTAAGTTACCTACCCGTTGTCTTGAGCACTTGTTTCATGATAGTATACAGGTTGACCGGCGATCATATCACTACTGCTCGATCGATTGCAGAGGCCGTCGAGATCATCACTCCTGATGCTCCTAAGAGCGCAGTCATGACCGTAAGCAAGTTCCTATTTCACCAGAGAAGCAGACTAATGAATTGGTCGGCAGGCCGTGGAATTTGATCGCCTGTCCGATAGAGAAATTGATGAACTCCCTGAGCTTCCTCTCGTTATCGCTCGCTGCGCTCCAGAAACCAAGGGTTAGTTTGCATCATGTATGTTTGCTGAAATGCTAACATTCCGGCGCTCAGTCCGCATGATTCACGCCGGAAAACGTCGCGGAAAGCACATGTCTATGACTGGGGATGGTGTGAACGACTCTCCGGCTCTGAAGCTCGCGCCTGTTGGTATCGCTATGGGTTTAGCTGGGTCTGATGTCGCCAAAGATGCATCAGATTTAGTTCTCACTGACGAGTACGTTTGGACTCGCGCCCGTGTCTATTTGTTTACGAACTCCTGTTTAGCAATTTTGATTCGATTCGCGCCGCCATCACTGAAGGCCGACGCCTTTTCGCCAACATTCAACGTTTCGTTTTGCATCTTTTATCGGCAAACATCGCCGAAGTGGTTTTACTCATCCTAGGTTTGGTTTTCATCGACGATAACAATGCCAATGTATTCCCTCTCAGTCCACTCGCAATTCTCTGGGTGAACCTGGTGAGCGCAGCTTCTAAAACTTTGACTGTCTTTCCTGATGCAAGCATCTATTCCCAGCTTACAAGTGGTCCACCCGCATTGGGACTCGGCCTCGAAAAAGCGGCGCCAGAGCTCATGAGCCAACCACCTATCAAAGAGGGCATCTTTTCTTGGCCTGTCATCATCGACACCATCGCTTATGGAGTTGTCATGGGTGTTACTTGCCTTGTCAATGTACGTGCCCTCCTTTTGGAAAGTCTCGACGTGTTTTGATTGCTTTTATTAGTTCATAATTGTCATCTATGGTGCCAACGACGGCACGTTGGCCCATGACTGCAACCACGAGGCCTCGGCCATCTGCATCGCTGTCTTTAGAGCACGTTCGACTGCATTCGCCACACTAATTTTCCAGATTCTGCTCTATGCGTTGGTTTTAAAATCATGTAAGTCGTTCCTCAGTTGCCCCGGGAATTTCTTCTGAGGTCACTTGCAGTTGACCGCTCCTTGTTCTCCTTGATTGCTGGGCAAACATGGTACAGGCCCTACCTCGATAATCCCGTCCTTTTGGCGACTATCATTGGGGGATTGATCAGCGTCGTATTGCGTACGCTGTTCCTTTCGCTGCCTGCGTCACCCTTTCTGACATACGACACAGCTATCTACATTCCCGTTTTCAATACTCGCATCTTCTATCAGCGAGGCATTGGTTGGGAATGGGGACTTGTCATCGGCATGACGCTCGTCTTCGTCATCTTCTCCGAAGTTTGGAAGATCATGCGCAGGCCTTTGCTCAAACGCTGGATCCATCCCATCGTTTGAAGCGTATGGTCCCGACAACCAAGTAGACTCAAATCCCACTTTAGATTCCGTGGGTGCTCAAAAAATGGCTTCGAATCACGATTCGTGACGACTATGAACACACAAATTGTGGTTATGCCACTGTTTCTATCCATTCCGTAGTAGCTCCAACCAACCAAACTAAACTAAACATGTTTATGCACTTTCAAATAAAATTGTTTCGCCTGTTCCTTGTTGCTGAGTACTGCTTTAATCCAACCATTGAATCCGAGTCGCGCCGGATTTACGGAGGCTAGCGTGGGCTCGTGGGCCACGGACCGTACTCTGCGGTCGTCTTGTAATTTTGTAGATCGAGATGCTTACGTGCGCGAAGGTTGGATTCCCCCGTAGTATGACCCCCCGGCTCATGCAGTATTATTCACAGTGTCTCTAGATTCTGAGTCCAACGCGTAGTGCCATAGTAAAAACAACTGATTGCGACCAAATTCACATTCCCATCGTTCAGCTAGCATGGGACGTAGGACGTAGGAGAAGCAACGTGGAAGCTGGAAGTAAGTTCGTTTGCAAGACTCCGCTCAAGGCTGCACTTTCTCACGGCCAGTAAAGGGTGCGTGACCGCAACTTTTTTATTTATTTTAACTCTGCATTTATATACCGCTACAAGTATGCTGTGCTACTAAGACGCGGTGGGGGGGGAGGTACGCACATGTAACTACTATCCCTGCCTAGGGGCCAGGGCCCAAACCAGGCGTTGGCGGCGAGGGTGCGTTAAAAAACCCATTGGCAAAAACCCGGTGGGAGAAAAGCCGCTGGGAAAAAGCTACCTGCCGTACCCATTTGTGACGAGGTTTGGGGCCAATTTGGGGGTGGGGCCGGATTAGGAGTGGTACCCGGGGGCAATCGGAGAACTCTTGTGTAGTATAATCATATTCCCTCATCGCTCCCTCCGATGATCGCCGCGTCGGTAGAGCTCGCTGCTCATCAATATTACTGCCTACCGTACACGCAATCTATTCCCCGATCCTCTATGTACTCATATACCATTTCCTTGTTGGAATTCAGCAATCTTGGCGGTACAGGGGTATAGGGTTACACGTGACCACTGTAATATCGTGTCGCGCGCATGTATTATTTTCTTTATGTGTTTGCTGGAGTCCCAGCCAAACACAATATATCTGCTTGCTCACTCGAAACTCGCGCGACCCCACCGGCTTATTTCAACAATGTATGCAGCAATGCTTGTATAAATCATGCAAAGACGTGGCCGGGACTATGTACAACCTTTAACTTTTTGTCATGATCCAGTATGCGCTGACATTTCAATCGATTCCCAAGAAACTCCGACTGCCTAAATCCTGTCAGGGCTTTAATTAGAGGACAATATGGAGCCTCGCTTACTGAGTAGCCACCCATATATGTCGCTCTTGGCGCCACTCCTATTCTATCTACACGGTTAATTACAGCGATCGAGTTCTACAACTTACTGCGCAGACACCTCCGTCCACGTTCGGTGCCTCGCAGCCAAATAAATCCCGTGGGAAGGAAGTTGAAGCTATGCTGTAGGCGCTCTAGCGATGGACGAAGACACCGGACCATCTTCCTCTTCCAGATTCCGCCCCATCTTCCGCTAGGTTCCTAGACAACGGCCCTGTGTCTAGCACCTGGTGAACCACTGAAGCGCACGAAAAAGCAATGGGAGATCTGTATAGCGCATGGTCACCCTCTCGAGGAATATCATCTTGACGTCGACGTGGCGCGAACTATTCCGCGTTCACATTTACGCTGCCCCAAGATCAACTCAGAAAGGATCTTATACAATGGTTAACTTGCCTCGTAGCCCAACGACGCTGCTAACATCGCACTGTGGCGGGAACATTCATTAAGTATTTGACGTTCAGCGACGTCGTAATTCCATCAAGTTAGCTGCGGCCCTTTCCACAGTTTGCCAAGCGGATGCGCGGTGCGCTACGCCGTTTGCGTCCTCGACAGGAACATTCGCCACTACGTTAGTCACTCAATTTCCTCCCCGTTGGGCCTCTGAAATACGGGCAAGTCTTCTTTTATATCGCTCCTCACTTAGTCATCCCAATTTCTGTACACTGACTCGCAAGTGACCTCCGGATTGATGGCATGGGTGTATTGCGGGACGACGAGTGTGATATACGGTGGTCTGCACGGTTCTAGTTAGACAGCAGTCGGGGAGATGGGGATGCTGAGAATGTTCTTTCAGAAGACGAGTGGCGCGAATGTCTATGAACGCGATAAAGAGAAACCATCCATGCCATCGACCCGGGACGGGTTACCACTTATTAACCAAGGTCGATATCGCGCAGAATCGTAACTACTGGTCGACCGATTATGTCGAGTAGGCACCCAGTGGGGAGACACGATGTTTGACCCCGACATTCCTACCGAGGAGATGCAAGAGTTGGACGTCAAGAGGACCTACCCGCGGAAACGAACTTTGGCAAAGGACTCCACGATATGCCATTGGTAGTATACTAGACCCAGGTGCTCTCCAAATCGACACAAATGTTTTCTGTATCAAACATTAGCCGCAGGTTAACCGTTGTATTCATTTTATTTCTGTATGTTTTTCAACTCCACTTTAATGTGGGTTAAAATATGAAGACAAGTAGAAACTCTATTCATAGTGTCTTCCCACATTCCCACATTCAGGTTGTGGAAGTAGGAGGTAAGTTAGCTAATGTTCTCACGCTTACAAAGATCGATCACATTTCAACTCGTGATTATGATGTTTCAAAATGGCACCTCCACCAGCAAAGTCGATCAGAAAGCGAAACAGAAAGCGCAAGAGACGGGCTGCCTCCTCCTCCTCCTCCTCGTCTTCTTCGGATTCGAATTCTTCTGATTCAGAGTCGGTTTCTCCTCAAAAGCAGGCGCCGGTTGTCGCGACGCAAGCGCACGCATCCGAACCCTCCTCGTCCTCCTCGTCCTCCTCCGAATCGGAATCTGACGATAGCGATGTACCTCAGCGGGTAGAGCCAACCAAAGAAACGCCTGGAAAGGTCCACGTCAAGCAAGCTTCAACGCAGGAACGTTCACCATCCCCTCAGCCAGTGCCCATACCGTCATTTCTTCCATCACAAGCAGAAGCGGCGGAGGTGGTAGAACAAGAGAAGGTGCTGAAAGAGAGATTCAGACGGTTTTGGATGTCCAGCATTGTCGATGCGTTCAAGGACGATCTTGAGGAGATTCGAAAAGTAAAGTCCCAACGAGATGGCGTTGCGAACTCTTTTGACGAGATAAGCGATTGTAGGAACCTAACCTCGACAAGTCCCGCTTGGCACTGTTGATCGATTCTCTGGCATCTGGAGCAGAAGCGTATTCTTCGTCTCTAAAAGATGGTAAAGACATAAACGAAATGGAAGTTGTATTGGATAGCTGAAACATCGTGCTTAACAAAACACTACATCTGGCATATAGCGAGTTATAGGTCATGAACGGAAATGAACCGTAGCATGTAGCAGCGTCGCCTCTGGACTTCTTCCTCGTCTTCCTCGGGCTCCAGCTCGTCTTCCGCCCACTCCTTCACTTCCAGCGCGTTTCCTTCAGGCATGCCACCCAGCACGACCTTCTGAACGTCAACCAGGTGCACTAATTGCCGCAGTAAGTGATGCTTAGCGGTAGCCTCCGCAACGACTTTAAACGTGGCTTCCTTGTCACAAGAGTCCGTCTTCAGTTCTTCCCCGTCTTGTGCTTTTCGCCTCTCCAACTCGAGCGTCTGCTCCAACTTACTCGCGAAGCTCAGTAGTTGCTGCGTACGGCTCTCACTAGGATTGAGTTTCCCCTTCCCGATGAGGTCCGTCAGCGTCTCCCGGAGTTCGGGAACGGTGCGTTCTTTCTCCGCAAGGTTGAAGACGGGTCGAATCCCTACGCTGCGGAAGGGGAGGCCACTAGGGTCGCCTTTCAGCGCTGAAATATACGATCGGGTACGCCAGACGGTTTCGCGGAGGGACGCAGTTTCGATGGGTGTTTCGCCGACACCGTTCTCGGTCGCAAGAAGCTCTGGTGGCCCAGCGTCGATGAGAATCTTCGCAATTCGGGCGTGTCCCTGGTGGACCGCAAGATGCAGCGGAGTCGCTCCGTTTCGGTTGCGGATGGTTAGTGCTTCTCTGGAGATGTTCAGGATTCTCTCGACCATCCGGATGTACCCTTTATCGACTGCTATGTGTAAGGGCTACGAGCCACTAGTCAGGAACATTGTATGGGGAATAATGATTGAAGACGCACCGTACTGGAGGTCGATCTAGACGGCTGCACAAGGGCGCTCAAGACCTGATCTTGCGAAAGCTTCTTCGTAAGGAAATCGAAGAGCTCGATGGCTCCAAGTTCGCACAGATAGTGAAAGAGGTTGGCTCTGAGATGCCGTATGTCAGCCACAGCGTTGCAAGGTGATCAGTCGAGAACGTACTTCGAGCCTTGGTGCCAATCGAAGACGACGCCTCCATTCGCAAGGAGGAAATCCACAAGGGGTGGCTCGCAGTTGCGGTGAATAGCGATTTGCGTAGGGTTGAAGCCAACGAATTTGATTCTGAATGACTGTAAGCAAACAAGAAAACCGAGGACATCGATGAGCATACCGCTGTTTCATCCCTTCGGACATGAGCTTGGGTACTAGCTTATACAACCGCTTGATAATATCTAACTTCCTGGATATGATCGCTGCCGTTAGAGGAGATTCACCGAAGGCGTTGATAGTCCATCCCAACAACTCAGGAAGCGCCGTGTCGAGGTTCTTATAACGGCCTAATTTGAGTGCGCGTTCGTCATTGTAAGAGCTCGCATAGTGGCGGTATGCCGCTAGGACTTTGTCTCCATGTAAGAACTCTACGATGTTACCAGCACCAGCTGCCGCAGCCCTCCAAACGAGAGGTGTCTCGTCTTGCACAATTTGCTGAGCGTTTGGATCGTTCTTCCGAGCTAGGTCTGCGCGCTTCTTGCCATGTACGTTCAACCCGAGGTACACTCTGTCACCGTCGTTTGAGGCCCGCAGTTCCTCCTCGTCCTTGGGATCCAATTTGACGGCAATACCATAGCCACTTCGGCGGATGTATTCTTCGAGGATTTCGGGACAGTCGTATTTGAGAATCACATCCATCAAAGACGTATCGAGGGGCGAGGGCTTCTTGAGATTCGCGTACATGCTCGCAATGTGTTTGAACGCCTCGAGGTCTTTTGCGCGAATAGCCTTGACGAAATACGAAATGTCTTGAACCATCTGTTTGCCTTCATAGTCCGTAGTGACCCCTTCGTATGCCATGTCAAGCAGTGCTTTGGGGTTGATGGTGCATTCGATCTCAGAGGGACGATTGGCTACGTCTGTAAACTCGAATTCCCTTTGGTCAACCGTCATGTCACTGTCGTCAGAGTCCTCGGAGCCGCTATCATCAGAATCTGGTGGGTTAGTTAGCGAAATACTGACGTTCATCTGCATGATACCTACCAAGGTGGATATTCTTCGTTGTGAACTCTGTCTTCTCTTCTTCCTCTGTTGGCTTGTACTGAGCAGTAGCGATTGCCATAATTAGCCGGGCTGTGGACCAATGCCCTGCATGGATCGCCGCAAACAACGGAGTGAATCCTATGGGAAACGTTCAATTACGAATGTTAAACCACCCAAGATCAGCTTACCCTGTTTGCGCCAGTGGTTCTTGGGATCCCGCATGGTGACCGTAATCTGGAGCAAGCGTGACTGCGTCTTCCCGCTCTTGGGTGGCAAGCAGAGTTCTTCCAATTTGGCATTATCACCATTGAGACAAGCTTCGTAGAGTTCATCATAACTCTTCTTGAGAGCCATTGGGACTGGCGGTGCATTATAGTAGTTATCGATTATGAGAGCGTACGGGGCTTCTTCATACACTGCAGTGGCAGTGACTGCGGTGTCGCTCTCAAATTCAAGCTTTATCGGGGTCTGGCCAGCGAGTGGAGGATCAACCTCGCGCCCTAACTTAGCACCGTTGCCTTTCAATTGTGTTTGCACGTAGACAAGGTAACTCTTGATCTCCTTCAGGTTTCGGAGCCGATCAGAGGAATCGGTGACGGCGTTGTTGGCTTGTCGAGCCTTCCTCACTTCTTGGAGGGAGTCCTGGTAGGTGGCTAGGAAGGTCTCCCAGACTGACCCTTTCGTGGCGAAAGCGACTGGGGGCTCGGCCGGGGGCTGTTCCTCGGCTGCGATCCTTGTATCAATCCAAGGGATAGCACCCTGTAGCCAATCCAAGACGGTCTTCTTTCCATCGCTGGAGTATTCAAAGCTAGACTTGATCCAGACGTTTGGATCAGCACCAAACGCCAGCAAGATGTCCGTAACCGTGTCGAATTTAGCCACCGCAACTTCAATGGGATGGTGCACCTTAGATAGGGGGCCGTGAACAGCATATCCGAAATTTACCTTCCCCTTGCTAGATGCGAAAAGAATGAGAGGTAGTGGGATATACATGAATGTAAACTTACGCGACGAGGTCTGAGATTTCCTCTTCCTTGTAGCTCAGCTTTGCGCCGTAAGCCATCAGAAGGGCCACCATTGCATAGTTGCCCTTGGATATAGCTGTGATGATCGGGAAGACGATGCCTGAATAGTTCATCTGCGGAAAATCGATCACCGTACTTGCACCCTCGTCGCGTTCTAGGATCGTTTGCACAACCCTGATCTGATTTGCAGCAACTGCCCAATGGAAGATTGTATAGTAGACGTTATCAGCTGCAGATGACTTCGCGCCCGCACGGATGAGTCGTTCAGCCACCAAGGAGGCGGCTTTAGCGTCGGAGCGGATGATGGTTAGGGTGAGGGGATGGAAGGCGGGTGCATCGTAACTATTCGCTTTGGTGGCAAGTGTGACATCCGCTTGAGCACCTATAAGCAGATCCAACACCGGCACAGAGGCATATAGAGCCGCGTAATGAAGGGGAGTGAAGGCGAGGTCCCAATCAGGTTCGTTGATCTTCAATATATCGAGATCGTCTTCATCTTCCGGTAAATCTGTAGCACTGTTGGTCACCTCTACTGGGGTATTTCCTTTGTCGTCCTTTTTGCCAGAGGCCTGAGCCTTATCACCGTCATCGCCTTCGCCCTCGTCGTCTTCATCCTCTGCGTCAGTCATTTCCACGTCGTTGTCGTCGTCGTCGCCCTCAGATGACCAGTCATCCTCGCTACTGTCTCGAACCTTGGTGTCGCTTGCGTCGCCCATGACAACATCCGGTTTCTCCAACAGGCCCGCCTTGATCGCAGTAACTTCGTTGTCTTGACTCTTCTTCAGTAACTTCTGGACGATACCCGTTTGATCTAGCTGGGCCGCAAGATGGAGCGCCGTCCTGCCATCAAATAATCGGGCAGTGATACGAATACCAGCATCTATCAGGTCGCAAGCAACATCTTCGCGCTTGCACAAGATGGCGAAATGAAGAGCAGTGCGCCCAACGTGGTCACGTCGATTGACATAACGCTGCTTATGGGAAATCTTCTTCTCGACCTCGGCGTCGCCGCCTTTCTTGTTGTCAGCCGTACGGTCAACCTCGATCGCTTCGGCTTTCAGCGCCTCAGCTTCCACAATGTCAAGCTGTTCTTGTTCGTCGATCAGGGCCTTGACTATAGCTCTTTCGCCAGCTGCGATGGCCGAGAACAACCTCTCCGTGGGGCCTATGTACGCTTGTTCGCACCATTCCCCGACATCGATGGGGTTGAATGACCCAGTCATACTTTGCCGACCAGGATCTTCCTCGATGAAGCTAAAAACGTTGCAATGAAGGTGTATGGGGTGAACGCTGAAGTGCAAACCTGATTCGTCCACGAATATACGTGTCATCTTCGGTCTCTTGAAGTTTCTTTTCATCATCATCGATGGGTTCCGGGCAACACTATGGAAAATATGCTCATTAGCCGAGCAAAGGTTGTTGGCAAGAGAACTTGCCTCGCAGCAATCCTCTAAGCACTCATGCATTGTCCCAAAGAAGGCAGGGTGTCGGTGAAGTCTGCGGTTCTTGTTCTTTGGATTAAAGGGAGCTAGTGAAATATGTCATTGGGGAGCATCTAATGTTTGAGGAAGGCTGTCCTTACAGTTCATCCCCAAGTCCTGTGAAAAAAAATGAGCATACAGCCGACAGAATGGAGACAGCGGGCTTACTGTTTGGTATATCAGCTTGTCTATCCTCCTCGCGTCCCATCCGGGTCCATACGGAATATGTAGGCTTGTCACATCATAGTCGTTCATGGCAAGATCATCGAGAATTGATTTTTCGGCTTTCAGATCGCCCTTATACTTGGAACCCCTACGATGATAAGACGAGCTTTGGTTAGGCCTTCCTCGAAGATTCCGGCGGTACTCGACAAAGGAAGATCGCGCGTCCGGATCGGCTAATTTCTCCAATACTAAGAGGCGAGCTAGTCCAGTGACCCGTCCAATAGCACGCTCATAGATCTAAGCAAGCACAGGGTTGGAATCAATGTCGCCACAAGCACTATGTGTACGCACTGTGGGGTCGATGTCCTGGCGTTTCAAGGTCGGGACATAGACTTCGAACCCTCTGGCGGCATACTTGCAAAGGCGGACTTCATAAGAGGGGGATCGCCGAGTCATATCGACCGTATTGGATTGCCGCATCATTGCAATAACAGACCGGGGATTTGCCCATAACGTTTGACCTAAAACAGGATAAGGCGGACTGACGATACCGAGAAAAGAGGATTCGGGCTACCATCGTATGCAACGCAGGGCGCGTCAATGTCAAAACCAGCGAGGATCTCAGCGGGAGAGCTGTATAGACGCAGAACGATTTGCACGGATCTGTACGGATATTGGGCTGTTCGTGTTTGTTAGCAAGCTCATCATCATCATCATTATAAGAAGACCAACAGTGGATCGAGACCGTGTGTTTCGTGCGCACGCAAGTTACATCCCATGGGACACTATCCCTAACAGCTTCGTAGATTTCGTTAATCCGAACCTCAGCCTAGCCCCGTGTGAGCATCGGTCCAATCGCGTACCACTAGACTCACCTGCTCAGCAGTCAAACCGTATAAGAATAAGTCCACATCAGATGTCGGATATTTCTCCGTGTGATACCACTTCCTCATGTTTCGTTTAGAGGTCTTCGCTTCATCTGGAACAGGAGCTACGCATGCCAGAACAGATCCGCCAGCAGCGACCACATTGTCCCATCCATGCTTTCCGAGAGGCAAAGCGGAGAGTGACCCTTCAGTGAATACCGCCCAGTTTTTCTTGAAGTCTTCTAATGCCTCAACCGAGCACGGGCTGCCTTCTTTACGACGATCATCAGCCGCGAGGGGCATGATATGCTGGGCCGAGAGGTCCTCTTCATCCTTGACAGTACGAGCGCGAGTGGTTCGAATACCCGATGGAGCATCAAAAACATCGATCAGACCGACATGGATATCTTGCAAACGAGCGTTGTCCCGGTCTGTTGCGAATAGAGTACGCAGCACGGCCTCATCCTCGAGAGATGGTTGCAGGACATCGTCGAGAACGACGGGTCCATCAGGGAGGGCGAGTACGCGGTTCAGAAAAAGTTCAGCTTCTGGCGACTGGGGCATTGTGCAATGTTAGCGACAACCCTCTAGACGGTGGGTGGTTTATATAGCCCATTTCGAATATTCAGGGACCAAGTCTAGTGCTCACCCCTGAGCCATGATGTTGCCTCTAATAGCCAATCCGATCAGTGGTGTTCATGTGATGGTAGTCGGCAAAGTGGCGGCACCCGACGTTTCCCTAATATGGTTATGCCGACCTCGCGTCGTGACATATTGTGACTCGCAACTATCCACGATGTCTCACATACGTGCGAAACAGCACTTCCATGACTCGGCAGCAACAACATCCAGCTCTACATGCGGCACAAGCATGGCGACAGTGGGATAACAGAGACTAGCGCATTATGTGATTGTGACTCAATTACAGTAAGAATGGAAATGAATCTTTCGACTGGGTTGTTATGATTCGTTTTAACAAGATAACATGGGAATACGATAGCGACGATGGGTCAGTACAATCCAAGAAAGGGTATCGGGTTAATGACAAAGATGAAGGAGTTAAGGAGCGGCTATTGCTTGAATTCGAAATAGATGATCATCTAGGACCTATGCGGAGAATCAGTCCCTCCGTAGATAGCAAAAGAGGCGTTGCATACCTTATCAAAATCTTCGAGCTCTTTGAAAGTATTCGCGTAGATGTCTCGGATTTGGGGGTGTAAAGATTGTGGTTCTATCGGCCTGCCGAAAAGAAGTTTATCAACTGGATCTAAATGTGGTAGAGGTTCCTTTGGTTTCATCGCTGCGACTTCGATGACAGCCATCATCTGGGTGAGACCAAAATCATCTTTGGGTATCACTACTCGTTTTCTTTGATTGTACGGCTTTGGAGTCGCGACCTTTCTTGGGCTATCAATAGGTGAGAATTGTGTAGTCGGCGTCGCGTAGCCCGTCGTATCTGAAACAACGGAAGCAATCGATGGATTGCGTCGATTGGGCCCGAGGTGGTCGGGCTTTGCGGTCGGCGTAACGGTACCGGGTCTGGGCGTCGCCATGCCTGAGGTCGACGGCGACTTCGACCTCGAGGCGTACATGGCCTGGTCATTAGGTGCCCGCGAGGCCAACCCTGCCGAGCCTGGTGTTGCTGAGCGAGATCGATTGTCGATAGAATATTCTGAGGGTGAGACGGAATCGAACGACCCCTGACTATCAAAGCTGGCTTGAGAAACACTTTCTCGTTGCCTCTGGCGGGCAGCTTTGCCGCTCTTGATCTTGTTGAGTACGCGATCAAGCTTATCGCCATAACCATCTTTGGATCGGACAAGCATGCTATCCAGAAGATCGTTTTTCCCTGTCGCGCTGCCCTCTTGCCACTCTTCTTCGATGATATCGCTGATGTCGTAGGTTTCACCGTCAGGCTGAACGTATGAATAGCGCATTTTGTCCCCAACATCGTAGCGCGAACTTCGGAGCATCACATTGCCAGGTAGCAAGATGTCGACGCCACGGACTGAGTTCGTTTGGGTAGTAAGGATTGCTCGTTGATTGGCTTGTGTTGCGCGCCGCTGGGCGGCAATGATCTCTTGTCTTGTGAGCTGCCTCTTGCCATCTTCTAGAACCGGGCTGGATGGATCAGAGCTGGAGCCTGCTTCGGATTCGCGACTTTGATGAAGGTGCTGAAGTGCTATTTCGTCAAGAGGTGCAGATAGTCGATGTCGAGATGTTGAGCTGCGATAGGCTACAGCGCGACGTAGGACAAAGAAGGGGTCATCAGGGTTGATGTCGTCCATGGTACCCAGCAGCAAACCGGAGTCTATCGATCGGCGCTTGTTATCGTTCACCTTGCGGTCAGCGGCACGGAATGTTGGCGGACGAGGGAAGGCGTCAATAACTTTGCTGGAAGGTGACAGTTCCCGCTCTGTCATTGAATGTTAGCCCTGGCCGATTCCATGATGGGAGATGGAGTACATACCACTGTTGTTCCCTGTGTCAACGGTAAGCCCATACCGTACGCGAGATGAACTTCGCCTCTTTGACATCTTGTCTTCGACCTCATCTCCTCCATCAACGACGCCTTCAGGGATGCCAAATCTCTCCAATCCAAGCTCGATAACTTCTGCGACAGTAACATTCTTAGGGAAGATGAAGACTTTTCGTCTCATAGTCTGCGATAAAGAGGTGCTTATCGAGCTACTTGACTGAGGCCGCCCGCGCAGCGTCTCTTTCGGGACAATGGCCTCCGTAAGCGGGTCGAATGCCATATCTTCCGGGAGGTCTTCAGGATATATCACCATTTGCAGGGCAAACCTATAAGACGGGGAGCTGAATCGTTCTGGGGTGACGTTGCTCCCAGCGCTTAAATACTGCGAGCGTAGTGGCGATAGATGTGCCTCCGCTTCACCACTACCAAATGAGGTTTCAGCCACGAGCGTCTCGTCGCCTGGGAGTCCCGAAAATTCATCCTCAGAGCTCCCATCCTCGTTTCTCCTGTTCAAGTAGAACTTGACCGCCGAGTCGTCCGTGAAGTCATTCATCGGCAACTTTCTGATCGCCGGATGCATAGACAAATTGCTAGCCACGCTACTAATGCTGCCAACGCTGCTTCGCTTGACCTTCGGTAGTTCCGTAGCGGCTTCCGTCAGTGTCTCAAATACCACGAGAGGCTTCTCGGCGGATCGAAGGACTGCTGAAGCACCTCCTTCTACTTGCTTCACCGTAAGGTAGTAGTCGTTCTCGTCGTCTCCGCCAGGGAGACGGAACCTCTGGATCGCCTGCCTGACCAGATCCTCCGAGGTTGTCGAGCTATTCAATAGGACTGTCTTGAAGGTGGCCTCCGTCTGAAGATTCTTGCCCGCGAAGACACGGATAACGCTCAGGTCAGGCGACATCCCAGTTAAAATAAGTGATCCTGGACGTGGGCGCGGGGTTGGAACACCTAAACCGGGGTTAGATCCAGAATTTGAGGGACTGTGGAACGCAGATGGGGGAGCATTGAATATCGACGCTGATTGTAAGCCATACGACGGTTGCGCTTCGGGGGGTGAAGATGGAGAACGGTTGAGATATTGTTGGTACAGTGCTTGTTGTTGTTGGTCCCTCTGCCTCAACTGAGATGCATGTTGGGATACTTGCGGAGGTGTACTAGGTGTGCCAATGATGGCTGGTCCAGCACTAGCAGGAGCTGCTGCTACCAGGGGAGCCGCCGGTTCACCAGCAGGTCGGTTCGGTTCCGGGACCGCCTTAGGAGTCGCTGGCTGGACTTGCTGGACTTGTTGCTGCATGGCTGAAGCTGCGGCCGTAACAGGCGACATGAAACCTTCCCCTGTGCTTCGACTATGCACCGATCCAGAGCGATTCGAATCTTCTGAAGCCCTCGCCACTGCATCATTACTATCAAAGCTTCCAATGGACGGATTCCTGTCCTTTTTATCCTTTTTCCTGGTGAAAAGCCCACCGAACATAGATGTCTTCTTCTTCTTGTCCTTGCCACCCTCGTCGTCTGTGTCCCCTCGCTCTTTCCGTAGTTTACCTCCACCTTGTCGACCGCTGCTCCCTGAGCTAGAGACACTGCCGGAACTGACAGCTGGCCCCAAAGCATTTGTGCCTTTGCTCTTCCTCCTAGCCTCTTCATCTTCGGCTGTCCTTCGCTTTCGCTCTTCCTCTTGAGTTTTGGCAACAGCGCTCGGCACTCCCTGGCGCTCATCTCTAGCCACAGGCGGCGTAACCGTCAACTTTCTGGTTTCCGTAGCATCAGCAGGATCGATTTGCTGAGAAGCATCTGTCATCCTAACGTCTTGGTCAAGGCGCTCGCGAGAGGGTGATTTACGGACGCCATTCTGCGCTTGTGCCTGTTGAGCCATCTGGCGTTGTCGGTCTTGTTCTAATTGCTGCTGGCGTTGGATTTCCCGCTCTTGAGCCTCCATAATCTGTTGCTGCCGTTGCTGCGACTGCACTTGTTCAGCGCTCATCCCAGAAGGAGGGGTTCCCGCACGCAGACCAGCCACGGCTCCCTGCTGTTGCTGCTGCTGCTTCAGACGCGCTTGTGCCTCGTCGGTCCATTGCATTCCGTCGTCTACCTCCATGCCAGCCTGCCTATCCCCGACACCCATTCGCTGCTGCATCTCTTCTGCCCTGCGCTGCTGCTCCAGCATTTCCTCTGCTAGCCCGCGATCTTCACCTTCGTACCCTTCATCGTCCCATTCGATATCTTCTTCCTCCTCTTCCTCTTCATTCCAGACCGCAGGCGGATAGCGGTGGACGCTCAGAGATGGTGTGAACGCGACCCCACGTTTAGCACGACTGGCGCCTCGTGGGGGGACAGGCGAAGGTGATTTATTGGTCCCTCTAACGCGTAGTCTTTCATCGGCCCCTGCTGTTTCGGCTTCTGTTGCGGATGCAAGCTGTATATTTCACTATAAAGATATATTCATCATACAGACACGTAGTGTATCACTCACATCAACATTCCTATGTTTGTTCAACCTCGCGAGTCTCTCGAACGGCGTTTCGATATTCTCAGCAGGAATATAACCGACTTCTTGAGTTTTTAGGACCCGTACCAGCCACCAATAACTGTTACTGTCGTCCATCAAGAATAAGCTGTCCCCCTTCACAACGTTCGCTTGTCCTTCCACGGTTGCGGCGAAACTGTGCAACGAATAGACCAAGTCGAAATCAATGCTTTCGTTGGGTATGGAGAGGTCGGACGACCCATCTTCGTCGTCCTCGGCGTATTCCATCTCCTGGTCTTCATTGTCCGAGTCGTCTTCGAGGACAGAATGTTCTTCATCGGAGATGCCGTGGTAAGTGGGGTTGGTGGTAGAGTCGACGTGCGCCTGCATGTCAGAGTAATCAGAGGCGTCCTGAATTTGATCCCGAAGGTCGTAGGTGTCCTGCCTAGATGGTCTTCTGGGATCAACGCCTTGCATTTTCGTGGAGGGGTGACGCTAGTGTGAAGGTTTCATTCACATTCACTGTATATTCACCATGATGATCAGAGTAGTTTCCCACAGTCACACCGGGTTTCAAGGCGGAAACTCGAACATTTGCTGAGTCCTGAGCCCAAAATCCTGAGAGCCCACCAGCACAAAACCGCGAGAATCGTAGATTGTATCTAAATCACGTAACCTACTTCGTTAGACGAGCGCACAGGCTATTCTCAAGCACTGGTGATATTGAGCGAAATATGACCGTGAGAATCTAAGGGAATCTCCCTGAGTCCTCCCTATGCTTCGCCATCCTCGCACAAAGTCGAGGGCCCAGTTGCCGTCCCTCTTGCAGGGTCAGGGGCTTGGATCGTTGGTGAACGACATTCCAAGGCTCCTGCGAGTACTTATCTTCTATACCGAACAGATCTATTGCCTTGATTTGTTCGACGGCTGTCATCGTTGCTCGCATTTGCTTTGTAGTCAATCCAATGACAGCATCCATTTCATATTGGCCTGCTATCCGGCGTATAGCAGCGAGCTGTGTTGGTGTTGCTTTCATATGAAATGCCCTATAGAATGAAGTTCAGGACATCGGTGCAAGGGTGAACGACGTCACTCACTCTTCGTAAAATAATTGAAGCAACCACGAAAAATGCCGGCTTCTGATCCCAGGGAGGGACAGGTCTCCGTCTCCGGAGGACCGCGTAGCAAGCATGGTCCGAATAATTGGGGAGTGTTGCTTTAAGATATACAAATGGACGCAGAATCTGTGCCCTTCCACCTATGGATATTATACACTGTTCGTAGATATATGTACCGCACTGCGAGATGCCACTCACTAAGACATGGAATTCACCTCCGTGGGTAGGTAAGAGATAAAGTCCGGGTTCACATTCCTCAGGCAGTGGCTTTATTTGGTCGTCGCATGGGAGGTACGGCGGCCACCGTGCAGGATGATGTCTACGCCGTCTTCGCGATTCGCGCATATGTGCGATCGTAACGGTGGCGAAGACCCCGATCTCCGTAGCCTCTTCCTCCGTAAGAGACTCTTGACGTTGAATAAGTATCATAAAGGCCTTCCTGGCCCACTCCAGTTCCATGCCATGCCGCTGCTGGACAATGATTTGGGTAATCGGATCTACGCCTGAGAAGTCCAGGTCCGGTTTGATGAGTTTGGCAACCGCTAGTTCCTGAACTCGTTTCAACTCAAGCTTTTCTGCAGTGAGCAGAATTCCTATCCATTTTCTAGCCGGCGCCTCACGCTGTAGCGTTCTAGGTCGGTGAAACGTGAATATAATCTCAACACCAGCTTCAAGTCGAGCAACACATACTCGTCGTAGAACACCCATAAAAGGTTCTGAAAGTCTTCTTTCGTGACCTGGGGAACAACTATCGGGGCCTCCTCCCTCGATCCGTCCCTCGTATTTCTGACATCCGCGCCGCTGATAGAAGAGGGCGAAAGAAAATGTTTGTGAACCCTGAAAAGGATGTCGTCGACCTACGCAGGCGGACGTTTAGGCAGTCGCGTCAATAGTTCTGCTCCAACTCTACCCACCAGGATGTAAATATCACCATCTTCAAAGTAGTACTCCCCCCTAGCAGTGGCCACCGTCGTACCTTGAGACTCAGCTTTGTCGATCTCCGAAGTGGCCGACTCAATGTCGAAGAAATCTGTTTCGTAGTCTGAGGTCAAGCCCGACATCGTATCGAGCGTGTCAGATCCAGGGAGTGTCAACATGATTAAGTATGTGTGGCGCAAGGCGCTTAGTTATGGCCGCCGCTACTCTATACTCCTGAATCCTGTCATCCCGAATTTTGATAGTTATTAGTTAACGACAAAGGTGGAGCATTTAACATTCTACTACGGCAATACATTATCATTCCCCTGAAAAATATTCTGGCAACACATATGCCAATTTCTCTCTATCTTGGGGATTCTGCTTGGCCGAGCGAGGCATGATCGAGAACTTCATGGAACCCACTTCCTCGCATAAGATATCGGCATCTTCCGAGGCAGCGTTATTGTCGATGGCTTCATGCAGCTCGTCGAGAATCGTAGCGCAGACATGGCGCGATGTGTCAGCGTTTGCCTGCAATGTTTTGAACACCTCCATTGCTGTGACCGCCTCAGATTGGGGGCGCCACGAATCGTAGTCCGTAGCGGTGGCTACAAGCGCGTAGCTATGACACTGCTGAGCACCCGAAGGAGACCATACGAGAAGAAAGACGTACCTCAACTCGGCCTCGCGAGCCAGCTTTGCTTCAGGGAGGACGCTCATGTTAATCAAGTCCCCTCCCCACTGGCGGTACATAACGCTCTCTGCTCTCGTAGAGAACTGAGGTCCCTCCATGCAGACGATCGTCTTCCCAGTGAATAGCTGCACACCGCGTCCCTCCGCATCCAACGCCTTCTGCACGCGGCTCTCCAGCCAATGCACCAATTTGTTGCTGAACGGATCGCCAAACGCAGCATGGGCCACGATGCTGGTCCCCTCGAAGAAGCTCGCCGGGCGCACGCCCTTGGTGCGATCGATGATTTGCGATGGGAGGACAAAGGATCCTGGGGATATTTCCTCGCGCAAGGAGCCCACCGCTGAGAAGGCCAAGATCGCGCGCACGCCGAGGGACTTGAACGCTGCGATATTCGCGCGAGCTGGCACGGCAGACGGTGCGTGGATGTGTCCCTGCCCATGTCGCGCGAGAAAAGCGACTTTGGTGCCAGAAGGGAGGGCACAGATGATGATCGGAGAGCTTGGGAAGCCCCAGGGCTAATCGAGGGTCAGCCAGCCAGCCATTCAGATAAAGGGGCGAGACCGTACAGTCTCTGGATTGACTTCCTTCCTGTCATTCAAAATCAGTAACCGCGGGCAGCAACATAAATCGCTCACTTACACGATCGACAAGTTATCCAAGTGATACAGGCCGCTACCGCCAATAACGCCGATCAATACTATCACCATGTCAATTCCAAGTAGATCGTGAAGGCGATGTGCATTAGCTTGCCTTTCTCTGATTCCGAAGACATCCTGATGAGATTGAGGTTGTTGGTGATGCTCCTCTTCGTGCCGCGCCCTCTTGTTGCTCGTGAACAAAGAAGTCGGGAGCTCCCATTGATCACCTCTCCCAGCGACTATCGATGGCGACAGATCATCAGCCGCTGATAACGCGAAAAATTTCAATTGTTCGTCATCAGATCTCCAGGTGGTCACCGTTCACGGTTCAGAGCCTCAGTTGGATCCCACTTATCTCGCTGGGCAGTAAATTATGGTGAGAGGAATGTACGGACCCGCCCCATCTTGTTGAAACGGAATTCTTCAATGTTCTCCCTATCTACCCCTATTCGCACTCAGTAGAGGAAGTTCTCAGTTTCGTAGATGCACTTCGCATTTGCAAAGACAAACTTCTACTTGTTTAAATCTTAAAATGTATACACAGCTGAGCCCTAAGCTAGATCGTGGACCCAATCTCGCCAAATCTTATATTAGAAAACACAACTCTAGCGCTGGGAGACTCGAGTTCAACGTCGTCAGCATTATACGCAGGACACGGGCCATGAGCACCAGAATCCAACCACGTAGCATCGCGATTGTAATAATCGTTGCTTATGCTCATCACCAGCACTCTGCCACTAGGCGTGATCGTGTTGTCCAAGCCTCCTACATACGTGAACGCGGGAACTTCACCAAATGCCTGCTTGAGATCAGCGCAGTAGTTGTTCGTAATGGACTCGTACGGTCCAAAGGTTCCCATGCCGGACTCGGGGGGTGGGACGATACTGCTGAACGGTACAGGAATGTCGTTGTCGTTCTGCTTATATGAGCGACGGATCTCCACGACGTCGCCGTCATCTTCGCCGGTATCAGTGATGAACTGAGTAGTGACGGTAAATTTATGGTTGGTGTCGACCGTGCCGCCGGGGCCGAAGAACGATGGATTACCCAGACGATACGTGTTGAACTCGCACCCATCTTTATCGCACGGGTTCTCGTAAGCGTACGTGTAGTCGTATCGTTCTCCACATTCAATCTCGTCCTGGCAGCGGTACTGATTGGACGAGCTGCAAGGATGGGCCGCGCCAATCGAGGAATATGCGTTTCCCTGGAATATATCCATCTCCTGGCAACAGCTTCCGTACCGCCCTTTACCGTCAGTTTCGGAGTAGGGGGTCCACCCGAGGGTATTACCCTGGTGGATGATGAGCGGAGCAATCAGATCATGGGGCTTATAGAAACTGCACCTCTCCGTTGAGCCACTTCACGTTGCGGGGACACTGCGAATCGCAGTAGCCGGTCCCAAACCGCGCCCCGGCATTGTTATCCGCAAAGCCCGACAACCCGCCGTCAGCCTGCATATCGACGAAGTACATCCCCGCGACCACGCCGCACGGGAGCTCCGACACATCTACATCGAATGAGATCTCCTTGTTCGGCAGCTTGAATATCTGGTAGTGATTCGCGTCTGCCATCAGGAAGACGCGCGAGCCGACGTTCGTGCCGGATGGACCGACTGTAACGAAGTTGAGGCGCACGGCGTCGCTGCTGGTCGTGATCCCGTACGTGGCTGCGTAATCCGCCCCTTCCAACGCACAATTCTGCGCACACATGACGGGCTCGGGGCAGACCGTAGCATCCCAAGTATTGCCAGCGTAGCAACTGGTAAAGCCTGAGACGGTATGCGCCCACCTCCAGTTGGAATCCAGCACGACGGAGCGCGATTGCGCGGTACACCCGCCGGCGTTTGTGCAGTACTTGGTGGTAATGGGTGGATGGAATTCCGGGATGAGCGTGCCAGATTGCTGCGCGAACGCCAGACTAGCGACGAAGAGTAGCGTGCATGTCGCGGGCGTGAACATCTGTACTCGAGCCGGAGGGCTGATGCCTGTTCTTGAACAGGAATGAGATCATTTTACAGGCTTTTACAGGCTGCCAGACGAACGTATTGCGGTAATAAGAACGCGTTTCAGGGCAGAAGGTGAAGAATGTGCCTACCAAGGCCTCAATTCTCCCCTCAACGTCGGGACCGATGGGATGATAGCGCACTGAGGGACGCCAGGGCACACCTCGATGGCCAGGGTAAGCTGTATCGAGGTAGTAGATAATCCGCTTATGCGCCGAAGAACTGGCGGGGGCTACTATATATGTGCGTCACATAGTCATACAGCCTTCACGTTATACCCAACTTTGTCACCGTCGTATATGCCCACACCGGGGTACGACAAGTTGTCGAGATCCTATTCGATCGTTCGTAGCCTCGATATTTCCAACGAAGCTGAAGGATCGGTCTAGTATCATGCTGGCACGGGATAGCAGACCTGACCACTTTACCTCAGTATTGCGACAAGATGCAAACTGAGGAAAGAGGTGGCCGAGCGTCAATCCGAAGTCATTACCCCGGATGATGTAAGCCGGTGAAATCCGACAAACCACAACAGCAGGCTCGAGCGTTCGTCTATACAAGCTATCATACATCCATGATTCGAACGTACACAGCTGTGCACACGTCGTGCAGTGTCCTGGGTTCCTTTGCATGGCTATCTCGCCTACAACAGAATAGACATTTAGTGGCAGCAAACCGAGGAATACAAACGGAAGCTCAGTTTGATTGTATCCTTCCCAATATGAATATGTCCCCAATTGTCCCTGCGCGTCGGAGACCTCACACAAGATCGTCTGGTTCGGGCGATGGTGGAGAAGTGACCAGCCCTGGTTCCCTGTGTTCGTGTTTGTCGTTTCGGATTTAAATGTTCTGGCGTCGCAATACAAGCCATGCACAGCTTGGTTATTCTCGAAAGGCGACACATGCTCCTGTGGGTTATTGGGTTATTTTATTCAATACTAACATCAATCAAGTTGGTTTATAGCTTTGCGAAGTCGATGTTCATGCTGTGACTTATGTGACCATCCCTTCTCGAAAGTTGAACCGTGGAGTTCTCGCCACAGACTGATTGCAGCGCTACTTGCCGGAATATGATCATCACTTATACCATCACGGTGATGTGCAGTTGCTTCTATTTGATTCCACCTCCAGCATCTCACAAAGAATCAACGGTCAGTTTCAAGGCGACAGTGCTCCAAATGCCAAGGCGCCGAAATTCTACTACATACACTGGCTCCCGTGACCTGCTATAGCGAAGTAGTTCCGTTTGTAGGAGCTGAAGTGGTGGAATGCGGTGACCAGCCATGTCCACGAGCCATCCACTTTCACTTCAAAGCTGTTCTGAAACCTGACACGTACGAGAGTTCGAGGTTCTATAATCAAACGTGTGTGATTTTCTTTCCATAAGTTGAACTCAGTGTGGCAGTGCTCCCCGAGGTGGCCTTTGCGGATGTGATCTTACATTTTGATCGACCAATGCCTTGGTTGGAGGTTATATAAATACTTGGGCTCAACAAAGGCGGCCACTCCTTGCTCCCATATCTCCTCATGTTGTGTTCTAACAGATTTCCGCTGCCCGTAAGTTCACATGATTTCCGGATGGTGTCTCCCTCGCTGATTCCCCAATCGACAGGGGTCGCCCTCTACATGTTCGCTTGACACCGTTATAATCCCCATCCCGTCCTTTGTCCTCTTCGTGGGCATTGGCCTTCTTGTCTGTCTGCGACCGACTCTGAAACACGACTCCGACGACTTCTCGCAAGTTCGGCCCCAACGATGGTCCCTCTGGCTGCACATGTTCTTCGTATTCGCCGCCTTTGGCATGTCCGTCCTCGAGATCGTCCGCCTCGCCCTCGCAGACCGGGGCGTAGGCCTGCTGCCTGCCACGCCCGCTGCCATGCTTTTGATTCTATGTTTACTGTGGTTTGAACGGAATGGGCGCACACACGCCATCAGCGTCGTGAGCGTAGTTACTTTGATTGATGCCGACTACCTCGCTCATTGGCTCTCACCTTCGTATCTAGATGTTGCTGATATACTGGCCGTTCCTTGTTGTATTCGAGATCATCAAAGTGTTGCGGGTACATATGCTGCTGGAACTTTCCCCAGCGAAAGATACACCTTTCCCTGCCTCCGATCAATTGACGGACAACATTGTCATGGTGAGTCCAATCACATCAGATACACTTCGCAGAGTTAATGGGATCAAATCGCGCCAGACGGGGCTGTTTGCGCTGCTTATGGGCTTCGAAGCGTATAGCCTCATCCGCGCTCGACGACTCCGAAGACAGGCGAGGAGTGAAGAATACCGAAAAAGCCTCCTTTCAGCGTAATCATGCTCGACACACACATAAATATAGTAACACAAGGTCAATTGCATTAGTGAACATATAGGCCCGGGTGTCTACGCGGGACGTAGATATAATAACAGAGCGGACAATTGTGTGTATGTATTACTAGTATTTACAGCATGGATGATCAGGGGGAGTCAATAACAAAGTAAAGATAGAGAGTCGTCGTAATTGTGAGTTAATTCGTGAGTACTTGAGTCGTTAAGGGAAACTTGCGCATTTATACATCTTATCATCAATCTGGGAATGGAGAGAACGATTAAATGTCGCCTAGAGGTCCATAGTATCCATGGCTCCTGAGGAACTCGGGCGTTCCGTCTCTGAAGGGCATCGAGGCGAGTGTACGGGCTAGCGAACGTCGCCCGGTAATCATAACCAGCCCTCGGACCGACAAGGAGACGCACTTTGCACGGTTCCACTCTCTATATCAAAACACGACCAATATTTTGAAGCATGCGTCCCGACTGTGGGTTGTCCGGGTATGATTATACCTGCTTCGCGGTCTCTGGCGATACTGGCGATGACCAGAGCGAAGGCAATCCCCTGAAGTAAGACAGGGGCGCCGTATCCAGCGCGTCCTTTCTCACGGCCATGGATCGCAGATCTTATCTAATCTGGAAAAGAAATTGTTAGGTTGAAGACATTCTCCTTCTTTCTTGATCCAGAACGACATACCACCGACCACAATGACAGACAAAGTTGTAGGGATCCTCGGTAGGCGGTAAGCTCTCCGAATATCTTAATAGCTGCTCTCTAATCTTCTGGCTCCGCAGGTTCTCGTATCATTCGTGTTCTCTCTTGACCTCTTAACCACGCTATCAGGTGGTGGCCAACTAGGCCGAATGCTCGCTGCATCGGCATCGTTGCTGAACATCAAAGTTGTCATTCTCGATGTCGGCACAGCTGGACCCGCCAAGCAAGTCGTCTTCCCAGTATCTCCTGATCACACCCATATCGACGGCTCCTTCGCTGATCCAGACAAAATTCGTGAATTGGCCTCGAAAGTCGACGTTCTTACAGTGGAAATTGAGCACGTCGATGCGGATGCTCTCGATGCTATCGGAAATGCCAACCAATCTCGGCTGCAAATCCACCCACACCCATCAACCATCAAAATAATACAGGACAAGTTACGCCAGAAAGAGATGCTTCAATTTCATAAACTCCCCGTGGCACCGTTTCTGCAGGTAGATTCTACTCCTGAGTCTATTCAAAACGCTATCGGTATACTTGGCCTACCCTTGATGGTCAAAAGCCGAACTCTAGCATACGATGGACGAGGCAACTACGTGGTGCGCAGTATCGATCAAATTCCCGACGCTATAGCAGCACTTGGAAATCGCCCCCTGTACGTTGAGAAATGGATGCCATTCCGCAAGGAAGTCGCCGTCATGGTCGTGCGTACGATAGACGGCGACGTGAAATCATACCCCCTTGTCGAGACAATACACAAGGACAGCATCTGCCATTTGGTGTTTGCCCCGTTTCGTGGAGTGACTAATCGAGCCAAAATTGTTGCTGAGAATGCCGTTCGCAATTTGAGCGGTGCGGGTATCTTTGGTGTCGAGATGTTTCTCATGGAAGACGGTACAAACTTCCTTTCATCGCCCCAGCAGCTCGCGCTCAGTCATAATAGGTGAGATCCTCATCAACGAGATCGCTCCACGGCCACACAATTCTGGACATTACACGATCGAAGCTTGCGAAACATCACAGTATGAGAACCATCTACGCGCTATATTGGGGCTGCCTCTTGGTTCTACGGAGCTCAAAGTTCCTTCCACTGCGATGCTCAATATCATAGGCGCCTCGTCCTCAATGTCAGAAATCACATCATTAACTCGAGTGGCCTTGTCGATTCCTGGGGTGAGCGTTCATCTATATGGGAAGTCGGAGTGCCGCAAAGGTCGAAAAATGGGACATATTACCATCGTGGGCGATTCGGATGCTCAAGTTAGATCAAGGCTTCGCCCGTTGCTCGAAGCACTACCAAATGGCTCTCCTGAAGAAACGAACACCTACGCTCCCGTATCCCCAGGACCTGGTTCAGGATTTTCTGACGCGCATCCTCTTGTCGGAATAATCATGGGATCAGATTCCGACTTACCCGTTATGCTACCTGCAGCAAGAATACTCGACCATTTCAAGATCCCTTATGAACTTACAATTGTTTCCGCACATCGTACTCCTGATCGGCTCGTCGAATACTCTCGAGGCGCAGCTAGCAGAGGCTTGCGAGTCATCATTGCTGGAGCCGGCGGCGCAGCGCATCTCCCTGGTATGGCGGCTGCTATGACTCCTATACCAATAATAGGTGTTCCCGTTAAGGGGAGTTCTCTTGACGGGGTAGATTCGTTGCACAGTATTGTCCAAATGCCTGTACGTACTCGCATGTGCCCTCCTTGCGGTATACTGATGTACTTTCAGCGTGGGATACCTGTCGCGACCGTGGCCATCAATAACGGGGTGAATGCGGGGCTTCTCGCCGTCCGCATGCTTTCTACCGGATCACCCAGCCTTTTAATAGCGATGGAGGACTACATGAAAACGATGGAAAAGGAAGTCTTAGAGAAGGTCGACAATCTGGCAGGGGTAGGATGGGAAAAATATGTGGTCAAACGGTCATGAGGCCGCGTCAACTATATCAATTATAACTCATCTTCTAGAGACATTATCAACATGCCCGTTCCAACGGATCTGCTGGTTTCTAGAAGCACGTCAATGAACGGAGCACTCCTTCCTTTTGATTGTCTTCGCCAACGCCATCCACGAAACTTTCGAACGGAGAATGTCTGTCCGGCGCGCCCTTGTTTTCCGAACGACGCCATATGTCAGTTAATTATCCGACTTTTACCACCAACATCAATACATTCCTCCTGGCGATATTTCTCGGGTCAAGCAATGGCGACATGACGGCCCGGTCGCGTCATTTGCATCTTTCCACCCATAGTCGCCGTTGAGAAAGCATATGACCCTTGACTCTAGGTCATGTACCAACACCTGGTCGCCAACAAGAGCGTCGTTACAAAGATGAGTGACATTTTACAGGGTGCCGGCTATTTGTGAACGCAAGCTCGAGCTTGCGTGATTGGTTGTGCCGCATAGCCTTTGAGTTTACTTCTCTGCATTTTGATTCAGTCTCGTACGAGTTGTGTTCTCGTTCAAGTGCAAGTAACATGTACGCCGCTTGCGGCGGGGAACTTGAAGTTAGCAAGTGAAGCACTATTTCCGCTCGCTCGTCACATGATTTCGGATGATCCATATATCCCTTTTCCTTCCCAGTTGCTCGCCGCCATGAAGGCCTCTTGCACGAAATGACAGGTTGGTCCGTGTAGGACCGGCGGGCCGCTACTAGAGGCGTAGTATCGCAGTCGCCAGCTCCTCAGTTGCAGAACGGAGCAAGTGACCCTCCCTCTCGTAGGACTTGGCTCGCCTTGGCTTCGTCGCTGTGTCGCTCTAGCTCCCAAAATGCTCATGGACACCGCAAGAATTACGCTGCCTTGGCAGTATATTGCGTTCAATCTTAATGCATGAACAGGGCCGCCGCCAGGAAAAATCATGGAGAAGAAAGCATATAAAAGTTGGTTGCGATCGTGGTGAATGGACCAGAGTTCTATCTTCTCGTTCTCTAACCCGTCTCTAGTCAAACCAAAATGAAGTGGCTTTTCTCGGTTGTTGCCTTTTTGGCGATTCAAATTGTTTCGGTGAGTACACCTTTCTCCCCGAACTTGGAGAAGAGGTATCGAACTAATGAGCCGATGTATATCTAGGCATCTCCGGTCATCGAAAAAAGGGCCTCCGTGAACGATGTGGCCAACATTGGATACGCTACGCTCAACGGAGGGTTTGTGGCCTACCTCTGATTCCAGTAACTCAGGTGCTGAACCTTGGATGTTTAGTACAAGCGGTGGCTCTGGCGGGACCACTACGGTTGTGACATCCCTCTCTGCACTTACTTCTGCTGTTTCCGGGTCAGCGAAGAAGGTGGTTGTCATTCAAGGTTGGTCTCATGCATTCAAGAACAATAGATGGATACTGACATCCTTGTGCTTAGGTACTATTACCGGAAACACCGTAGTCAAAGTTGGCCCCAACACCACCATCGTGGGCCGTGGAGGGTGTGAGTTTGCGGATATAAATCTGCTGCAGGCTCAACTGAAATTGCGCTCATAGCTTTGGTCGGAGTCGGTCTTCGAGTTCTCGACGTCAGCAACGTCATCATTCGCAACCTCAAGGTTTCAAAGGTCCTCGCCTCAGCTGGAGATGCCATTGGCGTCCAAAATTCACACCAAGTTTGGCTTGACCATCTTGACCTTTCCAGCGACCTGTCTCATGACAAAGTAAGCTTTCCGCAGACAACTTTGAAAATATTGTTTAACCAATGTCCCTTTGTCAACAGGACTAGTAAGCGTCATTATGCAGCCCCCGGTTCATGATATTGACGTTTGCTCAACCCAGCTACGATGGTCTCCTCGATATCACCCACGGATCCACTGGTGTCACCGTCACCGGCTCCAAATTGTACGATCATTACAAGGGCTCCCTTGTTGGCCACTCCGATAGCAACGCCTCTGAGGACACAAAGATCACCGTGACCTACGCCAATAACTATTTCTCTAACATCAACTCGCGGTAAATGATTATTACTATAGGGGGAATCATCATCTGAATTGACCTTATTAAATACAGCACTCCCTCTTTCCGCTTCGGCCATGGTCACCTTTTCAACAACGTCTTTGAGAACAACAACGACGGTATCAACACTCGTGTTGGCGCTGAGCTCCTTGTTGAGAACAATGTCTGGACCGGTAAGCAGGCGCACATCTTCTTGCCGATGTGATACCAACATCCCCTTCGCGCTAGGTACCAATAAGAAGCCTCTCTACTCCACCACCGGTGGCTTAGCCGTGGCTCGTGGTAACGACTTCGGAGGAGGATCCAACACAGCCCCAACGGGTTCCTTCACCTCTGCCCCCTACTCTTACCCCCTCACCTCTACATCCAGTGTTGTCAGCTCTGTTCGCAGCAGCGCTGGTGCCACCCTCAGCTTGTAAGGGCACGGATGGATGTACCTCCCTCGCTCATTGTTAAAGATACGTAGCGAATGTATGTGTGAATGTCGATGGGAAATCGTGTTTCCATAAATTTCGTGATTGATTGTAAGAAGCTTTGACAAAGGGTCTTGCTGGTTTGGGGGATGTTCTATGCAGGAGTTATAGAAGACGAACTTCGTCGAGCAAGAATAACCGTGCGCTATATCCAGTCCTGGGGAACTTCTACGATTTAAATAGTCACCAGTGATGTTGCCCCGCGACTGCATACACATATGCATACGTGGAATGTCGACGAATATGACATACAAAGGGTCACTCACATCAATGAATATGATCCGAACGAAGGGTTCGACGAAAGGGCAGTGTACTTTCACCAGCTCGTGGCCGAATAAATGGCTGCCGCGCTGGCGAAATTGCGGATAATAGCGTTCATCTAATGTCAAAGAAGCCTACCTGCATCACGGAGGAGAGACATATGTAGTCTTGGCGGCCCGGATACTAGACCTGCAACAAAGTGTAACAGTTTTGGTCCATCCGCATATGTGCAAAGCACGCCGTATCGTCGATAGAACTCGCCTCCTTCCAGCAGATCTATAGTCTTGGCGGCCCGGGGCAGCAGCCCTTAATGAAGTCCTCCAAGTCTAGGTAGTTCCTAGTAAGTGCCGCGTGTAAATATAACCGACTCGCAACGTTGCATGTAAGACATACCGTATTATCGATGGCACTGACATCAGGCGGTGCGGTCCTCTGTCAACATCGCCCCATTCTACTGGGTACGGATAACCGGTATGTGCATGCTCAGGACCTGGCCTGCAAGATCTGTCAGAAATTCAATCTAGACAACCCACGAAACGAGCCCTCGCTCACACATACCCCATATCAACCCCACACTATCCACATGCACTACGAGTCCCCCGGCTTCAACCCAGCTTCCGCCGCCGGCCCACATCAAAGAATTTCTCCGCGAATTGTGAAAAAGAAGCAAAGAAGCAAGGGGGTTGCCAAAAGTAGATACAACATGGCAGTCCTTATGATCGTTGTTGAATTGGATAACAGTTTGTGTTTTGCGGTGGACGGCGACTTCTGCACATCTTGTACGCCACCTGTGAGTGCGATGGCATGAGAGAAAGGCCCGCACGGTCCTCGCGGTCCGTCGAGTGCGTTGTACAACGTTGGATGCCATCGTGTCTGCAGTAATGTACCAAGGATGAGGTTACTTCGAAGACCGAAGGTAGTCCGACACGTAAAGGGCTGTGCGTATAAAAAGTGGGCTTGAGGGTGGTAGAGAAAGCAGAAGAACTTGTTCCTCTATTCACAGCAGCAGCAGCAGCAGCAACAGCAGAAACCTGTTGAATCATGAAGTGGTTCGTATCTGCCATCGCTTTCCTCGCCATCCAGGTTGTTTCGGTACGGGGTTCCTTGTTGGTGGTAGGTAAACGTTGTTAATAGGCGATTTATAGGCCTCTCCTTTGGAGAAACGGGCTGGTGTCAACGACGTCGCGACTTTGGGCTACGCTACTCTCAATGGAGGGTGAATGATTCTCCCGGCTCCAACATAGAGAATCGTGCTGAAATTTTCATAGAACTTCTGGTGGCTCCGGGGGACCGACTACCGTCGTAACTTCCCTCTCGGCGCTCACTTCGGCTGTTGCTGGTGATGCGAAGAAGATTGTCATCATCTCAGGCATGTCTGACCTGAAAGTTGAAGCGCACTCACCGTGTTAACGATGCCGCACGTAGGTACCATCACCGGAAACACCGTCGTCAAGGTCGGATCGAACACCTCTGTCCTTGGTAGAAACGCTGGTAGGCCGCCTTTGCACCAGTCAGTACAGATAGGGTCCTAAATAATACTGGCGCTAGTCCTCAATGGTGTTGGGCTCCGTGTTATCAACGTGAACAACGTTATTATCCGCAACATCAAGGTTTCCAAGGTGTTGGCTTCGGCCGGCGATGCCATTGGCGTCCAAGCTGCTCATCAAGTTTGGATCGACCATCTCGACTTATCTAGCGACCGTGACCACGACAAGGACTTGTAAGTTCACCGCAACATGCACTCAACCTGGTACTAACCACTGAATACACACAGCTACGACGGTCTCCTCGATATCACCCACGGATGCACTGGCGTCACTGTAACCAACACCATACTACACGACCACTGGAAGGCTTCCTTGGTCGGCCACTCCGACAGCAACGGTTCCGAGGATGTCGCCATCACCGTCACGTACGCCAACAACGTCTTCTCGAACTTGAACTCCAGGTGCGCACGATTCATATAGCTATCGCCTCACCCCCTGAGACTCAATTTGTATACAGAACCCCCTCTTTCCGCTTCGGCCATGGCCACATCTTCAACAACGTGTTCGACAACAACAACGATGGCATCAACACGCGCGACGGTGCCCAGCTTCTTGTCGAGAACAATGTCTGGACTGGTAAGTGCCCCTGCTGTTCTGGTGACGAGTATAACGCTCACCTGTCCATTTAGGAACTGACAAGCCCCTCTACGCGACTGACGAGGGCTTCGCTGTTGCACGCGGAAACGATTTTGGAGGTGCATCCAACACCGCACCCATTGGCTCCTTTACCTCCGCCCCTTACTCGTACTCGCTCGTTGCCGCAGGCAGCGTTAGGTCCGCTGCATCCTCAGCCGGAGCCACACTCTCCTTCTAAGTTGGTTAGTGCAATAACTACTTTATAGTAAAGTAGGCCAAGCGAAAATTGTGTACCTTGATCTGTACTTCTTCCCTCCCGTGTCTTCAATATAACCATCTTCTGCCGAAGCATTGTGATTTCCAAGTCCGAAGCTTGAGACCGTGAGGTGCAACGAGGTGAACCGGAGCCAGGTTTGAATGCCTCGTATTAATCTGATAATAGAGAAACCAGCTTTACATATTTACCGGCGACCTTCATGGGAGTCAAGCGCTAACCATGTTCCAAGAATCAGTAACCTACCTAGCCGACGAAAGTTACCCTTTCGCCGTGGTCGCCAAACGATACTGGACAGAGGCCTCCGACGAAAATGGCAGCGACCCTGAAGCCCCCACCTTGATATTCCTTCATTCAACCAGCTTTCACAAAGAGACATGGGAACCGACACTGACACACCTCTTTCATCTTCTGGCCGGCTCGTCGCGGGCAGGAAAAATCAGGGAAGCCTGGGCCTTAGACTGCCCGAATCATGGCGAGGCAGCAGCGTTGAACGAAGCCGTCTTCAACCGGCCAGAATATCGACAGTCCTGTGAGTGCTAGCCTTTCCGTTGGCGGTTGAAGTGATGGTCAGTGGGCGCTAACATCAATTCTCCGTCCTCACTGGATCCAGTCACTTGCGAAAAGTATGCCCAAGCCGCACACCGTTTCTTGACCGCAGGGCCTCAGCATGGCGCGAAAATCGACTTCCAGCGCCGGAATCTTGTGGGGATAGGTCATTCGCTGGGTGGGGTTGCCATGTACGTTGCCCCCAGTTCGCCTAGAACATAACCTTTCAATGCATTTTGGATTCCAGGTCGGCCTTGCAAGGACTTGAGCCTAGGCTGCCATTTTCTTCCATAATAATTGTCGAGCCCATGTTGAGCCCGGATGGACGCCATCACCTCGAACGCCTGCGAAAAGTCCTTGTCAAAAGCGCAAAGGAACGTCGACATGTTTGGCCTGATCGCAAATCTGCTAGGCAATATCTCGAGGAGAGAATGGAGCTGCCTAGAAGACAAAAATGGGATCCCCGTGTCATTGATCTCTTTGTCGTACGTTCCCCCTGCCTTGATTCCAGCCAAAAGCGATTAAAGGCGTCGAGTACAGAAGTACGGCCTAAGATCTCATCCGGACGGTATCACCCTGGCGTGCTCGCGCGAAGAGGAAGAAGTAAGCTGAGGGGGTTCTGATTCTTGGATTCGCCTACTGATCCCCCTCCCCTATCAGGGAATGTACGAAGATGTTGAGGGCCCAACTCGCCCAGTCATTGCGTTAACTGCAGCGTGTCAGCGCATGCCCGTTCATATTGCCTTCGGCTGCGTCCCCGACTACGTGTATGACTCCGCTTCTCCGCTTCGATGCTGCGCTCATGCTAATCCGCATCATGCATCACAGTCCATTACAAGTCCATGATGCTACGATCAATCCTCGATCCGGACGTAAGTTCGCGAGTATAACGCGGATCGAAGGTGTAGGCCACCTGGTCCGTTACAATAAGCTACTCGTTGTCTTGTCCTCTTAACAATCTGGTTGCTAGGTCCCGCAAATCGCACCAGAAAAGCTAGCAAAAGTGCTGTTCGATGGACTAGCACAGAACTACGCTATGAAGTCCAAGCTCTGACATGCTGTCAATCACTCTACTCGTGACTTGTTCCCACTCTTGTTCTGGCGATGCTCAGTGTATCATTACTATGGACTAAATTCACACTTCTGTGATACTTTTGTGTAATATGTTTGCGGAGGGTGCCCATGAGATAGCAAGATCCATGATACAATGTAGTGTCGTGTAATCCAATGGCCGACTAGCTCAGCTGGTTAGAGCGTCGTGCTAATAAATATTCGAAGCATTGTCGCAATTGCTGCGCGGTTCCTGCGCGGCAATTGCGACGGTGGTTCGGATTGCAACGCGAAGGTCTTGGGTTCGATCCCCACGTTGGCCAAAGTTCTTTTTCTTGCCGGCACGACTGAAGCACTGATTAACGATCCCTGCATCTTGGGCGTGTTTCTTGCATATTGGTTGTTTCGGCAAGTAGCTGAGACCGCACATACTGACCATAGGTGGCTGTAATATTTACTGAAACTACGAACTACAAGTTTGCTACTACTTCTTTACGGGCCCAACCCCCCACTTCTGACCCCTCTTCCCCGACAATTGATCGCCAAACCAGTAACCTACTAGTGAGCGCACCCCAAGCCTCATGCGGCTGCTGGAGAGTCATCCCAGTACGCCAGAGACTTTCAACTATCTCTCCCCATACGCGTATATCATCGTCGTTGCCGTGAAGCTCGTCGAGATCAAAAAGTTCAGCGGAAGGGTGGGGAGGATCATGCAAGGTAGATGCGGGCTTCACAACGATGCGCTCCAGTCCATGCACTTTAGTGTTCTCCTCGACGACTTGGAGACTACTGATAGACGCCTTCAGCAGACTATGGAGCTTTTGCAAAGGCGTTCCAGGCAAGAGGCTTAGTCTTAACACAGCAGGTGCTATCGTACGCAAGACATTGAGTCTGAGGGCTTTTGTGTTGTTCACTCATTAATAACCTTGGGAATAGTGGATTTCAAGGAAGACTTACCAAGCGGTGTTTCATCCAGCAACGTTAATAAGCATCGCAGAATTGCCTCCCGCCATGCACCACCAGTAGCCGACTCCACTTTTGATGGATCTACGATAACCATGATGTTTTCAAGGATCTTGATCCATGCAATGGTCTCAAGGTTGCGGCAGCTCGACACCTGCATCTCAATCCACGAGAGCAAAGCCGACTTGAGGACCAGCGATGTAGTGGCTTGCACATTACAAGTGATGTTTGCCAACACCTAAATGAAGCTCAGCTCTGCCAGGGTCCTACTTGGTAGCGAATACTTACCTCCAGGATGCCATTTCTCAGCGCCCTGTCATCCGCAGAGCTCTGGTAAAGGCTAGCAAGTAGATCCCAAGTATGTCTCCGCTTGAGAACCCTCCAATCATTTGTGCTGATCATCCCATCCGACAGGAAGCGGATAATCCACCCCCGTTCCTTCTTCCAAGCGTCCGACGAGCTATACAACATACCATACAGCATAGGGATGTCATGCGTGTCAAGCTCGGGCCTCTGAAGAAGGAAACTTGACGTCAACGGGTATATAAAGTTGGAGGGGTAGAAGATAGCTCTAAGTGCATGAAGGAGGATCAATGTCGAATACGAAGGAAGCCTCTTGGCAGGCAGGTCAGAAGGAGCGTCTAGTGTATCTTTGAGCAAATTGAGGATGTAGATGACGTGTGGCCGTTCTTGCATGTCTGCGTTCTGGAAAAAGTAGTCAGGAGTCCTGCGTACCACAGGCAACGCCGCATGACATACTTGAATAGATCCCCACAACGCAGTTATCTGCATCAAGGCTACCTCGCGCATTTTCTCATCTCTGGACGATAGCGTCCGAATTACTAAACAGATAATGTTTGTTCGGAATAGTTCAACCCAAGCGAGAGCAGAGGTTGGGGGGCTCTCCGACATTGCCTGGGCAAAGAGCAAAAGTAGAAAGACGGGGTCGTAAAGGAGAGTCTCGTGTCGACTGAGGGCGCGGACCTCTTGCACTTCAAAACGGCGCCAATGAGGAAACCCAAGGCATGTCCGCAGAACTCTACCAGGATCGAGGGTACGAATTGCTTCGGAAGCGTCCGCTGAGGGAATGTCGGGCGACGACGACCAGCTAGACAATAGCGGGGCCATGGACGTTGTACGCTCAACTTCAAATAGCCTGAAGACCGCCAGTATCTGCTGGTCGGGGACTGACAAAGACCCTTGATATATGCGGACCAGAGGCTCTACGTGCGTCGGTTGGCATGTATTGGCTGGATGCTGGTGGAAAAGCGTCGACAATAGATTAATTATGGCCTCCCGGGACGACGACGACGAGTATTTGAAGAATTGCGGATGTTGCAGGATGTTTTGGAGGAAGCGATTGACTACAACAGGCTGCCAAGTTGCAAAAATAAGTCCGCATACCCAGAAAAGAGCGAGTTTCCAACCTTCAATGGGACTACTTTGACGAGTGCGGTAGATAAGTCAAGTGCATGCTTATTGGCGAGGCATTGCTTGCTGACAACGGTAAGAAGCGGTTCGACTAGATGCACTTTGATGTCCGGAGTGACGAGGGGGACTGACAACAGCATTCAGCAGAGGTAAGTAATGCGGCAAATATAACGTACTAAGCCGTATCATGGTTTGATCGCCTTCACTGTGATGATCTTCGTCCCCAAGCAAACTAACTAAACCCTGCAAAGCACTGGTCACAATGGACGAAACCACGGTCCGGTGCTGTTCATACTGGAAGATGCGAGCTGCAGCTGTCAATATTTCTGCCGGAAATGCGCTCCCGGGGGAAATGGACAACTCAGATGCGACGCAATTCGCGAATTGGGTCGCCTCGGCGGGGACCAATAGTAGCAGCGACGACATACACCAGCTACAGCGAGCTCGCATCTCCCGTGGGTGACGAGGCTCGATCGTGGCTTTCAACAGGCGAGTAAAATGTGGCAACCATCCGTCACCTTCAAGTTTGGGGATTGGCTTCCCTCGAGTAATATGGGCGTCCAAGATAGCATGGAGAACTATGGCAAAATCGTGCGTAGACCGATGCGCGCAGTTGTCCGTTCCGACCCACCGCCAAAAAACGTTATCCGGAGATGTATGTCGGTATAGGAGTGCACTGGTAATTCTTACAGTAGATGGTGACCACGATGTTTGGTGAAGAAACGACTTCAAGTCGAGTTCACTTGGTGGAGCGTCCAATCTGTGGGACCAATGCGTTTCGGCCCTCTCTATCAAATTACTGATTGAATCCGGGCTACCGGCTTCGATGTGCTGATGGCGAGCATCGTGACTGTCGTGGCCGATCGGTAAGGAGGATTCGAGCGCAGTTGCCACAATGTCTTCTAGTACATAGAAGCCGGACAGAACTGGGCGGAGAGCTAGTAGCTGCGGAAGTCTGGATCGTAGTTTCCACTCGAAACTACTATCACCGGATCTGAGCGGCCGTTTTATTGAGACCAATATTTCCCGGAGCACGGAAACAGTGGATTGACTGGGCGTATCGCTCAGGGAGTCGGTAATAGAGTCGAAAAGGTCCAACAGTGGTTCAGAGTCAATGAACTGTATCCATTTAGTGGCGCTCGAAACCTAGATAGATTATTGAGCCCCGTATCCTTGATCGAGCATTGGTGCACCTACATCGCTACTGCTTCGACTGTTGATGGACCTATTGATAGAAGCCACCCAGAACTTTGCTATTTCTGCGACGACAAGGCTGTCTTGTGCATCATTGGCATGCAAACAGTTGATCAATCGACTGAGAGCTACAACCCAGGTGAGCTGGATCAACGGGACAAAACGGTCGCAATACCATTCTTAATATCAGATTGAATGTCCTCGTTCGTGCATATTTCGTGGATGGCTTTGATATCTCCGAATGTGTACGTCTTCAGATTCATATGATCGTCAGACGACATAGCACCCTCGGCCTTCTGCAGAACAGAGGCAATCAAATCTAACGCTCGGCACGTTTGTTGACTCGCATTGGGTGGGGTTAGTAAATGCGCTACCAACTGGATGGCCCTCTTTGCGTTAACGAGAGTCAGTTCTTCGAGTAGAGAGTCAACCAGAACGGCATGTGGTTCTTCCTCAGATAGTGCTGAGAGGTCTGCATGGATGTACAACCACTCGAAAGGCAGACTGTCAGCAGGGGTTAGCCTTCGTCATATTGAACATATGATGATACTCACCTAGTCGCGGATTTGGCATGATTGGAAACGACGTCGAATCCGTCCCAAAGCAAACCAGATGATAGGTCCAGATATTCGATGAGATACTGGCACGCAGGTGGGTGGTATGCCTCGATGATGGTCACTGCCTGCCTAACGTCTACGGTCCGCAGTTTGTTGCCAAAGAACCTAAGCTGATCAACAAATTCGAAAGCTCCGGCGATACGATCAGCCGGGGTCGACGCTGAAAGATGGTGAGGAAGATATCAATCAGTTATACGTGTCGAGGACTTACGGATTTTTCTAGATTGAGCCTCAGTGATGAAAGCCTGGACTGCGACGTTGCTTTCCGACAATTGTCTTGGTAGATCGGCGCCCATGGCTCGTGATAGAGTCCTCTCTAACATGCTCACCTCCCACATTAGAACATCCTTGATGCTACCTTCCAAACCCTTGTTACTCGTGTCCTGGAAGATACGAGCAACCTCGCGACCAAAGGCTGTCAAAAACTCCAAATCTGGGAGATGGCCCATTAACCGGAACACCAACTTCCGCGAGAAGGTTATGAGAGCAAGTGTGTCGGGAGGGCTGAGTGCTTTATGCTCCAATTTCGCCTTCAGTTGTTCCAGCAGCACCATCATAAGCGGACTTGGGAAGGCGACCTTAGCCCCGTTAACGAGTGTCTGCATACCTTCCATGTAACTATACACCTTCTTCTGACACCTGCCAAAACAGTCATCCAGAAAGTTAACCAAGCCTTCACCCTCGCCGTCCGGCAGGGTAGCATGCGGTGTGCTGGAATTGCGCATGCGGAGTGTTGATGGCATGCACCGCAACCATAGTTCGGGTTCAAGTGAGTTCATCGAGCTATTGGCATTGGCTTGGAAGACGAGAGTCTGGGAGAGCGAGTGTGTAATCGCCGATTGAAGTTTAGTCCGAATCGCCAGCACATCGGTATCAATATACATCTTCAAGAGCACGTAAAGGTTCGAGCGTGACGCGGAGCCTACAGAGCTATTAAAGAAGGGATCACCTACAACCAAATTGGACATTACCGGATTTCGCGGACAAAGCAAAGGAGTCTATCTCTTGCAGCAACCCCAAAATATGCAACTGCGCCACAATAGCCAACCTTTGCGTGGCACTACGCTCTCCGGTTCGATCTACCTCAGCCTTCCCACCATTGTTTAGGCTCGACAGCAGTTTTCCAACGTCGAACTTGGCTTCCATGGCCACCTCCGGTAAGCATTTACGGTAGAGTCCAAGGAGCTTTAGTGAGACCTCGCCGAGAAGCGCCCTGCGCAAACCGGCATCTTCGGGGTCAGCAGGCAAGCTTTCGGTATGATGCACACAAGCCATGATGACCTGGAAGTCGGGGAGTCGTTTTCGTGCTTCTCGAAGGATCTCCTGCCGCCTAAGACCCCACTGACCGATAGATTCCTCATCAGATGTCACTTCATCGAGACCACCGACACGATGCTGAGGCTCCTCAAGGCCAACTTCGACCTGTCTCCACACGCGTAACACGCGCTCTAGCTTATCCAAACACTTCACTAACGCCAAAGCTACACAATGCTGAACCATCGGCTTCGCACCGGGGCCACCCAAAAGGATCTTTGTGAAGTTGGCCTTGCTCGACAGGACAGACGGAATGATGTTCTCCATGATTGTGCTCAAAGGAGGAGGGGTGGGATGGTACATGACGTGAGCCCCGAGCGTTACGGTGTTGATTGAGGGTTGTTGCATCACGAAACTTTGCTCTGGAACGGCAAGGGAAACAACAGAACCAGTGAACGCGACATTGGTGATCCATCTTGACGATAACCGGGGTTCCAGGGTTAAACTTGAGGTTGGCCAAAACCTACATGGGGACCGAGCAGTAAGGATGCGGCGGCGGAGACAGTGGTAAGGATGGGTGCATGACGCCTCAAGCTATCTACCATGCAGAAAGTGGAGGACGTACCCTGCGACAAGCTCTGGGCACGCCGCCAATATCCTTAACGCCAATTCCTGCTGCCTTGCATCCTCATTGACCTTCAACATCTTCAAAACATTGGCCAGGACTTTATTGTAAATCCTTCCCTTCGATGGTCCAGCGCCTCTGTCGTTGGTGGTGGTCATGTTTTCAACATCTGCCGATTGATCGAGAGTAACGGATGCGTCCAGGACGCCGTCAATCCCACCTTCGATCACCCGAGGGTACCACCCTCTATCTTGAAAGCAGATACCAATACCAGGTCGGGCGCATATAGCGAGAAGGAAATGGTGTATGAGATCCGCAGCAGAGTTTTCTTCGCCTTCCAAGACTTCGGAGTGATGATAAAGCTTTATCAGCTACTCAACATACTTAGCAGTGAGCGGTCACCAGAGTGTCAAAGCGTACCTCAGTTAATGCTCTTTCGTTGAAGAGCGCCACTTTGTCTTTGCGAGAAATCGTCTTGTCGCACCATAGACCTTCCCAAAGTCTTTCCAGTGTATAACTTTAAAGATTTTGAGAGCGTGAATCCCAACCGCCTTGCAACATATTTGCACTTACCGAATTACACCAGGGCTATCCGTTTCCATCCCCTTCCAAATCAACGCTAGGGCGTCTGCATATGGGGTCGTGGAAACATAAGTCTGCTTCATCGTTGTGGAGACGGAAGACACGGGTGATAGAGGGGACAACAAGAAAACAAGAGTAAGCGTTCGTATATCTGTCACATATCTCAGCATGGTTGCGGAATGGAAGACTTTTTTCCTGTACCAGGTTTGGCCAGGGATCCCTGGACAGTAGTCTTCGACCTGCGACGCATTGAAAGCAGCCTCATGATAACCTAGGGACGTGAAGTACGGCGACGAATACAAGAGCTCAGGTCACACTGACCTTGTTATCCCAACCGAAAGCTTCGATAACCTTTTGTTTTTCCCGACCCCCTGCAAACTCAGCCATTGCTACCCAAAGCTTCATACTGACCAATATGAGATCCGTGGTACTACTTCCACCACCGGATATGTATATCGAGAGCCGTTTCGAGTAAACAGGTGCGAGCAATGCTTTCAGAATTGCGTGGCCATATTGGTGATATAGGTATTGCGACGAAAGGAGATCCAAAAGATTGGCAAGCAAAGATAGAAGCGGTACTAACAGCCGCGTGGACGTCGCAGGGGGGTGCGACGATGATGATGTATAGACAGAGTCCCATATTTGAAAGAATTGGGGGCATGCAGGCGAAGCCACTAGATATTCTTGGGCAAGTAGAATTCGAACATCGTCTGCAGGCACTCGCTGAGTCGAACCAAGTGGAATAGATGGTAAAGACAACTGGTTTCGCAGCGCAGTGAGAACTGCACGGATCATCAGTCTCGGAACTGACTTCGATAAGCAAAGGGGATACCTTCAATCAAGGCCTCCTGGTCGTCCGGTGCTCTCGTTCTCAGCGTACGCAATATATCATTTGCATCCTTGAACTTGTACGTCGGTGCAGACGATGTCCCAATGTGATCTTGCGCTTTTTCACTCCTTGCTTTCGGAGCCATGGGAAACGTCGACTTGAGGGAAATTCGCGCTCGGGATAGAGTCAGAGCGAATTTTGAAGCCAAGACGGATGATAGTTGATTATATGGCTCGTGCCCAGAACATAGTATGTGCTCAACGTTGATCTGGACTCTATGGTGTCGAGAATCAGTCGAGAGATCATGTGCCCGCGCATCAACAGGAGCAAATAGGAGACAGGGGGTTAGAATTCCATAAATCAACCATACAATATACAAGTTACTATCCGAAATATCATAGAGATCGTATCTAGTACTCTCAGTTCGACACCGCTATGTGCTCTCAGCGTTCTTCACTTCTTCCATCCTTAACCATAGTCCACCCTGAAGACATCGATGAGTCGTGATGTTGATAGTAAACGCCACGACAACGGAAAACGCACCTTGACATACATCGTCAAATGAGCCCCAGGGATCACCTTTTCCTTGCCCTTGGATCCTGGGCATTTTGCCCAGTCAGCAGGGGGCTTCGACCAACCCGGTTGAACATCTTGCGCCATTTTGAAGTCGGAGAACCTTTGTAAGAGCCTAATCAGGAAGAACGATGATTCGTGGTAGGCGAACTACGGCAAGGCATAAGATCAAGGGATTCAATATGAGCAGTATACGTACTTGTTGGCCTAAGCAGATCCGTGGGCCACCATTGAAAGGCAGGAATACTGAGAGTACCTGGATCAGTATCCATTGGTGATGGAGGGGATGCAAACACTTACTGAACGGGTTCTTTGTGATGTATTTAACTCTGTCATCAAGGAACCTATCAGGATCAAACTCCAAGGCTAGATCACCAACAACGCCTCAGTCCGGCAAGCAACATCAATATCATAATTTAAGTCATACCGTCCGGGCCCCACAAATCGGTGCGGCGATGCATTAGGAACACGCTGTAGACAGCCCTAGTTGCCACAATAAGCCAAATATAATAACTATCACATCGTCTCACTCACTTTGTCATTGGCGGAATGTAGAATGGCTTCTGACCAGGCGCCTTCGCGGGGAGGAGGGTGGCATGCCTCGATGTCCTGTTGTTACATTTTAGGACTCGAGCGCTAGAAAGTACCTTTCCTGCTACACTCACCTCGAATTGAACGGCCTAGATCGAGTATCGAGGTGAGCGCGTCATTCTGCTGAGAACGGCCAAGAGACTTACACAGCAGGGTAGAGGCGGAGTGTTTCTAGGCGAGGTTAGCTCTCCCGCGATGTAAGTATAACCAAGGAAATGTGGCTCACCGTTGATGAATGCACGGAGATACTTCATGTCCCGCAAATCATCATGGGTCGGCCGTCGGGAAGGGCCAACCTTATCCAGGATTTCCTCTCTAACCCGTTTAAGGACATGTGGGTTCTCCGCAAGCATGTAAACTGCGAAAGTCAGGGTGCACGCCGTCTAGCACGGAGTCCTAATTAGTAACAAAATAGTGGATGAGTAAACGTGAGCGCGCGTACGGTGTCTCTGCCAGCAATCATGATATTCAAAATTTCGTCTTGCAAAGTCTGGTGATCTGTAAACTCCAAATGAGTATGATATCGTAGCAAGTATGATCAGTAAGAACCTTGCGTGATCTTAACTAGATGATCTAGCAAGGTCTCTTCCTCTTGAACTTCCTTGGACTCGGCGACATCCCCGACGGCAACACGGGCTTTGTGCTTAACGATGGCGGCCGAAATGATAGGGTCGATGAACCGGTTAACTATTGTCCTGTGCGGTAGTACGCGATCGTTCCACTCGAAAAGTGGCCAGTTTATGCCGTATCGTGTACGTAGCGACGTAACGTTCTGGCCCTCGATGAAAGCAGCGGCGAAGACATTGGCAGGGTGAGAGTCGTTCGAGGAAGTGATGGAAAGTGGTGAAGAGCTCGGGTATGGAAGGCCGGCTGAGAGGGAACGGACGTCCTGACCAAAGAGGAATTCCGTGGCTGAGTCAAGGGTGAACCGAGATACCATGTCCTAAATGCAAAGAGAGTTGTCAGCGACGATGCGGAGGAATCTGTGGGAAGTATCCGCATGCCTGGAAGTCGATGGGATATCCGTCAGCAAGTCGAGCCTTGCTTTGATTTAAAGCGTCATCAGCATGCCTGTCGAAGACGTCGAAGTGACTGATGCGATCCTTGCTGAAGAAAGGACGGGTCATCGACCGATGAAATCTATAGCAAACGGGCATCAGTACGAGCACATAAACGATAACCAAAGCAATTCACTTCCAGCGGTTGCCTAAATCATTAATTTCAGAATGTGTTCAACGGACGGAATGGAGATTATTTACCGTCAGAGTTGAAAACGCCGGTACCGAGCAGCGTGTTCATCTGCGTGAAGGAAACGGGTCCTAGCGATAGATAATTAACCTATGAACGCGGTCACGAATGCACGTTGCACTAACCTTTTTCGAAGTCATCGAATTGAGTTGCCAGGAGAGCCTATAGAACGTCCAACCATTAAAGTCAACGGAAGCGCTCCATAGAAAAGGGAAGAGAGCTTACCTTAATATACTGAGGTTCCGTCGTGAAGATCTAGAAGGTAAGACGGTGTTAATGTTGTCCAATACGCGGAAGCACTGAAGCATACTCTGTTTTCCGAGGAGATCGTCATGCTGAACGTGTTGCCGTATTTTTCGCACCATTCCATGAATATATCACCTGCACGAAAACAGAATCAGAACGATGTCAGAAAACAGTTGTAAAGGATAGGTACCCGGATATCCGTTCTTGAAGTTATTGACGAGCGCTTTGATAGTAGACACACCGCCCCATGAAGCCTCGATATATGGAGGCATGACGGCGCCATTGGCGGCGGCAGCGTTGCGATTTGAAAAATTGGTGTACAATGCGGATATGATCAGATATAAAGATGAAGCGATGATGGAAGCCAAGAGGACGATCAGGCCAGAGACATGCGTAGCAGGGTATAGCAGTCGGAGGCCATACGGTAAAGCAACGTATGTGACCAGAGATGGTGCCAAGATGGGCGGGAGATGTTTGAGAAGATGAACCAAACCTATTGGGATCGTCATGGTTGATTGAAAGTTGGTTTAGACGAAAGCTGGTTTAAGCGAAAGTTGATTTAAGAGGCAGATTATAAAGGTCGTAACTTGCAACCGGATAACACTGTGCCGGGGCCCTTCTGCGTGGCATCAGCCGAGGGATTCTAAAAGCACCCACATGTTGGTTCTCATGACCGAACGTGGAGAGACATCCTTGACTGAACCAAGCGCAAATCAGGTGTACATCGCCGTGGCCGAAGGCCATTTAGGGGTATACTAGCCGATTGGACGACTCGTGCTTCTGCCATCGGAACTCATAAACGCGAACCCTTGCTGAACGCCGCAAGCAGATACGGTTTTCAGCGGACGCGAACAAGCAGTCGGCACAGTACGCTCCTTGGCGATGGTCATCTTGGTTTACGTTGCGGGGAAAATTCAAATTTGTGTGTGGGGTATGTAGACCCTGAGAGGGGCATTCAGGGCGACCCCTATGTTTCCCTATCAGTACTAGTGCTCAATTTGCGCACTCGTGATCGAGGAACGACAACGCATTCAGGCTGTAAAGAAACTGAGACAGGCCAAGATGTCAAAGTGAAGCAAAAACAGTTTACAGCATACCTGCCTCCTGGGTTGAAACTGATCTTCCATCCTTCGTTCGAGTCAAGTCGTCAGTGAGCGATGCTGCGCCGCACAGTAGTGCCCGTCAACGATCAGACATATCAATCACAATGTCTTGCTCGAACCATAGTGACTGCGAGATCCATCCTAGTGTAAGCTACTGGATCACCGAGCAAAGTACTCAACATGGTAAATCTCGATGTGATGATCGATTAACTAGCATAGTAGACTTCACAGCTTCACCGTGAGGCCTGACGAACGCGAAAGCTCACACCAATGATACCCTGACGATATGAAGAGTTGATGGGGTATACGTGATGTGTGGGCTTGCATAGTTTGGATTGTGATGGTCACGAACAAGTTATGTACAAGTGCGCAATCAGGAATTGGTTAACCTTCCCACGACCAGCCTACTAGGAAGGAAAAGACATAGACTGTCGAGGAGTACATATGAGATCAAAGCGTAGTGCGCCTGTCTGGGATCATAATGATCTGCCGGAGAACAGAGCTGCAGGTATAGGGCGTGGAGTGCATATAGGATCAGGGAATAGATAGCGTGTACGGTAGGCAGTAATAATTAGCAGCGAGGTGGGGAAAACGTCTATGATGTGAACTGGGTGCTCTACCGTCTACGACGATCATCAAAGAGAGCGATGAGGAGGGAATATGATTATAATACACAAGGGATGTTGGACCGTCCGAAATACGCCTCGAAATAATGGCTATTGCAGATTTAAAAATGATGCCCGTAGCTTCTAGAACGGTACGGGTCGTTCTCTAGATGCGTGAAAGAATGCGCGGTGGAAAACTGATGGTTCGACCGCGAGCTGCGGTGCCGATGATGGTCATGAGAAGTGCCCGATCCATAGATAGGGATAGCAGTGGCCGGAGGGTTTCCGGGCGGCGGAATACCAGGGTAGGGGTTGTACGCATTCTGGATGTATGACGTATACGGTGGGGGCAAAGTCCCGGTATAGGGAGGTGCAGGGTGAGAAACAATGGGAGATGCATCGTGGAAGGGGTGGAATTCGTGGCTACTTCCTCCAAGCATGCCGGGAATTGCGATGCTGGGCGTGCGAGGCACTGATTGGGATAGGCGCTGAGGAGGAGGAGGCGAAGGGCCGGGGTATCCTGCGCGGCCTCGCAATGCGTATGGGTCGGAGGAAAGTGGGGAGGAAGGGTTCGAAGTAATGGGATGTTGATAATCCGCATCCCGAGAGACGTTGACAGGCGATGTGCCCAATGTTGGGCAGCCTTTACGATGCAACGCTTGATCCCTGGCATTAATCCACAGGTTGCATCGTCTACATTGGGTGAAGTTGGAGTGTAGGAATTCTGATGGTGCTGACGAACGGCCGTCTTGGACCGCAAGCTCCAACTTCTTTTGTTGGTGACGATGGCTACGCAGCCGCGCACGCTCATCGTCGTCAAAATCCATCTTCCCCGCAGCAAACTCGACTGATGAGCCAGATGAACGCGTTCCAGTACTCCCCTCGTTTATTGCAGGGAGCGCGGAAGCCACATCGCGGCGGGGAGCAGTTTGTGCATTCTCACCGACACCCAAGAGGCCGTGATAAGCAGCGTATGTCCGCATTCTATTGTCGGTATGTCGGTGGGGCATTTTTTGAAATTTCTTCGGAGGTAAGGGAGGAGAGTGAAACCTCCAAGCAGTCGCGCCCTTTTAAATGTCTGGGGAGAGTCAGATAACCAGACGGAAGCATACCATAGCAAATAACCTATTTGAGCAGTATTTGGTAGTTTCATGACACGACTGCTGCACAGCAGACCCTTTCCTCGCAGGAAACCGAGGAAAGGAACCCAAAAGGGCATACAGCACAATGACGGGTCAGCATCCTCCTAATGAATGTCGTAAGCGACTTGCGCATCGGTTGCGCCATGCGCTGAGCCTGTTCTTGAGTGTGTACACAGTCCGGATAGGTCTTTTCAATGGAAGCTTGCCCTTGGATCAGCCCATTGTTCGTCTGTGAATAGGCTCTTTCTAAATGGGCATAGGGCTACTCACCATCAAGAGTGGTCCGTTTTCCGCCTTTCACATCAAGCGTCCCAACTGTTATTGGTATACTTTGGGACTGCCTTCCTAGGATAATTACTCGCATGGGTTGGAGTTAAAAGCCGGCGGTACTCCTATCAATCTCGAACGAGTCATCACGTTAGCGTGTATGTGCGAATATTTCGGGTAGGTCATGGAACAGCAAGCTACGGGGACGGATTTAGAAAAGGAGTGGAAAGGTGAGTCGCCCTTTGCGGAAAGCTGCCACGCAACGTTTATTACTTCCGCTCACTAGTCCCTATCCGATTTTCCCAGCTCTTGATGCAGGTCTGGCAACGATGAAACAGCAGCGAGCTCTAGCGAGCTGTATACATAGCATCAACGTCAAGATGATCATGCACGTCCTTCAACTTGCTCGAATATTACAACAAGATAGAGCTTGTGCCGGAGCCGATATGCTGTCTACCTGTATCTCTTAGGAAGATACATGACCGATCAGTCTGATAACCCGTATTACGGTATCAGAATGTCTTACTGTTAACGTGCTGACGATGTGGTGTCACTGAAAAAGAACATGGCCGACGCTCGCATGCCTTCTCCACCGGTCCTGCTAGACGACGACCAAGATATCGGAGAATGCGCGGATCCATTCTCCTCGTGGAATGGAGGAACCACTCTCGGTATTTGTTCTCGCTAGAAGGATTACTCGCGGCCCGACGTGCTTGCAAGACCGCGGGGGAAGGGGAGCACCTAGACAGAATTCTGTAGCTCTGAGGAAGGACGGTTCGGAAATGACGTACGGTTGCTACTGCTTTGGCGACGGTCGCTAGAATGGAGGCCTGACAGGGGTTGCACTGCGTGTAAAGAGTGTATTGCAGTTCCTCGCAGCTCACCGAGGTGAGTCACCCCAACATTTACGATGACATTGAGCTGTGCCAATAGAGTCTACTCACCATGACCGCCTTATAGTCACTTATAACCCTGAGCCTGCGACTGATGTTATCCATCTAAGATTTACACTGGATGTGTCACCAAATACATCTTTACAATTTACTGACATTACAATTTGCAGTCCTTGGATCTTACAGACGGTCTGCGGAGTCCAAGATCAGCAACCTATACTTGTATTTGATAAGGTGAGTACTCACTAACGTTAGCCAGATCGGAACAGGCTTCCTTTACACGCTCGACTAGGGTCTTCTCGCCTTCCCGAACCCAAACACGAGGATCGTAGAACTTCTTGTTGGGCTTATCGGGGCCGTCGGGGTTGCCAACTTGTGTCAAGAGGTAGTCCTTTTTCTTGAGGACAAAGTCCTGTCAGAGATGGATTAGCGCGTACGAGATAAAGAGCAATTCGAGTATCATACGCGGATGCCAGCGAGGTAGGCGAATTGTGTATCGGTATCGACGTTCATTTTGACAACGCCATGGCCGACAGCGGTGGCGATTTCTTCCTTGGTGGATCCAGAGCCACCGTGGAATACGAGGTACCTTTGGAACACGTTCAAATCGTACACTCAAGATAACCAGACCAGTACTTACAAAGGACGGTCTGCGCCGCCGATTTGCTTGCTCGTGAACTGCTGGTGGTCACCGAGTAGTTCTGGCCTCAACTTGACATTACCAGGCTTGTAGACACCGTGTACGTTGCCAAAGGCAGCCGCAATACTGAAGTTAGGGCCGACCGCACTCAGTGCCTTGTAGACGTCGTAAATGTCCTCCGGCTGAGTGTACAAACTGGCGTTGTCGACACCAGTGTTGTCAACGCCGTCTTCCTCACCACCGGTTATACCAATCTCCATCTCGAGCCACAGACCGATAGGTGCCATCCGCTTGAAATATTTGACGCAGGTTGCGATGTTCTCTTCTTTGGGCTCTTCGGAGAGGTCCAACATGTGCGACGAGAAGAGAGGTTCGCCGTGGGCCTTGAAATATTCCTCATCAGCGGCGAGCATGCCATCGAACCATTGAAGCAGCTTGTGTGCACAGTGATCGGAGTGAAGGACAACAGGACTTAGAGGGTAAGGTTGATCTCAGCGGGCGTATCTCGCGTAGAGTCAAGATAGGAAGACATACACGCCATAAGCTTTAGCGACGGTGCGAACGTGGTGAGCCGCCGCAATTGCACCCGTGATCGAGGCTTGCTGCTGATCGTTCGACAATCCCTTGCCGGCAAAGTAAGCACTTCCACCTTGGGAAACTTGCAAAATGATAGGCGATTTGATATCTCTAAGACAATGAATGTCAAGTCAGTGGAGTTACGGCTGTCGAGATGTCAAAGATAAAGACCTTGCTGCTTCTAGGACGGCGTTAGCGGTAGATGAGGAGGTAACGTTCTGGGTTAATGTTAGTACCCATCGAGAGTGTAGACGGCACGAACTCACGATGGCCTACAAGTGAGACGGTACTGAGTTAAGACGCGATAACGAGCACCCCTGAAGGCAGACTCACTGGGATGGCAAACTAGACCATTCACTTAGATCGAGGCTTACTTCTCGATATCACACCACGCACCTTGTTCTCCTTAGCATAATCGAACAACTTGCGAACGTTGTCGCCGGTCAAAACGCCAGCCTGATGAGATGATTCAAGTTAATCAAACTTCCGTAATAATGCGAATGCACATACTGGGACGATATCGAGGACACCCATTCTTTTCGATGCGCGAGATGGAGGTAAGAAACAAAGAGACGATGATTGAACGGAATTCGGGATGGATCTTAAGTGGTACAGTTCACGCTCTGCGGGAATTGGCGGAGATGGTGATCAGTGCTCTCAAATCACGTGAAGCGATATTTTTTTTTTTTTTTTTTTTTTTTTTTTAATGTCTGCATTTATATACCGCAACAAGCAAGCTAAAGCTACTAAGACGCGGTGTGGGTTGAGTACAACGAATTAACGCTGCACCCGGTTGTTACGAGTAGGGTTGGTCAAATTGGGGTTGGGCCGTGTTTGGAGTAGTTCCCGGTGTTATGCAGCGACTTTGAGCAGGATAATGGTTGGTCGGGTGGTGTTTAGCATAGGGCATATTAGCCATAGAGAGGAGAGTTTAAAGTCATTCCAGGACTGGAGGGCGTGGCTACATCCACTTTAAGCTCCTTTACCAAGGGAGCACCGACAGTGGCTGGCACTGGGAAGTTTCCAGTCTTTCCAGGACTCAGAGGGCGTGAACACTCATTTAAGCTCCTTAAAGAAGGAGCACCCTCTGGCAGGAACCGTGCTGCCTTCCCTCGTCGTCGTAGTGCGAGAATGGCTGTAGAAGCCTGTACGTGGCTGACGACGGGCCTCGAGAACTGGAAATCAACCGTGGGAAACCCAGAGATGGTGATGGTTCGAGTTCGTCACGTGAAGCGATAGTTCCCGTCGGTCCGCTCAATTATCCCGACGTACTCTTCATAAAGTCAGCCTTGAAATCCACCCAGTGGGTGTCTGCTTGATTTGAATCCTGTTAGGCGAAGTTCTCAATATTTCATACAACGTCCACTTATTTCTAAGAACTCGACCAGAAGTCTGCCCTCTGCAGCGGAGTATCGGGACACCCAAAGATCCCGGAATTTGCTGGAACACGGTGTGAAATCAAATCCACTGCTGCAGGCGGCTCCCCGATATCACCCTCCGGTGCTTGAGAACTCTACAAGTATTAGAGGGTGACTAGAGTGTTTCTAGGCTCTTCTGGCGGCCCGCGTTGAAGTGTAAATCCACCTGCAAGCAACCTTAGACGTCAATAGAAATAGAGCAGTAAAGGGATTAACGAACTCATTACGCATAAAGATGGATATATATTGCGCTGGAAAATGTAACGAACATCGGGCTTCGTTGTGAGCCCAGTACTAACCTTGGGTGAGGCTCCTGAGTCCCTGAGGACTATTATAGGAGCGTTAAGCGCTCTGTACCTGGGAGTGTGTTGGTAACGTTCAACGACGGTCCTGGCATGAGCCATGCTGGACGATGGCCACAGATTTCTGGGCCAGTTCTCACTAGTAAGTGGATGCCATCTCAGCTCTCTACTACTCGATTAACGACCATCGTCAGTAAACGCTGGATTGTCGACCGCGCAACATTGAAGCAAGCCAGAGCTGACGACGTGCAATACGTTGACGACCCAGAATACCTTGATTTCTTGTCCATTTACTTTGCAGATTGTAAGTCGCATCGCATTCATCCTTGCCCTCAATTTTATGCTATCTCCTCAGTGATTTCCAAGCTTGGGAAGAAGCTCTCGCTACGACAAAGAGTGATCGCTACGGCGACAGTCTTCTTCAAGAGGTTCTACTTGAAGAACCACTACTGTGAAACGGACCCATTCATTGTCATCGCCGCATGTTGTTATGTCGCAGCGAAGGCCGAAGAATCCCCTGTTCACATAAAGAACGTTGTGGCAGAGGCTCGATCACTTTTCAGTCGTACGCCCATTAACAGAATCCCCTCTAAACGATATAAAATTGTTTCAACCTCTAGAGGATATATATGGAATCAAAACGTTTCCCTCAGATAACTCAAAACTCGCGGAGATGGAGTTTTACTTGGTGGATGATCTTGAATGTGATTTGACGGTATTCCATCCATACCGATCACTTCTGACACTATGTCGTAAAGAGGGGGACCACGACGAGGAGACTGAAGCTGGCGAGTTAGGCGTTGGGATCGGAGGCGATGAGGGACCTCGATACTGGGGATCTGGCGATGGGCAGCTACAACTGAAAGAGGGTGCCCTTCAAACAGCATGGTAAGACCTCCATTGATTCTCTCAACGATTAAATGATTCTCATTTTTGCCTAGGTTTATCATAAACGACACATACCGATCTGACATATGTCTTCTCTACCCGCCTCACGTTATCGCCATCGCGGCCATCTATTTGACGTTCATACTTGACGGAAACGCGCGAGCTACTGTCACGCCTCTATTGCAATCATCTGAATCATCAAGCCCGGATCTGCCCCAGCCGCGAAGGTCTTCGCGACAAGCCAGCCATGCCGACGCCTCGAAGAAGGTTCAAGATCCCATCGACTTCCTCGCTGGACTGAATGTCTCTTTCCCACTCGTCGCCACCATCGCACAAGACATCATCGCTTTGTACAAACGCTGGGAGCGTTACAAAGAAGACGAAAAGCCGTCTCCACTTGGGTCGCTGAGCGCAGGTATGAAGAGGTCTTTGAGCCACAGTAATGCGGGAACGCCAAGAGAGGCCAGCGTCGGGGCTGACGCCATCGTTACTCCCGGGTTTCTGTCCAGCCTATTGCTGAAAATTAGGGAGGCCAGGTGGACGGACATAGCTCACCCGGGCAGCGGGCGGCCGGTTGCGGTGAACAAGATGTTGGAGCGGGCCCAAGCCGTGGGTTGATAAAATCCTGCGAAGTACGTCTCCGCTCTGGCTTTTGCGAATAGGTCATCGGGTCGGGTACTGGGTATAATCATTAAGTCTTTCACAAAAGCACAAGCCAGTTACTACTATACAAGCAAATGGTAAAGGCATAATGAAAGAAGACGATGGTATACGACACTTGATCATCAGGAGCGAATGCAGCCATCCGGCGGACCACATGTAGTTTTTTCCCCTTCGGAGCCATCCCCATCCTCCCCTCTGTCGTCGCCCCGATTTGAGTTGCTATTTCTGGCTGGCGTCGACGTGAACACGGCGAACACCGAGATTCGGGTTTCCTCGTTGTCGAACAGGAGCTGCATATCTACTATGGTAAGTATTTGAGACATTACGAAACCACGGGAACACAGACGCTAGCTTTCTCGTTCATCATTTGGTGGCCTTTCTCTGGGAAGGATAACAGCATAATCGGGGTGAGTGATTGTCTGTTCGGTGACAAGATAAGCACATACTGATGACGGCAGTAGGTTGGGAATCATCATGATTGATGACCCTACCAAAGTATTTCATGCAGTCTTCCCTGTATTGAGAGTGTTCGCCCAGCGCAGTCAGAAGCAACATCGCAACCATGCCAGGGTAATTAGTCAACCACGCACCTATATTGCAAACCTTTGAGTTGATGCGTGTGCCAGATAATGTCGACATCGACCGGCGGCACATAATTCCCGAGTGGAAGACACATGAATCGGATATATCGGTTGGTTGCCTGGCTCCATAGTAAACTGTTCTCTTCATAAACCGAAGCTTCCTGGACCATGCGACCGATTGAACTTGACTGTTTTATCACCTAAGCACGACCTGATTAGACGAAATAACGCCGAGAGCTGCAATGTTGCCTACCGCTTGGACGAGGTCGATAGATGAAATTTGAGGAATTGCATCGTGGTCGTAATGGTCCGCCGTCAGGCAGTCGAAGGGCATTCCGGTTAAATCCCTCCAAGCCAGACTCTGTTCTACCGATGGAACGAAATCATACGAAATTTCGTCGACAAGTGCTGCCTGCAAAAGGTGATTACCGAGTGCATCAACTCGCTTTGACAAGTTGACAAACAATTCTATCCAGCGGCATATGGGTCAGGAGCTGTAATCCAGCATCAGATAGTGAATCCTTCTCGTAGGTCACCGGTGACAACATGTACGCATGCCACACCATCAAGACGTCGAGGGGAGGCACGTCCATCTGGGCTACGGTAAGGTCGTGGCGATCGTGGCGTTTCTGAGCATTCGCATTCAATCCTGTCACCCAAGCGGTGAATCGGATAACAGCGCTGCGAATAAACGCCTCGGTCGTTTCGGACGGTTGGGGAGAACCGTCATCTTGCCTCCGAGGTATTCCTCCAGGCTGCACACAGGTCTGCAGCTTGTGGATCGCCCGCATGAGTAAAACATGAGCAGAAATGGTTGCGGTGCTAATGGTGAAGTCGAAGAAATTTGGCAGGGTCATCGTGAGTTGATGTTTCTTGTGGAAATGCAACTGTACTTATACTTATGTCACGGTCTTTACTTCTTCCTTTAGCCGATGCTCCCGAGTATCACTTAAAGGCAGAATGAGCTGAAATGAATTAGTGGCGTTCCAAAAAAACCAAACTTGCTCAAGTAAAGCCGCCTCGTCATAGCCCCATTAGCAATGAACTGCATGAACATATATCTGATAAGGTCGGAATTCTTTCACTCACGTGGTAGTAGACCTAGACAACGTTCAAATTCTAATGCTTGCTTCATAGACGAAGCCGGAAGTATTCGTCCGTGCGTTACGGCAAGGTACGACCATCCTGGAATATTTGTTTGCGTGAATGTTCCACCTCTCGGGGATCAGCATCGTGCCGCAGCGCCAGATCAGTTGACTGAATAACGAAGACTAGCCAGCGTCTACTCCTATCAGCTTCGCCTTGCATTTGGTATCGTGAAGGTGGTGTCGAAGCTGTTGAATGGTCTATATGGGTCTCTGCGGTCGATTGACTCCCAGACACTTGGATTCGGAACACATAAACTGGAACGGAAATGCTTCTCTTGTCTCTCAACGTCCGCCACCGTGTCAGCTGCTTGTCCTCGGACTATAGTTTACGTACGTTTGCTCCCGGCACTTCGTATACGACGCTTCAGTCCGTTCCGCCTACCTCGGCCCCGTGCTTATTGCACCGTTTCCACATCAATCGTTGGCGCACAGTTTGTGCAAGCTTCAGGTAACAGGACTCTAGGCGTGATAGATAATCAATAGTGGCGCTATGCTGTCATCCTGGACTCAACTTTGGTTTCATAGTGGTATTCCTTGTATGTTTATTATCTGCGATGCTTTTGTTGGTTTCTCGTTCACCTCGAGATTTGAAGTAAACTCGAATCACATGCCTATCATTTTTTATCTCTGAGTAACTACAACGCCCTTCAAATAAAAACCTCGCTTGCAGTGGCCCAATATTCTGCAAATTTGCACATCTCCCAAAGCTAATAGGGGCGGAATAAGCGCCTAACAACTCCTGTGATGGTGACACGTATATCGTAAGCGAAAGAATTCGCCGTGACCCTGCAAACACATCTCATTCACTTCACCAATGGCTCGCGCTCATAGCGTCGGGGCTATCAGCTTCATATGCGGTATACTGTACTTTCTAGCTTTCTACGAGTTTATCTCGGTGCCGCTGGTCGACAAGAGTGTCTCTTATCTCGTCCTTCCCGTGGTACGTTACCGCCCTCGGTTTACAACGCGTCAGCATATCTTACTGGGCATTATTGCTCTTGTAGCTGCCATGGTGGCTCCTCGTTTCATTTGGATCATACTCCCTGTGGTCGATTGGGTGGGGGCTATTCACGTTCAGGGATTGCCCTGAGGCTTATGCAGAACTTATGGATGTGAGTCACCCATGATCCCTTAGTTAACACAAACTCATGGGGTTGGATTACTAGGAAATTTCACAAGCGAAGAATGAACTTCGAGCTAAAGGTGTAACTGTGGACTAAAGTTTGCGAGAAGTTCGATTGTTTTGCTTGTATGTTCGTCACTGCCCGCCCGGCCTCGTGCTGCCTTACCACTTTCCTTTACAAAATTAAGACATTACCACGGAGGGCTGATAATACTACGCTATCGCCTTGAAGATAAAAGTCGCGCAACATGGGACCCAAATCATCCGTCAACACGAAGCTAATCAACTCGGAAGCCAGCACATCGATAGCAACCGCCTTTTCTTTGAGAGTGCGACGACTCTTAGAAGAGATATTTATTCCACCGATTCTTCTCCCTTAGAGGCCGATTGAATAGCCGAGAGGTATCATTGGCTTTGACATTGAGGTCGGGCATTAGAAAGTGCACTTCAGTGAAAAAAAAAAGACTCATAGTGCTTCAAAAATGATTCTAGATCTGTCGGATACTTTGTAGTGTTGATTGTGTTTATCGAGCCTCTTCCCGTTACCTTTCGGTTGCAATGTTACGAGACCGTAATGGAATGGAGGCTCGTTAGTATGAAGTGCTCTGAAACTTTAGGACAGGGTCCAACAAGGAGCTAGGAACAGCGATCTCATTGGTTCGGCCAGGATTTCTCAGCCCGCTATTGGCTGTCTTGATATTTGTCTTTATTTGCTCCAAAAGAAGCTCTTTCTCTTCTGATTGGCTGGAGTGAGCGCCAGACTTCGCTGCAAGTAAGTGGTCATGTGAGCCCCCTTGATACCCCCTGATAGGGCATAAAGAGGGCACCCAAAACTAACCAGGGGCCGAATGAGGCGAACCGTAGGTTGGGCGATGAGGCCCAACCTGCAAAGCAGCACTTAGAACAGCTTGAGAGAGAGTAATTAGTGTGGGAATGGCCTACAATAGTTGCCAACATCCCTTATGCAGTGCAGGATGCAACAAAACAAGGTATGAAGCACCAAAGTTCAGATAGTTGCAATTGGGGATTCTGAACATGACCCAGATACATGTAGCCCAAGTGTTGAGTATGCACCAGTCTTCAATGGTCTCGTACATGCCGTGCTCCTAGCATCGGCCCTCAAGCCCAAGTAGAAGTATATGTCTCAACGACTCATAGAAATGGGCGCTTGGACTCCTATCTCCTGAATTCCAGTTCCCACGATCTTTCTATGCGCGCGCATACCAGGCTCAGGAGCAATCTCAGTACGCGTTCGTGCTTTCCTTCTTCACCATCTACTTTCACGCAAACTGGGTTGATCTCAGCCCGAAAGTACGGCGATACTAACACACTCAATCTACCAGTCAATAGATCTCCCATTATAAGCACAGTCAGCTAGAATGTCGATGCAAATCCTTGGAGAACAGGTGTGAAGCGAATTGGTAGTTTCCTGATGTTCTACTGATCATCTTGTCCAGGCTACGGAAGAAAAGGCTGAGAATGCGCGTCTCTCATCTTTTGTTGGTGCGCTTGCCTTGGGCGATCTCGTCAAATCGACGCTGGGACCAAAAGGCATGAACAAGATCCTGCAATCTGCCTCAACAGGAGAAATAAACGTGACAAACGACGGTGCAACTATCCTAAAATCGATACAGCTAGACAATGCTGCAGCCAAGATCCTCGTCAATATCTCGAAAGTGCAGGACGATGAAGTCGGTGATGGGACGACGTCTGTGACTGTGCTTGCAGCTGAGTTGTTGAGGGAAGCAGAGAAGTTGATTTCTCAGAAAATTCATCCCCAAACAATCGTCGAGGGATACCGGATCGCGAGCATAGCAGCTTTGAAGGCGTTGGAAGGGGCGGCGATAGATAACGCGTACGTCGCTGCTATATATCATTGGGATCTCACATTAACGCGACTTCCAGAGCTGATCCTGAAGTCTTCCGACAAGATCTCATCAATATTGCACGCACCACCCTGTCATCTAAAGTCCTGTCACAAGACAAGGACTACTTCGCCAACCTAGCTGTGGATGCGGTTCTCCGTTTGAAGGGCTCTACCGATCTCGAGCACATCCAGATCATCAAGAAGGTTGGTGGAAAGCTGACGGACTCATATCTCGACGAAGGTACGTATGCTATCCAGAATAGGTTCCATGTAGTAACCTTTCTCAGGCTTCATCCTTGACAAGACCATCGCGGTCAACTCACCGAAACGGTTAGAAAATGCCAAAATTTTGATCGCAAATACTTGTAAGTTGTGGTCTTCTGCCCATAGCCTTGGCTAACATATTCGATCAGCCATGGACACTGACAAAATCAAAATCTTTGGGGCCCGAGTGAAGGTAGATGGCACCGGAAAGCTTGCTGAACTTGAGCGCGCCGAAAAAGTGCGCAATTTCACTTGCAAGGTCCTGAGTGGCACGAGACTAACTTACGCAGGAAAAAATGAAAGCCAAAGTAGAAGCCATTGCTACTCACGGCATCAACGTGTTCATCAACCGTCAACTAGTCTACAACTACCCCGAATCTCTGCTTGCCGAGAAGGGTATCATGGTTATCGAACACGCCGACTTCGAAGGTGTTGAAAGGTTGTCACTCGTCACGGGTGGTGAGATCGCAAGTACCTTCGAGCGCCCCGACCTTGTGAAACTTGGGCGTTGCGAACTGATAGAAGAGATCATGATCGGCGAAGACAAGGTAAATGTTATTCATTGATATTTGACATGTAATGCATTAACTACAGCTCACTCTTCTGATCCTAGCTGATTAAATTCTCCGGGGTAGCCGCTGGTGAAGCTTGCACGGTCGTCCTTCGCGGATCAACAAATCAAATGGTCGATGAAGCTGACCGTTCTCTACATGATGCCCTCTCAGTCCTCTCACAGACAGTGAAGGAGACGAGGATCGTACTTGGTGGTGGCTGTTCGGAGATGCTGATGAGCTGCGCCGTCGACGAGGAGGCGCGTAAAATCAAAGGCAAGAAAGCCATTGCTGTTGAGGCATTCAGTCGTGCATTGCGGCAAATACCTACGATATTGGCCGATAATGCTGGATACGATTCGTCAGACCTGGTTTCAAGGTTACGTGCAGCTCATTACGAAGGCCAATCGGACGCTGGGTTAGGTGTGTTGTATACCTCCTTTCTACGAATTCATTTCATTGAATGTCCCGAAGACATGGACCACGGTTCAATAGGTTCAATGAAGCAACTGGGTGTCACGGAGAGCTACAAGCTCAAGCGTCAAGTAGTCCTAAGCGCGTCTGAAGCCGCTGAGATGATCATTCGGTGGGTCGTCAGGTTCGTGATTCTCGGCGATCATACTGATGTTTGTTTGCCCAGTGTTGATGACATCCTTCGTGCCGCACCACGGAGGCGCGAAGCAGTGTAATCCTGAAAGCAAACTTAATGCACGCCTTTTTATACACCATACGTCGAACACTAACCAAGCTGTGAATCAAATCATAATCAATTCCAAAAGGATCGAGATATGAATCATCGACAGCGTTCGGATAGCAATATCGCGAGCCCGGGGTAAGCTAAAACACGGACCATACATAGCCACGGGACTGAATTACGTTGGCAAAGCAAGCTGGAAAGAATCACGTAACAGGCGGATGTCATTGAGATATGTATCATGTCTTGCCAGTGGTTGTTGTTGTGAGGGCGCTTCGGTATCTGCTCGTCGTTTGTTACCTTTAAATAAGCCTTCATCAACAGCACAAATTGTAGCATTGGCATTGGGAAGGTTCCCATTCAGCAGGTACTCCTTGATGCTGCTCTGTGTACAGCTCGAGACGGCTGACACGGAACAGTGCTTCAACAGAAATAAGTTCAGGCGCGCAAATCAGAATGGAGGATGAATACATACACCAGGCGCATCTTGCGTCAACACAACCGAGCCTGGAAACCATTTTGATGTTTTGTGAGCGCTGACATGACGCTGTGAGTTTATGTATCAATTTCATCAAGGAAATTAATCCCTTACGCCCATAAAGGAGCTACAGGATCTGAGCTGTTGTCAATATTGAAATTGATACCGGGATGTAATGCGAATACACGTACCCGCAGTATTACTGACAAGCAATAGTGGTGAGCTTGTCCTTCCCCCAAACTTCGCTGTGTAGGTATTAGAGTACATCATGTGAAGAATGTATGGCGACCATACTTGGGAGTGTCCTCTTCGTTCTTACGCGCCATCCGCTATTTTTGACGAGATGTGAGCAATGACAGAATGGATGAGCGGGTGTCGGAGCTCACGAGCATCGTATTCGGACGACGGCCCATAATTCTGCGAGGGTTGTGTACTCAGTCATCTTCTCGTAGAAACGTCGAAGCTCTGCCGGAGTATCGTGTACTTCGTCGCCATCTAGACAATGCAGCGCCGTTCCTGATTCATATTGATTGGAATATTGGTAGTCCTCGGCGTCCCCGCACTCGAATCGAGGCCTGTTCACTAGAGAATAGATGGCGTCGCCGTTTCCTGCTTGTAGGTCAGCCAGTCCTTGGGCCAAGGGCTCAAACATAGTGAAGGGGGAATAGAGCGCAGTGAAGACCGCTCGTCTCAGCAGGGAATAGTCGACCAACCCGTAGGTTCTACCTTGGTACACTGGAACTGGTTGGGCCTTCACCACGTCATACAGTCGATCTAGATTGTAGGCGATTTCGGTGGCATTGGGAGCGTAGAACGCACAATCGGTTGGGCCAGCGTCTACACAAGCCTGGAAGAAGTGTTGGAGAGTCTTGTTCGTATCAAGCAAGTTGTTTGACCATAGCGCTGGTATTTCAAATCAAAATTAGACCTGACCCACCAGACCACTTGGAGACTCACTTGCGTAGTAATCCTCGGCGTCAATGACACCTACAGAGCGTCAGAAATCAGTTACACCTCCAAACATAATCTTGGATTGGAGAATTTACCATCCAATACCATGCGTCCTACATGATCCTGGGACAGAAATTAATGACGATACTCTCATGATACTGGAGATATTCATACGGGGAATAGCGTCGCAAACACGACGCCAAGAATGGTTCCCCATCTAAGCTCAAAGCCGTCTAGTCAGTGTCAACTATGACAGGCGCGATTGAATTGAGCGCACGAAAAGCCCCAGTACTGCAACTTGTCATCGCCATTGGCTCGCGCAATACTCAGCATGTCGCGAGCGATATTCTCCGTGGTGATGTGTCCAAGCGTTCCGTCGTCTTGATCTTCGGCCAAGTGTCCCATGAGCTGAGCCCGAGCTATGCTGCGTGGCAAAACCTGGGTTGAGGAGTTTAAAGCGTCCGGATATTCGCCATCCAGCCAAAGGGCCTGCTCTGAGTATGTCCTGAAGAACTTGACCCGAGGGTTTGACCGTCCAATCCCTAGACAAAAGGAGGTTATGTTTGAGGCAATACAGACGGACACGATATTTACCGCGGGGGTCCAAGCCTATGATGTCAAACCGACCGTCAAGAATTGTAGAGAAGTGAATCCCACTTCTCAAAATCAGACTAACTCCGCTACCACCAGGCCCACCGGGATTGATGATGAGCGGTCCCTGATATGAGGGCGACGTCGTAGGAAACAGAGATGGAACACGAATAATTGCCAATCCTGCCCAACCACTGCTCGGGTTTGTGTAGTTCATCGGTACCTAGCTCTTCATTTTAGCTTCAGGTCTTTCGATCCTACTGACTCGCTGACCTTCAGACGCGTGCATTGATAATGTTTGTAGCACCTCTGCCACCGGAATGTCGAGGTCGCTTCCACCTGACCATCGCTGAGTACATTAGGGTGATGGTGTTATCGAAAGAAGTATTTACTGAATTCCAGTCAAATACGTCTCCTTGAGAAGTCTGCCAGAAGCACTGGGCAAACACAGTCAAAATGAGCGTAAGACCGAGCATGCCCCCGCCTATGGCGTAGACGGTGAGGAGTTTAGACATCCGCTTCAAAATTGGGTGCGAGGAGAGTTGTGGTAAGCATAGTGATGGTGGAAGCTCAGTTTTCTTCACACAAGACTGTGGGCGTATCAAGGTGTTTCCAGTGAATGGACTTCGCAGCAATACCATATAAGGTGACTTAACAGCAATTCGATTAAAAGATCCGTTCTATCACGTCCGCGTGAGCGCCAATCAGGTTGGATGTCTGAACCGTGGCAACCCTTTCCGTATGGCTTTCCGGCAGGTGAATTGTTGAAATATTAGCGATACATGATGCATGATGGGTAGCGTTGGTATACCAGATTGGCGAAGCTAGGTAAAGCCACATAAACTACGCATCGAAGTCTTCAACTTCAAGCTGGACAAACGAAATACTCTGGATACTACTAATTGGGTGACAGTGAAATTAGCGCGGAGTGACAGGAGTCCCTGGAACTACATACCTAGTAATGTACGTGGCATCTAACGATTGACCCTCCAGGCCTGCAGATAAGGACCAAAAGCCCCAAGGTTCGCTTCGAACGGGTAGTTCATAGAAGTAGAACTCTTCTGGAGGTGTGGCCTGAAACGTAATACCAGCGCCTGAAGGATAATCAATGGTACCGCAGACTGGCAAGAGAAGCAACTCATGAGGTTGTAGAGAGACCTGTTCATTCATATCACCTACCTAAGATCAGGTCCGAGAGGCGCAGCTCACCATGACCTTGGCCGTATTCACGAATCACCTGCGGTGCCAACCGTAGGAGGAGTTGAATCGCCCCCGCGCTATCAGCAAGCATGCGCCCATTCAAACGACGCTGTATAGAAGCATTATCGGTGTTTCGAAATGTGTACCTGCGGAGATGAGAATCTTATTCCGTCAAGCAAACGCTCCCTGCATACCTTGTTATGTTCCCAGGCAAGTTCACTATGTCATCGTCCTGAACGCTCGGGAGAGCGAGCGTTACTTGGTCTTCAATGATGGCTAGCGTATGATTATCTAGGTGAGAGGTGTCTTGGATATTCACCAGGCGAACAAACTGTTCCTGTCGAACGTAGCCAATGTCGAACAGTTTGGCTGCCCATGCTTGCCTCGGGCGAATGTACATAAAATGTTGCAAACCTTCAACAGCCAAAAGCCTTTTGCGTATGGTAGGAAACGAGACCGTTGAGGGCGGGGAGAGGGCGCCAAGACTGTCACTGAGATCTAGTATTCGTTGCACCATGTTGGAAAAATCAACGCATGGATCCCATGCGGCAAGTCGTAGTAAGGGCCTCAAGTGTGCGAATGGCCGGCATTCTCCCACTGCTGTTGCCGTGCCGAAACATGAAAGATTAGCGCTAGCAGAACTCTGAATCTAATCATTCCTACCTTTCCAACATTCGAACGGGAACACGGGTTGATCATCAAAGAAAAGCTGTAGAGCTGCGCGTCTACGACAGTGATTATATGGGATAGCAGATGAAGTACACACCTGTTCCACGAGCATATAGAACAACCCTAGAAGCCTGTCGAGTTGATCTTTACGTGGCTTCCCCCTTTCTGGCGCTTTCATCACGATATTGCGGCCGAGGACTGGGGACCCTTGTTGATCCACCATGATGTTAGACACCTGCCATGATTAAGTTTGAGTCCATATCTTGCTTCAATTGCGTTCGTACCTTTGCAAATTCATCCAACTCGGTAGGATGGAGTTGAAAGTGGGTTCCTATATGTCTGAGAGCAGACTAGGTGACGACATGAGCTCGAATGCGTCCACGGAGTATAAGGGGGATGTACCGATACACCTCGAAGCTACAGTGATCAAATTAGTTACAGTATATGTGAAGAAGAAGATCGGCTCACAATACTTAGAGCATTAAGAAACGACGCACCCACGCTTTGCTGCTCTAGACGCTGACGAAAGACAAGAGCTGCATTGCCGTATTGAGCTATAGTCAATAGGATTAAGTGGAGTTGAATAGGGAGGGAGTATTTAATCACCGTCTGATAGTACGACGTATGGATGGGGATGGTCGGCGGGTGAACATCCCAGATATCGAACGATGCCGGGATGCCTAGACTTAACGTCGTGAGTATGATCAAGAGCCTATGATGTTTGGCTACCTTAAGACCATCCATGTCGCCTTCTCCCGAAGGAACTCCTGTAACCGCGTATCAATGTAATCCGTGTTCAACGGTCATGAAACTGCCACCTTTAGTGAATCCTCGTCGTCATAGTGGTATCGCTTGCAAATGATCACTTTGTTGTTGTGTCGCCCACGGATTAGGGTGCCATAATTGAATCCACGGGCGTTCATATCTATATCATCCTCAATTTGGCTTGACGGAATGACTTCGGAATCCTGATTTCCCTGGAGTCGTTGACTGAGACTTTGAAGTACAGAAGAATTATGAAGTGTTTCTTTTATCTAGAAATAGGTTTAGCGAAAGCCGATGACCGTACGTTCACGAGGAGTCACCTACTTGAAAAGACTTGAATGCATCTTCGAGGCGCGCTGTCTGTATATCGATTTGCTGACGGATGGAGAACCGCTTCAATAAAAACATGAACCATGAGACCCGGGATAGTTGACGCATAAGATTTGCTATGTCAAGGAGTGTCCTTATTATCGCAATCAGAACGATGAGCCCTAGTCAGAGAAGATGAATTGCACCAACTCGGATAAACTAATGATGTTCAACTCAGATATTGTGGATGGTGGGGCTTGATTCATGACCCCAACATAAATTGAATAAACAATGCTTGTTGCCCTCATCGCGAGAATAATGCATGATTCCTTGAGCACCCTGGCAGTCTGCAAACGGCAACGTTAGTCCATCTAGATAATGCATGATATATGATCAAACGGCGGCTCACTTCGACTTCAGCCAAAACTTTGGTGGCCGCTGACAGCACCGGTCCGAGAATAGGTACGGGAGCAGAAGATGCAATGTCCAGGATGGCTTTGAAGTTGGCTAGTACGTTATCTGTAGTCCGATTGCGAGCAGCTGACATGGTGGCAGAAGGAAGTGAGAAAATGGGTAGATACCCATCCCATCCTCCTTTTCTGCTTTACGGCCTACAGGATTGGATATAATTACCTGGCGACTGGGCTGCAGTAGCCCATATAAGCCAATAACAGCTTCAGCTGCTTTCCACGATGTCAAAGGCAAGGTATCAACACATGTTCTTGATATTTGGCTGCTTGTGGAGGAGATATAGCGCTGAGATGATATCAAGGGCCCTGAACCGTGGACGCGAATGGCATGGGCTTGGGAATATTGAATAGTAGAGAGATAGAGGAATACTTGCCAGGGCAAATAACTTCTTGCTTCGAATATAAGGGAAGATCCTGTAGTCCTGAGGGAATGTGAGATAAAGAATATACCTAAGTCAATACGAAGCAGTGTGCAGGACAAGGCCGCTCGACGCCTTCAGCAGCCACAGATGCCCCGCCCGATAATCGTCGTACAGCTTGGATATATCCGGCTTATCAGGATGTGTTACTTACCATGTTTTCAAGGCGGCTTTATTCTATTAATCCAGGGTCAAGTATTTTCGGGACGCCAGTAATCCTCAGTCCTTCGATGAGGCGCCGGTAAGATGTCAGCTGAGCAACGGAATGAATAGATGAAATACGAGTAACTATAAGTATGGCTGAATGTTGAATGAGGGAGCAGCAACTCACAATGACTCTACCAAATTTCTTCGATTTCACTCTCAGTACGTCCACTATCTCGGCCCATGTTTTATTCATGCGCGCGGTCTACAAGCTGCAGACCAGCGTGCAGCCGGGAGGAATACCTCGGAGGTATGAAGATGGTGCCCCACAGCCGTCAGAGCAGACCGTGTCATTCCTTCGCAACGCCGTTGTCCGATTCACAACTTGGGCCCTGCGGTTGCCAACTGGTCTCAACATAGCCCGCGGATTCACCGTAGGCGAACTCGAAATTCCTCCCCTCGACGTTTTAATGGTGTGGCATGCGTATATGCTGTCCCCAGTGACCTACGAGAAGGATTCATTGGCTAGTACCGGTCTGCAGCTATTGACACACATGCCTCTGGACAGGATTGTTTGTCCCACCATTTGATAGCGGGATATGTCGATACTTACCGTTGTGATAGGCAGTACTCGTTGACGAGGCTTCGTATGATTTCGTGCCAACTATGGCGCAAAGCGAAGCTTGGAGGAAGCTCACGGAAATGCCCTTCGACTGCACGACGCCGCACGACTACGATTTCGATGGTATGTCACGCATTGCGTCCATTGACCTCGGACAGGCGGTGGGAGCGATTCCACTGTTCAACAACGGAAGGATGCTAATCCAGGTACAGGTGATGCGGCAGTCTAGCTCCATTGGTCCGATGATCAACGAAGCTTCAGTTTATGAAGAAAATGGCCTGCCCTGGAGCCAGACAGTCAATCGCTACGTCCGATTCATGTGCCTTCCGCTTGAAGCGCCGGTGCCACCGGTTGATGTCGATATCATTTGGCATACGCATCAACTCAAAGGCGCACAATACAGGCGAGTGATAGCCTTCGTACGTCTCGATTGGCTCATGTTGATCATGGACACGGATTCTAGAGAGGACTGCATCAAGTACTTTGGCAGAGTCATCAACCACGACGACTCCAAGCCTGCGGACGTCGTTAGTAAGTGTCACGCGCCTCGACCATGCAAACTAGGCACTCACCACCGTTGCCTGCAGGAAAAGGCCGGAAGATGATGAATGAGCAAGCAAAGCTCCTGTATGACAGCGGAGACACCAGTATCACCGTCTTTACCGTCTTTACATCTACACCAGTAGACGAAGGCTCTGGGAATGGTGGGGGGCAGGGCGGAGGTAATGGAGGAGGAAACGGGGGAGAAGGTACTAAATGCGGAGGACCACCATCTGGTTGCATACGCTATTGATCACGATTCCTTTGTTTGTTTAAACATCAGCTGTTTTGTAGTATAGTACTTGAACCCACTGTAATCGCACCCGGTATTGAGCTCGACAGTTGCGAGCGAATGAACATGAGGGTCGTCATAAAATTCATCGGACGATGAAAGAAACTTATGCGACCATACAGTTCCATCTCGGGCGCAGCTGATCAAGCATTGATTGGACGAGTCTCTGGGGTTCCTTGCCCATGAACCTAGTTGCGCCGCTGGACAGTGGTGCCAACAAAGATAGCTCCTTGACACTCTAGCCCCACTTCCACAGAGACTCCACTCGCGGGAGTAGATAATGCGGCGCCAGTAGCGCAAACCTTGTTTTTTAGTAGTAATTGCCCGTGCGCCACAGAAAGCTGGTCTTTAGCCAGCTAGGTAGTAGTTGGGCATGGGCCCTTGGAAGGATAGACTGGGAAAGCAACATGAAACCGTATGAACTGAAGGTCATCGGTCTACTGTTTCAAAAAATCTAAGAAGAAGGCTGGCACGGCGGACCTACCGTACACAGGAAAGTAGCCCGTCAAGTTTGATCAGCTGATTAGAGCAGAGACCAGTGCAGCATTATCGTGTTCGGAGTGCTGGACTCGGGAGAGGCGAAATGGACGTTAACGTGAAGTTTGACTCTGAAGTTAGGGTGTCAATGAATGAAATCCCACGGTCATTATAATTTACTCACGGTCAGTACACCAATCAGGTACAGAGTCGCAGTAGTTTCCTGTTCATCATCATATTCTTGACACGTCGACGCGGACTTTCTCCAGCAAATTTTGTCTCCTCAGAGGCCAGGTTGCCTTCAAACCATACGACAGCCATGTCGGGCACCGTACGAGCGCGCCGCCCCGCTTCACCACCTCCGAAACTCACTCAACCTCCCCCTCGACTTCCACATGCCAGACAAGATTACATGGATGCTGACGAGCGCAGGCTTGCTGCATCGCAAGGATTGGGGCCCGGTCGCTCAAAAATCTATCCTTTAGGTGGCTTGAACGTGACAAGCGGTGAATGGAAGTTGTTGTTCTTGATTGTTTTGGTCGCAGCAGGTGTTCGACTGTTCAGGCTTTCGAAACCGAATAGTGTGGTGTAAGTGCCAAGTTGTTTTGCTAGAATCTCACTGAGGGGCGTAGCTTTGATGAGGTACACTTTGGTAAGTTTGCTGGCAAGTACATCAAGACCCAGTATTTCGTGGACGTCCATCCCCCCTTGGCGAAGTTACTCATTACATTGGCTGCGTTCGTCTTCGGTTTCGACGGACAGTTCGACTTCAAAGATATTGGAAAGTACGTGGCCGCAACTCTTGACTCGAAATTCTATCTAATGCTGTGGCCCAAGACTGTATGAACATGTTCCCTACGTAGCTATGCGAATGGTCCCAGCATGCCTCGGCGTTGCGACTGTCCCCTTGGCGTATCTGACGCTACGAGCCCTCGATTGCAGGGCGACGACAGCACTCCTTGCGTCCCTCTTCATCACCTTCGAAAACGGTATGGTCACGCAGTCACGGCACATCCTACTCGACTCTCCCCTCATTTTCTTCACCGCGTTGACAATATTTCTCTGGACGTGCTTCTCAAACGAAGATAAACACGAACCCTTCACCGAGTCCTGGTGGGCATGGCTCATCCTAACTGGTCTGTCCCTAGGCGCCGTCTTGAGTTGTAAATGGGTCGGCCTGTTCACTGTCGCAACGGTTGGCTTCAGCACTATCTACCAACTTTGGCTCCTTCTGGGGGATCTCAGAGTCCCGCCAAGGCTCTGGATGCGACACTTTATTGCTAGGGCTATTTGCCTGATCGTTATACCGATTGCATTCTATATGTTCATGTTCCAGATACATTTCCTCATCCTGGAGAACTCCGGTGACGGCGATGGGTTCATGTCTGCCGAGTTTCAACATACACTTGGAGGGCGTAAGATGGACGATACATTCGCCGGTACGCCCCGTTAAGTCCCATGTCGCATCCAGTGCTAACGTCGCGATAGATGTCGCGTTTGGCTCTGAAGTCACTATTCGTCACGTGAACACGCAAGGTGGATATTTACATTCGCACCCACATACATATCCAGGCGGGAGCAAACGTGAGTTTTGTAGTATGCCGACTATCTCGAGATTTCACCTGACTGACTTCTTTCCAGAACAACAGGTGACGCTGTATCCTCATCGGGATAATAACAATGTGTGGCGTATCATCAACGCCACGAACGACGGCGAAGAGCCTTCAAATTGGCAAGCTCTCCCTCTTCAATTCGTCGTCCCCAATCTACGGGTCAAGCTCAATCATATCTCAACCGAGAAGCATCTCCACTCCCACGAAATTCGCCCACCCGTCTCCGATGTCGAGTTCCAAAACGAAGTCTCTGCGTACGGTATGCCTGGCTTCATGGGCGATGCCAACGATGATTGGTTCGTTGAGATCGAGCACGGCGACAAACGGGATCCAGAATCTTTCAAGCGCCTCCGCGCTTTGCGAACAGTGTTCCGGCTCAGGCACGCTCTGTCTGGGTGTTACCTGTTCTCGCATAAAGTCAAGCTCCCTGAGTGGGGCTTCGGCCAACAAGAGGTGACCTGCAACAAGAACGCGGTTAGGGAGAACTCACTGTGGTTTGTCGAGACGAGCAACCATATAAATTGTACGTGTGGTTATCTCTTCGCTGCTTTGTGTTGCTTGCTTAACGTGTCGACGTTACAGTCCCAACGAACGCCCAGAAAGTGAACTACAAGAAGCCTGGGTTCCTTGCCAAATTCTGGGAACTCCAGCAGGTCATGTGGACTACAAACGCGGGGTTGACAGACCGCCATACGTACGACTCTCGTCCAGATTCGTGGCCAAGATTGCGCAGAGGAATAGTGAGTCGCGTCTCACAATTCGTTGTTACACCGCTAGATAATCTGCGCAGAATTTCTGGGTCAAAGACCACAGACAAATTTACCTAATCGGTAACCCGACAGTGTGGTGGTCGAGTACTCTAGCGGTTGTTGCCTATTTCGCCGTCCGTGGATTCCTTATTCTACGTGCTAAGCGAGGATACAGAGACTTCGATAATAGTAAGCGAATACATTACGTCTATACGTCTATAAAGCACAGTAGGCTAACCTATTTGTAGCCAAAGTCGTGAAGTATGATGCTCTTTGTGGGTTCCTCGTCATGGGTTGGGGTCTCCACTACTTCCCCTTCTTCCTCATGGGCCGACAGCTTTTCCTCCACCATTATTTTCCCGCCCTCTACTTCGCTATCCTTTTGTTTTGCGGTGTATTCGACTTGGTCACTTCGACTTTACGGCCGAGAGTTCGCTTGCAGATCGCCGCCGTCTTGATTATCATTGCCATCTGGAACTTTTCTTACCTCAGCCCTCTTGCGTACGGCAGCCCATGGACTAAAGCCAAGTGCAACAATGCCAAATGGCTCAAGACTTGGGATTTCTCTTGGTGGGTTCCTGTCTAACCGTTCGCCCTTAGCGTCTTACTTACATCCGTATGTCCTCTAGCAATGACTTCCTGGACGATGTAAGTACTGAACGGTTAGGCGGTCTAGTAAAAACTAATTAAATTTCCAGTACTCGCAGTATGCTGGCAGAGTCGCAGCCACCCCTCAGAAGTCCACCGCACCCGCATCAACAATCGGCGGTGAACCTGGAGGGAGAGCAGCCGTCGTCGTCAACGATGTGCCTGTCGTTGCGGAGCCCCATACATCTGTGGCAATCGGTCAAGCGGCTCCTGGTGTCGATGTCTTCGGCGTACCCCCTCCCGACATTAAGAGCGACCACCTTCCACCTCCACCCCCTCAAGTTCCAGAGGAAGCTAAAGAGATCAGCTCGGTAGAGATACCGAAACCTAAAGAACCTGAGGTGATAGGAGGTCCCGAAGAGATGCTTCAGGCTGCCAAGGAGAAGACTTTAGTTGGGAAGGAGACCTCTGAAGATCCCCAGGCGGGAATACAGATCGAAAATCTCGAACCGTCTGTTCCTAAGCCACAGCCAACACCTCCAGCTCAACCGCCGCATGTAGAAGCTAAGGCTCCCGTCGTCCCACCTGCTGGTCCACTGGGAGAGGCTGATATGGAAGCGGAGAAGGCAGCGGAGGATTTGTACCCCGAGGCGGTATAAAAGTAGTCTTATGTTATATATGTTTCGGTTTCCTTAATATTACGGATCCACGGACTGCTTTCCATAGCACCTACATCTCTGTAAGTTGGTGCATCACATCTTCGAGATACGACGTCAAAACAACAACCAAAGTCCTTCGAATTTCTGTGCGTGAAAGTAAGTAGAAAAGTGCAAACTAATAAACATTAACTAATATGTCTCGTCTACATTGCTTTTACTCTTAAACAATGCCGCCTTTCTGCTCTTCAGTCAAACTGTCATATATTGGGCAGAGATCTGACCAAGATTCTGTAATATATGAGGCCGCAGTCCAAGGAGAACAACACATTTCACTCACGGGGAGGGCGCTGCCTTGCAGTGGAGGCTGTATCTTCCGCGAAAACTACGGCCAGGCCACTGCGTCGACCGACCGCATTAGTGGCAGTACACCTCAAACAATCTTTGCACTTACATCTCTAGATGCCAATCGATGTGGCTAGCAATTTTTTGGTTATTCTATAGCCTTGCCCATTGAGACTTGAATTACTCACCAGTGAAGGAACCTTAGACGCGGTTATGTTATTAGGGCTCAAGGGTAGTAGACTGACGAGTTCTTACCAAGGCCCAGGATTATCTGTTTTGAAACGGATAGTGACATTATCGCTCCCCGTTCCGGTGGAAACGACATCGCGTCGAACAGGGTTTCGGTAGTTATATGTTGAGCTTCCTGCACTTCTTACCACGTCGAAAACATGCTGCAGATAAATGAGTGGAGTGCTATAGGTTTTGTTTGTCGACTCACGCCATGCAAGTGGATAGGATGCTGGTATCACGTCAATCCCTGTCAAGTCATTGCCAAGTACTCGATGGTTTGGATAACTCACCGGGCCTCCGACTGCCAAAGCAGGGATGGAGAGCTCGACAACTTTGTTACGTGGTAGCGCGTAGACGGATCCAGGAGGGAGGAGATCAGCGGCAGAGGATGCACCGCTGATGATTTGAAGGAGCACCGGGCTGGTCGGGGACGTCCACGGAGCACCATTTATGGTGAATTGAAGTGATGGGAAATCGAAAGCCATAGCCAAGTTGATGTTGACATCTGCATTGCCAACACCAGGGACGCCGGGAGCGCCAGCATTACGAAGGGGGACAAGATTCGTTTCAATAAGAGGCTTCGTACTAGTTCCTTCCGTCGTTGTCGGATCCTGGTTGGGTGCTCCATAATAACGAAGAATAGCGGAGTTGAGGCCTCCTTCAAAGCCTCTGGTACCTAAATTAGGATTTGCACGTATCCAGTAGTTTGCGATACGCTGGTTGGCATGTAGAACAAACGAATATCGTTGGCCTTAGGGTAGGGTTTAACGCGCGTGAGTTAGAGATAAGTAATATATGACATATCGAACAATACAAACCTGCGAAGATTTGGATGCTGTCAACTTCCAGGGGCTTTGTATTGACGCCGTCCACTTCGATAATGGTCATCTTGTGGCCGTCGATAGAAAACGTGTAGTTGGGATCGCAAGAAAGAGAAACGAGACGGAAACGATACTTGATGCCCCAGAGAACGCGAATCAAGGCCAATGGCACAGTAGGTCCACCAGCGTAGCGGCCTCTGCCGTTTATCAAGGTGCTGTCCGGGACTGGAACAAGTCCTGCTTGAGGGGCGACAGTGTGATACTGTAAAACACGTAAGACATGTGCGTGAAGATATCCTGAGATCCTTACCCTGTAGATTATCATTATTAGAGAAAAAATGACCGACTGAGTAAGACAAGGACTTACCAGTCCGCTAAAGTAATCACTGTATCATCTACACGTCCTAGATTAGCCCGAATACACATTCAAACACTCCTTTCTCACCATTATCCACAAGGTATCTCAATCTATGGGGGTCTAAAAGGTCATAAACTACGAAAGCACCCCTGAGGCCGTCGCAGTATTGCGTAGATAGATGGGCATGGTACCCTGACAGAAGGTGATCAGTAATCATTGGTCTAGTCGGGAGCTATACTGCACTTACAGAATGTTCCTGGCGAAAGGAATATCAAACCGCGAACTATAAATAGGAACCACTAGACTGTGATGCTCACCAGCTTGGTCTGGAACGCGAAAGTCATACAAAAAACTGTCCCCTAGATACAATGCGATGTTATAACTTGCAAATCTGTAGTATGAAGGACATACCTGATGCGATGGGACACTGTGTAACAAACGCTGGACCTATTTAATGAGGAGTTAAGGAGCCATTTTCCCGGGTAGCTGAAGGATAATACCATCTGCCCATGAGGACCCCTCTTGGAAGAAGCCATGCCAATGCTAGAAACGGTTAGCGAGTGATGGGGTCAAAGGGAATAAAGCTTACAATGCTTGTGGTCTTCAGCATAGATGAGTCTGATAATTGGTTGATGACATTGAGGCGGAACCGGTTCCCCTACAAACCATAGTAATTAGTGGTTTATATCGAGGGAGCTTGGCAGAGGCCACCTTGAATCCTCGTATGAGTGGCCCAGTGACATCGACGCCGGCAGCCGTGCCTGCAAGCACACCTCTTGGATAGATATATGAGCAAGAGTCCAAACAACGAGGTAAAGTGACGCTAACGATCTTTCGAATCCGTCGGGCGCGATAACCTACAAGACAATCGACCATGAGCTGAAGTGAGAAGAGTATTAAATCGCAGCAATATACCTTGTTGGCGATATATATGTCTGCATTGTTCCCGACCGATGCGCCATAAGCATTTGTTATAGCGACGACCACTAGGCATGCTAGCGCACGGAAAAATAGGGCCATGTCGTCTTCGAGGCCTCGAGAACGAAGGTCAACTAAGACTCAACAGAGTGTCGACGCGCTTTATATGTCGATCAGAAGTAGAACCCAATTAACGGTTCAGCTAGCCTTCCATACTGTTTCAAGCGTTCAGGGCTCGACTGAACATGTATCCTTCTAAGCCCTGGCTAGATCCTTAAGGGAGGCAACGGAGGCGAACATCATGGAATTCATCTCCTAAAATCTAATTGATTCAGATAATGTGCCTCCGGTAGAGACGGCGTACCTGCGAAACCTGTAGTTGAAAGCAGTTATATGGCTCAGCATTTGCGCCCGTTTTGGAGGAATAAGTCTGCTGTACAGCCTGTGCGTGAGCGGTACGACTTTTTTGGCAGCGCGTAAGCCTGCACAAGCCATCAATATGTCGATTTGTCCGGCGATGGTCGTCCGCGTCTGAGAACGAGACAAATTAGCCGTCTATCATTGAATTCAGGTGTATCTTGTCTGTCACTTCTCTGTCACCCTAAGTGTCAGCCTCGAGGCTCGAGGCTCCAGGGAGTTTACAACGCCGGCATTGCCTCCCCGTTTCATATTTACGAACCCTGGAGGAAAGGAGAAAGCTCCGAGAACCTGCGCGGTCTGAGTATAGATACGTAGCTGTTATTGGATAAAGGTACCCAGTTCTCTTCCCATTCGCAACTATGTTGTTCTTGAACGCGCTCGCCTTTGTTTCCATCTTCGTTGCGATGTCGCTGGCTGTGAGTCTTCACGATGAACGCGATACCCTTCTTGATTGCTGAGCACGGAAAACCCACTAGCAAGAAGCGCCGGTGCTCACGGCGGAAGTAGTCTTCCAAGAAATCGTCGACGAACCACCTTTCCTCGTTGCAAGAACGACGTCAACCACTTGGACACAAAGTCCCAGCATCATTGAACCGGATACGATCACCACAACGACACTCCCAACTGGAATTTGAAGGTACTCTAGTCCCTAGCTAGAATATTGGGCGAGGCTCAACTGTGTGGTATTCAGGTTGGCAGCGACGCGCTTGGTATTCTGCAAGGGGAGAAGTCACTGTATGATGTAGACTGATGAGGCGGTCGTTGGGTGGTCAAGCCCAAGCATCGAATGGATATTGTGCGCCTGGAGTCTGGAATGAGAAATTTGATATCTAGTATTCATCATGGCTTTGATAGATCAGTGTGCCCCATCAACGTTGTCGGGGAGTGGCGTGTTAAATTTTATCGTCATCAGAAAAACAATCCCAGGGTAACGTAAGTGTCAAGTGCAAGATCTGTGATAAGATGGGCGAAAATGACTCACCATTGACCTAACGAAAGGTGTACATAGGAGAGAAAGAGGAAGAGAAAAAGGTACGGGTTTCGACCATCTTAGACAGGAGCACAGGGGCATGTCACAGAACCCTACATTTACCGGAGTTCCCGAACAAACGCAATATGTCACGCAAAGCTCGAATCCGATGAGTAATCTCCACTAGCTTCGCTACCAGCCGTTAGCTGCGTACAACCTTGCAACAGAGCTTATCTGGCCGACAGCGGCGTGTTTGAGTTGCAGCCAGCACTGGTCTTGCGAATGCAGGCTCTGATACGTCGCACGTCGCAGTCTATCTGGTGCACAAGAATGAAATGGTGTTTAGTGACCATGAGTGACTTGCGATGGATGGCAAAGCGAGATCGTTGGGAGTGACCGTGTCGTCTCGAATCGAGAGAATGCAAGCGTACGGCATGACAAATCGTCCAAGGGACTAGGACTCATTTGGCATTCACCACCTCCATGTTGCCTCTCTTTGTCGGCCTTTCTTCCAACATAGAATCCGCTAAATATCGTCAACCATGACCAATGCGTCTGTGATGCTACCAGCAAGCACCGTTGGCGGCAAACATCTTGAGTTCACCGTGATTGCAGAACCGTTACCCATCATGACCGTACCATCTTCATAGGTATCGTTGTTGTAGGATAGGCTAGGCCAGAGGGATACGGATGTGTTTGCGTCTTCCGTTACGAGCTGATTGCTGTGTGGATCTAGACGGTACTGTACTGGTGTACTTGAGTCTTGCATATCTGGGCCGCCCTGGGAGACCGTTCTGATCACCAAAGTACTAACAAGCCACCACCTTCATTCAGCAAATTCTTGATCTACCCTTGCCTGTTATAAGTTCAGCAAACCATTTGAACACCACGCAGGATGTCCCTCCGCTCACCCGGCCTTATATGCAGTCGATCCAAGGTGGTGGCGTTACGACCAAGTTGGTTGACGGACTTAAAGCTTAAAGCTTAAAAGTGCGCAAATCCGCTGCGGCAGTGTTACGCCACAACAGCCCAAGAAGTTCCAAGCTACGGAAAATGTACGGCAAATTGAAAGTGCTGCTCGTGAACAGGACAGCTTACCTTGCTTGACAACGGCGTACCGGAATGGCAACGCGTTTGCTGTATGCAATGGAGACGTCGGAGTATGCCGTACAGGTACTTGATTACAGGCCATGAATGAAAGAAGGCTACATCATCACTTTCGAAATATGGAAGGACTTCGAAGAATGCTTGATTACGCAACGTACGCAACATGTAACCGACGAGAATTGCAGCTTTAGGATTCTGAGCGTCTGGCTGTCCTGCATAGTACGTCAATCACGGCATTTCCAAGATATTTCAAGGATGTTTAGCGTGTGTCCGATGCCATTTTATCGAATGCGAATGCTCTACAATGCGAAGAAAAATCTAAGCGACGAAAGCCTTGCCCTTCTCAATGTTCTTCTTCAACTCAGGCAAGCAAGCCTCAAGGAGCTTCTGCTCTTCAGCAGAGAGTTCACCAATGGGGTGGATCTTCTCAACACCGTTAGGCTAGAATCGGTTGTTAGCAAGGGTCGCTAGGTTCTTAATGACATCAGGAAGCTTACGCCGAGTTCAACCAGGGAAGAGAAGAAGTCGATGCCTTGGTCAGCGAAGAGGGGGCTCTTGACGAAGGTGGGGGTGATAACACCCTTCTCGCCGTTCAATCCACGGAGAAGAGCGTTGGCGAATTTGGCACCAGCGTAAGCCATGGAGAGGGTAGCACTTCCAGCGCCGTCCTTAGCCTTGACGACCTCATCACCACCGTATTGGATTCTGTGGACGAGCTTGTCGTACACTTCGCCGATGATGCTCTTTCCGTACTTGGTTTGCGAGAGGAGGGGAACAATCGTCGGTCCACTATGTCCTCCAACGACGGGAACAACCGTTTCTGAGGGGGAAACGCCGGAGACACCAGCAAGGAAACGGGCCGCACGGACGACATCAAGGGTTGTTACACCAAAGACGCGTGCTGGGTTGAAGACACCGGCTTTCTCGAGAGTAGCAGCGACAATGGGGACGGTGGAGTTGACGGGGTTGGAGATGACGAGGATGTGAGCTTCTGGGGATACACGTGCTACCGAAGCGGCAAGGTCACGGACGATAGAGGCGTTAGTCTAGCCGGTGGGTGAGTGATGGCCGAGACGATGGAAAGGCAACATACGTTGAACAGGTCGTCACGCGTCATCTTCGCATTCGCGGTATTAGAACGGATCATCTACGTGGAGAAACGGAATGTACTCACTCCGGGCTATGAATAGTGCGTTAGTCGCAAGTACTATAGCAGCGGATTGAAGGACATACCTTCCTTGGGACACCAGCGGGAATGACAACGACCTCGACACCCTCCAGGGCCTGATCGAGCTGGTCAGCAGCATAGCCGGTAACCTAGAAATCCAACCGATTGAGCAATCCGTTCTCTGACTGGACTGAACAAATAAACCGCACCTCGCTTCCAGTGTCGACGTGGCTGACATCCGCGGCGACTCCAGGAGCACCACGAATGTCGTACAAGCTCAGAGATGTCACCAGTGGGTCGCTCTTTAGCAGCAACGAGAGAGGTTGTCCAATTCCTCCTCCAGCACCCAAAACAGCGACTTTGGTCAATCTTGAAGCAGACGATGAGAAAAGTCTGGACGAGGGGGCGGCGAGCGTGCGGGCAGCAGTGCGAGCGAACATTTTGAGTAAGTGGTGGTGGTGGACGGAGGTAAGGAAGAGCAGGCCAAGCCCGAAATTTCTCGGGGTGATGTTCGTGGGATGCCGTGAGACAAATCGGCGCGAACTTTTCCCACTCAGGGTTCGGCATGTCCAGCCGCCTAATTCTGAAGCCGGCGCTATAGCACTCTTTGGCACTAGAGCTTCAAATAGCTGGCGGCATACTACTACATAGTATCCTAGCAGTGCTTTCTTGAGGTCAAGCCCAGAAAAGCGGAGGCACGGACAAGAAGGCACGTCGCAGTGCGCACCCCGCCGCAGCGCCAAACCGTCGTGGGAGCGCTAGTTCTAATATGTTTTCTCTCAGACCCTCCTTAGGTCCTCTACGTTACTGCACAAAGATAGTGCGAGGGAACATAATACCATAAGGACGACTATGGATGAACGTTCGAACCGTCGTTTCCTCAAATCTCCCCCATGCTACCCACACTCGCGTGCTGAATCTCTTGCTGATGCTGCATTGATCACCTCTGCCAACAAATTTGACCCCGTTTCCAGCAAATCATGGTGCTCTAATGGGGTTGGCAAGCTGTTAATTGAAATTGATTCAGATCATCGCACCGTATCACAGCGACAGGGACATGGCGGCACCAACGCAATTATTTTAATCTTCGTGGGTTCTGAGTTTTCATTTCCAGGTTTCAACTGGGGTCAGGCCACAATCGTATGGAACACCAATGCCAGAAATCGACGGTAGCGCCGTGGAGTCACAGCCCCATCGAAGTCATTGCGAAACGGACTAACTTGGGTGTGATCATTGATAGTGATGGTGAGTTGCTCGATTCTCTCCCATAGGACATTCTAAAGCTCAGATGAGTTTATTAGTACCGTTTTTACGACCATTCGAATTCAATTTTCGAAGCCATCAAGAGTTGGCGTCGGTGTACCGACTCCATGCACACTCGCTGCTCCAGCATGCGCGTAGGCGCGAGGCTTTTTCTGGACTCGTTGACTACGCTATCAATCACAAACCATACAGATTAACCATATTCAGCATCCTATTATATCCACACGCCACTGCCGCAGCGGCACCTATGATGATCAGGAATCAAGTAGAAAGGTATAAGAATACCTGGGTAACCCTCAAGGTCCCAGTATCTGCTGGGTACCCATTCTATCTATATGACTTCGAAAACCCTCATTATCGATGGTGCGGAAACTAGTCAAATTCGATACTCTGCTGGTTGGAGTTTCCTTCCTGGAAACGACAACGAGTACCTACACACCGTTAGCCATACCACGACCAAAGGCGCGCAATTCACGTTCGATTTTAATGGTAAGCCCATTGCTTATCGCTGACATTCTGATTGTAGTAACACCAGCCGCTTTCTACAGGAACGTCTATCAAAGTCTATGGCTCCTTATCGGTGCGCAACAACGATATTGCCACACTTCCCAACACTTCCTACGTCCTCGATGGTGGTTCTCCTGTCCTCTTCCGTGGCAACCCTTCTGCGAACGACGACCACCGATATCAACAAGTGTTCTACTCCTCGCCGCCCCTTCCATATGGAAACCATTCGCTCATCGGCACTAGCGTAGACGAAGGGGGTAAAGTGTGGATCGATTACTTAGTGGTTGAAGTGCCCAACAATCTGCATCTAAAGACCGTCATATCCGAGTCGTTGCACGCTAAATCGACACCTTCTGCCGCCGCCATTCTATGCGGTGTCCTCGGAGGGCTCCTTCTCATAATGACTGCTCTGTCCTTGTACCTGTGGTACCAGTATCGAAGGGCGCTTGAATCCAAATCACTACTCGATTCACTTGATGAACCTCCCCCAACCTCGTCAGCATCTTCAACCTTCATACGCAATCACGATGCTTTTGTTTGTGTCGAAAGCCACAAGTCAGCTGTACCTCAGGTTAGCATTGGATCAAATTCTGCCGGCGTAATCGAACTGATTTCTTTCACAGCAGCAGTACGTTTCGTCGCCACTAGGATCATTCGCATAGTGCTGTTGAATGTAATGTGAGATTTTCATTTTCTGGGATTGAGTCTGGGGTAGTCGCAGGAGGGGCGTCGAGGGGCGTCGTTGTTGCACGTTGTCCCAAACATCAGGCTAGGCTGCTCAAGGACGGTTTTCCCCATCTTTCATCTATTCGACAAATTACGGGTCCTTGTACCTACACCCCAGTGTATCATTATCGTTCTTTTCCTTGACCGCCCGCGTAGCGCGGTCCCCGGCTGCAAGAGCTCTGTTCTCAGTTCTGAAGGCTCATGGCTTGAGCAATCCCTCACCAATTAATACAGCCAATTCATAACTTTACACCCACACTGGACTCCATACATGCATTCCCCTTCTCGCTCCTGTCGCCGCTTCCATGAAGCAGGTTGGTGATGTATGGCAGAACTCAGCTCAAACATCCATATCGCGCAGCGTGATCATCTAACTTGGTCAGTTCGTTCGTTGCTCCGATATTATCACTAGTATTGACCAATTTACCGAGAAAGAAGGGAACTCTGTGACGGGCGAGCTCCTGACGACTCTGGCCTCTCGCTGGGGGGTTTATGGGCACACGGCTATTCAATATGCTGAGAACAAAGCATACGCCACCCCGTTTATCTCAGTAAATATCTGTTGTGGCTCGGTGAAGCGTCGATATCAGCTATTGTTGTTTCAAACACTGGCTCACCTCTTTCGACCCCGTCAGTATCGGAGACGCCACATTTGCCGAGGTGCGGGCACCGAACACGCTTGATTCTTCGACTCCGTTTCCAATAGACCCTGATGTCTCGGTTTGATGGTTAGTTGGCTTTTGTCGAACTGCTATAATCTGCCTTAGCCACTACGCATATTGCCTCGCTTTAAATCGATTTGCGGTCATCTTGGCCACCATTGGAAATCGTGGTGACATGTTTAGCACGCTACCGAGATGTTTCTACTCTTTGCAGGGGGTGGCCTCAATTATATAGCAAGGCGTCCCGTCTAGCTCAGCGGAGCCGGCGCCGCGGAGTTGCCCATCGAAGTTATCGCAAAACACAGCAACTTAGATGTAATCATTGATAGGAATGTTGAGTTGCTCGATTCTCCTCGATAAAGACATCCTCAAGCTCAAATCAGTTTATTAGCACCTTTTTCCGGTCGTTCAAATTCAAATTTCGGAGCTATCAGCAGTTGGTCTCCATATACCGCCCCCTTCGTGTATACTCGCATCAGCACGCTGCGAAGATGTGTAAATCGCGTAGGCGCGAAGCTTCTTCCGGAGTCGTTGACTACGCTATCAATTAGATACCGTATGGATTGGTGATAATCAACATCCCACCTATGAACATGCCACCGCCGCACCAATGATGGTTACTTCAGAAAGGTATAAGAACATTGTGCTTTCCTAGGTACACTCATATTTACTGGGTACTCATTCTATCTACATGCCATCGAAAACCCTCATCATCGACAGCGCGGAAACCAGTCAAATTCAATACTCTGCTGGTTGGAGTTTCCTTCCTGGCAACGACAACGAGTATCTACAAACTGTGAGCTATACAACGACCAAAGACGCGAAATTCACGTTTGATTTTAATGGTTAAGTCTATTGCTTCTTGCTTGGCGCATTTCCACTCCAATAACACCAATTATCATCTACAGGAACGTCTGTTAAAGTCTATGGCTCCTTGTCCGTGCGCACCCAGGATATCGCCACACTTCCTAACACTTCCTATGTCCTCGACGGTGGTCCGCCCGTCCTCTTCCATGGGAACCCTTCCGAAAATGACGACCACCGATATCAACAAGTATTCTACTCCTCGCCACCGCTTCCATATGGAAGCCATTCGCTCGTCGGCACTTGCGTAGATCAAGGAAGTAATGTCTGGATCGACTACTTCGTGGTTGAAGTGCCCAACGACCTACCCGCAAATACTACGATACCCGAGTTGCACGTTGTCCACGATAAATCGACACCTTCTGTCGCCGAAATCCTATGTGGCGTCCTTGGAGGGCTTCTTTTCTTAGCAACAACCCTTTCCTTGTATCTATGGTACCGGCGGTGTCGAATGATCGAAACCACCGGAACCCTGTCAGCCGGGGCAACTGATGGACCATTCTCACCGTCACCTTCTATGCCTGCGCCCAATCATGATGTTCTTTCTTGTGTGGAAAGCCACAAGTCATCTATACCTCTGGTTAGCATTCAAGCCAGATTCCGCTGGGGTGTTCTGACTGATTTCTGTCACGCCAGTGGTACGTTTCGTCGCCGCCAGGATCATACGTATAGCGCTGTTGGGATACGATGTGCATAGCTTACTTTGGGATATTGAATCAGGTCCATCGCCGTATGAATTTCAACGAACCACGTCGTTCAGGTTTAATCAAACCCCACGATTCAGACTCTGCTCGATGACGATTTTGCCTGCTTATTATCTACTTAACTCGAATCACTCTACCACTCTTCGTTTCAATCCTATTTTTTCTTCACCACCCATGGAGCGTCCTCGTTTGGCGATGGTGGCAGCAGGATGCTAGTCACATTACTGTGAGAAATACGTTCAAGCTTGAAACTGGACGAGCGCCGCTATGCTCTCCAAACTGCCGCCCGAACTGCTGTATCTCGTTTCTCTCTACCTCAGGACGACTGATTGCTCCAATTTATCCCTGACTTGCTGGAATATCTACCATGCTGTCGTACCAGCGTTGTTTAAAAGCATTCGCATCCTCGATCTATTTTCCGCAGAGCATCTCTCGCATCTGCTCAGGGGATGCCCCCTTATCAAGGCTGCCGCGAGGTCAGAAGTCCCAACTCGTTAACTGGCCAAAAGGTTGATGAGATGTCAGGCATATCACTCTGGCTCTGTGGGACTCCGACTTCGCTCTTTCGTCCATCGAAATCTACAGTCAAATGTCATCGTTTCTGAATCTAACATCGCTGCGCCTGGATATCAATACGGCGCCACTTCTCTGCTGGATGGTGCGGCTCGACGGGATGTTCCTCGCGCTGAACTCTCGGGACGTCGCTCAACTGGAGCTCAAGATCACTGATTGGCTCGACGCGCATAACAAACAGATGCCAGCTATCTGGTCCAACGCCCCTGTCCCCTACCACTGTCCCCCGAACCTCGCCGTCCTTCGCATCACCATCATGATCTCCGTCGGCAACATGGACTCGAGTAGACGACAGCATCAGTGGCCGTGGCTCTCGTTCTTCGACACGACCCTCGCATCGAAGGCTACGCTCACGACTCTGTCGCTGAATATCAACCACAACGACGGTGCCTTAACCACGCCTCTCGCCCGGGTAAGCCGTGGTGCACTCCCTCTGCTATCCCTCATTGCACAGCCGGCTCCTAGGACCCCCTCTTCAAGATTTTGAAGCAGCTCAAGCGGCTGGAAATTCTGCAAGTGCAGCGGATCGACCGCCCACACGGTTCGCAAGCACATCTCGACGCGGCCCTGGCCCTGGCGCAGCCAGACGTGTGCCCTGCGCTGCGTCGCATCGACTGGAACCTCTCCGGACCCACGCACATGATCGACATCGCACGGGAGACGGGCGCGGTGGTTAGCAGGGCTGCGCCGATGCGCTGGGTGCCCTGGGAGAGTGCGCGATCTAGGAAGGAATATGTGTGCTTGATGTCAGAGGACTTGCCGTCCGACTCCAAATTCGACGATTTGGAGTACGAGCCTTCGTTGTCGTCAAGAGGTGACGAATCCGTCCGAGTACGAAATGGCGAGCCTCGACGAATAATAATCGTAATCGCGACGGACTCATCGTTCATGCGCTGCCAGTTCGTATTCATCGTTGTTGGCTTTCCTAAAGCTATCGGAAGGGTTTCGTGCGATCAGCTGTCTGTACGAACTAACGATCGACAGGCATGCTGCATCATCACTTCCAACACCGTTTGTCATACAAATATTGTTTTATTTGATATATGACCCCGCGCTTCGACGACATAAGTAACAAGCATTGACGAAATCAAGGTATGTTCTTGATGTCGAACAGCGTTGGTGGACGAGGTATGTTGCAGCCCCACGTCTCGCTTCTCACGAATCACACCTTCGCTTTTCCCTAGCCGCAGCATGCCATCCAACACCCCCTCCCAGTCTGACACGCTCAAAAGCGAAGTTGCAAGCTCACTGGTGGCGTTTCTCCTTACCGCAATATCGCTTCCATTTTATATCCAAAGACTCTGAGTTACATTTACAAGGACACGTGATGGAAAGCTCCATATCAACGCCCACTGTTCGCGATTTGTTGTAGAGTTCTGTGCCAGGCAGCACTGAGTAAATCAGCGATGATACATGAAGGGGGCAAATCTACCCAGTGTCGAACGTTGGTCGAAGGCTTCCCGCCATTTTCTCAACAATGTATGAATGTATGAGTCCGACTCGTCGTAATCGTGGTAGCTGTCGTCGAGTAATCCGAACATCAAGTGGGGGGATTCTGCCGGAGGCCCGAGTCGATGCCGTCCACTCGACGGTGAGTTCGGGTTATTTAGATGAAGGCGAAGCGACGCTAAATTTGGGAAGTCGCAATCCTTTGGTAGATAGTGTGACGGCGACGTCTGAGTCCCGTCAAAAAAATGTACCATGTCTATTTGGAATCAACACACAGCAGGGAGATGCAGCAACTGAATGGCAACCACCGCTGAAATCATTGCTATGCTCTCGATCGAACGAGTACAAGCCCAAGCAAATGAGATATGTAGACTTCCACAGTCCATCTTAGTTGGCACGAACCCTATTGTTAGTGCTGAAACGCATGCGCGTACGATTAAACTGCTCCTTCACCAAACGCTTGAGGTATCTTCAGCTCCAGCAACGATCAGTAATATATTTAATTCAAATAGGTACTACGCAGAAAGCTAAACTTTGCCCTACTCAATATCTCCTGCCGCCGCTGCGACCTCCTCCGGGACCAGTGTATGGGCTGTAATCTGGAGGAGGACGCCCGCCTATAGAGATATAATAAGCGAGACATTCTAGAGAAGAATGTCAAGGAAGTCTCACCTCCTCTTGGTGGAGGCACAGGTGGTGGTGAGCGAGCGCGTCCAGTGCTAGGGATTACGGCGTTCCGGAACAGAGTGATCAAGTCGTCAGTACGGAACACGGGGCCTTATTAAGTTGTGCGTCAGAGCATCCAGCTACTCTAGAGTTACACGACTTACCGTCGAAATGGGAAGGTGCAGGGAGTTGACCGAGGAACCACGGAATGACATGTGGCAGTAAAGGCTTGTCGTCTTCACGGTCGCGGTCACGCCCCCTGACATCTCTGTCCGGTGGAGGACTGTGTCGTCTCCGTGGCGGTCCATCCCACCTATCCCTACCGCCGCCACCGTCTCTATCCCTGTCCCTCGGAGGTGGCGAGATCGGGCGTTGCCGCTTTGACCCTGGGCCGTAATCGCCTCCTCGTCCAGGTCCATCGTCGCGTCCTTTCCGGTGGTCAGGGGAAGAAGCGCGTTTATGCCCAGATCCAGAAGATGGTTGGGAGCTGATGTTCGCGGTGCTGGTGGATACGTTGGGGGTGGCGAAGGAGGTCTCGGTGCGCGCTGTTTGCTGCTGACCGGAGCTGGATGATCGAGAGACAGAGAAGCCTAAGTCCCGAACAGCGATGACATCGACGCCATGATACATGTACTTTTGGGCGAATCGCTTCATACTGGGGTCTGGGTTGGGCGAAGGAACGTAAATAATAGGTCGTCAGAGAAAAATGAAGACCGAACCGTTAGGATATACTTCTGCGATACGCTTCTCGAGCTTCTGTACGGCTTCAAGTTCGCCGTATTGATACTCGTAACGCGCCCATCGTTCCCAAAGCGGTCTCGCTCTGTCTGCCGGAAGGTTGCCGATAACTCTCTCAAAAAGGGCCCGCGCATCTTACCACGTAGAATCAGTTACACTTCAAACACTGGGAGTTGACCAAGAACTCACTATTATCGTCATTGATTGATATCAAGAAAGTCAGGTATCTGTGGACGAATTCGACTTCACTGCCAAAGAGCTCCAAGCCTTTTTCATAGATCCGCAGGGACACGTCCGTTTGATGGGAACAGTGATATTCCATGAGAGCTTGACAGAATAAGCGCGGGGGACAAACATGGCGGAACGGGTAGACCTACCTGATGCATCATACACTTCCCATGGCACCCAGCGATCTTTGCGAGCCCGTTGGAATACAGCTCGCGCGGATTTAATTTCCTCCGCGCGGCGAGCGAATCGCATGTACATGATGTATACTACCCCGTATTCGGACCGGCGTTCGTTCATTTCTTTCACGTTCGGGGGTTTTGAGTCATCGGTGGAGAAAGACGAGTTATTCGAATTCAATCCGGCGTCCGACAATCCAGGTACGCCGTTCCCAACCGTGGATGCGTTTTGCGCGTCGCCGGAGGGAGAAGTCGGCGAGTTCGGGACCTTGTTGGCAGCCTCAAGGCTTTCGAGTGCCTTTTGCAGCAATGTCAATAATTGGCCGTAGACCTCATGGACTGCCTTGACGTCGCCCTTGGCTTCAAGGACTTCTGCGTAGGCGAAATTCAAGAGCGGACTAAACATAATCGGGATCACACGATAACGACACGCATTGGAAAAACTTTTTACCTGGATGGATTGGCTTTGAGGCCGGCTTTGAGTATCGAGAGAGCCTCATCGTCTTTACCGACCGATGCGGTCCAACTATATGCCATGAACCATATTTCCGAATAGTATCGCATTCGTATGACCGCTTTACGATACACAGACTGGATACGAGTGATCAAAGACGCCTTGTCCTTTTCTTCGATCTCCAGCGGGTTGCTTTCTTCCCATTTAAGGTATGCTTTCCAGGCGCCTACGAGGGCGCGGTCTGGGGGTGAGAACGAGGGGGGCGAAGGCAAGTACAACGGACGGCGGGAGGAGGGCGCAAGAGGTGGGAACAAAGGCCCGAGGTGCTTCTGCAGTTGTCTCAAGACGGTTCGAGCTTGCATGTGGCTAGGCGACAGATCCGCCATGAATTTCTTGGCTGTGATACGGTTCAGGCTAATTTCGAATGCTTCGAGGTCTTGCCACAATCTCTCAACGTTGTCCAGTGGGATCTGTACTGCGCGGTGGTACACTTTGCGGAGAGCATCCATTTTTTGCTGTTCTTCCCATGTTGAAGAGGTCTCTCCAGCCTTGAGGAACTCAATGTAGTCACTCCAAATAGACCCGCTGTCCTTGTCGTGTCCGATGTGCGCGAGGGCGAACTCATATGACTTTTGGATAACGCCACGCGCCGCGGGCCCCACATTGACGCGTCTGGTGTAAATGTCTGAGAACGTGCCCACAAATGAAAAGAAGAGCAACTCACCTAACATATGTCAGGTAGAAAGTCCAAAGATCTACCGACGGCGATGACCACAAGAAACGTGTGAACAGCGTCTGCGAGTATTGGGGGTCAGTCGAGAAATGCTGAAGGTATGATAATTGGGCTGAAGACTGGATACGCCGTCAGGATTCCTTGTTCGTGACCATACGGATAAAAAAACACGCACATTGTTAGGAAACTGCTCGAGAAGCAGGTCATATGTTTCCTTGATTCTCTCCACGTCTTCGCTCTCTTCAGCAATGTCAATGAGCCTTCGCCACTGATCATTATCCTGCGGATTGTCCTTGAGATGCTGCTTCACGAGTTCATATTCAGATGGCGGTAGCTCATTTTGCGAAGTCTGAGAGGGTTGCTGTTCGACTGTAGGCCCGTGCGTTTCCGTGTTCACAGCGTGCAGAGCTGCAAGAATTTCGTCGGAAGGCTGGGTCGCATCTCCCGGATGGTTCTCGGGATTTTCGGTCGCGTCTACTGTCGTCGGTGGCTCAGCCATCACAGGCGCAAATGTGTAGGACTAAGGAAGTTGTGAAATTACCGAAATTCGAGCTCTGAGTCGAACAACAAATATCAACTCGTCCTCAAGCGCGCGTCGCGTCGCGGGCGCTAAAATATACACCACTTCACAGCGCTGGACCAGGCAAGGCTAGACACCTTCTTCCTCCCCACATCGCCTACCTAAATTTCGGACCTACTGCGTACCAATCGCAATGCCACAAATCGAACGGCTCACGCGACAGAGAAGTGACCTTTACTTCAGGTCGCTGGCTGAGCTCGATGATTGGTATAAATTGTATAATACATCATCCGGAAACGACGATGCTACACTACCTTATATTGCCCGGTCACCACACCCAGAATATCAGTCTAGTAGTCAAGGAAAGCTTCTGGTACTGCCATTTCTAACCGAATAGATTAGATGTCTTGGCTGATTTAGTGGGTAGATATGCCACGATTACAAGGTCGATTAAAGATCTGCTTCTCTCGATTTAATCCTGAATGTACATCCAGGGTGGCTACACAGAAACGCCGTTTGCATCGTCGTACACGTTTAATTTCTGGTCACGATGCGATGATTTCATATAGTAATCTCGGCTCGCACCGAATTACCGAGCAGTATTGACAAGTAGGGTAGCTTCGCACACCACAGGATATCTACCCCTCCCCCTGGTTGGATCAACGCAGCACATCGCCAGGGAGTGAAGATGCTAGGAACTATGTATGTCTGATTAGTAGACATATTATTCCGCCGGTTATTCTGACTAGCGTCCAGTATATTTGAAGGCGGAGGCGCAGCCGACTGCCTAAAGCTCTTGGTAGGCCGCCTCCCTGCTTCGAAGACAAAGTCTGCGGGTGACCAGCCAACCTCGTTACCCGTCTCCCCTCATTATGCTCGCCTCCTCGCCGATCTCGCCAAAAGTCGTGGATTCGACGGATATTTGCTCAACTTTGAGTGTCCACTGCAGGGTGGGTTCGAGCAGACACGGGCATTAACCGCATGGATTGGTCTCCTGCGTATGGAACTCAAGGCCAGACTAGGGGAACATGCCGAGCTTATATGGTTCGCACATATAATCGTCGTCTCCCAACAATATTTCTAACGTACCAGATTCAGGTACGACAGTGTTGTGATTACTGGGCAACTGGCCTGGCAAGATCGCTTGAACGCGTACAACCTGCCCTTCTTCCTCCCATCTACTGGTTTCTTCACAAACTACACGGTGATTTAATTTTCAATTCGTCTCCATTCCATCTAATATCAGTGGCCTACAGTGGAGGCGTGATTACCCAACTGATACGGCATCATTCTTTACGACCCTCGACCCATTGATACTCGCGAACGACGCCGGTTCCAATCTCCCAAAGAAGAAGTCACTGAATGACGTATACATGGGTGTTGATGTGTGGGGACGGGGAAGCCACGGAGGAGGCGGATTGGGATGCTACCGTGCCATAGAGCACATCGCGCCTGAATCGCTGGGCCTCAGCGTTGCCCTCTTCGGACAGGCATGGACTTGGGAAACTGAACAAGACAAGCCCGGGTTCACCTGGGAGCATTGGTGGGCCTACGAACGCACGTTATGGGTCGGGCCACCGGGCGAGGAAGAGGTCAAAGTACCTGAGGCCCCCCGCCGTCAAGGGGAAGACGAATGTCTTCACGGCCCGTTCGTCCCTCTGAGTAACTTCTTTACCCGAAAGGCTCCCCCGAATCCGGCGAAACTAGCATTCCACACAACCTTTAGCCCCGGTGTTGGTCGAGCATGGTTCGTCAACGGGGAGAAGAAATCTAGTCAACCGACAGGCTGGACAGATATCGACAAGCAGTGCTCGATCGGCGACATGGTTTGGCCGAAGCCTGAGTTTGTCTGGGAAGACGAGGGACACAACGAACGAGACTCAGAAACACCTGAGTTGTGCGAGCAAGATAATTGGAACGGGGCCCCAACGGCACTCGCTGAGCTGTGCATGGAAGATGCTTGGAACGGGGGATCTTCCCTTCGACTCATCGTGTCGACTCATGCAAGCGACGCTGACGACGCCTTTTTCCGTCAAGCTTCGGTGCCTATCCAGTCACTGAGCATTACGCCCGGAGCCGTCTACCAGCTTGTAGCAATCTACAAGATAGAAGAAAGCGACGGTCTCGAGCTGGACGCATGTTTATCCTGCCAACTCATCCGCGGGGGCGATAGAAGCGTGCAGATTACCCCCGACGATATGAGCCCCGTAGAACTTGCCGGCGGATGGATACGTCTCTCCGCTCGCATAAGCTCTGAGGAGCTCCCAAGTTTCGTTCATGACGACCTGGCCAGTGTGGGCCTCACGATTTCCATCGCGACAGACAATCCTTCACGAGCCTCCCAGTTCTCTCTCCTCATCGGTGAGATGACAGTGTATCCCTTCCGGCCCCCAACAGCAGCCAAAGTGCCTCAAGTCCTTTGGGCTGATTATAAGCCATTGCCTGCTTCCACAAGCAAGGCTGGCCAGCTCTCATGGGAGGTCGCCGTTTCATTCGCGACTGAAAATATATCTCTGCCTTTATCTCCCGACGTTCCGATTCCGGTGTGGAACTTTGAGCCTGCGAAGGCCTGGAAGCCCTCGTTTTTGTATTTCAACATCTACGTGCAAGAGCCCACCCAGACTGGTGGTAATAACTTCGCGTCACCAGAGTCGGCGAAATGGATAGGAACGTCGGGGTGGGACGGGAAAAGGGATACGTTCCCCGTAGACACCAATAATTTGCCAATCGCTGCCCAGGGGGAAAGTGCCCGACTGGTAAGATTCTACGTGCAAGGAGTAACCGATCATGGAGAAGTCCTGCCGTGGGACGCCTGTGTCTACGTTGAAACAGAGATATGATCAACAATGATCAGCAACGGACAGCATGTTCTTCTTCATTCTCACCATGTATTTGAATGTAGTATATCCGCAACTCTTTACGCCCAAAACCACTTGACGAAGCAGGCTCCATGAGCGAATGGATGTATTCATCCGCAGAAGCAGCAAGTATCATCCACTAGATAATTGGCTCATCGTGCAGACAATATAAACCGCGGACATTCCGTTATCTGGAATACCGCTAGTATTCGTGCGGACACGTTCTATAAGATTCTGGTATACGGAAGACTGGGAGCACGAAAGAGTCTGGTAGGTGAGTGAGTGGTTGAGGAGCAACTGCCAAAAGAGTTTAGACGCCCAGGGTGCCGTCAGCTCTTAGGGGCTTTCAGGAGCCATTTTGAGTAATACACCGTATTCACAAGATGTTACACGTTGAATGAGTCAGACCTAGCTGAACGTTGTACGTTGAAGATGCACCATCAATGATATGGTTGTTTTGTACACATTATCCTAAGCACAAATGAAGGACCTATCAAGCAGTAGGGCGGGAGGAAAGCGTAGCGCTGGGGATCTCTCGCCGTCAGCCCGTCAACTCGCCGTTGTTGGTTTATCAACGCGCTTGATCGTTTCCCCATGTCATACAACCATCAGAATGATGGTCAGCAACTTTTGATGAGAGTTGATAATTCATGAACTCGTTGCATCGACTATGAGCGGGTGAGAGTTTGTTCCAATAAGATCTGATAAATTGTGGTCGCAGTTGAGCTCCATCATGGAGTGACCATCGTTTCAAATCATTTCTTGATGTGATGTTGATTCCGAAGCACATTATCAGGGAAGCGTCAACCTCAGCAATTGAATCGTTATGATGGGAGTCGGGAGTACCAATTCGAACGCCCGAAGACGACTCACAAATGATCTGATCTATAATCAAGCAAAAAAGGATCAAATCTAATCTTATTTGAAGTAATTCAAGAGGATAACGGCAGGGTTGGACAATGGTCTGAACGATTGTCGTGAAGTAAGTCCCGGAGTTTGCTCCGGTTCAGCAACCTGTGAATATTGTTAGTTAGAATTCATGCAAGACCTGGAGTATCGTTAACGTACATGCTGACCACGGATATAACATAAACTACAGATGGTGTCAGCCTTGGTTGAGTTGTTATTCTGCGTAGAAACTCACGTTGGCCGCTGACAAGAAGGGGGATCATACTGCGACGATAGTGAGCAACAAGATATCAAACTAGAAAGAACACATACAATGAAGTGATTTGTGAGATTGAAACCAGCTACAGGACAGAGCAAGGTCACAAAGGATGATCGGCACGTAGCTCTAGGATGCTCACCAGCACAACGGTTAACACAGCAGCTGTGCTGAACCAGGCATATATAAATATAAATATAAGTGTACTCGAGATAAAGCGACGGGTAATTGACCTTGTAGCGATCGCCCGGTGAATGGAGTACTTTATCAACTTCCCCGCTACGGCATCCGTCCTGTTACAGCATGTTCAACTACTCATGTCGGGCGCGGGGTGATTGGTTGCTTTACCTGCTTATGCCTGAACGCGAACTTTGGAGCGTGCGACATAACCCGATGCTGCAGAGTATGTCGGCTAAAGCCGTCGCTCCGGCTTGTACACTCATGTGTTTCTGCGAGCGTATTGTCAATGAGACGATCTGAAGCATCATATATCTGATAGTTGATCTACGAACCACACTGGACCAAAACAGAGTTATACCGTCCAGCTTAGTCCTGTCAAATAGCTTAGAGGCATATTAAGTCGTGTAGTTTCGAACGAACTCTGTTATCACTTGAGCTTGTGTGCATCCGGCGCATGTCAGCGTGTCTCGCGAGTTTATGGTTGGCACACACCTAATGCGACGCCTTCATTGCATTTTGCAAGGGGATCAGTAGGAAGAAAAGCTAATGGGTTTGAACGCTCACCGAACTGGGTAAGCGCAAGCACGACCTATTGTATTCGATGAGGATTATGCAAGAAATCGGCAGCGTCGACTTACAATTGGACCAACATATAGCCAGCGAGAACTGGAAACTGAGTAACACTTCTGTTAGTCGTTGAGTGTTATATTGTTCGAGTCATCGCACCGATCCATATCCGGGATGCGAAGAAGCTACCCGAAAACTATCCGTGAATAGTCCGGATAAGGGTTCGAGCTGCCGCATTCACATACAGTTGTGCGATGAAAGCCATGAGAGACTATGTTTGAGACTCAGCTGGGTATGTCAACGAATGTGATAATGTAAAGCGTACCACGCTCAAAATCTTGGGATTCATATTTGCAATTAGATAGGTTGAGAGGTATGATGACACAGGAAGGCTCACTATTCCACCCCTGGAGTCAAAATAGTGACTGTTAGCGATGTGATCCATGCAAGGCAAAAAAAGACACTGACATCGACTCGACGTTGAATACCTGACTGGGTATGAAAGGGTCCACTATTTTGTAATACATCCCGACAAATAGGAGCACTATTTCGGTAGTGGCGAGGAGACTAATGAAGGGATATCAGTTGTACGTCCAAGATTACTTGCAGCACCGTACCCTAGAGAAGCAACCTACGCAAAAACGCTTAGACAACATGGTAAGCTCCAGTTCGATATATGTGTACGACCCACAGTGTACTTCACGAACGCGGAGTCGTTCGGACGTGCTGGAGAAAGAAAATAAAGACCGATTAATAGCTTGAGTGAAATCAGTCGCTTCCTCCGACTCAATAGATCTATCGAATCACCAGTGATACCCCGTAGAGCCTGCACCAGTCACGAAGATAAGTCAGTAAAACGGATAAGAGAGCTGTTAAGTCACATTGCGGTGAGGAGAAACGCCATTGATAAGCATATGATTGCCGTTCTGAACAGTTGAACTTCAGAGGCGACCATAGTTAGTAGAGTGGAGTTGTTCGCCTGGGGCAGACGAGTATAAATACAAGAGTGGGTTGCGATTCAAGGGAGTGTGAGACTGAGCGGTTGCCAGAGGCCATAACGTGTAACTCTCACCATCACTGATCGGAAACCACGCAGTGACGTTCATTTGTTCGAGCATTCAGCTACCCTGATACCCGCTGCGGGCCGAGGTATATGATCAATTTTGAGGATTCCGTGGCCTATATGTCTTTACTGTGTCTGAAGTAGAGGAGGAAAGCAATTTAACAAACTACTTGAACCGTTTTAGGTCCTCGGTATTCCCACGGCAGAAGACTTGATTAGAGAAAAGTTGTTTGAACATCGCTGGTTACTGGATCTGCGGTGAGTGTACAACTTTGAGCATCGGAACCCCAAACATGCTTTCGGTCGCCAGAGTACACCCCTGCCCATTATCAACATTAAATTGACGCTGTTCAGCTCAGATCAGCTTGGGGCCGTGCGTAGTAACTGTAGGAGTAGCATCACAAAGAAGTCAGTGACGTCCCATCTCCGATACATTCGAATATGCTGACCTGGGTGGAGCTGGTTTATGATTTTCGGCACAGTAAAGAACATCAAGGTTTCTTGGACACTGAGCCGGCGGCACCTCGAAGGGACGAGGAGGTTGGGCAGCGCTTTGGCGGAGGCGGCACCAAAGATATAAGACCAAGGTCGTAGACAGTAGAAGAAGCGTCCCGAGAACGGCGGGGACCGTAACGCCTACGGTTTTTGGAGTTGGCGGAGAGGACGCCAAGCTAGTTAAATCGAGTTGCAAGGGTACTTCAACCACGAAATAGTCGATCCACACCAGACTACCCTCGTCGGCGCAGGTTCCAACAAGTGTATGGTTCGTGTATGGCAGGGGCGGGGAGGAATAGAACACTTGTTGATATGTGTCGGAAGTCGAGGGGGTTTCCCGAAGAAGTTAACGGGAGAGCGATCATCTAAGACGTAGGTGGTATTTGGGAACATTGAACGGTCATTGTCGCCTCCCTGATGTGTCAATGAGCCATACACTTTGACGGATGTCCCTGGGTAGACTCATGAACGTTATGTTAGAGGAAGAGCATTGCATACGTACCGACGAAGTTGAGCGTGAAGAAGGCGCCTTGGGCCTTTGTACTGTGGGTTGTATTCTGGTATTCACTACTACAGCCATTCTGACGCCAACTGGGAGAGTAATTTATCTGACCGTCCGCGTCGTCGATGATGAAGTATCTCGAAATCATGTAGGCCAGCAGTTTTGGGGGGGTTGCAAAGGGGACCGACCAGAAGTAGCTTGATATAGTTCTACGTACGGTCCATATTCTTTGTGTTCTGTAGAAGTGATGTGTTCTGAGTTGAGGCCGGGTGAAGTGTGGCGGTCACAACTCTGTAGAGGTTCGCAGGCATATTTACTTGAATCTAAAGTACTTGTTCTATCTCATAGTCTGGTGATGGATCATACCTACCACATGAATCGAATCTTGGTGGTTGGGGCAGAGGTGCCGGCGTGGTAGAAGTCGCCGATTCTCAGTATCAGGGGCTTCCAGGGGCTGAGCGCTAGTAGCCGACCATCAAACACTGGAGGACCAGACCGCGGCGGTTCACAATGTCCGTCCCTCTTGCCGTGTAGTCGCGTCACGGAGTTGCGAAAAGCCTTGCCGGTAAATTGTAAGCGAAATGCACGTCCAGTATTTGGCGGCATGTTGCGAGCAACCCACGTACTTACCAGATAATAATGGCGTCGCCGACTGAGCACAGTAGCAGCTAGGTGTCACCGACCTTTGGCCTCATTATTTATTGCAGAATTGCGCGTACCCTAGGGACACAAGACCAATCGGTGCCAATTTAGGCACCTTGCAATTCAGTTCTTCGAAGATGGATAGCCGATACCCACGAAGCCAGCTCTCCAGATAAGAAGAAGGCCTTCAACGATATCGATGGTTCTCCGTTTAGTCTGTTATACCTGGGCAATTTGTCGTGGCAGCTTGGAGTTACTGACGCGAAATCATGGCTGTTGCTGATATCGAAGAGCCCGGTCACATTTGAATGTGGCGTAGAACGTACTTTCAGGACATTGTAAAGGGAGTGGGGTCCATATTCGCAGCAAATGAGATACTGCTGTAACCAACCTAGTTTTTGGCCTGACGTCGACCCCGTTCAATACGCTATACTTCCTCTCGAAGATGGTTGCCGTTACGGCCCCGGTGGAGAGCCTTGAAATTGTGAATTCCGGGGTCGGCTTGTCGTCGCCCGACCTCCGCATCCCCGCATCTGATTACCTCAGACCGCCCTGAGCGCTTGAAGCCGGTGAACCATGTGATTTCGGTAATCAGCGTCCCGAGCCATCTCTATAAGTTACGCCCCGCTACATTGAAGAACTGTACTCTCTTGCTCTCCACCACCATGTTGCAAATCACATCCAGCACCTCACCAGCCAAGGCCCGCCTCATCGCGAAGCACGACGACGACGTTGTTATCGTGTCAGCTGTCCGAACAGCCATCACGAAGGTGCGCTACGGTTGAAGATCGAACCCTGCTGTTTTTGCTGACTTATGTGTTTCGTAGGGCAGAAAGGGTGGCTTCAAGGACACTCGTCCCGAGGAGCTTCTCGGGGGTGTTTTACGCTCGGTCCTCACAAAAGTCAACATCGACCCGAAACTCATTGAGGATGTCGCTGTTGGCGCTGTTCTCCCACCCGGCGGAGGCGCTGGTCCCGCTCGCATGGCCGCTCTCTACGCCGGAATCCCCAACACCGCCGCCGTCAATGCAGTTAACCGTCAATGCTCATCAGGTCTTACTGCCATCAACCAAATTGCCAACGAAATCAAGACCGGTCAGATCGACATTGGTATCGGTGCAGGTGTGGAAAGCATGACCTTCGGTTTCGGCGCCGCCTCGCAACCTACCGGATACTCGGACCTCATTCTCTCCAACCAGGAGGCTGAGGACTGCTTGATCCCTATGGGTATCACATCGGAGAATGTTGCTAAGGATTACGGTATCGGACGTCTTGAGCAGGATAGATTCGCCGCTGAGTCCTTCCGCCGCGCCGCTGACGCCCAGAAGGCCGGCAAGTTCAAGGATGAGATCACCCCCCTCAAGGTGAAGGTTATCGACCCGAAGACTGAGGAGGAGAGAGAGATCGTCGTTGAGGCTGATGATGGCATTCGGGACGGTGTCACCGTCGAGAGCTTGGGAAAGCTAAAGCCCGCATTCACCAAGGACGGAACTACACATGCTGGTAACGCATCTCAGGTCTCTGACGGTGCCGCTGCCGTCCTCCTCGCTCGCCGCTCCGTCGCCAAGCGCCTCGGTCTCCCCATCCTCGGCAAGTTCAACAACGCCTCCGTCGTTGGTGTTCCCCCACGAGTTATGGGTGTAGGCCCAGCTTTCGCCATCCCCATTGCTCTCAAGAAGGCCGGGATCACCATTGAGGATGTCGACTTCTTCGAGATCAACGAAGCGTTTGCTAGCCAGGCCGTCTTTTCCGTCAAGCACCTCGGTATCCCCTTCGAGAAGGTCAACGTCCACGGTGGTGCCATCGCTATTGGCCATCCTCTCGGTTGCAGTACGTTTTTTCTTTTCCTTCCTGATACTATGGCGGCTCAATACTTCCTTTCAGCCGGTGCCAGGCAAGTCGCCACTGGTCTCAACATCAGCAAGCAATACGGCGCTAAGGTCTTCGTCACGAGTATGTGTATTGGATCAGGCATGGGCATGGCAGCTGTGTTTGTTAGCGAGCAGTAAATTCATATGGAAATTATCTATTTATTCCTCTTCGCATTGTATCTCTACATTCACGACAAAAATGCATGGTTGTAACCCAACCAGGTGTACTCCAGGTGGTCTTAGTCGTTAGACTGACTTGACCCTCAGAAATCCACTCAAAGGCATCGCACGGAGGGTTCGTTGGTGTCCTTGTCCTCGTTGATTCCGCAATTAAGATATGTTCAAATCTGTCCAAAACATAACGTCTGACGCGAGCCTAATCAGATTCCCGTCGCCGTCGTTGATCAGTAGATAGTCATCTACGGATACCCCTCGCCAGGCTAGGTATGTTATGTATTATACCTTTGTTGAAAGTTGGTCGTGGGCGCATCTACGACGATTCTGCGTTACGACATTGACACTGTATAAAACCATGTAGGTTACGCCGCAGCTTGTCAAGACCCATGTCTGCCGTTAATTGCTGTAGAGCATGCATCTGAACAAGCTTTTGCTTCTTCGACATTGATTTGTTGACTATTCGGGCTTTCCGAAGGGGATACAATGGTAAGCCACGTCGTTCTATATATACACCGCAATACATACGTCGTACATATCAGATCCAGTTGGTGCGGGCAGGGTGCCCTTAGAAGAAATCTTAGAAGAGATGAATATCAGACGATGGGCAAACATACCTACTCGTATTGGGGTGTTCGCTATTTTTCTAGTTCGAACCGCCTCATTCACTCATTGCGTCTGAGTCGTAGTCAGAACTGCTTGATGACACGGGCGATGATGGAGAATAGTCCAAATCGTCGGGTTCGTCCAAGGGTGATAAGTCTTCCGATACTAAGCAAATATATTCTTTCGGAGGTTGAATAAGTGAGCTAAACTTCGAAGGCATTCGAGGGGTCGATGGAAGACAATGAAGCACTGCCTCTGAGTCTGGTTTGCGTGTGATGTCGATCAGTGTTTGGCATGTGGCACTATGGGCCCAAGCGATTCGACGAAGCTTGGGGCAGGCACCTGGTTGAACCAGCGGGAGGCAATTATCCAGAGTGAATAGTGACAGGTGCGCAAAACCGCTGAATTCTAGAATCTGTAGCTGCTTGAGTTCCCTAAGGACCTGTAATAGAGGAGTCTGGATTGGATCATCTACATCGGCGACGTACTGGATAATGGGGAGTAAGCACCTGCGATATTGGAAATACATCGTCGAAGAGCATGGTACTCAGCGACAATGCAGTCAACGTTTCCTTGGACGCCAGTATTAGGTCTTTGGTATACTCGAGCCACAACCACCCATGGGGTTGGCTCGCGGCAATGGTGATACGAAGATCTTCTATACCGGGAAGACAATAGTAAGGAATCGGCTGGTTGCACCACAACGAAGGCATCGTTTCCAACCTCGAATTGGCGCAATCGGTGATCGTGATATCGAGTTTATTGATGCCTTTGTGGCTGAGGGCAAGAAAGAGTCTATGCACCCTCAGCATCCAGCAGAGATATGGCACGGTGTTGATATCCAGGCGAAGCGACGTTATACTCGGGAAGCTTGCAATCCCTGCATAGATAATGTCCGTCGAGATCGTCGCAGCAACGAAGTCTGACTCCCACTGAATCAACGTGACATGTCTAGGGGTTAACTTCAGTGTCATGTAATTGAGTCTGAAGAACGAAAGGTATCGAACCTCGCTGCAGATTTGATATGGGGGCACTTGTCGAACAAATGCGAAAGCTCCGCCGGAGAGAACTGGTCAAGGATCATGACGTTTTCAAAGAGCACCGACGCGACCGCGTTGTAAATTTTCCAGCAAGTCAGGGACATATTAGAGCAGTCGGGCGTCCTGAGGCACAAAGAGAGGGCGCGCAACAATTCGGGTGGCAAATCAAACAGTGTCGGCATGTTCAGGAGGTGACAGTGAGCGATTTAGACTACGAAGTGGCGGTGCGTTCATGTCGCTTTCTCACAGCAACGTGATTTACATACTGGAACTTCGACGGTGCACGACTCTGGATGTTCAACCAGCAGTTCAACCAACATTCGCTGTGTACAAGCCAGGCCCTCTGACTCGAGTATCTGTCAACTGTACATATATCCTCGCATTGAGGCTACGGTAAGCCTTGGCCCGCCGCTGTGGACAGAGAATGTTGATAGTCCTTTCGGTATTTTGTTTCCTAACTTCGGGCACAAGCTACTGCCGAGAGAATTCCAAAGGACACGAGTAGTATAACGGCAACAATTTCTTGCGTGAGTATGTTTTATGTTGTGCATCTGTCTTATGACTCGTGTTAATCCCTTCTTCTCGGTGTAGCCACTCGCGATTCTAGGGTGTTGGGGCAGAATTCCTATACAAGTGAGCCCACCGAGAGGACTTCGCCTCGCGCGTTCGGACCTTCCAGCTTCTACTATGTCAGACATGTCGTTACTCACACCTCTCTTTCGCCGCCCCTCCGTTGAACCGAATATCAAGAGCCTTCTCATTTGTCATGCAATTGAATTGACGAGGCCAGCCAGTTACCATCAGAGAATGGAACTTTGTGCAATACAGCCAACGTACAGCACTACATCACCACATACTCAGTTGGTGGACGCCCATGAGCACTTCACGAAATGTGGCGTACAGCACGAATTACGCGAGGTACGAAAGGCTTCTCGTACATCGGGTGCCTCGGGGGACCGTCAAGACATGCCATTCAGTACGAAGTGACTGGCTCATGTTGTCGAAAGCAATTCAGTGGCACGCCGTACACTGCGAGAAGTCAAGGTGTGGTTTGATTTGGAGGATTAATGGGATAATATGGTTTTGGGAAGATCCGTGACTCATGCTGCGAATAGTATAAAATGAGGACTCACAACCCAAGGTCTTCAGTATCCAGAACCTCAACAATGACCACTTCCTCCCAGCTAAACCCTCTCAGTCTCGCGGACGTCAAAGCCGATGCTTCCAGCTTCGGCGGCAACGCCCTTGAACCAGGAGCATACATGATCAAGAGCGCTGCCTGGCCTCATCTCATGCTTGGCTTGCGTGACGGTGTAGAGAAAGAAGGCAATCCAGTCGACACTATTCTCGCTTTGCATAGCATAGGTCCTAAGGTGATTACATACTATTACCCCCAAAGGCCTCTTACAATTCTTATGGTTGCCTTAGTGGGACATCGAGGCTAGGCCCGCAGGTTCGACCACTACGTTCACCATCCGAAGCCAAGGAGGGCATTTCCAGCATGTTGAGAAGATTTCCGAGTTGCGTTGCAGCTAACTGCGACCAGCCATCACGCTAATATACCTGATAGGAATGCAGGCGTCGTTGTCAGTGCCACTGAAACGGTCTTTAAGATAGTCCAGCCCCTCGAAGCGCATCCCACTCTCTATAGGTATTGTTAGAAAAATCATCCCTCATTCGACTTTTTCTGATCCGCGTATTCAGTATTCAAGTAGGGGATGGCGAGTTCGCATTCCAGGCCGTTAGTGGTGCTGGTGCGGACCAGGTGAGTACGACTCGGGTTTGGGCATGAATAGACTAATGACTTCGATGGCGTTAGGTTGTGCTCCAACCTTTCAACGAGCGGGACACCCGCCAGTTATGGGTTTTCGCCCGTGGACTGATGGCCTGAATGAAGTTGTAGCCACGATTCAACTCCAAGTGACTGTATGAGTGTGACGCGATGAAAATTGGCCGGTTATTCCCTGTGTAGTGACGCTACGAACGCGGAATCAAGTACTATGATTGGCAAGACATTCAGCCTGAATTGACATATATTGGATACATGTTGGTACGTATTGGTATATCATCTCCTCGCCTTCGTTTGTGCTATCATATACGTAGCTATGAAACACCTAAGCAGCTCCGCCTATGCCAGACTTATCTACATGGCCGCCATTAGTACGAAAGCGTCTAAATCAACGGGACTCAACGCACCAATGGTAGAACCTTCAGCGTCGTTGCTCTTTGTCATTGAAGCGGGAGGTTGTCCCAAGGCGAGCCGCACTTCGTCTTTGAATAGTTCAAGTTTATGGCGGGAGTAAAAATACATCGAGTTGAGCATGGCAATGTTGGTAGCCTTTTGTAGCGTTCTCCGCTCTACTGGCTTGCCTCGTATCGATACTAGGTACATTCAAGGTGGGCATGGTGGGCAAATAATCATCAGCGACCCGCTCTTATCTGAGGATGTGTACGCACTTTCTATGGGAGATTCACTGAAGTTACTGGCCTCGAATAGTTCTACACTCTCCAGGTATGTTCGCAATATTTTGAGGTAAAGCTTGGAGTATTCCGCCTTTTCCTGGAGCTTTGATGCTTCTGTGGGGGCGTTCGACATGGCGGTAAATTGGGTAGAAGCGTAGGCGGGATGAGGAGTATCGCGTTATGGAGGATCGGGTGAAAGGATGAGGCCTGAGGACATTCCGCTCATGTATAAATCCGAATGCTGGCCCGCCGAGTAGTAGGTCTGAATGCTGGTGATGTCAGAGCCAAAAAGTAGCCCTCGTAATAGGAGACTTCAGGAGAGACCTCAGGAGAACACGGGCCTTCTCATTTAGTTCGCCCATTAACAGTTAACGGTAATACAACATTTAGCGATGCTATTCTGTAGTCTAGTATTATCTATTTCGGGATTCTTTTCGCTACAGGAACTCCGGTCAACTCCTTGGGCATCCTCAATCCAGATAAAATCTCACCACTATGTCCTGCCTGGGAAGATTTCTTCGAGACACGTTTAGCCGCTGGCATTGGGTCTGGAACATGTCCTACGATTTGTCGGAGGTTCTCTACAAACGACACCATTGTCTTGTGAGTCGTAAGGAATAACCTTTCTATATAGAAGAAATCGACGAGTTTCGCAAGGTGTCTTAGGTTCAGAGACTTTTCCCCCAGCTTGACCACTGGTTTCAAAAGTCAGCGTACAAATAAGCGAGTACTCTGGTGGGACTAGCTCACCAATAAATGTCTCGCAAACGGCAGGTGGGTGGGATGCCAATGCTATTTTTGCTGTTGCGAGGCGTGCGCTCATAGTTTCGTTGAACTTGATGACATAGTCGATCTGTTCTTCAAGAGAGTTAAATGTTGGTTCAGACATTTGGGGGAATAGATGGTGGATGACGAGGGTCAGAACATTGTCGACGCATTTATACGCCAGGCGTGGATCGTGCTAGGAGCTTCAAGGCCACAGGTCTCTGCCACTATTGTTATTGTTTGTGGACCAGTGGTCAAAGTCTTGTCACAGCCCCTGACAAGCGAAGCCAATTGATCGACGTGAATGATCCAGGAAGTAAGTAGTACACTGTGTACGTCATCTGGGCGCCCAAGAAGGCTAATAAATTTACAGAAAGATTATGCAAGGACGCATCACATCGAGAACTTCTCCGTGTGCAACGCGATGCCACCCAAGCGGATGCCCTGCGAGAGGTTCACCTGAACGACAGCATTCGCAGCTTCTCGTGTCAAGCTCTCTGGTCCACTAGCGCAGACTGCCACCCCTCCGTACTGTGGTGGCATGGCGAGCTCTTTGTCAGTTAACGCCCTGTTCGGTCCATGAGGCATCGAAGCGAAGCTTCTGAGTAAGGCTGAGATAGACGGTCGTCCAACTCGTATGTCGGTATTCGGCAACGTTACGTCCGGGAGGAGAGAGCGCAATGAGGTTACGAAGATAGATATATGAAGGTCGAGAGTTGACTTCATTGCGGTATCGACGATGGTAGCCAGCAGCGGCGCGAACCATTCCATGGCATCTGCAGAAAGGTGTTGGTGTTTGAACAAGGCAAACTATGCGGGAAGCAACGCACCAAAGGATCGGATACACCATACAAATTCGATGCGGTTGGTCTTCTCGTCACCGGGCCTTCGAAGTTTCGCGCAACGGGCAACTAGATCGTCGAGGAGACTGATTGTGAATGTGGCACCACTCCCGCCAGCCAGGAATAACACATTCTCGTATCTCCCGAGATTGATGCTGCAGCCACCGTACGGCCCATCCAGCATGACCCGAATTGGCACTTCGGGGAACCCTGTCGCTAATTCGCTTTCAGCCTTGAGAGTCAAAGCCGAGACGTGGCTTTGTTGCGCGTCGCTGTTTGCGTACTCGTTGAGCGCCTTGGACCAATCACCACATGCACGCACAGCAAGGACAATCCCTTCGTTTGATATGCAAGAGGTGGAAGGAGGGGCGGTAACGATACTGAGAGGGTGGGACTCCATGAAACGGTTGCGAAAGAACACGCGTAGCTGTACATGTTGGCCAGCTTCCCACCCTGCATCACAATCAGGTACCCGGATCTGCGAACGTAGCATATTTAGATAAGGAGGCGGAACTGGGGGCGGAGGCAAAGACAACATACAAGAGTCATTTGGTCATCGATAGCAATCAATTGCGCATCCTTGACGCGGTACTTGAAGAACCTGAGTAGCATGTCTGCGGCATATAATAGCATAGGCGGGTAAAGCCAAAGGCCGGCAAAAGAGGTATGGTGGAAGATGGTTATGGCGAAGGCGACGTAGGCCACAATGCTGCAAAGCCGTTCAACGGGCTTCTGCGAGGGCGGGGTTGTATCGAACTTACTGTGTTACAATGAAGAACCGATAGAGTAGACGGCGGAAAATGGGTAAAGATGTCAAGACAATGACGCATAGCAGGATCAGGGCTGCAAGGCCAGTGATGGCCTTGGGGGATCCTACGACTCCTCTGCCCCAGCGAACTCGGTTTCGAATCCATAGGGACCCATGGGCGAGGGCAGCAAAGAACATGCCACGTCCTGACCAGCGATGGATGAAATTGAGGCGTTCGTAGCCATTCCCAGGTCCCAAAAGTAGCGAGAGCACGGAGTTCTTTGTTCCAAATAGAAACACGATTGGGAGTTGCGCCAGCGCCATGAATCCTTTGTTACCGTACAATGAGGGACGTCAACCTAATAAAGACAAGCAGAAACTTACCAGCGCGGTTTGGATTTTCCATCAGTCGAGCCTCATGGCCTATGCAGTAACCCAACAAACCAAGGTAGGCACCAATCAACACCACTGTGCGCATGCTTGAGTATTCATCCTGGAGTGGCATCATAGTAGACACGTACTGTGCGAAAGATTCAAGCTAAGTTTGGGGGGAGTTAGATGACATATAGAACCAATCGCTCGAAAGAAGCCGTAGACACGATTGCGGCGTCGGCTGTCACTCAAAACCAACGCTGGAACGTCGCACTCGAGTGACGACACCGGAGCATAGTTTTTTGCTGCATTGCATTCCCGTATGCCGAGTAGGCCGACTAGTATTCGTTTAGGATGTATCGAACGAAAAATGGCCGGTAGTGAAAGGATGGTGGCAACCCCCAACACCGAAGCCCATATCACCGTAAACTTTAGTTGCCATTGAGGATCAATCTCGTAAGAGCTGAGAAAAAGTCAGCCCGCGGTGTTTGGATAGATTAAGGCCGCTTACTCGTAAAAGGGAAGAGGGAAGGGTATCATTGGAAAGGGCGCAGTCGTGGCCATTGGGAGCGGGAGATGGGGGATATACTAGTGGGCCAAGTAGTCCCAAGTGTGGCTTTTACAAGTCCAGCACAGACAGCTACGATGAGACCGTTGCGATGGCCATCTAGTCAACATTTTGCAGTTCACTGACTGGCCCTTCGTGTCCAACTTCCATTCAATTTGACGGCTGCAATGATTGTACGTTACACAAATGCAATCCCGAGCGTTTGCATCCTGACTGAGTCTTGGCTCATACCGAGTACGTTTCAGGCTTAGAGATAAGATCCCTGGACGGAAAGAATAGCACAGAAGTAGGTGATTGGGTGAACGGCTGTTGACTTAGCCCGCATTAATGTAGGCGCTTATCTCGCTCAAGTCACGTGTCAATGTGGCGCAAAGGTTCGCTGTATGAAATGTTTGGAAAGACTCAACTGGTCGCCTTTGCATGTCTCTGCCTCCCATTGTTCGTGTCTTTGGGCGTCTCGCCAGTGTTTGGCATTTGATAATACTGAAATTGAAGCAATGGTCGCGTCGATGCGAGTTCCGAGCCAACCTGGGTAGGCTCCTTGGAGTAGTGCTCAACGCGTTCCGTCGCCTATCTGAGTTCAGGGTTTCAGGTGAGTTGAGTGTGGCCTGGCCAGGGTTTATATTGACTGTGCTTAATGATACCAAGCAACGCGCTCTGCAGAAAGAATCGCACCTTCACAGCCCGCCAATTCACTGGCAGTCCTTCCAACGGAGTTGCTCACTCTGGTTTTGGCCGAACTTGAACTAACGGACTTGCGACGGGCTTGCCACGTAAGATTTACTCCTTTTTAATGGCCAAACCAATGACTAGTTATCCAGTCTTGCAGGTCCCTCTATACCGCGTCAAAATTGCGTAATATCTGGCTGCGTCTTTTCTGGCAACTTTCAGATTCATATGTTGTTCCAATCATCCCTCCAAGACCTCTAGAGACCTACGGCGCTGCTGCTTTGGAGTCAATGGTACTGCAGTGGATTTGTGTTGATCATGCATGGTCATTGTGCTTGATACGACAGCAACTGCCTCGCCAGCGTATCCTGGACAACACTTGGTTAAAGACACATTTTGCATTGATTGAAGGCGGTCGGTGGCTTCTCACAACAGACAAATGTGGCTCGGTGCTGGCACATGACTTAGATTCTCCTTCCCTAAAGATGGGGACATATGTCCTTATTTGACCGGACAATAGGCGGGACCACATCCTCATTTCGGATTTGTCTGTCTGTATCGACCGGACCTCCCCTACCTTAGCATTTAATCTAGCCCTTTCACACAACTTTTGTTGAGTCTTTCGACTTGATTCATTCGTGTCAATACTGAACCTATTCATAGGCGAGTCCCCATTGTCTAGACTGTCATTGTGGAGTATAAGACTCGTCGAGGCTACTGATGGTCGTTCTAGACTTACCTCCAAGTTTCTCAAATCCTTCTATACTCGCTCCTTGGAGATTGTTTTTAACACCTCCCTCCTACATTCGCTCTACGCTCGGACAGTTAGCCCTTGGGCCGTTGAGATATTTGACTGGCAGAAGTCAACAGGGATGGTCCATGTGAAATCTCATATCCGCCCCGAGGAAAATATGGTGAGTCCCAGCGCTTACTTGCAATGCGAGACTGATGTGTTTCATGCCCCTTTGGATGTCGAGGTGTCAGTGCGATTACTACCTGGGAGACGGGTGCTCACCGGTAGAAAGAGTGCAATCCATATTTACGCCATTCCGGAGTGCAGTTGCTACTCGGCTACCGTTCCCTTCGACCCTTTGGAGACTTCAGAGGCCCAAACGGCTCTCCATGTCATCCCAATTGGTGGCGATTTAGTAATGGGGGGCATATCTCCCTCGTACATCAGCCCCGCCGGGAAGATATATATTTCTCTGGCGTCTTCTCAGCATATCTTCGCTCTCACTGCCGACGTCAACAACGGAGCACCGAGTGTATCTGTCATTAAACTGATTGATTATTCAATGAGATTCGAAGGCACTGCTTATGCACTTGGTCTTCACAGGATGCTAATCTGACAAGATTATATGCCTGACTCGATCATTACATTGAACCTATTACGGGACCAACAATTTAATGTCAACAAACACTATTGGGACGAAACAGTCTATCACTCCTCGAAAACTACTCTTGACGAATGGAGTGGAAGAGTGGTTGATTGCTTAGAGGACGGGAGAATTATGATCGTAGATTTTGCGTCTGAACGGCCACACTTTGCAGACCGCTCCATAGGGTTGCACCACTACTGGTAGCCTTCAAAGTGAATACCATCAGATTCTGTGGTTGCTTCGTTGTAGTGAGCTTACCCAAAATAACAGGGATTTGAATTGAGATGATACATTAAAGCTTGGGGCTGACAGTTTCTCAGTAATCCAGCAGGCACAGTGATGATCATCGATCATCCTCCAGATGTCTCTAGATCTGCATCCGACTGTTCTCCGTTTACTCCAATGTATCGAGAATGCCTGGAACTAGGCTGTGGTGCGCGTGAAGCAACGGACTCGGCAATGCGAACACCAAGTCTACCTTCGGAAACTGCTTGGGATTACACTCAGCACCTTTCGGTCGCCTGTCAAACTTCAATCAGCAGAGTCTAATCTGGCATGTATAAAACAGCCATTAAGGAGTCTATGAAGTGATGTGCTACTCTGACACTGTCGAAGATCTGCACTACATATTGACTAATTCCTCACGCTAGGTTAAAAGGGAAGTGGTACTCTGAAACTTCGGCGAAGGCGTGCTAAAGCTTGAACAATATCTCCGTCCTTTTCGTCCACTCCTAAAGCTCGGCGCACCGAAGGGTCTGCAGCACCTACAGACTGCCCCGTGAAGATGGGCCCGTCCACAGGGCATACAACCCCTTCGTCAGGGAGTGTCCCGTTCATGAAATACGCACGAACGAATTTTGACGTGCATACGGATGGTGCGGCGATAGAACAATGCTATAGTTATGCATTAGAATTCCGAGGTTACTGAAGTGGATGTGGGCGTACCCCAGGCGAATCCTGCGCGAGAACGACCGAGCCCGGAAATCCCTGGGCCATCTTGCGTGCTCTGGAAGAGGAACACATTGAGTATAACTTGCGTCCCGTATTTCGAGAACATCCTTACCCGGCAATGGGTGTAGCTGGGTCTACAGACAGGTAGCAAACCGGTCAGCCAAGATCCAAAGATGAGTGGACTGATAAGACATACCCGCGGTGTTTCCGATCCAAAGTATAGGGTGACTAGTGTTGCCCAAGAATGGCCCTAAGCATTGGATTCAGAATTACGTCGCACGATGTTACATTACATTATATAGGTATACCTTGGAAATGTCTCTTTTCTTGCTTTGGCCATGCCCTGCCGAGGTCAGTGTCAGCAACGGAACGGCATTCAGAAAAAAAAAACGTGCGAGCATCCGATCCTTGCGCCAGTCCATACTTCGCCCCATTGTGAATCTCTCAATAGTCCTTGCAGATATAATTCCAACTCGTCAACCGTATCGCGGACTTCTTGACCATCGGTGCAAGAGATGGCAATTCCGCCGTCCGCAATGATTGTGGGAGGAGTGGGTGTGCCACAAGAACAATCGAAGAGAGGTTGCTCCATGATCTGGTACAGCGTTGTTCCGTTCCCGTTGATCAGATCGGCGAGACCTTGAGCAAGTTGTGGGAAGAGTGCGTATGGTGACCAGAGACTTTGAAAGATCGACATTTGCAGCCTTGCATAGTCGACCAATCCATAAGAAATGCCTGTTAAAACCGGAACGGGCCGTAGGAAGGTAGCTCGAGTCAAGTCGTCAAGCTTGCGAGAGATCGCCTGAGGGGAGGGCTCGTAGAAGGGGCATAAATCAGGGCCACCTTTGAAACAGTCGTCGAAGAATATTTGTAAGGTCTTATCGGCATCTAGCAGGTTCTTTGACCAAAGGGCTGATGCTTCATCAGTACTTGAGAATATACCGCACGCCAGGAGATTCTTACTAGCGTAATAATCCTCAGCATCGACAACGCCTGTGTTCACCATAATCAGTGGTCACATCAGGTTTACGGGAAACACAGCGCACCATCAAGGACGAGACGGCTAATGCGGTCCTATATCACGAGTGAGTTGGAGGACTGTGTCTGTGAGCCTTTCGACTCACGGGGAACAGGGATGCAAATGTTGCTCCTAGCACTGTCCCGTACCTATACTTGCGGTCACCAACAATAGCGTAACAAACCGGCAAGTCGGAAACCTACGAGAATCCCCAGTATTGGATATTCCTCTGTCCATGTGCTTCGACAATTCGGAGCATATCCCTTGCCGTGTTCTCCGTGTTGAAGTGCTCGAGTACGTTGTGTTGATTATGTCGTGCGGCGAGGGCACCTGTTATCTGTGCGCGAGCCCAAATACGCGCGAGACCATCACTCGTCGCGTTGATTACGTCGAATGACCCAAAAAATTGTCTCTGAGCCTCGGTGTCAAAGAAGGACACGCGAGGGGTAGAGAACCCAACACCTAATGATGAATTTTCATAAATGTTGTTTTGTTGACACAGCGAGCCCGAGGGTACCTCTGGGATCGAATGAAACGATGTCGAAGTTGGCGCCAAGCAACTCGGAAAACGCTGCGCCGCCGTCCGCAATCATTTGCACACCGCTACCACCGGGGCCTCCGGGGTTGAAAAGAATTGGTCCCTTGTAGTCGTCCGTACCCGCGAGCGGCGAAGGAAATCTAATGACAGCGATTGACGCTGTGCCTCCATCTGGATCGGAATAATTGAGGGGAACCTAGACCTGCGTTAGTACCTGTGAGGTTACCGAAAATTCTAATTTCTAGGTCACGTACTTGGAGTCGGGCACACTGCAACTGTGTGTAACAATCTGTCCACTTCAACTTCGTACTTGTCTCTAACTGTGCAAAGTTCGTTGATCCGTGGACGCGACGGGGCAAACAGACTTGCCTTTTCCCATACCACGTTATCCTGAGAAGATTGCTGAGCGAGAACGTTGACGACAAGGCTAGCTCCCAGCAAAACAAAACTTATGAAGGCCTTGTTGTTAACCATCGTAAATAGTAGGCTAGGAAACTGCATCCCTACGGTCTGCTTATAAGGTCGTCAACCGGGAAAACGATCCGAATCGTTTATCCCCAACAGCGCGTTACGCGCGGCACGCCGGCACATGGGACCCAGCGTGTGCACGTTCGGTAAATCCTCGCGAGAGGCAAGCGAAAGGACACATCACTACGCGAACGTATCGTGCAACGATCTATAGACTCACGATTCCGAGTGGTGAAAGTCGTACTGAGCCAGTGACACCCTATTGAAAGAAGCGCAAATGCGTCGCAAACTTTACATGTCGGCCTGTTCTTTGTTGTGAGTCTCTCGCAAAGGGTTCTGAGAAGTATCTGCTTCTGATGGTACACAGTACCACCGGGGCCCGAATAAATAAACTGGCATTGGCAGCACCTATGGATCAATGCTGTATTCAGTCACGACTCACAGCAATGCCACTGATCGAGTGGAGGATCGAGGGAAGAATCCAGTGTTTAGAACAACAGACCCTTGAAGAGCGTCCTGTGCTTATTAATGTGATGCGCTGAAGATCATCATTCCATATCAACTACAACTATTTTATTATTATAATGCTCTGTACGTTGCCTTGCGCAATCGGCGAATTTACACAAGCGCGATGCACGGTTAAGTGGCGATGCACCTGAGGCTGTAGCACCCAGCACGTGAATAGGTGTTGCTAGCCTATATAGAGGATGCAATACTATTTCGCCACCTCGACAACACTACAACCTTCCCACTGACCTTATCTTGCCTATGACCTGCATCCAACATCATCTCCAACAACGGCTACAGCTATCAGTCACTACATGTAGTGCAGCATATGCTCTATACTGTCGAATAACACCAAGCTGTCTGCAATCTTATGCCCGAGTGCACGAAAGTCTTCGGTTCCGGCAAAGCTACATTCATAAGTAAACCGACGTGCGGCCCACCTCTATCTTATTTGGATTGTCTCAACTTGAAATTCTCGCCGTCGAATAACTGTGAGTTATCTCATTATCCACCGAAGTCCACACTCACGAAAATCGATTTTTGAGCAGCACAGTGGTAGATGAAAGCCACCTAAAAAGTACTAAACCGCCGATGAATTTTGGCAAGGATGTGTCAATCCAAGTAGGTATACGGACGATATGGCCCGCTCTGAAACCGCTGCTAATCTCAGGCCATAACAGCCCCACGATAGCAACGTTTGTAGTCGAGACCGTACTCAAACTACAGATATCAAACGATGCAGACGACGCCGAAGGAATGCATGTTCATTCATGCGTTCCAGTCAGCCATGGGAGACATATTTACCAGGTCAAAGGCAACGAGAGGCCTCATGTGAGGCATAAAATGACACTACCTTAGACCTTAGCTTCGATATGATTTCGTACCTTTATGTTTCCTTTAGAACTATAGAGTAGTGCACATCTTTAAACGACAACCAAGCTCATCTCAAACTGCAGCTCGCCACCATGGATAAGTTGTTCGTGGGCTATGATGGAGTTACTGATCTTCTCCCCATTTATGACCGAAGTCTTGACATATATCTGCGACGGGGCACCTGGCGAGGAGATGACAAGAGGTCGGGCCACCCCAGGAAGCCTGATCGTAGCTTTATCGAAGAAGGGACTGGGTACGGTAGACGGGTGTCAGTCACAGATGCTGGTCACAAATGAGCGCAACGTACGAGCCGATCACATAGTTTCCTGAGGCAGGATCAACAGGGTAAAAACCCAAGGCAGAGAACAGATACCAGGCACTCATTTGACCACAGTCTTCGTTCTAGGAGGACTACTCAGCACGCACAACACGGGACAGGGGGAAGACATCACACACTCCAAGTAGTCCAGTTGGCGTATCATCGTAGTCAGTGACGGCAATTGATCGTACACGCTCTTGCGTCTTGGATGAGGCATTCACCAAGCCATAAAGGTAAGGTATATGGTGGGACGGCTAATAGACGATCAGTGGGCGGTCAAGTCACCGGACTGATAAATCTAGACCTACCTCGTTGGTGTGTTGGTTGTGGGCTAACGGTACCAAGCAGTTAGTGCCAACTGAATCCCAGACAAGCCGAGAATGACCGACCTCCATCAAAGTGCTCATCCAAGAACTGGACGAAGTTTGCGTTACCGCCCCTCCTCCGCGCCAGCTCCGGAATATTCTGGACTACGTCAAACGTATATATCCATTTATCGCCTTCGGTCCAGCCTGCATCGGGCCCCGCGAAAGACCCGTTCGCATTGCGTGCCTCCATAAAGCCGGTTGCATCATTGAAGATCTTGAAGGGGTTTCCTAACCCACGGTCGCGGTAAAACTGGGCATCTTCCGTCTTGTTAAGGACATCCGCGAAGAGGGATATAGCATAGTCATCATCTGAAGGTCGCATTAGTCGAGTGGGAATGACTCTAAAAATAAATCGACGCACAGGAGTAGTCCAAAGTACACGAACCAGCCTCGGAGTGAACATCACTAGCTACCCAACCATTCTGGGCGTATACGGTGGAAAGCCCAGAGCGAACTTCGTAATCGACGTTCTAAAGGAGGTAAGCCCACACAGATCTATGCAACGAGAAAGTAGTGACTAACCTCTTGCCGATCACCGTAACTGCATTTTGTTGAGCACGGTAGGACAGTGATGCACTCTATATTAGGACTCACATGGTCGTATTGTCGTCCACAGGGGGGACGGATGCATCTTTCACTACTGCTTGCCACGCTAGCTCGAGATCGAAACCTCGTACTCCTTTGACAACCGCTTCGGAGATCTGCGAATCAGCATGCGTTCCTACCTGTACAAATCATTCGTAAGCTACTCGTTGCTCATGGTACATATATGGAAAATAACCATGATGTTCGTCTCTTTAGTTCGTTCATCAGTTCGTTCATGTAAAACATAGAGTGTATATAACATACCGACGATGTTCTTCCATTTTGGAAGCCAACCTCCCTATCAACTCTGATTAAACCGGCGTGGAAGTCAAGAAATGAGGGACACACTTCCTTGAAATCATTGAGCATGCTAGTGATCATCCCCGGCATCCTTTCAGGGGCGAAGAGGATAAGCCAGGCCCACTCAGCTCGAAACGTGTCCTGTAACAACCTCAGGACGCTAGGTACAGAATCTGCGAACGAACGCACCCAGATAGAATAGCCATTGTAAGAATCGCCTTGATGAACTTGATCGTCGAACCCTGAATAGTATCTACCCTCCTCACTGGTCTCATAGGGGTACTAAAGGGGCGAAGCGCCTTGAACACGAGGGACACCTCTGAGACCGAGGGACGACGAACCTGCAACGAGTGGAAGAAGCCAGTGTAAAAAATCGTTTTCTGCTTCTCCGTAGCCCCTTCGAGTTGTATACGGTCCAACTTCTCTGCCCATGCTACCCGAGTCTTCCGAGCAGTCGCTTCCAGTGTCTCGCTGTCGGGGATCTCTCTATCGAGGTTGCGTCTAGCTTGCTCGATGGAGATAAACGACACGCCAATCCGAACGTCAACAACCTTCGTAAATGGTGCGAAAGTAGCAAAGCCAGAGAGAAGCCGGTCGTCCCGTCGCGTGACCCCAGCATGGGTTGTTCCGTTCGTCGCGACGCCCCAGCTTGCAAAGGGTTGAGCAAATCGGGCGCAGAAATACCCACTGAACCCTCGCGCAGGGGTAGACAGCGGGCCGATGATAGAGTCCTGTCGCTCTGGGTTGCTCCCGCATATCTCGCGAGCATGTGGATCGATGCGAATGGAGCCAATATGAAGAGTCGTATTGGTCGTATCCGTATGGCCGACGACGGCTGCCCGAGTTGCCTCCACAATGACATAGGGCGTAGAAGTATGTTGGAAGGTGAAGCGTAAATGCCCAACACGAGAGGCTACGGTGATCGTCAACATTGTATATTGAGTAGACTTCCTCACTGTACTTACTAGCACTCTGTTCAGCAAGAATCGTTCCGCCTCCAAGGGCATCTAGCTCGACACTATAGTAACTAGCCGTCCTGACTTCCGTGCCTTTGTCGAAGGTCATGCCCCTATCTTCAAATTTGCTCCTTATATTGCCAGCACCGGGGACTACTATAACCTGCCCGCTCTCGCCCATCCATATTGCGGGTTGATGAGTACCCTGAAAGCCATGGATAGAGGTATCAGTTAGTATGTATGGGGGCACGGAGACGTAGTTCTGGCGAGTTTGAGCCACCCAGCGAGTCATAGCGAAAGGCGGAGCTGTGGAAGGTATCATTCCCCCAGTGTGAGAGGGGATCACCCCGCCGTTTCCGATTATCCTGGCAAAGCTAATAAGTATTGAGCGACACGGGCGAAGTGATTCGATACGCACGGATCAACATGGTCTACGGCGTCGCTAGCTGGTCTACGGAAAGCTGGGGGCACGGCTTTCGCGAGTGCTGCACTTCCGACTGAGAGGAGAAATGATAGCAGGTAAATGGAGACGTCAGCAAGCATCAATCGTACTTCTCGAAACGATCTATCTTGCTGGCTTTTAACGACACACAGGCTCTGTCCAAATCAATAGACCATACAGTTATGACATGCCTTCTTGTCTTCTACCACGCGGGTTGGACCTCAGAAGCTACGACGGACAGAAATAGAAACACTGGCGGCCCAAGCTTCGATAGTGTTGCCGTTCATGCATGCACAATCTGAAAGGTCAACGTCGCCTTGCTCTCGCCCGCGTAATGCAGTCAAAGGAAACCTGACCGATGACACCAGAATATGGCCTATGTAGTTGTTAGTCTGGGAGGACTTATAACAAATCGGCTACACGTTCGTCAGTACTTCCCACCGCAGGTCACGCCGGCCTGATCTTGGAAAGATCAGGTGAGTCTAGGGCTTCTGGGCTCTGTAGGGTATGTTCAGAGTAGATGGCCGAGGAAGAGATATAATTTCTCACCGATACATAAGACTAATCAACCTCTGTTAATGGTGCCTCCTCGCCTCTGTGCATAACTCGTCAGCACCAGGTATGATGGTAACTCTGTTTGCCCCAGACACTGTATATGATTGCATATGGGCACAGTTATGATATGTATGTAGTCGGTTAAGAAGGGATGTTATTCCGTTCTGTCGCTCCGACAGGATTGAGCAATGATTCTAACTAGCCACGCTCTTAGCATTCTCGTCGCAAACGAGTGTTCAAGGGACTCACTTGGTCGTAGACTTCTTTCGAGTTCGTATTATCGTTAGTTTCAGTCAGATCGGGGGATGTCGGCTGACCATCACTCTTCTTACGAAAAGTCAGACGCAGAAAACGGCGAATGCACCGCGAAGCGTACCTGCTTGCCCTTCGCCGGAATACCAGTCTTTTTTGCGCCGTTCGGTCCGACGGAGGCGGGGAAAGGCAACTCGTCGCGAGGAACGATATCAATGAGGAAGTCGAACTGGTCAGACTTGCTCAGTGCCTTGGCAATATCTGAACGCGACAACGTGCGGCGTTTATTGGAGTCGGCGATGATGAAGGCTCTAGCAGTGATTTCCGAGATAAAGACTACGGTCGTCGCCAGCGATCGTCAGCAACCTTTCTCGTACGACGGCGTGAGAACGACATACTCTCACAAGCTTTGCAGAACAGAATCGGGGCTGTTCACGCGTTCAAAGGGCGGATACAATGGAATGTCATTGTCCATACCATCTGCTGCAATCATCTTGACATCAATGGTTCAAGACAGACTCGAAAGGTCGCGTCAATGTTGCTTACTTTGACATCGGGATCACTCTTCATGACCTTCTTGATTCTGGCGAGCGGGAGAGGCGGGTGGCGATAATCGGGAGTTTCTTGCTCGGCTGCATCCACCATGCGCTGCCAGAAGGTTTGCAGAAAATCATTCAGCGGCTGGCCAGGCTGGACGAAAGGCTTGCTGGACGACATGGAAGGTGTGGACAAGAAGCTCGGCTCACATTGGCTGATGTAAGTCGATCTTATCTTGTCTTATCTTATCTGGCCATGAAAAGTTGAAGTTTCGGAGCACTGATCTGGACCCTTACTTGACCCTTACTTGTTCGTTTGCTCGCCTCTCAGATATCTGGGGATGGACTCACGGCACTTCACGCAGCGGACGCGTCAATGCGGATTCCGGACTCACCTCCGTAAACTGCTTGGGCTCGCGCTCGCCATTTCAGGTTATCAGAGCTCAAAGTCTTGGGTGAGTTATTAGGGGATAGAGAATATATATTCTGGGCTGAACTGATCATAACAACTGACGCGCCCGCACGAGGACTCAGGAATCGGCGCGCTTCCGCGACCTGCGAGCTCACTGGCGGTGAGTCTTCCCTTGGAGTTGCTCAATCTGATGTTGGGTGGACTTGAACGAAGAAATTTGCTTGTGAGATTGATGCCGTTGCGCATCCCACCCGGTTTGATCTAGCGTGTGCGTCCGTGTACGGGCGATGTTTCTTGGATAACATACCTTGGGCATGTCCGTATCACTGACACGGCGTGAGAGGACGTGAGGTACACGCCCTTGGTGAAAGCGGGCAAGCAGGGCTGAGCTCCTCGGTGAGTGGCTTTCTCTCTTCCAATCGGCGTCGGCGGAATGTCCGCCTCCTATGGGCGAGGCGCGGCTGAGGCATTGTCAACACCGCGTCGGGAGAGTTATCCCCCCCTGTTCCTAGATACATTTTATGATCTGTTCATGATAAGTAAAAGACGGACTTTTTCGGCACGAAATAGTACTGCGCACGAGTAACATAAACGCACGAAAATGTGCACAAACACCAAGGCTTAACAAGGCGTTCAGCGCGCAGACAGCCGATTGGAAGGCAAATGGGCGCGTATGAAGGTGCTTTTACATACTCTTCACACTCTCCCTTCTCGGTATTCTGCAGTGCACGATTGTGTCTTCGACATGACAACTTGCCGACATACAGCACACATCAAGCACGTTGCCCTCCAGCAGCATCGCGAATGCAGTTTCCACTTTCGCCGCCTCCCGCCCTGCGTCTACACGTAATTCCGCCGCGCTCGCGTGTACGGCCGCCGTCATATTCAACGTGATCCTTCGTACCCCGCCTCCTTCATAAAGCCGGACGAGGAAAGAGCACAGTACCTCGTACTCCGATGGCGTAGGGAAGAGACCCTCGCAGTCATCGTCGGAGGCGGACTGCTGTTTGAAGATATTCAGAGTGAGCGTTTGGATACAGCCGGGAAATGGCAGGTGGTTGATGCAGTCTTGGATCCACACGAATACTTCGAGGTACGACATTTCGCCTGAAGGCTCGATGGTTACAGCTGATGGTTTTATAGCCGTACCGAAGTCGGGAATGTTGCATTCAGGCGCGGCTAGGCAAGCAGCATCAGTAATTCGATTAACACCAGCGTGGTGGTTGAGACATACCACGCAGCACAAGCTCGGAGAGCGTGTCGGGGATCCATGGCGGCAGATTCCAAGACTGGTAGGCGTACCATCCGGCAGTCAGGCGCTGCAGGTTCGGGCAGTCGATCAAACGCGTGGATGTGAGCATGGGATGGAACACTGCCTGTAGCTCGAGGTGTCGCAGGGCGTATAGACGCAGGGGCGATGTTGGCTGCGCCGTGTCGCCCTCCGTCGTCGCGCTGATGAGCTCAAGCATCAGGTCCTCGAGGGTGGGCGGGAGCATGGCGAAGAGGTCAGAGGCGCCCGTGGAGAAGTCCCACCCGCGCAACACCAGCTTGCGGAGGCAAGGTGCAGCGAGCATGGCAGAGATCCCCGCGGCGAGGAGCTCCTGCTCCTTCAACAAGCTCGCGATCCCGTGGTCGACGTGCAATGCACGCAAGTTCGTCAACCTACCAAAACACGCCGGGTACCACTCTGAATCGGGGCAAGCGTATTCGCCCTCCAGCCAGAGGCGCACTGTGCGTATGTGGTCGCTGAGGTAGGGCGCGTCGAAGTGGAGGAAGTGGAGGCGGGCGGAGGTGTTCGTGGACGATATGCTGAGGGTGTGGAAGACGTGAGGTCGGCATATGGTGTTCCATGTGCGAGATACTAGAGAAGCGTCGGCGAGAGGGTGGTGTACGTCGGGGTCACGGTCGGGGTCCGCTGAGTCGAAGTCGGTACCATCCGCGACGGTGGCAATGATCTCTGCAATAACTTCAAGAGGGAGTTTCCCTGGCTGGTGGTGAAGGACCCTGCGTTCAGGACCTCTCGTTGCAGACATGGCCATTACGAGGCAAGTTACTCTTAGCAGACAATGGTTGAACTCTACAAGTTATGTAAATATTTCAAGCGCCCGTAGTTCGGCCCAGGCAGGGGCGCACGCTCTTTAAACGGGTAATAATATCGTACCGCCCTGTCCCTATCGTCGATCTTCGCTGAGCAGTCCTGCACGACGAGAAACGGAGCTCTGCTCCCTATCACCAAAAAGCAAGCGGACTTCTGGGAATATCTACCTCGACGGGCAAGTCACACACCGATGGTCGTAGAGAATTCACATATCGGGCTCACATATTGACTGTCCTACAGAGGTTTGTTCAAGGTTTTCTCACTGCCATAAGGCCCTATGCACTGCGATGCCCTTACGTTCAACATTCTATTCTTTAGATAGGTCATACTGCGGGCTACAGTTCACCGCGCTTAGACCACACTGCCAGTGGGGACCAGCATCCGGTAGCAAAACTTCCATCGTATCGAGGGAGGCTTGCAATCCCTGTTACATCGATGTTGTGCTCGATACGGAAACCCGTCCAGAGCGCACAAAATGCCCAGAGACTTTTTGGAGATCCGTTGGTGTACCACACCATCCCCATGTCGGCTGTACATCTTCAGTTGACACTACGGTGACCGAATGCACATGAAGTACTACTTCATAGCCATGCCACTCAGTGCCATATCCTGGATTGACGCACGGAGGAGGCGTTTCATGCCCGGTGTATACTCCTGACCCCCGGAAGCTCACCGTACAGCTGTGACATACTTCTAAGAAGGCCTTGGGCGTGGGGCCCGCAGCAAAGCACAAGGAGAGCAGTAGAGTAGAGGATCGCAGCGCTTTTGAATTCGCCAAACTGTCGGACTCCAGATGACCAGCGGCCTGGTACGTGACTACTCGGTGTTACGAATCTATTTGGAACCATAAAACAAGTGCTGTAGCTTACGATGAGTTCGCACCATCCGACGCGTAGCAATATATCTTCCCTTCTGAAGATTTACCAAACGTGCATACACCCCCATACGGCGCGCATTGTCCTCGACTGCGGGGATAGCCACGCCTTCGAGCGCGTCTTCTCGGATCAGCCCCTCGAGCGGCATCGAGTCACACCTCGGATCCACTTCCCGGACGACGAGCTCACATATAAGCAGCCACATATGGATACACATTTTCTACCAAATCACGATGCTCAGCAGCAAGGCCTTCATAGGGCTTGTTTCGTTGGGGGTTAGCTTGTTCGCCAACGTTCTCGCTCAGGACGCTTCTCAAGATGATCTCATTTGGGACAAGGCGCGTACATTTCGCCGTCTGATTGCGCGCCGAACGTGCGTGGACTGACTTCAAACAGCTCAAGACAAGTCCCGAGCTCAAATGGACGGATTGTTACACTCAACTGGAATGCGCCCGACTCCAAGTACGTAGCCTAGAATCCGTTAACATCACCGGCGCCGACGCATCTCTAGGTTCCTCTTAATTATTCAAACCCAGAAGGAGATGCTGCGTCAATTGCCGTAGTTAGGTTCCCCTCGCCGCTTGCCAAAACGTCTGACTACAAGGGCCCAATCTTGATCAACCCGGGCGGCCCAGGCGGCAGCGGCGTGGAATTGATGGCACAAAACGGCGCGGTGCTCTCACAGGTGCTGGGTCCCAACTTCGACATTGTTTCCTTCGATCCTAGAGGTAAGTAATTCTCGTACCCCTGCATCGATGGGGCGCTATTCATGACTAACCATTGTCAGGCATTGGGCGCTCTACACCTCGTGCATCCTTCTTTGACACCGAGGCTCAACGGCGGTTCTTTGATACATCGTTCGACGTGATAAACGCGACGAGCGACGGCCTAGCCCGTATCTGGGCGCGGGCGCAGATAACGGGGGCACTCGCTACACAACATAATCAAAACAATATATTCGAGCACTTCAACACCGAGAGCACGGCACGGGATATGCTGCGGATCGTTGAAGCGCATGGGCTGAAGAATATACAGTACTGGGGCTTTTCGTGCGTTCCTATTGTCTCCTTCAGTTACGCCAGGCTGATGACTGCTTATGTAGGTACGGCACAGTACTAGGAGCGACGTTCGCGTCCTTGTTCCCGGTAAGTTACCGTGCTCCCTTTGTATGGGGCACCCTGATCTATTCGTGATGCAGGATCGTATTGACCGTCTTGTTCTTGATGGTACGTTGTGTAACCCATAAGCCCGACGTTGCCATTGACAAGTGCGTACCTAGGTGTTGTCGACGCCGAGAATTACTTTGCTAGTGAGGGCTTCCCTGTTTGCTGTATATAGTTTAGTGACTGATCTGGGCATAGCCCTTTGGTCCAATAACTTGCTGGACACCGACAAGACCTTACAAACATTCTTTGACGGTTGTTTTGAAGGTGGCCCCGACCTATGCCCTTTCTACGAATCCTCCCCTCAGGCCATCTCCCGCAAACTAGACGACTTAACTCGAAGGATCTTCCTGCGCCCCGTTCCGGTCCAAACAAACATCTCCTACGGATTGGTCGACTATGAACGGCTGCGAATAACGATCTTTTCGAGCTTGTACTCGCCATACGCTGACTTCCCCCGCCTCGCTCAGGGTCTCGCGGACCTCATGCACGGAAACGGGACGGTCCTCTACCAGATTCTCGAACAACCCGTATTTGACTGCGCTTGCGGAACGCCTGCCCCGCTGACGTCGATTGCGGATGGCGGCACAGCGATCCGGTGCACCGATGGTGCGGAGGTACGCGATACGGTTGACGAGTTGGAGCCGTTCGTGCAAGGGTTGCTGAGGGATTCACAATGGGGAGAAGTTTGGGCTTCCCTGAGGATTGGGTGCTCGTATGTTGACCTTCTCTGGTCACGCTCAGATTTTTGCTGACACTGCACACCTAGGGCTTGGCCTAAGCAAGAAAAGAGACATTTCAAAGGTATGCCTACATATTGCGAGACCCCATGACGTGATGTTGATTCAACGTCCAGGACCATTCCTAGGAAACACCAGTCACCCAATTCTGTGGATCGGCAATACTGCTGGTACGTTCCAGCCCACTCACCCGTGTCTTTCGACTGACTTGTTACCCCTCATCTGTAGACCCAGTCACACCGATCGCTGGGTAAGTCCACTCTTCGAAGTTCGGTCACACTAACTCACGCTCCATAATCCTCCTCCTTCCAGAGCACGCAAGATGGCTAAAGGCTTCCCCGGATCCGTCGTTTTGACCCAAGACTCGCCTGGTGTATGTCCTCCCCCTCCCCCCTTCATCTCAGTATATTTCTCTAACTGAGTCTAAACACAGCACTGTTCCATTGCCGCGCCGTCCGTCTGCACTATCGGCTTTGTCCGCGCCTACTTTGCGAACGGGACGCTCCCCGATGAGGGCGTCGTCTGCTCAGTGATTCAGCCCATATTCTCTGGACAGCCTGTGGATATCGGGGGTGTGCTTGGCCCACAGAAGCGCCAAGCTTTCGGAGAAGAATCAGAGGCGAAGGACGAAGATCTTGTTCAGGCTTTGGCACGTCTTCGCCAGAATTTTAGAGTGCCGACCCCGTTCTAAGTAGCATGTGAAGTGAAGGCTGTCTTTTCCGTGTTCGCATTTCTTGCTCTTTTGTCTTTCTTATCATTACTTCGATGGCTCCATGACAATGAGATTATTATCAACAGTCATTCATGGCATCTACGTCCAACTTGTGGCACCCCTAATCTGATAGAAGTGTTAGACCGAGTGAATTGAGGAGGGATGAGATCTAATCAATAGGGTAGAATACTGATGTATTATAGCTATACCTAATCAATAGCTAATACATGATGAGTGTAGCACCCCGGGCTTTGCCCGGTCACCAACGGACTTACTAGCTATCCTGTCCACCTCTCGTTACATCTTAGATCATTGCTTGTCACGCACACACTCCCATTACTCTCACCTATCCATTAAACTACACCCTATACCCTATGGCTACAGTATATAAACCTCTCTATTGTACTGTATCTGTAGTGTACTCCAACAAGCGTTATCCCTATCAGCTACTGGACTGCCTCAATGTGTGCCATGACCTTCACGCTCGCGTCACAATGAGTAAATGAATGCATGAGGATAGACATAAGTACTCACATCTCAGTATATGGTAGAATACTGAGATGCGACAATGAACATACATGTTGGATGTTTACAGTTTCAGGGTCATAGGCTGGTGCCTATATGGCATCTGCTTGATATCTCAACAAGAAGCCCAGGGGACAGCACCGAGATGGTGTATCTCCTTCCAAAGGTGGGTATGTACTAGTGCTTACTAGATAGTTGTTGCTGGCACCTGAAAATACCTTGCTTGTGTCAGCCATTGCTTCGTTGTTGACCAAATGGAAGCCAAGGAAAGCCTTTCAATATCATAGATTCCAAAACACGCAGTGTAACTACCTGTTGTAGGGTTGGCGATCCAACCAACGTCGGATACACGATCTATCGTCGACGAAAGCACCTTACGTTTACTTCCCACTACAACGGCTGGAGCACTCGACACGAGTTGCTGCGCACCGGCTAGATAAGTGCTGGTCAGGTTTCTTAGGTATCCTTTACCTTACATTTTACTTATATTGAAACAAGGATGTCTTGCCTCATATTACATTATTGCGTATAGCTAGTGTATATATAAAGCCTGGTACTACACTAATAAACTCCAGTTACCTCTCTGCGAGTTTGATTCCAAGTCCACTAGTGCACATGGCGTTTAGTGGGCCTTGTCTCTTCACGTCCTCTCACGCCTCTCTTCCTCCACGCCTCTTGTCCTCTACGACCTCATGACCTTGTTCCGTCTTTTGGAGCACCTCCCTCCACCCTCGCTTCCACACTCATAACCGGCGGCATACCTACACTGTCAGTTTTGAATCTAACACAAAGTTCTCAGTATTGCAACAGGATGCAAACTGAGGAAAGAGGTTGCCAAGCATCAATTCAGAGAACTACCCTGGATGACATAATGTGTCAGTAAATTCTGACAGTCAGTACAGTCCCCTCAGTTTAAAGTACCTAGTACTCCCAGACAGATAGAAGCTACACCCCCTGGTACTCCCAGGACTAGCTGTAAGGGAACACTCCTATTTTCTCCTATTTCCCCTGTCTCTATCCTTTCCCCTTTGTTCCTTTCTCTTTCCTTTCTTTCCACAGACTCTGATTTACATTTCCCTTGTTTCCTTTCCCTTTCATTTCCCTTCCACCCACTTCCCCTTGCATCTGGGTCATATGCAATGACTCCAAAGTGTTCCTGCAGTCTGAACTCACTCAGACTTGCTCGGACTCATTCCTACACTTCTGGGCTCATCTGGACGACCTTTACACCCTTCCCCACTTCATTACTTCCTGTTCCCACTTCCCCATGTTGCTGGCACAACTCCGGTACATTCCCCCTCCACCTCAAGGTTGATGTCCAATGCATCCAGCCAAAGAGAACAAGATAGGATTCTTCATGCTAGGATGCAAAATATATACTGTAGTAGTGTGGGAGGGGTGAAGGGTAACTGTACACATAGGTGCTAATACTAGCAGTATTCCCAAGAGAACAAGTTAACGTCTCTGGGTGTTTATTAGGACACTCATATACTATGATACATGCTATGTCCTCATGTCTAGTTACATGCTGCATCCTGCCTGCTTTCCATGGAATGATTACTTCAGCTACATGTGTTATGACATTTGTCGACTGCGCCCATGCAGTAACAGTGAGGTGCTGACTGAAGCTATTAGTAATATGGCCTGAATGGTGTAAGCAGAATATTGTAAGTAGGTAATCATGCTTGCATGATACACTATGTGTCTGATAAGATAAGGAAAAGAATAGTAAAATAGAAAGAAAGGAATGTTGAACCATCACATGTGATAATAAAGTGGAGGGGGATGTACAGGAGTCATGCCAGTGACCTGGGAAAGTGGGAATGGGAAGTAATGAAGCAGGGAATGAGTGTAGAGGTCATCTGGATGAGCCCCGAAGTGTATGTACAAGTCCAAGCAAGCCTGAACAAGTCCAGAATGCGGGAATGCTTTGGATCTGTCAGACACAACCCGGACACAAGGAGAGTGGGTAGAAGGGAAATGTAAGGGGACACTCCTCTCTCCTTTCCTTCATCCCATGGACTCTTACCTACATTCCCTTCGTTCCCCTTCGTTCCTTTTCGCTCCCTCTCCTCTCCACTCCCTTTCCCCCCACTCCTTTCGCATCCGAGCCGCGTCCGGTGACTCCAGAGTCTTCCCGCACTTTGGACATGCTCGGACTCACTTCGGACACTTCGGACTCGCTCGGACTCGTCTATACTCTTCGAGGCTCGTCTGGTTTACCTCTATCCTCTTTCCCCACTTCATTACCCTTTGCCCTTACTTCCCCAAGTCGCTGGCATGACTCCTGTGCATTTACCCTCCACTTCATTATCACATATTTCCTTGTACCTCGTGATATTCGCTCGGACTTGTGGCTGGTGTACTGTACAGTTATCCTGCATTCCTCTCACGCTACTACAGTATATACTTCGCTTCCTAGCATGGAGAATCCTTATCCTGTTCTCTTTGGATTCTCCCTCTGCTAGGTGAGCAGCCCTCTCATGTATTGTAGTTAGTCTTATTCATTATCTTTGGATTCTCCCTCTGCTAGATTCTCCCTCTGCTAGGCTCGCACTGTGCGGCCATCTTGAGGTTGCCCTTACAGGAAAGGGAGTGAAAAAAAGGGAAGGTAAATAAGAGTCTGTGGATTGAAGGGAAAGAGAAAGGAATGAGGGGGAAGGGATAGGGACAGGGGGATAGGAGAAAATAGGAGTGTCCCTTTACACCGCCTTTCACCCATGCTCTCTCTGAAATCGGGACACCACAAGACCAGAAGGGCACAGCATCAAAGCTGAGGCCAAGTCCCATGTACTCCTCTTGCCTGTGCCTCTAACAGACAAGCTAGGGGGTGAGGATCAATACATACTAACTTTGGAGCTTCACATTGGACAGCCAGGTACATGGACATATGAAAGAGTAACAGACACCAATGTTTTCACATAGGAGGGATCAGAGGTGTCTGGCTTATTAACACTACATGATAGAGAAGCTTCAATTGCCCTATACACAGAAGCAACATAACTGGTGGCAGTATGTTTATTGATTGCATATAGTCGGACAGCAAAGGGGCTTTTAAGGATCTGTACATGCCACAGCACAGTGGCCCACATCTACAAGTAGTAGTCAAATTTCAGAGCAAGAACAACCAGTACGACAAACATGTGAGCCAATTCAATCTGCTGATCTAGAAAGGAATCGACACTTTGAAATTCTGGCGAAGGCGTGCTAAAGCTTGAACAAGATCTCCATCCTTCTCCCCTGCTTGCGCTCCTACCGCTCAGCGTAGCGAAGGGCCGGGTCCACCTCCAATATCTGCTGGCTGACCAGAGAAGATGGGCTGAACTACAGGGCAGACAACCCCTTCGTCTGGGAGTGTCCCGTTCATGAAGTATGCACTAACAAACCCGATAGTGCAGACAGACGGCGCGGCGATGGAGCAATGCTGTTGTAGATCACTGAGTTACTGGAGATTCAGAGGGTGAGAAGGCAAGTGGACATACCCCAGGTGAATCCTGCGTTAAGACAACGGAGCCTGGAAAGCCCTTGGCCATTTTGCGTGCTCTGGAGGAAGGAGATGTAAGCGTACGTGATGGATACTATGTTGCGAAAATCGACTTACCCCGCAATCGGAGTGACTGGGTCTACAGGTGGATGGTAAGATTGTCGACGGCGAAAGGTTAATGTGTGAAAGCGTACCCGCGGTGTTGCCAATCCATAGAATAGGGTGGCTGGTGTTTCCCAAGAATGGTCCTAAACATACAATTCAGAATGGTATCATACGACGCTGCATCGTGTAAGTATACCTTTGAAATGTTTCTTTTCCTGCTTCGGCCACGCCCTAGCCATTCAGCTCAGTAATGATCAGAGCGTAACATGAGGGATTCAACGCACGAGCATCCAATCCTTATTCTAGCCCAAACTTCTCCCCATTGTGAATCTCTCAACAACCCTTGCACGAACGGCTCCAACTCGTCAACCGTATCGCGTACTTCTGCACCATCGGTGCACATGATTGCCGTGCCACCGTCCGAAATTGATGTTAGTGGGGCCGGCGACCCGCAAGCACAGTCGAACACGGGTTGCTCGAGAATCTGGTACAGGACCGTCCCGTTTCCATTAATGAGATCCGCGAGCCCTTGAGCGAGGACAGGGAAAGTTGCGTAAGGTGTGTACAGGCTTTGGAAGATCGTTATCCGCAGCCGCTCGTAGTCAACCAGTCCGTAGGAGATGCTGGTTTGGACCGGGACTGGGCGCAGGAAGATGGTGCGTGTGAGGTCGTCTAGTTTGCGAGAGATAGCTTCAGGCGAGGACTCGTAGAAGGGACATAGATCAGGACCGCCTTCGAAGCAGCTGTCGAAGAACGCTTGTAAAGTCTTGTCTGTGTCCAGCAAACTGGTAGACCAACGGGCTACACAGAACTTAGTAGGTCATATTTAGGGGGGAGGTTCTTACTAGCGAAGTAACTCTCAGCGTCCAGGACACCTAAGCAGATGATCGTCAATGCCCACGTCGATGCGTCAGACGCAACATACCGTCGAGGACAAGCCGGTCTATACGGTCCTGCCTCGCGAATGATTCAGTGGATCATATATACCTGCATACAGGTCGACGCACTGGGAACAGGGAGGCGAACGTCGCACCTAGCACTGTGCCGTACCTATCCAAACATCGACAATCTGTGATTCGCCGAATGAGACAATGGGAACGCACGAAAAGCCCCAGGCCTGTATATTCCTCCGCCCATGCGCTTCAACGATCCGCAGCATATCCCGCGCCGTACTTTCGGTGTTGAAGTGCTCGAATATATTGTTCTGATTATGTTGTGTGGCAAGCGCCCCCGTTATCTGCGCGCGCGCCCATATACGAGCGAGGCCATCGCTTGTCGCATTTATGACGCCGAAAGACGTGTCAAAGAACCGCCTCTGAGCCTCGGTATCGAAGAAGGATGCGCGAGGTGTAGATCTCCCAACCCCTGACGGTGAATTGTCATAAATGGCGTCTCATGGAGGCTAAGAGTATGAGAATTACCTCTGGGATCGAACGAAACGAAGTCGAAGTTAGGGCCAAGCACCTGGGAAAGCAGTACGCCGTTCTCTAGCACCAATTCTACGCCACTACCGCCTGGGCCGCCGGGGATGATCAAAATCGGGCCCTTGTAGCCATCTGTACCAGCGAGTGGTGAAGGGAGTCTGGTGACGGCGATCGACGCTGCGTCTCCTTCTGGATCTGAGTAATTGAGGGGAACCTGGATACGCATCAGCGCCTGTGATATTCCACGGGAATTCTGGGGCACGTACTTGGAGTCGTGCGCATTGCAGTTGTGCGTAACAATCCGTCCATTTCAACTCAGTGCTTGTCTCGAGCTGTTTGAACTTCATTAGCCTACGATTAACATGCAATTAGATAAGGAGATGTACGCGCCTTGTCCCAAATGAAACCATCTTGGGAAGCGTCCTGAGCGAGAACGTTGGTGAGGAAGGTAGCTCCCAGTGAGACAAGCCCTATGAAGGCCTTGTTGCTGAGCATTGTGATTTGGTAGGAAATCCTCGACCATATGACCTACTTATAAGTTAGTCGTCCGGGAGATGGATCTGGGGGGATTTGAAGGCCCTGATCCGAGAAGACTACGCTCGGGGGCGTGGCTATCCCCGCAGTCGAAGGCAATGCGTGCTGTATGGGGTTGTACGTACGTTTGGTGAGTCTTCACGATGGCAGATCTATTGCTACGTGTCGGATGCTCGACATTATCCCTTGTTATAACACATGTTCGGTATAAGGTTCCCACTACATTCGTAGCACTGAGTGGTGGCCGAGAACATTGCGGCGCGTATCAGGCGGGTGGTACTCGAATCTGAATATTTCATGAAGGTGGTGTGAGACGTCACTAGCTTCACTGCCTTGCTAGGTCTTTGCTACGAGTCCCACACCCAAAGCTACCCTACAAGTATCTGTCGATCATCATAGTGGGCTTCTGAAGGGGAGGAATTGGGCGGGAGTACACACCGGGCATACAACGCCTTTGTCGTGCATCAAGCAATCCCAATAAATCACTGAGAGTGTCATGAAGCGGTGCTGGTGGTAGTGAGGACCCCCTGTTGAACTAACCTAGTCTTTGGACGTTCGTGCGCTCTGAATAGTTGGGCTATTGGGCGCCAGTATGTCCCAAGTACAGTGAAATGTAGTCGCGTTATTGCCATTCCAATACGTAGCTAGGAGAGAGGATATACGCGCTTGATGAAGATGGAGCAGGCGGGCTAAGCTCCCCGGTGAGTGACTTCCTCTACGGAATTTGAATGATGTCCAATGGCGAGGTGCACAGCTGGGTGTCGTCAACATTGCGTCTACGAACCGGGTTCTCCCTCGCCACATACTGTAATTAATTTATGATCTGTTAGTAAAAGATGGGCTTTTCGAGCCAGCAAAGTTTCTGGATCATGGTTGAAACGTAAGAGTGTTAAGCGCTCGTATCCAATTGAACCTCTACGTTTGCGCCAAGTTTAGACTAAACTTCGAACTTCGACGACAGTTCTGAGTTGTCGCTCATTGTCAGATAACGGTGAGTCCGTGATTCGCTCTGATGTTAGAGCCTCACTCTGAAGGAAAAAATGACGATCATCTCGCAGAGTTTGATTAGAAAACAAACGATTTCATTCCTACTAGTAACACTACAATACGACAAATCAAAGGTAACTCCGTGTAGAATACCAAACAAAGGAAGGGATCAGTAACTTGTTCATGTGAGGGAAGCAAAGTACTCACCGGGGAGCAACGCTCCTTTTGACTCTCGACAAGGCATAGTCCTCGCTCCAACGATGCCGGCGACTCGTCCAGAACGAGAAGGTGAGCGGTGAATGTCGGAATCGCTTCTTGAACTCATGACCCAAACGCGTAGAAGCTCGCCTCAGGTGGGGTCGCCTCGCCCTCGCCACCCATGCCCGTACTAGCCCTCATATGCCTGGGTCATCACTGGCGCGGATTTCTGGGTCGGATCAAGCAGAGACGGAGGTCCACCCCGGCGAGATCCCAAAGAAGGACCGATTGACGTACCAAGATTGTTAACTTGCTCCCTTGGTTCTTACTCCCCCGGACGTTGCCGCCTATGACGCCTAGGTGGACCCTCTACCGTCGACCACGCCTTCGCGAGACGAGAATCAGCCGTACCGGGTATCAGTAGAGGCTGATCTCGAAGGCACGTCATGCGTCTATCATACCCTGGCCGCTGCTCACACCATAGGCCATCGGCGGACACGAACACCCAAAGCACTCGCAGCACCGCCCAAGGAACAGCACCCCAACCCAGCGGATTGGCCGGGAGTCACGGACGATGAGACGGCGAAAGGGCTGTCCGGGAGGGCGAACGGGGCGAGAGGTCAGATCAATCTCTAGTGTTGTGGTCTTCCTTCAGAGGGATCTAGCAATGGGTCGACGATGCGATGTTGGGGGCCAGGAGGAGATGGAAGTGGAAAGGAAGAGAGGAAGGTGAGGAATGCTTTGAGATGACGGAACGGGGGTTTATATACCTACCGCCGCGTTCTATTATTCAATTCAGAAATTCTGCGCAGTCACCTCACGTGGGCGCGTGGCGGTCGACAATACTCGGCGCGTCTGCTCCCTCTCTTATACACTCTTCATGAAATACGGTCCTGGCGGCTGAACAGATCCAATCTGGCCTCAAGGCGAGCTCGATATTTCGCAAAGCGGGTTCATCACTGGCGAGCGCCATTGTTGGCACTGGTCTTTATGATCGATGACTAACCGTCGGACCAACGCACGTACGGCCACCCGCCATCATCCCCTCTTGCTGCGGCTCGTATATCCTTGGCTCCGAGTGCCAATGACAACCCCCTATGACATTCTGCTTATTATCTCTACCGCTCATACCTGGGAGGAATACCCTTAAGCGTCTACCTAGTTCAAGAGGCACGGCTGCCAGTACTTGGGCGTTATCCGAGACAGTATGTAGTTGACATGGGCCGCTGAGGCGAAATCTCGGAGCCGCGACGAGTTCTCAAGTTGATCCTTCGCTCGCCTCTGCCCGCTCTTCGAGTGTATGGACGGTACTTCCATCGACGTATCTACTCCCTGGACGCGCACGAGGGCTTCTTACATTACGGCTTATGCACGGGCGGCTTGGACTCTGGATACGTTCTCGTATCTCATTCGACGATAGAAGGGATCACGCATACCTACATTTACCTTCAAGATATACGTATAGAGCTATCAGCCTTAGGGCGGTCTGGTCACCAGCACTGGGGACGCATGATTCTTGTTGCATCATCCCGTCACCGCCTCATCCGAATAACGACAACCTGCGTAGCTTGTAAATCGGTTTCCTGGGCCGTTGGAGTATCCGACCGGAAGAATTCGTGGACGTCCTTCTATACCCCTTGCGTTGCTTGACGAAGGCACGATGATCGCACCGTGAGTCTCTATATTCATCATCTCAGCATCTCATCATCAACACCGTCATTTGGTATGAGCTGGGAATGAAAGTCATTGGCCTCTTCCCCCCATAGATCCCCATTTTAAGCAGGGAGCCACGTTAGGCAGGGTCCTGTTTTATCCGACCTTCACGCTTCGAAGGCGACTTGATCATTCTTCCTTATCTCACAAGCGCGCTTTGCGCCAAATATGTGCTGTGAACGCATCGGGGCGTCGCAATTCCGACCAGTTACCATCATTGGACAGCTAACGTGCACCCCGCATAATCTAACTGCTTTCTCTCTCCGGCGACGCGCGACCTCCATTTCAGACTCCAAGGAGCATTGTCGAAGTTCGGTAATAGGCCCTTCGTGGCCCGAATCATCTCTTTCAGCACTAATGTACTTTTAGTACTGTGCCTTTACATGACTTGGTTAAATATACCACAATTGGAACGAAGTCAATATAATTCGGTACCAAGCCGCACGAGACACCTGGAAGTACGGAGGTCAGCAGACGAAGTTACCGCAAGCTACGGAAAGCCTATGGTCGATTCGAGTGTCTGCATCCATTCGATGATATCTTATCTGTTGGAGCGATCACAGCCTAATCCGTCAAGAAGTATCTCGCTAAGTCTGCTTCATCATATACGCGTCGCGTAGTACGCATGCACAAAAGGGTCGGGGATCGACGGGAGACGGTAGTATACAGTATTTTGATAACGTGGTATGTAGTGTACGATAATCCTTATTAATGCACCCTGGGGCGGATGAGTGTCCTGGATGCATGGTGCCATATTAAAGGATGTAGGCTCGAAAGGCCTATACCTACGTCCAAGACTATAGATTGAATTGCGCGATATGCCGCATAATTGTAAGCGACGCTACTATTTCTACAAAGACAATGAGTCATGGGGCGAAGGCATATTGATGGCGCGATGCTTACCAACAGCGAGAGGGAAGAAGGGCTGGTAAATCTTCAACGTATTTCCCGACGTGCCATAGACCCGCTGCTGTGGCGGTTTTAGGTCGTAGTGTGCGACAAGGAAGTTCTCTGTGGTGCACTGTTAACAATTAGTATGTGAATCGGCCACCATGAGGTAGGAAAACCTTACAGTCCACTCCTGGCCCTGCACGCAGCCCCGATTCCACGTGTATTCTCTCCCATCAGAACCAATAAACTTCCTGGACAGAGATCTAATAGCAAGTCCATCAGGGCCTACATAAATAGCGATGTCGTGCCTGATACGTACCCTCCGAATAGAGACGTCTTGCGCAGATAACGTGCCATTGGGACGGTTACTTTCGCCTTGGGAAATGAAATGTTGCCTAGCGATTCATCTGGCGCGAAGTCTAGTACGACTATCGGCTCCGCAGTCAGTGGTTGCGAGTCTCGATGACGCGACGAGCGATGTTTCATCTTGTATATCATGGTGGAAGTGGCTTTTGTTGGGCGAGATACGCGCAAGAATAGTCTGTCGTAGATGTCATCGAAGTCGGACGACGAGATGAGGGCGGTGCGGTCCTCCAAGGTGTAGACGTTGTCTGGTGAAACGGCCTGCATCGTTGGGAAAGGGTAGGCGGGAGGAGCGGACTGGTTGGGTGCCCTGGTTTGAGAGGGTATTGGTGAGGAGAACCGTATTTGACATAGGCTTTATATACTCGGGAAACTGATCTTCGGGATGTAGCGCAGTGTGCTCGAGAAGCGTTTGACCATGGGCCCTGGCTTGGGTACTACGACAGTCACAGATCAACGAAATCACCTTAGTCGCTTTTAGGCAATAGACGCACATTGACCCACTTACGGCATCGCCCTGGAGATAGCGATCCGTCCACGATCCCCTCAGATTAAGGAAGCCAAGGGCCGGAGACCTGTTCTGACGATACGCGACGAGGCAAAAGCCTGTTAAAAACCTGAAACCCAGATTGTGACGAATTATCAAAATCGTCACAATGAACGATTTACTTGCAATTTACAGCGGACTAGTCCTGTATAAAAGAAGCAGCGGCGCCTCTGAGACTTGAAATAAACAGCATCTACGAACGTGAGCCGTGAAGTTCGATGATAAATCTGGGGTAGAAAAGACGAACGTTTGAATGCAGTCCACCACCGTTGGGGTGTGTGCGACTGGATCGCTTGGGGCATGGGACTCCTCAGAATCCCGCACCATCAGGTTTGTCATCGTTTGGGCTTTGATGCCAGAAGGGACACTTCAAACGATTGAGAGGTGTGAGACTGCGTGAGACTCTAGCGATCCGGCACGAGGACATAGAGAGTTGTCCAGGTGCCTACACTAGGTCCCGAGATCGGGTGCGAGGTAGAGTCTTAGACTGCAAACTAGTCCCAAGACCCATACAGTGCCACAAACCACGCCATCGCATAATTCCGTCGCCTGCAGGCCCACGACGATAACGGCAGATGTCCAATTGATTGCTCACGCTGGACAGTCTGTTTAAGAGAGTTCGTCACCCGGGGACACCAGCGTGTATTTCGCGGAAGCATTGCGGAGAAGGCAGGATGCTTGGGCTTAAACGGCAACTAAGGGCGTGTGGGGAAGTCAGCATGGGAAGGCAGATGACCGGTTGCCGAGAGAACTCACCAACACACCGAATGTTGTAACGTAGCTTCGCGATAACCTTAAATGACGAAGGGGAATTCCGAATAATGTCAGAAAAACTTATCGGACAATCAACAGAGCCGCTGGTAGCCATTAAGTTGCATCCGTCCCTCCGCCCTGAATTTTGCGCACGAGCCAGATCACTTCGTCACTGATTAGCAGCTGGAAACTTACTACCCAGGGACGCGAAGGGACAGAACTAACTTACTCACGATGTATCTTGTGACAATGAAACCACAATTAGACCACCTCGCGCTCGCGTTACATTAGGAAATTCATACTCGCCGCCCAAAAGATGCACCGGTAAGAATATAAAACCGAATGACCACTTTCCAGGCGTTCACGAGTCGATGCGGCTGTGGGTATGAATTCGAAACAGTATTGCGGCGAGGATAGATAAGAGGATAGATGATCCGGAATTTACTGAAACTATAAGGTCCGAATTTAAGCTATGTCATGCGCGCAGTGAATCGACCGATGGCATTGACTAGCGAGTGAGTAGCTGTAACTGATGATCTAATACATTACTTTTCGAGCTATTTACTCAGTAGATGACACGTGGGGTGGACAAGATTTTGCGGAGGATATGGCAGAACTCACAGCAGGGATCAGAAATCGGCATCGTCCTATCTATAGCATCTTCCCTCCGCCGTCGAAGCCTCCCTCTCGACCGATCATGCTGGCCGACGTCTTCGCATCCAGGAATAGTTCGCCCATCTCACCGATGTCTTCAACTTCTATTTGGCTGCGACCAGCAAGAGTCGCCAGAATCGACGCCGGCGTTAGCAGCTGCAGAGCATAGCTACATTATTATGGTTAAGAAGGTCAGCAGGCGAAGATCAAGCGGTAATAATGGAGGTCCATACCGAAGGGAGCTTCGTTCGCCGTCTTCAGCCAGCTTGTCCACCACCCCGGGTCCAAGTTTCAGCCCTTCGACGATTGCCCGCAGCTGCACCACCTTGCCAACCTGATCACGGGTATAGCTGTCTGTTTTCACAATCATACATCTAATCAAAGAATCAACCACCGGGTCAACAGTACAAGACGTTTAATCTTACCGATCGAGTAAATCAACGGGGATTCCATGAGGCGAGACTATATCTGTGGTGCCTCTCACAAGGGAGTTCCCTCTGTTAGTAGCTAGTATGACAGTTGGAGCCATCGGGGACTCGAGTAGTGCATTCAAATACGTGAAGCATTCGATATCGAGCATGTGCACCTACCATGAGAAGACAAGGACCAGAGATTAATCCCGCAGTCGTCCGACACTGAATGGAAGAAGACGATACCTCATCAATGAAAACTACCCCAGGGACCACTTCTGCCACCCCCTGATCAACGTAGCCTTTCACCACCTTATTAACCTCGCGCCTTAGTTTCTCCGTGACTTCGGTCCGGCCACTCTTCACCAGGCTCCCCATCACGCTCATAATGTCTTGACCTCCTTGGGGGCGAGCATTTGCAGCGTCGAGATCCCCTAACGTAACGTCCTGGACCAGCTCTTTCCGCTTGTGCACATCGCCTTTTGGAAGGGGGACGTAGGTTTCAGATTCAAGGTCATATGATGAAGCATAGGCATCTGATCGTCCGACACGCTGTGGCAGGGGCGTGAGCGCACTGGGAACGGCGCCACTAAACATTACGGCTCACCTTGACTGCACCGGTGTTTGCTTCGACATAGATAACGTCTCCGACGACTATTTTTTCTTTCAGAATGGCTTCGTAGATACTGGGATCTAATCGGAGCTGTTTTGTTCCTTTGACCGTCTTGAGGCCCACAACAACATGCGAAACGGTTTTACCATATCCGTTGAGCGGGTTCTCGGATTCCGTTGGCGTCAGTTCTGTGACTTCGCCTTCGTAGACTTCTTTCGTCTCTTTTATCCGCAAGCCTGTCCATAAACGGTCAGCTGACGGTCTACACTCTCGGGCGAGACTAATTTGAATGGGAGAAGTGTCTCTGCAATGCCGTTTTGAGTTTCAAGTCAACCCAATTCGCACCTGACATCAAATAATCGGATGGCAACCCGACGTAGCTCCAATGTGAGAGCAGAACGAATCATGCGACCATATGTCACGGAGGGGAGTTTAAACTCTTTGAGTAGGCTGGCCGATAGGCAGAAAAATGTGTACCGATGAAGCAAGAGGTTAATGAGATATGAAATAGCCACCCACCTATGGCTCTTCGAAACACCTCGGCCAGGACTTCCGTCTTTTTCACCTCGGTACTATACACTTCAGATCCAACCATGGGACAAAACGGTACTTTTGATCCCAGTTCATGGGAAACAGCGAGCGCAAGGGCCGTTTTTCCAGTTCCTGGGGCACCAACTAGCAAAAGAGCGCGTCCTGAAAACCTTCGGGATTTGATGAGATCGACTACGACTCCGCATGCCTTCCAGGACGCTTGGGCATCAGAACCACGACGAGATTTATGGATGTGGTTTAACGCACCTCGCGAGCAGTTGTCTGTCCGATGAATCCCGCGCTATCAGCATTGGCGAATCCCTCTGAGGTCAACCCTAGGCCTTTGATATGTGAATGAGGAGCGATTCGCGATGACCGTCCGGCTGATGGCGCCGTAGGTGGTGGTAGCGCGTTATGGGCAACAGGTGCCGACGATGGCGCTGCAGATGTGCTTGCTTTGGCCGACGACATGGGTAGAATACAAAGCGCGGTTCAAGTTCAGCGTTGACTCTGAGCAGATCATCGTGAGCGTGAGCGATCACGACACACGTGATACAGGGGTACCGTATCAGTACGGCCTCTGATTTCAACCTTCCAGATATTGCAGCCACCCCAACAAAGCGAAAGCTGATAGTTATTACTTAGAATCTGGGTAACAATGTCTTTGGTGAATGATCCGTTCTTTGGACACGACATCGGTTCACTACTTCCAGCCGGCGGAGTGCAACCATTTTCTACCATGATAACTCATGTAAATTCAAGACACACTACTTTACATCCTCAGCGAGATGATACCACGCGAAGCTAAAGCTTCGGTCTGTGTGTATCGCTCTCATCCAATGCAGTGTTAGGAACTCGGTACACGGCCAGATCTGGCCAGAATAGCACTGCGAGTGCATCGGACAAGAGGAAGCAGCGCTGCGGGCGGGAAGGTCTGGTGGCCGAGCGGTTGGACGGATTCCCGAACGCTTAGTCACAGACGTGCGACAATCGTCGTCTCAATTTCTAGGAAGTAAACATCGACGTTAAAGCAGGACCTACACACATTGCATGGTCCTGGACTCATCGACGATAACAATAGCTCCAGCGCGACGTGGATGTGGAGCGAGGCGAGGTACATGCACCAATTGCATCCGCGCCTCGACCATTTTGCGGATTGTCAGAAAACGACGGACGGCCATATGGTCCATGCCCCTTGGCGTCGCGCCGCAGTTATCGCTTTGATCAGTGCTTTACTTTCCAAGATGTAAATGCAGAAAGTTGGCGGGTTGGCTGCGTTTGTATGATTTGTATCATCGCGGACATGATTAGAAGATAACAATCTGAAGTGTAATGTGTTAGTATACGAAGAAACATTGAAGTGATGCCGTACCATACGTTTCCTTTATCTATTGAGTGGATTCCCGAAGGTTCTCGTTACATACCGACTGCGTAATCACACCTTCCACCTTATGTCCCAATCGTCTGCTTCTGCGCCCACGCATGGTCCTCGCGTCGAGGACGGAGGTAATTGTCAATTCACTCTAGCGTTGCAATTTGTGCAGCTGTCGAACAATTCCGAATACAAATCCCCCGGATCATGGGTGCACAAACATTCAGACGTCCCGACGACGTAACGTAGCAGGGCTACAGGGGATAGCGGCAGCGGGGTTCAGCTTGGTCTCCGTACTTTGAGGAAGCAAGTGTATGCACGGTTGCGCACGATCGACCAACCACGCGCGTCGGGTTTTCATTTGTCAAAATGAACTTCCACCTTCCAAGCGTACGGTAGCCTGAACTGGTCCATCTACACCTCCAGCGAATCCAGAGGTCTGCAAGTGCTGGAGAGGCCTGGACGCAAGAATCACCGACAGCCAATCTGGTTCGCTCGCGCCGTCCTTATCGATGCGATAGTATGCACAATTGGGGTTGTTTTCGAAGCTTGCGCTCGGCGCTTGATGGCATGAAGTGAGGGCATGCAAACCAGTTATTACGTAAAAAGGTACCGTCGCGGCGCGCCAAGTGGCTCGGGAGGCAATAACTTTTGGATTCAACAAGCCCAAAGACGGTTCCCGCTCGTCGTTATCAGCATCCACAACGATGCCAACGTACTCCGGGAACGATGCTCAGCACAATGCCGCCTCCAACTCACGACCTCGTCTTATCGCCGTCTCTATGTAAAATTGTCAGGATTCTCTCGGTCTTGGCGAACAAATACTGGGCTTGGGGACTTCTTGGAATGCTTAGGGCCCCGATTTCACTCCACGCAAGCGGGCCAGTTCCGCTCGATCCAACAGACTTTCGCTCGGCATTAACTGCATGCAAATGTCGCTTGTCTTGGCATTTTCCGACGAGTGGTGATATAAAGTCAACCCTCGCAGGCCGAAAATCCCTAGCCCCTGGCTTAATTCACGACCATCATGAAGAGCCTATGGAAGATCAATGAAAAGTCGCTGAAGCTCAACAGCCGCACGAACACCACTATCTCGGTCAGTGTACCCCCAGCGAATCCGGATTTTACTGCAGTCGCTATCGACGCGCATGTTACGACTATACCGCAATTGCTCAGCGATCTGGGCACTTCGGACGTTCATGGTTTAACGAAGAATGAAGCTGCTCGACGGCTAGAGACACATGGCGAGAATTTGTTAGAGGGCAAGGATGGCGTCTCAGCAATAAGGGTATTAATCGGGCAACTTGGTGCGTATTTCGTTGGAATTCAGCGGATCTCGCCAACTGACGAAACGCCTTGCAGCAAACGCTTTGACATTGGTCCTCATTGCGGCCCTGGCACTCAGTTTTGGCGTTGGCGATTTCGTAGAAGGAGGTGTTATTGCAGCGGTCATCGTCCTCAATACAACGTGCGTATTACTCCTAATCATAGTTGTTTCCTCATCTCATTCAATGTCCCCCTTAGTGTTGGCTTTTTCCAGGAATATCGAGCAGAGAAGACTATGGACTCTCTCCGTCAACTCTCCTCGCCTACCGCGGTCGTAATTCGCAATGGAGAGAGCGCGGCCATACCAGCCAAGAATGTTGTCCCTGGTACGAAATCTCTTGCATCATTTCTCTCTAAAGGCTTGACGCCCATGTGATACAGGTGACCTGGTGATGATTAAAGTCGGTGACGTCGTGCCGGCGGATGTAAGTATTGTTGAAGCCTCCGTATAACCGACGCTTGCTGACCGTGGATTATGTCGCGTAGATGAGGATGATCACCGTCTCCAATTTGGAAGTCTCCGAACAGCTTCTGACGGGAGAATCGATACCTGGTATGTCCTGCGGCCTTCCGGTAACTCTCTTCGCTGAGTATTCATTTGATATCTAGTTCCCAAGAATACCCAGACTTTCAAAGGCGAGGATATCGACATGCCCATCGGCGATAGGCTAAATCTCTGCTATGCTTCCACAATTGTTACGAAGGGCAGAGGAACAGGCGTCGTAATCGGCACGGCAATGAATACTCAAGTATGTGATTACTAGATTAATCCGTTCGCGACTGACCTTCGGACAGATCGGACACATTGCGACAGCTATGAGCAGCAGCAGCACTCGCAACGACGAAGGAGAAATCAGCCACGTTCCGTGGTACACGCGCGCCTACGAAAAGACCATGGTTATCCTGTACGTCGCTTAGCTTTCGTCCTTGACTTCTACTAACTTGACTTCAACAGCGGTCTTCGCACTGGTACACCGCTACAAATTAAGATGAATCAACTCGCGTACATCCTCTTTGGCTGTGCCTTCATCCTCGCTATCATCGTGTTCAGTGTCGCCAAATTCAAGGTCAATGATGAGGTTGCGCTATATGCTATTGCATGTGGGATCGCTATTATTCCGGAGTCTTTGATTGCTGTCTTGACCTTGACAATGGCTGTCGGTACCAGGCATATGGCGAGGCAACAGGTCATCGTGCGCAAACTCGATGCTTTGGAGAACTTGGGCGGCGTTACCGATATCTGCAGCGATAAAACTGGTACATTGACTCTAGGTAAGTGATTCGGCATAGTCATTCTTGTTCAAATACTAATTTAATGCTAGGTCAAATGTCTGTTCGCAAGATGTGGCTTGCAGGAGAGCCTGCTAAGGACTCTGAATACACGGCTGAGATCGTCTCTGACAACGCTATCGAACCTGTTGGCCCGATTCACGTAGGCGCCGATGGACCTACATTGGATCCTAAGACGCTGGAAGAAGGCCTCCGCCGCGCCGTTGAGGCTGTCGCACTCTGCAACGTTGCCACGATCCACAAGAACTTGAAGGGCGAGTGGAAGTCTACCGGTGATCCCACTGAGGTTGCTCTGCAAGTATTCGCCACGAAGTTGTCGCTTGGGAGGCCGACTTTGACGTCGGACAAGCTGGGCCCTGCGGATGCACCCCGGCTCCGCCCTGCCATGGGAGAGAAGATCGGTGGGGATCCCTCTGTTACGTTCCCCGACGAAGAGAAGGAGGTTCCCAAGCGCTACACACTGGCTGTCGAATTCCCTTTCTCTAGCGAGCTGAAGAGAATGACCACCATCTACTTTGACACCGAGGGTAAAGGCGCGTTGTGCATCATCAAGGGTGCTGTGAGTAACGCTCTTTAATAACGGTGTACGTCTTACTGATATCCACTATAAGGTTGAACGTATCTTGGACGCCTCTACCACATATACGCCGTCGCCGCTGACCGACCCCACCGCCACTGCTCCCTTGACACCTGAAGTCAAAGAACGCATCCTTGCGAAAGCCGAAGAACTCGCGTCCCAGGGTCTTCGCGTTATCAGCATCGGTCAGAAGCGTATCGATTCCGCCATTGCACGAGAAATCTCTCGAGAGGATTCGGAGAAGGAGCACACGTTCTTAGGTCTTGTAGGCATCTTTGACCCCCCTCGTCCAGAGACACTCGGAGCAGTCAGGGCTTGCAAAGCAGCTGGAATCGTGGTGCACATGTGCGTTTGTTATCTGTATTTACAAGGACGTACTTGATGCTGACTTCGCTGATAGGTTGACTGGAGATCATATCACAACTGCTCGTGCTATCGCTGAAGCCGTCGAGATCATCTCGCCTGACGCTCCCAAGAGTGCTGTTATGACTGTAAGTAACTCTGTCATCAATTATCGCAACAATACTCATCCAATATGTGTGACAGGCTGCCGAATTCGACCACTTGACGGACAAGGAAATTGATGCACTCCCTGAACTACCACTGGTTATTGCTCGCTGTGCTCCAGAGACTAAGGGTGCGTAGCAAGCTCTGTCCCATTTAGATTATTGCTCATTTATGTTCTTTGCTTCCAGTCCGAATGATCCATGCTGGAAAGCGCCGCGGCAAACACATGTCTATGTCTGGCGATGGTGTCAACGACTCTCCAGCTCTCAAACTGGCGCCTGTTGGTATCGCTATGGGTATGGGTGGCTCTGATGTTGCAAAGGATGCTTCTGATCTTGTCTTGACCGACGAGTACGTCGTCCATCACGCTTCCTCAATATTCGCACTAATTCTTTCTCAGTAACTTTGACTCTATTCGAGCCGCCGTAGCTGAAGGACGCAGAATCTTCATCAACATCCAGCGTTTCATCCTTCATCTCCTTACTACGAACGTCGCCGAAGTTGTTGTCCTCATTGTCGGTTTGGCCTTCCTTGACGAGGCTAGATCTTCTGTCTTCCCTCTTTCACCTCTTGGTGTCCTCTGGGTTAACATGGTAAGTCACACCAAGAAACTCAGTCAGTATTTTGTGTGCTCACAATCCCTCAGATCACCAGTTCGCCTCCTGCCTTCGGTTTGGGCTTGGAGAAGGCGCCTGCTAATCTCATGAAGCGACGACCTTATTCTGTGAAACAAGGAGCTTTTACATGGCCCGTCATCATCGACTGTCTTTCCTATGGTACTGTCATGGGAGCCACATGTTTGCTGAACTTCGTCATCGTCATCTACGGCGTCGAAGGCGGGCAGCTGGCCCGCGATTGCAACCACTCCGCTTCCGAAGCCTGTGATGCGGTCTTCAGAGCTCGATCCACTGTTTTCGCTACCCTTATCTTTGAGATCCTCCTCTATGCCATCGTCCTCAAGTCGTTCGAACGATCCATCTTTGCTTTGACGCCAGGTCAACCGTTCTGGGTGGATTGGTGGGCGAACAAGGTTTTGTTCTGGTCCGTTGTTATTGGAATGGTCAGCGTTGTACTTCGTGAGTTTGGTTCCCATTTTGTCCGCACGCCAAAGGATTAATTCTCTTCCAGCCATTTACGTGCCAACCTTCAACACCAATGTCTTCTATCAAAAGGGCATCAGTTGGGAGTGGGGACTGGTCGTCGGAATGACCATCGTCTTCGTTTTGTGGTCTGAGCTATGGAAGGTGTTGAGGAAGCACCTCTACAGACGATGGGAGCCTGCTCCCGTTGACGAGTCGCCGACCGCCTAAATTTGCTGGACAATGTGCTTTCGTTTTCCATGGACAACATTAGGTTGTCTGGCCGATTGAACTTTGCAATCGAACTTTGTATACTTAGATCACCTGTATTCGCGTTTCTCGAGTCTTACGTAGTGATTTCAATGACATACACCCAAGGGTGTCCACCACAAAATGCAATCTACGATAGGTACCGAACAAAAGTCTGGAAGTCTTTCTGTCGACAAATCCTAGTCGAACTCGCTACAACTCAGTCGGAATACACGAAATATATGTACCAACCAAGTTCTGAAGGTGAGGCAGCTGGCACATTGGAACATTGATTGCGTTCGAGCTAGTGTACATGTAATACTCAATCGCGGAATGAACACGAATATGATAATAGAAGTCTGCTGTGAGGCAAACGAATGCCGAGCAAGGCTCGTTTTGTCGGAAAAGAAGAAAAGCACGCCTTGAAGTGTGTGCGACTTTCTTCTGAAGAGAAACAATAAATCCACCCTCGACTTTCTGACATAAGACAAGGGTGGAAGGTAGAGTCTCTACAAATGTGACGCATGCTTCACTCTGTCTGAATTCTCCGGATGCTAGAGTGCCAGGTTGTTCCTCCTTCGGTCCAGCCAGACATAATGAAGTCGACGTCGAGGATATTTTCCTTCAACAACGGCGCAAATCCTATCTTCAGTTTTGCCAACTCTCGCGCTTTGTTAACACACAGCAGTTCGGGATCGCTCGAGCCTACGCACGACGTGATATTCAAAATGATGCCTTTTAACCCTCCTTCTTCATAAAGTTGGAGGAGGAAATGGGATAACATCCCGTACTCCGATGGCGAAGGAGAAATATCCTCAGGGTGATCGTCACAGTCGAGCTTAATGTGCTCGATGTCGAGTCTAAGCGTCCGGATAGAGGTGGGGAACGGGAGATTCCTGATGCAATCTTTGATCCACATGAAGAGTTCGAGGTATGAGGTATCTCCTGATTGATTTATCTCCACCACTGACGGTTGTATAGCCGTACCGAAGTCGGGAATATTGCAATCAGATACCGCTAAAACCAGCGAGACGAGTATTTTATGTGATGTTAACGGTCGATGAACACTGACATGATGATAAAGACATACCGCACAGCACAAGCTCGGACAAACTGCTGGGGACCCATGGAGGCAAATCCCAAGGCTGACCGCTATACCAATGGGCGGACAGGCGGGCGAGGTTGGGGCACTCGATAAAGTTCTTCAAACTGAACATAGGATGATATATTTCCTGCAACTTCAGGCTTCGAAGAGCCTCTAACCGTGGGGTTGATGTTGTCTTCCCTTCAATGTCCGATGTTGCACTGATCCCTTCGAGTACTAGCTCCTCGAGGGTGACAGGGAGCATGGCACGGAGGTCGGAGGCGTCCTCAGAGAGGTCACACCCACGGAAGGCCAGCTTGCGAAGGCAAGGGGCCGCAAGCATGGAAGAGATCCCCGCAGAGAGGGGCCCTGGTTCCGGAAACAAGGTCGACATCCAGGAATCGAGGTGCAACACACGCAAGTTCTTCAAGCGGCCAAGACACTCTGGGTACCACGCGAGGGTGGTGTCAGGTTCATAATCACACTGGAGGTGGACTACGAGTATGAATTCACTGAGATGGGGAGCCTCGAAGTGGAGGAACCAGAGGCGATCGTCCATATTCCTGGTAGATATGCTGATGATGCGGAAGATGTGAGGTCGGCAGATAGTGCTCCATGTGTGAGATACCAGAGACGCAGCGGCGAGAGGGTGGTGCTCCTCACGTCCGGGGTAAAAGTCGGGGTCCTCTGAGTTGAATTCAGTGCCATCCACAACCGCAGCGATGATCTCGGCGATGATTTCGATGGGGAGTCGTATCATTGGGGTCATTTCAATGGAGCGGGCGAAGTCGTGGTTAAAAGTTCAAAATGTTAAGCGCCGTACACAAGGACTCAGTTTACTAGTTACTCCCAAGTTTGGAACTTGGCTTCGATCATGATGGTTCTGAAGTGTCGCAATTGGCAAACAATTGGTCGGATGATAGGTCTCGCTTTGCTGAATTGTCAGGGCCTCGCCCAGAAGGGGAAATATCACGATCATCTCGCAGAGTAGAGGACAGTTTTTTTCTAATACTTACACGTCAAGTTGAGTGGGAGTCAGTTCCGTCCTATTAAGTTCGAAGTTTTAACAAATCTTGTAGCTGATCTTGAGCTGATCTATATTAATGCTATACATGTGCTTGAAAGAGGCGCGGGGTCTGGTCACCATTGACGGCGCGAAGGATGCAGCCTCGTGGGGCCCAAACACCGAACTTTCAAGAGTGGAGGGGGGAAGAAAATTCGATACATGACAGTAAAATACAAGCAAGTGACTTAGCAAGTGAAAACGGAAGGTCCTGACAGGATCAATGCATCAGGTTACTGTGGCAATCGGAAACGAGAACAAATAAATACCTGGGATAGTATATCCAGAGAGTGTTTGGTAGATGTTGATGGAAATACCAGGGTCTGAACCTGCAACATACGGACATTGGTGAGGCACCTGAATGAAGGGGTAGACCGAATAATACACGCACCAGCGTACGCGCCAGGGAAGCTGACTGTAGGAGAGGGGACCGTGTTTCCACCACCGGTTATTTGAATTTGAGCGCATTCCATCTAGCCAGGAGTATCAGTTAATCGAACACAGGTAAAATAAGAAGATGCTCACGTAGAGCTGGGCTCCTGGGTATGAGCCAGCGGCATGGAGGGCTTTGTACGGCCGAGTCAGTATTGCCGTCGCTAGTAACCGTTTACCGGCTCAGCTCACCGATCAACTCGTGGCGCAGCAAGTATTGTCCAGGCTCGATGCACGATGGGATTTTGAAGCTGACTTTCCCGGCGTTGGCAATGAGGCGGTCGACACCCCAAGTATTCGTCGAGGTATCAAGTCCATCTTGGTAGATCTTGAACCATTTCAATCCGGTGACATCGGTTTGGGTGGCATTGTTCACTTTTGCCCTGGAGGTAAGTAAGATCAGGGCAGATTCCTACGGGAGTTTCGGGAGAATGTTACTTACAGGTAGGAAATGACTGGACCCTTGTGGCTGGCGTCAATGGGATCGGCGCTGTCTCCAGGGGCTGATAATTATAGTGAGCATACGATGATGATGGTGGGTCCAAGGCACGATCTTACTTGCGCCTGAAAGAGTGTGGTGCCACTCAGCCGTGACTGTTGCTCCCGCTGGTACGGGAATTATAGTTTGCGACACGGGTTGGTGGTATGGGTTGATACCGCCGTTACAGATCACATCTTGGAACCCGCTGTGGTCAGCCAACTGTGGGACGATAATGGAAGTGTTGCAAATTACCGTTAGAAGTGACGTCGGTGATAGGCTAAGATAGAAAGGCACGATTAGCGACTACACCACTAGAGGACCAGGGCCACACTGGGTTCTTACGCCGTCGTAGTCGGGGACACGAATGCCGACCGTGTGTCCAGCAGATACGCCATTAACATATAGTTCCTGAAAGGCATGTTAGTTTTGCGCTACGCTATATAACACTATCTCCCTATACCTGGAAGATACTGTGCGCTTGGGCAGCACTTGCAGCCAAGGAAGCGACGACGGCGAAAGACTTCATGTCGAAAATGGGTCGAGTATCACTTTGACTCCGAGAGCAGCATCGAGTCTTAAATACTGTGCACGTCGGGTAAATGTCTGGACATGAGATGACGCACTCGCAGATTAGGTATCGTCCGACGAAGTGGAGATATAGAAAGTAAGCAAAATAGCCTCAGGCTAAGCGATATTCTTCAGAAAATATTCCGCACAAGCACTGGTGGTGATGTGCTATAGGCAACGAAGGGCTGCAAGTAGCGTCTATAATTGTGCGTAACCACGCCTTTCAGCAGGATTGGATTGATTCGCGACAATTGGCTCCACCAATGCGTGATATGTTTCTCCGGAGAAGCTAGTCTACCGTCGGCAAGGCGGCAAGGGAGCCAGTTATCCCGCGGTAAACACACCATGGTAGTATAAGAGTGTAGTCCTCGACCTGGCGGCAGCTCAGATTGCGGAGCGTAGTCCGCTGTCGTGGAGAGGATAGATCCCGAGCTGGTGATTTGCCCTAGGCCACGCCCCCGTTGATTGACCCACGTAAACTCTGCGAAGTGGGGAACCTCTTCTAGCAGCACCGCTTAGAGCGTCTGGCTTGAGTTGGAGGATTTTATGAGCTAGGTGGTGGGTGACCCAAGGACTGTATGACATCCGACGTCAGAAAGCGGTATATCGTCGGCATATGCATCGTGCTTACGGATGTCTGGTCTCCGCTAATCCCCGAGCATGTCCCCTGTATTTTGAAGAGGGCTAGCTGTGAAGATATGGTCCATGAATCCGCCTAACTTCCTGCTGGTAAAGAATGTACTAATGGGGTGATCCACCGCGATTGCCGAGCAAGACATCATCGCACAGTGCAATGACCTGTGGCGACAACGTGGACACATAGCTGATAATCATTCAGATGGGACCTCTCTCTTCCTTTTACCACGATCATCAAGATTAAGCGCCCGCCAAATTCCGGGTACGCTACACGGTAAGATCACATAGAAAGTGAAGAAAAGAGGTGATATGAATAGTTCCAACTCGGGGAGTAAGCCCGTGTTCGATCTAAGTAACTGGTTCCTTCCCGCTCGCTCGGCTGACCGCGCAAAGACAGAGAATCGCGCGGGCCCGACCGCCTCCTTTGATGTGCGCAATGCTGCAACTGAAGATGAAGATGACGATGATGACGACTACCACTCCACCTCCGACCAGCCAACGCCAACACCTAAGATCAGGGCCAGGGCGAGATCCACCCAGTCTGAAGACGGCGGCCTCAGCAATTTCACCTTTCAAGCAACGCTGGACAGGATCAAGGCAAGAAACCAGGCGGGGTCCAATCGCACGGAGCCATTTAAGGATCGCGAGCCCCCCCCACACACAATTCTACAGCAGAGTACTCTCCCCTTCCCCCACTCCACGACCAATCTGGCAGGTACCAAGCGCAAGGACAAGAGTACGGGTGCACCTGCCTCAGCGTCCCCAGCGACTGCAGCTACTCCCAAAACAAACTTGGGCACTCCCACCTGCGGCATGCCCTGCCCCCCCCGGAAGCGGGCCAAGATCCCAACACCGGATGCCGAAGCGGATACACCCCTCAGCAAGGCCACCAAGCACCTCCGGGATGCCGGGATGCTTGGACTCATGGGTAAAATCGACCTCCGTACTGTAACTAACGCACTATTTAGAGTAGCTGCACGGTCGCAGGATACTGGGACAAGCGAGCTCCTTTACGCCCTCGCCACGGTCCAGGACAAACTTTTGTTGCAGCAGGTCACGGAGCAGGTCACCCACACATTGCGGGATGCGGCAAAGGAAATCTCGGGAAACCTCACCAAGAAACTGACCGATCTGACCAAGGAAACGGTCACAGCAGTCCGACAAGGCGTCATAAAGGCAGGTCGTGAACTTGACAAGTGTACTGACGTAGTAAAAGTAGCCACCGGGGATCTGAAGGCCACGGCAGAGAGTACCCCAAAGTCATATGCTGGCGTGGTGTCTGCTGGCGCTCCCGCCCCCTCGGCACCGGCACTCATACAGCCGGCTACGCAGGCCAGGATGGAACGGGATCGCAGACGCATCCTCATCGACCCACCTGCAGGGCGCACTCAACTCTACCCCACCACAGTGGGAAATTTAGGTATTACGAAAAAGGCTACTGAGGCACTCCATCAAGTCGGAGGCGAATCCAGCTGGACGTTCGTCAGTTGTATCAAGCTCGAAAAAGGAGGGGTGCTCCTGGAAGCGAATTCGGCAGAGGTTAAGGACTGGCTTGCGACTGGAGGGCACCTCACAAACTTCATGGCCGTCTTCAGCCCTGGCGCCATCGTTAAAGAAAAGAAGTACACCATCAAGGCCTTATACCTCCCGGTGGACCAGTCAATTGACACGGATGAAGCCCGCCTGAGTGTCGAGAAGGAGAACGGCCTCCCCCCCAACGCTATCACTTTAATCAAGTGGATGAAACCGGCGGAACGTCGCGGAAAGAATCAGCAATACGGACATGCAACCATTACTTTTACCTCACCAAAGAATGCTAACCTCATCCTTCGACAGGGACTCACTTTCCTAGACACCAACTATCGCTGCCACAAGAGCAAAACGGAGCCGCTGCGCTGCCTCAAATGCCAGGTTTACGGCCACATTGCCAGTGCCTGTGCGGCTCCGCTCACGACATGTGCTACATGCGCCCAACATCACGACAATGTTGGGGACTGCCCCCAGCTGAATCGAAAGGAGGCCCACGCCTGCGTCACCTGCCGCATCGGGGGGCACGCGAGCTGGGAACGCTCGTGTCCGGGACGACTCAAACTCCAGAAAATGCTTGACGAACGGCTGGAGGGTAATTGCCTGCCCTTCTTCCCCACCGAGGAGCCCTGGACCCAGCGCCGCTCTCCCTTCTACTCGGGTCGGGTCTCAAACTACAGCCTTGCGGACTGCGACTGGCGACAGAGCAAGAAGGATCAGTTGCTACAGACGACACTACCTGACATCTTCAAGCCATTGGTTACCGCGACACGCACACGTAGTAGTCGCTCCCCGCCGCCGGTTGGCACTGAGTGGTCAGACTCCAGATGGAACCTACCCGTGGACCAGGCCCCGCCGACACTACTGACAGAGAAGTCCCCCACACCCGTAGCCTCATGACTGACAAACCATCCAACAGCATTCATATTCGACAGTACAACCTCAACAAGTCGTCGGCTGCCCAGCAAACAATCTCCAACACCCCACTACACGAAGACTTTGACATTCTGCTGATTCAAGAACCCTACCTATGCCACGCACAACTAACACGTACCAACCGTAACTGGGTCCCACTCTACCCCTACTCGCAGGCCGATGAATTATACCCCACGCGCTCTCTGATCTTGGTCAATAGTAGGATCAGCACTGATGCCTACGACCAGCTACCCATTCCCGGGACTGGCGATGTTACTGCTCTACGCCTCACTTCCGATGCTGGCGACATCTTCATATTCAATATTTATAACGACTGCAACCACTCACAGGCTCTTGACAGTGTCCGACAGACCGCCCTGGGCTTGCAGCTGAAGTACAGGCACCCACTAATGATCTGGGCTGGAGACTTCAACCGACACCATGAATGGTGGGACAAGCCAGCTGACCACCACCTTTTCACAGACAAGGCCCGTGATGACGCTCAGCTGCTTATCGACCTCACGTCCGATTTCGAGATGGAGATGGCACTAGAGCCTGGGGTTCCCACATTGGAGCACATGGTGATGAAAAACGAGTATCGGGTTGATAATGTCTTCGTATCTGCTGATCTTATTGATAGGATTTTGGTCTGCGAAGTGCATCCGGGGGAAGCCCCTGCAGGTGCAGATCACTACCCCATAGACACCATTCTGGACCTCGCTACCGACCTAGCGGAGGAACGACGCACACGCAACTTCCATCTCGTGGACTGGAAGGCCTTCAACGATGAGCTCACAGCACGTCTCCCAGCCGCCGGCATCCCCAGTCACCTTACCGCCACCCAGGATGTCAATGTCGCCGTGGACGCGCTCACAGGGCTCCTGCAGGGCGTTATCAAGGACACCATCAAGGAGAGTGGCACTGCCCCCTACAATCGCAGGTGGTGGAACTCAGAACTGGAGACCCTCCGCACACAACACACTAGGGCGAAGCGAGCGTCACACAAACTTCGGGGAGTGGCATCGCCAGTCCACGATGAGGCACGGCAACTTGGCAACAAATACAAGCGGCGGCTAGAAGAGACAAAGACGGCGCACTGGGAAGAATTCCTCGAAGACCTCGATCCACAGGAACTGTGGATAGCTAACAGATACATCTCCAGTCCGGGATCAGACGGAGGCAAGGTGCGTGTCCCCTCTCTCAAGTTTAGCATGCCCGATGGTACACAGAAGGAGGTCGCCTCCAATGAGGAGAAAGGGCACATGCTCGCTAACATGTTCTTTCCCAAACGCCCCCCAGACTTCCAAGCAACGGCGCCCGAGGCGTTCCCAGAGCCAGTTCCTCACAGGTTCACCGCCTCGCTACACAGGACAAGCAGTGTCATTGCCAGGCTCAAACCATACAAGGTCTGCGGACCGGATGGCATCCCGAACATTGTCCTCATGAAGTGCAGTGGTACGCTCGCCCCCATACTAACCAAGATCTACGAAGCAGTCCTGCGACTGGATCACTACCCTCTAGCCTGGAAGAGATGGACCACCATTGTCCTCAAGAAGCCGGGGAAACCTCAATATGACCTGGCCAAGGCCTGGAGGCCGATCGCCCTACTCAACACGATGGGGAAGGTCCTCACAGCACTGGTAACCGAGGACATGGTGGAAATGTGCGAAAAGCACAATCTCCTTCCCAGCCACCACTTTGGGGGGCGCCCAGGAAGGACGACAAGCGATGCACTGCACACGCTCACCACCAAAATAAAGAAGGCGTGGAGCGAAGGGAAAGTGGCGTCTGCACTCTTCCTAGACATTGAAGCCGCCTTCCCAAACGCGGTAACTGACCAGCTACTGACCAACCTTCGTAAGCGCAGGATTCCACCGGAGTTCATCAACTTTGTACGGAACCTCCTTACCGACAGACAGACCACAATGGTCTTCGATGACTACAAGTCCGACTGGATTGACGTGGATAACGGTATTGGGCAAGGGGACCCTATCTCAATGATCCTCTATCTTTTCTACAACGCTGACCTAGTAGACGTCCCAGCTGATGACAAGGGGGAGGCTGCCATTGCCTACGTTGATGATGTTACATTCATCGTGGAGGCCAAAACCTTGCGGGGAGCACATCGTAAGTTGTCCGACATGATGACTCGTCGTGGAGGGGGCTACGAGTGGTCGGCCACCCACAACTCCCGCTTCGAGTCCAGCAAGCTCAGGATCATGAACTTCACGCCAAACGACACCGAGCACCCCACCCTGCTACTACAAGGCCAAGAGGTCACACGCGAGTCGTCATACAAGATCCTAGGGATTACAATCGACGAGCATCTACGGTGGAAGGAACAGACAGCAGCGGCCCTCAGCAAGACTGTGCAATGGATTAATGCCTTCAAGAGGCTGGGCCGTGTCGGGGGAGGGATCAGCTCCAGACTCCTCAGGCAGCTGTATCTTGCCGTTGCCATCCCCAAGCTAACTTATGCACTGGATGTTTGGTATACACCAGTTCGTCTACCTGCAGGGCGCAAGCGCAGGGTAGGCTCAGTAAGGACTCTGAAAATCCTCACCAAAGCGCAGCGGGTAGCAGCGCTAGCAATCTCTGGAGCCATGCGCACCACCGCCAACGACGTGCTGGACCTTCATGCCAGCCTCCCGCCCCTGGAATACACACTGGACTTCATCTGCCACAGGAACGCAGCAAGAGCGGCGACACTCCCAGGCACGCACCCAGTGGGCGAGATCTTGTCGTGGACCCACAGCTATCAAGGCGGTCACGTCTCTCCCATCATCGCACTCATGAGGCTCTACGACCTCAAGCCGGCAGAAACAGAGGTCATCCAGGCAACCTCACACAGGAGGCTTGGTAGCGCCTGTCCAATCCCAACTCATATAGCAGCCTCTCGGGACAACTCCAAGGAGCGGGAAGCTACATCGACAGCAGACTACAAGATTTACGTCGACGGCTCAGGGTATAAGGGCGGAGCAGGGGCAGCAGCAGTCGTTCGTCAAGGCGAAGGGGAAGTCACAGCAACAAGCCACACACTAGGGCCGCTCACACACTACACCACCTTTGATGCCGAAGCGGTGGGACTTCTTCTCGCGTCGAACGAGGTACTGACGAGAAACTTACAGGGAGAGATCGAGATCTACATGGACAATCAGTCCGTGATTCAACGACTGGAATCGGGCAAGAAAGGCACAGGACAGTACATCCTGGAGCAGGTTGAGGATATGCTGAAGCTAGCCAAGGAGAGGGCAGCAGAGGCCGCAGCCCCCCTTCGCATCAGTTTGCACTGGATCTCAGCGCATGACAACGTCATAGGGAACGACCGAGCGGATGTGCTAGCGAAAGAGGCGGCGACAGGAACGGCGCAACCAGCTGAGCACTGCCCCTCCCTCTTTACTAACTACCCAATGCTACCAGCTAGCAGAGCAGCCATACGGCGCGTAGCACGCATGCGAATCCCGATTCGCTGGGAAAAGGCATGGCGGAAGTCTGCTCGCAAACCAAAGCTGGACAGGATCGACCCGACGCTAAAGGTCGGCAAGTACCTGGGCGTGGTTGGGGACTGGAGGAAGAACCGCACAAGCGTCATTACGCAACTACGTACTGGACACGTCCCTCTCAATCAGCACCTACATCGAATAAAGAAGGCTGATTCACCATACTGCCCCCACTGCAACGACAAGGAAGAATCGGTCCGACATTACCTTATCGAGTGCCCTGCATATGACACGGAGCGGGCGGCGATGCAGACGGAGTGCAAGAACTTTGATCTGCCAATGAAGGTGCTACTGGCCACAGCGGGAGGTATGGAGGCCACCATTGCCTTCGTTCGGCGCACAAGGCGATTCAACAACCCTTTTGGAAGTCTGGAGGGGGAGCTACTCGCACCGAGAAGGGCGGCTGTACTGAGGGAGAAGAGGGAGAGGCAAAAGGAACGGGAGGGGAGGAGAAAGGAACGGCAGAAGGAGAAAGGGCGGGAAGGGGCGGAGCGGCGCAGATGAAGGCCGCAACCGCGACTTGCTCGCGTGCGGGCCGTCATCTGGCGGGGTAGGCAAGGTCCTTCTTTTTGGCGGCATTTCCTCAAGACCACCTCAAGACTCTACTCTTCTTACCTTGACAGATAGCCACGGACTCGCTCTCCCTCGGGACGAGCACCTAACAAGGGAGGCTTTAGGCCAAGAAGTTGTCCAACCCACACCATTCGGCTGCCCATAAACACGCTAGCGTCCGAAAAACAGCGGTTTCTGTCGCTGGGCGGCAGGGGGACGAGGTCCAGGACCGTCCGTCTGTCGTGCATGACGAGCTAGGGGTCAAGGTGGGCATGGGGGCCCTTTTATTTACTTCCAGGTTTATATAGGTAGTACGGGATACAGGTAGTACAGAGCCGTCCGCATGGAGCACCTCCGATGGACGTTAAACAGAGACCAAAAAAAAAAAAAAAAAAAAAAAAAAATCATTCAGATAGACTTCTTATAATGTCCGGATTGCCGTCAAGGTGATAATTTGTTTTTCGCAGGGAGACTGTATCAAACCTATTCAATCCGAATGGTCATAGGTTTGGAATATAACACCCATAACTTTGGGCTTCATGATCAGAATCCCATGAAAGATCATGTTATATCCCCGTATTCTCCAATTTAATTTAGACATTGGGGTGCTGTCAATGAAATGTCAAGCGAGCAGTCTGGAATTTGTGGAGGTCGATGCACGACGTACCAAATGGTAGCCCTTTTGTAGTGGCGTTCGCCTAAAATCGCCAATTTAATGACGAAGGCACCGACACCATTTACCGCCAGGTTGAAAAGTAAAGTCCAGTCCAGATGAATTCCACGAGGCGGCAGGAACAGATGGCTCCTCCAGCAATTCTGAGGTCCGCGCTCCGACTCAGTGATCTAGGTGAAGGCAAAGCGGCGTTCGCAGCAGAAGTAGGAGTTGTCATTCTGATGGGACCAGCTTGTTCGCTTGTCTCCGTTGAGGTGTTACTGCTGATTTGATTGAGCAATGTCATGGGCGCTGCCCGCTCTACTATCGCCAGTGAGTTAAATTACCGCTGAACATTGCAAGTACGACGCGAGTGAGGGACCTACTCCAGCGAGATTCATGTCCGACCCGGGGCGCGCCAGCTACCTTGGCTTGTTTGCCCATCGCACGAGGCCAGCTCATACTATATAGAGTAGCTACTTACTTGCCGTTTGCACGATTCAGAGCCTCTACCGAAGACCGATTATGGGGCCGTTCATTTATCATGCATCATGGTTTACCGAGTCGGTTCCTATCCGGTTCCGTAAATTGTTGACAAGAAAGTTGAGCAAAACGTACATCATCCAGGGTAGTTGAGTTATATCAATGACTACCCTCGCCGGCGACGTCGCCGAGCAAGTGGAATCCTCTTTGTATTTAGGGCCTTTCGCCTTCTTCTTGCTTGAGGCGTGATTCATATCTATACTCTGCACACTGAAAATGGATTGGTATCCCTGCTGCAGTGAAGGAAGTTGGTGAAAGTCAACCTTTCCTGAGCGCTTGTCGACTCGCTATATACGTCAAAGAGCACGCGGAACTCAATAGACCGTCAGCCGCCGCCAGCCCTGTTCAAACGTTCACCGCTCAATTTAAACTTGGCCCCTCAACGTTTCGCATCGGGGACCCTAGATTCATTCAGCAAGGCAAGTTTTGGCCCGAACACGCCAGCATCTTGAAGATCAACACTAATCATAGAAGAATACTTTGCCCGGACAAGCACTGCATCTGGTGTGACGATAGATGGTGTAGCCAACGGTGATACTAAACCATATGGACACGAGATGATAACTTTGAATTTCCAGATTTGTACGTGATTTGCATTGAGAGATGCTAGTGAGCAGTGATTTGATTGCATTCCACGTCCAATTCAAAGGCTTATCGTTTGACAGGATATCTACCATAACTTCGTCTGATCGCACCAAGGCAATGCTCATGGCCTCGGATTCTGATGAAATTCGGTCAGAAACATTGCCGAATGAATCTGCAATTTTATCACAACTAGTTCGCGCAAGGGGGTTCCGTGATGCCATCGCGAAGCGTGCGTTGATTTTGCTATCTATGGCTATTGTCACCGAGAAGATGGGAGCGAAAAGCAAACCTTTCTTTCCCCGATCTTTGAGTCGTGCTGGTCCTGCCAGATTTCTCATCCAGATGGGATCTTCTGTTAGCCTCTTGCTAAACAAATTGATCGCATTTACATCATGTTTGAACTGGAGTCCACCGATTCTTTTTCACGCACTCGTCTACATAAATAAGCGGGCATAACTTCGCGGTACGTGCAGAAGGATGTCCCCTCAGCTCCATACCCTTTTTTTCTTTAGCGGGAAGGCAAACTCCTCTATCGCCGACCATTTCATTGGCCTACTCTCCGACAAACAGCCACATCATCACCAAATGTATTATTCCACGATTGAGAAGGTGGTTGGTTGGGAGTTATCGTACGTGGCAACGGTCTCTCTCGACTGCCCGCACTCATCCAGGATGGCCAAAGTTGGCCAATATTGCTCTTTGTCTTTGTCGCGTCCCTGTTCGTCGTCACTTCTCGACCAGATCCGTTCTCTGACATTCCCGGTCCATTCCTTGCTCGGTGGACGCCACTGTGGTTAGCGTACCAAGCTCGCCGTGGAAGGCGATATCAGGTGGTCGATGAGCTGCATAAAGTACGTGCCTTGAACTGATATAACAACATCTAGACCCTGATGAGCGGTGTCTAGCGATATGGCCGATTTGTACGCATAGCACCAAACCACATCTCTGTAGCAGACAAAGACGCCCTTCCCATAGTCTACGGTCAAGGCCACAGGGCATTCGACAAATCCCCATTTTACCATGCATTCATTGGTGATAAGGCTTCTGTATTCTCCACAACCGACCGCCAAGACCACGCGCAGAAGCGCAAACTAGTCTCCCAGGCGTTCTCGTACGGCTCGCTGCTTAATCTGACACCATTGATCTCGGCTATTGTCAGCAGTTTCGTCGAGAAGCTGGATAAGATATCCGAATCAGCGGAATATATTGATGCACTCGTCTGGTTTAACTATCTCGCATTTGACCTGCTTTCCGACCTAGCCTTTGGAGAACCCATAGGAATGGTGGAGAAAGTGAGATTCTTGTCTTCTAGCGTTGGACTCGCTGACTCTTCCATTCTAGGGATCGGACGCTGTAGTTGTGGAAAAGGCTGATGGAGAAACTGTAATGGAACACGCTATATCCCTCGTTGACGAGGTATGCGATTTCGTGAGACTATATATCAGTGAGAGGTTGATTGCCCACCTCTAGCGTGAGCATCTCGCTGCCGTGGTCGGTCATCACCCGACGTTCAGGTTCCTGTCGAAGTTCCTCCCTGATCCCTTCTTTGTGCGTGGCCACAGAGCATCACATGGCCTCGAAGACCTCGCGCGGCGCCGTGTCATGAAACGCATTCGATCAAACGCCCACCGTGACGACATCCTGGGACGTCTGATTCACGCCCGCATTGGGGATGGGGGTTCGCTTACCGCAGATCAAACGAACGAGCTCATCGCCGAGTCGGTTACCCTTCTGTATGCGACAAACGTTGATCGCTCATCATGATCAACAACTGACATGTGTTGTTACCCCCACGCAGGATCGCTGGCTCCGACACCACGTCGAATTCCCTCACCGCCATTCTCCATTTGTTATTAACACACCCAGACGATTTCAAACGTCTGTACACTGTTCTAGAAGAGGCGGTTGAGCCTGGGGAGCTGCCGCGATATAACCAGGTTAAGGATATTCCTCTCCTCGACGCTACAATAGACGAAGGGTAGGCCAAGCCAGTTGAAGATGGCCAGAGTAGAGATTGACTCGACATAGGCTTCGCCTTCACGCAACAACTGCAATAGGCCTTCATCGGTCCGTGCCCGACGGAGGGATCCTATGTTGCGGCCGCTTCTTTCCTGCATCAGTAAGTGATAGGTCCCGTGTTCCTTGATATCTTGTAACACCTGGTTATGGTAGACAGAGATGTCTGTACCAGCGTGGACCATCCAGCACGACGAATCAATCTGGAATGATCCGGAAAACTTCCGACCACAACGTTGGCTGGATAATCCTGATCTTCGTCGCTATCTAATGACTTTTGGCAAGGGACCAAGGGCATGCGTAAGTAGACTCAAGCCACTCCGTCTCCACTGATGTTAATATATGGGATGGTATCTGACAGCTTGGCAGGAAGTATGTGTGCTCTGACCGATTTCTATCAGTTACTGATGGATGTGATCCTTTCTAGCCTTGCTTACATGGAAATGCGGCTCGTTCTATCCACCATCATACTACGGTACGACATGGAGCTCCAGACCCCGCATATGGAGACGACGGAAGGATTCATGCATAAGCCCAAGTGCCTCATGACGCGATTTAGACGACGAAATGCTAGTCCCTAGTCAGTGCGGTGAGCGAGAAGTCCGTCATTCCAGGACATCCATGTGAGGTGATCTCGTTTGGGCGCTGACTTCTAGTATGTTATCGATATGTTATAACATCACTAGATAGAAGCGAGTTCTGTTGTAATCATATGTATCAAGTGTAATATAGGCTGTGTGATTCGCAAGTTCTGTTTACGTCTATGCCTCGTGCACTTTTGAATTCTAACGGGCGAAAGCGAAAACAGTATTATATTCGGGTATGTACGACTAGTGCAATACGAAACGAAGGAAGTCTGCGTCGATCAAACTAGAAAAGAGGTCGTAGTTTGAAACTCTGGCGGAGGCGCTCCAAAGCTCTAATAATGTCTTGGTCCGCCTCTTGTCGCCCCGCTAACCCTCGGGTAGTATCGTTCGAAGGCTGCGAGGCAGAGAAGATGGGACCGGTCACAGGGCACACAACCCCTTCAGCAGGAAGCGTTCCGTTCAATAAATAACTTTGGATGTGCTGGACAGTGCAGATCGATGGCGCGGCGAGGGTTGTATGCTAATTTCGATTATTGTAGCTTAGAATACATAAACAATTCACGAGATGAGTGTGGACGTACCCCAGGTGAGTCCTGTGTTAAGACGACGGACCCAGGATAGCCCCTGGCCATTTTGTGTGCTCTGAAGTAGGAAACTAAGCGTAAGATGGTGCAACATGAAACTGCAAACTTACGATGCAATTGGCGTCACTGGGTCTATGTCTCGACATTTAGTTGGAGAATAAATGAGGACAAACGAGCTCAATCGTACCTGCCGTATTACCAATCCATAGGATGGGATGGCTGGTGTTACCCACCAAGGGACCTGGGATCAAATGTCAGATCAAAGACGCATGGGGCGATGTCAAGATAGCAGACCTCTGAAATGCTTATTTTGCTGCCTGGGCCACGCCCTGAAAATGATGGCGATCAGCTATCGAATTATGTGTAAACGAATGTAACATACGCGCACGAAACTCTCGCGATGGCCAAAAGTTCTCCCCACTGCGACAGACGCAGCAACTGGCGGACGTAGTCTTCAGCGTCGTCAACGGTATCACGTACTTCCTGCCCGTCAGTGCACCTGATGGCAAATATAGCATCCGTGATGGTGGGCAGTGGAACCGGAGTTCCACAATTACAATCGAATAACGGCGTATCAAGCATTTGGTAAAGCGCGGTGCCATTACCACGAACCAGATCCGCAAGACCTTGAGCGAGTGGGGGGAAGTACACGTAGGGGGCGTAAAGGCTATTAAAGATCGTGACTCTGAGTCTTGCGTAATCGACTAATCCGTAGGATGTATTAGTGATGACCGGGATCGGTCGCAGGGCGATAGTTCGAGTCAGTTCGTCTAGCTTGCGAGCAATAGCCTGAGCCGAGGATTCATAGAAGGGACATAAGTCAGGGCCAGCTTCGAAGCAGCTATCGAAGAAGGTTTGTAGGGTTTTATCGGTGTCCAAGGTGTCCGACCAACGAGCTGGGCCAATATCAGCAGAGTGAACGTTAGAAGGTAGGGAAGATCCCACCGGCGTAGTAATTCTCGGAGTCCACGACGCCTGCACAGAACAGTCAGCCCATATGCTATGTTGATGGGGGACAAAACTCACCATCAAGAATAAGACGTCCTACACGGTCCTACGTGGAGCAAGGGTTAGCGCCGAGCACATGTGCGCATAACCTCTCACTCACTGGGAATAACGAAGCGAAAGTGGCGCCGAGCACTGTGCCATATCTTAAGTTTGCAATCAATCGTCAACGGCGGATTTGAACGAATAGCGGGGGTCAGAATACGTACGAAAACCCCCAATATTGAAGCTTCTCTTGCCCGTGGGCCTCGACCATTCGAAGCATATCCCGTGCAGTGTTCTCCGTGTTCAGATGCTCGATTAAGTGGTCCTTTTGGTCTTGCCGAGTAACCAGGGCCCCCAATATCTGCGCGCGAGCCCACATGCGCGCTACCCCATCGCTAGTCGCGTTAACGTCGTCGAAAGACGAACTGACGAAGAACTGCCGCTGCGCTTCGGTGGGGAAGAAGGATGCGCGGGGTGTAGAGAATGCGACACCTGGTTATGAATTAAACTGTCTTCGGTATCTCTCCTTCTATTAGACGGAAGGAGGCGCTTACCTCGGGGATCAAAGGAAACGATGTCAAAATTAGGACCAAGGATCTGAGAAAACACTGCGCCGGCTTCTGCGAGCAAATCTACGCCACTGCTACCTGGACCTCCTGGATTCAAGAGAACGGGTCCCATGTACTGCTCTGTGCCAGCAAGAGGCGATGGAAACCTGATCATGGCTATAGACGCAGACCTGCCTTCTGGGTCAGAATAATTCAAAGGCACCTAGCGGGAAGTTAGTGGCTACATGTCTACATGTTCCCAAGGGATTTACTTGGAATCGGGCACATTGCAAGGGCTGGGTGTAACAATCCGTCCACTTCAATTCAGTACTCGTCTCCAGCTGTTCGAAGCCCGTTAATTCACGTTTGTGATACTGGTAAGAAAGCGAGACAGGCTCACCTTGTCCCATATGAAGCCAGGTTCTTGTGCCAGAGCAGCCAGGGCAGTCGCCACCGCAATGAAACCTATGAAAACCTTCGTGGAGAACATGGCAAATTAGTGAAGATATTGCGTGCATTCCTCGACTTATATACGACGCGCACAACGACATAGCTCCTCGTCAACAGCTCTGATTGGAGCAGACCCTTCGCGAAGCCAATACAAACATCCGCAGCATCGAGTCACCACGCGCGCAAAGGGCGGTGCACTCACCTCCTCAGTCACATACACACGCCCAGGAAAACCGTCGTCGAACGCTGCCGATGGGATAGTAGTAAGTTGGGGTTAAATTTTACAGCTCTGATCAACATAACAACATTGCGCAGTCGTTGCCGGTGGCAAGGGTTTATATTTACAACGAGGATCTATATGCCAAGCCAGAGGGGCGACGGCACACGGAAACTCTTGCGAAGGCGCTCCAAAACGTCGCCCATCTCTGGGTCGCTCGGCGCGGGTCCCCTTCCCTTTCCTAAATGTTGCTGAGATGCCTCTGACTCTGCATTTACAGACGTGCGGGGCTGAGGCTGGGGGAAGATGGGGCTATCTACGGGGCACACGATGCCTTCCTTAGGCAGTGTCCCGTGGATGAAGTAATCCCGGATGTATCGCTGCGAGCAGGAGGATGGCGCGGCTATGGAGCAATGCTGTATTCGGTTGCCGTAATGTTAGAGTTTAATAATGTTGATGATGCTAGTTAGAGGTGGGCTGTTAACGCGTGGAGAAGGATGAGCGCACCCCTGGCGAGTCTTGTGTAAGCACAACGGATCCAGGGAAGCCCTTGGCCATCTTGTGTGCTCTGAACGGGGCGCAGGGTTAAGCATGGATGGTACCATAAGGAAATGGGAAATCTTACGAGGCAACTGGGGTAACCGGGTCTACACCCAAGGTCATTTGCGAGTCAAAGTGAAATGCGGGGATACGTACCCGCCGTATTACCAACCCAAAGGATGGGGTGGCTGGTATTACCTACGAAAGGGCCTGGAAACCGACGGCAAGGTCAGAACCGCCTCACAAGGCACGGCAGCGGGTAATGCTTATACCTCGGAAGTGCTTCTTTTGCTGCTTGGGCCACGCCCTATGAGTCGAGTCAGACCAAGAAGACAGCGCATGTGTAAGTCGTTTGAACATACGTGCATCCTATCCTGATAGTAGCCCAAACCTCCCCCCACTGAGACAGTCCCACCAGGTCGTCGACAAAGGGTCTCAGCTCCTTGACGGTATCGCGGACCTCTTCGCCATCCGTGCACAATATTGTAGTCTGCCCGTCGCGGATCGGCTGCAGCGGCGCTGGCGCCCCACACGAACAGTCGAACGGGGGCTGCTCGAAGAACTGGTACAGCAGCGTCCCGTCCCCATCCGCGAGGTCCGCCAAAGCGCGACCAAGGAGCGGAAACGCCGCATATGGCGTGTACAGACTCTGGAAGATCGTGAGCCGCAGCAGCGTGTAGTCGACCAGGCCGTATGAGATGTTCGTTTGGACCGGGACGGGGTTGAGGAAGATGTGGCGCGTTAGGTCGTCGAGCTTGCGGGAGATGGCTGCAGGCGAGGGCTCGTAGAAGGGGCACGCGATCGGCCCGGCCTCGAAGCAGCCGTCGAAGAATGTCTGGAGTGTTTTGTCGGTGTCCAGTAAATTATTAGACCACAGCGCTGCGCCAAAGTCAGTAAAAGATGCGCTCGCTAAAGAGGGAGATACCTACTAGCGAAGTAATTCTCGGAGTCAACGACACCTGATAATTTGAATCAGCCTGTGTTGTCAACTGGAGGTGACGCGACATACCATCGAGTACCAGGCGTTCAATGCGGTCCTATACGTGCGAAAGGTTAAATTCGTACATATGAAAATGCTCGCGGCTTACCGGAAAGATCGAGGCGAAAGTTGCCCCAAGCACTGTCCCGTACCTGCACAACAACCATCCTCACTAAGCGTCTCGTACCGAAAGGGGAAAAACCTATCCACGCACGAAAATCCCCAATACTGAATCTTCTTCCTCCCATGAGCTTCGACGATCTCCAGCATATCCCTCGCCGTATTCTCCGTATTAATATGCTCGAAAACATGCCTCTGATCGTGCTTCGCAGCCAGCCCGCCTGTCAGCTGCGCACGCCCCCACGCACGCGCCAGCCCGTCGCTCGTCGCGTTCAGCACGTCGAACACGCTGCCCCACATCTCCCGCTGTACATTCGTGTCGAAGAACGACGCGCGGGGGACGGACAGCCCGACACCTAGACGAAGTTGGTTCAATTCAGCATCACCACACATTGGGTACATGTCTGGGCGCGTACGTACCCCTGGGGTCGAACGAGACGATGTCGAAGTTAGGACCGAGGAGCTGGGACAAGGTTTGACCGGCGTTGACGACCAGCTGCACGCCGCTCCCTCCCGGGCCTCCCGGGTTCAGCAGGATGGGCCCCTTGTATTCATCTGTACCCGCCAGAGGCGAAGGGAATCGGATTAAAGCGATTGAAGCTGGGGCGCCTTTCGGATCGGAGTAGTTAAGAGGGACCTAAGAGTACAGTACCAGTCAACTTGGTAGTTTTGGAAGTTCGTGTGGCGTATACGCACTCGCAGCCGTGCGCATTGTAGTTGTGTGTAGCAGTCTGTCCACTTCAGCTCGGGAGTGGTCTCGATCTACTCGTGGATTATGTATGTTAGAAGTTCGAGGCGGGCCAACTCGTTGCTAGCGCACCTGGTCCCATATAGTACCAAGTTCGACGGCTTTGGCTACACCTCCTACCCTGACATCCGCCTCTGTACCCACACTGACACTGTTGCTGCTTTCGAACGCCCCATGCAGGACGAGCAAGATAGCTCCTGAAGCAAAAACTGTTGCAAAGACCCTGGCGCTGAACATCGCGGCTTCAAGAGAACCTTTGATTTCGATTTCGCCTTCGCGCCCAGGACCATATGCTCTTCTCTTCTGTCATCAGGGTCTCACGAGTCACGATTTGTGAGGAATCAGGATGTGTATGAGGAGTGCTGAGAAACTGATGTGACTACGGTGGGCGCTGTGTATTCTTCGCTGATATGCCCATAGGGCAGTGATGGAGCAGAAGAAAAATGATTTGGTGCAGGACTTCCCCCCCACAGTTCAACCAGGAGGAAATTCTTGACACACCTTCCAGTTGTCATCAGGAACGCGAAAAACGTTGCGCCAGTCACAAAAATATGATTCGACCCAGGTTCGAACTGAGGACCTTCTGTGAACAAGGACGTTGTTAGACAGATGCGATAACCAACTACGCCATCGAACCGATATCTTCCTCAGGCACACTAGTCATCACATCCAGGAATTGCCCGGAACTCTGTCCATGAGCTCGGGATGCTTCGTCTCTACTAGACCCAGAATTCAAGGTCAAGCCGACTGTCAATTCGGATATGGTGTAACGGCTAACATTGCCGCCTTTCAGGAGTGCGCGGCAGCTCGGGGTTCGATTCCCCGTATCCGAAAGTGTACTGTAAGGTGCACAAGTGACTTTTTTGCTCCAGGCTGCTTCAGCATTTATCTCAGGTTGATTGAAATGGTATACCTACATATAATGCGCGAAGAACGATCCGGACTCGTAATTGCTTGTACACTTTGTCAGTGGCGCCGAAGCACATAAACACGGATCGGGACGCGACGGCCCAAAATGATGCCCAAATCAATCACTGGATACTTGTCCAAGACGAATCGCGATAACCATAAGGAACGTACCGGGGAGCGCGAATACTCCGCCTCCGTCTAACCCCCAGTACGTCGCCTGCTTACCGCAACCCGCATCATCTCCTCCTCCGCGAGCTCCACCCTCCCCACACCCACCTCCTCCGCCCCATTTGCCATCCTCCACGCCCTCAACATACGCTTATATCCCTCGTACCCCTCTCCCTCCACATTACTGCCTATGTCGTCCTCTCCTTCCTCAGCACACATCTGCATCACGTAGGATATACACATCAAATGCCTGAGCACGCGCCCATACACATGCTGGCTCTCCAGCCCCTCCTCTTGCACCAGCGCCAGCAGCTCCAAAGTGTCCGCAAGGAGGTCGGGCGAGGGCGGCGCGACGCGGGCCCATGCGACGAGGTCAGCGAGCCGGCCACGGGACTGTCGGAGGCGCAGACGTCTATTGTCAGAGGCGGCGGGGTTGAGGCATGACGGGCATACACAGCGGAATTTGTAGATGGCGAGGAGCGTGGCGTGGCGTTCGGATGACGGGAGGAAGGGGTCGCGGTAGTACGTGGTGAGCTCCGTGCCTGCGGGGATGGCGCGGCAGGCGGAGATGTGCATTGCGGAGGAGGAGGCGCGCCAGAGGCGGATGGTGTTGGGGCTGCAGCTACAAGCAAGGTGCAACAGCCGAGTTTGAGTGGGAAATGGAGAATGGATTGTGGTGGTAGCGGTAGCGAGGGAAGTGAAGCGCACCTGTGATTTATCCGCGAGATGTCGTTGAAGACGGCTACGCAAGGCGGGTCGTCGTCGGAGTCTGCGCGCATGTGGGAGTTCATATGAGCTCGTTTCGTGCGAATAGTGGAGACGGCGGGGGTGGCTCACCAGCGTGATCGGACTCCTGCACGTCGTATGCGTTCGTGTTGAAGATGCCGACGAGCGGGGGGCACTCACTCTCGGGATGCACGTTATCCAGCTTCATGTACGCCTCCTTCTTCCCATCCTCAAGCTTTTCGAATGCACCCTGCAACTGTCTTAGCCTGCGTGAATCAGCCGCACTGATTCAGGATGGTGAACCACATACGAGGTCGCTGGAAATCGTGGGCCCCTCGGGTCGGAAGAGGAGCAAGGGGGACTCGACGATGATGAGATCCCCGAGCGCGAAATCAATGGCTGCTACCACCCCTAGGCCCTTAGAGGGGATTTCTTGGATACGATAGGGTTTAGGGGAGTATGAGTCTGAGTCCGACGCGACGCCGTCGCTCAGGATGTCTTCCTCGTCGAATTCATCTACTTCAGGCATGGAAGTTGTGCATGAGTATCATCAAGTTGGGTGAGTGGCGGAGCACAAACACGATTACTAGCGCCCGCTGAAATAAATGGTAATCGTATAATCCAGTAGTATCACTCAGCTCTCACTCATGTACGAGCTCCTCCTCATTGCGCGAATGGGCGCGCCTTCTGTCAGCAACGCCTCGCTTTACGCCCCTCCGCGTTTATCGTCCCTAATAGAGCATCTTTTGAACCCCCGTGTGCCCTTCCAATTTGAAATCTACCCCACGGCAGTACTGTATTCCACGGATTCTCACCCATATCTACCTCCCACGACCCCAGCTCAGCACCTCCCACACGCGGCTATGCGCCCAACAACCCCCATATCCCTGGACGCACTCGCAGAGCACTGGTTTCGCCTGAGATCATCAAGATGAGAACAAAGAGAATGAGCCTCCAGCTCACTCCCCTTCTTCTCATGTGGCAGTTGCCACGCGAATAAGCGCAGTTTCGCCAACTTCTTAAGCGATGTGTATAACTCAATCAACACATCCTTGCCAAATCCTGGTCAAATCCCCCCCGCCTTTGACAACAGGTAGGTTCGCTCTCATAGGCCGTGGATATGATTTACCGAAACATGTCTCAAGCAGATCATGCCTACTAGTAACGGCCAGAACAGGCGAGTCATGGAACGATTCAAAATCGACACGAATAATCGAATCACCTCCGGGGTTGCTTCGACGATCCGCCAAATGAAGCGGCTCATGACGATCCAACGGACGAACCACTCAGTGGATCGTCCCAAACCACTTTCTTTGGACAATACTAGTGTTGTCGATGAGAACACTGGCTTCCCTATCGAGTTAACCCGTAAAATCATTGCCTTGCTCGACGATCGCCCACTCGACGAGGTTTACTACTGTGGAGAACGCCGCCGCGTACCTACCGGTCTCGTCGCTTGCTCCCTTGTGTGCTCCTCCTGGAACGACGTATGCCGACCACACATCTTCCGCTCAGTCACCCTGGACTACAGCCGAGACTCGGACATCCCCAGGTTCTCGTTCCTCTACTTCACAGCCCCCCATCTCTGCACATATATCCGCAACCTCGAGCTACGCTTGCCTGAAAATCCCGGTGCCGTGTCAAGATGGGTTCAAGGTTCCCTCCCTCATTTCGCAAATTTGCAGGAGCTGCGCTTGGACGGCAACTTTCCCGTCTGGTGCTTTCCGAACAGCGGTACCCTATCCATGTATGTCTCACATATCGCGTCCCTGCTTCCACAGGCCAGTGCTTCGCACATCAAGCGACTTGACTTGCGTTGTTGGAGCGCAGCTGCAGAGGATCTACTTCCCCTCCTCTCCGCTTGCCGAGCTACTCTTGAGGATTTATCGATGGAAATCGACTTCCGCCCAGAATCATCCTTACACCAAGAAACCTCCGAGTCCACGTCGAAGATTCCTTCACTAATCCACCTGGACTCCCTCCGTAGTCTGAAAGTCCATGAGCGCTACGCCACTCGACTTTCTCTAAGCAACGTTATCGAGTGTCCGAACTTGGAAACACTGAGAATTGAACATTATACCGACGAGTTTTGGGATATACCCCCTTGGGTTCCTGCCGGTTTGTCCAACCTTATTCTCGACGGTGCGTCTTTGCCTTCCTACCGTTTTGAGCCGTTCGTTTACATTCTCCCCTTCCCTTTCTGCAGTTGATCCAAATGCCACGCTTCCCGACTTAGGCACGACCATACGCCCTTCTCACTTAACAATCAACATCCACAAACCGGACGGCGCGTCATATTCGGGGGTCGTGACATGGATAGCGGCTTGCGCTAATCGGCTCCCCCATCCCAAGCACCTTCAACAACTCACCGTCGCAATCATGGACGCTCAGTATTGGGACGCACCGATTTACCCCGATCTGGCCGACTACGAAGGACTATATCGTGCCGTACAATCAATCCATGCACAAGGGAGCCTAAAGCGTATCGACCTCAGTGTCATCGCCCATGAGGGCACCGTTTGGACGTCAAAACTCGGCGAGCTATTTGGCCCAATATTGGGAGATTTGGAGGAGATACCATCCGCTCCTAATGCGATTGAGAATAGGGAGGTGCAGGTACGAATGCGGCTCGTGTAGGCTCTTCGTAGATGCGGCAGACATTTTGTGTTGACTTGACTATGTATACCCCAGCCTGGAATATTTTGGTTTTGGTTTTGCTCTTACGACAGCTGGAACGGCGGCCGTGCCTTGTTGATCATCCTAGACCACCGGGCTTTGAAACTAAGGCCCCCCTTCAGGCTGCTCCTTGCTAGGGTTTGGTGAAAAAGTCCTATGTTATTAACAAGTTATTAACACAGTGCCAGAAAATTAAGGGACTGTGTGTTCCCTGTGAGCGCCTGCTCCTATTGCCGGACATGCAGCAAGTGTCACGTTGTGTTGATGACTTAAACCTACAATGAATAATATTACATTTACAGATTAAACTTATTGATGGGCTTGAGTGGCATTACCCAGATACTTAGTGTTGTCACTCTCCATCTTGCGAGCAAGAGAGCAAGAGGGCGAGAGCAAGATGTGTCAGTCACACGTCATACATAACTTGTCTTTATGTGTGATGCTTGTCACCTGTGACCAATTGGTCGTACGCTTTCTATTATAGGTATATGTAATTCTTCCATATAGCGGGTCTACGCGATTGTTCCCTACCACCGCTAGTCCGGTAAATGTGACAAGTTGCTAGGATGTCTACCTGCTGGCAATCGACAGCATCTAGTATATATCATTACTATTATATAATTATATATACGGTACAACTTTATTCTTCGCTATAGCTTCGTGGTGTTCTATCAACTTACAAAATGAAACTGATCCAATGAATGCGTGCTCTATCTCATATTTTGTTCGCCAATTGGAAGCAATAGACTGACTAGAAGTTTCGAGCCTACCGCATCCTTGTCTCTCACCGCCTCTACTACTGAGGCTACGGCCCACGGGCACCGACTGGGCGTGGACATCCGCAGCCGCCTACGGCGGAATCTCAGACTCACCACTTGATATTGATATTGGTATTGTTTTGTTTTGCGTGATAGCAGGTGACACTGCGTCCAAAATGTGCATTGCAATGAAGAGACACAGAAATGATCCGCACAGAATAATATGAGGCATCGGTCAGCATGATAGACTCCCGGGATATGAAAAAGAGCAGTTCAATTTGAAGGTACAGAAAGTACAACGGGCATCGCCTACCTCCCTGTGGCTATTTCCTGAGACGTGACGCAAATAACACTGCACGGCAGAAGACCAGCGATACAGGTCTAATCAAGGATGGCCTGGAATGGCGTAGTAAATGCTTGCTAAGGTAAACCAATACTTGGAGGTCCGCGAACACACCTCAAAGGAGTACCGCACCTGCGGTAAATCTTCCTAGCGGCATAGCAAAAAGCTGGCTAGAGAATTGCCCTCGATCTTGAAGGAAATAAGAGAGCCTGAGATCAGAACATGACTTGTGGGATCGGCGGTACCTACTTGACGTACCACTAGTTGGAGAACGAGATGCATCCGGATGAGCGAAGCTGCCGATCATATGCACATACCGGAGTAAAACTTCTGGAAGACTTCGAAATCGGTGCGAAGTTTCGCAATCACAGAACGTGCGGTGCCAACTGTTCGCATTGAATTCCATACTTTGACTCGAATATGTGATATGCACATAAACCAGTAGCGTACATATGGTGAGGCAGATAGGAAACGTGGGGGATGAATCCCACAAAGCCTCGACTTGCTCTGTTGAAAGCAAATCGAGCAATGGAGTTATCGTTATGAGTTACAAGGGTTTGGGTGTAGTTAATGCTGTGGGTGTTAATATCAATACAACTGTTGAAGCGTCAGATTACATAGCTGTTGAAAGCGTGAGTGCTGTTGAGAGCAGTTCTATGATGCGATGATCCGAAAACACAAATAAATAACGAGCCTAGAGTGTTCGAGGATGATTAGCGTGTACGAAAGGAGACGAATAAAAACAAACCAGTGAGATTATGATGTCTTGTAGTTTTGTGTGCGAATGTTTTTACAGAGGCCGCTGATTAGAGTCTGAACGGTGAATTGAAGGTCGGAAGCTTCGCACATGGCGACTGCAACGGCCACGGTAACTTGCTTAGAGGGAGATTCAGAGACTGCGAGTGGAGGCAATAGATTAGTAGTAGAGGTAGATATATTCAACGCCTGCGGTGACACTGAAGTCGGACCATCCAAATGGGTTGAGGAAGATGATGATGACGAAGATGCTGAGTCAGGCGGAGATACAGTGGAAGGCGATAGGCTGGATTCTGGAGAAAGCGAGAGGTCCTGCGGAATACTGAGCGATGACCAGTCGAAAGATTCGGAATCGACGTCCGATGGACAAGAAAACTGGTACACTTGAGACTCGCAGGTGCCGTCGAGAATATCTGGAGGGAATAGGGGTGATGTCGGAGAAGAGAATGTCTGAGGGGAGCAAGGCGGCGCGAGCTGCCTTAATAGTTCATCTAAACCTTCCTGGGGGTTGAATGAAGGCAAAGATAGATCGGCGAAGTCTATGGATGGCGGAAATTGGGGTGGAGGTGTGGAACAGATGCTGGGAGAAGATGCGGAGGAAGGCGCAGGGCTAGACGAGCGTTGTGACGAGCTAGAGGATGAGGGGCGAGGTCGGCCTTGGGTATGAGATCTATGTAAGCGATTCCTTCGCAGGGCGCCGAAGTTGGTTCGCGCCAAACAATTATAACTACGCTTCAAGGTCAATCCCAGTAATGTAGGTTTACGACCGATCATACCGATTCTTGGCCGCAAGTCCGCTGCGGCCAGGAAAGTGGGTCTCCACTATTTTCTTCCATGACTTCCCTAGTTCGTCGACAGCACGAAGCAGCTGCGCATCCTGGATAGTGATTAGTGGTATATCATAAACTCCGTATCCTAAATGGGTTACCTCTTCTGACGACCAAGCCGATCGATCAATCTGGGGATTGAGGGTGTCTATCCACCGTTTTGCGCATTCTGTGGGGAGAGGCTTAAGATACGATGATCGTGCCACAGTAGGCAAAGGACCCACGGTCGTTGTTTCGAGTCCGCACCATGGCTGCAACTAGAGACCATCTAGATAGCATGAGGCAACGGCCATTAAGCGAAAGGTGTCACTCACTTGTTTCCATGAAGTTCGACAGCCTCAGTGAGGCGCTCGTCTTCCTCTGCAGACCATACTCCTTTGGCTACCACCGATGCCATTTTTGAGAACCATCGCTTCCTGCAATCCTTGTTGGTTCGATTTGGGACATGTTTTGCGATCTGAGACCACTTCGTTGGGGGCTCGCTGTCTCCATCCTCTGCGTGGGATGTCAACAAGAGAACAAGCAGCTATCAAATAAGCGAAGCAACTGACCTTGGCGAACAGCGTCTCGCAGCAGCTGATCTTCTTCCTCAGTCCATGCTCGGCGTTCTCTATTTGCATCCTTGTTCATGTCGAAGCGTGAAAAGTCGTTCCAAGGATCCTGCCCGAAAGTTGTGGGGGAGTTTGAGGATATGAGAGTTGATGGAAAGAAGTCGTTGGGAAATCAGTCCATGTTTGCGTGATCAGTTATTACATCAGCAATGGTTCAAAGTCAGTCAGTACCGTGGGACTCCGCCCTCCGCCTACTTCCCGACGATCAATTCGACTTTTGGCAGGGATGCCGGCCCATGTCTATCCCTGGACGCTTTCTATCTGAGCCAGGCCTATCCATGCTTCAGATCTCGCGGAATTCAGTTTGAAGCTCGGTATAGCACGAGTGCTAATCTGGACGCGGTATTAAATAATTGAAGCTCCCAGTGTCCACCCTACAATCAAGAGCCCCGACTTGTAAGAGCTGTCCAGGTTCTCTGCACATTGATCATCTAGTATCACTGAAGAAGGGTTCTCTGACACGCCAAAGCAACGAAACCTCGCACTTATGTTACCTATGTAGCCATTTCAGTTACCGCCCTCGCCTAATCACGTCTCGTTCAAGTACATTGGGTTAAGGCTTCGTAACCACGAGGAGTATTACATTACTATATCACTATCTCCCCCCGAACGATTATAGACACAGATATATCATTGATGTCCATCACAATGCGGGGAGTGGGTCTCAATCCTTGTTCGTTTCGGAGGATTCTCCAAGTTGAGAGTTGACAAATTTGCGAGCGGCTGTCAGAGACTGTGCTTACGCTGAGCAGAGATTGTGGATTGGGTGGGATATAGCGAAGTGGTGGATGGTGGGTGGGTTGGTACAGAGCGATGGAAGAAAGAGGCAATAGATGTCTTATATAGACGGACATTCTTTGGTATTACCGTCCAGTCGCGACCCCGGCTTTGTAAAAATCAGAAAGACAACAAAGCTTAGTGTATCTCAATTCACGCCTAGGATCTTCGAGTCGCAAGCACAAGTATAAGTTGTGTAAAGAGTAAAGGCATGAGTAGGCCCCTGTCACGGCCCCTGTGCACCGACTCTTGAACCTTTGATATGTACGTAGCTCGTCCTTCACTGTTTCTCAGAATGAAAGTGAACATTAAATCTTGATACGCAGAGATAGGGATGGATCAGTGAAACATGAAAGCTTGAGAGATACGCGCGAGGAAGTGCACGTAAAAGGATGGCTGAGAAATTGGACAGGAGGATACATATTGTTATAGATCTCCATGTCAAAGTCGTCGAATTGATTGATAGCCCACCCGATGGCCATTCGTGTGGTAGGAGGCGCACCAACAAGTCGGTGGGAAGCCAAATCTCCAGGTAAAGCAATGGGTGGCCCCGAAGAAGGTACCAGCGCGGATGCAGCATTGATAGTAGCCTTCCTAAGCCGCAAGGCGATACTGTGCTCAGCGCGTGGTAGGCAAATCAAAAGGTCGTAGATGAGATGGAAATAGTTCCTTTGAAACATGCTATTGTGGTACTCATCAGCTCATGAGAAGAATCTGAGTCACTTAAGCGATTGCGCAGTATCCTGGCGTAGGGTTTGCACGAACTAAACCATTTGCTACAATAATCATATTGAAATGGGAGATCTCGACTATCTTAATTTACTGTCAGCGTCGCATTTGCAAAGCTCTGCTCGCTAGTGCCGACTTTTACGAGGAATTGCCCCGGTTCGACAACCCAAGTGTTGCGGAGCGACCACACAGCCAATTGCGATGCTTGGATGTCAATCGAAACCGTCTTAGACTCTCCAGCACTATGGGATGATCAAACTCAGGATGTGGAGGGAAACCTGCAAGGATGCTTACGGTATGTCCACTTTCTGGAAACCAACAAGTTCTTGGTTTGGCGTGACCACCGACGCTACGAGGTCGGTAACGTAAATCTGACAATAGAGTAAGTAACTGGTCGCTTAAGGAGCAACATTATGATCGTACCTGAACCACCTCCTTTCCGGCCACAGCGCCTGTGTTGCTGACGGTAACGCTGACAGTGAACTTGCCGTTCTTACTAACAGTCGACGGCGAGACTGCTACGTTGGAGCTGTAATCGTGATGTAGAACGTGAGGGAAGGACAGAAAGAATGAGCGTCGACTTACTAGCTAAATGTGGTGTAACTCAAGCCGTGTCCGAAGCTCCACAGAGGTATTGGGCTATCGAGAACGTACTGACGAATGTTTTGAGCATACCCTACCCTATAAAGTAGAGGACAAGCGACATACTTGGTGTCCGAAGTGAAGTGTGCCGTCATCGAGAACACTCCCGGGATCCAAAGGCCGGCTTCCCTTCAAGTAATTGTAGAACACTGGCGTTGTCCCGACATCGCGAGGGAAAGACACTGGCAATTTACCTAGAGCACGTTTAATTCCTCGAAGCCCATTTTGAGAGACAAAGACTGACCTGATGGATTAACATCTCCGAAGACGATCTCGGCTAGCGCCAATCCACCCTTCTCCCCGGGGTAGAACTGCTGAATGACTGCATCGGCGTCTATATGACCAGCATAAATGAACTACCACAGATCCAAGAATTGAGATACCCACGAGCTTGAATCCACGGCTCCGCGACGGGTTTACCGCTGACAAAGACAACTATGGTAGGCTTTCCTGTTGCCTCCACGGCTTTCACAAGATCCAGTTGCGCACCGACTAGCGCCAGGTCGTGCACGTCGACGTGTTCTCCAGTTGTTGCATTGGTACCCGGCGTCCATAGGAGGGTTTGGTCCAATGACCACGTCCCCACTATAACGATCGCAACATCGGACGATTGTGCTGCATTCACCGCGTCGTCAAATCCAGATCGGTCATTTGACCAAAGTTTTGAGCCCTCGGCGTAATTGATTTGTACTTGGGTGTCTGCGAGAACTTGGCGGAACCCAGCGAGTGGGCTGACGCCGTTAAGAGTGGCATTGAAGAAGACGTAGTCACCGAACTGTGTAAATTTAGTTCAGAAAGAACCAACAGGATTGTGTTTGTGACTTACTGATACTCTATCGGCGTGAGGGCCGATCAACGCGACGGACCCAATGCTCTTAGATAGCGGTAGTGTGTTTTGGCGGTTCTCGAGCAAGACAATGGACTCGCGGTCAGACGCAAGAAGGGTTTCCTGCGACTCGGGAGAGCGAAGCAATGAAAGGTAGTCCTCGTACGGGTAAGGATCTATGCAAGACACATAAGCAGAGGATTTCAGAGTGAGCGCCCTCACTGACTTTCGAAAAGACCTAGAGAGAATTTGGTGCGAAGCATATACTTCACAGTGGCATCCAGCGCTTTGATGTCAACTTGTCCCGCTCTGATTTGGTCTATGTATATGGAGCACACTTAGTTTCGTGGTCAGGGCAATGGATGATTGCGTACCGGGCAATGTCAAGTATGTATACGTTCCACCGCCCATCTCCCCGGACAAGCCTTTCTCGAGCGTTGTTTTAGCTGCGCATTCTCTCGTGGAACATGTACCATGAAGGGTAATTAGAAGGTCGACGGACCCAGCATCGGAGACGACCCAATACTTATAGCCCCATTCTTTCCGGAGCTACGGTAACACGGTTAGAATAGGTTGCTATGAAAATAGCATTCCATACAATGTCAATAAGGAGATCTAGCTCATTCAAACGCAATCAGGACCCGTACTTCCAAACGCGAAGGGAACGCTTACGATCGTTCGCGATAGCAGGAATACCGTCGTAACTTGAGTATGCCGTCATGATGGTCATACTCTCCATGCACGCTCTTTCAAAAGCCCGTAGGTGTACGGTTCGAAGTTCACGCTCACCGCCGGCCACCGGGGCAAGGTTCCTTGACCAGTGTCAGAGGCGTTAGAGTAAATAAAAATCACAGAACGTACAAGCCTCCTTGAGGACTCCCGAAAGCAGCAAAGTGTTTGCAAGTCGCAGCCATTCTTGCGACTGCCGTCGTGCTCGCATTACGACGTTTGCCGGATTGTAGCCCTTCCACATAAGCTAGGGCCATCTCGCCAGTGAGGTAATGGTCTTCCCCGAAACCTTCCTCAACTCGACCCCACCGAAGCTCTCGAGCTTGATCCAACACAGGTGCAAAGATATGGTTGATCCCTAGCCCCTCAGCTTCGGTCGAAATAACACTAGCTACCTTCTTCATGAGGTCAGTGTCAAATGTTGCAGCGAGTCCAATAGGCGAAGGGAAGATGGTCCCGTTATTGGTAAAACCGTGTAGACCTGCACGTAGTCGTAAATCAATGAGTAGAGAGATCGATGCCGATTGACCGACCTTCTGACTGTATCAGGGCAGGGATGCCCAGAGTAGTGTTTTCCATTAGATAGCGTTGTCCAACATTGACGGCAAAGACGAATTTCTCGTAGGGTACGAGGTAGCCACCCCATATCGAGCCACCTTTTTGGCGCATCATTTCTTCCTAAGATAGTGGTAAATAAGACCGCGGAGATGTAGTATACGATGGAAGACCGACTAAGCCCGTCTGATTGAACACCAGGGTATTGTCCAACGGATCATTCATGTTCATCCATCCATTCAGATCGCCCTGAATTCTGGCGCGAACATTATATCAGATAGTAAAGGAAGAAACGAGTTCAGAACGTACAATTGGGCGACCTTTTCCTCGAGCGTCATACGAGGGAGTAAGTCATTCACCCGTGCTTCGATTGATGCCCTGGGATTCTTGTACACCGGGCGGGAACCATCTCTATTTTCTTGTCGAGCCTCCAGCGAAAAATGGAGGTCGTCCCGGACACCAAATAAGTTGGCCTTGGCCACGAGCACGCCTAGAGACAGGACTAATCCGGGGACTAGGCCAACCATATCGAGAACGGGGTGAGCGAGAAGAAAATGAAGGAAGAATCAGGCCTCACCGAAGACTTATAAACATTGTAGGGTGAAAGTGCGGTGTCAACGTAAGCCTGAAGCATGAGAGTTCTCGTGAAAAATTCTCCAGATGAGGAGCCTGCGTAGCAGATGACCAGGCCAGCAGCACATACCGTCCTCGCAGATCGTTAAGCGGACCGTCTGAATTCATCCGAGGATTATCCACAGCCGCTTCCACAGTGGCCCGACGGACGGAAAACGTTGTAATCGAGCGATCAAGAAGAAGAGCCATTTCGAGAAAACGTCCACGCAGCCACTGAGCTTCTGATCTAGCAAGAAACCCGGAATAATTACGTACCAACAGAGGCAACTTCTACAATCTATGGCATAAAAATTGCGAAGAGAACACGCTGCCCGTGGAAGGCGCATATGCAGTTGCTAGGACTGGTATAATCTCGGAAACGCGACAAAAGCGCATATCCGATGCCACGCGACTTGACATATCAAGCTGTTATAATGCGGCGGAGGATGGAGACGTGGGTTATAGGATGAGAGAAACAAAGAGAAGCCGAGCTAATTTCTGTGAGAGTGGGAGTATGACTTGTCAGTCGAAGGCGTACGCAACCTGTAGCAAGCCTGAGTGCGGGGACAAAGTGGAGTCAAGCGCATAGATACCGGAGAACAAGAGATTGTTTGAAAGTCCAGCAAGTCATCACCCTTCATGACGAGTTCGAGCATCGGCTAGCCCTCGGGAAACGATCTGGTGCCTAGCAATTAGAGAGCACTCGACGGAGTCATAATTCCCGTTGGATATTGCTTCCGTACGGAGAAGACCACAGCAAGCGTTCACACCTTCGCATACTGTAGTGACTAGGTAATTTGTTCTTAGAGCTCATTGTGAATGACAGATGGCGTTCTACTCGTATACCCACCCTAATCAACATCGTCAAACGTCGAAGATGTGGGATAAAAAGGCAAGCTTACGACGGTATTGTACGCCCAAGGTTCTGGGTTTGCACTCATTTCAAAGACAATATCCCCTCCACGAGCGATTTCATCGTGGAATACGACGGGTTCGTCAAGTGGAGCGCCGTTGATGGACAACGACTTAACGTAGATGTCTGAAGGTGCACCGTGAGCAGTAATAACCAGCGGCCTATCTACGCCCGGCAAATCGATAGACACTTTCTCGAAGAACGGTCTGTACAAAAAATAGCCCAGTTTAGTTGAAAAGCAAGTGCTGAGATTGTCAACCTACGAGCCAACGATGTATTCGCCCGAGACCGGGTTGACGGGATAGAATCCAAGGGCGCTAAAAAGCCACCACGCGCCCATCTGACCACAGTCCTCATTCTAGGAAGATTATCATGTTCTGATGTGTGACCGACGGAGAACGAACGTACGCCAGCGAGGCCAGTAGGTGAGGTCCCGTAGTCAGACTTCGCTATCGACCTCACGCGTTCTTGAGTCTTCGATGCAGCACCCGCGAGTGCGTAGAGGTACGGAATATGATGGGAGGGCTATATGGAATGACATTATATTGACACTGGCTCACAACGCCATAACACACCTCATTAGTGTGGTCATTGTGGCCTCCGTTAAAATGCTCTTCCAAAGATCGGACGAAGCTCACGTTCCCGCCTCTCTTAGCGATAAGACCGGGAATATCATGGACGACGTCGAACGAATATGCCCACTTGTCGCCTTCGGTCCAGCCCGCGTCTTCCCCTGCCCACGAACCATCCGCGTTACGAGCCTCCATAAATCCAGTAGCATCATTGAAGATACTGAAAGGCGCTTCTAGGCTACGGTTGAGGAAGAAAGCGGCTTCGGATGTCTTGTTCAAGGCCTTAGCGAGTACGTAGACGGCGTAATCGTCGTCTGGTGATGTAAATTGGCATGTGGTGCGTGCGTAAGGAGCCAGCAGGAGAAGAGACTCACAAGCGTAATCGAGCGTACGAGAGGCAGCCTCGGAATGGATGTCTGAAGCAACCCAGCCGTTGGTGTCGTAGACTGAGGAAAGACCCGCTCGGACTTCGTAGTTTACATTCTAGCCTTCCGTTGAACATTCGGGACAAGAAAAAGGCATCATGTTGCGTACCTCTTCTCGATCGAAATAGCTAGGGTAACGGGGTAAGGTAGCGTAACGACATCAATGCTATGGGCTCACGATGTTGTAGAATCATTCACGGGAGGGATAGTTGCATCCTTGAGTACGGCCTCCCAGGCAAGATCTAGTTCGAAGCCCGTGATACCCTTGACCACGGCCTCCGCAATGAGGGAGTCGGCGTGCGTTCCAACCTGATGTTCAGATGAGTACAACACTTAGCCGGATGAAATATTGGACTTGCCATGATATTGGTTTCTGAAGGTGAGGATTAAGACCAGCTAGTAGGATTAAAACGAATGACGGCGAACCAATAATATTCTTCCACATAGGTAACCAGCCTCCCTAAGGACATTCAATCCTACAATCGATGCATGCCAATGGGGGTACATACCTCCTTGTAGTCTTGAAGCATGCTAGTGATCATCCCCGGAACACGCTCAGGAGCAAACAGGATTAACCATGCCGATTCGGCGCGGAACGTATCCTTTGAAGAAAGATCTCGGGCATGGGCGGCAACTTTCGTGCTCTAGAAGAAGAAACGCTCACCCATATCGAGTACCCGCTGTACGAAACACCCTCGTGGACGGAGTCATCGTAGCCGGAATAATATTTGCCGTCTTCGCTGGTTTCGTATGGATACTGCAACGTGTGATAAAAGCCCGTGTAGAATATAACCTTCTCGTCTTCTGTCGCACCCTCCAGTTGAACACGGTCCATCTTCTCTGCCCAAGCAGCCCTAGTCGTCATAGCCGTGTCCTCTAAGGTAGTACCATCAGGGATTTCGTTATCAAGGTTGCGCCTAGCCTGGTCAATGGAAATAAAGGACACCCCAACTCGAACGTTGATCGTCGTGTCATTCGGGTCAAATGTAGCAAAGCCTGATACCAAAGGTCCAGCCGCGGAGGAATCTTCACTGGCGGTGCCGTTCTGGATTACTCCCCAAGACAGGAAGGGCCTGTCGAATCTTGCGCAAAAGTAGCCCTTGAACCCGCGAGCCGGAGTCGAAACGGGGTCTATTATGAAGTCTTGTCGCTCGGCGTTTGTGCCAGTGATTTCCTTCGCCTCTGGGTCAATATAGATAGAGCCGAGAGGATATGTTACGTTGTTGGGATCAGCAGAGCCCATGACTGACGCGCGACTAGCTTCCAGAAGAACGTATGGAGCTTGTGTCGACTTGAAAGAGAATCGCAGATAACCTACACGCGAGGCTGGACGTCCTATCGTTAGTGAAATGGCTCCTTCAGAGACTCGTGGCACGTACTCGCGCTTTGTTCCGCATGGATATTCCCTCCGTCATTGGTCTGTAGATTGGCGCTATAGTAGCTGGCAGTTATCACTTCCGTTGCCTTGTCGAATACCATCCCTCGATCGTGGAATTGACTCTGAACTCGACCTGAGCCTGGGACCACCACTACTTGTCCGCTTTCCCCCATCCATATTGCTGGTTGATGCGTGCCTTGGAACCCGTGAATGGTCGTGTCGGTGTGGTTGTACGGAGTCACAGAAACGTAGTTCTGGCGCGTCTGAGCGACCCATCGTGTCATAGCGAAAGGGGGAGCAGTTGATGGTATCATACCACCTGAGCCGTTTGGAGTATCCCCGCCATTTCCTATCAGCCTGGGCAGCGTAAGCAGGATATAGATAGCATACGAGAACGCGTCGTCTCACGGATTAATGTAGTCGACAGAATCGCTTGGAGGCTGCCAAAACGCTGCTGGTGCCTGCTTTGGTGCCCATGCAAAGACAAAAGGCAGCGCGAACGGCGCAAGAACTTTTCTCGCTTTCATCCACGGTGACAATTGGCGGTTCGAGAGAGTTACCTCCCGGAGGCAAAGTAACCTTGAGATCATGTGATCTCAGGGGTCTTCTGCTTCGAATCTGATTGTCAAGTCCATCCAGGAGGTTCAAAATGAAAAATATTGCAATTCTACTACGAAGAGTATGAATTGTTCAAAATTCGACATTGAAGACATCTGCCCTCCAGCCCCACCTGATTCTTGGTATCGCCTACTCCCACTTACCAATTAATTGATGTTTCTAGCTCAGGCCTTCACTAAAGCCAATCACCCATGAGGCCTGTTCGTACATGTATCTCGGTGCTTGATTTTTATAACACTAGATACCTGAGAAACAAGTAGTCTTCAGATGCTCAGTTTTATTCTCATTGATTGGAAGTACTCGCTGCCTAGTCTCCGTCAGGAATGGGCAAAGACTTGGATACGGTCAATTCACCGAGCTTGGTAAAAAAGCGTGCGGGCATGGACACCTGCGTCAACACCTTTAGACCCGTTAACATCTCTAAGATGTTCCTCGACAAGTTGCGGTTGTCGGAACAATGCCTAAGCCCTGTGTCAGCGTCCATCCATTGCTCCGCTAGCCTAAGCGTTAACGATTCGAGGTGCGGATTGACGAGAGGTATGTCAGAAGGGGGTAGGAGCACTTCGAAGATGTCGTAGTCAAGTGAATGTTCATGCTGGGCGACGAGCTTCCGGATGTGCTCAGCGTATATGTCCACCGATCCCATTCATTTTCTTCGACTCCACCTCCAAAAGTATACTATCGAGATGATCAGGCTCTTTGCATTACGAAGGCATATCAGTTTGAACAAATTGACGGACCCCTCGCGAGAGTCTACCTCATCCACCACCGACAGAGGCAATAAGAGTTGTAGCAGGTAGGTGAGATCGGGCACCTCTCGCCATATGATCTCCTGTCAACAGGACTAACCTCCCATACGATGGAAACGTGGGTGTGAATTGCTGGTGGGTGGTTCTCTTGGTGGACCTATCTCGCCAGATCATGTCCTCGCCTTGCTAAATATGCTTACGATCAAAAGGTCCTCTGTTTGATATATTTGGGCACCCTATGTAGGTGCTACATTCGTAGGTCCCGAATGTTGGCCGCGTGCTGAAACAGTTAAAACTTTATGACATCGTTATTTCCCTGCGGACTGCATCGGTACAACTGCACTCACTAAGCACTGAGTACGCTCTACTTGACATGATCCCTCCAGAAGCCTTCGGGTAGAATTTCGGGATGGGCAAACCCACGAACAAGTGTCTTGAGATCGAATACGACCGAACTTTGCACCGACTTCATTTGAACTTGCGACAAGTCTCAATGCAGAACAGAAAGGGCAAGTGCACATCAAGAGCTAAAAGGTAAGGAAGATCTCTTGAGCGTAGCCCATCGCGTCCTAGGGCTTTGTGGATGTGAGATATGATTTCAGGAGAAAAGGCGGCAACATAGTAAGACTATAATGTAACCGTGGGAAGACTGACGTAGAATCAGTAACCGTGGGAATGCTACGTGTAATGCCAGCAGTTGCGTTATTTCTGTCGCTCAAATCGAACTTGCAGTTCAACTTCCAACTTCCAGCGATGAGGCTGCTGGCATTCTCCTCTGTCCTCTCCCTCCTTTCCGCCGTTCACGCTGTGGAGCCCTCTGGTGGCGACCTTTACCCACCCGGACTCTTGCCATTAATCAACCGCGCGAATGTACTGCTTTCTACTGGGCAGTTCAATGAAGCTGCTAAAGTGTATACGGAGGCCATTGGTGAGTTTGTCGTCTGGTGCGGTAGACATTTCTTGAACTGAGTCATGTATGTAGAACAGTCGCCCACGGATTATCTATTATTCTACAAGCGCGCCACGGCCTACTTCTCCTTGAACCGACACTCGAGTGCTTTAGACGACTTCGAGAAAGTCCTCTCCTTGACATCGAATACGTTCGATAATGCACATTTGATGAAGGCACGCATCCACACCAAGGACGGGCATTTCGCAGATGCTCGTACGGCTCTGAAATATTACGCGAAAGCCAAAGCTGACTCCACTGCGGACGAGCTGCTCAACGACATAAACTTCGGAGAGCAAGCTGCGAAGAAGACTGCGCAGGCCAAGAAAGCGCAGCTCTGGACTGCGTGTACGGAGAGTGCTACAGAAGCCTTGAGGATCGCGTCGCATTCCATTGAGATCAGGCAGCAGCGTGTAGAGTGCGCTATGGCAGTTGGTGACTTGGAAGGTGCTGTCGGTGATATGACGTGAGTTTCCAGGTCACATCATGCTATTACGCCAACTAACCGTTCTCAGGCGGCTCTCTCACCTCGCGCCCCCAACGACCGCTTCCCTAATCCGTATATTCCGCCTGTCATATTTCTTCCTACCTCCCTCTCCATCATCCATGTCCACGTTAAAGCAATGCCTACATCTAGATCCTGACTCTAAACCATGCCTAACCGCTCATCGCTTAGTCAAAGCTTTCGATAAAGGCTTCGCTAAGCTAGAACAACTGTTGGCTTCGGAAGACTGGAAAGGTGTCGTGACTCTGCTAACCTCCTCTGGCAAGGCCAACGATCTTGCCAAGCGTTTTGACGATGCCATGCAATCCAATACCGCTCGTGAGCAACTGCTCGAGCACCCCTCTTCGGCCGTACCACTTCCCGACCCAACGAAATCGAGCCCTCGTAGGAAGGAAATAGTCAGCGCGCTATGTAAGTCCTATGTCAAACTCGGCAACGTCCGCAGCGGCGAGACTTGGTGCGAGGAGTTGCTGAAGATGGATGGTGCTGGCGATGATCCCGACGGGCTTGTTGGTCGTGGCGAGGCATTGTTGAAGAAAGAGGAGTACGAGGACGCTGTTCGAGCGTTCGAGAAAGCATTTGAGAGTAGTGGGAGGTCAAATCGTGATGTATGTGCCTTCCGTCACTGCCTATTGTGTCTGAGCTGACGTGGTATGTAGATACACGCTCGATTACAAAGAGCCCAGAAGCTGTTGAAGCAATCCAAGCAGAAGGACTACTACAAGGTACTTGGTGTTTCACGGGACGCCGACCAGAAGACCATCAAGAAGGCATTCCGCAAGGCCGCCATGACTGCCCATCCCGACAAAGGGGGGAGCGAGGCCAAGATGGCGACCGTCAATGAAGCGTACGAGGTTTTATCAAACCCTGAATTGAGAGAACGGTTCGACAACGGAGACGATCCAAACGATCCTATGGGTGGCCAAGGCGGTTTCGGCGGACATCCGTTCCACGCCGGTGGAAGTGGACATCCATTCTCTCAGTTCTTCCAACAGCAACACGGCGGGTTCCAGGGTGGTAGCTACCAGTTCCACTTCGGACATTGATGATAGGACACGCTGTGTCGGGCGGAATGTATTATACATATATAATCACCATGTTGTACAGGTCTACGCATACTTTTCTAATGGTACCGGGCATGATCCACATAGCTAATCGTCTCCTCTGTTGAAATATCTGAACATGCATTCGGTAGGAAGGAAGGCTTCTATTCCTCACCGTCTTTCAGCCTGTACCCAATCAAACACTTTTGGCGGCCACTCTTCTATCAATTCCCAGTTCATGCTGGATTCCCTGTGGTTGCACTCGACCGTTGTGATGTACTTCTTCAGATACATCAGGTCCGATATCAGCTCCGGGGAACGGTTACGCCGGGAGGAATGTCGGGTCGCGGAAGAAATCACTTGTAAAGTAAGAATGGGATGGTTCAAGCGCATTCGCTCCTCGGATAGGATGGCAAGTCGAAGAACAGACCGCGATGTGTCTGCGTAGAGGCGAAGTGTTTCTAGGTGAGGACAGAGGAGTTGAGTAGCAGTTGCCATTGCAGTTGCAGTTGACGGGGACGCGGACGCGGACGCATCATCGGGGCCTCCCTCAAGGGTGAGGGCTGATATTATCGGCTGAGACGACCGTCGAGAGATGACTAACGTTTTGACAAGGGGAAATTCCGAGAGGAATGTCTTCCATTGTTCTTTTTCGAGTTCCGGGTACGACTGGCACCCGATCCATAATTCTGTCACAGTAGCGAGGGGAAACGCCGTGGGAGCAGCTAAAAGCACGCTGTCCGGAAGGAATTGGCCGTCAATTTGGAGCTTAGTGGGGGTCAGGAAGACGTTATACAAGCTGTCTTCGTTCCCCCAGCCTAGCTCCAAGGATCCTAGCTGCCGGTCGGCGTTGTGGGTAATCCGAAGTTGGGTGATGTTGAGGGAGGAGATGAAGGCCGGCGGGAAGGGGCAGATGTCGGTGATCGCGTCGTCTGTGCTGTGGCGAGTTCCCCAGATGAATATGTTCACGGACGAAGGGAGGGTGATGGATTTGAGGAATAGGGAGATATGTTGCGAAGCAGACCAAGAACCCAGGCTGAGTGTTTGCAGATGGTCAAGGGGTACCTTGGGAGTAACGGCGTTGCCTCCAAAGGTCAATACAGGTCGTATGATTGATAGGTCACGAAGGAGAGGGCAAGCGGCTAGATAGGACACAAACTGCGATAGCGGAATAGGTAGAGTGGCGTCCTGGTGGCTGAGCGTGAGGTGGGTGAGGTTTTGGAATAAATTAGGCGACCAAGAGGTGAAGCCCTGGAAGGCTACTTGTCTCAACTTCGGCGTCTCGCCGTTGAAGAGGGCTGTGAGTGCGGGCCCATTTGGGACCGTGGAGAAGGCGTGAAATCCGACTGAAACAGTGAGAGATTCAAGCATAGGCGCAGGGGATTGCAAAAGATCGCTAGTCATTATGGACGCAGTTGATACTTCTATAAGGTGGAGTTCCTGCACTCGGTCGAGGTGGGGTTTTATGGCTTGCATGAGGGGCAGGTCTCGGCTTAGTGATTGCTCGACAGCTATCCCGTGCCAAGGACACTGGATGAATACATTCAACGATGCCGCGGACGATCTGGAGATGCACCTATGTATCAGAGCATCGTTTGCGTGGAATATAGTAGACCATAGGGCTGGTACTGCGAGCGCCGCCTCTCTCCATCTTCGGCACACGAGGGCAACCTGTTCAAGCGGGTACGTGTTGGCAGCGAAGTCGGCACTGCCGTTGAGTTGAGGGAAGTACGATGATGGCGTAGAGAGGTCTTGCAGCCGTTGGAATATACTGGCCAAGATTTCTGGTGGTAAACGGTGGACGGGGGACGCCATATTCCGGAACGAGCGAACCATGGAGAGCGCTGTCGACAGCTTCTGCTCCAGGTCTTCGAGCTGCACCGCGACTGTCATTGGGAGCCGCTATGGACTGTAGAAGCTTGTCCTACTCACCTCCGAGCCGAACTTTTCACTTTCTGTGCTATCATGGAGTTTGCGATTCAGCACACCGTGGTTGCTGGATGATAATCGACGAGGCCTTAGGGATCACTCACAATTGGGACAGCTGTTGTACCAAGTCATCAGTCAAGTCCTTCAAGGAAGCCCCGTGAGCCAACTCCTCTCGCTGACGATTATTAGCCATGAAGAGCACCCTGGCGTTGAGTCAGGTTGAGGGTAGTTGAAGCGAACGTGACGGTTCGATGAAGGAGTCAAGCGCGCGCCTCGCTGATGGTGGACGGCGGTGGCGGCTTCCGCAGCGAGGCGGGCGCTTCGAAACAGTGATCTTCCTTGCTTCATTGCCTCATGTCTCGGATCTCTGAATTTTACAGTTTCTCAGGATAATTTACCCGACCACTGGTCAGTACTGAAAGAATCCGGATGACTCCCCTGCGCGCTCTGATGGCATTTGACGCCGCGGCGCAACAGGGGCGTTGTTCCAGTCAAAGCTCGTAACTGATAAGCTGTACAGCTTCAGTGACATACATAAACAAGCAGGACGAGGCGACAAGTCGTACTTTCAACAGAATGGCCGACCAAGTGCTGAAGGAAATGGACCAAATGCTGGCAGCGCTGGCGAGAATGTGAGTAGCAGCATCCACGATCTCAGCTAACTCCTTGACCGACAAACTGTGATGTAGAATGCCGGGAGAGCTTTCGAAAGAAGAGGTACGCCTTGTCTTTCGTCAAATCTCCGGTCTGACAGACAGCACCTGCAGCACGACAGACTGGAGAAGAAGGCCAATGCTGCTGTATCGGCCATTCGATCACTTCGAAATATGTCGTCCCCAGTGCACAAGATCCCCGTCGAGGTTCTAGCGGTCATATTTTCCCATCTCATCGACTTTGAGGCCCCCCAGAGCTTTCTCCCAGGCATCACCCAATTGAACCCGGTCATCCAAACAGTTTCGCGAGTATCCACGAAATGGCGAGACGCTGCGCTTAGCTTCCCAAGTCTATGGACAACCATCTCCCAATCCGAGGGTCCGTCGGCCCTGCTAGCGATACAACGCTCTTGTGATGCTCCCTTGAGGGTCTATGCAAGCGGGGTTGTCCATCCGCCTTCCGGATGGACGAGTTGGAATCCTGGGCCTCCCACGCCGGTGCTGTCTCCCAGCCCTTCGCAAATGTCCACCCGTTTACTTGACGCCCTCATCCCCCATGCGCAGCGTATAGAGGAATTCCACATCATGGGGACGGATGAGGACCCGGTCCGCGACAGCGCCCTGATGACCAAACCCCTTCCAAACCTAAAGTCCTTGACCTTATCCTTGGACTCTCCGAGCTGGACGCCCTTCGGTCAAAGTTGGAGTCCCCCGCAGCTATTTGGTGGCGAAACTCCTCAATTGCGACAACTGACTCTGCGATGCGTTGCTACTTTTCCTTCGCACGTTTTCGCCGGGCTCACACACCTGTGTTTGAGCGGTCAACCTGAGCGTTTCACTTTGTCCCGTATGTTAGATATGTTAGAATTGTCGCCCCAACTCGAAGAACTCGACATCCTAGGCACTAGCCCGCTAGCGGATGATATGACTCACACCAAGGTCATGATGCCTAGCCTTCGTAGGCTCTGCCTCTCAGAGTGGAATGCGTCCATCTCCATCGCCAGCTTTTTGGACTTCCTTATCATCCTTCAACCTATTGAGTTCTACCTTTGGCTCGCCATGGTAGACGCGCCTATGGGGCCGCCGTCTGTGGCAAGCATCTTTCCATTGCATGGCTCGCAAGGTGATGGCCTCAAAGAGCTTCGAATCACCATGAGTGTGCGGGACGCTTATCAGACCACGACCGGTCGCTCTTGGAGAAGCGAGCATCAGTATGGCCTCATTTCCACGTCCGATACGCTCCAGGTAGATGGAAAGTTCCAACCGTCGGAATTCATCTTCGAAGCACCTACGGTGTTAACTCTTGGAGGGGTGCAAACATTGTGGCTTGGGTCGGTCTATAGGCCTGAACCGACTATAGCAGAGTGGCGGACATTCTTCTCGTCGTTGCGCTCCCTCGTCACCCTGGTCATCAGCCGCCGGCCTTCTCATGCAGTCATATCCGCCCTGACTTTACCAAAAGACGACCCAAACGGCGAGCTTCTCTGTCCGCACCTCGAGACGCTGCGTATCTACGGTGATCGCCTCCTCTCAGTCCTTCGCCTATCTATCTTCGCAGAGCAAAGAGACCGGCGCGACAGCCCCTTGAAGCTAGTCGAAGTTATATCAGACGGAAAGAATCGACGTGACGGACAAGATGATGGGTATGGTGGATACGCTGGGATACCGTACGGTTCCCCATCCCCGTACCCTCCCGCCCCCACCCTAGATGCCAACGGTGATGCCCTCCCACCTTGGCCGGAGGCTGTAGTATCAGACCTGCTGCATTTGCAAGAGTATGTCGATAAAGTAGAGTATATGAAGGTCGAGAGGGATCCTGATTGGGACGTCGTACCTCAGTGGCCGCCCAGAGCGTTCTCATGGGTAAATGGTATTTCGAATCCGTGGGGTTACTCGTAGATTCGGGTTGTACAATATACATACAAATTCTCTTATATCGGCGTCGTCGATGTCGAAGGAGTTGTCTTCTGGGTCTGCTGCATCGGGTGCGTCGTAAATGGTTGCTATTTCTTGGATGAGGGGACGGATGTAAGGTGCATTTTTCATCATTGCCATGCAGGCAAGCAATTCCCGACGGGTCTGAATGTAGAGCCTACGATACAGGAAGGGAAGGGAGAATATGCGCCAATCATTGCAGACCAACGAGCAGTTCCTGAGGGTACCTCCGCCGCGTCCAAACTCTTTGAGAACAAGCAATACGAGTTCTGGCGGTAGGCGGCCCATGATTGTGGGGAGCGACTAAGTAGTGAAATTAGGGGCAATTTCAAATATGGGAGATTAGCTGGCGTAGAATATTTCAGAAATCCGGTGGTGGGCTAGAAATTGACTTACCAATGTAACGTCCATTACTCACTCTGCCGCCAAAATATGTACGCTACTGAGCAAGACCCGGATATGTTTTCCCTTATATCATCGATCCACGATGAAGTCTGCATCAAGAACATTCCCTTTCAACAAAACCGTGAACCCAGAGTCCAGCCCGCCAACTTTAGGTACGCGATACAATGGCCTTACTCAAGGTCCGATGCGGAACGGGCAAGTACCGAACAATACCATGGTGTTCATATCTATGAGCAGGGGAGTAGGTCGTAGAATGCGCAGTAATAGACCCAGAGCGCTTACTCTGTCTCCATCTCCGCCCTCTCTATGCTACAACGCATGATCGGTTCAAGCATCCCATCATTGTTCGAGCGCTGTAGCAGGAATTCCATGTCGAGCACATTCTCTTCTACCAATGGCGCGAAGCTGGTCTCCAGTTTTGCCAACTCTCGCGCCTCGTCCATGTACAACTCAGCATCGCTTGCACGAGAGTTCACATCTATCGTGATGCTCAGGGTGATGCCTTCTAACCCCCCTTGTTCGTAGAGTTTATAGAGGAAGTGAGATAACTCCTCATACTCCAATGGCGTGGGATAAAGTCCCTCGGAGTGATCGTCGAGGAAGTGGTTGTTAGTGACGTTGATTGTAAGTGACTGGATCGTGCCGGGGAATGGCAGGCTGTCGATGCAGTTTTTGATCCAGGCGAAGAGTTCGAGGTAAGAGACGTCTCCGGATAGGTTGACCGTCAGCACTGACGGACGTATAGCCCCGCCAAAATCAGGAATGTTACATTCAGGTACAGCTAATCCAGCGGATTGAATAAGCTCAATGCGATGGCTTGGTAAAGACATACCATATAGCTCGAGCTCCGATAATTCGTCAGGGATCCACGGTGGTAAATTCCAAGGCTCGTAGTGGTATCTGGCAGTCAAGCACTCTAGATTTGGGCAGTCGATGAAACTCTTGAATTCGAGCATGGGGTGGAATACGTCCAATAGCTCTAGGGTTCGAAGAGCATCGAAACGGACGGTCGGTGGTGCCTTCTCTGTGACATGTGTTTCCATGATGTCCTCGAGTTTCAGTTCCTCAAGGGTAGCAGGAAGCATGCTTAGGAGGTCAGAGGCGTCGCTAGCAAAGCCCCAACCGTTCAGAGCCAGTTTACAAAGACGCGGGGCGGCCAGCATAGACACGATCCCCGCGGAGAGTGGTGCTGGCGCCATCGACAAGCTTGAGATCCCGTTTTCGAGGTGCAACGCACGTAAGTTCTTCAACCGAGCGAAGCACTCTGGGAACCACGCCAAAGCGGTGCAAGAATCATCATTCCACCAGAGGTGGACTGTGCGAATATATTCGCTGAGATGGGGAGCGTCAAAGTGGAGGAAGGAGAGCCGAGCGGTGGTGTTCTCCGTAGATATGCTGAGCGTGTGGAAGATGTGCGGTCGGCAGATGGTGGTCCATGTGCGAGAGACCAGAGAACTCGCAGTGAGAGTCCAAAATGGATGGTTTTCGTCGTTTTGGGGGTTGCATTTTTGTGCACCGTCCGCGACAATAGCAATAATTTCGGCAATGAGCTCGACGGGGAGTTTTTCTGGCTGAGGACAAACGTGCTTGCGTTCTGCTTCTGCCATTGCACGAGGGATTCAATGTTGGGGAAAAGATGATAAGCGCCGTGAAGAGTTATCGATCGACCGAGTTACCCGACCGTCTAGTGCTAAGCTTGCTTCAAGTTGGGCGATGAATACGTTGCCCTCCCTTATGGCCTCCCCCCATGTCGAAATTTGAGGTACGAGATCATGAAGGTCCAGCTCACTTACAACTGTTTACATCAGTGCTCAGCTGAAGCGAAAATCATTCATGGCAGAGGACAACTTCCGCAGCATGATTCGCTGAACGACGGCATCCCGTCTCGCTCTCCACTGAATTGACACTACACCAAGGTCCATTGATAATGAACACGGTCCTCCGCTACATCGTCTTTGCGGATAAGTAAGCAGGCATTCCCGGTCATCAGTATGTTAAATCAGTCATCTACAAGTAGTAAGACTTCAGCTATCTTTGAAAGTACTGGCCACGTACATTTGCCTCCATGTAAACTAGGCGGTGGTTGGCTCGTCGGACGATTACAATATCTGTATGATGCAACGCATGTCGAATCCACCATCCCTATGCGTCCAAGTACTAAACTGAGTGCGGTCCATGATGAACCGTGGGTCGGATATATTTGCTGGCAATAGCCCTGCAAGCCCAGCCTTCACTTTCGCCGACTCTCGTGCTGAGTAAGTACCCACATCGTGATTGCCATCCGTGGAGATATCTAACGTGATGGACGTTAAGGCGCCATTTTTGCAGAGGGGTTGGAGGGCTTGGGACAGCATCTCGTAGTCCAGTATTTGTGGGAGAGGGTCGCCTCCCGCGCGGACGTCGGAGAACTTCTGAATGTGGATTTTGAGGACTTGAATGAGGTTGGGAAATGGGAGGCGGTCGATACAGTCCTTGATCCAAGTAAAGAGGTCACGAAATGAATGCCCATTACTCCATAAAGTGATTGTCACTACAGATGGCCGTATAGTCTTGCCAAAGTTGGGGAGGAGACACCCGGCGCCACCTAGACCAGCAAAATTAGCCTATCGGCAAAATGGGGGGACATGACATACTACTGAGCACAAGTTCCGTTAAACTGTCAGGAATCCAAGGTGGCGTACCCCAAGAATCGACGACATTGTAGAGCCAATAAAGCTCCAACTGTTTGAGATGGGGACATTCAATGATGTTCTCGGCGCTGAGCATCGGATGGGCTGTATCGATTAAAACTAGCCTTCGGAGATCTGCTAAGTGGGTGGTCGGGGGCGGCGCTTCTATCTCGATGGTTTCTGTATGGATGTCCTCGAGCACTAGCTCCTCGAGGGTCGGAGGGAGCATGCCGAGGAGATCATATGCGTCCTCTGCAAAGCCCCAGTGGCGTAAAGTCAACGTGCGAAGGCGAGAGGCGGCCAATACTGGCATGACCCCCACGGCGGATATCCGTCGTTCCGTGAGTAGGCCCGACAAAGACGACGTAAGGATCAGCTCACGAAAGTTCTTCAGCCTGCAGAAACACTCTGTGAGCCATTCAGAAACGGGGGGAGTGCCATCATCCCACCAGACACAGAGTCTATGGATGTACTCTGCGAGGTGCGGGGCTTGGAAATGCAGGAAGGAGAGCCGAGCGCTAGTGTTGTTGAAAGGGATGAAGACTGAGTGGAATATGTGTCGTCTGCTGATGGCGTTCCAGGAATGAGACACCAGAGAGGCAGCCGCGAGGGTTCTAAAGGCCTCTTTTTCGACATCCGACTTGTACACAACGGGGAGCGGCTCCTTGGAGTCCTCCGACGCAACGATGGCTATGATCTCGGATATGATCTCGACGGGGAGTGTTGGTGGATCCCGGTGCCTTCGCTCGGTTATTGTAGACATTGGAGAGCCACACCGGGTGAGCGCGAAGTGGCATCAGTTCCTTGAACTTACCCCTGTTCGCCCCAAAAGCGGGCGCTGATTTTTGGGCTGCTCAGACTATTGGTTGCACAATGCATTACCCTCCATCCCTCGGGCCTCACCTGTACCATAGGAATTTATCGTTCCGTTACTTGCTGTAGAACAGAAGAGGACAGTGAACTCAGAGTTGGCCTTTAAGGTACGAGCCAACCATAAGGGCACGTCCTCGGTCTTGCCCACTAACTTCCAGGTACATCGCTAGCGATGCATAGAATCATAAAGGATCTAGCTCACTGACGACTGTTTTCCGCAGAGTCAGTGCTCGGCTGAAACCCAAATTCATGCCAGAGGACAACATTTCCACAGCACGATTCTTGGAACGACGGTATCCGACTTGCTCTCAACTGAATCGACACTACGCTATACGTGCAACAGCAATGACCATGTTTCATCGTTTTTGTGAACATCAGTATCTGAATAAGTAGAGATTCCCGATCATCATTGTGGGGAACTAGGAACTATCCGGCTACAGGTATAAGCAGGACTGCAGCTCTTTGAAAAGTACTGGCCACGTACATTTGCCTTCAAACCGGGGCTACGGCTGCCAGCATAGTTCGGCAGACGATCACAGTCTCTGTATGCCCCAACGCATATCAACTACAGCCACGTTAAACTGTTTGCCCACGATGAACCGCACGTCGGATACATTTGCTGGCAACAGTCCAGCGAAAGCAGTATCCAATTTCACCGACTCTCGCGCCGAGTCGGGAGCCACATCGTGATCGCCATCAATTATGATGGTCAACGCGAAGTTCTCCAAGACGCCATCTTTCCAGAGGGGTTGAAGGAATCGAGACAGCATTTCGTAGTCCGATGTTTCCGGAAGAAAGCCGTCGACGCCCGTGCGGGTGCTAAAGGACTTTTGGATGCAGATGCTGAACACCTTAATGAGGTTGGGAAACGGGAGGCGGTCGATACAATCCTTGATCCAAGTAAAGAGACCAGGGAACCGTCCGTAACTACCAAACAGAGTGATCTTCACTACGGATGGTTGTATAGTCTGGCCAAGATTGGGGAGGGCACACCTGGAACTACCTAAGCCAGCAAAATGAGTCAATCGGAAAACGGTAGTCAATCGGCACAGCATGACATACTGATGAGCGCAAATTCTGATGAACTGACAGGAATCCAAGGTGGCATATTCCAAGAATGGGTGTCGCGGAGCCATTGGAGCTCCAAGTATTGAAGACGGCGGCACTCGATGATATTCTCGGCGCTCAGCATCGGATGAACTGTATCAACTAAAACTAGCCTTCGAAGTGCGTGGTCGGGGGCGTTTCCATCTCGATATTTTCCATCTCGATATTTTCTGTACGGATGTTCTCGAGCACTAGCTCCTCAAGGGTCGGAGAGAGCATGCCGAGGAGATCATATGCGTCCTCTGCAAAGTCCCAGTCGTGTAAAGCTAGTTTGCGAAGGCGAGAGGCGTCAAAGATGGGCATGGCCCGCGCGGCGAGTATTCGTCGTTCCGTGGGCAGGCCCACCAAAATCGACAACAGGATCAGTTCACGAAAGCTCTTCATCCTGTACAGACACTCTGCGAGCCACTGGCACTCCGAAGCGGGGCGATTCCACCAGACACAGAGTCTACGGATGTACTCTGCAAGGTGAGGAGCTTTGAAATGCAGGAAGGATAGTCGAGCGCTAATGTTGCTGGAAAACATGATGACTGTGTAGAATATGTGTCGTCTGCAGACGGCGTTCCATGAGTGAGACACCAAAGAAGCAGCCGTAAGAGTTCGAAAGGCCTCTTGGTCGGCATTTGACAAGTACGGATTATCGATTATTGGACTCCGCCGGCGCAACGATAGCGATTATCTCGGATACGAGTTCGACTGGGAGTGCTCTCCGTTCGGCACCCGCTCTTGTAGACATAAGTATTGGAATTTGGAGAGCCACGGCCCAGTGGTAACTTAAGCGCCGCGTTTCTTTGCACAGTCCGAAAGCGGGCGCTAATTGTATTTCCGTTGCCCTGCCATTGCAGCTTGCCAGTCGTCGAAGTTAACGAACTTCAATCCATCTTCCGCCTACTCCTTCGCTTCCACGTCTTCCAGAAATCACGCCCTTGCCTTTGGGCTCGGAGGTCTGGCGGCGTCCACCTGCACAATACGGGGAACGGAATAATCTCTGCTTTACCCCGTGGTTACAGCCCCCGACCCACGACAGTTGCCAGCGCAGCAGACAGGGTCTATCAGGTAGAATCCTCTCAAGATTCGGGTACTTGCTTTCTCCTCATCTTCTTCCCGGCTTCGTCGCCGTCGCTTCTCTTCTTGTGGACATGAACACCGGTGCGCGGTACTTTTTGCTGGTCCTAGGGGTGGTGGTGCGTCCGTTTCTTCCTGTTTTGTTGCTATATAACTAATGAAGCCGGCAAAGATATCTTTGCACTACCTCTTGAGCTTCACGCACGAAGAATATGGCCGAATTACTTCAATGTCGAACATCGCGTCCCATTTCCAGCAATCCCCTACATCGTCGGACGATACAGCGTTTTCGGGGGATGAAATATCCATCGTTGTGCCTGCTATGGATCCCAATGACACAGACATCACAGAACTCCTGCATGCCGACCCGCCCAAGGCAAACGCGACCTTTGTCATATTAGCAAGGAATTCAGATATAGATGGCACGGTCAAAAGCATTCGAGACATTGAGGATCGTTTCAACCACAAATACCAATACCCCTACGTCTTCCTGAACGAAGTAGAATTTAGCGAGGATTTCAAACGGTGAGGACCCCCCCCCTTTCACAACGATGCGTTATTTGATGCCGATGACGGCGTACAGGCGTATCTCGAACATCGTTTCAACGACTGCCGAGTTCGGTGTGATTCCTCACGATCACTGGTTCCAGCCAGATTGGATAGACGAGACGAAAGCGACGGCTGGACGGGAGAAGATGGTGAAGGATAATATCATCTACGGCGGTGCGCTCTCTTAATCCTTGCTAGCCCTTTCGCGGCCTTCTTATATGATATACCGTAGGCAGCGTCTCCTATCGCAATATGTGTCGCTTCAACTCCGGGTTCTTCTACCGCCACGAGCTCCTCCAAAAGTACAGATGGTACTGGCGTATAGAGTACGTCAATCACACCCTCTCGCTTTGGCTCCCTTACGTGACCCCCTTTGCAGGCCGGATATCCACTTTCATTGCAATATCAACTTCGATCCGTTCCTCTACATGGAGAATAACAACAAGACCTATGGTGTGTATAGTCACGCCTCTCATGATGCAGTATCCATGCTCAAACGTGGTGACGATAGGGTTCACCATCACCATGTACGAATTCGAGGCTACAATCCCTACACTATGGGGACACGTCAAAGGTACGGACATGTCTTTCCCATACCTCATCCTCATTCAACAATGAATCTGGCCAAACCATGCCTACTCATCCGCCGCTATGATTACAGATTTTATCAAATTGCACCCTGAATACCTCGCCAAAGACAACTCTATGGACTACATGTCCGACAACAACGGCGAAACGTACAACCGCTGCCATTTCTGGAGCAACTTCGAGATCGCGGACCTCAATTTCTGGCGCGGAGAGGCGTACCAAGCGTACTTCAACTACCTCGACGCGCAGGGCGGGTTCTACTACGAGGTGAGCATTCTTCCCTTCCCTCCCCCATGTTGCGGACACGCTTGATAGTGGCTTACTGGTACCTTTGATGCGCTAGCGATGGGGAGATGCGCCTGTGCATAGTATTGGCGCCGCCCTCTTTACGAGCAAAGACCAGATTCATTTCTTCGATGAGATAGGATACGAGCATAATCCGTACACGCACTGTCCGCGAAAACAAGAAACGTGGGAGGCAGGCCAGTGCGGGTGCAATCCAGCCAAAAGCTTCGGTGTGTTCTACACTTCGTCCCTCTTCGTTGTTGGTTACTAACGGCGTACCGATTCGGCTCAGACTACGATGGATACTCGTGTATGAAGCAATGGGAGCGGATCCAGCATAAGTGATCCGTCCCTTATAGGACTTTCGACGCAGGGCACTTGGCAGTCTGGCATGGCCACCATGGACTCATTGTTTTACTTAGATATAGACATTGCTTTTCATAGATAATAATCCGGGTATATCGCTCTTCACCAATCTGTACAACATCTAGTCAGCTTCCCGCCGGCCGGTGCGCTTTGGTGCTCTCCATCTCCAGTACTCCCTTGCACAGCGATCTCTGTATATCTATCTGGATTATACTTAGAGAATACCCACTTTCCTACTAGTCCCTCCCTGTACTTGTAGGGTACACTGGGTACCTCTCCTGAAGGCAGGTTTAGTGTCACATGTATTTGCGTGACCAACTGAGCTACTTCTTACATCCCCATTTTGACGATTACCGCTAGTCTTTCGTTGCATCCAGAGGTGTCTGCTGTCAGTAGGTTACGACATTGGTGCACCAGGCTGTGGGAAAGTGAAATCGTTCAACCAGGAGGAAGTTTGATACGACTCTCAACATAAAACCACCACTTTCTCCGCGTCAAGTACAAATACGAACGCAGATTTGGCTTGAACCATTTCCCAGCGTCTAGTGTTCCATGCATTCAACACGTGTACCTGGCCATGACATATATACCTGGAGGATTCCTGGCCCAGTTTACACGAGGCTGTCTCTACTCTCGAATGGCTTTCTGAAACAGTGGAATGCCTACTTCGAATGGGTATACCCAGTCCCAAACTGGAGCTCTCCTTTCTTCGTTCTCGGATCTGGAGGACTTGACTGGTTTTATCATCAAGAAATCGCAGTACTCTGCCAGCTCTGGGGGTTATGCTGATATCTGGGTAGCTAACAGCACGCGTGCGGTGAATGGGAGGCCAGCAGGACAGGTGAGCCTTTCGTCCTCCGCGATTACGAGTTAATTTTAAGAATCGGATTTTAGAAGCTCGCGGTCAAAGTTATACGGTCATTTACTGACAACCAATGTGATTACATGAAGAAGCTAGACAAGGTGATTCCGTCATCGTCTCTCAAAGGATACAGGCTCACACGCAGCAGCGGTTGTGGCGGGAGGTCATCATCTGGAAGGAACTCGAGCACAAGAACATCCTTCCTCTGCTCGGCGTCGTCCGAGGCTTCGGCCCTTATGTTTCGATGGTGTGTCCTTGGATGGCGAAGGGGAGCTTGACGCAGTACCTGGGCCGCCAGGGCTCTGAGCTGAGCCATCAACGGCGTTTGCAGATCGTGAGTGAGAGAAGTCTTGTTCGAGGGACGCCAACTGATGTCGTTCTAGATTCGAGAGGTCGCCTCCGGTTTAACTTACCGTGCGTTTCTCCCAAATGTTATGCACGACCACCAATGTTCTAACTCTGCGTGCAGTCCACTCAAAGGATGTCATCCACGGAGACCTATCAGGCGTACGTACCACCGTCATCCCCGACCCTCTCGTCTTATTCAGTATTCTTCCAGTCCAACATTTTATTGGATGATGCAGAGCGTGTTTGTATCAGCGACTTCGGGTTGGCGACTATAGTGGCACAGTTTCGTGGTACATCGTTGGATTCGTCGACAGTCAGCGGCGCCATTCGGTGGATGGCCCCCGAGTGTGTGTTCGGCCCTGGCCCGACTACGCCAAATTCTGATGTCTATTCCTTTGGTAGTATCATGTATCAGGTAATGATTGGCCGTGCGGCTTCTGTGAGCGACGCTGAAGGCGCGTAATTCCAGGTATTCACTAGCCAAATTCCATACGTCGGTACCAAGGAAGTGCATATCATACTCCTTCTAGATGAAGGTCGATATCCTGAACGTCCGTCGTCATCCTGTATCTCTGAGCCCTATTGGGACATCATCAGCAAATGCTGGAATCGAAATCCCTCCAAGCGACCATCCATGAAGTCAACGAGAGCAAGCTTACGTCGACTGCGTAAGTCTCCCGTATACTCGATGGACACGCCAACCTCGTCCTTCCGTTCCCTGGTGGAACATTCGCCGCTTTTCAGCTCTCTGCCCCCGTTGTCGTCCCCAACGTCCTCGCCTGTATCAGCCAGATTCCTTCAGTTGGCCGAGCACGCGAACACGTCCCATTCTTCTCAAATGGTTGTTCGTACGCAAAACAGCAGCTCCCCGACCAGAATTACGAACACAGGTACGCAGCCGCTGCGTATTCGACCCCGCTCCCCTACCTCAAGCTTGAAATCCCGTCATCCTCTCCGCCATTCCACCACCTGGCCTCCGCTGGAGCACCCAAAGCCGATTCCAGTCCTCTTCACACCCCAACCTAGTTCCCTCCGCACGATGTCTGCTATCCCCCCACGCCAATCCACCTTCGACTATGCCACATGCGTCAGATGTGGGCATACCTTCAAGCGGTATCTAGAAGATACCGACGACGGCGATATCATTCTGATTCACCGAAGTACATGTACTTATCACTCGGGTATGGATTTCTTCGTTGTCCGTCTAGATTCACCCATACTGACGCGATATCTTACAGGTGAGGTGGATTACTCTACTTCCGCCTGGAGCTGTTGCGCTCGAGGTCTTAGTTCGCCTGGTTGCTGCACCTCGCCACAGCATTGTTCGTCGGATTGAATCCGACATCGTCGTCAATTCACCCTTCACGTGGACCGAGATACCATCGCACCCTTCTTGAGTCGAATGTATCCTTATTGAACGCCTCCTCGGTGTGCCCGCGATGTCCCCTTTGCCCCTTCAATACATCAAGTTATCAAATTAACAATTATTGTATTACTATTCTTTTGCGCACACAGATGGAACGTGGGACTTTTCATTGCTTTGCATTATTATGTTGCCTATTTATATACGTAGAGTCAAATTGCTGTCGAGTATGTACTTAGGTTGTCGTTGTGTAATCGGTCCTCGGAAGTTGAGTGGACAGGAAAAGACAATGAGAACTTGTGAAGCTACGTTACCCAACGTCTTGTCGAACTTGTGAAAACCCTTTAAAAAACCCTTATCCAACCTCCGAAAACCGTTGTTGAGTATGACCATCTCGTTCGTGCTAATTAGTGATGAATCAGCTGCCAGCGGTAAGGTACTTACGCACATTCTCGTCCATCATATCCGCTATATTCTTGATGTCTGTCTTTATCACTTCGATGTCCGCGTTCGCGCACTTCACTGATGCAGCCTGCATGGCAGCCAGTAACCTCTTGTGAAGTTGCCCAACTGAAGGAGAGGGAGTTAGCTGCCGAAAGCGACAGACTCCGAGTATACTTGTGTGTTAGTACTTACATTGCTCATCCGAGAACACATCGCTTCCAGTTATGCTAGTGTTCGTCAGAAGAGGCATGGATATAAACTTTGAGCATACCGTTCTCCCATCCCTATCATACGCAGCTCGCAGATTCTTCGAGCATGTGTGAGTTCTTGAGAACACAAAACGAGAACACAGCACGTACCGGACGCGATAGGCTGCACTAAAAAGGCATTTTCGAATTGGACAGCATTATTAGACCTCGCAAGGACACCTAGTAGCTTACCCGATCACTTTCAACTTCTCCTCCGCATCGGCGGAGGGGTTCTTGTCTGGGGGTTACTAACGGTGGGCAAGATCTCGTCAGTTCTTCGTGCTTTCATAGCCTGTGTCTTGTACGTCCAGAGCTGAGAAAGATTTATTTAGTAACGAAACAGGTTCTGGTAAGGTGCATACGGTGTTGTTCATCTTATTTAAATGCTCTTCAATGTAACGCTCATGTCGATGAAAAGCCTGAAAGCGAAGGAATTAGGGGACTACACAATAGTATGTCAGCAGTCATTTTCTCACACTCCTGGGGTTGTTCAATGTTGCGACGGTTACTTCCAACTTACAATGAACCATTTCACTTTTTTGTGTCCTTGCTCGAGTACAAACGGCTGCCATTACTCGACGCCGACGGGGTTGCTATGGTTCCTCCAAGGCACACCTCGTTTGCTTCCGCGGGAGCAAAGCGTCGGCAGAGCACTTCTCAGTGTAGAAGAAACGCTGCCGTAAATCACGTTTCGCAGACGACAGCGCGACACCTTGTTTTCTGCTCGATATAAGCACTGTGACGGGCAGCAGGTAATTAGCACACCGTTCCATATCCTCAGCACCTCTCAAGGCACTTACAATCGACACTGTTATCCAGTTCGACCTTCTGGCCAGAATAAACGAGCATGTTAGGCAGCAGTCCAGGCGCGTCTCAGAATACTATAGGGTTGGATGCTCTCTGATGCACTTCTTATACTTATAGGCGATGGTGGGCCGACCGCCCGCAGACGTCGTAGACGAGATCCGTCGAAAACCTTTGTGAACAAACTCACCTGCAATGGCTGCGGAATGGAAATCCCCGTGTACGCTTCGCGGACGACGATGTGTGATGCTTGCTGGGCAGAGAGTGGAGACAAGCGCAAAGCAAACGGTCGGCCAGCTAATATCTCTCATGGAAGCCGGGCTGGACGTAGCAGTGTGACGGCGAACGCCTACGGGCACGGGGTACCAAACATATCCGTTAGTGATTTATATCTCTCAGCTTAGTTAGCGCGTTGATCTCTTCAGACCCCTACTACCCTACTGAGAGATAGCGATTCCTCGTCCCTCTCGTCCTTGGAATCGCCTTGTGGGTTTGAGCAGCAGGCTCCTTTTCCTCCGAATAGTCGTGACCAGAGCCCCGCCACGCCGTACTCGCCAGCGCATGCTCCAGATCTGTACAACGTCGAAGAGTTCTCTGGCCATAGCCACCTTCTGACACCTTCTACCCACCTCCAACCGTCTGATCAAGGTGCCTCGCCAAGCTATTTTGTGTACAACCACCCTGGGGTCTCGAACGCAAATGTGAACGGTATGCCAATGATGCAGCTGGACCAAATCAGCCCCTACATTCCGGTCCAGCCCATTCCTGCAGCCTCAAGTCAAGCGCTTGGTCAAGACGCGACATTTAGCCAGGCCGGTCCAGAGTTCATGAGCCCGTTGCCGTCCCCTGCGCTGTTCCAATTCAACCTTCCTCGTATGTGCGCATAATTAGTGCTACATCCCTTTACCTCATCACTGTTTTGCAGCCGACGGTTGTGGCTACTATCAAGATACTTCGTCGGCGGCTGGATATTCATACTCTGATCACCACCCAAGCTTCAGCGCTGCGTACCAAGACGAATACCCTCAAACCCCAGCTCTTGGGACTTCAGCAGGTTTTTTGGAACTGTCAAACGCCGTGGATTTAGCTCAAGGCCGACACTCGGGAGATTATGCTCAGACGACTCAATACGATCAAGTGCAATCTCAAGATATTCTTCCCGAGTCAACCCGTCTGTTCTCTTCGGACTCTTCGGACTCTTCGGACTGGCTGTTTTACCCCCCACCCGCCCGTCAAGGATCTGGAGACACGATCCAGATGGACGTCGACCAGGACGAAGGCAGCGGTTCAAGCCAGGACACGGTCGGTGGTTTCAGGGGATATCTAAACTCTACGAAGAAGCTGAGCCCGCCCGCGAGTCTGCGCTGAATGCAATGTTGAAACCCGAAATCCGGAAACAAGAATATAATAGAATTGCTGGCCTCCCCTCCCCTTCAAGGTTCTCTTCCAATGGGCTTGTATCCGTTTCTTTCCCTTCCTTCCCTGTATACGCCATTTCCATTTCCGTTCCCCGCCTTATCTCCTCACTCTTCTCCCCGGTCTTCTCCTGTACGTCTCATGTTTTTGTATCGTTTTGGTTCCGTATGATCATCGTTCCATAACCCATATTCCGCCTCTCCTCTCCTGACCTTCACTTCACACACAATCCCAATCCCCACCCCGCTTCTCCCTATTCCTCACCTCACCCCTCCCTCGACGTCTGCATAACATGCCGTCCACCAACGCGATACCCCACGCTCCTTATCTTATTCTGATGCTCCTCTCCTACTCATATCTCTCTTTCGCCGCATAGACATGGGGCAAGTACACTCTCATTCACGTCGTTTTCTATCCTTCCGGGACTCTCGCTTCTCTTCCTTCAGATGTATGAATCATTCCTAATCATGTTACAAGTCTCCTCACGATGTATGCATATGCTATGTATCAGTATACGATATTACTCACCCCCCATATATTTGTAGGATCTTTTACGATATCCATCGATCACCCATCCAGCTTCAACTCCACGCTCCTTCCCTTCCTCCCCACCACCATAGAATACATTGCATATCACCTCCCATCCCGCATAGCCACTTGCGCCACATTCCTTCACCATTCTCTTTATCTCTTTATAAGCAGGTTACAACCGTTCATACTCAGTGACACTATTTTCGCCTAATCTTTATATTAAACGCTTTTCAAATAATTCTGCTCGCTACATGAGAACACACACTACTCTACAAGTCTAATTGTATGCACGCAGTGGCCAGAAAGCAGATTGGCTTCAACCTTTGACGCGTCGACGCGGTGACTTGTGTCGGTCCCTTCGTGGATGCCAAAGTTCGTCAGGCGCTTAACCTACAACCAACTCTCAAATGTCCTCAACTGAACGGAATTCTCGAAGTTCTCACAACCACCCAAAGCAACTCCCTGAACTCATCATCGAGATCACTACTATTATCGCTAAATCGTTGCGCCGGAAAAATAACGGCCATCCACCGAAACCTGGGGTCGGCGAACTTACTCGACGTGAGGTATATGGGGCTCTCGCTACTGCCTCTCTCTGGTGTCCCGCGAATGGAACACCACCTGCTGGAGGTATATACTCAGTAGGGTAGACGTATCCACCCCGACAACTCTAACGCTCGCTTTCCTGCACTTCGAAGCTTCCCAACTCAGCGAATATATTCGCTACCTCCGATTTTCATGAGTGTTTTGGCCGGCTGAAGAATTTACGGGAGCTGCACCTTGATGGAGGGATCTCACATCTGTCGATGACACTGGGACCACCCGGCGTGGGGATCGTGTCCAGGCTGGCATTGTCGTCGGGTTGAAAGCCCTTTGAGTCTTAGCTTCGCTCGATGTTTCACTGCCGACGCTCAAATCCAAGAACTTCATCGAATGCCCCAATCTCGGACACTTGTCCTTATCTATGGGTTGGATTACGCTTTGGAGTTTTTCACCGTGAATTCCTACCAATCTGTCGGAGCTTCGCAATATGCTAGTGCATGTTCAAGTGAATATGACTTCATCCCATCTAGACTTTAGGCCCTCAAACTGTCCGAACATACACACAGTTATATTGCAGTCATGGTAGGAAAGAAGATGTACATCTTTCGAGAAAACCCTCCTTCTATTCCACTCGGTAACAATTGCCATTTGCGCTAACTTAGAAAGAAAGGGTGGCCCCAGCTGAGGATGTAGCGGACCTGACGCTGCCTGCGGCAACGAGCGAGTAGGAGTAGGGGGCGGAGGTGAAGGAGCCCCCAGGCGCGGTGTTGGAGGCACCTCCGAAGTCGTTTCCGCGTGCGACGGCGAAACCTTCGTCGGTTGCGTAGAGGGGCTTTTTCGTGCCTACACGAACAGGTGAGCGTCACGTCGTTTAGATGGGGGTTTGGGGAGCTTACCTGTCCAGACATTGTTCTCGACGAGAAGTTGAGCGCCGTCACGGGTGTTGATTCCGTCGTTGTTGTTGTCAAAGACGTTGTTGAAGATGTGACCGTGCCCGAAGCGGAAGGAAGGGGTCCTATGCGTCCGCATTTAGCTTCATGGGCTAAAGGAAATGGTGCAATTGATTCGTGGATTACTCACCTGGAGTTCAAGGTAGAGAAGACGTTGTTGGCGTAGGTGACGGTGATAGCGACATCCTCAGAACCGTTGCTGTCGGAGTGGCCGACCAAGGAAGCCTTCCAGTGGTCGTGCAACTTGGTGTTAGTGACGGTGACGCCGGTGGCTCCGTGGGTGATATCGAGAAGGCCGTCATAGCTGCGCGAGCGCAAACGCGGTCAGTTCTCTTTTTCACTGTGTTTTTCAACGAACTTACAAGTCCTTGTCGTGGTCACGGTCGCTGGATAAGTCGAGATGGTCAATCCAAACTTGATGAGCGGCCTGAATACCGATAGCGTCACCAGCCGAAGCCAAGACCTTGGAAATCTTGATGTTGCGGATAATGACATTGTTGACATTGATGACACGAAGACCAACACCGTTGAGCACTGGCGCCAAAGTTCTCTCAACTCACGTATATCAAGGAGCGTGAAGGAGACTTACCAGCGTTCCTACCAAGGACAGATGTGTTGGATCCGACTTTGACGACGGCGTTTCCGGTGATGGTGCCTATGCGCGTCGATCGTTAGCACGGCGAGTTTCTTCAGCTCTCAAGCAAAAATATACCTGAAATGATGACAATCTTCTTCGCGTCGCCAGTAACAGCGGAAGTCAAAGCAGCGAGGGACGTCACAACGGTAGTCGGACCACCGGATCCACCAGAAGTTCTGCGAAAAGATAAGTTAGGTCCTCAACGTTTGGAGAGAACCCCTTACCCTCCGTTAAGAGTAGCGTAACCGACATTTGCAACGTCGTTAACACCAGCCCTTTTCTCCAAAGGAGAGGCCTATGTGTTCGGAACGTGTATATCAATACGCGTCCATTTGCCACCGAGAGAACCACGTACAGAGACGACCTGGACGGCGAGGAAAGCGATGGCGGAGACGAACCACTTCATGATTCAAACTGGAGACTGTTGCTGAGGTAGAGAAACAACTGTTTGTTTTTCTGCTTCAACCTCGTCTCCAAGCCCTGCTTTTATACGCATCTCCAACCCTCTACGCATCGGATTACCTTCGGTTCAAGTCTAGCAATACACGACGCCCAACCCTCTACGATGCACGCCAACGGACCGCGAGGACCGTGCGGGCCTAGGAGGGAGTGTATCATCTCACCTGCGGGTGACGTTCATCATTCGAAGAAGTAACGACTCGCCGTCAAACGCGACATAACGCTCAAATATACCATCATGGCGTTACAGATGCTTTTGGTACGTCCCCGTGCTTCTTAACTTCTTTCTTGTATTCGCGGGGAAATAGGCCAACGGAGAGACCGAGGCCCTGGGAGATCTACCAGCTTGGACGAGCGTGGATCTTCGTTAAGGTATTTTGGTTGGAGGTTTGGTGGACTGCTGGGTACTGAGCACTGGGCTATTGACTTGTTGTAGTTGTAGATGCTGCGATCCTGAAAACACACTAAGATTACAAGCGTATCGTGTGCTCAGGGTAAGTAAAGGCAGGAAGATCTGACAGAGTACTCACTCCCTGATACCAGTAACATCGGTGCTATCAGCAATTCGATGTGCTTTACACGCAACATGGCGCGATACACCCACCCTCGGCGTACAAGGATGCACTGCGGCCACGAGAGGCATTGAGCGTCGTTTCATCGAAGACCACTTCCCGGCGGCCCGCCACGATGACAGTTATGAGTGCTCATGGGGCTCTGGTGCCATCATTAATACGCCGTGTTGTACTCACGACATTGCGCCATATATCTCCACGTCTGTACAACAGAAGGTCGAGGATCATTCGGACTTCATTGAATGCGAGTTCCGGGCCGCCAAGACTAGGTATGTTGCAGTATTAATACAAATAGGCTTCTTGTAAATGGATTGTTGTTCCGCGAATCTGCCAGCGAGTTGGTCGGTAACGACCATCGGACAGCCCACCGGTCCTTTCGTCCAAACCATCATTTCGGAATGTCTTGACTCATGCGCCTACCCAGTGCCAGGACGAGCGACTCTTGGGTAAGTGTAATCCCTTTTGCAGGTCTCTAGCCGAAGTTCTGAAGGTACAGACAGGTAATGATAGCTCGTCGCTATTTTGGAGCGCAGAAGCGTGGTCCCCGAATACAGCGCAGGTATTTTGGTCTATCCAGTTCGCCGTCAAGTTTAGAGCGGCAGAACGCGCTTTGGAAGAACACGTCAGTTTGAAATACCACGCGTACATCAACTACCGAGGGGTATTTTGGGCTCATCAACGCGGCCCGGGCAGTACTGTCCTCACCTCATGCACCGGTCATTGTGAAGGCCTAAGGCCTAAAGGACGGGCCTCCTGCTACCACAAGTTAGTCCCTTACAAATACAGTTGATTGGATAAGACTCTGCTATATACGTACGTGCGCCAATGCGCGGCGTGTCCTTGGTTGTTCAGCGTAGGTTATACAGGACAGATGGCAGATCCACCCGAACGTCCACTAGCCCCAGGGGATTCAACTTAGTAAACCTGTCTGCTAACCCATCTCCGCATCGTATGTCCATGTAGCTGGGCTCGAATGTAAAAGTAACCTTCTGCAAGGAGCCGTTTTGGTGAAGATCGAGGATGAATGACTCGAATTTGTCGACGCTCTCTAGATCGTCCATGTCGAACGGGGGCTTGTCGCTGGTGGTCTCGGAGACGATTTCGATATGTTGGATGTTGCGGGGGATCGTGAGTTTAGGTATTAGGTACAATACCTGGTCCAATGTTTCCCAACTAACATGCCAGCGCAAGTAGAAGTTCTCAGTGTCGAACGGCCTGCAAACCTGGTCTCCTCCGTCTGTTCCCATTATAGTTATGAGCATATGTAAGTCCACGAGTGAATATTTGATGGTGAGATATTTAGCGACGTACCCAAGTCCCAACCGATCGCCAGCGTTTTCAATGAATCTGGGAGATATTCTCGAAATATGTTGAGCCAAATTGCGCAGTATAGTATTTCCAAGTTCGGCATCCGGATGTTGGAATAAAACGGAAGTCTTTCTTCATATCCCATCAAGGCGAGCTCCTTCAGTGCCACCATAGTAATTGTTGGTAGACGCGACATTTCCACCGCATTCGGTGGGTTACGAACTCTCACGGTGTCCAACGTCAAGCAACGAATCATGGGAGCGGCTGCCTCGAAAGTGGACGACAGCTCCTGTGCTTGGATATCGCGCGCCACTAAGTCGAGCGTCGTGACGGAGGAGCCTGGGAGTACGAGGGGGATATTCACAAAGGTGGATCCAGTGCAGAATATCGCTTCGAGGTGGGTAAAACTGTGGATGAATGCGGTAAAATCGGCGTCGTCGATAACAATTGACTCTATGCCTCGGGCAGACCTTAGATTCTGGATGTAGTTACAGAAGGCGATGTACAGTATAAGGGGTCGGATGTGCGGGGCACTTCGCATCAACTCCATGCATTCCAGTAGTTGACTGCGGGTTTTGATGTAGAGCTTCCGGAACAGAAACGGGAGGGAGAGGGTTCGCCAAGAGCGACATACAAGTGAACAGCTCTGCAATGAAGCTTTTTTTCTGGACAATGCCTTGAAGAGGCAGAGTACAATGTCCCCAGGAAGGCGATTTCCCATTCTCTCTCTGATGTTCTGCAAGAGTTGGTGGTAAGAAGCAGAAGATGGAGACACCCCGCAAGTTCGAACTTCGAAGTCCGACCGACGGTAGGATGTTCAATGAATAGGCGCCCACTGGTTCCTTCCTCACCATCTCAACGACAATCGTGAAAGGCCCTAGCAGCCTAGCCTATGTAGCCTGGTGGCTAGTTTTATGGTTTCGAAAAAACACTTATAATTTATAAATATCATACTCGAAACCAAGGGCTATTTTCCTCTGAAACCTACCAGCACAGACCTGACAACGCCTTGTTCATCGACAGGAAGCTGAATGAATCATTCTTGGACAATATAGTACGTGGCAGAATGAACTCGTACATACTTCGCATGCTGATTATGATGGGTACGCGTCAAATCCGGCATTCTGTACAAAAACATGAGTATTCATCCACGGGTTCCCCTGGTGCTAGGGATATATGCATACAGAGCACGGCATGCCTTCGAAAATGGTTACTGGACACCTCTTTCTTGGTCTGTTAACCGCTACCAATGCTGAGAACCGCGTCGATGGATGTCTACATTGTTCAGCCCCCGCGATTCTCGGTGTATTAGACGTGCCCACAGCATATGTTGCGGTCTGGCCTGGAGACCGAATGCGGTTCCAAGGCAGGAGAAGAGAAGGGAGGATATCGAGAGAAGATAAGCCAAGAGCCCTTAAGTCTGCTTCGAATCCATCGAAAGTAGAGAAGCTCGGTGCGTCCTTGATGGCAAGATACACGCTGATACACGCCGGCCTTGCAGGCCCTCCAGTATCGCCTTGTGCTTGACGAAGGGCTTCGAAAGATGGGGGCGATAGGCTAGTTGACGTTATCGCCTCATCATCGCTCTTACACCAAAGTACGATTCCCCTCTGCTTTTCGCTATAAAGTCTACGACCACTCAGCACAACTTACTTCGTCTTCCGTCAACATGCGACTGCTTGCTATCGTGTCCACTGCCCTTAGCATTCTCGCAAGCTCAGATGTTCTTAGCGCCGCCGTCGAAGGTAAGTCCGAGCTCCAAGGTCAAAGCTTAACTGACAACATCCATAGCCGCTACGGAGCATTCTGCGCCACTTATCCAGGTCATGGTGGTCGGCGGTCGCTCGATTACGATTTCGACGGTTCCCGTTTCCATTGCACGCCTTTCCATATTCCCCGCAACCGATGCCAGAAACGGGACATCCAAACCGCAAACGGCCCTCACGAAGCGGGCAGTTGGAAACGGCTGCGAAGTCGGATGCGGTGGCAATGGTGGGAGAACTGTTTACTAAAGCCCCAGTCATTGAGTGAAATATACGACGGTGCTCCATACCTAGGCTTCTGCTCGAATGATCTCAGCCCCTCATCGAATCCCCCTTCGCTCGGCGACTGCCAAACGCTCAAAGCGGTCCTGGACGAGCTTGCACTCAGCGAAGTCACCCATACTTATCCATGCAATTTCCCCAATAGCCCCCTTTGTAAGTCGTCTTTCCTCGCTGCTTCAGAGTCCGAACAACGGAAGATAACGCTCAACTTTGTTCATGCTGCTATTGACAGGTCCGAACTTCGTCGTTCACCCCGAGTTCGAGCGGGTATATTCCTTAGGCACATGCGCAGTGGGATTGATGAACTTAAATCCGGCTGGCGGACCCGACGTTGCGTTCTGCGACTACCTCATGGCACGTATCATACGGCATAGACCCTTCATCCATCTCTCCTGATAACATACTTATCAGGCTGGGATTGTGCTGCCATCGTATAAGGACTGTATCACGAACAAGGGGTTCACTGGGAGTATCTGCTTCTCCAACTCCAACAACCTCGGCGTTAGATGGGGCCTCGAGTAAGCGTGATCCATCTTTTGCGTGTTGAAGCTATCTGAACTCGGTCGATAGAGTCCGTCATGTCTAATCAAGTTCACGTTGTACACTGAGAGTGTAATATTTCAGCTATTCTCAGGCTTGCTGCCGCAGAAATGTTTCTGCTGCCTTCAGTCTCCGCGTCTGCCTCCTAATCGTCGGGCCTTGAAATATTACCTTTGATCGATAACAAAGAGCAAGGTCAGTCAAATACCTCAGCCAGGCGTCAACCTTGTCTTCCACATAAGACATCATGGACCGACTTCCTGTAGAACTTGTTTCACAGATTCTGAAAGACGTACGGCGCGAATGGACTGCTCTTAAGAGCTGTTCATTGACATGTAGTTCCTGGCGCGCACTCTGTCTACCCTTTCTTTTCCGTAGGCTCTCCATTCCAAACCGCGGTAAACTTATCGCGTGCATGACACTGATGCAAAATGCTCCCTATATCCGCCCGCACATCAAAGAACTTGTACTCCTTTACGGCATCCGTGCAGGCCCCAAGAACAGACCATTCGTCCTCGATATCGACTACAAAGCTTTCTTCCGTGGCTTTCCCAACCTCGCAGTCATACACTGTGGCGCATCGCCTCTAGCGGACGTCCTCTCCTTCCTTCCAGGCATGCCAGTCACGTCCCTTCGCGTCAGGGAGTGGGACGCTACTGCTTCGGAACTGCTATCCTTCTTCGAATCATGCGCCACTACGATCCGCTCCTTATCGTTCAAGACCGTTTTCTTTCTACATCCGCCAGCTAACCGGGATATGTTGCGTGTCAGCGTCGTCACCATGAGCGCGCTGAAGGAGCTTGCCCTCTTTAATTGTTCCAGAAGACTCCCACTCTACCCCAAGATCGAAATGCCGAACTTGGACGTGCTGTATTGCGCGGAGTGGTGCAGCAGATCTCGCGAGGAATTCCCCGATTCGTTGGTCACATTGGCGGTGGACTGGGATCTAGGTACGCCACTCTACGATGCGACGAATAATACATCTTGGACTGATCTAGGGCAGACCAACCCCTCGTTTCGTGCAGGCCGTTCAGCGTAGAAAAACTCTCCATTAACTGGAACTTTACGTGGTCGTGGTTGAGCAGCATCATGCCTCTCGTCCGCAAACTTGCCATCCCATCCAAGCTTCAGCATCTTGAAATATTGATTTCCGAGAACGAATACTGGCATTTCCATCTGGATGACTTCGCAGCCAATGACGACTTCGAGGCTGACATATTGGACCTCCACGAAAATGGATCCCTTCGCAGGGTTACCTTCACGCTTAAGATGAAGGATAGGAACGTTTGGGAGAGACACGTGGAAGACACGATAGGCGACAAGTTTCGCGAGCTGATACTCCTTGGTATACTGGATGTCCGATTGAACCAACCTTCGGCCATATACCCGCGATAGCCCGTCGTGGATAAAGCCCTCATACAAATGGATGGGGAGCGCAGTCGTATCATATCGACCTAAGACAAGGGGAATAGGGAAGAAGAGGCTAGGCTTTGCAAACAGTATATATGTAGACCGCGCACAAATATTAGTTGCAAGATACCTTCAAATGGCTGAAATATGTGTTGTCGTTGAAACCAAATGAAACAAGCGTGAGAACATGGGAGGGCGTGGCGCGTGGCTTACTGCCACCTCTTTGACTGATACCATCACGCCTTCCAGTGAAGATGGAACAATCTGAGATCCAAGTCAGTAGACAATTTACTCGAGATCCAACGAAGCTCACGTCGGGACCTAGAACGCGGTTGGCCCCATGCTTCCCCCAGAAATCGTTTCCTTGGTTCTCCAAGAATTAGATTACGACCTCGTTTCCCTGAGCAATTGCTCATTAGCATCCAAGATCTGGCGCGACCTGACGCTGCCTTTCCTTTTCCACCACCTCTGTCTACCAGATGGGAAGACGTTTCAACGCGGCTTTCGTTTACTGGTCTCCAACGCTCCCCACATCCGCCAGTATGTCCATGAGGTACTCATTGGGAGGTCGATCGCAGCACCAGGATCCCAATTTGACGAAGACTTGCAGCTGGAAATCGACCAGAAGCGACTGGAAGCTTTTTTTCTCGTGCTCCCCAGGTTGAAGGTTCTGCATTGTTGCCTCGATAGTCATCTTGCCATCCCTTTGGCTTCCGTTCAATCCTCAATCACTACACTCTACATTCGTGGAAATAGCCACCCTCGAAGCGAGCTACTGAGACTTCTACGGGTAGCAGCAGGAACGCTCCGCCATTTGACGCTCCGAGACATGTCCTTTCGTCGAAACACCGCGTCCTGCAACGTTCCGCCCCCAGGAAGCATGCTCGCACTTGAACAGCTCTTTCTCTATCGGTGCCGAAATCTCCCCTTCTTTCCAACCACGATCCAGATGCCGAATTTGACAACTTTGAGTCTGGATGATTGCGATAAGTCAATCTTCGCTTGCGTCCCTGCTTCGCTGGAGACTTTGCTTATTCAGGGAGTATCAAGTGAGTCGCTACACCTCTGTTCAAAGAATGGGGCTCAAGAAACAGTTCCAGTCTGCTCTAGCAAATCACTACCTAATGACAAACTACTCCGCGTCGACAATGTTGCTATCTGGTGTTACCCCGTCAATCGGCTTGTTCAGCGTATGATTCATAAACTGTGCATCCCTTCCAAGATCAAGCAACTCGAAATTGTACTAGTTGATCATGACATTGTCGGTGACGATGGTCTCGCCAATCTCGCCTCCATGCGAGACAAGGGCTTTGAAGACGACATCCTGTCTCTGCATCAAACTGATTCGCTCGAACGGCTCATTGTGACAACTGAACTCTGCTCGGAAGGGGTTCGCTCTGAGTTCCCCAAGCTGTCGAGTCTCGGCATACTACATGTTCAATCAGTATACTCGTCGCTGCTTTCGCCTCAGTGTCGCCGACTCGCGAAGATCAGGGAAGGGACATGGGCTTGGACCTCTGAGTAGCAGGGGTGCATGCATGTCGAATACTTTCTGAGAAGAGTTACTCAACACACTTTTCACGGTTGGCTGGCCTATTGCCAACCGTTCAGGTTGTAAATAGCGGGGGGTGTAAATTTTGTTCACGGTATATATGAAGTAGCCTTGTACGATAACGAGGTCAAACGTACGTACCAATCCCCATGCGGGACTTTTAGTTTGCGAAACCGCCTTTGGAAGGATTAGCCTCGCCTTGTAGCTAGAAAGAAAGCACTCTGCCACCGTTGTCTTACGATGCCATAGATGTTCGTGGTAAGATAGCGGGGACGCTGCGTCTGCGCAGGCGAGTGAACAAACAGAGGGGCGGGCGACGCGGCGCTGGAAGTACACGAACCACGAACCCGCTAGTGGAGAGGTTGAGCTCGCCTTGAAGGGAACAGAAAATACCATCCCCGCTATGCTCGCATCTCGCCAAACGCCTAGTAGGAGCGCAAAGACGCGTCGAGCTTGGAGGATGATACGCGCCCACGTGAGGGGTGGCTGGGTAGACTTTCTAAATTGTTGAAAACAAAAGCGTTAATAATAGAACGCGGCGGGATGGTATATAAATCCCCGATTCCGCTTTGTCGACTCTCCATCTGCTTCCTTCCCTTCCACTTCCACTTTCATCTCCCCCTGCCCCTTCCATCGCCTCAGCGATACATCGTAGCCTGGTGACCAGTGCTCAATGAGGTCGGTCGCGACGATTTCACGGAGGGCTGGCCACCGAACTACGATTCGACAATCCCATTTCAGCATTCACGCACACGCCTCACCTCTTGAGTTCTCATCCTGGACGAGTCGTTGGCGCGGGAGCGGGGAGGATGACGCCCTTGTCGAAAGTGGGCAGCAGGGGGAGCTAGCCTCCCCGGTGAGTACTTCTCCTTCTTCCACCGGCGGATGCTGATATACTTTCTTTTCTTTTCGGTACCCTGGACGCCGTCGCACCGGATTGGGATCGCGTAGTCTACCAGTCGTGTCCTTGTATCTCTTGAAAATTGAATTATTTCTCGCTCGCCTAGTCATGAACGTAACCGTGAATCATCTGCGACGTGGTGATACTGCGAGGAGATGGTGAAGCGATTTGTGGCGAGAAAGACCTTGTGTTCTTCGTCGTGTCGTACACCACTCTGTATCACAGTTCTGGGGATATTGTCCGCGAGTCGTCTACATAATTGCACGGAAGTAGCTGCTGTATGTCACTGGGGTAGACCGTAAGCTCGGGGAAGAATCATATTGTCGAAACTCACCTGAGTCGCCTAGACGTTGCCCTTACCACGGATCGCAACTTGAGAGGATGGCGAAGAGTCGTAAATGAGATACACTCCCAGAGGCGGGCGGGGCGGTGGCAGAACAAGTGAATAAGCGCCGGGCTTCTCTTTCTCTCCACCATCTCCGACTAGCGACGAGACAGACCTTCCGGCTCCAGAGGACCTACTGGAACGCCAAATTCAAAGCCACAGGGCCCGCTCACAGTAGATGATACCGAAGCAAGACTTCCGGGATCCCCTCAAGCTGGGACATAAGTATGGATGCGCTTTGAAGCGTTGCGAAGCAAATTGATCTGTAGGCGATGCTGCTCAGTATCTTGGGGGATGCGACGCGCTCATGGCTCATAGATCTAGCTTTGGCGTCAATAGGAAGGGGTTATATAGCGGTATCACGCACCTCTCCCCCACGGCGACTCTCCGTTCCTGCTCCTCGTCAACAAGGACATCTAGTCTTTTGAGGCCTGGCGCCTAGGAGTTACTTCTGCGTCGGATTTCGAAATGCGAAGGGGGTAACCCGAACAGACCACACGCTGACGTGTCTATATGAGGCCTTGGGACGCGAACTATTTGTACGGGAAGGCTTTCGATGCGTTCTTGTGCTACGACAACGAACCAACATCAAACCGCAGTTGCAACTGTTGCAGAGCCCATGAATATTCATGTGACGTGATGATCCTGCGGACCATTGATCCTGCGGACCATTGATCCTGGTCCAAGCTCACGCTACGCTCTAGCTCATAGTCTCGTTCCTGCATGCACCGCAAACAAGTTGACGGGTCACCGCTCACCCTGGATTCCTTACTCTCCTCCGGACGTTCCCTCGAATCTTGTCTCGTCTCGTTGGGAAGCAGGCCATATCATCATTGTAACTCTAGTTCAATCTGTCTCCCATTGAATCTGTCTCCGACTGCACCAAATCCAACATAATCTCAAGGTCCGACGCTCGAACCGCTTTTAGGCACACTAACGGTACGCTACCCACCTCCATAGCTCTCACCCACATACATAGCCATCGTTCCACGCACGCGCTCATAAGTCAGCTTATTCAAATCCCTCTTCAAAATCCCGCCTCATTCGGCCCTGCTCGTCGAATTCCACCCTCCGTATGATATTGGTATCTCCATATCTCCAAATGACCGTCTCCCGTCTTGGCTCGAAGCCTCACCTCTCAGCACTCACCTCGGAATCCCAAGATTTCTTTCGACTCTTCGTCTATGTAGCCCGAATGGTTCTCTGCCGACCTCCCCGTCTACCAAGAGTTCTACAATCCGACTCAGGATCCCGCCTCTCCGCGCCGCCTGTTCTATAAACATGTGCTAATCAAGTACGCCCGGATTCACATGTCGTCTTGTTTATCCGTCGACGGACACCGTTTTATGTACGACCTCCCAGAATTTCACCCCATATATCGAATGCGGCTCACACTTGAAATTCACACCGCAGGCAAAGGGAATCTGCATTTGTTAACCTGTGTTACACTGTCACTTCGCAACCGCCTCGTTGGCCAGAGTAAATACACCACATTCTGCTCGGGCATAGACTTCGATCCAAACATCAGGACAATGGACACCATATCGCGGCGTCTCCGCTCTCCGCTCTCCGAGCACACAAATATGCAAACATGCCAACGTACCAGCGCTCGAACACCGGGCTTCGACGGTTATGTGGCTTAGCTGGGGGGACGCGTTACGGAGCCCCACCTGACGACGCAGCTCCCCAACGATCAATGAAAGCCTCCCGACTTCGTCCCACCTGGGGCTCGATCTCAATGCAAAGTTTCAAAGTTGCGAAATTTGAGATCTGAGACCTCGCGCGTGGCGTCCCGATCATTTGTGCGTTTGTGCATTTGTGCATTTGTGCATGCGAGCGCCCATGCCTCTATCTCGAGCAGGCCACGCCGCCGGCCGGAAGTCTCGCGCTCGAAGATTAACCGCGGATATTTCGACGATGTATATGGCACCATACGAAGAATGGCGTTGCGTGTTGCGTTGGGTACGCCGGTGAGACGCGACGCTAACCAGTAGCTCTGGCATTCAAATCGCCCACGCCAGACGCAGACCTACGCTGCGCCAGGCGTATAAGCCCTCCACGCGCCATCCGTATTCACCTCCTCTTCTCCCCTCGTCTATTGGTATCGGTATCGTACGACACGCGCTGAAACCAGTGTATGGTTGTACTGCGGTCCACCAGACCTCAAGTCTGGGTACTATTCAGTCATCGGCGCGCCCCGAAGTTGCTGTACCGAGCAGTGATAGTGATACCTCCTGCTTGGTGTATGGTAGAATGCCTGCAACGAGATACGGCGATGATACACCGGTCAGAGTCGAGGTGCATGCGGCGCTCCTTCACTAAGGCAAGGCGCTCTAACTCGAATTTTCAGTGTCTGCATCTTCGAATTCTAGAAGCTTGATACATCTATGTCAACATACAGAGGCGCAATAGTGTGCACAGGAGGTTGGATTGGAAAAAGCGGCTGGATTGTTCTCGCGTCTGTGAATAGGTATCACTTGTTTACGCCACACAGGCCAAGTTTCCGCCGAGGTTCGCAACACAGTCGTCTAGCGATTATGATTAGTAACTCCCAAGCAACAACGAGCAGAGAAGAGAAGAGAAGAAGTACTAACCGAGGTCTGCGATGAGAGCCACTCCGCTGCACCTACGAGCGTATCAGATATCAGAAGGTCTGCATCCCCAGGCCCAATCGAATCGCGATGCTCACCCGCATGTCATAAACGCGCCCGTGCGGATCCCACACCCCGAGCACGAGCTCGCATACCCGCCGCTACACAAAAAAAAAACCAAAAAAAAAATCAGCAAAAGAAAAGGGAATGCCGACGTATTTGACGCACTTGCGCGAACACACGAGGCTGTTGCCCGATTTCGCGATGCAGCGGTTGAGATCGAGGGTCGTGTCCTTGAAGCCCCCGACGCCGTCGCCGCAGTTGGCCTGCAGGAAGTGGTTGTCGCGCACGAAGAACCCGGAGCAGGTCGCGGAGAAGTCCCCGGAGGCGTGCGCGCCCGGGACGACGAGCAGGGAGGTGGCGATGAAGAGGGCGGAGAGGAGTTGGGTTGCGTACATCTCAACAGGATTCTGATTCTGAGCTGGGTTGTGGTGGCTCGGAGGAGGGTGCGATGTGTGGATTGAGCAACGGATGGTGGGCTGGTATTTAAGCATTCTGGGGTCGCCGTCGAGTGTGGTTCTGCCGGTGACCAAGGTCGTAGTGGATCAGCGGTCCGAGCTGGGAGTTCATTGCCGTCATGATCATCGGGGAGGGCGGAGCGACTGACAGTAATCACAGCATATCCGGCGCACATTTAAAGATCACTGGCACGATTCTCGCAATTGAGCAAGCAGTGTCCAGACCAAACGAGAGGTCTTCGCGTCTTGGTGGATGGTCTCAATGAACATTAGATCATGTCGCGCAGACAGCGCCTCGAAGGATTCAGCACGTCGCGAGACATACGTTTCTTCGAGGAGAGAGAGCAAGGCGCTGGACGTGGTGCTATACGGCTCTGGAGAAGGTCGCGGACGGCGATGAGACCCCGCAATTGCTTCTGCCGATTCCGATTCCGAGCGTATCGGTTGGTCTTCTGCAAGCCGGCCAGTAAGCTTGCTTGCAGGCCACTACAGTCGACTCTGTCATAACCCATGACCCTCGGTGGACGTGCTGGGCTATGGGTTTTGAGAGAGTATGGGTTAACTCAAAGCGCCTATTTGGGCGTCTAAGAAAAATCGCCGTCGAATTAGTCGGTGGATTTATTTACAGGACTACGGCTGTAACTATAATATATACGACAAGGAAAGATTAAAGCAAGACTAAAGTCTACTATAGTTAGAGAGGAAAGCCATGAAAATGTCAAATGCTAGCAAAGTGGTCGGAAATCTTTGTTGCTTTCATGGTGCGAGAAACCTTGTATCGAGTCTGTATGCCGAACGACGCGAGGGAGTCCTCCAATCTACGGAAAAGCGGAGAATCGAGGTCACTAATATATCCACGAAGAACCGACGCGGCCATGACCTCCGTAATAGGCTTCTTTTGCTGAATGCGAGTTTGAAGTTCCTCTTTCCGATTCCTAGTGGCATGTTGGAGGATTTCTAGCCCCCTTTTAAGTACAGGGAGCTCAATCATGTAGAGTGTGGGCTCAAAAGTGAAAAAATAATGGTTTTTAGTTTCATAATTCAACTGCTTACAACAAATTTAATTAAATATAAGACAAAAATAACATATACATATGGGTTTTGACATCCCCCAAAAGTATGGGTTATCAGGTATCGCAGAGATATGGGATTTCCCTGCGAACCAACTTGGTGGATGGGAAAATGTATGGGTTTCGGCAGAGTATGGGTTATGACGGTCATGGGTTATGACAGAGTCGACTGTATATGTATCACAATACATAATCGGCCCACTCACATTTTCGGTCGATCAGAAGGAGGGGAGAGCTTCCTATTCGAAGACCACGATTTTACGGTCTTGTACGTCGTAGTTGCTTGCCGGTCGGGTCGGGTGAGGAAGACACTGTGATCGGCCCGGATATAAAAGACATGCTAAATAGTTCTAGCCCAACCGACCACTCCGATGAGGCGATGTATGAATCGTAGGCCTACGTGAGGTGCAAGCTCGAAACCAGCCTATATACGAGATGACGTCGACGACTTTGAGGTAGACAGTGTGTGTGGATATGCGCGGACGGCAAATGAGTGTGTGGTGTGTGAGATACTGGGGGGGGGCAACAGCAAGATCTAGTTACAAGTGGGTTTCGTTTCTCAAGACTGAGTCGCTCTCCTCCTCCTCCTCTGCGATGATCGCAACGATTTCGACAATGAGTTCGGTGGGGTGTTCCCCCTCTGGTTCAGCGCTCAGCGCTCAGTACTCAGTACTCAGTACTCAGTACTCAGTATCCATCAACTTGGCGGGTGTTCGGATGATTCATGAGTCGTGTTACTAAGTTGGAGTCTGAGCGATTTGAGGTTGGACGCAGACGCGGACGCGGAACATTGAGTTTTAAGCGCTGGCGTTTTACTCAGGACGCGTCCTCATGGGATCGTTGTCCCACAAATGGAAGTGATGTTGTTGAGATAAGCTGGCGAGGTCGCGCGAATTCAGAGTGAGCAAGCAGCTATGTATTGCGTTTGGCTGGGACTCCAGCAAACGCATAAAGAAAATGATACATGAGCGCGACACTAATTACAGTAGTCACGTGTATCCCCATACCCCTGTACCGCCAAGATTGCTGAAATCCAACAGATGTTGCAATGCCGTGGAATGACTACAGGGACCTCTGACCTGGTGAGTGTGTTTCACTCGACTTCTGCCGGCTTGGAATCTGAATCTGATCAGTAGAGAGCATACTATTGCCGATTTAATATTTAATATTTATCCTCGGCTCGCTGTGTTGCTAGAGACTCAAACTACCACGAGAAAGTGAGGCAGAGACATCTCTCAGCTCTCTCCCAACTCTCAGCGTGCTTTTCGGAGGCGCGGGCGCAACCACCACCCGAAATGGGCGTATATCATATATATATATATATCAGCCTCCGTTTCTGTGGGGTATCTTCCTTCGATCTCTCTTACTCTAATCATTTGCCTCGTCAGCCACCCTCAGGCTTGCCGATTTCGGACTCTGCGAACGTAATGAACGAACCAAAATATTCAGGGGCTAGGGGCTAGGAGCGAGGCCTCTCGTCGGAAGTAAATTACGATTACACTTTGATAGTCCTTGACTCCTTGGACACCCACACACGACCCTCTGCCACTGCCCGGCCCACTACCACCTTAGGGTTACACGCACACTCCATCTCATCCCCTCCGCGCATCACCCAAATCGAATCTCGATATCAAGCATACGCGCCGAAACCGCCCGAACGATCGCGTTTCTCGTAGCGACGGACTTCCACCACATATAAGTATATATATATATATATTAGTTGCTAGTACAAAGTTTACATCTACACACTGTTGTGTTGCCTCAGCGATGGTATCCCGCATACACTAAGGCACTGAGGTAAGCTACCTAAACCCTCAGGCCTCAGTACTCAGTGCCCCTTGTTCCTCAGGCCTCAGGTCTACCATCTATCATCTCAAATGCCTAGACCTTTCATTATGCATCATATCCCACATCCAACCACTCAACCGCTCAACCACTCCACCACTCAACAACATCCGAAACCACTGCCCAGTCGAACCTTATACGTACCGTATATCCCGATTTAACTATCGCCTTGTCCCGCCGTCCCTCAGGGCCTCAAGGCCTCAAGCTTCAAGGCCTCACTTCTCGCGCCATACGGTATCATATGGTATCATATGGTAGAGTCGTCGGTCGGTACCTTCTACCTATCCGCTACACAGTACCCAGTACCCAGTGCTTCTACCCAGTGCTTACCAGTCCGACGTCCATCGCCAATCATTCATCACCGCTTCGCTATTGCGTTTGTTTGTTCGTTTCTTTATTTGCTTTTCTCGCAGGTAGTAGAACGTGCGTCAATTATGCGTAACTCAGGACCGCTACCCATTCCCTTATACTGGTGCCCGTACACCACCCCCATCCGAATCACTCATCACACATCGCGCATCAGTGATCACCGTTCTCAACTGCTGAATTGCTGAACTGCTCACCGTCCACCACCGGTCGCGGTATCAACCCGTTCCTGGATGTGCGGCGTGCGGCGTGCGCAGGACTTGGGACTTGGGACTTGGGAGTTCTTCTTTATACTTATCCTTATCTATCAGGAGTTGGTGGTTGGGGGTTCTCTATATCTACGCGAGTATCAGGAGTTGTGCTGAATTTAGGAGTCAAGAAATGGTGATCAACATCAACGATCGACGGAATCAAAGCGCTGCGCCCTTTCCCTTTCCCGCGGTCACTGGAACGGAAGCAACGATGTAGGTGTATGTATGTATGTATGTAGGGTGTGGAAGCAGATAAGGCGGAAGCAAATGGCGGAAGCAAATGGAAGCAGATCGAGGATCGGGTATCGTGCACTAGCACCAGCACAGGAGACGGTAGCACTGGTACTGCACACGGAAGCATACATGTATACATGTATACATGTAGTTCTTCCCGATCTTGAAATTTTGGAAGCTTGAACCAAGATCCAGGATCCAGGACGTAGAGTAGAGTAAGCCAGGACGTAGCGTTTGTACAATTATTGTAGGAGTAGGAGTAGGAGTAGGAGTATTTGTGTTTCGTGCTCCGGGTGCGTGCGTGTTCAACGTTCAACCCGTATATCGTACGTTCGCAACTCCTGAATTCTCCTCAAATATCAAATATCAAATACCAGTATCCCATCTCAGATCTCATCGTTCCATCATCTCATGTTCGTGCTCTTAAAGTTGTATCGAAATTCAATTCATTATCATTATCATTAAGACACATTATGCGTCATGATTATAGTTGTATGGTTACAAGACAACAGACGACACCGATGACTATGGATGTGGCTATGGATATGGCTATGGCTATGGACATGGGGATACGGGATGTGAGATATGGGATATGGATATATACATGCAATGCGATGCGACGATGCGGATAGCTAAGAGCCAAGTACCAAGTATTTCTTCGTATTCGTATTCATATTCAAGGATGAGGGAGAAGGCACGCTTAACAATCAACGCGTGTGCGAGATGGGCCATGGGCGGGTTCGATGACGAGGAAGGGCAGAAAGGCAGAAAGGCGGAACGACGTAACAGGGTAACAGACTCGAGATCTTCAGACTTGAACAAGCGCGGCCAATCCAATCAAAACTCCTCCCTCAGCCTCTCCCTCTTCTCCTTGCGTTCCCCCTCCACACCCTCCCCCTTCAAGTTCACCCCCTCCCCCTCCCCCTCCTTGCGTTCCCTCTCCCTCTCCCCAAACTCCCTCCTCAACCGCTCCATCCCGCGCTTCACCTCCCGGCTCCGGCGCATCGTGTCCAGCAGCCCCTGCGTGCGCATCGGGCGCCACCCGCCCGGCAGCCGCTCGTACATGATCCACTCCCGGAACCACTCCGCCGGCACGCCCTTGATCGGTGTCGTCGTCGTCGAGGGGCTGGTGGTGGAGGAGGTGCTGTGAGGAGGGGAGGGGGAGGTGGAGGAGGTGGTGGTGCGAGGGGGAGGGGAGGAAGAGGAGGTGGAGGGGTGAGAGGAGGAGAAGGAGGGGAATGATTTCGAATGCGTTATGGAGGAGAAAGACGACGACGCCGAGAAGCGCTTGAACAGCGAGCCCCGCTTATTCCTCTTCTCCTTATCCGTATCCTTATCCTCGCCAACAACACGTCCTTCACCCGGAAACTCCCCATTCTCCGCACCCTCCCCATTCTGCACACCCATCCCTCCCTCCGCACCCCCACCCGCCAGCCCCGCCGGCCAATCCTCCACCTCCCACATCCCCAGCACAATCGCCATCTCCCCGCGCGCAATCTCCGCATGCACCGCGTCGATCCCCTGCTGCCCGTCCGCCCCTCCCTGTGCCCGCGCCCGCGCCTGGGCGTGCGCGAGCGAGTGCGCCTCGCGCCGGATGCGCGAGAGCGAGACGGAGGCGGCGGTGAGGAGCGTGCGGTGCGGGCTGCATTCGGGGCGGGGCGCGGTGAGTGGGGTGGGTAGGTTGGGGAGTGTGGGTAGGTTAGGGAGTGTGTTAGGGAGTGTGGGTAAGTTGGGTAAGTTGGGGAGTGTGTTTGGGAGTGTGTTTGGGAGCGTTTGGGGGGCCGTCATCGTCATCGTCGTCGGCGACGCGACCACCTCCGCCTGCGCGTCCAACGCCCCCAGACCCGGCAGCCCCGCCAGATCCACGAGCAGGGTCTTCCCGAGCCCGTGCGCGTCGACGGTGCTGAAGCGGCTCGTCTGCGGCGTCTGCGCGGGCGTCGTCTGCGCCGTACCTACTGACCCGACTGATCCCGCGGACATGGGCAGGAACGCGGAGCCGAGCGCGGAGTGTGCGGAGGAGGAGAGGGAGGAGGCGGTGGTGGCGCCCGAGGCGGAGGTGGGGGCCCTGCTGTGCCCGTGCGTGTGCGTCTGTGCGTGGCAGTGCGTGTGCGGGGAGGGAGAGGAGGAGGAGTGGGGGGAGAAGGAAGAGGAGCCCAAGATGACGTCGTAGGCGTCGCCGGAGGGCGAGGGCTCGACGACGGGCGCGGAGGGCGGGGTGGGTGTGCCGTTGGTGTTGGTGTTGGTGTTGGTGTTCGCGTAGGCGCGCCCGTTGAGGTTGAGCGGCGCGGGCACTGCGCCGAGCTTCCTGCCCTCCTTCTCCTTCTCCTTTCCCCCTTCCTCCTCCTCCTCCTTTCCTTCCTCAACCTTTCCCACCTCCTCCTTCTCCTTTCCTTCCTCAACCTCGACCCCGCGCCCGCCCTCGCCCTCGCGCCCGAGCTGATGGCCGAGCTGCTGGTCCGCGGCCATGACCTTGAACGCCCACTCGCCGTCGTGGAGCAGCATGTGCGCGTCCTCGAGGAGCGCGTCGACCCACTGCGGGACGATCTCGACGGGCGCGTAGTATACGGGCTTTTTCGCTTTTTTTAGGGGGCGGGGGAGGGCGGGGAGGGCGGGGAGGGAGAGCGAGGCCGTGAGCCGTTTTATGGGCGAGCGCGGGTGGTTCTGGTGTTGGTGCTGCTGGTGTTGGTGTTGGTCGTCGTCATCGTGCTCGTGCTCATGCTCGTGCTCGTCGCCGAGGACCGTGTCGCGGTGCACGAGGCTCGCGTCGTGCTCGACGAAGCCGTGCTTGCCGACCTCGCGGAGGTCGATGCCGCGGAGGAAGTTGTAGCGGTGCAGGAGGATGAAGCCGCCGTAGGAGAGGACGATGGCGAGCGGGAGGGAGAGGTTGTAGCATTTCTGCAGCGCGGAGGTGAGCGCGGCGGCGGTGAGGTTCTTGCCTGAGCGGTTGCTGCATTCACATTCACACACACACACACACACCACAAACAAAGGGGGAGGAAGAAGAGCGTACGTCAGCCTCCGATCGAGATAGGGGGTGATAGATGATCGGGAAAGGGAAAGGACTCACATGTAGCCGTGGTTCGCCATGGTGTTGAGCGCGGGGCACGGGCTGCGGACGTCGCCCTCCTGGGGCGGGCAGAACTCGTGCTTGGCCGCGAAGGGGCATTTCCGGGAGTTGTCTGCGTGCGCGTGCGGGGGGAGGGGCGGGTGGTCTGCGGGGGGCGGGGGGTAGTAGGTGGGGAAATCGGGCGCGGGGACGAGGCGCTGGGGCGCGTTTGCGGCCATTGGGTAGGAGAGCTTTGCGGGGAGGGTCTGTGCGTGGGTGGGGTTCACGCGGGCGGGGAGGTGCGAGGAGGGGAGGGGGAGGGGGAGGGAGTGGGAGTGGGGGTGGGAGTGGGGGTGGGCCCTGTCCTCCTGTGCGTGCTCATGATTATCGGAGGGAGCAGGAGAGGGAGCAGGAGAGGGCGAGGGCGAGGGCGAGGCGGTGAAGTGCATACGGGAGGGCGAGTCGGACATTGCGAATCGCCGAGTGGTGGTGGTAGAGAGAAGAGATGGGGCGGCTGCGGCTGACCGTGCTCGTTCGTTGAGTCTCTGCTAGCGCGTCAGACGTCTGGACTGGCACGGGACGGGAGGCCTGAGGGGCGGGCTGACAGTGGCTGGCATGTCTGCGGAGGCTGGGTTTTATAGGGCGTCGATGATCTGAGCGTGCAATCTGGCCCCATGTGTCTGCACGCAATAGATCCCGCGATGCAGGCGTGCATCATGAAACGCGGACAAGAAAGTAATCTAATTCTAAAATAACGCAAACGAGTAAAACAAACGGACGTGACATGTTCGTTGTTGAATGATCGACCTATCCCCGTACCGGATACTCAGTGAGCCAGATCTCTTCGATGATGGCGATGCTGCTGACGAAAGATTCCGAATGTCAGAATCCCGGAGCCACAATCTGTCCGCTTGCGTGCACTTGCAAGCAACTCCGCGTTGCTCCCACCTATGTTGCCTGCGTGCCCCAATTGGCGGACACACCGCTGCACCAGCTCGGAGGTACATCACCACCGCCGTCAACATCGCATCCCACCCATTCTTATTCACACTTCACTTCAGGCCTCAGGCACAAGCGTCCAGGTATGTTTGTGTTTTTGTGCAGTGCGCCTGACGACCACCGTCTATCGTCTATCGAGCATAACGCACAACGCACAACGCAGAACCGGGTGAGAATCTTCGCCTTTGCCCGGAATAGCCAAGCTTCCCTTCCCTTCCCTTCCTCGTCCTCTTCGGTACACCCACACCAGGCCCCGTGCACATCCACAATGCATACTAATGCATAACAATGACATTCGCACATGTCCGACCCTACTAACGCGAAACAGCAGAATCCACAGACAGCCAAAGGCACCGCACGGGACGTGCCTTCCCACTTCCCAAAGTCTTGGCCCTTGAACTTGATTAAGGTATATCTATATCTATATCTACTTATCATATAACTATATAGAGGCGAGCCGGCGCTAGATAACGGGGTCGCACCACACCACCCTTCGCATTCCTTCATTCCTTCATATTCCTCGTTATAGACCCAAGAAACTGAAGTCTGATCCCGGGAAATAACGAACTTCGTTATCGGTATTGGTAGTCAAGACCTCAATGTTCAACGCGTCCGCGTCGACACCGTCCCCTTCTTCTACGCTCTACGCTCCACGTTCTGCGCTCTGCGTTTTCAAATACCCAAATATCCAAGGTCAAGACCATGTACATGAGGCCTGGAGCCTAAGGCCTTAACGCCTTAACGCTTGACGCTTGACGTTGTATATTTCAACGCTTGTCGGTCTCCGGCGATCACGAACACGCCAGTGAACTGTGAGTCTGTGACGCGGACAATCCCCTCTACCCCTCTACTCCTCTACTCCCGACCCCGTCGCCCGTCGCCCTTTCCTCTTGCCCCTGTCGCCCGTCACCCTTTCCCTGGCACGCCTTCCAAGTTCCCCAGCTCATCATGTTCATGTTCATTATTTTCGTTCATATTATTATGTTCATTATGTTCATGTTCATTATTTTCGTTCATCTTGTGCTGCTTCTTGTGTCTCTTGGGTTTCTTGTGTCTCTCGGGGTCTAGCCACGCTCGGGCACGTCGCATGATCAACACACGGAATACACGGAATACAAAGAACGCATGGAACGTACTATGCGTGCCCCCGAGTATCAGGATAGCAGGATAGCAGGATAGCAGGATACACGACGCGCGGGGTCATAGTCGCCTTCTCTCTTTCCCGCCCGCCTTCCCGCCTCTCCTCTCAAGGTATCAAGCTCAAGGTCCTCTCAAGGCTCCCATCCAAGCGTCCAAGCGTCCAAATGTCCAAACGCTCAAGCGCTCGGACGCACCCGAAGCACGAATCCCAAAGCACAAAGCACAAAGCACGAATTCCGAATTCCGAATTTCGAATCTCGACGTTCGACGTTCGCCGTGCAAGGTTCGGGGTTCGGCTTGTACACTTGTACCTCCGTGCCGTATACCGTATACCGTATACCGTATACCGTATACGGGCGTACGCACACGCGACTCTGGTCGGTTGGACGTCACGCGTCGTGCGTCGTGCATTCATGCCCCTAACTCCTACCCCACTTGCTCCTACCCCACTTGCTCCGTCGTCCCCTCCACTAGCCCACTTGCCCACTTGCCTACTTGCCCACTTGCCTCCTGGCCCACACGACCCGTGGACCAACGCACCACCTCCCACCGAACCGCCCCCTTCCCTCGTCCCTCGTAATCTGCCCAGGCTGCACTCAGCGACCTTGGCGCTTGAGGTACCGGGTACGCCTGCCTTGCGATATGCGATGTGATCGAGTGCGTTGCTGCTACCAGGCCACTGGACGACTGGACGATCAGACGATCAGACCAACGGGCGACTAGATGATCAGACGACTAGATGATTAGACGATCAGACAACGAGATGACCAGACATTCTGCTCGCCTTCTCGTGTTCTGATGCTCGATGCTCGATGTTCAGACGTTCGCCGATTGATGATTGACGAATATGAGTATGAGTATGAGTATGAGTATGATTGATGAGTTGATTATGAGTATGATGAGTTGATTATGGTTATGATGAGATGATGAGTTGATGATTAAATAATGACCACTTGATTAATGACCATTTGATCCTAGCCTATCTCAGTCGCCTGAAGATGCATGCTACGTGCTATGTGCTACCTGATTCGTGATATGGATACGCGATTCGTGATATGGCTACGTGATACGTGATATGGATATATGCGTGATACGCGAACCATCCAATTAATCACTCGAACAACGAACAACGAACAACGACGCGTCTCAGACTCCCAGCTAAAGCCTAAGAGTATGTGTATAATATATATGCGCCGACCTTTCTCGAGCCTCGAGCCTTGAGTCTCGACCTTCTGCAGCCCAAATTTAATTTAAATCCCACCGCATCCCAAATCCCACTGCATCCCGAATTTCACACCATGATGCATGATGCATGATTCAGGACTTCTGATTCAGGACGTCTGATTATGATGATTATGATGATGATGATGATGCTGATGATGTTGATGATGATGTTGCTGCTGATGTTGATGTTGAGTTCCATATCGTAGTCCCACTCCTCACAGTCGACATCTTGCCTCACAGTCGACATCTTGCCTCACAGTCGACATCTTGTCTCACCCGATGACATGGTGCTCACTAGTACCGCTTGGTGATGCATTGATGGTGTTTTTGTGGTAAGGCAAGTGGGCCGTCGTGGTACTCACCGTATCATACTCACCATACTCACCATACCATACTCACCATACTCACCATACCATATTCACCAATGACAGCCACCATCGCCATCGCCATTCCATCCGTACGTTTCGTCGCACACTCCTCCTCCTCCTCCTCCTCCTCCTCCTCCTCCTCCTCCTCCTCCCGACCTCTCTACCCACCCACTCAGTACTCAGTACTCATCCAGCAACCAACCAACCAACCAACCAACAATGAGTATTCGCAATGTGCAATGTGCATACCCAATCACCAATCACCAATAACCAATAACCGACGAAAGCACCCTCCGAAGCCCGAAGCTCGAGGTGCCGAGACGCAGGACGCAGGACACCTGACATGTGCTCGTTGATGCACATTGCATAATGCTCGTTGCTCGTTGCACAATGCACAATGCATGATGCTTCGATACTACTACTTCGATGATTTAATGATTTAACGATTTAATGATATGGTGAATTGGTGATTCATCCTAACACCTACCATACTCATACGCACACAGGCACAAACCTCTCATACACATCTGCTATCTACGCGTCTGCACCCACGGGGACTCCCACTGAGCACCCAAACACCCAAGCACCAGCACCAGTGCATTAGTGCACCAGTACATCAGTGCATCAGCATCAGTACGAGTTGGGTATAAGCTCATACACACGAGCGGCCCAAACAAGACTTCATTACTTCATTAATCCATTAATCATTAATCGTTAATCGTTAATCGTTAATCGTTACTCGGGGATCTGGGCTATAGTTCTGTTTGTCAATTGTCACTTGTCGGTTTCGAAATTCGAAATTTGAAGTTTGATCGCGTGCGTTTCTCTGGGCACGCAGCGCTGCTCGGCTCCACCACGCCACACCACGACAACCGACAACCGACAACCGATGTAGGTCGGCACATATGTAAGTAGAGATAGAGATAGAGATAGAGATAGAGACAGAGTAGGATAGAGATAGAGATAGAGTAGGATAGAGATAGAGTAGGATAGAGATAGAGTAGGATAGAGACAGAGCAGGGCCGGACGCGTCGCCGCCATGCGTCGAGTCGTGGCCCTGGCGCAAAAATTAAAAAAATAACATATGATATGCATATGAAAGATGAAAGTGGGTGGGCGGGGCGAACGGAGATCGCAGCTGGCGACTTGGCGATTTAGCGATTTGGTGATTTGGTGATCTGGCGAGGCTCGGTGCAACGGAGGGTGGTGTGTATGTACGTTATTGTACGTTATGCGGGTCCGTAAACGTAACTTCGTCATTGTTCCCGCGAATGTTCTTCAAGTTTGCGTGCGAAGCTATCCATAGAATAGCATATATATATGATATATGATATATGATATATGATACGAGGCGCGTGCAGCTACTGTGTGACGTGAGCGGAATGGTCACGGCACACGAGAGGGGAGGGAGTGAGAGGCAGTCGAACGAGGTTGATAGGGATAACGGTATATTCGAGTACGCTACTCAAACAGTACAGGGCGAGGGGTCTTATATACGGTTGGAGTAGGTAGGTATCGGAATAGGATAGATGACGATACGTACAAACAAGGGAGCAAGCGAAGAGTCCGGTTGAGCGCAGATCTAGGTAAATTGAAAGAGAAGTGAAGTCGGGATGAAACCCGAGGGGCTACATACGCCCTTCTACGGTTGCGGGCGTAACCGTACATTTTAGTTGGCGTCCTGAGGAGAGGCGGGGGCATTGGCGTTATCGATGATCATGCTCGATGATGAGGCAATGGGGGGCTCGACCGAGAGGGGGCGGTCTGGAGGTGGCGCAGCGGAGGTGCGTTCCTGGCGGAGGTGTTCGCGCTGAGCGGCAAGCTTGTCAGCTCTTTTCTTGGCCTTGGTGCTCTGACGGAGCGCTATGGATTCGGCGATGCGTTGTTTGACGCGTTTCTCGCGTTCGAGTTTTTCGAAGAAGAGGTCTTCCAGGAGCTCGCGTCGCTGGGGAGTGAGGGTGATGGAAGGGAGTGACGCGACAGCGGCGGGAGGGTCTACCGGAGAAGCGCGTGCGGCAGGCTTGGAGTAGGGTTTAGACCTGGGGTTGTTTTTGCTTATGTCGCAGTTTAGATTGGAGGTTGGATCAAGCGTTCCGTCGGGGATGACAGCTTGCAAGCCGTACTGTGGTCCGTGAAGAATGATAGCACCTGACTCGTCGAAAACCGAGAATTTGGTAAGTACTTCGGGTTCGAGGTTGTAGACACGGGAGAACTCGTAGTATCCCCCGGGGACGGGGTCGATGATCGAGACAGAGCCCTTGCGTAAGGCGCGATCAAATCGAATGTACTCGCTGATTTGGTCTAGAGAATAGGTGGTCGCAAAGGAGGTGCCGGGGTCGATCTGGGTAATGGTGGTAGCGTTGGTGCGTAGATGGTGAAGGAAGGATTGCGGCATCTTGGCGGAGGTAGGCGATTGGTCTGGAGCGGGTGATGAACGAGGGCGTTTGCGATGATGATTTTTACGAGTGAAGGCGCGAGTCTTTATAGTGGTACGGCGGTCTTTAGGTTTGACGACGAACGTAATAGATCCGGTGAAGATTTGTGGGTCGTCGGTGGGCGGTTGGTCAGTACCAACGGGGAGATTCCGAATGTTGGCAACCCCGACTGCCTCGAGGTATGTTTCGAGAGCCTGTAGATGACTAACCTGGTGGTAGGGTAACCAGGTAACGTCTCCGGAGGTCCATTCAATTTTGAACGTGGCTTCCGTCCGGGATCCGTGATGAGACAGGATGCGGTTGACTGCCCATTCGGGTTCGGGGACTCCTTCGTCCTCCGAGATCTGATTGTCCAGCCGTCCCGGGAACAAACGATCATCATTCGGGACGTGTACGCGTAAGAGGGATGCATGGAAGGCGTCGTGGACACCGCGCTGTCGTAATCGTGCGGGCAATTCTACCTGGTACGTGTTGTTGTCGAAGTCCCGAGTGATCTTGTAGGGGCCAATATACTTGGGCACAAATTTTCGGGCTAGTCCGCGGGGGAAAGATATGTTCTTGGTGGAGATGTATACTAAGTCGTTGACGGCGAATGGCGAGGCCCGCCGATGACGATTTGCGTCCCGAGTTTGCTTGACTCGCGCTGCCAAAATGCTGTCGTGGGCTGACATGACGGCGTGTTTTAGTCGTTGTGCGAAGACACGTACTCCGGGGAATTCACTAGACTTCGGAGCATCCCAAATGAAGGGTCGGGGCATTCTTCCTGAGTTGAGGAAGAAGGGAGCGAATCCCGTACTTTCCGATCGAGCTAGATTGATTGCGAACTCAATCGCCGGAAGCTTCGACACCCAATCCTTCTGTGTTGGATGGATGCATTGTCGAATCATCGTGGTGAGTGTTCGATTGGCACGCTCTGTGGACCCATCAGATTCGGGGTGGTAGGCACTGCTCATATTGAGCTTGGACCCAATGAGGTGGTGGAGGTGCCGCCAGAAGTGACTGGTGAACAAGACATCTCGATCGCTAATTATTCTTTTAGGCAATCCATGGAGCTTGTATACCTCGGAGAAGACTAGTTCGGCCACGTTTTTGGCGGTGTAGTTGGTTCGACTAGGCACCAGATGTACCATGGCGGTCAGAAGGTCGATGACGACAGTGATTGAATCGTAGCTGGCATCCCGATCGCTCGATTCAGGAAGTGGACCAACGAAGTCGATCCCGATGGCTTCCCAAGGGTGCGACGCGACAGGGAGTGGGTTTAACAGACCATACGGTTTTTGGTTGTTGGGCTTGCTACGTTTGCACGTAGCACACGTTTCGCAGTAATGACGAGTGTCGGCCACGATGTCCTTCCACCAGACACTATCACGAAGGTAATCAACAGTTTTGTGAGTACCAAGATGTGCTAATAAAGAGTGTGCCTCAGCTATCACGATCTCCCGTATGTTGCGCCCTTCATGAGTGATTTTGGGGATGCAGAGGACCATGCGTTCCTTTTCGCTGAGGTAAACCAGTCCGTTGGACACCTTGAAGTTTCGGTAGTCCTTAGGTTTGTCCACGATTGCCTTGTAGAAGGGATCTTCAAGGTAGCGAAAGCGGAGGATATCCTCTAGGTTGAGACCGTGGGGACTTTCCGCGACGACGTGGATCAATGATGGGGGTGCCACGTCGTCAGTTCGAGTATCCGTGTTTGGATGTTCGTTTGTTTCAGGGTGAGCCTCTGTGTTTGTTTCCACCGTCTCATTCATGGCTTCTGCTGATAGTTCTGGGTTTTGTTCATTCCCTAGCACCCTGCCCTTCTTTCGTTTGTAAGAGGTCTTACGAACGGAATCTTCCTCCAGGACTGGAGGCAATGTGGGTGCCTGCCCTGCCAGCAACGCGCCCTTCTCAGTGAGCTTACGGTTGGTACGCAGGTTGTATCTCGGGGTCTGTACGTCCAATGACATTGCAGCCATTTCGCCCTCCATACCCGTTAGGACAGGCACAGAGACTGTCCGTCCCTCCAGTTGGTCATTATCAGCGAGGTCGTGGTATGTGTACTCGCTTCTGGCTCGCTCGGTGCCTGGTGCGTCGTTTGAGTACATGCGAGAGAGAGCGTCGCTCAAGACATTCTCGGATCCCGCGATATAGACTGGAGTGAAGTCAAATTCGGAGACTTTCTCCAGCCATCGGGCTTGTCGGCCAGTCAGATTCTTTTGGTTCAGTAGGTGGATTAGACCCTTATGGTCGGTTAGCCACTGAAACTTGACACCTTGCAGGATATCCCGGTGCCGTAGCATGGTTTCGATTCCGGCCAACATCTCAATTTCGTGCACCGCATAGTTTTGTTGGGCCGAATTGAGCTTCGCAGAGTAGAATGCGGCGATGTCCGCTGTTTTCCACTCGGGTCCCTGGCTCACAACCCCAGCAATACCCGTTACACAGCCGTCGGTTACCATCCAGATGGGGGGTTCCTTCTTTCCGTAACGCAATGGTTTTCGGTGGTGGTTGCGTGCTGCCTCTACCAGCCGTTTGATTTCCTCAAATGCACGCTGGTGAGTGTGTTCCCATCGATACGGAACAGCGTCTCCTGTTAACGAAGAAAGGATACCCATAGGGACCCGTACTCGCGCGACATCATCGGCTAGGTAACCAACAGCACCCAGAAATCCTCGCAGGAGGTTTCGGTTAGTCGGTGTTTTCCATTTCGCTATGGAATCGACCTTGTGGGGATCCATCCGAATCCCATCTTTGTCGATGATTCGTCCCAGAATCTTCATTTCTTCACACAGGAAGAATAGTTTCTTCGCCGAGAGGTACAGTTTCTCTCGCCGCAGAATATCCAGAACGATTTTGACATGTCGGACATGGTCCTCCAGGGAGTTCGAGAAGATGATTATGTCGTCTAGGTAGACGTGCATAAAGACACCAATATACGGTGCGAATAAA